CACCACATCATCATGACCGTTTCTTCTGCCTAGACATCCAACGATGACTGTACGTGGCTTGCAGCCTATGCATGCAGAGCGCGATGCGCGGTAAGACCGCGTTGTCTTCCGGCCATGGTTGGCTTCGTCTGGGAATCGCTCCGGGCCTGTCAGATATGCTATCCTTATCTCTTGCCAATATCTCGCTTCAACGCAGGTAACCTCTCCTCTGTCTTGCAGCACCGCGCCGTCTCGCACGCTAGCACCGCATCGGTCCTGCGGGGTGCATGCCCGCTTCGTCCCTTGCCTGCTCCAGAGAAAAAGATGGTGTGGTGTGGAGTGGAGAGTGAGGAAAGTTTATTCCCACTCTACGATACCGGCGCTTTTTGCAACTGCGTCATTGCGCCGACACAAGTTGGCTTGCAACGCAACCTGTCCATGGGCAAAGAACAGAGGGCACGTGTTTATGAAAATTAGTCAAAGTCTTGGACGTTGAGGCTCCCAACGGCCTTGCATAATATGGCACAGTCATGGTAACTGCCACCTGCTCCATCGAGCCTACGGGATCTCTTGTGCCAAAGAGGAAGGAACGGAGTACCTTTTGTTGCACGGTGCTCTCTCTCACAAAAGAGGAAGGAACGAAGTTTGGTCTATCGCACCAAAGAAGCTCTTTCTTGGCTCTCGGCAGCCTGCCCACTGTATGCGGCTTGCCTTTGTTTCATGTTCATCATTATTCCTCGAGTCACAGCATAGTGGCGCAGTGTTTTTTTTGCAATGTTCTGGGTTCTGTTCAATCGTAATAGTACACGTCTCCTCGCCAGCACACACGCACCACACACAAAGATCTGCCTTCCACCCATGGAAGGGGGGCCGTATGCACCATCTCTCGCTTCATCCCATCCTCGCACAGAAAATTTGACACGCAAACAAAGACACAAGTAGGTAGCGCATGGCGCGCTATCCCAGATATACGCTTCCGAGGTTGCAATCCCACCCCAACGCCAATGATCCGCAACCCTACCGCTGAAAAGGAAGCAAGTGATATGAAGAAACTAAAAACAATGTGCCACCTGGGCAGGTACACATCCTCGCGTTACCGAAACGAGCGCGGAACCGGTCGCATTGCGGGAGGTGTGGCAGCCGTGGCGAATATCCCAGTCCCGCTCGTGCATCGTTTGCGGCAGGCAACGAGGATGAGTCGAAGTGAAAATTTTCAGGGTCCTTTTAACGCCGAGTTGAGCCGCCGGGAAATGCACACAATTACAAGGAAGAGGTAACTACAAGGCTGAAGCATGAAGGAGCTCAAGGTCAAAGCGGCCGTAGCAGTAATAAGCGTCGTGGAGCATGGAACACATGCAGTCGTGTCGACATGAGAGAAAAGAAGGGTCCAAGTGGAGAATGTCATGGCGACAAGACTTGGGTTTACCTCAGTACCTGTCGTCGCCGTCGGTTGTCCAGCCCGCTTCTGAGCCTTCGATAACGCGTACCATGCGACCGTCTTGCTCTGTTAGGAGTTCGCCTGTGTCGACGCTACGTATACCGCGGACTTTCTTGCCTTGTATGCGTCCTGGGCTGGCTACACCATGGCCGCCCTCGGGTGTGTAGCGCTTCATTTGCCGCCGGTATGCTTGGAAGTCGACTTCTTCCTCTGGCATCTCGTCTGATTGCTCACTAAACGTCTCCCAGTTTTCTGAGCCTGATTGCATAGTCATGCCTGTAGCTGCAGTGCCTGTAGATGAGGTCTGTGAGATTTGTCTACTGCTAGCAGACGACAGCGATGGTGGTGCATATGTAGGTGTGTAGCCTCCACGCATGGTACGTCCCAAGTACGATCGATCATCGTAGGGGTCCTCCGGCTGTACTTGGCGCACAATACTCTCGCTGCGCTCTCCACGGTTGAACTCGAATCGGTTCATCGGTGTCTCCATGGGTGAAGGTTCTGGAGGTACGAACAGATCCTTCATGCGTGGAGGAGGGGCCATAGGCGGCGCCATCTTGCGCATTGTGGCAGAATCTTCTCGTGAAAGCTGTGGTCGTTTCTCAGGTGACATCCTGCCGTTTTGCGTGCCATTCATTCCCGTACGAGAAGGAATCTTGGAAGGGCTCTTTTGAGCAGATGCCGCCGATACTGAAGCACCAAATTGTGATGGACCGACAGACTGTGCAAAGGTGCTACGCGACATGCTTGCGGCGGATACGCTTTGTCCAAAGTTCGAGACAGGAGTCTTTGATCGGCTGGGTGGCGCTCCTCCGCGAACCGTTCCGGCACGGCTAGGCGCTTGTGATGACCTGCCGACAGTTGCGGGCTTGGTAGGCATGCCGCTATTGGAGGGTGTCTTTGCGCGAGGTGGTGGGACTGCTTTCTGTGCAGCAGCGTAGAGTTCGTCAAGGTATCGGTTGCCGTGGACCAGGAAAGGACGTCCGTATTCATCTTCCCAGCTTTCAAGAGTGACTCGCAGATCCTGTGATATGTTAGCTGGGTTCCTGTTTCTGACAAACGTGATCTTACAGTTTCAACCTTGGGCAGCTCCTTTGCAATGCGCTTTCGCATCTTCTCTTCACGCAGGAGCTTGCCCGGGTCGCGCCTCTCGCCCTTGTTGCCGCGCGCCATCAGGCGGGTCGCATCCTGACTCGATTGCTGAAGCTCATCGCGTTCCTGGATCAGTTCGCGATGACGGTCGATCTTCTGGAGTATCGGCAACCGCTGCTCCTTGAGCGCCTCAAGACGTGCGATTTCAGATTCGTGTGCGGCAAGCAGGGCGTCACTGCAGACATCGGAGAAGGCAGGTGTGAAGTCGAGCATCTCTTCTTCGGAAAAGTAGAGTGCATCCCATAGCTCTTGAAGCTGCACTCGCGCCTCCTCAACAAACAAGTGTAGGTTCTGGCGTTTTAACTCATTCAACCTGGCCAGCTCATCTTCGTACTCGTTGATGGTGCGCAAGCCACATCCACGGTTGCTAGTGAGGAATTGCTTGCGCTCCCGCTCCTCGACACCCAGGCGATCCCAGAGCTCTTCAATAGTGGTACGCAACTGCCCTAATCGTCGTTCGCGACCACGCTTCTCCTCAACAAGTCGCTCTTTCTTCGCCTTCAACTGTGCGAGATCGTCCTTGTGCAGTCCAAGTTGTTCAGGCGCGTCGCGATGACATTGCACGATTGCGCTGTCAGTTTGGGCTTGCGGTGTGCCGAGTTCCGCCCATAGCTGGATGATGTCCTGACATATGATCTTGACTGTATCTATGCGCCTGGTGTATTCTTCGTATACGCGCGTGAATTCATTGTCTAGTTTGGTGACGTAGGATGGTGAGATGTCGAAGGAGGGCGAAACGGTGGCGTTGGGCGCGGTGGGTGGGAGTTTGATCTTTACGAAGGAGGATTCTAAATGCGACGCATACGATTCGAGGGCCTCGGCGAGTTTCCTGACCTGCTCAAAGCGCTCCTTGTGCATCTTGCTGACCGAGTTGTACCGCTCCTTCAGATCCTTGAGGCAGCGCGTCAGGGGGAAGGTGATGGCCTTGTCGTCGTGGTCTTCGTAGTTGGGATTGGGCTTGTTGTCCTCCAACGACGCCTCCATCTGTCTGATGGTCTTGAGAAGGCGATGCGCCTCTTCCGTCATCTCATGTTTCTCGTTGGTGACTTGTCGCAATTGGCTGTGGAGCGTCTCGGACAGGGCAGAGAACAACTGTACAAAGTCAGCAATCGCGTGCGCATACAATCCATGTCAACTCACCTCTGCTTCGCGCGAGTCGCGCTCATGGCTGGGGACGCCAATGTCATCGAACAAACCGTGCAGCTGGCCGATGATAGTCGTGACCTGCTGAGCGAGGTAGCTCGTGTCCATGGTGGCTGCAGACCCGCCAGCGAGATGCAATGCTCAAACGCGCATGCAATAGATCCGCTTCCAGTGGGGCGTATAAAGTTTGCGCGAGGTAGGAGATGCGGTGTGATAGTGACGTGGTAGTGGATAGTGGTGGGGAAGCGGCAAGCAGAGCAAGAGGAGAAGGCGTGTAAACGAAGGTAATGGCTCCAAACAGGGCGCACTCTACTTGTATGCCAGAGACGACGCACGAAGCAATTCTTCTCCGTGTGTAGACACAAGACGAAAGTGATGCAATCGCTGGGGATGGGCCGCAGATCAGAGTGCAAGCGGGTGGTCATAGTGGTTTGCGCGACACTATTTTGGAACAGTACGCCAAGAACACGGTTGGCATAGCGACGTCCCGGGCGCGTCGGTATTGCGCGCCATCACGAGAACGCCTCGTTTCACACGATCGCCCTCCGCCACTCAGAGCCGCGGGGTAGGATGCGACGGCGCACGTCAACATGGATCATACTGGCATCTTGCATGTCAACATTAGCGATATCTGCCACTACTCGCTCATTGTACCCGGCTGCTTATACCCGTGCTATACATTGACCTACACTACATCTCTACGCGTTGCCCCGTTGCCTGGTCGCCTGGTCGCTTTTTAAACTTCGTCCAAAAGACCGTTACCCTCAGGTCATCTGTTCAATGCACTGCGGGATCCTCTCCGGCTTACTGCAGTCAATATATCATCGTGAAGATATTCTGGTAGTGGGCCGTCCATTTCCCTGTTTGTTATCCGTTGATAGTCCGGACCCAGAAAAGCATGCTGCATTGAGCTCAGCTCTGCCGGGAAGCGGCAGATGAGATTTCTTTTCTATACCCGTTGCTGTGTCGACCTACTATAGGCGCGTGCAACCTAACGTAATCCGTGTACTCCACAGGCCTCTCACAACCGGTTTCCTCCATGGCGGACAGCCGAAGAAGAAGCAATCCTCTCGTGTCCACGGAGTGTGTTCCGTGCCGACATGGTACTTACACCAGGGTAGAAAGGTGAGCGAGCCGCCTACTGTTGCACCGACCAACCACTACCAAGGTACATTTGCGTCAACAACCCAGATACATTGAGCTTTTGTCTCGAGGCAGCGCATACAAGGATGGGGTTATCGATGAGCATGACTCGAGAAGCTTCTTTATCTTATCAACCTACGACTGTTCACTTCGAACATCTAAACGTAGCCGTCCACCTACCACCCTTGACATCCATCACCTCAACACTCCCCTGTCCTTGCATCGTCTCTACAACAACATCCCCGCTCAACCCCCCATTCCCACTCATAACAACCCGCCCAGCACAATCCAACACCGGCACCCTAACCTCGCCCGTCGTCCCCTCCGGCGCCTCAAACTCGAGCATCACACTATCATTCAAGACTTGGGTCCTCGCACCAAAGAAGCCCAAACTCGTGCTGAACCCTGCGTCGGCAAACTTGAGATCACCGAGCGAAGGCGCAACACGCCACGTCGCTCCACCGGCAGTCAGTAACTGCATACCAGCTACGTATTGCGTCAAACTGGACGTAGGACCCGTTGCCCATCCATGTGCATGGCTGATGCGCGCGTCGTTGACGTAGGGCGCGTAGTGCAGTTCTCCAGTTGTACTGTATCCCTCGATAAAGGTAGAGTTTGTCATGCGCGGGTCGTCGAGCATGAAGCCCCATTGTAGACGCATCAACGCTAGTGCAGCGGTTGTGTTCTGCGCGAGGAAGTGGGATTGCAGTTCAAATCCTGAAATGAAGGGTGAGATTGCGTCTGCGGCTTCGGGCGCGGGCGCGCCATAAGGCGTCCATCGGGAAGCGAGGTTTGATGATATTTGACTCGTTTGCGTGCTGTTCACAGTGAGGTTTGCAACGACGGCCCAGGCGTTTCCGTCTTGCGGCATGAGGGTTGTGGTTTCGTTGTCGCGGTACATGCCTTGCTCTTCATCCCAGAGGAGTTCGTTGGCCGCGCTCTTGATGCGCTCGGCGGTTTCTTGCCACGAAGAGATGTTTGCGGTGTCGTTTAGAGCGCCGGCGAGGTAGATGCCTTGATTGATGGTGTAGTAGAGAATGGCGTTTGCTTCGATGTTGTGGCCGCCCATGCCGAAGCGGAGCCAGTCGTTGGGTGCGGTGACGTTCATCAAGCCTGTGTCGTCGATGTTTCCGAGGGAGAAGGACAAGGCGAACTTGTACTTGTCCCACAGAGAGGTCAGGTATTCAATGTCTCCCTAGTAGCGTCGGTTAACGAATGTTGGAGCTTAGAGAAAGAAAACTTACGGTGTAGAGGTAGTGGTCAGCAACACCAATTAAAGTGTACAAGTGGTATGTAAACGAGATAGCCTCGGGAGGGAAGGGCCGTCCAGCATATGGAAGCAGACCATTCGTCTCGTTCTGAACCGCGAAGAGCGAGTCCAATGCATTTTCAATGGAAATGACATCGTTTGTCGATACCACAACACCGGGAACAGCTATTGCCATGTCTGCAATCTCGTTAGCACTTGATCACTGCCGGGAGGAACAACAACCTACCGCCAGCCCACACAAGTCTATCCCTCTTCGCACCATCAACCAGCGCACTCTTGCCACTGGTGATGGTGTAGTTGTTATACCAAGTAACATTCACCGGAGTCTGATCATCGTCCTTTGAGTAGCCCTCTTCACCAATATGAACAAGCGCATCTCCAGTATCCGGTTCGATAGTACAGATCTGGTTCGTGTACGCGCCAGCGTACCATACGCGGTTGAGCAATCCATCGTCGCAATGGAAATGCCCCGTGTAATTCCCCAACGCATCATCCTCCCAATGCGGCATAGCAGTATAATGTACCTCGACACCTTGCACCTCCAAACTCCCTGTGCCGTTATGAACCAACGTCATATACCTAAACGCGCCTCTCACCTTCTCCTTGGGCGCCGTATACCTCCCTGTACCATTAACGTGGAACCAGAGTGTCTCGTCTTTTCCTGCATCGGCGGTTGCATCGCTGCTTCTGTTGCTGATCCATAACGACGACTCGGAGAAGGTGACGCCGATGTATTCTGAGGACGAGTTTACAGAACCGATTGTCACGGTGACGAGACCGGCGATGTTGATACCGAAGTCGTACGCTGTTGCTGCGTCGCCCGTGTAAACTGAACTGCCATTTCCACCGCTGCTCGTCAGGCTTTCAGGGTTGGTGACGGAGCCGTTCGAGCTGTGGACGGAGATGGGGTGAAGGGTTCGTGATTTGGGGGCGAGGATGTATTGTGAGTATGGGGTTGTTGCGAGTGCAACTGGTATGACAGCTGTCAAGCCAACCAAAGAGCTGGAGAGCTTCATCTTGAACTAGTATTCGGTGAAGCTTGGAATCCGAATCCTACATTTTTTGCACAAGCATTTGCTATTCAAGGCTTATGTACCTTCCTTCCCGTAGCTTCCGGTTCCCCATACGCCATGGCCATCTCGCCGTTCGATTCCCATACTTATTTGCCGACCTGAAGATCTTGAGGTTTCTTCGGACGAGTTCACACCGAGGTGACGACGTCGAGAGACAAGTCTCTTTCTTAATTAGGCTGCGGAGACTGACCGAGGCCCTGGTACGATCCTAGTCAATGCGGGGAAGCGAATCGTTTTTCTGCAACCAACTGCGGATCTTATGCATGTGGCTGACGCTAATGTGCAATTGCCCGAAGTAGTGGCGGCATATGCCAGATTCCTTGCAAGGTTGCCTCCACGTCCCGATGTCTTGCAGTAAATTCGGTGTCAGAAGAAGTAGCCTGAATCCTACATTCTCCCGAGTAGACTGGCCAGACTGTAGGAATTGCCATTGTATTAGGCTAGCATCGCCCCGTTGCCAAGCAAATGAGAATCACACCAGTTTTGTGCTGACATCTATACACGCCACGCCACCGCGCCTAAACTTCGGCTTATTCTTGCTAGTTGTATACACCAGCAGGATCCCCCATAACCATGCTAGCAAGAAAGTGTGGCAATCTTCTGGGTATACTGTTATAAGGGGATTAAAGACGTAGTTGCACATAATAGTCTCCAACCGTAGTACATGGACATCATTACTATATACCACCGTTGCGCCTGCATTTCAGCACACAGCACATTCACGGTAGCAACTACTATACACCAACCCCCCTAGTACCATCCCACAAAAACCACACGCACACATAATCCATAACACTACCCTCTCATCTACCTCTTCCCCTGCGGCAACATTCCCAGTAGCCTCTCCACCTCCACCGCCGCACTCCCCCCAGCCTTATCCCTAATCTCAACAAGCAACTCCCTATCCTTGGCCTTGAACGCCTCCTCTCCCGCTTTAACCATAAGTCCACACTTGATCCACATATCGACCCTCTCTCCCACCGTCAAACTCGTACATTTAGGAATAAACACACTCGCGACCCTAGTATTCCCTGCCCCCAGTATCTCACTGAAAAATGGCTCCCAACCAATAGGACTCTTCTTCTGCTTGGCGAATTCTTCGAGCTCGTTCCAGTGGCGTGCTGCCACGAGGGCGCGCAGACGGATGTACGTGTATGTTTTGTCGTTGATTTTGAATTCTGAGACGACTTTTGAAGCGCGCTTGTAGTGGCCCTGCCGAATGAGTTGGAAGATTGTTTCGTTTGCTGAAAGGCCGATGTAGGTTTGGCCTGGCAATGAGCCTGTGGGTGCGGGGTCTCGCGGCCCATTGAGTTCAGTTTCGAACTGCGTTTGGAGACGGAGCAGTTTGGCAGCATCATCGATGGCCTGGCGCTGGAAGACGGCTGTGCTGTCGCGAGAATCTTGGAGGTATTTAGATGCTAGCTTCAATTTGTCTTGTTGGGCGGTGTGGCTTTCCTGCGCGATGGCTTCGGATAGGAGGAGGTTCGAGCCGTCTAGTCTTCTATCGTCTTGGTAGTAGAGGTCCTTTAGTAGCTCGCGGTCTTGGTCCCAGGCTGACGACTCTACGAGAGCTGTAGCGACAGGTCGGCTGTTGATGACGCGGAAGAAGGACGCAAGAGGCAATTTCTTGCGCAGATGTAGGAGAACGTGAAAAATGAGATCGGTGTCGCCTGACTCGATAGCCTTGTCGAGTGCAATGGTATCTTCCTTCATGTTAAGTAGCAGCGGCACTTGCTTGCCAGCTCTAGGTTCATAGTTGAGTAGTTCTGTGGCCAGTCGCACACGACCTTCATCATACGCCGCTCGTGCGATCTCCTCGAATGATACACCGGGTTTTCCGTGTAATTTCTTGACTATAAGACTGCAGATCTCTTCCTCTGGATCCGTCGAGACGCGCACCTTCTGCTGCGCCCAGTGACCATGAATCTGGTTTGCTGGAAGATGCAAGTACTCAGCTATGCGCAATGCGAGAAGATATTCACTGCGGTTCGTGAGACGCTCAACAAGCTTCTCGGGCGTCATGCGTCGATATTGATCGTAACTGAGCGGCAGTCCAACTTCGTAGAAACGCACGGCGTTCAGAACTCGTAGTGTGTCGCACGTGTCGACAAAGTCGTCGGACGAATACAAGTCTAGTACAGACTTTCCGTACGAAGCCGCTTTCAATAGCGACTTCTGCCAGTGGATGTTGTATTCATGCGCCGCAGCTTTGACGCATGTGTCCACTGCCTCACCCAGACTCGGTCGTATTAGCTGTATGAGGTCGTCCGCTTTGGGGCTCTTCTGTTCAAGTAATGAAGATGCCTCTAGCAGATTTGCAGCAGGCGAATCCGAGCCTAGCCTGAAGACATCCACCGCCTCATCCGGCACCTTTTGTATGAACTCGCAGACATCGTTCGTCAGGAGTCGTATGCCATCTATGTCCGGTAACAAATGTACCCAAGTATCATAGTAGAACTTGGTCGCTGCGCTTCTGGGGCCGATCAGGTGTACCTCGTCTTCCCAAGCTAGTGCGACAGCATTCGATCCGCACCATTCCATATCTTTTGGTACTGTCTTGATCTTGCTGTCGTACTCGCTGAGCTTCTCACTCCAATCGCCACTAACAACCCAGACCTTCCCATCTTCTGTATAGAAAGCAAGGAATTCTGCGCGTGGACTAACGCTGATATGCCTGAAAGGTCCAGCATCGAAGTTGCGGTCTTCTGCCTCGGTCGCATCAACGACATACAGCGTTGACCCGATCGCCAGTATAACTTCGACCGACCGCGAGAGGGAGTACGCAGGTGGTATGATGCTCCATGATATGACAGGTTCGGTCGGGGGTATGGCGAGGAGTTTAGGACGCGGTTCGGTGTACGAGGTAACGGATATGAGGTGGTTGTTCCCTAGGAGCGCAACGAAACCAGTGCTGTAGAATTTGCAGGATACTACGCCGTGTTCGTCTGCGCCGTGGCCGAGTGTGAAGGGCACGAAATCGCCTTGGAGGTCATAGTAGCAGCGCACCGTTCCATCTGATGTGATGACCAGCAACTTCTCGTCTTCAGACCATCCCAGGCCCTTGATTGTACCCTTGTCCCACTGCTGTCCGTCAGTACCTAGTCCCATAACCGTTCCAAATGCACATGTGTATCTCATACGTTTATACTGCGAATCAGCTTGCCCGCGCAGCTGTAGATGTCGATGCTCGATTTGGACGCGCCAGGACCACGGTAGGTATGCAGCTTGTCCTCATCACGGTAGACAGCTGTAACAATCAGTCATCCTGATCACATGTTTGCGCAATCGTCGGCAGACGGTGGGACGTACCTACCTACAGCACCGCTATACGGCGCCCCCACCACATTGTAGTTCTCGAGCTCGAGATCCTGATCGAAGACAGCCTGGTAAAGCTGTACTTTCCTGTAAAACTTGTCACCGACCTTCTCCCAGTTGGCTGTTGGCTTGGACATGGTTGGTCGCGACTATCGGGGTATCATGGCGCGAAGTTGTCGGAGGCTTGGTGTGCCTGGATGGAGCTCTTCGTTGAGGTCATAGCTCTCACCCGCCGAGGCTGTCGCATCACATTATACTTCCAGCAAGGCTCATGGAGATTGATATGGCATTCTTGATTATTCTTGCTAACTATATACTGCTGTACTACTATCCTAGGGGTATTGTTGGCCCCATCTTTGAGGAAAACGCCGTCGCTCATGCATTCGTAACCAATTTCTGCGCCTTACCCTAGAAGCCCGATTTCTTTCCCAACCAAGTCGCATAATCAACGTCAAAAGTTCAACTTTACTCAATGTTCGCCAATGAGCTCAGCCAGGGTTTGGCGAAGACCGAACCGATCGTTGTCGCTGCCAACCTTTTTGCGGAACATGGCCAGATCTTGGAGGAACGCCTCTGCCTCATTGTGTAGCTCCTGCGCCAACTCATCATGGTCACCTTCATCGTAGCCCGAGTCCGAGTCACCATCACTGGCCTCATCATCTGGAACCGCTTTCTCTTCCCCATCTCCTCCATCTAGCCACTCTTCCTTGTCGAAGTCTGGCGTACCAAGCTCCCGTGGTGGAGGTAGGACGATAGGGTTCTTGAGCTCTCCTAAGGCGAGCTGGAGATGGCGGCGCAATGAGTCAATCTCTGCACGCAAGGCTACGTTGAGTGGGCGGAGCTCTTCCACTTCGGAAGTGAGCGCCTTGATCTTCGCTGCGGACGTGTGACGGTTCTCTTCCATGAGGCGTTGCATGAGTGCAACCTGCCTCTGGTACTCGTCCAGCTCCGTAGCCTCCTCCCTCTTGCGCTGACTGGCTGCATTGACACAGACCTGTAGGCTGCGGATCTGTTCTGACATCTCGGCAATCTGGGCGTCTCGTTGCGCAGCGGACATGCAATCCTGGTTGACCAAGGCACGTGTACGGATACGCTTTGCCTGGTCGGCATAACGTAGCGTGGAAAGAGTCTCGTCGTAGTCGGCTGGGGCAATGCAAGCAACCATGGCCGTCTTACTGTTACCGCCCAGAGAGTCTTTCAGCAGCCAAGTCAAGACCGAATCACGGTACGGCACAACCTCTCGTGGCCGTCGTCCCTTTGCACCATGTCTTCGCGGGTCTGCCAGAGCAGCGATGACGCGGCCGAGTGTGGTGAGGGATTTGTTTATCTGCGCTCCCTCCTTCAAGCGAGCTCCTGTGGCTTCTGTCGACTTGGCACGCTCAGAACCAGCGAGATCGACAAGACGCATGCGTGCTGTACGTTCGATGGTCTCGTCGGAGAGGAGTGAGTGGGTAATTTGCTTGAGGCGGATTGTGAAAACGGCATGGGATCGGGATGAGGTATCGTTCATCTTGGTAGATGCAGTTGTCCGGCTCTATACTGATGTTAGTATGTCATCTGGAGGGGCATGGGAAGGTTTGCCTACCATGTCGCCAATCTTCATCAAGCGCGCAACATCGGCATAGCTCTTGACTTCAGCTTCGGTCAGACCCTGCACGTAAACACCATCCTTTTGGCTCTCGCGGATCTTGAGATAGATTGGTGGAGTTGTCTTTGGGGTGAGCAGATCCCGTACATGCTCATTGTAGACCTCGAAGTAAGAGACCTGGACATGGTAATTGGTGTTGGGGGACGGTTCATGCGCGATTCGATCGAACAGCTCCTCGCAAGTTCGTGGAATCAAGCCTGGGTTGTCTGGTGTGCCCATCATTGTGTAACTCTTGCCGGATCCCGTCTGACCGTATGCGAATATACAGGTGTGGTATCCTGAAAAGTTGTGGTCGAGGAACTCCTCACCGAAGGAGCGGTAGACATCTTCTTGATGAGCATAATGCGGGTCGCTCTCGTCGTGGGACCAGTATGAGCGGTCGAATGTGAATTCCTTGTCGTCAAGAACACGACGTCCGTTGTTCTCGCCCTCTTCGGGCGCAAAGAGTGTCGTCTTCTGTGTCGCTGGGTCCATGCGGATCAAACATCTTGTGCCCTTCTCCTTTTCTGGTATATGTCAGTGTCTAGATGCATCAATTAGACATTGGCGACCTTACCTCTCGGTACAAAGGCTCTGCATCGCACCACAACCTTGACGTTGCCGGGGTCGTCGTTCATGGGCGCGGGTGGGTGTGAGAGAAACGAGGCTTCTGATGCGCGCATTGAAGGCGCCGAGGCAGTCGTGTGTAGTGGATACATTCTGTAGTCCAGGATACCGTCTAGTAAGTAGTAGCAAGAATTCAAGAGCTGCTGCGACCGGTGTATGTACAGCAGGTGCATAGGCGGTGTTGAGATGGTGCACGGATCGCTCTGCCCATGACTCGTGGGCCAATGTTTGGCCTCTGTCAACACGCGGTTGCCGTGTGCGATCGATAACACGTCACTGCCAAGCACCCCACACACGCGCCCGCCATCACAGCGCGACGCGACGAGACGAAAGGGGACGTTTAATAGCTTTCTAGCTTGTAGTCGGACGACACCATCTAAGACACTGTGAGTGCAGTTGAGGATAGTCTCTAGGTGCTTTCATGTGAATACATACAGTACTCCTTGCCTTCCGACAACACACACATACAAGCAGACAGGATCACCTGGGCAAAAGCAACGCCACGATGACTTGCACACCGCATCAATGTCCGGTGAAGTACTCTAGGCGCATGTAGTGTCAATCTTGGGTTTGAGCCTCGAGCGAAGGATCAGTGAGTATCCTGTCGGTCACCTCGGTAGCACCAACTACGCCTTCTATTCCAACGCCTTCTATACAGCACTTCGCGGCCAAAGAAGCTTTCTGTCGTCGATGTGGGAGGCTTGTTTTCAATGTTTGGAATTTTGCCATGACCCCATTTCTTATTGAGTGGATGATGGGACTGACGTTGTCAAGAATGCTGCTTCGGCCAGTTGTGTGTTGCGGTAGCGACTAAATTTTCCATCTGAAGTGGGCGCAAATTGTGACTGGTATCGACCCTGCAACGTGAACTCCAACAATACATGTAGCAATACTCAACCCATCCTGGTCCACACAGCGAAGCTTTGCTCACTTTTGAAGATCCAACAGGAGACCAGGCGCACGACGGCCGAGGACAAATAAAACCAGCAGACCCTGAAGTGCTTATCCTCGTCTCGCTTGACGAGCACACCATTGGGAACGGCCATCGCATACGCGAAAAAATCACGCGCCATCACCAGACATGGCTACGGCTGCGGTGCTGAGTCTCTTAGATGAGCACACCAGACAAGCAGCGTTTGAAGGTAGTCTAGCGAAATTGAAAGCCGCGCCGGGTGTCGACATCAATGCACTCGATATTTGCGTGCGACTATTACCCACCGAAAGCGCCCGTCAAGACGAGAGCGATATTCCGCAGCATGGTCAATTATGGGATAATTTCTTAGATTGTTTAGTCGACGAACGGACATCCCAAGACCTCTACGAGATCGCTGAAATATGCCATAGCCATGGGTCATATGCCGCCTCCCTCCTCAGCTCTAAACTCAATCACAGACTTTCTACTCTAGTTGAGGATCTTTCATCTAGCGATCCACATCCGGAGAGCCTCCACTGTGCGAAGGTTTATCTCGAATTTCTCAAGTGCTCATTTTGGATACCAACCGTGTATTCACACATGGTGGATCCTTGGACTCTCCCTCTTCTTTCAAATTTTATCGGCATCGACGGGCTCGATGATACGGCACACGATACCTTGTCCGCTTTCTTTTCCTTGTTGAAGAGTAAACGAGATGATTCGCTCGCCCATCTCGACAACATCGTGGATCAATCAATATGGGATCGACTCAATGCGCTCGACATGGAATGTTTTGCTGCTCGCTCTAGCAAGATCTACCGGACTTGGTTTCAATGGGTCTCGCTCGCTGCGTCCGGTGGTATCAAGTTCGAATGTGTAAGAGACGAAGAGTACTGGCGGAAGCTCAGACTGGGTCTTGTCAAAGGCCATGCGGATCAGCGCAAGTACTGCCTTGGTATCATCCGACAGTCTTTCCTCGCTACATCCAGCCCTATTGACATACCCACAATGCGATATGATGCTAGCAAAAACGACCGAGAACAATACGATTTGTACACGACTCTATTCGAGACGATCGTGCTGCATCGGTATTCTGGACAAGTCGAGGATTGCCTAAAATCCATGACTACACTTCTTGGATCTTCCTCGGCAACAATTCCCTCCAAGATTACACCCGCGATGTCCACAACTTTACTGACTGCAGCTTTGAACCCATTGATTCAAGAGAGCGTTAGGAAGATGATCGGCGGATGGTATATGGATTTCGTCATCGAAGTAGGTAACATTCCCTATCCTCTCAGTGGTCAGTACTAGTCGTTAGAATTCTATCAGCTGTGCAACAATGTACCGGCTGTGCACAGAGCACAAGAAGACTAAGGTGTCTCTTGTGTAGACTAGCTTGAATTATGCTGACCTTCACCCCGCAGCGCCGTGGTGACTTGAATGGTCACATCAACTTTCTATTTGACGGATTTCTCCCTTGGGCAATTGATGGCGGTCTCTTTACGTCAACGCTTACTGCTACACGATCATCGACAACGTGCGCTCACGGAGAAAGACTTGCTGCTGTCATCTCACACTTCGTATCCGACACGGAAGACAGTCCATCCTTTGTCCCTTCAGTCGATTACAACGTTTCCGAAGTTGAAGTGGATAATCGCAATGGCCGCGCAATCATCCTCGGCGTTGTTCGCTATATCATGAACGCCAGCGGCAGATTATTTCAACCAGCAATATTGTATCTACTGCACGGCCTCATCGAAGGCCTGAAGGTGCGGTACGAGCGAGTTTCATCGCATCATAAGCTTGATATCTCGGAGATCACCGAGATTCTTAGCTTGTCGCGACTGCCCGGAATGCCTGAGGTAGCAAGCGACTTGCACAGCATTCACTGTCGAAAGCTCTGCGATCTTCTCGATTCTGGTCTAGAGGCGAAGGACATACCCACCGACGAAACTTTACGCGCAAAATGCCAGAAGCTAGAGAACCCAGTGGATCAGTCTGCATTACCAGCATCGTTCGACAAGAGTGATACCGGGTCGCCCTCTATTCAGTCTTTCTTGAAAGACCTCCACGAATCGAAACATAGCTGCATACAGGGCCCATCCTTCGCGCCGGCTTGTAAGAGCATGATCGAGCTCCTCGACCGGACAGAAGTAGTGAGCGTCGATCCCAATGATCTGCACACCATATTGGCAGCACTATGGGAAGAGGCAGAGATTCGCGACTTCATCAGACCATTTGCTGTGCATCTGCCACCCTTGCTGTTCCATCCCACATGCATTCAAGTTTGTGCCGCGAACAGCCAAGGAGAGGATGGTTCGGAGTCAGACCTCACTGTTCTCCTATCTAAAGCCATGTTGCGTCTTACGAAGCTGTCCAAGGGAAGATCCTATGTTCTAGCAGTATTTGCCCAAACATTACGCAAAGCTGCATTTGCAAACCCATCAATAATCTCAATACTTCCCTTCGAAGACTATATTCTTGACTTCGTCAACGATCCGGCATCTATTAGACCGGAGTTCTTGTTCGAGGTTGCCGCTGCCGATAAGCTTCAGCGATATCTACCGCATCGGACATACGCCTCGTATTACGGCATGCGAGAATGGCACGCATATGCGGCTGTCATAGATTTGTTACGGCGTTGTCCGGAAGAGCAAATAAGCGCTGCTCAAAGAATACTGGATCAATTGCTACAGCCCTGGAGAAGCCAGAAACCACCAGTCGCCGTCAAAAGCCCATGGAAGAAGACGTTCCAGCTACAAGCGATGCTGGTAATGACTCACTATTGTGTAACGGAATCCGACGTGGATGCGTACCTCGATGGTCTTACACACGCCCTGTCGTTAGAATCATGGCCGCGATACCGCTATTTGCTCGAATGGACCATTGCTCGCATCTACCGTCGATTTCCAGGAAAATCTTTGCGCATTGTGGAAGAGCTTGGAAATTTGGAAGAGTACAGCCCTGTACACATTGCTAGTCTGATCAAACTTGGTCTTCTCGTCGCACCATACGAGTCTCAGGACTTTGCCGTCAAGCTCATTACTGAACTGAACGCTTACTCTGCCAGTCCTAAGGTACAGATCCGCCACGAAGCGAACTTTGCGTTCCCACTAGTCTTTGATCTAGCCGTCAATAAAAATTGGAAAGATATCATTGAGAGCCCTGCGTTCGCAGGTATGAACGCTTTCATTCGCCGATTGGACAAGTTCAATGCATCGCCTTGGACGATAAGAACACTGAAAGTCGACATTGAACAGGACTACACTCTTGCAGGTATATTCCAAGGACGATATCTCTCAATCGAAACACCAGAAGAGGAGCTCGTAACGCACGAGGACTTTGAGACACTCGAGAGTGAAGACAAATCAGACCATGTAAACCAGCCATCTGCGCGCATACAGCTCGGAAAAATGACCACAAATCGTTTCGACATCACCACACCAGCTATATCGATCCCGGCCGTCTCCGCCTTAGAACCTGCCGGCCAAATAACCCTCCAAACCAAAGCCGGTATCGACCTAGATAATCTCCACCTTCCTGGCGGACCACCCAGCACCCAAAACCAACGTCCCGCCTCCGTTATGCTCATTGCCTCTTTAATAGATAACCCCACGAACCTCGGTGGCCTTTCCCGTATATCCGAGTCTTTCGGGCTCGAAGCTCTTTACATCGATGACCTCAAGAAAGTCGTGCAAAAGGACTTTAAGGCTACCAGTGTGCGGTCAGAGAAGCACTTGTCTATCAAGGAGTTGAAGGAGGTGAGTGTACCGGCGTTCTTACTTGATGCTAAGAGTAAGGGGTACGAGGTTGTGGGTATTGAGCAGACGGACCGTAGTGGTATTTTGGGTACTGAGGATGATAAGAATGATGTGATGGATGGGAACGGGGAAGATGGAGGGAAATTCAGGAGCCAGGATACTGGTACGCTACCGAAGAAGTGCTGTTTAGTGCTCGGTAGTGAGAAGGAAGGGATTTCAGCGGAGGTGCTGGCTGTTATCGATCGTAATGTTGAGATTAAGACTGTGGGTGTTACTAGGAGTTTGAGTAAGTTTTGACTCTGCTAATACCTTTGGGCTACTTCAAGAGTTTTGTGCTAATTTGTATACAACAGATGTTCAAACCGCAGGTGGCATTGCGCTATACGAGTGGTGGAGAGAATGGGGCCGCAAGGCCTAACACAGGCAGAGTCACTTGTATTTGCTACGCAGCTCTTGCTTTTCGCCTGAACTTTACACGTCATAGCTTACTCAAAACCGCCTTCCGCATTTACACACTCTGATTGTTGATATACTGCTCCAACCCCTCTAGGCGCTAAGCCGAGAATGCGCTAGCGCTTACTTAGTAAGGCGAGCTTCTTATATGGCTACAAACCTCGAAATAAGCAGTAGCTAGTAGAAGAGGCTATGTCATTGCAGGAAGCGAAATCAAGAGAGGTTAGATTGTAGAAAACACTTCCCTAAGACTTTGATCTACAAGCTCTAGTCTCGCTTCGATATTCTTCCGTCTACCAAGTGCCAAGAGACCGTGCGTGAACATGCTCTAAATCCAATTCCCACCAATCCTGAGCTCAACCCTTGGAGCTTCCATTGAGGTTGACGGAAGATTCAGCAAATTGTATCGTTCAAACTTTATGACCCACTATGTCCACCTGCGCATGTCATCGGCACCTGAGCGTGAGTGAAGATCAAATTACTAGTGTAGGAAGCGCTAGTAGATCCTAACCGAAGTCAGCTATCTATATAACATACCGCACTCTGGACAGACAGTACCGCGTCTCTTAGTCGTCGATCGTCGATCGACAACAGAGTCTCTGTTTTCTGCTTATACTCTTCTTGCTTGGCAGCCTCTTTTTATTCCTCTGCCAAAAGTCAACATGCGCACATTCCTCCCGATTCTAGCAGGACTTGCTGCAGCAGCCAGCGGCCTTCATTTGCCTGCTGCTCACAAGGACAGTTTGGAGGTGCGCCAGAATACAGAATATACTGGCTATCTGGTGTCGACTTTCAGCGACCAAAACCCCCAAGTCCAATGGCATCTTTCCAACGGCGAGAGTCTCACGGGTTCTAGATTCCTTAATAAAGGTAGATCGATTTTGGCGTCTACTGTTGGTACACGAGGCGTTCGGGATATTTTCCTCACTACCAATTCTGCTAGATCGGAATTTTTCCTGATCGCAACTGGTAAGTGGCCTTTACTGTACAGGACGCATAGTCTCCCGGCTCTGACATAGGTGTGTAGACCTCGACATAAATGCAGCTGGGTTCAACTGGGATGTGGCGACCAGGCATGGAAGCCGCGGTCTTGTGATCTGGAGCTCAAAAAATCTGGTAGACTGGTCTGCTTCTAAGCTCGTAACGTACGATTCGTTTCATAAAACCTTCCTGGCATTACTGATCAGAATTGCAGTGTAGAATCCGATACAGCCGGCATGACGTGGGCGCCATCAGCCGTCTGGAATGACAAGGAGAAGCAGTACTATGTTTTCTGGGCCTCTCGTCATTATGATGCTGGTGATACAGACCACAAGGGCGTGGCGGGACTTGACCGTATCCGCTACGCTACCACCAAAGACTTCCGATCCTTCAGCAAGCCCCAGGACTACCTCGCCATACCCGGCACGCCGCTGATCGACCAGGAGTTCCAGTACCTTGGCCAACCCGGACACTACGCTCGTTTCCTAAAGAACGAAACCGTTAACCAAGTCTACCAAGAGACAACGACCAACGGCCTCTTCGGTACTTGGAAACGCATTCCAAGGGTACGTCCGCCCTGAGAGTCCAACCGAAGGACCTGCATCATTTATGGACATTCGTAAACCTGGCTTGTATCATCTGTTGCTTGATAATTATACGGAATATGTCCCTTTCCAGACATCAAGCATTCTTCAGCCTCGATGGGAGCAGTCACCCGGTGGCTTCGCACAGGGTCTCAAGCATGGAAGCGTTACGCCTTTGACTAAGAAGGAGTACGATGCTGTTGCTAAGAAATGGCTTATATAGTAGATGTCACGTAGCGATTCTACACAAGTGGAGTGATGCGCATTCGTATATAGGTGTAAATAAGCTGAATGCTTTCAGCATCAACTTCGTACGTACTAAATTCTTGGAGACGAAGAGTATCTTCGCAATCCATTAGTGTGTCTAAAGTAGGCACTGAACGTGATGCTATGCGAATCCAGTAACGATGATATCACATCGATATCCTATATAGGTGACACCTAAGTCTACACTAAACTTACACCCCCTGCGGTTTCTCATCAGAGTCCTTTACTCGACTGAGAAGCGATATTCAATACTGGATTACGAGTCATAGTAGTTTACTTCTCTTAAGTCCGATTCAATCTATTAGTTAAAACAATCACTGGACCTCATTATGCCGGTCACATGTATATTATAATTCTTGGTATCCTTTAGGCGTCCTGCAAAGGCTACAGCAAACGATTTGGATATAAGTATGTACAACCTCAGAAATATGATATAGAGGTAAAAGTATTTAACAAGAAGATACTTAACATCGCACGCCCTCTCAGCAGCTTAACGGGCTTGTTCAAGGGCATGACCAGAGGGTTAAACCAATGATAACCAGCCCGAGTAGCATTCCTTGCTTAATAGGCAACCGGCCAGCCGTTTTCGTAGCGAAGAAGGTTAATACCTAACTGAGCCTGACCATCAGATTGCCTGTAGTAATGGTAGACGAGTACGTCGGCGTCGGTGTCTCTGAAAACAGTGTTATGGCCAGGTCCGCGAATGGCGCCATGTGATGCCAGCACCAGCGTGCCGCCGCCTGACATCATCTGCCTACCGTCGCGGTCTACGTAAGGACCCTGAACGTTAGTAGATCGTCCAACCCTGATATTGTAGGTGCTGGCAGCAGCCTGGCAACACCTATCAAAAGATACCCAGAGATAGTAGAAGTTGCCATTGCGAACGATGACGGGTGCTTCTATGGCGCCGCCGGATCCGCGACTGGCGATATCGACCATGTTGCTGCCGGAGCGCATGCCGGTGCTTGGATTGATGGAAATCAACTTGAGACCATTTCCAAACGAACCGAATGATAGCCACCACCTGCCCTCAGCGTCGACGATCAAGTTGGGGTCGATGGCGTTGTATGCACTGTTCGCAGTGGTCTCGATCACAACACCGCGGTTCGTCCACGATCCGGCAGCACCCGTGGTGCTTGTGGCCAAGAAGATTGCGGACCTGCGAGATCCAAAGGTCGAGGCAGAGTAGTATAGATAGTACTGGCCATTGTGGTACGAAAGGTCTGGAGCCCAGAGATTTTCGTTAGTGGCGCCCGTGTACGGTTGTGTCCACGGGGCATTTGCGTTGTTCCATACAAGACCGGCATCGCGCCAGACGGTGCGGTCGGTAGAGGTCTTGAGTGCAATGCCTGGTGCTGTGTAGGCCATGATGTAACTACCGCTCGGCGTCTTGACCACTGTCGGGTCGTGAGCGAAAGTGCTCCCAGAGACCGCACCTGGGCCAGGATAGTTCTGTCCATTGACGCCAGGCGCCATGGACAGGGCGGCAAACGCGCCTCCGAGAAGAACTTTGAACAAGGAAAACATATCGAAAAAATATCAGGATCGAATTGAATCTGCTGTCTGGATTGAACAGTGAGTGCAACTCACCGTTCCTTTATCAGGAAATCTCATGGCCAACCTACAAATTCGAGCCTTGCGGAGGAATTTACTCTTCTCCGTTTTAGGGTTATATTAACAAAGCACCAGCTGCTTGGCCTGTATCAGGAAAGTGGCTAGCATGACTACCTCCAGCGCATCTCGTACGTCGTATCCAATTAGATTAGAACAAGCTACGGCAGTTCTACCCCAGCATGTACCCCAGAGCAGTGAACAAGCCGGACGCCAAGCAAGCATGTGGCGAGTGAGCCTATAAAAGCTCCGAGTGGCATCATCCCCTAATGTTACTAGCAAGAGTCAATAGATGCCAAGCCGGCACCGGCTCTTCTGTGATTCGACGCAGCCTTTACCGGAACATCTTTTCCCCACCAGCCACGACTTGGTCTACACCCATACTGGTCAGTACTCATTGTTTCAAGGACATGATTTCTAAGAGCTACTCAGAGTCGTACTAAAGTTGCTGCATGACTCTCACCTATCAACGCCTTGATCATGAGGCTTCCAAAACGCACGAGACTCATGACTTTTGGTCTCAATGACTCAAGCGAAGGAGTATTCAAATACAGCTGTACACACTGCACGCGAGGTGCCTTCGGAAAAATATGGACCTCTCCAAGAAGAAGTGGTAAGAACGAGGTAAACAAACTCTCATCCGGCCTCTCCGGCTGATATAAGCACTAATACAAAGTCTTCAACTACGGACTTGCCAAGTTTAATCACTTCCAAGACAACAATTCTTGATGATTACTTACTATCTTTAGGCGGAGTCCACATATTTCCGAAACGAAAGCAGAAGGTGTTCAGGTACGCGCCTGCATTAAGATCATTATACAGCGTTACGAATAGCGTTGTGCCTGCATTTCAGCACCAACACGTTCATCAGATGATTACCTATTACGCGTCGCTTCAACAGCGTTATCGCCAGTTACTCAAAAACCTTCTTCCACACCCACAGACTCCTACTGTTAGTATAAGCCTTCAACCCCTCCACCCCCCACGCCATTCCTACCCCACTCTCCTTCCACCCCCCATATGGCACCTTAGGGTCAACATCAAAATGTGAATTCACCCACACACTCCCTGCCTCCAATCTTCTCGCCATTCTTTCCGCGCGCTCCAGATCTTTACTCCAAACCGAAGCGCCCAACCCCGTTTTGAGCGCATTCGCTCGATCAATGACGCCGTCTTCGTCGCTCCATTTTAGTAAGGGGACGATGGGACCGAAGGGTTCTTCTTGGACGATTCGGGAGTTTTCCGGTGGGTTGTCGATGATGGCGGGGGTGATGAAGTAGCCGTTGGGGGAAGAGGTGGCGGAACCTGCTAGGGCGGTAGTCCAGTGCTGGGCAGAGATCTGGTCGTACATGTCTTTGACTTTGTCGAATCTGGCTTGGTTAAATTCTGTACTGTCGCTGACGATTTGAGGAGAGGGGGATGGTTGCGTACTGCATCTTATTTTGCACAGGTCCCACGACCACACCATCCTCCGTACCAGCACCAGTCTTGATATTGCTCTTTGTGAACTCAACCATCTTATCACGGAAGGTGTCGTAGATGCTTTCGTGGATGTAGATACGCTTCGTTAACATGCAGATCTGACCTGAGTTGAGGAAACTCAGCGTAGCAATCTTAGGCAGGCATTTGTCGATATCGACGTCTTCGCACACGATCGCCGCGTCATTGCCACCTAGTTCCAAAACGTACCGCTTCAACGTCTTCGCACAGGATGCTGCGACCAGTTTCCCTGTAGCTATCGATCCAGTGAAGGCGATCTTGTCGATACCGGGGTGTTCAGTTATCCATGGACCAAGGTTGTCGTCTCCACTGAGTACCTGCACGACTCCTGGTGGGAATACTGTCGTAGCCAGTTCACCGAGCTTGAGGTCGCAATATGGCGTGTATGGTGATGGCTTCATGATGAACGTGTTTCCAGTAATCAGCGCTGGACCTAACTTTCCTATGCCCAGCAAGACGGGCCAGTTCCAGGGCACGATACCAGCGCATACGCCGATGGGTGGATGAGTTGAGTAAACAATCTTCTCGTCGTCCTCTTGCAGGACCTCGTCTTTAATCTCCATGGTGGCGAAGGCGCGTAACCACGTTAATGTCTTATCAAGCTCAGATTTCGATAGTGACAGCGGCTTGCCTTGCTCCTGGGTGAGAAGCTGCTCAAGGTCATCGCGGTGATGTTCTATGGTATCCGCATATTTGAGGAGTAAATTTGCTCGCTCAGAGAAGGGCGTTGTGCTCCATGTCTGGAATGCTTTACGTGCTGCGTACACGGCGGCATCTAGATCTTCTTTCCTGGCTACTGGCACTTCGTAGAGTGGTTGGCTGGTGGCTGGGTCGATGGAATGTCGCGTCTTAGCAGTTGGGATAAGCTGGTTGTTAATGATGTTGCCTAGGTAAGTCTGCGTGTCGAATTTGGACGCCATCGTGAGTCGTGCTTTCACTATCGCTTAGACCTTGACTTCAACCGGTGACAAAAGGGTTGCATTGCAACGATGCTATTATATCTGCGACAGCTGACGCCAAGTACTGAAGGCGCTGTCTCGAAAGTGGGGTGACCATTGTACAGACGCGGGGTAAGTGGTCCAATACGAGGAATATTCAGCCGCATATGTTCGGAGATCATCTGAGCTGTAGAGATAGCATTGTGTTCATGGCGTTCGCTCGATGGTGAAGTAATTCTGGCTCGGATATCCACGATAGTGTGGGTTAATAGTGTGCACGGATCCTCAAGTTTGGACGTGGGACGCGGGACGCGTCCACACGTCTTGAACCACGCTCCAACCTCATCCACTTCCATGGCCAATGCCACTCCGCGGCATCACCCGTACCTTCGCAAGGACAAGTGCAGGGACATGCTGGGCTTAGCTTCACCTCTATGGAGATCTTGGACAAGCCATGTGTCGGCTGAGGCATGCTTTCCCCGCCAAGCATCGTGAAACGGCTATCAAACCCATCCTCTCCCGCACGACTTGATGATACCCCTACTTCGTTCCAAGATCGCCCAGACAAGCCCAGCTGTCACTCGTCCTCTTGTACCTACAAGTTTCAATTAAGCTCTACGTTCCCCCGCTTAAGCCTCCTCTCACCGTGCATTGAAGCTCGTACAAGCATTCAACCGCCGCAAGGTCGAACGCCAAGATGTATCTGTCACGATTGCTGAAACTGGGCTCTCCGTACTACCCGTCCAGGACAACATAGATATAATGGCGATATGGTCCACAGTAAGTCGATAATGAATGGAACCTGACTATCTACTCAAAATGCCTTTCATGCACTCCAAGGGTGCGACGACGCTCGGCCACACATTTAGGTGAGTACCATCATTGCTTTCAGATTCATCAAGCTGAACCGCTAACTAGAGACAGAAATTTTGACCAGACGATAATCACAGTAAAAGTTGGTGGAAAGGACTACCCTGAGTCTTTCAGCTGCCATCGCGAACTTCTGCGACGATGCTCACCATACTTCAACACATGTCTAGAGGAGAAGAGCGACTCACCATACGAGAAATCGGGTACCACACTTGAGCTTGACGACACTAGCCCCGATGTGTTCGACGCCTTCATGCTATGGCTATACACAGGCTTCATCCCGCATCACCTCATCGAAGGCGGGAAGGAGGTGCACCCTCCAACACATGCCGTCAATGTCAATGGAGGCGACAGCACGAACACCATCGAGCAGACCGAGAGTGATGACGTGGACACTGCCTCCTGGGGCATCGCTCTAGAGGCCGATGATACAGAATCAGATACCTCACCAGCCAACGCCGAACCAGCAGCCAGCCCTGCACCTAGTACGGAGAAAGTGCCTGGCGACGCCGAACCCGAAAAGGCTGCCGTAGTACCGCCTCCACGAAACCCCGCCGAGAAGCCCGAGATACCAAAAGAGACACTATGCCCATGCTGCTCAAGACCATACAAGTGGAGAGGATTGGAAGGCTTCCTAGAGCGCCGGTTCATATCACTCTACGTCTTCGCACACCGCTACGCCATCCCAAAGCTACGCCGCGCCGTTATTCTAGCATGGCAAACGAACGACGAGATCCTACAAGTCATGCCCGACCATAGCAATGTCATCGCCGCCTACGAAAGCCTCCCACCAGACGCACCGCTGTGCCGATACTTCCTTGATATGTACTCCGTGTACTGGAACCCCGATCGCGACGACGAGCGCACGATAGCTCTGCGGAGTCAGCTTCCGCAAGCTTTCTTATTCGAACTGGTGACAATGTTGGCAAGGGGCGAGAGGCCCAAGATGGAGAAGGAATGGTGCGAGTTCCATGAGCATGAGAGTGAGGAAGAGAAGAAAGCTTGTCTGGATGACTTGGCCAAGGATCCTATTGCGAGCAAAGCGCTTAGGCGGATCAAGGATAGCAAGGGCTGGAAGGGCTTGGTACTCAAGAAGGGCAAGAGATGATGATGCTATGGAAACCATGTCCACGCTTCTCATCTGGTATGGCATGGCGTTTTGGAGCTTTATAACACCAGTCAATCTGGTGAAGCAATCGCAACACGTTCACTGTTCTCAACTCTTCGCACTTTCGAATAACCGGCCTCCCTTGATTGTGCTTCGTCCCAAGTCACTAACGTTCGTGTTCCCTCCAGCTCCATGAACCTACCACCACAACCAAGGTGCTGTTCGAGGATCAGTCAGCCTTGTCGTCAAGAAAGGTAATCTGGGAGGACGAACTGGGGGCCGCGCACCGACACGTTTTGTGTTCCCCCCAGCGAAAACGATAAAGTAATTTCTAGGCTGACCGGTCAAGTATCTAGGTTCTTATCGGTGCGTTTTAGAATGGTCAGTACATGATTGGCTTGAGTGTTACATCTACCACCCCGCGGAACCACACCAGACAATTCCCATATGGTCACAGGAGCGGTAGCGGAATGGAAATCGAGCGATCTGCCTTGTTTTGTCCCCGCAAGGGGTGGCTGCCAATACAAACGGTGCAAGGCTGAAATCCAATCTTGTTCCCTGGCCCCCGCACTACAACCGCCACCGTTTAGAACATCACAAGGCTGAAACCACGATGGTGAACGAGGTTGTAGTGGTGCGCTTTATACTGAAGATGGTTCGCCCTTTGAGAACCTCGGCCTTCTGTCAACTTCCAACTTACTGCGAGCGATTGCAGTCTCGCCTACGCTCCGGTGAACGCGTGTCCTGTTCGCCATCCAACCGGCATGAGTTCCCCAGGTTACAGCGCACTGCATGTGCCTAACAATTGTGCTTGGGAGCTGGAAGAATATGAGTCTGAGTACCGGTAAGTTACATTCTGCGAGATGACCCAGCTTCGCGGCTAACAATCGTAGACCGCATGAATTCAATACGGAGGTCTCCTTGACGGTGGAAATAAAAACCTGACCGCGATTGGTGTATCTTGCACCTCGAGTAGCAGTGTAGGCTCGGCGGACGTTGACGGTGTGCGCTCTACTCACTCCAACTTCGAGCGGAGCGATACCCTGATGCCTTCTCGAAGAGATGATTGTGCGAAACGTTTTGGAGCAGAGACACTTGCGTGCACCCTCGACATCAACAATGACGGTTGGCTAAAGTGGCTGTTTGATTCGATTGGTCTACCGTCACCCCTTGACTCATCCACTGCAGAGGGTGCCAGTAACATTCTTGGCTCCATGAGGTATAATTACCAGCTCGAGTATCTACAAGCCGACCAGCTTCGACAAGTTCTGCTACAGACTTACTCCACCTACGCTATCAAACTCATGTACAACGATGGCCGAGACTTCATCGGACTCAATAAAACCCGCCTCAAGTCACACGTGCCTGACATCACGGCCTTTATCGCTGATACCGTAATCGAGCTGGGCGTCATGCCAGCCGTTGTTCCTGTTGCCTTGTTTGGACTATGGGCCTTGATCAGTTCAGGCCTCTGCCTCGTCTATGGATTCAGGCGACGCTGGAGCGCGATCCTCGACGGGCATACAGTCTTCAGGCTTGGCGTTGGGTTGCAGGAGGCATACCGGGCGAAGCTTCAGCAATATTCTACAATCGGCGAGATTGAAGAGTGTTCTACGCTGCACGAGATCCCGGGGTTCGTGAGTGACATGGACTTCAACGACAACGTGGGAGAAATCGGACTTGTGGATGGAAAGCCTGCACGAAAGGACAAGCTTTACCAGTGATGAGTAGTGAACAATCTCTGGAGTATCTCAACCATGGTATCCTTAAATATAAACGCACAGCCGCAATGCGAACCATGGGACAGTCTAGTAGATGCCGATACGGTACACTTCATTTGCATGCGTCGTGTTCGCGATAGTATAGCGTTCTAGAGTACGATAATACTAGCTATCCTAGTCACGGTATTAGTAATACTTTTACTATTTCTAGCTCTTCGCACCCTCTTACTTGCGAATTGTGACTCTCTAACAATTATGCTTTTTCCAAGCCGCTAAAGCTCGTGTTTCCCCAGCTTCATCAGCAAGCTGAAGAATGCGGGGAAGCAACACGACGTCTCATGACCAGACCGAGGTTCATCACGAGATTCCCGACTCTTCCATTCTCACTAAATTTACTTCGTGGCGTTCGTTTCTATCAGTTAGCTACCAGCAGCATCATACGGTGTGGCGAAGGCCAGTATTTTTACGCTACTACTTGCGAGTCTGAAGCTATTGCTTGGCAACTACAACTGTCTTGCAGTACGGGGCCAAGAGGTCTTGTAAGACCACGATAATGTATGTTTATGTGTGTATGTCGTGTCAGCTGAGATATTGGCTACGGCCAGTCTCACAGATTTCGTCCTTGTGCTGAAAATAGGTTCTTGGTGGTGAGGCAATGCAACGAGCAGAAGAAGACACTGAAGTAAAGACTTCACAGCTGCAACCGTAAACTTGAGATATAAAAGTTGGCTTCCATTCCGCCTATTAGCTTTCATTCGCACCACACATCATCAAATATCAACAACTACATCAATCATCTCGTCCAAGGTTAAGACCATCATCATGAAGACCTTTACCATCGCCATAGTTTCTTCCATCATCACCCTTACCACTGCTCTCTCGCCACCCTACGAACCCACTTGCGAGACATGCGTCTACACACCCAACGAAAACAAGTGCGACATCACCACATCCTGCACGTATGTCTGGGGTCACCAAGACCCGCATACACCCGGTCCATACTACTGCGCTTGTCGCCATGGATACCGTATGTCTCTCTCTTCCTCCATTCTACTTCTTTTGTATCAAGCATTTGATGTCAAATATACTAACACACCCCAACAGGTGCGACGGGATATGAAGCCAACGATATGGAGGTCCAATGGCGACTCCCCTGGTACGGTACGCCAAGTGGCGACCCGAGCCAGGAAGGCAGGGTGTTTGTAAAGCCTGGGGTTGAGTGTAATACTCTCTGTGATGATTGGTATCTTGGGAAAGACGGGTGCAAGGCTGTGCAGGAGAAGGAGTGGTGCATGTAGGAAAGAGTATCCGTAGTTTCTAGGTAGGGTTCATTAATGAGTACGATCTTGTTGCGAAGCTCTCTCGGAGACATATTTTATTTTTTGCCCTAATAGATGCCTCAGCGCTTTCCTTGAGGGTTAAACTGGTATTAAGCATCAACATCGCTTCGGCAGCAGCTTGTTGTGGAGCAGCAGTGCATGAACTGGATTGTCCATTACACTTTTGTACTCAGCCTCGGATAGTGTGGGTTCTCCATATTGTGGGTTCTTTTGCAAGAAGTATTCGACTGATCTTCCACATCGATGGACTTTGCCTTCCACATATGCTAGAGATAGCGCCCATTCCCTGCCGAAAGTCTCGTAGAATCCAGCCGGTGACACGAAACCAGTACGTTTCCGTTTAGAAACGAGTCTTACTCGCTTGAAGCTTGTCAGATCTTCTCTCTCCTGCTCAGGAAGGTTGTCATAGTCTCCTTTACGATTACTGGTAACAGAATCCTCTTGTAGGAGAGTTGGTCATCGAGCGTGCCGACTCTTCTGCGGAGGAACAGATTGTAGCTGAGCTTCATCATCCTAACCACAATGATCCTCCGGAACCACGTTCCACATTTTTTACATTGTATATCAGAATCCTTGGAGCAACCTGATGGTGTCTGGCGACCCGGACAGGTAGTGTCACTGTTATCGCCGTCACTTTCACAATCTTGACTGAAGGTGAAACTCATCTCAACACGTTGCTCAGACGAGAATGCACACTGCCACGGCTGTGACTGCTCAACATCTTTTCCAGTACTTCTAATTTGTAGTGCATATTCCCGCTGCTTCATTTTCAGGTACCCATGCCTATTGTGAAAGCGTCCTTCGAGCACGAAGTTAAAGGCATCCCAGGAAATGATAAACTGCAGATGTACAGGTGCAATGCGACCAATAGGGTCCTCTAAGATCATCGGCTCCTCAATAAGTACTCGTTCCAGTTAGCCAGGAAGTGCAGTCTCTAAGCGGATTACAGCTCAGTAGGTGGCAAAGTTTACCGCCATCACACCTTGCATCATGTCTTTGAGCTCAGAGCCCAATTTAAGAATCCAGTCGAACTTGAGTGCTTCCGACACCTTCACCAAGATTGAACTGCAGGTTTTGATGTTGTTGGTAGCGTCTCTAATGCCGTATTTGATGTTGTTGAGTGCTACATCATGTGAGAGAATGGTGGTGTCGTGTATGAGCTTCGCTTCGTCGAGTTTATCATTCGTCTCTTTTCGATTAACGCCTAAAAGCGTGCTATACTTTATCAGTTTGGAGCCTGCTGACAAGCAAAGCGTACCGTTTACAAGTTCACAGTTGCTAATAATGTCTGAAGCGATAAGCTAGCGCCTAGTATCTCTGCATGAAATCGCTGAAGAGCCTCTTTCTCTCTAATTCGCCATCGAATGCCCATCGTGATCCCTTTGAGCTTATTCGGTCGATGGGACTCGTCGAATGTAGTATGGTATCTCCGAATTCGTTCCAGAAAGCCGTGGCCCAAACTACTACATCTAGCTACGACTTGTCTTGCTGTTTTGCACAGACTGGGCAACTCGGATGTGGTAACCATCTGTTGAATGACATGCTGATTCACTAGATTGATAGTATCGTCCAATGTCTTGATGGCTTGCAGGGCAGCTTGATATTCTGCTTTGGAGCCGCGAGCCTCATCGAGCGTTGCGATCAGATCTTTCACCAACAAAGCGACTGAGATCATGTCTCCTACGGCCCCGAAAGTTATTGGCATAATGGAAGTTATATTGAAATGTGTTTGATGACTCTGAGGATGAGGAAGGTGAAAGGGCTACGCTATCCCGCTGGAAATGTTGTTGGAAGTGATGCAACGGGGCTTAGTCGCTAAGCTTCCACAAGGCCCAATGAGTAACGAATCGCACATAACCTCACTACAAGGATGGAACTCTGAACTCATGCATCATATATGGGGTAAGAAGACATCCCGCCATTGGAAACATCTCACTACGACTCGTGACCACTATCAGCATCTGGTTTTCTTTCCTCCGTACGCACCTTGAAGCGATCGGTTTTCTCGTCCGCCCAGTGTGGACGCGCATCGAACGCGAACTGCAGAATCTCTGGACGCTGGTAGTGGCCCGCTGCATCAATCCATACCTTCACAGCACCCATCTGTGAGAAGTCAATCTCGCCCTGTACCAACTTCTCCTCCCCGCCGGTATGCGGACCAGCGATGAACGAGCAGAACGGATGGATGATTGAAGACCAACCGCCACCAAGCTTGATGAGATCTTGCTTTCCAAGATTATCTTCCATCCAGCTGAGACACTGTTGATCGACATAGTCAGAAGCGGTGATAACGAAGACCTGGGCGGTTAAAGCATGCATCTTCATCAGCGCCTCGATTTGCGCATCGGCGACATCCTCGAAACCCGCCATTGCCGATAAGGCTGGCCAAGCTCCAGCATGAATGTGTTGGTTCTGGGTGATGAGTGCCTGGCGTGCGCCGTTCATAGTATGCTCCCAGCACGCAAGACCTCCGAGGTTATAGCCCAGGGAAAGGGGCCAGTTGCGCAATGTGCTTCCGTTGCCCTGAGCCCACACCATGCGCTCGACAAAAGTTGGCTGAAGCTTGCGATGAACACCGAGGATAGTGCCGTCGCTATCGATGATGACCTGTGAGTTGAATAGCGTATGGCCGTTTGCGATACGCTCCGAGATTCCGAGATTGATTGCTACACCGGTCCGGCGACAAGCGTCCTGAATGGCGCTGACGTCTTCTCCGTTCGGCTCCACAACTACGCTTTCTTCAGCGTACTTGGCCAAAGCAGCAACCTGCTTTAGGGGCGGGTAGCATTCAGTCCACCACTATGGTAAGGATTAGTACTACTTTTAACTACCGAAGGTTGAGGTTAAGAGCCGAGACACGTACGGGGTAGCCGGGGATGAAGGTTTCAGGGAACACTAGGAGCTTGACGTCGTCTTTCGCAGCTTGCTCGATGAGCCGAACAGTCTTCTTGATGGTGGCTGATTTGTCCATAAAGACAGGTGCGGCATGAGCCGCGGCCACCTTGAACTTGGTTTCCTTAGGCGCCATCTTGTTGCAATGAGATATTGAGGATGGGAATTGATTGAGTCAAGACAAGCAAGTTGTCACAGTGAGAATGTGGAGAGAAAAGCTGTTGTGGTCCAGGTTTCACGGGCGATGGTGCCCACTAAGGCGGTCTACTACCGGCAAAGGCTGCGGCACGTCGTTATCTCCCGCGCGTCCTTAAAGGCCCGAGTCGATAGGAAGGCCCGATCTGGGTTTTCTCAATCCTTCTCCGGACCCCCATACGATGAACCCCACACTGTCATCTAGTGTGATAGGCCAATATGCAGGAGGTACCTAGCTCGTCACATCACACGGTCCCTCGGGCATTTAACCCTGTACATATGTAGTTAACGCGAACCGCATCCTTCACCTGAACTGGTCACAGATTTTGAGAGGGCCGTTTCCTGTTCGTTGCGCAGCCTTCACATTGTCAAAGGAAACTATGCCGATTGGCTTCTTAATCGTACCGACTTCGGGATATACCCGTTGCGCCATTGCCAAATACTTTTTGTGACACAACACCCTGCTCTGCTCGATATGGTGCTGCACTGATGCACTCGGCGCAGTGAACATGAGTTTTGATAATCTACATCGAAGCCCGTTGCGCGAGTTTGACATTCGTCACTCCATACTATACAATCCCAACGCAACCAGCCTGTAGACATGGCAGTCAACTACTTCGCAAACCCGCCGGCTGGCATTGACTTGACTGAATCACGCACTGCTTCCAACAATGCTATTGGCATTGTGCTTTTTGTCCTTTCATTCATTTTCGTTGGCTTGCGTCTCCTCACTCGCTTGCGGCTTAAACGTGAGCCGCTAGGACTGGATGATCACCTCATGTTTCTTGGGTTGGCGCTGAATGCTGGCAACTTAGCTTGCTGCATCGCAGGTAAAGTACTTGGACATGTAAAACCGGCCACTCCTGCTGACATTCAGGCTAGGGGGTTTCTTCGGTCTCGGAAAGCACATATGGTCTTTGGGACCGTATGAGATGCGACAAATTACGATAGTGCGTTGTTACATCCCGAAGTACGCCAATATCTCAGTGCTGACAACAGCCAGATCACCTTTGCGTATGTGTTCATCTACACGTGGAGCCTTTGTACCATCAAATTCTCGATTCTGGCTTTATATCGTCGCATTTTTGGGATGACATGGCTTGGCTGGTTTTGCGTCATTCTCACTGCTGGTTATCTGGTCGCCAACCATATCGTCCTGCCACTGTATACAAGACCATTACATTACTATTGGAACCAGTGGTATGGTGGTGAAGGCGTGGTACTGGTAAACGAGGCAAAGGTGTGATTTCCTCCAGCCAGAATCGCATTCCCAACTGACAAGGTCCTAGTTCTATCTTGGTGTCGGCATCATCAACCTTTTTGGCGACATTTGCATCCTTACGATACCTATACAAAGCGTGCTCAAGCTGAATATGGGCCGATCGCAAAAGGTCGCAGTAATTCTTACGTTCCTACTCGGCAGTTTGTAAGTTCTAGATCAAAGCAAGTTTACGCGACGATAACTCACTGATATATGTAGTGTCTGTTTTGCATCCCTCTACCGCATCATCACAATCGTCCGCCTCGTTCAGACAACAGACATTAGCTGGGCAAAGAGCGACGTGTTTATCTGGTCGTCCGTAGAACCTTCTGTCGGCATCATCTCCGGTTGCCTACCCACCCTTCGCCCGCTCATGCTACAAATCACGGACGCACTCTCGAGGAGCCTGCCATCCACGCTCAAAGGGTCCCACCACATAGAATCGCCCGCTCAATCACTAGATCCACTCGAAACGATTTCTAAGAAGCGCACGCGGAAGATAAAGGTTAACGATACATTGGACGGCACCACAGTTACCCAAACGGAGATTCGAACCGAAAGAAAGTCATGGATGAGGTCGAGAAACGATCATGAGCCATGGGGTAGATCTCGGCTAGATGAGGATGAGATAGGTCTGACAACAACCCATGTGCATGGGGAATGTCCTAATGCAGGGGGTAAGGAATCGACTGATGTCCGGATAAGCGAGTCACCTCCAAGTGATAGAAGGGAAAGAGGAATCACCCTGACGAGAGAATTCGAATGGGATGAAGGAAAACAGAGCCCGGTTCTTCGCAAATAGAGAAGCTTTCGCGTATTGAGAAGTAGAATTAGCCTATGATCATCTTCGTACCTAGCATCTAAACCAACATTCCCGCCAACGCCCAATCCCATACTCTTAGACCGATGAAACAAAGCACTGCACCCAAGAAAGGACTCCATGTTGGTACGCCACAAATTCTGCGGAGACCTTGACCATTCGAGAGGTTTTGCGGGTTGGCACGCGGCATATTGCAGCCTTTAAAGAGCTGCGGAGCGTCCATAAGGCTGGGCGGTGCACTTCGGCACAACCTGCGTCAGCCTTGCGCGGGGTTGGTGGAAGCATATCTAGGTAGCCAGCTGTTTCCAGACGTGTCTAACGAACACGAGATGGATGATGATCGATAGGTTGTGATGAAGCGGTCCTCAGTATAATACAGTGACGCGTCAAAAGTTTCGCCCACGCTAGCGTAATAATTTTCCCCCACCACACTTACAACTCAACTTCAACCCACTACAACTATGTCTACACCGCGTATTTTTGGACGTGAGCTATCGCGAAATGTGCGCCGTGGCCCAAATATGAGTCCTGCTGAGCGCAATATTGCCATCGGTATGCTAAATGCTGGTTGTACGGCCAGTGAGGTGGCGAACGCGTGTGGTCGCGCGGAATCAACTATACGACGCCTCCGCGCAAAAGTAACCACAACGGGCACAACACAATACAAACCTCGTAGCGGGCGTCCGCAAATACTTTCGAGGCATGCGCGCAAGCTGGTGTATCGCGCTGTTAGAAAAAATCCTAAAATAACCTACGCAGAACTCGCTGAAATCGCTCAAGTCTACCTACCTAATGGCACCCTATTAAAGCTACCTAGCCGCTCCACACTCTATCGGGCTATAAAAAAGACTGGTTTACTACACGTACGCTGCAAAAAGCGTCCAAAGCTTACCCTACGACGTGCGCGCGCACGCTTGTTGTTCGCTCGTGAGTATCGCGGCTACCCGTGGCATCGCCGCGTACTTAAATTCTCTGACGAGTGCTCTATTCAGAAGGGCTCAGGCCACACAACTAAGTGGTGCTTTCGCTACGACGATGAGAAATGGAATACAAGGATGCTTACGGAGCTGTCGACTGCGCGCAAGCCTGTGCAAATGGTGTGGGCGGCTATATGGCTCGATGAACGCGGGCAACCTCGACGGAGTGATCTCATCGTAATGCAGCGAGATCTTGATGCTCCCCACGGTGGGTACAGCGCCCAAAGCTACATACAAGCGTTGCAGCAAGGTCTTCTGCCTCGTTGGAGAGATTCCCAGCTATTCATGCATGACAACGCGAGCATACACACCGCGCGCGCGGTGGCAAGCTTCATAGAAACTCACCACATTCATGCGATCGGATGGCCACTATACTCACCAGAACTTAACCCAATCGAGCACCTCTGGTGGCACCTTAAGAAGCTTGTATTCACTCAGTACCCGCAGTATAACAACATTATAAGGGCAGAAGAGGAGTGGGATGGGTTCTGCAACGCGCTGAAAAAGTGCTGGCGGGCCATCCCCGGCAGCGTAATCCGCGCCCTTATTATGTCTATGCCACGCCGCATTAAAGCTTGTATTAAAGCTAGAGGTTGGCAAACGAAGTATTAGCTATTAACAATAAAATCCCGCGCTTTAAACATTTAAAACTATGCGATTTTGGTGGAGTTGTCACTGAAAAGAGCATTTGCAAAAGTGTGGTGTTGCGGCCGATCGGCCCTTGGCGAGCGAAACTTTTGACCTAGTACTGTAACAACAAGGGAGGGAAGACGAGATGAACACGCCAACAACAACATATGTGTTTCACAGAGAGAGTGCTAGAAATACAGAAAATAAATGCTATTCAGTGACTTGATTCACGTGTTACAGTGGTACTAGCGCTCACATAAGCCCTAAGCCCACTCAGGAGAATATCAATGGCTACATTGAATGGATCCGCGTATCGTTATCAAAACGAAACCTAGCAGTCTTACTATATGATTCAGTGTCTCCGAGGTTACGTAGTCGTAGGAAAACATTAGTGAAAAGTTGCACCGACAGCAAACCTTGCTTTGGATTTTGAAAGGTATATATAGCATTAATGACGGCCTTATGCTTTTACAAACCAAAAAGCACTTTTATTCTTCTGAGTTCTTAAGCGTATCTACTCTAACGAATCATCGGTCAGAGACGTAGCTCTATTGCAAGCCTACACCATGCGTCTCTCAGTCTATCCCTCAACCATCTTCATCGGCCTTACAATGGCAGCGCCTAGCCGCACGAGCGAGGAGAAACCAAACAAAGTCTTGCGAGCACCCCAAACACTAGAAACTACAGCAGACTGCATGATAGACGGAATATGTCAGCGGCGTGTTTGCATTGCTCAAAGTCTCAGTGGATCTTGCAACCCTTGCTCTGGATTCGTAAGTTTCCTCCCTTTGTCTCATCGTATGGCTAGTTGCTCATGGCCTCATTTCAATAGGAAAATTGTTGAGCTGCTATCGTAATGTATGGTAAACAGCAAGGAAAGTGTGGGTAAGAAACACAAGAGGGGCAGTGTCGCTTCAGCTCTTACTGTTGCCAGAGGGGTGTGTCGCAATGGTTAATGGATTTGTGCTTTGGTGTGCGGTATGACCGTAACAGCTGTGTACCTATTTCGTTGAATGGAGAACCTGATAAATCACCACGGTTGATAAGGAACAGAAGTAAGTTGATATTGCGTTTCCTTTCCTATTGCTCCATAACGCATGAGATAGGAGACTTACCACCATTGCAGTCGCTCCCTCACAGTTTACCTAGGTAGTATCAGTGCCTTGGTGCAGGTCTCTGTATTTAGAGGCATGTACTCTGATCAGCTGTTTTCTCGTGAGGGTGATGGCATAAGATAGAAATCTGCACGCAATATCTTAGATGCGTTACGTGTCATCAATAGTTATTTAGTCTAGTTGCTTCGATGGGCGGTTGCTGCCCATACAATCAGAATGGCTCAGATACCTACCTACTGTCGCCGCTAATGCATTCGATTGCGGTGATCACTGTACGCTCCACAGGTGCGCCTCTATAGCTGTGCATATCGTTCTTACCTACAAGCACTTTGACTGAACAGAGCACTGGTAACATCACGCGTGTCTCATCCATGCTATACACGTTGTCTGGTAAGACAGTTAGGTCTTGCAGCAGCCTTCCTACCTCAAACCAGTGGAACATCTTCCAATACGTGTTCTTCTCATGGCGATTCCAGCCCAGCACTAAATTTGCTGGAGCCTGGGAGTTGAAAGCCCTTGCTTGATCTATGATAGATGATTCTGTGCACATCTACAGCTGCGTCAGTGGTTGTGCTTTCGCGGTGTGGCCAAATGCAGTATAGCGTTTTTGCACTCTTGTCGATCATCCCTGGGTTTTGCACACCGCGGCCACATATCGTCCCGGTGGAGATGCATGTCGAACCACAACTTGAAAGATAATATCACGATCCTGGCCCTTTTTCGTCCGCCTTGAAATCTAGCAATGATGCGCCGCGCATATAAGAGTCGCTGTTCATCTGCGGAAAAAGAGATGTCGGTATCAATGCACTTCTAGGTTTTATCTTCGACATGCAAGGCTTCCAAGACTTTGACCCTGCAAAGGATATTCGTGACCTTCTAGGTAAAGTCATATTGATAACCGGGGGTTTGTACATCAGTCTATAGAAGTAGATACAGTTCTAACAACAAGTATAGGCACCGCGGGTTTAGGAGAAGAAAGTGTTCGAGCATTTGCGGCGCATAATCCCTTACACATCTACTTTACAGGCCGCAATGTCGCTGCTGCGGACAAACTGATGTCTGAAATAAAAGCCAAGCACCCAACAGCATCGCTGAGCTTTATCAAGATGGACCTCTCATCCCTTCGCGCAGTGAAGGAGAGCATCGAGGAAGGGTTCAAACATGATCGCCTCGACATCTTGATGAACAACGCTGGCATCATTGCGAAACCAGCAGTTTTGAGTACTGATGGTTACGAGATCCAGTTCGCGACGAACCATCTCGGCCACGCGATGCTCACCAAGCAGTTGTTGCCTGTCTTGCTCAAGACGGCCAGAGAGCCAGACTCAGACGTCCGTGTCATTTCCAACACATCTGCAGGTTACGAGTTCCATCGTGCCATTAAAGGTGGCATTTCTTTCGCCGAGCTTGATGTGGGAGGTACAATGTCACGGACGGTGCTAGGTGCATGGATCCGTTATGGACAGTCCAAACTCGCGAATATCCTCTTCGCGAAGGAGCTTTCCCGTCGTCATCCAGAGCTTACGTCCGTAATCATTCACCCTGGACTCGTCAAAACACCCATGAACACTGAGATGGCCGGCCTAAGCAAGTTTTTCGTCAATGTGACGTCACGGCTATCGGGTGAGAACTGGCTTGCGCCGCACCAGGGCGTTTTGAACCAACTTTGGTGTGCGGTTGGGGCGGAGAAGGAAGCCTTGAAGAATGGAGGATACTACACGCCGGTGGGTGTAGATTCGACCGAGAAATTGACGGCGGAGGCTAGAGATGAAGTTTTAGCAGCAAGGTTGTGGGATTGGACGGAGAACGTGCTCCTGAAAGTCTAAGGGCTCTGGTCGGATGGATTGGCAGTACCCTAGAGCTGTTGGGAATGTAGTCTGTCTCACCATCTAGCCAGCTCAGCTTTTTGGTATCCGTCGACAGTGATGATCAGATTGTCAAGTTCTTCTTCCCAGTCCCACCACACCGTATAACCTGCGTCTAGCAGGTCTTCCGGCACTGAAAGTGATGCAAAGGTGTATTGGTAGGCTAATATTCTCAGGACTTCATTTTGGTTGTTCCGGAATTTCCTTAGCGTTCTAGGAGGTAGCTCACTCAACCTGTAGGCCGGCCCTCCAAAATATCCCATCTGGAAGTCATCTATGGATAGATTTCGATATCCTTCTGAAGGTATTTCGAGATTCAACTTCACTGTCTTTACCCATTCGCCAGGACAACAAATTCTTACAATGTAAACCAGAAGAGCGGAAAAGCAGTCTAGATCGAGGAGTGTGTCGCGCAGCCGTTCCAGATAAAGTTCCGGCGTATCCCAGGCATCGCGTACGTTGATGGAAACCGACTCGATCGGCCCAGTGCTTCGAACCGGACAGCAAATCCACGTAGGCCGTAGCTCTCTGGCATTGTTACCCATCATCATAAGATCAAGAGAGTACAGCGGCGGAAGCTGATGAAGACGGTCGTTGGTCTCATCGTGCAATTGTTGGTTTGTGAGTAGTAATCCGTACGCGTTGTATTGCTTGAAAGCCGGCAAGGTAGGCGGCCTGTCAAATACTCGCAATGCGGTCCGGGTCCCAGAATCATTGCGACGTGTGTTATATATCCTAGGGCGCTTTGGTGGTTCGGCGTGCGCATCGAGGACAAGTTCGATAATCATGTCGCGGAGCTCGCGTGGTAGAGATAGAAGATCATCAGGCATGATGAGATGGATAGCGCGAGGATGGATGTGAATAGAGAAGAAGTGGAGCAGGCGCGGGGATGAGCTGAGTGGGACCGCTAAGCTAGATCTGTACAAGCCTCTGTAGCACTAGCTCGGGGCTGTTGTTCGCAGCTGCCCGTCTTCACTCACTTCCTCACTCACTCTCGCTGCATAACCCAGAGAAGTGTCAGCGCCTTCCGCTTTACGCTGTTGCCTGGGAGCTTGTAGCAAAATGCCGTCGTCTATGGAAAATGCATTATCATCGTCCCTCCAGGCTGTCGAGCTGATGTCCATTGATCTCATCAGTCTCATTCACGCTACCGACCACCCTGACTGATCCTTTCGTATATGCGACTCGATATCCAAGTAACTTCTATCTACGAAATGCATGTGAGACAAATACTGACTTCGTACACCGATCTATAGTCAACGTATTCAGGTATTGTCAGCTCTCGGACAAACGATCGCACCTGCTCTTTCATTGCCAGATACCAGCTGCCACCCAACACCACACGCCATGTCTCGCCTGGAAGCACTTCCCCAGCATCTTCTTCGTGACGTCCTCCGCTACCTATTGCTCGCTGATCGTGTTCGCGGACCTCCAAATCGCTATATCGTAGAGGATTATGACTTCCAAGTTGCCATCTTTTGAACCAATAAACCCTTCAATACAGAAGCTACTACTGTCTTCTACGGGGAGAACAAGTAGATCAAATTCAGCAATGGCTACGGCACGATAATCGAGACCGCCCTGAACAAGAGAGGCTGCTCTTACCCATGGAACAAGGTAAGTTCTTCCTTCGCATATTACATGAGGGACGGTTACTGACCTCATTTTTCTTCCTCTATAGTTAGCGGCGTGGCTCTCCGTCAACACGTTACCTTCACCACTGCGTTCGATGCTACCCTCGTTGAACGCGTTAAGCAAACCATGACTCAAGGAGTAGCATGGCTACCCGCCGCCGCCGCAGAGGTTTACGACCTCGCCCTATCTATCAAATACATGGGCGATCCAGCCTTCAACACTGGCAATGCGGATATGGCATTCGCCAAGTGGGATGACACACTCATGTTCATCAAGAACACACTAAAGCACAATGAGATGATGGGTACACGTCTAGAGGTCGAGTTCCTATGCCAGATCCATGCACTCGAATGCATGGTTCACATTGAGCAGGAGCTGTTCTTCTTCTCGGACATGTCTATCCGCCTAATTGGCCGCAAGTACGAGCATATACCGAAAGCAGCTGCCTAAGCGGAGAATGCTGAGAAATCCAACAAACTCTTAGGGTATAAGGCCATACCTGTGTCTGCTATCGCTCGCTTCTATCGCTTTCTGGGGGTTGCCGAACTGGGTTTGGATCATCCTATCAAAGCAGCGAAAGCCTTTGCCAAGTCCTACAAGATCATGTCTCTACCCAAGACTAAGCATGGCTATGACACAGCGAGAGCATGGAAGGACATCACTACGACTCAGCGTAAGTTAGAATTGAAGTCTCTTCTTGCGGCGCTCCCTAGCAAGCCACACACGATGCCAACATTCCATGCTTGGCAGGGTTTTCAAGTCCAGTCGGAACATTGGGTCATGCGTGAGCTGGGTTTCAAAGGTGACTTCCCCTACGCTGACAAGATCACCGGTATTCTCGGAATATACTTGACTGAGAAAGCGCATCCAAATCGTTCGCTTCCAGGACCGCGTACCACGAAGCTTGGACATGTGAAGCCAGAGGTACTGAAGAAGTGGGTCGAAAAGCATCGCAAGGAATTGAACAAGCGGGATGTACCAGGTATCGGGTGGTTGATCATGTGGGTCGCCCTGAGGATGGATGAGATTGGTGAAGGGAGTGTCCACGATGATCAGCAGGCTGCAAAGATGCTAGAGAGAATGTCACTTTGTGGTTCTGGAGGCTGTGCAGTCCAGTGAGTGTCGAATTAATTATCGATGCGATCCTATGCATGTGGATATCCGGGGATGATGCGGTGAAAGGGGCTATTATCGTCGGTGCGACAATCATGGTACTTCTCACCATACGTGCTGTCACTTCAATCAACTAGTCACTATAGCAGAGTATCGGCGTCCGATAATTAGCTAAGCTTTACAAAATCTACAGTCTTCTCTTGGGTTTCAGCTTCTATCGTACTACCCCCAAGCTTCTTGCATACCGTTATCACTACGAATGATGACAGTCACACTCGTCAAGCACATAGCCGATGATGAGCTGGCCCCGTCACCACCAGCCAAGCAACCGCGCAGCGAGTAGCCGACATCACCCCATCTCGCAGCGCCGCAATCCTCATCACCAAGGCGAAGGTCTGCAAGCTCAGCTTTCTGCCAAGGCCCGGCCCTTACAACAACACCCTCGTATCCGCCTCCGTGGACGACGAGGCTACTGAACTAGAAAACGATCCACTTCTCAGCTGCATACGATCATGCATCTCATACATCCTCCCATAACCCCGCCTAAAGTCAACCAGGACGCAAACAATGCGCTTTCACATCTCCACCACCAAGGCCTCTTCACTCCCCGCATTGACTCCCCTACGCGCTCACGCTACGATGTCGCGGATAGCGCCACTCACAACAAGTGCATTTTGGGAAGCTAGCAGACCTAGTTTCAACAGTAGGAATCCTCCGAGGCGTCTCGGGAGCCAATAGAGGAGAAAAGACGTTAGCGGACAAACTAGCAGCGGACACATCTTAAGCTTTGGTCGGAATAACAGCTTTCGGACTGCGACAAAGGAGCACTAAACGCAAGGGTACTAGGAGGGACATAAAGGTCACCAGACAGGATTAGCGGACTGTAAGCGACCCCGCTTATTGCTTCTTCTTCGTAGACGTATGGATTTGGTATACCAAGACCAGATTGGGTTAGGAGATGCATATTGCCAAGGGTCCAAGACCTGCAGTTGTGGGCGGGGAAGGGTATTGCGGGGTGAAAGCGGGGCCTTGAGCGGAGGAACTTGATGTTAAAAGGGTGGACGCGAGGGTCAAGAGGTGTGCGATAGAGAGGGAGAAGAAGTATGAGTGGGAGCTGAGCGAAGGAGTTTAGAAGCAGGAGGGATGCGTAGTTAAAATATCGAATAGCAAGTCTAGGGCAAGCAATACAGTTATTGTCATAGCATCATAGAGTCAAAAACAAACGTATCAGATCAATAGTAGGACGTTGAATAGGTAGAATCAAAGTTGCAAGATTAAAGATGTAGTTTATGCTATAGAATAAACTACAGAGGTATCGAGGTATCGCTAAATAGAGCCGTCTAGCCCTTCCCGTCTTTCGTGTTATGCTTTACTATACGTGCCGCAAAACCCAAACATTACTTCATACGTGTGGCTCGTCTGTTCGTGTCATTATAACATGAATAGAACACTATGCATGAATCCATCTAGTGGACGGAGGCAGTGCGGTTGTTCTTCTCGGTGTCGATGACAATAGAACCGTTCCTCTCGACCATGGCAGTGCCACCCTTCTGGAGGGAGCTCTCCACGAAGGTGTGGGTTGGGCGCCACTTGGCAGAGGTACGGGGGGTGGTCTCGGCCATCATCTGGTCGACCTGCTCAAGAGACAGACCCTTGGTCTCTGGGACCAAGAAGTAGGTGTAGACGAAGGCGATGGTGCAGAGACCTCCCCAGATGAAGAAGACGGAAGACCTCAGGTTACCCTCATCAGTACCAACCATGTAAGGGGTGATGACGGCGATGATGGTGTTCCAGAGCCAGTTGGAGGCAGTGGAGAGAGCAACACCACGCGAACGGATGGGCAGAGGGAAGACCTCACCGATGAGGACCCAGGCACCAGGACCCCAGGTAGTGGCGAAGAAGAAGATGAAGATGGCGATGAAAGCGATCTGAGCGTTGACAGCGGAAATGTTGTTGGCGCGGGTGGTTCCATCGGCGAGGGTGGTGGCGTTGTTGAAACCTTGAGTAACACCGATAATGGCAACCAAGAACTGGCAGATCAACATGCCGAGGGCACCGAACAGGAGGAGCGTGCGACGACCGAACTTCTCCATTCCGTAGAAGGAAAGAGGAGTGGAGCAGACGTTGACCAGGGTGAAAACGAGCGAGATCAAGAAGGTGTTGCTGATGGCGCCAGTCGATTGCAAGAAAGGTGTGGAGTAGTAAAAGATGAAGTTGACACCAGTCCACTGTTGCATCATCTGGAGGGAGGTACCGAGGATAGTCTTGCGAAGGTTGGAGTTGGACTGGAAGAGAGAGCCCTTGAAGCAGTTGGCCCAGCCAGAAATCCAGCCACCAGCAGGGATAAGTTCGCGCTCGTACTCCTCGTTGGCGATGATCTCAGCAAGCTCAAACTCAACCAGGGACCTGAGATGGGCAGCATCGGGGCTGGTGGGGTGTACACCACGGATCTTCATCAGAGCCTTCTTGGCCTCATCGGGCCTGCCGCGCTTGACGAAGTAACGAGGGGAGTCGGGAAGGCAGGCGATACCACCACCCAAGATAAGACCCCAGGCGAATTGGAGACCGATGGGAATGCGGTACTCGCCAGAGTCACCACGGTCCTGTACGCCGTAGTTGACGCAGGCAGCGAGCAGGAGACCAATGGTAATGCAGAACTGGTATCCGGAGACGAGCGCACCACGAACCTTCTTGGGGCAAATCTCGGACATGTAGAGAATGACGATAGCAGACTCGAAACCGACACCGACACCAGCGACGGCACGACCAGCAACAAGGAGGTCACGACCACTGGCAGCCATTTGCATGACAACACCTAATACCAGGTTAGCGGCTGATCAATCTGGTAGTACCAGCTGGGGATGTTTACCGATGATGTAGATGAGGCAGCCCAAAACGATCGTCCACTTGCGACCAATCATGTCTGAGAGATCACCAGCGATGAGGGCACCAAAGAAGGTACCAGCGGAAAGGATCGATACGATGAGCGAGGTGTTGCTACTGCTAATGGCGCACCCTGGGCTTGCAAGGCCATTGGGGCATACATTGCCCTCGACCTCCTCGATGAAAAGAGGCGAGTTGAGTACACCGTTGATGTAACCTGAATCATAACCTGTTGATGTGGTTAGTGTCTGTATACACAGAAATTGTGCAATGTTGTCTTACCGAAGAAGATACCTCCGAAAGAGGCAAAGGCGCAGAGGAGGTAGGCCTTCCATGTAACAGGACACTCAGTCATGTTGACATCGGTAGTAGCTTGGATGCCCTTGGGGTTGGCGGCCTCGTCGGCCATCTCGTGAGAATTGTTCATGTTGGCGATAGAGCGGAGGGTGTAGGCAGGATAAGTTGACGATGCGCTCTATCTGAAGCTATGCAGGTAGAACTCGCAAGCGGCCTTGGACGAAGAGGTGAATCTGAACGGGGTGAGTTGAGGGTTAATAACACAACTGGAGATTTGAGATCTAACTGTTCTGCGCTACAAGCGTACCGAAGAAATGGCTAGGTAACATTGCGTCTCGACTAGTCGGCGTCTGTGCTTCTCTGTTATTGGGTTCATTAGCCTGGAAGCCCAGCGAAGGGTGTGCGCCACTGGCCATCTGGGGAATGGTCGCCCGCGTTTTGCCTTCTCCAGCTGTTTCTCCAGGCCCGACTACCCTAGTAATTTGACAAGTGTCGGACCGGCATTCACACCGGCTGTGATTTGTCCTTGGCAACCGGCGCACGGACTGCGCAATCTTCAGTCTAGAACGCATCCAGGTTTTCAGAGCCGCACGTGAGGGGTTCCCCGACCATGGGTTCCCACTTCACTAGACTCCACCATCGTGGCCCATGGAGTCTATCGTGGCCCATGGAGATGGCTAACGTGCGTTTGGAGCAGAGCTTGACTGCGCTAGCCCCCCATACCAGGTCTGCGGCGCCCTATGCTCGGGTCACTCCGTCGGCGCCTCCTACGTCTTCTCGAGCTCATCACGTTGTCAATGGCCTGTACTATACTTTCTGGCCACTGCATGCTCGTCCAGCAGGACAAGAAGTGGTGGCGGTGGGCTAACGCAGCAATGTCCTTCGTGACCTTGAGCTGCTGATACTCGTCGGTCATGGACGCCTGACGGCCAATACGAGACGTTGTTGGCTGACCGTCGGAGCTCCTAATTAAGCGCGTGTTGATGCACGAGTCAATCCAATTAACCCAACACCACCAACCAGCCTCCACTCCAGTCCCGACTCTCGAAACGTCTAGCCAGGGCGCCCTTGTACATCATGCATGTTGCGGCTGCATGACATCCGACTATGGGAGACTCAAGGCCACTCCCTTCTATACGAGACAAGTACGATGGTAGTCATGATGACTGACATCTGAAGAAGCTCGCGAATGCCGAGGTCGTTCCATCACGTGTGTCGGTGCAAATCACGCGGAGGTCTCCCCCAGGCTTTGGTCCGATCCGCCCACAGGTCTGATTGGCTCTAGAACGCGCTAGAGGCTCCCCCCGAGGAGCTTAACGTGGAAAAGACTTCAGCCCCATGTCATACGAGTCGTTAATGAGAAAATCTTTTTTTTCTCGGCTTTTAACACTCAGGTACATGGCAAAGCTTTGTCGCCCACTCCGACGACACCTTTTGACCCGATGTTTCTCCACGTTCCAGCCCAGTGCATAACTCCACATTCACCAATCTTCGGAACCACAACTGGTACCGTACCGGATTCCCAACATTCATCAAGCGCTGCGATACCATCCACCGGGTATCTTCATCCAAGTGTCGCTTGATATCTGAAATCTTTAATTATGACCCTGGACTTCTTCTATACGTTTTGTAAAGCTACGAAGTATTACTTCATCTTACTGAAGGTGATTTCGATGCCCTAGCAGGAGGTCGTCTAGAAATCCCAGGCTGCTGAGTATTTTTTTTTATTTGTACACGAAAGAAATGCTCATCTACTTATCGCTAAAGCAAATTTTAGCTACTTGCTTGTCTTCATGATGAGACGATGCAATGCAGCAAGGCTGGCCAATGGCCGCGAGCTCGGCGGGGTAGCCTTGACAGCTGCGATCCTTCAGCTTCCCTCGACTGCCTCATCGCCATTTCTCTGAATCACCTTTCATTTACTTCGTGGAAATCATATGATTCGCTTCTATGGCATGGCATGATGTGACATGCGCAACGCTGGAACTGGAGTGGGAGGATGGACGGCCAGCGTGCCGTACCTGTGAGCGCAGGGCGCCCGAGCTAACGCCTGTTCACCCACTTCCACCGCCTCCACCCCCACCAGATACTCCACGATCAGAGCTCTTGTGCACATGGCCTCCCATATTAATCTCCCGTATTCGAGACGACGATGATGAAGATACGGAGCTGCTAGCTGACATACGCGCTAATATCGATGGATGGACTGCTGGTACTACCGCTCGACCATCACAACCTCCCATCCAGTCAAATCAGCAATCGGAGCGAAAGCCGCTAGGTGAAAGTGAACCGGATCCGTTGCCTCAGGCCGTTTATTCGCGTCTTCCAAACGCAGATTCGATTCGTCTTTTGCGCTTACATGGCAGCGCAGCCAGGAACGATCCCATCCACTGCACTCTTGAGATTCACAGACTTCACGATCCTGAACGGCCAGTTTTTGAGGCCCTGTCGTATACCTGGGCAGACTCACGGGGAGACTCGTCATTGTGCGAAGTGATTTTTGTGGGCCCACATTGTGACATTCTGCCCATTACTAAAAATTGCATAGCCGGGCTTCGATGTTTCAGGACCGCCGTTGACCGTCTTGTTTGGGTTGACGCGATATGTATAAATCAGTTTGACTTAAAAGAGCGTGGTCACCAAGTCTCACTTATGAGAGGCGTATACACTTCAGCGGCGCGGGTTCTCACGTATTTGGGAGATAAACATGATTTACTTACCTCTGTAGCTGAGCGTCCGAACAGTGACGGCCAAGGCTTCGGTTCACCTCCTGTGGATCTGAGAGCGATCCTGCGAATGCCCTACTTCTCGCGCATCTGGGTGGTACAAGAGCTGCTGCTTAGCAAAACAGCCAGTTTGACCTTTGACGACCACACAATGCACTGGACAGAATTCTCGTCGGAGGTGAAAACCCTATCTTCAAGTAAAGAAAATGGATGTCACGGAAACTGGGTCGGACGCTTGAGTAAAAGAAGGAAAACCAAAGATCTGATGTCGGCACTGCAGGCCACACAAGACTGTCGATGCAGCGATCCACGTGACCGGGTATATGGATTGATGGGCTTGGTAGACGAAGAAGATCGAAATAATCTTCCGATAGACTACGAGATCAGCGTACAACAGCTGTATACAGGCTTGACGATGTACTGGCTTATGAAACCTGGTAGTATGTTCTCTTCAGGGTACATACTGCATCGTGCTTTTTTTTCCCAAAGAGATCCCTTTCCTCCCTTCCTGGGTTCCGGATTGGACCTCATCGCTGAAAGCACACACAAATCCCAAAGCCGACCGGATACCTGTAGCCCAAATATGGCTACATGATATCAGTGGAGGCAACAATTCCTCGGGTCTGAGGCGGTTTGGTTCATCTTCCGCCATTGCACGATCTGATCTCCGACCTGGATGGTCGCTCGATGACAATTTTTGGCATCGTCTCTGCTCGGCAGATTATTACTGGGGCGATAACCCCGAGATTTCCCACAGATATTTATGGCGCAAATTCGCTGTAGATGCAGGTTGGGATCCCAAGTCGTCAGCAAGACCGCTACGAGCTAGCGGTATGTTGGCGACTGATGTCGTCCACATTCTATCCATCTCGAAGGGTGAGGTCATACTCACTGACGCCAATGGCAAACTACTGCATGGGCTATACGTCGCCGGATTGGATAGAAGTAGTCTCGACAAGACAGATATGCAGCTGGATGAAACCCATTTACATGTCCTGCTCAACTGACGCCGGTCCTTATTACTTCAACGCCACCGTGATGGTGTCTATAGTCTCAATAGTCCTTGTCGGATATCCTGCACCTCCGAAGGTCCCTTGGCTGATATTAGGCCCCATCGGACAGGATCGGACATATCAACCCATCTAGGATCGTTGGAGATAGGAATTTTAGAAATTTGGCTAGTCAATGTTTTCTTCTTCGGGGCTCGTGCTGGTGCCGCATTCGCTACCTCCACACGCAGGTCCATCATCCAGAGTGGATGGTTCAAATACCTTCCACTAGCATCAACCGTCTGCGCACACGCGAAATCTTTGCCCGACTGCTATGTAACAGGGGTCCATGAGCGTTTAGAGCTATCAGCCATGACAGACCTACTGAACGATATCATGGCTTTTTTCGTGGAAAACGAAGTTAATAGTTTCCAAGATGAGTCGCAGGCTATTAAAAATGCATCGCCTGAAGATCAAGTCATGTTTGAATCATTCGTCAGGCCATCATTTACTCCTTCGCCCACGGAAACCTTGGATGCGAAACTCACTGCTCATATTAAGCGGGCTGAAGCAGCTTCACTTTGGAGAGCATTATCGACAAAAGAGACTATCGCCTATTTGAAGGGGGTCGTGAAACTTCAGCGAGAGGCCTGCAAGAAGTACCAGCCCTTGGAAACGGCCATGTCAGACCTCAGCGGTAGTTTGATTCAGCCTCATATCGCTGTTGAGATGCAAACTTCTGCTCGCATGACACTGTACGGTCCTCAACACGAATCTGAACACTTCTTCGCTTTGTGGACACTTATGAGACCGGTACTCTATGCCGAACCACTGCCGGATGGTAACACAAAATTCCTTCTCCCCGAGCGTCGGATAATTAAAGACGCATGGGCGCTATTAGACGATCTCACGGTTGATGCGATATACTCGCTCGAGCAGAACCTCGCCATACTGTGGATCCATGTGTTGACAATGGAGATGGTGGTACGGCTACGAGGTATTTTTCAGCAGCGGCTCATTTTAAAGGCTATTGGAGACAAGATGAGAAACGTGCAAAGCGTATATCTTATCTAGCCAATATGAGCAGGCTCGAGTCCGCATGATGTTGGAGTTGTACTGTCACATATTCAACTTCTTTCCTTACCTGTGTTGCTTGCTTGTTGTCGATGAGAATCGCGTCGTATATCCTCAATAGCTGCTCATAGTCCAGAGATCTTGCACCCGATATCCAGCTATTTAGCAACACATGAATCCATGATACAGTGCCTCGCCAAAAGTCTGTTCGCGCCAAACGCACGGGCCACGAACTCAGAAAATCTCGTAGATTTCAACTCAACGCAACTCTATCAAAATAGCTCCAAATAAAATTCTAAAACGACAGAAATAATAGTAATAGCCTCAATATCGTGTCTAGTACCTTTTTGCTTAAAGAACTGCGTTAATACGTCGCGGTATAGACGTAATGAGGCTGCGCACCAGTTTTTCGGGTATAGCAGCCCACGCCTCCTTCAAGCCCATCTCAAACTCAGCCCACTCACTTTCTAAGCCTCCCATATAATCAAGATAAGGTTTACGCTTATAGAGCTCCTTTTTAAGACTCTACCACAAGTGTTCTATTAGGTTAAGGTCGGGTAAGTATAGTAGCCAATCGATAGTATAAACACCATAAAGCTCTAACCACTCCCTCAAGTAATAAGCAGTATGTATTAGTGCGTTATCCTGCATAAACAACTCGCCTAGTCTGTAGTAATCGCGGAGTCCTTCCTCAAGAGCCCTAGTGTAGCTAAGGCTTATATACCCGTTGCGCTTTGCTAATGCGTCGCGGGTTATAATTACTAGAGGACTACGCCCAATTCTACCCCCTAGAGTCATCTAAATTAAGGCCCAAACTATGCAAGCTAGCTGCTAGCTAGTCTCCTTCTCCTCTACCATCTCATGCCTCCATTTATTCGCTAGTAAACGCCAAACCCAGCAAGGGTTGCGGCTAGATCTACAGGCAATGCTGCACTTATCGCTAAACTTTAGAGTAGTACGATCCCAGTCGAAACTAGCCCATTGTAGAGCCCATTCACAGCGAAGTTTAGCAGTAGTTACGTTAATTTTAGGCCTCTAGGCGGCTCTGTACTTAGAGTAGTTTGTACTTGCAAGTGCGCGGGCAATAGTTCGAAATGAAACTAGTAGTGTCGTTCTATTACCGTCAAGGCCCGCAGCTGTACAGAGAGCGCTATACTCGATTGTAGGATCTTTCTTTACAATAATAAGAAGCCAACGATAATCTCTACTAGTTAAAATAGGTAGGTGACCCATACGATCGTTCTTGGTGTAGTAGGCAGTTGATTTCCATCGCGCGATAATCTTCTGTACAGCGCGTTGTGTACAACCGAGTGTCTCACTAATTTCGCGCGTCGATAGACCAGCGTCAACCTAGGCTAAGATATATACGCGTTGCGCTTCTGATAATTCACCTCTAGGCATTCGATTGTCCGAAATTTCAGTGCCAAAAGACCTCGTATTAATGGAGTTGTGTGGTGTTGCAGAAGATACTCGTCTTGTGATCTCATGTTGTTCTTGGGCCCGTGCGTTTAGCGCGAACAAACTTTTGGCTTAGTACTGTATAACCATCATTGAAAGTGATCTCTTGACCACCGATATGTGAAAAGTAGAGACCAACACACATTGCCTAGGATGAACGCCCTCAGGTTGCTGGAGGTATAATACGTAAGAGATGCATCACAATGAATGAAACTTACCTGGAAAGATATACAATGCATAGAAGATATTGGTCGCGTTTTCATTTGGTAACATGTACAATACAATATAGCACGGTCGCGACTATCAGAGAAAATATGTATACAGGTAGAAGCCCCGACGGTGAAGTCTAGCCTTTTATTGCTTCAGTCCTCTGGAGCATCCAGCGCGCATGATACAAAGGTTTAAACCCCACGATCTTTACTCCTTGCGAAGAAGAGACTCACGGAAAGCACGGCGACCGCGCTTAGTCTTGCCTCCGTTGCAGTTCTCAGCGTTATGCGCAATGGCCTCGCTGGTAATAGGCTCAGAAGAAGGCGCGGGCGAAGTGGTCTCCTCGGTGGGAGTCTGAGCAGGAGACTGAGCACCACCGTTGTTGCCGCTAGTCCAGACAGCTGGGCCGGGCATGGGGTACTCCTTGTACCCACCCCAGATGCTGAAGTTGAACGACTCGTCGTCCCGCTTGTATGCGCCGGGAAATTTGACGGTAGGGCCAGGGGTGCCGTTGCCGCCACCGGTGACCTTGACTTGAGCGCATCTGCAATATGTTAGCTAATCTACTAGCAACGTTAGTGAAGAAAAGAACATACCCGTAGTAGAACTCAGCCTCGCCACCGTGAGCACCGTGGATTCCAACGTGCTCAGAACGAATCAAGTACTCGCCCTCAGGAACCTCAGCAGGGACAGTGAACTCAATCCTGTCGTTATCCCAAGTGCACCAGGCAGTACCCAAGAAGTCCTTGCTGGGGTCGCAAACACCCGACTCGAAGATCTTGAACCACTCGCCATCACCCTCGTAATCCTTGACGAAGTTAGGCGCCTTGGACATGTAGACCATAGCAGGACCAGGGTGCTTCATGGTAGCGCCAACACCGAGCTTCATGGCCATCTTGGTGCCGGCTGCGACCTCCTTTACTCCGGTACGACCAGCGGACTCGAAAGCACCCTTGTTACAGCGGAAGTCGTCCATGTCGGGAGTCATGTTGTCTCGGGTGTTGATCCACTTGGTGGGATTGTACTTCTCGGGACGAGTGTTCTCCCGGATGAACTCGTGGCTCTTGGACTCCTGGCCGTCGACGACCAAGACGTCGAAGAAATAGTGAGCGGAGGCTAGCTGCGCAATGACGGCACCGGCGAGGATAGAGAGCTTCATTTTTTACTAATGGTAGTTTTTTTTAGTTTTTTTTGGAAATGGGTTGGTAGGTAAAACGATTGTATGGTAGGACTAGCCTGTAGAAACGAATGTAGTAGCGAAAGACCGAAAAGTGACGAGAGAAGTGAAAGACAGTGTGCAGAAATGTGCTGGTGGATTGTTCATCTCTGTTCCATAAAAGTTCTTATGTATCTGAGCAAACATACCTACCTCAGCTCTGGGGCCAATGTCGCTAACTGTTTCTGGTGCCCAGACTCCTTCTCTCAACCCATCCCTTGTAAGCCCCTCATCACACATGTGGGTTTGCACAAGAAAACAATGGCACAGCGTTTCCTTTCATCGATGCATGAGGCCGAGGTCTCTTGGCTGTGATCCGATTTCCGCTATGCCGCCCAGCTGTGGCGAAGCGAGATGACCATACGAAGGGGGAGAGCTGTCATCGTGGGTGTTCACTGGCGTAGCGCCCGCTTCGGGGTCCTACTTAGCGCAGTAGTGGGCCTGTCACCAACAGACTTGTACGGCTGACCGTTTCAAACAATGATCTTGGCGGTCGAATGCTTGGCGGTCGGAGGTCTTGTCAATTGAAGACGTGCAAGTACCAGGTTCCACGGAATGCGATGCCGATATCAACAGTCTGAGGTAAAGTACAGACTCCGGTGAGTAGGATGTAATACATCTTCCACAAGAAGATGATCACGATGGAAGGTTTCCTTCGAACAAGACTGTGTAGTATGATCGTACGATCAGTGCTGAGGTTTTCCCCTCGACATCTGTTCCTAGGATGTATCTTTAGGATCTCAGCGCATGGAAACGCATGTAGAATGTTCCCCCGCTCTTTCAATGTGAAACTGTCATTGACGATAAGGATGCATGGCGGATCCTACATGCTGGAGGAATGGTGATCGGGACCCAGATCGCAAGCCCACGCACTTGCAACGTCCATGAGCTACTACCTACCAGATAGCGCCGGTCTCGCTCGTACCCACCGTGCCATAAATAATGACCGCACGCGGACTTGGCAGACAAAGCGTCTCATGAAGCCCAAACAGCTTTCACGAAGGCGGCCCAAAAGGAGAACTGTGGGTAGTGTTCGGTAATGCCATTCTTATATACAGCGGTCGGACTCAATAGAGTGTGATGATGAGCACATTAGAGTTCGTTCTCAATCTTCTCGTTCCAATTCTTGGGGCTATAGTTCCAAGACGGTGGGATTGAATCTATGAGTCAGTAGTAGTTCACATCTACCTGCACTTTAGCCTAAAGACGATCATGAAGGACCCGTTCCAACGTATCCACAATGCATTCGCATGCGGAGAGATGAGCTGTAGCGTGTTTCTGTTTCCGCTTGAGGCTCGTTTCAAACATTGATGCAGTTGCGAAATGCTGCCGGATTTGACCGCAGGAAGCCTGATCATTGCTTAGGCACTGTGGCTAGGAAATAAAAAGTAAACCAAAATCCACTTTTGACGGCTGGAAGTATGAGTGCGAATACAATGTATGTGTTTGCACACCTATCTTGAGAACAGTCAGGCGATCGAAAGCATGAACGACCATCGCCACCGTACGATGACACGAGCTGCCACAAGAGTTGGAGTTGGTCTCCGCAGAGCATGCCTGATTAGAATGGATGGCATTTCACTGCAGCTGAAGTATGCAACCTGAGAAGGCGTGCGTCTGGGACTAACCTGAAGTCGAGCAATGTCCATCGCTAATGCAGTAGTAATTTTGCAGCATCAAGATGTGGCAGTGCAAACGTGGCTTGGCACCTTTGATCCCCATGTCTGTCGTGATTCTGCAGTCGGGTTCTAGAGGAAGGTCCGGAAGCTATCGGTTTCTGGCGTGAAGTCAGACAGCTTACCGACGTCGTAGCTGTACTAGCGCATGAGCCTAATCCAACGAAACATTCGCTACACTGGAAGGTTTGCTACGAACCTGTTATTCTGGTCCAAGAGAAGGCGCGTTGCAATAGGATGGTGTCGTGGTGTTTGGTCACAAGCAATGCATCCCCGCGTCGCCTGACCCTGTCATACGTCATCACTAACAAACCATGTGGCTGCATTGCATTATTGATTTTCTCTTTGTCTCACAATCCCAGTTTGCTTCTGTTAAACCAATGTATGATATTTTCTTCGTCAAAAATCCCGGAAATCTCCTTATTTGACATTCCAACGCCCAATTCTTGTCATTCCGTGGCTGTAGCGAAAGTGGTCAGCCATCATGTCAGCAACCACCGAACAAGCAGCAGAAGCACCACCCATCCAGCTTAACGCAAAGCAACAAAACCGCATACAAAAAAGACGAATTGCCCGCGAGAAACTCATCGCTCACCTAGCTCTCACACGGAAGAGTAACAAGACGCACAATCCTGGCGGAGTAACAGGATGCATGCGCCGACCACGAGGACTAGATGGCCGCTTCTTAATACCCGAACAAATCACCACCAAGCAAATGGAATGTCGCATAGTATACGAAACGAAAGAAACCCCCCAAGAAAGACCAATGGTGAAGCCAAAACTCTGAACTTCATAAGTCATCCTGTCTACCTTCACGTCACTCAAACCTTTCCACCATACACGTCAGACCACACCCAGAAGGTCCTCACACCCCCACAGCCTTTCCTTCCGAACTCAAAAGTCACACTGGCTACCTCAACGCTCCAGTTTCCTGGTCACAAGATGAAGGCATCGTCACCTCTGCCTGCTTCTTCCTGCGCCCTGCCGATAGGATCATCCGCGTACACAACCTTGACTTCCCACATGGTCGTCGCATTCATACCCATCAGAACGCCACCGCCTTTACTTCCCTTCTCCCACCTGCCTATCTCCTTGACTTTCTCCTCATCGAGAAGGAGGTCCGTCATGATGTGCTCCGTGGTTGCTCTAGCGGCAGCTCGCTCAATGTACGAGCCGTGAAGCTGAGTCGTCGTCGCATATCCTTTTGGCCTGCCGGGCGAGAAACTGGATGATAGCGACGCAGAGGAAGTTGTTTTGGAAGAAGACGAAGAGGATTTCGCTGGTACGGCAGCATGCTCAAGTGGGCCACAGGAAATAACCGTATATACCGGCGCCGGCAAGATGTCGAAAATATCCTTGTTTACCTCTCGAATTATCTTCAAGATGGTGTATGAACCCCGCTGTCCCTCTACAATGAATATTTCAAACCCATCTCTGAAGAAGTCTTCATTTGTCTCCTTTTCACCCAGTATATCTTCAATCTCTTTTAGTTCGGCGAGCTTGTCGATCGCGCGGGGTGAGTTGCTGACGATGTCTTCGATGCGGGGGAGGAGGTGACGGAAGGCTTTTGTGGGGCCGATGATGTCGTGGGAGTCAGTGTGCGGTTTTATGATGGACAGGTACCAGATTGTGTTCGGGGCGGCAGGGGGAACATCGAGGATGTCGGAAGGTTTTTGAAACGTAGAAATTGGGGAAGGAGTAGTAAAAGGGAGGACTTCGTCATCGCCTTCGAAGTAGATATCTTTGGACATGGTGAGCTGTGGATATAGTGAAGGAGTAGCGATGTAGTCGAATGCAGTACTTGAAAACTCTATATATGTGAGAGACGTAGGGTCTGTATACTGAAGAGGGGAGCACGGGCTTTGATACCTAGGTGCGTTTGCTAGGCGACGTTACCGCCTCTAATTTGCGCATCCACAGTGAATGTGAAATTAGCAGCAGTAGCAGTCAGGCTACAATATCAGTCGCCCACAGACCGCAGCCAATGACCCGGACACCTCCACGGGAATCGATGACACGTGATATCGTCCCAAGAAGGCAGGGTGTAACCGCCCTGCTTCATCTCCGAGATCGCAAAAGCGGTATGTCAGTGCAAGTTCGGAGTGACTTCAGATGATCGTGCGGTTGTGCATTGGTATCTCCTAGTGATGTAAAAGACAATCCGCCTCTGTAAAATACATGGTGTGCTTTTATACTCAGTCCCTGAACGCCAGAGCGCCATACGCATGCAGAAAGTGACCTGGAACGTGTCACCCAGCCTTTCCATATGACTACATCACCTTAATGTCTCTTCGCCCTCTTGTCCTTGCCAGGTCGTTTACTCGCACCGCCGCTGGGCTTTCCCTTCATCCTACGAGCTGAGAAGTCTCGTCCGTCTGCGCTGGATTGCGCGTCGTTGCTCTTGGCATGACGCTTCTTGCCACCGAAACCATACTTTGAGTCCTTCTTCTGACGCTTGTTGTTGAAGGCTTTGCCATCAGAACCGCGACCGCGTCGGTCGGACTTGGAGTCCTCAGCAGTGGCAGCGACGTCGAAGAGGTCTTCCTCGTTTGTAGCTGTGATGTCGGCTCCTTGTCGCTCTGCATGTTCGTTAGTATACTATAACTTCTTTGTTTGGGTACAAGTAGCACGTACTCCTCTTGAGGGTCTGAATCTTCTCAATTGTGTCCTTCTTCTCCTTGGCGCGCTCCTGCAGCTTCGCGACCTGGACCTGCTTGCCGAACTTCTTCAAGTCTCTTTGCTTACGTGCCTCAGCAGCGGCCTTCTTGCCTGCCGCAGCATCGATCAGCTTCTGCTTAATCTTGCCCATGTGCTCGTCGCTCTTGACCATCTCCGCAAAGTAGTCTGCTGGTCGGGAGAATGATACGCCCTCCTTCTTCAACTTCTTCCGCGCGTCCTTGACACCTGACAAACATTGCTTGTAGAACGCGAGCTCACGGTTGAGGTCGTCTTCGACGTCGGCGATCTCGACAGGCTCATCGGTGGTTACGGATTGGTACTCGGAGAAAGCGAGTTTGGAGTAAGGGAGTTGGATACGGTTCAGAGCAGCGGTGAGGGCGGCGGTGTTGTTGATGGTGAGGCGCTGGTGAGGAATAATGTCACCCTTGTCCTCCGACGCGACGGAATCAAGATCGGACAGCGCAATATCATCCTCATCCTCATCCTCCTCGTCATCTTCGTCGTCATCTTCGTCCTCCTTCGCAGCGTCCTCAGCAGCGTCCTCAGCCTGCAACTCTTCTTCGTCGGAGCTGATGTCGCTCTCGCTGTCGTCGAGATGAGAAAGGTCGATCGCCGGTCGCTCGGGCGCATCATCTTCATCGCTTGCATCATCGTCATCTTCCTCGTCCGTCTCCCAATCAGGCTCCTTGACTGCCGGCGCGGACTTTGAGGGCTTTACTTCAGCCTTCTTGTCCTTCTTCGACTTCTTTATCTTGCCATTAACCTTGACCTCTACCTCGTCCAAAGGCACAGGCACGCCGCCCTCCTCAGCGTCCTGCTCGTCATTCTCCTCGACCTTCTTAGCTTCGCGCTGTTCCTTCTGCTTGTGCGCCTGCTTCTCGTGCTTGCGCTGCTTCTCAAGCTTAATATTTCGGCCTTGATAGTTGTCGAGCGCGGCCTTGAGCTTGCTTTTCGCCATGTCGCCTGAGTTCTGAGATAGTTTTGAAGGGCGTTGGATCTTGGATGTTGTAAAAGACCAGACGTCAAAGCTTCCCAGAAAATAATTCGTGAAGTTCGAACTCTGGGCGCAGAAACATTTTAGCGCGTAGGCTAGCTTGACCGCCTACGAAACGGGCAGGAAGCCGCGGCGAAGACCACGTGCTTCGTGACCCAACGACCTAGTGTTCACTCTACATGCGCATGTCTTCTGTAGAATCTTAGTATCGGACTCAACAATTGACTTTTGAAACGCTTGACTTGCCCTGAAATTGTTCACTACTCAGCCTCTCCTCCAATCTCCGCACAAATATACTACATCATGGCAACGCCCCAACCGCTAGCAGATCGCGCGCAAAGCGACACCGCGGTACGTGCTACACTTACGATGATGCCCCGCTTTCCCTGACACGAGAACAGTCCGCTTCATCAACCAACGCAGAGGGTTCTGGAGAGCTCACAGCGGTCGTTGACGATCTCTTGAACCAACTCAACACCAAGTTCACCACAGTCAGCAGCGAGCTACTTGCCAAGAGTAAGCATGAGCGCTTCTGTGCGGAGTAGCTAAGATACTGATGATAAGTAGTGGATGACATGTCACGGCGACTGGATAACCTGGAAGCTACTATCCAAGCTGGAGATGGGACCAAGGGTTCGGGATCTGGAAAGTAGAGGTTATCTGAAAAAAAAAAGCACTCCATATTGGCAAAAGTAGGCGGTGTAGGCTGCACGTCTCATACAGTCATTGGCGTTTGGTAATGGGATACATAGATCGCATTGATTGCAATTTGGGTATTTACTTTTGGTTCTATCGCACTTGATTCCCCTTCTTCTCATTGTCGTAATCACGTATGCCATTCCTACACCCCGCATGTGTGCGTCCCCAGCTCATCGTATCATATCAATAAAGTGGTGGTATGAATGTCCTCATCTACAATGTTAAATCATCATGAAAACCGTCTACAACTCCTGCTTCTCTTCCGCATCATCAGCAATGAACTTACTCAAGATGTTGCTCCTGCTGATCAAGTCGTCCATCTTCTCGGGAGCTAGGTTACCCTTGGCAATGAGACCCTGCAGGCGCTTAAGTTCCTTCGCAGCGTACTCCGAATTGGCACCGATCTTGTTGAAGACCTTGACGTAGTATTCCGCGTACTTGTCCTGAAGGGTACCTGCGAGGCTCTTCGCCTCCTCGGCACCATCGGCCCATGAGCCCTGGAACTTCTCGATAATAGTGTTAAAAGCCTCGATGGTGCCACCTGTGGCGTCGAGACCACCGCCTACAGCGCGGTGGGTACCGGCGTTGGCGTTGATGAAGTCGATGAAGTCCTTCTCGGAGCGGGCGCCGTTGTATGGGAGGGGCTCGGTGGAGCCCTTGGGGAAGTATTTGATGGTCGGGTAGGATGACACTCCTTGCTCCTGTGCGAGGGCCTTGGAGTTTTCGGCTTCGGCGTCAACCTTGGCGATCAAGACACCGGGCTCGGTGACGAAGTCGTTGGCGAGGGTTTCCCAGACGGGGGCGAGGGTCTTGCAGTCTGTTCAGGTGTTAGCTGTAATCTATACGCAAAGAGGAGCTTGAAAAGACATACGTCCGCACCATGGGGCGGTGAAGGCAACAAGCACATCCTGATCCTTTCCAACCTTCTCCTTGAAGGTCTTGTCATCCAGGTACACGACCTGGCTAGGCAGCTTGCCCTTGACCTTGGGCTTAACGGAGCTCTTCTCCGTGATGAACTTGCTCAAGCTCTCGAGGTCACGTCCTCCACTGTAATCGGTAGGCTTGTCGCTCTTTCCGTCGAACCACTTGAGCGTAGGGAAGCCTGAGACGCCGAAGCGCTTGCCCAGCGATTTATGTTGATCTGCATCGACCTTTGCAACGCTGACCTTGTCTCCAGCGTGCTGGAAGACGGTAGCGAGCTCTTCGTAAACGGGAGCAAGGTTCTTGCAATGGCCACACCAGGGAGCGAAGAACTCTACGAGGGCGGGCTTGCCGGACTTAAGAACGACATCATCGAAGTTGGAGGGTGTGAGGTCGATAACGGAGGATGCCGAGGCAATTGCTGGTAGCAGCGCAATGACTGCTGGTATTAAATTGCGGAAAAGCATCTTGAAGGTGTATGAAGCTCAACGATGAATTGAGGCTCCAGATGTGTGTTGAAGAGCGGTGGGAAATCTGGTGGGGAGCTAGAGCAGCACAGCGGCTATCAGGGTCCCGTGGCGGTGGCGATCGCTTAGTATGAAAGGTGTCCTCTGTTACGCGTCTGACAGCTTTACAAATCCAACACCACACCCCCCGGGTATGACGTACACTGGGTGGTGGCCATGTATACTAATCACTTTGTTTATTGCAGTGATTCTTGCTGGCAATGAATAACCTTGCATATACTGATTCTTGGGTATCACATATCCGTCGTCCTCCCAACCTGCATGTGACGATCACCTACTACAAATCCTCAGATTTAGTTCAACGACATTTTCCAATTGTTTCCCCCAGTCATGCCATAACTCCCACTAACAGTCTTCTCCTCCTCCTCCTTCTTTTCCTCTTTGACCTCCGGCTTCTTCTCCACCTTCGCCTCTTTCGCCTTTCCCAGCTCCGCAACAACCTTCTCCACCGCGCCCTTCAGAGCCCTCACATCCGCGCCTCTGATCTCCTCAATCTTCTTCCCGTCCTTGAAAACCATGAAAGTTGGCATAGCTGTGACACCGTATTGTCCCGCGATCTCTCTCTGCTCATCCACGTTGACTTTTACGAAAGCAAACTTCCCAGGCGAGGCGTGTGAGGTGGAGAGTTGGTTGTAAATGGGCGCGATTTGCTTGCAAGGCGGACACCATGTTGCGTAAAAGTCTGCGATTAGATAGCTATGTCCGTTTAGGAGAGTGCGAAAGTGTAGGGGTGCTGATATTTCTGTCGGCATGATTGGGATTCGTGTTGTTTGTAGATGCAATTTGCTGGTGATGTATGTTGTATGTGTTTGGGTGTGGTGTGTTGATATGTGGTATGGTCAACAGTTGGTTTTCGTATATCGAGGTGATTGTCAGGATCAGACTGCACTTTTGTAGCAGCTCGACTGTGCGATGGCGCAACGTTGTAGAATGTTCTATTGTGGTGAAGATCCATAACCTGTAGCTCAGTCATACTGCGAATGGTCTCGCCAATCAGCATTTGTCATCAGCTTCACGATCACGTGCCGGCACGCTTGCTGCATCTGGTAGTCGGTGATAGCGACTCCATCAGCAACGAAGATTCCAACGGTCGCGAAGTTGGTACACGTACTTCTTCGCAAGGTAATGAGTAAATGTGTAAGAGCGTAAGCGTGTTATAGACCGATAAGATGGTCTGTAATAGACTTGACAGCGCAATTGTATACATGCGGGTTTTGTCACCACCTGAAATCCCAAGAAAAGCCCACAACGCCTCGCTATGCCATCATGGGCAGTAGAAACCCGGCTGCTATCCAAAAATCACACTGTCTTTCAGGAGCTCAGCCCCCACCCCTACCAAGTATCTCTTCCCTTTCCAGTACCTCAGGCTTGAACTTGATTAAAAAGACCGTCTTTCCCGGCCATAGTCCCTTGCCGTCCTTGCCTTCCTCGTCGCCTACGCTATGCGCTGTTACGCCCTCGGTCGGAAAGCCCGCGCCATCGCACACACCCTCGATTATGCCCGCCACAAATGCCGCGCAGTTCAAACTAGACAGTTCCTTGGGCAGGCTTATGTATTGGTTGACCATGGGGTCGTTGTCGAAGAGCATGTATTGTCCTGGATCGGTACCAGACTTTTCTAATGCGTCGGCGGGTCGACCGAACAGGTAGCGGTATAGTTGCTGTGCGATGAACTGGAGGAGAGGTAGTATACGAGTGGGGCGGATGCTCGCGAGGGGGTTGGCGGTACGAGAGAGGAGAAGGTCGAGCAGGCGAAGGCCGATCGGGTAGCCTTGAGTATTGAGTCTGAATCATGATTAGGACATGCTTCGTAGCAAACCGACTGTAGCATTCCGCAGTGCATATGTGAGGCATCGCGACTTGAATCTTCTGGCATACCTCTGCTCCAAGTCCCCCACATCCTTCGCGCCCTTCTGCGCATACGCAATCATCTCGATGAAGAGGTATGCAAATGCCGCTCTACTGAGCTCGGCATTTTTACTCCGGTTCAAATTCCTATCGTATATGCTCTTCTTGTTTGACGGATACCGCAGCCCCGGCCCCTGGCTTGCGTTCCCACTCATCGCTATGTGCTGCCCTTGTGCTTGCGATTGTACGTTGGGTTGCGGACGAATCGTGGCTGCAGACGAGGATGCAGAGGCAGTTTGCACGGAATGTGCTGGTTTGGAGAGCGAGGGCTGGCGTGAGGGGTAGTAAGAGTGGTACAGAGGCAGAATGTTGGACATGGCTGCTATTGAACCCTGACGGTGTTGTTTGGCGGAGTGATGTGGGTCCGAGGGTCGTGCGTCGTGCGTCAGACTTGCCGCGCGGGTTGAGGCTGAAGATGCCAAGCACAGACTCGCTGTCTGCTACTTCCACTTCCGAGTCCAGCCGTCTGACATTCAATACCTCCATCTATCTGTGATTGCATATTGACTGCGATGTATACGTCCCGAGAAACATCGGTGTACCGCGTCGACTGGCAACCGTCACCGCAGTGGCCAAGCTCAGAGCCACACCAGCCATATGGACTACAGCAGTCTCCAAGCCCAAATATAACCAGCCACATCACCGCAAGTACCTTCAGGTGAAACTTCGCTCGCAGCATTGCATGTTCCGTACTAGTTCTGGCAACCGGCATCGCAATGAGCAGGTTGCGATCCGCACCACTTGGTTGCTTCTGGAATGGACTTTAGATGCGTGAGGCCAGTGAATGACGCTATTGTATAACACATTATATAGTTGACTCTTTGGCAAAACACATGGGTGGCTACTGAAGATTCATAAGACATTTCAATTAGTCGATACCGCTACTGGCGCACGCGAACGTACACCTTAAACTGTACCGGACAATCTGATGCTGGTATCATGCCACTCTGTCTTCACTCCTAATCTTCCTCGGCATCCTCCTCATCCTCCAAGTCAAAGCCCTCATCAGGGAATCGTTCCCCCAGCATGGCCTTAACGGCCGCAAGACAATCTCGTTTCCGATAGCGGGCCAGGTCAGGCCATCCATGGCTGCGATATATTCCCTGGACGGCAGGTAGCATACCCTCATTATCGTCGTCGTCGTCTTCAATCCCTGTCCACACGTCTTGGACCTCGCGTGCGCTTAGAGGAACAAATTCCAGCTGCTGGAAATGGAACTTGAGTACCTCGAAAAAATCTTTTACAGCCCAGACTGCGGAGTCAGCTCGCCACTCGGAGCCGGGTACGGAGGGCCAATCGTATCGATCATCCATAACTTGTTCTCGTGCAGGATTATACTTGATGGGACCAGGGCAGTTTGGCCAGTACACCAGCCCGAGCTCCGTGTCGAGCAAGATGACGCTAGGGACGTCCCGTTGCCGCAGGGTAAGGCCGACCACATGCGCAGGAACATCACCCTCGTCAGCATCAATCTCGGTCAGCATTTTGACCGGCCGCCAGTCGGTAACGCGAGTGAAAGATTGCCAATCGACAAACTTCCAATAGGGAGCGCCATCAGCCTCTTCATAGTTGGTGCTGGAAATGTATGGCAGGTGGCGAAGTAGCTCGATGACTTCGTCCGATTTCCCGAAGCCTGTCCAGGCGTCGGATGTGATTGTTGGCCATCCGCCACCGGGGGCCTGGAGGACTTGGAATTTGGGCAAATACATGTCCACAAGAAAGCCGTAGTAGTCGCGAACCGCAGCGACAGTAGTGTCGCGGGAGTAGCTAATTTCATTTAGGAGCGGGCATTATTGCGGGAGAGATCTTAGAGGAGTAATGCACAGAAAAGGCGACCAATACACGAAGTACTTGTTTGCGAAATATCTAGGTACGCGAGTTGCCCTGTTGTGCAGCCGAGCCAAGGCGGAAAGATGGCCACGTACAACTATTCCCAAAACACACTACTAGCGAGCCCACTCCTCGAATCCTGCAGGAAGTGCCCAAGTCCAGGTGCCTGTATACATCTACACCATTTACTCCTGCAGCCAACTTTGAAACTCCTGCGGTATTAACTCGTGCGCACATATCATTAGCCTCAGACTTCCAGCCAAGAAAAGAAAACCCTCACGAGAGCTCTGCATGCACGTCCTCGCAGATTGTGGAAGAAGAAAATGGCAAAAACACCGTTTCCATATCATCCGCTTGCGTGAAAGCTGTTAAGAATTTTCAATTCTAACAAATCGTCCAAAAGTGTCCATCGGCCAGTATATCTCGCCTTCACTGAGAGGAGAAGAATTTTCAGACTTCCAGGTTACCTACCAGATGTAGCCTATACATGCGATCTCACTGGGCTACCTGGGTACACCAGCTATCGGATCAACTCGCAAGTCCGGGTACGAGTCCGGTACAAGTGAAGACGTTACATGGATTCCAACTGCGAAGGACTCCGATTACATGATATTCCATAGTCTGTTCGGGTTATCTTGGAACTAGCAACGGAGAGATGGTTGCGATTGATCCTGAAACGGCCCCAGGCAGCTTCTGGAGCCATACCATTAAAGATGCGCCTTGAGGATCAAATATGCTTGTCCGATATGTAGACAGTTTGTAGGTAGATATATCGTGAGCTGATAGAAGATTCGAGGAGCCATATAATTCAGTATTTACATTCCTTTTGATCTTATCACACTCATTGATTCGATATACAACCCAGTCCTGTTACGACATTCCTGGTAAGGGCAGCCACTTTAGTGTATGCTGCCCTTACGGCAAACGACATCTTGACATCTTCATCTTCGGTTGCGCTCCCGGACACACCAGTCAGTAATCCTCGGGGATATGATAAGATCTTTATGATTGCCCGCTACCGTGTATCGAGGTTTCAAATACGTACAGCTGGACTCCTTACCTTTCCTTTGCTCATTTGCGTCGATGTCAGGAGCCACTCCTTTTACAGTTTTCTGTTACGCAATCGCTGGCAGATTATACGTCCAACATTCTCATTCGCACATGCTCGCTTTCATCTGTTCCCAACGACTACAACGGCAACTTAGTAGCGAGGGAGAATCCAATGACAGCGGACGATCTCTACGGCAGGGTTGGTGCCAAGGTTGATAGTGTGCTTGAGCTTGCGAGCGAAGGTGCAGGCAGTGGACACACTGGAACTGTTGGCATCCTTTTGGAAGGCATGCAGAAGTACTTCGCTGCTGAGGTAGACTGCGATGAAAACTTCTTGTTTGCCTACATCAACGGAACCATAGCAGGCATGTAAATGGGAGAAGATCTCGGCAATCTTTCTGCCAAATCTGTGCTCAGAACTTTAGCTGAGCGCCTTCGGGAGGAAGCTGTTGCTGGTGATCACACAGTGGCTCAGCTATGTCGTAGCGGACGACAGTCAGAATGCGTATTTAGTATTGCTATCGATACTACCTAAGACTTTGCTTCTGTCCAGAAGACAACGCTTAAATGAAGTAAGAGAAATTGCGCTGTCGACGAGAAGCTTCAGCCACTTCCTTCTCTCGCAACAGTAACCATCATGGAGATTGCTAGTTTCAACACCACCATGCACAACAATGGTACGGATAGCAGTAACTCTACCACACCGAGCTTCCATTCCTTCTCAACAAGCGATATTAGACAAGGATCATCTCTACTGAGTAAGCGTGCAACTTGTCGATACATTGGAGTTATTCCTGGCGACAGTTGTAGCGCTCCCGTTTCCAGATGTGGCATCACGACATCGCAACTCACACAGTACAACCCCAAAGCTAACCTTTGCTCGTCCCTTCAACCTGGCGACTACGTTTGTTACTCAACTGGAGACCCACACACTAAGCCTAAGCCATCGGCCCCCAAGCCTTGCGCAGACGGAACATGCGCAGTTCATCTCATCGCCAACGGTGATGATTGCAGCAGGCTTTCAACAAGATATGGTGTTGCTGTGGCTGATCTGGAGAAGTGGAACAAGGGCAAGATATGGGCTTAGACTGAATGTAAAAATATGCTTGTTGGGTATCAGTGATAGCTTGGCGCCAATGCCGTCCGCTCAAGTAGGCACGGCATGTGATCCTTTAGTCCCCAGTACAAAGCCTCTCAGTTCCGGCAATAGGTCCGTTTCATTCACCGACCTCAACCCCTATCCTTTCAACGCCTGTGGTAGTAACTGGGGCTTCTGCAGAGTATTTCCAGCCCACTACGACATCCGCACACCTCCTAGTGGTGGCCCTGGTACTAAATTGAAGCAATTCCAGAATACTTGCATGTCTAACTGCGGAAATAACATTGAGCAAAACTCTGGTCTCCCCGCAAGATTCTCTCGTATCAGACCTGCAAATTTCAGATTGCGACTGCACTGTCGTCTTCATTCCTCCTTTCCCCCCATGTCCAAATCCTGCCCACGATCTTTTAACATAGCCTCGATAGCTGCGAGACAATCATCCTTGTGGTATCGTGTTAGATCAGACCACCCATGATCTCTGTAGATCTTCTGGACTTCTTTGAGTTCCTTCTTACCCTCTGCGGTGTCCCAATACCAAGCAGCCCTAACTCGATCCGACTTAAAAGGTACGAAGTTCAGCGTTTTGAAATTGGCTTTGAGCATCTCAAAGAAGTCCACGATTTCCCAGATCCCACTGTCGGCCCGCCATTCGACCTGATCTTCAGGAATTAGATCATCGTCCAACCAGCCGTAAGGGTCGACTTGAACATCTGAAATCGCGACTTTGGCTTCACTCATACACTCGTACCAGTAGATGACACCAAGCTCGGTGTCGAGTACGAAGGTCAGACCATACCGGGAATGGACCGTTAGACCCACAATGTGAGGTGGTATCGTTGCTTCGTTCGGATAAGGCTCTGTCGCCTCTCTGATATCCTCACCATCCTTGTCCGCAGGAGTCATATGCCAATTCACAAACTGGCGCCCAGGGGCAATCTCACCCTGGCGTATGTAGGGGAGATGTCGGAGGAGTTGAATAACCTCTTCTGTCTTGTCAAAATTAGGCTAGCCTTTCGGATTGATCGTATCTCAACCATGTTCGGGAGGCTCAAGAATTTCCGAATCATCCAGGTACATAGCTGCCAGGAATCGAAAGTATCCGAGAACAGCCTGGACTGTCGCATCGCCCGAGTAGGTAATCTCGCTTATATAAGGCATGTGTCTTGCTATCGAGGTAAAAGGTGTAGGATGGCTGATAGAAGAGAGAAGGTGTAGAATGACAATAACGGAGAAGAAGGTTAATGTTCAGATGCAGCACTGATCTTACTGAGAGACGTAGGAGAATATACTATAGTATTCGCTGTCCGCAAGGCACCCGTAGCAGCACGAGGCGTAGTTCTTATGAGGCATTTCATGAATGCGGCACGGTGCCATGGACCCAACAGTTCCGCATTGGAAAGAACACACCGCCTGCATGCTCCGGTATCGGCGTTAGTTCCAGCTAAAACAGACGTAGTGGTATGAGAGTAGCGATGCGGGTGCGGATCTCACAGGCGGAGCAAGCAAGGGAATGTCCACTCTGGCAACGCGGATATCATAACTTAGGAAGCTTGCAAAATCGCCGGTTAAAATTGACTGAGGTTCGTTGTATCGGTAGTTAGGCCATTCACGAGCAGTGTAAGATCACAGAAGCAAAATTCATCAGTCTGGGTTGCAATACCCCACCTTGACTTGAGAGATTTCCGCGGTTCGCAAGGCGGGGCCAAGAGTGATGGGTCCGTGTAGACAACATCAAGAGCTTGAATTGCCTTGCCAAGCAGCCACGCACCTTCTTTCACGCACGCGTCGATTTCCACCATGTAATTCATCTTCCCTGGTAGGCGGGGTACACTATACTATACGTGTAAACACATGCTCGATATATCAAGGTCTTATAAAGCGATCTCTTCGACGCTACATAGTAGGTAGAAGAGAAGAGGTATGACATATCGAAAAGCAACTACCCCCATTGTCTACATCTCTGCATTGTGTCGAGCTTCAGCATGGCGACAGACCGCCTGAGCGGCGCGCTTCGAATACCAACCATCGTGCTCCGCACTTGTCTCGACATAACCGTTTGGCATCTCAATCATATCTCCATATAGTTTCTCAAGCTTCTTCTTCTCACCATCCACATCTTCTGAAGCTGCAGCTTTGCGCACCTCCCGAGCGGCTGTCTTCCACTCTTTGTACCATTCCCTAAATCTGTCATTGATTAGTATGGGCACGCTTTCAGCCATTAGATAATGTACCTTGTCATACACTCTCAAGCAGGGACGTTGAATGCGATAGAAAGAGAACGACTGTCGAGGTGGCATGCGTTGTCGCAATGCCAAGCGTTGAGACCCTGATGAGGTGAGTACCAAAAGAGGCGGTTCACGGTGAAGCTTTCGCATACCATAGGCTCCCTCTGATGCAGACATTGCGTGAGCACAGAGCAACGATATCTGTTTTCCTTCTTGAAAAAAAGTACCAAATGACATCCTGTCACGCAATCACTCATCCTTCAATTGCTTTATAACAGCTACGAGGTCTCTCACTCGCAACGGCTTTGGAACCGCGTCATACATTCCAGTCTCTTTCACACGCTTCAGTTGTTCTGTTCCTCTATTAGCAGTAACAGCAATGGTGTGGAGGCGTTTGTTGATGGATCCGTTACACTGCAAGGCCCGAATCATACTCGCGCATTCGAGGCCATTGACGATGGGCATCTCAATGTCCACAAGAATGACATCGATACCTGGCGATGATACGGTGGCGTCCTTCTAGTACTGCATAGTTCTGGCAATGTCGAAAGCCTCCTGTTCGTTATCGGCTGTGTAGACAATATATTCATGATGTTCTAACTGCTTTTTGAGACTCTCCGCTGGTAGACCAGGTTGCCTTCCACGAGCAAAATACTGGACTGAGTCATCGGCGGAGCATCTGGAATCGTAATCGTAGCATGAAGGAGCTGTTAGGTCGTTCTTTCGGCATTGATCGACTTGTTGGGGCTCACGGCCGACAGGTTCGAGTTCGGCGCTGGGGCTCTGGATGTTCTAGTACAGAAAGCAAATCCAAATCCAACATATTGCTGAGATTTGAACCCAATCTCGCCACCCAGAGAGGGTGTCGTTTTCTGACAAATGAATGGCCCCAGCCCAGAACCGCACAAAATCCGACGTTTCACGATACTCCAGGTCCGAAAACCTCCACCTTCGGGAGTCGGGACCACCTTCTCGGCACTAGATATTTCACCGCCATTGACATTAAAACAGTTCCCAACATCATTGCTCAAGACTATTCGGTACTGTCTTCAAATACAGAACACCAAAGACCACAATGCACATTCTCGGTCTTGCCAACGGTAGTATAGGCGGAAACTCCACCATCCTCCTAAAAGCCGCTCTTCAATCCGCCAAATGCTCCTCAACCAACACAACAACGTCGTGGATCCACGTTCCTTCTCTCTCATACCCCCCCAATGCGGAACCCTTGAGTAACTCCCAAGACATATCCATGGGCAAAAATGCGGGGAACAACTTTCACGGCCTCTCTACCAGAAGTGTGAAGGTTATCGATGATCGAAAAAGGTTGTATGAAGAGATCATGGACGCCGACGCGCTGATATTTAGCACGGCAGTGTACTCGCACCAACCCGCTGGCTCTCTAAAGGCGGTTTTGGATAAAATCCTAGGCCCATACACGGATCCCGTCTTCGCATCTCGCGTCCTGGCGGGCCAAAGCGCCAACGATCCCAAATTTACCTCCATGAGTGTAGACAAGAGAATTTTGAAGCCTAGGGTGTGTGGCTTCCTTGCTGTCGGGGGGAGTACCACACCTGATCAGTTCACAATGGTGCTCCCCACGCTGCATCTACTGGCGGCTGGTCTACACGTAAAGGTCGTCGATCAGGAAGTCATCAAGGGTTGCGCTAATCCAGGAGCTGTACTGGGCGCGGAAAATGGAGCAGTTATGAAGAGGGCGGAGGATCTGGGGTGCAATGTCGTCAGCCAGGTGGGCAAGGAGTTTGATGAGGCCCAGTACCTTGGGCCCGTGGTAGAAGGGGCGTGTCCGAAATGCCATCTTGCCAAGTATGATTTCTTTGGTGGCGAAGAGATGAGGATAGGGTGTGTGGTATGCGGGTACACAGGCAGATTTGTCGTAGGTAATGGCAAGGTGGAGGTCAAGTGGGACGAAGAGAGTGAGTATTGTTGTATTTCATGGTTGGGGAAGGAGAAGCATATCGATGACATTTTCAAGAATGGGAGTGCAGAGTGGAAGGGGCTCGAAGGTAGCAAGAAGCAATTGCAAGAGTGGATGGAGTTGGATGTTGGGAGAGTTACGCTACCAAGTGAACAGCAGGGTAATGCTACGAACTCGGTAGCTGAGATGCAATGATTACGTACAGTTACAATACAGTATAGGTACAATTAGCTTTGCACAGAATACAGACTTCCAGAGAGGCGGAAGGATAGTGTGATGATAGGCACATAACGTGTTCCACCAGTAAGCTGGCCATACTAGTAAGCTAGCTACTCCGGGCATAATTCTACCTAGGTACGCATCAGTTGACCGTGTCATCCTCCTGACAACTATGTATACAAGTCACCTCGAAACGCAGCATAGAACAACGTGACATGACCTTACTAAGCAGCTGGGAGAAGCTCGATATTCTGCGCTGCGAGCGATTCCTGAAAGGGATTAAAAGCTGAGTCGACCCCACTGGGGGCTTCTATGTCTATGGGCTTTTATGTCTATGGCATCTACATGCGTCCGCAACAGCAAAAGGACTCATACAAGAAGAAAGATGAGGGCAAAGCTCAGGAGATATCGTGTGAGTCATGCTGATTCGAGCTCAGAGAGCAATGTCTAAAGGCTACGTATCTAGTAGATAAGCTGTACGTCCACGCTGCGGACACCCTGCGCTACGAGCAGCCAGAGCCGTACAATCAAGAGCTCATTGACACTTTGCGCTTACAATCCGCTGCGTACCTTCCCGGCGCTTCGCTCTCTGACATCTATGGGCATTTTCGCAAGAACGCCGGGAGTCTCCTTGGTGCTGGAGGCGAACTCATTGAGGAGGGTCACAACTGCGGTTCCAAAACCGACTGGTGTCTGATCACCAACGATGAGTTACTCAATAGTATCGAAAATAGGTCCGAACCAATTGTGCCAATGTCGCTAGAAGGTGCGATGCCCTGGACTCTAACGCGCAACGCCAGCAAGGTGTTTGTCAAGCTATTTAGTAAGGACGAGTTTACAACGACGGAGCTCAGAGTTCTTGCAGCACAGGGCCAGACTGGACCTGGTCAAAGGACCGAGTGGCATGGCTGGTGCAAATTCTCACCCGTGCATCTAATGTCCGTCTTCAATGAGACGGACAAAGGTGATGTAGTGTCGCATGCCAAGCGCTTTCATGAACCTAAACTCTGTTACTAAGCATGCCGTGCGAGGGCCTGAATATAAGCTGAGCTATGATGCAAGAACAATACAATAACTTACACACTCTTCATGATTTCCCGTACTTGCAACACCGCACCCAACCGTGCGACATGTAGAGACCTATTTCAAGCATCCTCATAAGCTCATCAACATCTAGCTGCATGGTATAGTTATTCACCACCGAACAGCCATACAACAGGCCATGAATGTGCGGCATTGTGCATTAGAACAAGCTGGGCTGTGCGATTGTGCCTTTCTTGAAAATACTCTCCTAGTTCGTGTAAGGCTTTACTGCCTGTGAACTGGCTTGATATACCCTGCTATATGCAAACTTTAATTGTAGCCTAGCTTTGGTGAACCACTGCAGGAATTTCAATAGCTCAATCCTGTTTATCGACTCCTACATGCTGAACCACTGTCGCGCAACAATAACTGAGCAAAGGCAGAAGGTATACGACCTGCAATCAGTGGAATAGAAGAATCAAAGAGGTGCCGAAAATTGATTGCTGAGTTGGTATTATCTGAAGAAGCTACATCTCGTTCTCAAGGGGTTTTTAGGCTTATATCTAGCCACCTTAGGTCAGATGATCTAATGCTACACCACAACATGTATATTGTGTTGTTAGGTGATTGTCGCTCGCGCATAATTATGGCACACACGGACACGGTATGTGTGAATAATGTATTCGTGACTGCACAATGCAACGATGATGAATGCAATAGAAACAGGCTTTGAGCCAACTTATGTCTTTGGCTGCTAGTTGTCTACTTCTGCTTTACTGCCTGGCAGCAGGTATGCCGATCACTGTAGCTTCGCTTGGTTTGTTTGTGTCAATGATATGGGTAGGGCCCACCAGAACGTGAAGAGCAATGCGAGAGTTACAGTAAGGAAACACCCACTTTCTCGAAGACGGCCGCAATACAGCGGGAGACCTCAGCCTACGTGCATGGGAATCTGCGAGCACAGCCGCTATACAGCCTGGATGGCGTCGCAGAACTTTTGCTGCATTTGCAGAGATGCCAACAATCAAGTCAATCAATTTGAGGCCGCCGATTGAGCTTGATTAAAGTTTTATGAGGTCGCGATTGAAATTGATTTCATCGAAGCTGTTTTAGAGTCGTAATTAATTGAAGTTTTAATGCTCTTAATTATGTTTAATATGCAATCTAGGGCGATCTTATATAGCTGCCTCTAGTTATCATTCTCCTACTCGCATATATCGTAGATTCTAATTACCTCCTAATTAGTAAGGCTATCCTCCTAGCTATAAGGAGGCTTAAAACCTGCTTTTCTCTAACTCTAGGTACATTAGATAGCCGCTAGCAGTTAAGATCTGATCTTCCGCCTGCAGGGCTCTAATAGGTCGCCAAGCTCGCTGAACAGGCGCTCGCATTAACAGCTACTAGCTGGTATAGTGAGTAGATCGATTGCTAATCGCGATAAATTTAGATATCGCGATTGCAGGCTAATCTAATACTTAACTAGATTACCCTCCTGCTTAAACTGCTCTTTTATCTACGCTAGCTCATATCGCCGCCAGCAATTAAGCTCGTCTATCTTTAATATATCTACCTCGTTTGCAGGCTTAAAGTTAACAAGCGCAGCGATTGCGTCGTTAATACCGCCTGATCGCGGTGGCCTTAGGCGCGTAACTGGCAGCGATTGTAAGGGGCTACGCTCAGGGAGCTATCGCACAGGTATACTGGAGTTGTATTCGATAGAGAAGAGAACTACAGGTAGCTAGGGTTCTGAAGGTCGTTCAGGGGGCGGCGGCTCGGGATAACCTTCCGCCGGGCTCGCTTGCACAGAATCCGGGTGCTCAGGGGGGGCACCCGGAATCTGTGGACAGTGCGCCTCGCGCACGTGACCGAGATATCATCGAGGACTCACCAACTGGGCTTCAGCCCATCACAGTTAGCGGATTAATTGCGTTATTAGGCAGCAGGTTGCGCAGCTGCGATTTGAACAGAGCCTCGTCTGTAGCTTAGCTAGCTGCAACCTTAAGGGCTTTGCGCAGTAAGGTTCGTACAGGTAGCTTAGACTGCGACTAAGAGTTGTTAACTTTAACGCGTTTATTTAACGCAGCAACGCGATTAGCAGCGCGTTTAGAGGCCTTTAGAGGCATAACAGATAGTTACAGCGCGTAAGAAACTTAGAAATAACAATTGCGATAGGCGCTAATATAAGATATAGGCTGATGTTAACGTGGTTTACAAGCGAGTGACGCACCCAAGCGAGTGACGCACTTTTGCCAAGACCTCACCAAAACCACGACTACGCACGACTGTACAGCACCGTTAACAATAGTAATTAGAAATCGTAATACACTATTCTACTCAGAATCTACTTCTGCATCCTGCTTACATGTGCGCGAGTTGTGTCCTACCTCGCCGCAGCGTCCACAGCGTCTTTGAGACGATTCGCCTACTTCAACGCGCGCCTTCTTCTTTGCCTTCTTCCCATCGCTGCGCGCGCCAAACTCCTTTAGAGTCGTTAGTCGAAGACCTTCCTCTACTACAAGGGTTCCCTCCTTCTGTACTCGCTTTCTTTTATACGATTTACGTCGCGTGGCGGCCTCGTTAGCTGCTTCAAGCTCAGCGATACGCTTTTGCGACAACACTAAAGCATGCGCCATCATCTCTGCGCCTTTAGAGAGGCTTTTCACCGCCTCAACCATCGAAGTAGGCGAGCTATCTACATGCCTCTGAAACCTCTCGAGAACTAGCTCCGTTTGAGACCCTAGTTCTACGGTATTGCTTGGGGTTTGCGACTGCCAGGGACCGTCCTCGACCGTGGGTAACGGTGGAGTACGCAGGCGGACGTCGAGCATCGATATAACAGCCTCTGGATCGAATGGAACTAAGCCAGCGCCTCGAAAGCCTCCTAGGATATTGCTCCTTGTAATAGAGGCCTTGTAGGCGGCAATAAAGCACGGTAAGAACTCTGTTTTCGTGATGTGGGTGATCTTGTTGCGCATCAGCTTCTCGGCTTGGCACCCATACGCCTTCTTTAGCGGCGCAAAACAGCCAACGTCAAGCGGCTGCAGTAGGTGCGAGGAGTGTGGAGGCATGCAGAGGGTGATAATCTTCTTCTCCTCGCAGAGCTGGTGGAAATCGATCGAGCTGTGGCTCTCGTGACCGTCGAGAACTAGCAGGCGGTGGCTGCCAACAACCCTCCCCTTTGTATGCCTGTCAAAGTGCTCTAGCCACTCGATACCAAGCTTGTTTGTCGTCCAGCCGTTCTCAGAGACTGCAATTACCTAGTCTCGAGGCAGGCTCTCCTCCTTATACCAGGCGGAGAGGTGGTGCTTGCCTTAGAAGATGATGAAGGGTGGAATCGCCCACCCCGTCGCGTTCATGCCCTAGATAGCTGTAACCCACTCCCGGTTGCCCTGCTGCACTGTCTTTGGCCGTCCTCGACGGTTTGCTGCTGTGACTACCGAGCCAGTCGATATCACGCCCATCATGAAGCCAGTCTCATCAAAGTTGTACGTGTCTTCGTCCTAGATGCCGTACTTGGCCTTCGTATTCTGTACTAGGCGGAACCAGCCTTGTATAACCTCAGGATCCTCGCAGAGGGCTCTACTATAGTCGTACTTTCGATTAAACTTGACTTTAAGCTCAGGGCGACGCTTTACGAAGTTTGCAGCCCACTTCTTGCCAACTAGCTTCTGATTGCGGATCTCAAGCAAAGAATTGGCCATCTCTTCAACGTCAGCGAGCCTAGGCGGATATCCTTGCTCTACTAGCTTGAGAACATGCCTAACAATCGCTACCTCTTCAGATCCTCGAAGAGCTATTGAGTTAGGCGCGCGATCGCGTCGTTGAGGCGTCCCAGCGAGTCGCCTTCGTAGTGTTGCTTCAGAGACGCTATAGATAGCTCCAGCGCGTCGCGTCGTTAGTGTCGCGTCTCTTTGGATAGCCTGTATCGCAAGCTGTATATCTGCTTCGTTTGAGATCATTTTCACGCTGTTGCGTTGAGGCATTACGACTTGATTGAAGTTTGGTGAGGTCTTGGCAAAAGTGCGTCACTCGCTTGGGTGCGTCACTCGCTTGTAAACCACGTTAAACGCTAATAGTATGTTGCAGGGTAAGCTAAATTAGAAGGTTGCTTACTAATTGAAACTTAATACTACTAATCTATCACTATATTAATATTATCTACAGCCTAGCAATCTTATTAGATACCTCGAAAATCGCGCTACAGTTAGCACATAATTAAGCCAATCAATCAAGTTAATCAAAAATAGGGCCTCGATTTGTTCTTGATTGAGAAAACGCTATAGGCGAATTGATCTTGACTTGTTTGAGCTTTTGGATCAAGAATCAATCAAGTCAATCAAAATGCTTGTTTGTTGGCATCTCTGTGCATTTGTCAGTTCGCAACACAGCCTCGCAGCGCTACACGCAATCACATGTAGAAAACTGCAGCAAATCAGGTGTGTCAAGGTGATTCTAGTTGTCGTTAACAGTGGAACGAAACTAGGTAAAATCTTGATAGATTCTCGCATGATTGTACACTAATTAGAAACAACAGGGATAGTAATAGTGCTCGCGTGTGCGCCGCCCGTCAGTACGCGATTCGTAGCCTCACGATGGTATGATGCGTTATAAGCACGTTCGAATCCAGGCATCGTTCCAGGACCTTCAATGGGAGAGATCTCGAGCCTCAGTCGTCGCCCAGCCGCAACTATACCGCAGACAGCCAACAGTTCCACTTCGATACTGACTGCTTCATTGGGGACCATAGGCTTCGCATCCGCTTCAAGGTGCGTGTGCCAAGGGCGTGCGGTGGTACTCCGACTAGCATCTAGTGCTCTTCTTGATGCTTTTAGCACGCCTGAAGTTAGTGGCGGCGAACTTCTGTTGCCCCGGTCCTCACCTTGGAATGTGGCTGGTGCTATAGTCCTGTACGAAACGTCCTCTGTTCCGTCCAAGACACGAAGGGCGACGTAGAAATCAGCATCGGACGAAGTAGACGCCACCCATAGGCTAGCTCGAAAATGGCCAGCAAACTCCATGTCTGCCTCTAAAGGTTCCGACTCGAATACCGCCATGGGCGTGTTCTCGTGGTCAACAGGGTCTGCTTCTGCAGAGTACTCAGAAAAGAGCTCTTGCTGAGGTTTCACACTAGCCAGGCTGCCTGACGCACCTCCCGCCCCGGCATCGAGAAATATCTTCCGGTACTCGGTCGAAGGTATCGGCCAATTGCTCGCATCACGCCATTTGAACTTTCCTCCACCCAATCTCATCATCATACGGACGGGCGGCAGTTCTGTAGCGGTAGCCATGTCCTTGAGATGTCGGTCGAAGAAATTACACAAGTCAGCATGACTGTCTTCAATCATCGATGGCATGTAGAAGGCATCCCAGACAAGCAAGTGTTTGGTAGATGATTGGACTTCTTGAAAAGCTTCATACCCAGCTCGACCGTGGATCACTTCGCTCTGGCTGACCGAAGTGAGCATAGGTATGGTAATCTTAGCGAAATCAGCTGATAAGAACCCGTTTCCATGGTAATATTCGTCATCCCAGGGATGATCAGCGAACCCCTCGAGGAACTTCGCCGCACTTGACTGAGGGTTTCTCTGCTTGCCGACCAGAACCTCCCACCAATATTTGCGATACTTTTCAAGATATATGCCACCTGGGTAGGATAGATCTCGATATGCATCTGCATCGCATGCGAGAGGTGCTATTGCCTTAAGAGATGGTGGCTGTAGCGCGGCGACGTTAAACTGGTTGGTAGCATGGTATGAAGCTCCAAAGGTGGCAACTTTTCCGTTACTCCATGACTGTCTTGCTGCCCATTCGATTGCATCGTAATAGTCGAGAGCCTCCTGCATGGAGAATGGATTCAGTTCACCTGGCGTGTTGCCGATACCTCTATGGTCGACACGAATCATGACGTAGCCTCGAGGCACCCAGTCGACAGAGTTAGGTCGGAACGCGGTCTCGGACCACTTGAAGAAAAGTGGAATTTCTTCTCGATCAGTCTCGTGCCAAGCGTTTTCACGTTCCTCACTTTCGAGCAGATCAGACTCGTTACGTATCACACCAATGCGAAATGCTCGGCCATAAACGCTCATGTTAATTAGCACCGGCGAGACTTCGCTGTTGAGAGGCAGGAATATGTCGGCGCCGAGCCAACTGCCATCGCGGGTTGGTATCCGCACATCTCGAAGAAGTTTGATGCCTTTAACTGAACGCCGAAGATGGTTGCGCACTTCAGCAATGCTACGGAATCGAAGGCGGAGCCTAGTGAAGATTCCACAGGTGGATATGGCCTGCTCGAAGGTTGCAGTGTCGACGTCAAATGATAGGCCGCTTCCGAAGTCCCGGATCACGTTGCTGATCTCTTCAGTGATCGTCACACCATCATGGAAATCTGATTGTTGTGTGAAGCTGAGGAGGAAACGAGCGAGGTTGATCGTAGCTGGCAGCGATATGGCCGAGTCAGGCGCACCGGTAAGGTTGGCGAGTGTTAGACAAGCAGCACCTTTGGCTGAACCGAGTCGGAGCTCTGCTACAAAGAACGCGATTTCCTCATCGCTTCCGTACGTGAACCTGCCGTCAGAGTCTGTTGTCCCTGTTCTCGAAGGCGACTCATATCGCAAGCCAATGAAAGGTCCGTCGCGGAATTTTCCCATTAGAGTTGATGCCATCGTGGTATTGTGTTGGGGTCAATTTGTGCTGGAGTAAACGCAATAGTAATAGTGGTGTTGTATTGGAGTCCAATTTGGATGAAGAACAATCGTACGCAATGAATGTATAGTCGTTTTATATTGGAGTTTATGATTGCGAAAGTATAATCCAAACACCACCACTACTACCAGTACTACTGCGTAAATTCCAGCCCGAACTCGGCAAACGCCACCGGGATGACTACATCGCAGGTTCCGGCGGCCAAGTGCCCCAGGCTCTCTCGATCGGCCCGAGTTGGAATTTACAATCATCAGATAATCCCACCGCTATATTCACAGACGAAACCAAGTTAGTACAGAAAGCTTATTAAGTATGCTTGATCATTGCTTACCGTAGCACGGTCGCGCAGTGACGCCTCCGGTTCATACCTATTGATCTTGGGATGCCAAGAGTCTTGACGGTACCGACCTGGGTCAGCTAACCGCGCGGTCCGTTTTGTGCGGAATGTCTTCCGCGCCAGTGGTCGTTCAATCATCTTTTTCATCTTTCTTACTCATTGGGACGTGCGCAGTCTCACTGTGGGGTAATCGGCACGGCCCGAGAGATTCAAAGCCTAGTCGACATCAGAAACGTGATCTTTTGCTTAACAATTGGATCGCCCACGGATGTAAGTGTTCCGAAGACTTCTGTTAGTCGAATTGATTTCCAAGCTGTCCGTGGTTTGATATATACAAGTTCCGGGTTCGATGATAAATAGCGAGCATATATAACTGATCCGTCAATTGCAAATACTGACAACAATCCTCACCCGTCTCACGGATAGATCTTTACATCCATAATCATAGTGTCGAAGGCAAAGCCCGTTACTCTCCAAAATGTCTCTTCAACAATATGTACCGGGCACAGCATTCTTCATCAGCGAGCTCTACGAATATCTCGAAGGACTCGGGAACTACCACCAGTAAGCTTCGCAGAGATCGATCTCGTACGACCACGACTAATCATTAACAGATCTGAGGCGATCACTGCTGCTATACCAAAAGTGAACAACAGCCCCATGCGTCCACCGCTAGACCTAAAGACCGAGAAACTCTCAGGCAGCGCTTTCGTAGGCCCACGGTCCCTGGCTGTACATACATGGGTGTACCGAGTACGCCCAAGTGTTATTCATGGGAAGCATGTTCCTTTCCGTCATGACTCGGAGAGCGGAAACCCCACAAAGGGAACGAATTTGACTCCAGACTCCAAGTTATGGGAAAAGTTCCCTCTTCAGCAAGCTTCAGATTGGTTCAGTCAGCGACTGATTGGAGCTACTGGCGATCCGGCACTCAAGAGTGGACTGTCTACATGGGCTTACAATATCAACAAAGGCATGGATACCAACACTGCCTTTGCCAGTCTGGACGGTGAGGCCCTCATCGTTCCACAGCTAGGGGCTTTGGATATCACTACAGAGCTCGGAAAGCTCCTTGTGCGTGCCGGGGAGATAGCTGTCATTCCTCGCGGCTTGCGATACCGTGTGCAGCTTGTGAATGGTATACCTTCTCGAGGCTTCATCAGCGAGTTATACCAAGGCCATTACCGCCTTCCCGAACTCGGCATCATGGGAACATCCGGTGCGGCAAACGTGCGGGATTTCCAGATCCCGTCGGCATACTTTGATGGCCAGATTGTGGAAAAGGACGGGTATAGGATCGCAACTACATTAGAAAACAAATGGAGAATCATCTCGCGTCTCAACTACAAGCTATTTGCTTGCGAGCAAGACCATACCCCGTTCGACATCGCCGGGTGGCATGGTACTTTGTACCCGTACAAATACGATCTTGGAAAATTTGATTATCTCGCCAACGTCCACTTCGGTCACAAGGATCCAAGCGCACACACTGTTCTCACAGCGCAAACTTACGGGAAAACCCCTAATACCGCTGTTGTTGACTTCATTATCTTTGGAAAGCGACACGAAGCGGCTCTGGACACGCATAGGCTGCCTTGGTATCATCGTAACACGATGAATGAATTCAGCTACGCTATTTGGACGGGGCGTCCTCCCACAGACGAAAGCGAGATTATTGGGTTCCCGGGGGTATTTTCTGCTGGTGCAGTCGCCGCGCATGGTCCAAGCGATGAAGAATACCGGGCCTTGCAGGAAGTCGAGGGCATGAAGCCAGTTTTGACTATGGATGGTCCGCTGACAATTGCCATGTTTGAAACAGAATGTCCACTATATTTCACAGACTGGGCTATGGAGATGGCTCGAGAGAACCGCGCTGTGGAAATGAGAGGGATCGCGGAATGAATATGGACCGCTCTGGGTTGTTCATAGATCTATGAACAAATTATTGGTCGCTTATGAACCTCGTTAATAACGGTCGGATTTTATTGACGTGACTGATGGTTCGTGCGCGAAAATTAAACTCAACACTAAGAAAGCATCGTGAGATCGCTCCTACTGCAACAACAACAGCCTTATGCCTTACGCTTAGACCTATCAATCTTATCAATCTTATCAGTTAATATAGCCTCCGCGAGCTTAATTGACACAAAAATTTCTAAAGACTAGATTGGATTGATTGATCTATACATTTAGTCTAGCTTGATTATTGACAAGCCTGCTTGCAACACACCTGCTATAATGAATGCTGCATCAGCTGGAAAAGCAGATCAAAAGAAGCAGGGCAGGAAGCAACTTCAGTTCAGGACGCTCTTTCAGGAACGAAAAGCCCGTGTTTTGTCCGTCTAAATCGGCCCGACTGCGAACCTTAGAGTAACATAAGTGAGCACTTGCTGCAACCTGCTTACTGCAGCATTTGAAAGCGTCGATCAGCCATGATTCGGCATTATTTCAAGACATGCCCAGCATTCCGGAAACAGATGATCCCGCCCCACGCTTCGGCTATATCTGTTCCGCTTCACGTATGAGAAACATCGTAAACGTGAGGGAACTGTTCCGCTTTGAAGTGTAGATGTGAAAGCACATGCTAACTAATTTCAAAATGATTGTGCAACACGACAGTCTAACGGAAGAAGTTGAATTATATATGTAACGAACTTCTTTTCTACAATCCTTTCGATCTTCAGATTAACAAGTCCTATCTCTCATCACCAGCGCATACAATGGCCGCGAACCGTGAAACACCATACAAGCGCGGCGACCACGGAAATTTCAAATCGATTGAGTCTACACGACAGCCGTGGAAAGAAGCAGCTACTACTCCTTTCCAAATCATCCAAACGCCTAATCCACAGTGGTCTCTAGGCAGCGGACCCAACTCGACGCACCATTCCAAAGGCCACAAGCACATCTCCATCGATCCCTGGGCACCCGGTCGTCACCCCATGAGCAACTACAAGCTATGTATCAGCGCAGTAGTTCCACGACCGATTGCCTTGGTTTCTACAAGATCGAAAGACGGTACCGCCACAAATCTAGCGCCCTTCAGCTTCTTCAATATGGTGCACGCAGACCCCCCACTCTTCGTCCTAGGTCTCACAACGCCCCTAGAAAAGCCTAACGATACTCTCCGCAACCTGCAGGAAACGGGTGAATGCGTTATAAACACAGTAAGCGAAGGATTCGTCGAAGCAGTGAATGCGGCAGGTATCAATAGTCCGTATGGTGTTTCTGAATGGGATATTACCGGACTGAATCCTATCTACGATTGCAAGACTGTCTCCTGTGCACGGGTGGAAGAAGCCGTATTCAGTATTGAGTGCAAAGTGGAGAGTATCCGCGAATTTGACAGCAAAGTCTTCTTGGGGAAGAAGTCGGGTGCGCTGGTGGTGCTAGAGGCAACGAATTTCTGGGCAAGGGACGATGCTCTTAACAAAGATGAGAACTCGCTCGATATTGAGGTGCGTCGACATGATTTGTCTTTCATCGCGATCGTGAAACCCGCTAACACAACTTCCAGATTCTGAGACCGATTAGCAGGCTAGGGGGTATTAGCTACGGTCGTACCAGCCAGAGTTTTGAGATACCAAGAATCAACTTTGAAGATACTAGGCTGGCATGATGTTGATCCAAGCATGCCGGGACGCACGGTGTAACAGGATACATTCTCCTCTAGATCTCCAGATTGCTCCTAGTGTTCTTCAATACTACTAAATTCAATGCGCATCTATTCTATAGCTCTTTTTTTTTTCTAGTACATCAGTCCCTGTTGCTAAAAAGCGCGCTATTAAATATACTATTGCTCGTTCTGTTAACGCTGTCTCTAACTCTCCTCTGACGCTCCCCTATTTGTTTGTAATAGTACATAACGTAGGTTATACGTGAGTGATGCAGGAAAGCTAGTAATGCATTTTCACTAAGACCTTACTAAATTTTGATTGAGTTGTAAAAGCCGTATGATGCGCTTAGCCGTCGTTAGGGTGCTACAGGCACACTCTCGACAATATTAAGGGGGTATCTTGAAGTCTCCGCAAGAGAGGGAGGTGTAAGAGAGAAGCCAGAAGCCTGCGATCAGGGTGGTTGGACTGACTAGGTCTTTAAGTAATGCCTAGATTTCGCTAATAACACGGCTGTGGGTGAGCTTGGCAGACATACTAAGCAAAATGAATTCTTCATGATGCAATGGTATCGCATTCTGTGTCAATATTCTGGTCTGAGTCTCACCTACCGAAGCGACATATTCCTCGCAATCGATGGAATTGCACAGATATTTCGCGAAGTCACCGGCTTTACGTATAAGGCTGGCTTGTTTGAAGAGCATGTTCATTCAGGACTCTTGTGGCATGCCGAGGGATTGAATATGCCTGTTCGACTGACTAATGCAGCTGCAAACCACCGTCTTGGTCGTGGGCAGCTCTCGATGGTCCGGTGAACATGATTTTTGACCGCGGGTCAACGAACATCACCACCGACCTGACAGCAAAAGTTCTTCGATATCAGCCCCATCCTGAGCGAGCGAGTTCTACCTTCACGCATGCCGAGGATGATGTTCTCATGCTGGAGGCCTCCTGTTTCAACGTTCTTTGTCGATCGAGCTCATACGGAGATGCGCCCTATAGCGACCCTTATCTTCGCATGGTAATCGATATATTCGACAACCGCGGTATCTGTATTGGTACAGGCTATCTGAATCAGATTCCAGAAAGCACTAATGCCCGATGTCAGGCTGTGGTTGTTTCGTAAAGACTGGACCCTGATCTTGGGCAAATGCTGATAACTTATTTCTTGCTTGTCAAAGAGTCGAGTCGCTTTGTAAATACCCGCTATGAGCAATTAGGTATTGGGCAGACAGCGGACAAGATCTATGGTCATGTACTCGACACGTTGAACATTCAGCTTAGCCATAAGCAGAAAGTCCTCCTCACTTGAGTACCCTGTACAAGGGATAAACTAAACACTCCTCAACAAGTTATTCCCCCCTTGCCTATTACATAACGCATAGCAAAGTATTATATGGAATTCATAGATAATCTAGAACTCTGCCACAGAGCATTCATTATCTCTGTACCTGTTCAATCTTTTCCGTTGTATGGAGTGTAAGTAACAATGGAGCAGTAGTCTTTATCTCGTCATATCAATACTCCTCCTCTCGCCGACAGCCCACCGGTCAAACAGCATACCGCCAATTTCTGGCCCAGTTTGAACCTCGCGCATCTCATAGAACATCCCATATTCTCTTGGTCTCTCCTCCTTCTCAAGCTTTTCCAGTAGCCCGAAGTCGTCTAAGCGGGGATACTTCACGTAATTGTTCTTCCGCAGACGGTACCTCAGGCATACATCTCTAAGGCCTCGAAGGTTACCAAATAGTTCGAGTAATTTCTCGTAATGCATGGTGAAACCCCAGTCACTGTACCAAAAGATCGTGACGCTGAGGACCACTCGTCGAATAGACGCGAGGCGCTGTGGAGGTATGGTCGACACGAAGCTAGATAGCATCGTGTAAGAGTCGAATCTGAAGGTGTTTTTCGAGTAAAGCACCGGGACAGCCTCGCGGTAGCTGTGTGATTCGTAAGCGACAGGCTCAGGCATGGACTAAAGGAAGAGGGGGGTAACAAACATATTTTTGCAAGTCCTCAACATACTAGTATCACAGCCTGGCTCCGCTCTTACATCCCAGTAATCCCAAGGTTCATGTTCGTTGAACTTCATAGCAAACTCCTCTTGGTCACACAACACCATCTCGTAGATCTTCAGTCGTAGCTCCGCAGGGAGCCTAGCGAAAAATGAGCTTTGCGACTGATCTTTTGCCTTCTTGTTCCACCACCTGTCTCCATCGACCGATACACTACGCTTCCTCTTTGCCGAACGACGCACACGCCTTCGGTGCTTTACATCAGCTAGGACTTCGTACCGCACTAACTGTCTTTTGGACGGACTGTGGGACTGCTTGATGCAGGTATGATATTTCAGCGATCCTAGGAAATAGCAAGGGCCAAGGAAAGGGCAGGTTATGAGTTTACACCAGAAGCGCAGAGTGTCATTGTCGTTCCAGATGTACTGCGCGGTATCTTTAATGAGCTGGGGTATCATCGTGATATCGTTGGGATGTGCGTAAATTAGAAAGCGAGGATGTTGGCTGAAGATATGGGTCCTGGGTGGCCCTGTTCAATCTGGCGAAGGAGGCGCAGTTGTTGTGGCTTGGTACACAAGGCGTGGCGCCTTAGGCAACCATATCCCTGCCAGATAAGACACAGCCTGGGTTCCTTCTCGGTTGTGCCTGGCGTGGTTGCAGTGTTTTCCTAATGCCTAGTCGAGTTATCGGTGAAGAATGGTGTTGTGATTCAAGCACATCTGCCAACTCACCGAGATGCCATAGCATACCATGAAGATATGCGCAATGTTCGACTTTATAAGCGCATCAATGTGGAACAATGCAAAAGCTTGTACAGTGTGATTCGAAAGTACCTATAGCTTCATCTGCTTATCGCAGCCTCGTCCTCTCGCGAACTTTCCACTTCCCACAAAAACAAATGCGGGTTCTCTCCAGGATCCCTCTACGACCGATATCTGTCGATTGCTTCCTGAGTGCCGTTTATTCCATACCAAACTCCGCATTGACTTCTATCAGTCCATGATTCGATTGCTTCCAGCAAGTCGAGCTCGTTCTCCAGGCTACATCTCCACAGATCGCTGACCTGGACCATGTATTTCATATCCAGAATTTTCAGCTTAGGCAATGACGCAAGCGGACTGAAGAAATCTTGATATTTGCAGTTGCGACGAAAGTGCTCATTATCGGTCAGACCAAAACCGCTGTGATAAACTGCTCTGTGGACGATAGTGACGTGTCTGATGCTGCTCAAACGCGGTGGTGGGATTGATCAAGTGAATACGAGGAACCTTCTGTAGCATGCAAAGCTAAGGTCGTTTCCCGAGTAAAGCAATTTGACAGCTTCGCGGTAGCTAATCACAAGGTAAGACCATGTACAGATCAGTCGATGAACATGTGCTCACAGCTTTCGGCATGTGCGCAAAATGTCTGTGGAGTGGCCAAGACAGGATCCGGCTCTGAACATATCGCTCTCGTCATGATACTCTACTAGACGAACATGCATCTCTTCCTAGGCGCAAAGCACCAACCCGTAAATTACCTGTCTCAACTCTGGCGGCAATTTCCCAAAGAAACTACTTTGGCTCTGCTGCAAAGTTTCTCTCGTTTTCCAAATAAACTCTTTGATTTGTCTTCCATCCATGGACACGCTTCGATTCCTGCTCTTCAAGCCTCACTCTCGGCGCGCCTGCTTCACTTCACTCATAACGAGGAAGCGGTCGATCTGTTTCATTGTACGCAAGTCTCCGGTACGTTTGTTCGAACCAGCTATGTGGGAAGTCAAGTAGCAGTACCCAAAAAATTGGCAGGTTAGACACTTGATCCATCGTCGAAGGTTGGGATTGTCATTCCAGGTGTAGAGAACCGATTCTCGAATACGGGCGAATGATTGCATCTCCAATCACAGAGATGTCTATGTCGATGGTGACCGAAAGTGGCGTTTACCAAGGATTGGGGCGGGGTGTCTTGGAATGACACAGTATCTGCTGATGGTGGGAGATCGACAGGGATGAGCTTTAGGTGGCTGTGTAAGCCCCGCCATAGGCAGCAACTTCGCGACGCCTTGAGGCGTTCTCCGGAGAAACTCACCTCTTTGCTTGTTTCTGCCCTATATGCTCATTTCAGACACTACAATTTGTGTTGTTAGCGTAATACATAATATACACCGCATTCTTCCAGGCTGTGGGTTGGGGACTATAGATAGCCGTGAAGAAAATGAGCCTCTGTACAAACCCATCGCCCTGTCCTACTTGGTGAACGTCAACTAGAGTCTACAATGAAAACGCATCCACATCATGGTTACAGAAAATGACAGCAGGCTCCAAATACTGTGGCGTTCTCTACGCTGCTAACATGTGAGACCAATCTTCAAGCATCAACTGTTGTCGCCATTCGAAAGAGATGCACACTGCAAAAAGGTGGGTAGTGATCTGAATTACAACGGGCACGTTGGGTAGCTTGGAGGATAAATGTTCTTGCAAAAGGAAGAAAGCGCAACGGCCAAGTCGGAGGAAGGAACGCAGAGCCCAGCATCCGGGTTGCCCAAACTAGCAACCCACAATTTCCCCGCCCCCGCAAACCTAGCCTCGCACCAAGTCCACTGCCAACTCCACCGAACCCAATGCTATGGAGCCACTGGAAAGCCGGACATGCGGGAATCACGGACGTATCTCCTACTATCGTAACATCCTAGCCCCGCATCCGACAATCCAAGCGGACGCGACCCTCCTGTGCGAGCCGCTACGCCACATGACGCTTGCGTATCTAGACTTGGCCATCCGTCCAGAACTGAGATATCGTACACATGTAGCGCGGCGCGGTTGTAACTGTGGGTACCTTTGAATCACATGTACATTACCCTTGGAGGCTGTGCGCAAGGCTTCCGACAAGCGGAACCGGCACCGAGGTCGCTCCGCATTTTAGAGTTGAAAGGTGGAGGTCAGGGTCATGTCTGCTATTGAAAGCGCTTTTGTAAATACGGTCGTTGCTCGCGAGAAGTACGACTCCGCTGAGTTATGGGCCAACCGAATTGGGGGGACACAGATAGGGCTTCTACAATCACCATGCGCGCAGCACGATACTACGGGAAAGAGGATATCCGGATTGAGGATGTGGATGAGCAGAAGTGTGGTGCGGGACAAGTCAGGGTATGTTGTTGTTTGATTCTCCAGAGGTGGCTCTGCACGATAGCTGATGATGAGTAGATCGCCCCGGCCTTCGTAGGTATCTGTGGTACTGATCTTCATGAATACCTCGGCGGACCCAATTTCGCACCGACGACTCCGCATCCGTGTACGAACGAAACGATTCCCATTACCCTAGGGCATGAGTTCTCGGGAACTGTCACCGAAGTGGGTTCAGACAACTCAAGCTTTACTGTGGGTCAGAATGTCGTTGTTCAGCCGACGATATATTGCGGCACCTGCGAAGCATGCAAAGCTGGTTCCGAGAACGTTTGCGACAATGGTGGCTTTATCGGGCTGTCGGGAGGAGGTGGCGGTTTGAGCGACTCCGTCGTTGTGCCTGAAGGTGCGGTGTTGAATCTGCCCAACAACGTACCACTTGATGTCGGTGCGTTGGTAGAGCCTCTAGCTGTGGGATGGCACGCCATTTCTGCCGCACCATTGACACCAGAGTCGGTTGTCATGGTCCTAGGTGGTGGACCGATCGGGCTCGCCATTGTACAATGTCTGGTCGCACTGGGCACGAAGAAGATCATCGTGAGCGAGGTGTCCGGCGCACGGCAGCGCTTTGCAAGAGAGTTTGGCGCCCATCATGTCCTTTGCCCCAAGACGTACGATGTTGTCAAGATGAGCAAAGCGCTCAGCGGCAGGGATGGACCGGATGTGGTATTTGACTGCGCTGGCGTACCAGCAAGTCTCACAACAGCTTGTACTGCGGTAAGGGCTCGAGGTACCGTCGTCAATGTCGCAATTTGGGAGAAGGAGGTTCCATTCAACCCCAACATGCTTGTGTTCCGGGAGGCGCAGTACACAGCCGTCTTGGGCTATCAAAGAAAGGACCTTGAGGCGGTCATCGAACACCTAGCTGCTGGTAAGTTGTGCTACGAGCGAAAGCTATTTGGTCCATTTGCTGATATGATTTTAGGCACGTTGAAGCCTATGAAGATGATTACTAGCAAGATCAGTCTAGAGGATTTGGTGGAGGGCGGGATCAAAGCGTTGATCAACGACAAGGAGAACCATGTCAAGATCTTGGTGGAAGTTGGAGGGATGAGTCGAGTAGATTCTGCTATACACTAATGTGGATGTCATTGTATAGACGGGAGAACTTCTCTCATGCCATAAACCTGTATGTGACCTGATAAATATGTGGTGTTTTGGAGGCGGTGACCGTCTCGGCACGCACATCTGAGTGGCGCGCTCCACCTGCAGGCGGGCAGCTTCCAGGGTCCAAGCATGCCGTCACTTCCGCAAAACTTATCCACGTCTCTGGGCAACACCAGACATGCCACTACGTACTATCGTGACTTTGATCGAGAAATTGATACTTCTCATCGCATGACGTACATGTTTTGATCACCATACTAATGATAATGACCTCGCTAACCCTTGGCTCAACGGCTCGCTGCCAAGCGTCGTATACGGTACGGTGCGGCTGATGTCCATCTATCGTAGCCAGCCCTACGCGCTCCATCGGGATGTCCCTTGATCTGCAGGAGACACTCTCTGTCTACGCCCCAGATCTCACCGATTTCCTGTTGTAGACATCATGTCGCAGTACAACTCGATGCCTTCGCCAGGGCCCTATGTCCCTCCAACCCATGGTGCTCCAGGACAGCAAGGCCTCCAGCAACCCGCCAGCTACCAGCCCAATAGCACGAGCTATGGAGCACAACATCAATCTCAGAAGGGAGGTGGCACATTCGGTCAGATGATGAATCAGCGGCTTGAGCAGGCGGTGACGACAGGAAAGCCAATGTTGAACAAGCTGGGCAAGACTATAAGCTCAAAGCTAGGGAACAAGCCTGCAGCAGGCCCACCCCAGCATCTTCAGAGCTATCAGAGCTATCAAAGTCACCACGGACAGCAGAATCAAACCCAGTCGTACCAGCAACCTCAGGGTCAAGCTTTCAGTCCTCAATCGCAACCGCCGCAGTGGGGACAACCGCAACATCAACCCCCACCTCAAGCGCCGAATGTCTACCCTTCTGCGCAGCAGTCTCCGTACCAGCAATCCAACTACCCTACACCCGCTCCAGGCCACTCGGGGCAAAACAACTATTTTCCGCAGCAGACGAACCAAGCGCCCAGTCCCCAACCCCATGCGCCACAATCCCCGCTCACTGCGAACGGGCATACTTCGTGGCAATACGGTCAAAACGGAGGGACAACGGAGCAGACGCAGGTACAGGGATGTGTTGGGCAGGGACATGTCTCGCCAGGACAGCCTCAGGCGCCTGGCCTGCCACAGGTACAAGGACAAAGCCAATATGCTGGACAGCAGATGGGTGTGGTTGGAGGCTCGTATACACCACCTCCTCATACTTCGAACATATCTCCAGAGATACCCGCTCAGCCTGCGAAGCCACAATGGGAACAGTCAGGTACTGGACAGCTGCCTCTAGGTGGTAATGGTCCGCAGCCTCCAGGTGGTAATGGACAGCAGCAATCCCAGCATTGGAACATGACACCTCCGGCTGGCTCACACAGCCAAGGACAATTACAGACGCTACGCCACTCTGTCAGTCCTCCACCAGCACAGCAGATGTATGGACCACCTCAAGTACTATCAGATAAACCCGTACATACAAGTCAGCCGCCAACCCCCGCGTCGCAGCATTCGGCGCCCTGCTCTGCGCCAACTGAATTCATTGCAGAGCTCCCTGGTGATCTAGGACAACTGAGTCTTGTAGAATCGAAACCCCAGGATGCCGAGCCCTCTGTTTCTGGTTCGCAATATCAGGCCTTCCACCCTTCGCTGTCGCAGACTGGATCACCGTCTCCTGGTTTTACTATACCTCGTCGATCTCTTAGTGCCAGCACAGTTCCACTCGCTGATCCATGGAGGTTTGCAGATCCGGCAACGGAAGTTCCAACACGCGAGTTCTATATTCTGGCTGACTTGCTTTTCGATGCTTTGGATCGGAAGTTTGAGCCTAGAAACACGGGCCTCTTGGAAGCACCAAAGATCATCGGGAGCTGGGTAAAATTGACAGACGACGCGTGTCGTGAGTGTTTGACATGCCGCAGCATGATGCAGAACTAATGTGAAGCCAGGTCTTTTTTCATACAGATCCTATAGCGCGTTTGCAAAGTTGTGGAGTCTCGAAGGAATTCCACACATGATGGTGCCCTGCCAACGCAATCTGTTACCAAACTGGAACTTCAACCAACACTCGCACGCGCAAGACGTAAAAGTAATCCTGAACGTACCAACGCCAATGACCACTTACGCGACGTACATGCCGGCTCTGAACCGGGCAGGATGGTACAAGTTCTTCTTTCTAGAGATGATGCATGCACCAGAGGATATCGGCGATTTGTTAACAGCATTATGCGCAGACACGTACAAGCCGGGGGTGCTGAACCACCCCGATCTTGACAAGCGGGACAAAACAGATGTCCCTGCACTGAGAGCTAGAGCCGCGGAGGTACAGACATATGCGATCGGGCGTGTTTGTGAGGAGACCAAGATTGCGATGGTGGTCGACCCCGATGTTCCTCTGGCGCACACACACCCCGCTGCACCCACGTCGGGATCTGCCCAAACGTCATCAGAAGACATGGCCGTGAGAATGCACAGGATCCAGGCAGAGCGACAGACGAATGACATGGCCGCTTGGACAATGCTGGGTTTGCAGCCGAGAGGCTATCCGGGAGGAGGTTATGGTAGTCTGGTGTAGAGTGGACAATGGATAATTCCCAATGCGACAGCTGTCTTGCCGCTATCTGTAACAGCTACACCTTCCATGGTGCGACGGAATTGAATGCCGGTTTGGTTGTTTGCCCAGATCTTGACCTTGCCGTGCCCAGATCGCTTGCAGCTTAGTGGCCAGCGTTTGACAGACGCAAGTTCCAACATCGTCGGCGGGTTCCTGCACTGGTGCCGACGACGGAATGGATGGCGCTGTCGGCGCTGTTGTGCGCAAGACAACAATCTCCTCTGTACACGCTTGGTGTAGTGAAAAGTACCTCGTATTCTTCCCCAGGAGTTCCAGCAGCGTCATCCCTATCGCATGCATGTTTCATCTCGGCAAAGATATTATGATCTCAACGATAAACATGCAATCTACGCAGGGACCCTAACAGCCTGTCCGCGCGTTGGGCCTTTCCCGATGCAGCTGCCGATCTGCAGGTACAGCTTGCTTTTGCGTCTTCGGCCTTGCTTTGTGAGGAAGCCGCGCGACGACTGCACCAACAAATAATTCAAGGCTGGGGCTCGCGTCCAACCTCTTATCTTCTACTCTCCCATCACCGCTTTTCGTCTTGTATTCTTCACGACTTACGAGCATTTCCCATTGAACACTACAGTCCATTGGTACTATCGCGCCATCACGAGTAATTACGATACGACGTACCGCCTCATACTTGTGGGTCTTATACGTTGTCAGGGATCCTTGGACCTTCACGATGCGCACTTCAACCATCTTCGCTCCTCTTTTCTTCGCGGCCACCACCCTCGCCCAGGCTGTCGAGGAGGGCATCGCTCCCGACGCTCCTGCCCCTGAGGGCTGCCAGACCACTGTCGACACGCCCTTCCGGATTGGCACGCTCGAGAACCCTACCCTGAGGAGGCGCGAGACGGCGCAAGAGGTACGTCAATCCCCCTCTCACCCTTCAATGCACAGCATGCTAATGTAAACTATTTCAGGCATCAGATGGCGACCTCCTCTGCACTCTCGAAGACGGTATCCTGCACGACCAATACGGCCGCACAGGCTCCATCGTAGCGAACCAACAATTCCAGTTCGACGGCCCACCCCAAGCCGGCGCAATCTACACAGGCGGCTTCTCAGTCTGCGGTAACGACTCGCTCGCCATCGGAGGCAGCACACGCTGGTGGCGCTGCATGAGCGGTGCTTTCGGCAACCTGTACGACCAGTGGATCGGCGACCAATGCCACGAGATCCGTATCCAGGCCATCTACGACGAATCCGCCTCGGCGAGCAGTAGTCGCAGCAGCAGCGAGGCAGCGAGCAGCACCACTTCGAGTGCCTTGTCGGGATCTACTAGCATCATCTCTGCCAGCGAGACGAGTGGTTTGACCAGCGAGAGCAGGAGTATGACTGGCTCTGGCTTCTCTTCTGCTACACCTTTCTCCAACAGCGCGACTGCTACTGGTTCTCAGGGTGCTGACGCGACTGCTACTGGTGGTGCGGCTGCTCCCCCCGCTGACGGTGCCGCTGCCTCGCTCTCCGTGGCTCCTTTCGCCATGTTCGGCGCGTCAATGGTGTTCCTCGGCGCTGCTTTGATCCTCTAAGCATGGCATTGCTACTTTCCAAGTTTGTCGTTTTTCGCCCGTCGCATCCTGGGCATGGCATTGCATTGTTTGTCCTACTCGTTCAAATTGCATTAGCGAGCATGATACCATGGCGCACAACATAGGCGCTTGCAGAGGCAAAGCTGTCTAGCTTGCAAGCGCTATGATTTGATGGCAGCATTTGGCGCATTTGGATTTACGGTTTTGACGCAGAGCATGGTGTTTCTAGATACACAGATTACGCATTCGGTACACTGAGCTTAGATTAAAATCCAGGCCTTAATGATAATAACTTTACAACCTTTGGTTGTCTTGGAACACGAGATTCTTGCAATGACGTGATGCTTGTTCCTCTGCTTGCAAGTACCTGTATAATCAATCCTGCCGTGATTACCGGCTCGTATCTGCCGCCCATGTGCGTGGAGTCGCTACTGCCTGCCAAGTGCTTGAACCAGTGGAGAGAAAGTATAGATGTCATTAAAGATATATACCCATCAAGTTGCCAGCAGCGAAGAATAAAGATCAAGAGAATATATCAAGAGAATACATCAAGAGAATATATTAAGAGAATATATCAAGAAAACGCAGCCCGCCTGCAGACCAACCTTCAAAAATCACTTCCCAACTCATCAAACCCATCCTCCGGCACAGCCATGGCCTCACAACTCCCTTCCAGCAGCGCCCTAACCTTCTCCATCACATCTCTTTGCTGCTTCCACCTCGCAACCTGACACTCAATCTTCTGTCTTAATTCATCAGACCAGGCAACAGGATTCCTAGGCACCCTTTTCGCATTGTTTATCATAGATGGAAGTAAGATGGTTGTTTGGAACCCAGGCATGGACATGTATGATTTGAACTCGGTGTATGTGTCGTCGAGAGATTGGACGGAGGCTTCCAGAGTCAGGTAGGTGGTATGTAGGGTGTGTAGGTAGGTGAGTTGGGAGGCGGTTAGGGAGGCGGTGCGGCGGAGGAGGAGGAGTTGTCTCGTGGCGTCGTGCTCCGTATTTGATAGTGGAGAGGTGTGTCGGTCAGCTGGCGTGCCAAATAAAGGGCGGAGGGGGCGGAGAGCCCAGCGGATGGCGTTGTCATCTTTTGAGGTGGTAAGTGAGTTGATGAGGCGCGTGCGGCGGGTGGAGCGGAGACAATCTTCGAGGTGGGAGAATGTGAAGGTGGCGTCGCGTTTCTTTGGAGAAGATTGTTAGTGGGTTGTGTATGCAAGTGGTTGAGGAAGGGGAAGACGGACTTCTTCTAGCAGCAACCTTAGTGCTCGTTCTGTCTTGAGAAAGCGGATGAGCATGTCTTGCCATGCTACTCGTATAAGACCAGTGTGCAGGTTTATGTCGAGGTCGAAATGCAAGCGGTCTTTCACGCAAGGAAAATCCAAATCCAGAACTGCGTGGTCCAACCTGATGCACCACCGCAATTGTCCGAACCTTTCTTCGCGTCGCAGTTCAAGTAGATCCAACACGCTGAACCATTGTGAATCAGCGGCGTTGATAGCATGTCCACCCCTTGCTTCCGCGCCGCTTATCTGTCTGAACGCGCGATACCATTCATCCTTGATTTTGAACACAGCATGCGTCCCACTCCAAACCGGCCTCTTCCCTCTCTCTTCGTCCTCTCCCCCCATCTTCCCACCCTCCTCGATCCTCACATATTCCGCCTCAAGCAAGTGCACAGCTTCATACTCCTCCTCTTCCAAGTCCTGCATGACACTCTCATGTCTAGCCCCCATATACCCCACCAACTCCGTTCGCTGTAGATAGTGATACAGAACCCGCCCATCAATCGCATCGCGAAACCCGCGACAGACTAACCGCCAATCGAGCACATGATCCACGGGCACGTGTTCGAGGATTTGCAGCAGTAGTTCAGCGGGGAGGTGCGCTAGCGTTGCATCAGAAGATGATGGGGGGGCTTGGCTCGAATCGATGGAGGAGATGAGCGCCGCGACATCGTCCTGCGTAAAGCCGAGCTTGATGTGGCGGGAGAGGTAGGAGGGTAAGGGCTTGTCATTGTCGTTACTGCAGCTGGGAGGTGGGCTGCTAGGTGTGGAGGGTGTGTAGGCGAGGTTGACAACGGGCGCGCTAATGCACCCAGGTGACTGCGACATCGACTTGGGTGGAGATGCGGGGATGGGGGTGGTTAGGGGATGGTGTGCGTTTTAGTGTCGGCTATATGCGCGCACGTGGTTTGTGTGACACCGTTACAACATGTTTGGTACAACATGGAATTAGACGACGGGAGTTGAATTTTGGGAGTTTATGATTGTTGGTGGGATCCGTCTCAAGCGATGCAGCGGAGCCGCTCTACGTCCTCACGATAGCTGAATACAGATATCTGCGGGCTCGACATTCCACCGCATCCGATCGAAAGCGCAAGTACGGCCCGCGTCGAGTTGATCGAGAAAAGACACTCCGTGTCAAAGGAATGGCACCATTAAAGAAAACCTATGTCCAAAGCTTAGTGGAGTTTCTAAGCTTTCAAACGCGGGGAAACTCATCATGAACTCGTCCCCACACACCCCGACACTCCGCGACATCCTAACCCACCCAGGGACGCGCGCCATAACTGAAGAGGCCCGCGTATGCTCGGCAACTCGAAAAATGCCTGAAGATCCCCAGAGTGGAGAGAGTGGGCCAGATCTTAGCTATTGCTGGTTTAGCTCCACCAGTTTGCCCCAAGTGGGGTACATATCCATGCTAGTCCTCGACGAATAGCCTACAGTATTCTACGGATATGAACAGGCTCTCAACTTCCTACGCAGGTTCCAATCGCATGAGGAGAATGTTGTCCCGTCTGCGTAGCAGTACATCTCACCATGGTTTCCACTCAATGCAAAGCTCGCTCAGCGCCTTTACATCGTCATCCTCATACCGACCACATCCTTGATACAATCTCAACATGGCTCCAGCAGTCCGTCGACCTGTCCGCGTTGGCGGTGCATCGGGCGGCTTCTCAGACCGCGTCCGAGCAATTTCATCTCTAGCAAAGGATGATGTCGATGTCATAGTAGGAGACTGGCTCTCCGAGATGACAATGACCATGCACGGCACCGGGAAGCTCAGGAATAAAGAGCAGATGCTTCAAGCGCGTTCCTTTGAGGAGAAGCTCAACTACGCCATGTTTGCCGAAAACTTCATGGATTGCTTCACTCCCGCGATCAAGGACATAGCTACCCGTGGCATCAAAGTATGCGTTAATGCTGGCGCATCAGATACGGAGCTGCTGGCACAACTTGTGGATAAGACCTGCAAGGAAGCTGGGTACCCGTTGAACGTTGCTTGGATCGAAGGCGATGACGTTACGGGCACCGTCAAGAGCATGTTGGACAAAGGCGAGGGATTCAAGAGCTTAATGCACAACAAGTCAGTGGCTGAATGGGGACTGGAGCCTGTTTGCGCTCAGTGTTACCTTGGTGGCTTGGGGATTGCGAGAGCACTGACTGAGGGTGCCGACATTGTCATCGCTGGTCGTGTCTCAGATGCTTCACCTATTATTGGCGCTGCCGCATGGTGGCATGAGTGGACAAGTGACCAATTCAACGAGTTGGCTGGCTCTCTAGTAATTGGTAAGCCCTCCGTTTCTGTCCGCATACATCTTACTAAGAGTTTCAGGTCATCTCCTCGAGTGCGCCGCGTATGTATCCGGAGGCTACTGCTCAGACTTTCGTAGTCTCCTAGCTCAGGGTAAACACATCAACATGGGCTTCCCCATTTGCGCTATCGACAACAAAGGTGAAGGTATAATGTATAAAGAGAAAAACACCGGCGGCTGTATGACTGTCAGCTCGGTCACATCTCAGCTTCTGTATGAGATCCAAGGCCCATTATACTACAACTGCGACGTCACCGCAGACTTGACAGACATCAAGATCGAACAGGTTGGTGAAGACCAAGTCAAAGTCTCTGGCGTCAAAGGCCTCCCACCACCCCCAACAACGAAAGTTGGCATTACAGGGTTCGCCGGCTGGCAAGCAGAATACCACATCTACCTCGTGGGTCTGCACATTGAAGAGAAGTGCCAATGGATTGAAGAGCAAATCCGCTACGAACTCGGTCCCGAGCTCATCAAAAAGTTTGACGTCCTCAAATTCATGCAGAACGGATCCTCGGTCATCGATTGTCGCAACCAAGACGTCGCAACCGTCGACTTCCGCGTCTTCGCCCAATCCAGGGATAGAGAGCTACTCAACATGCGTAACCCCAAAGGTTTCTTCCGCATTTCCATGGTAAACTTTCTCATGTCTTGTCCCGGTGCCTCACTAGGCAACGACGTCCGCCAAGCAGAAGGGAAACCATACTACGAGTACCATCCCTCGCTGCTTCCCCAATCCGCTGTAAAACAACGCGTACATTGTATTTGGGACGGTGAAACATCATATGGCTTTGAAGACGGCAAGAAAATAATCGACATGCCCCTCGCCCCTTCGTTCCGCGAATATCCCCGCCAACAACCCTCCTACGAAACCACTTCTCCTATTCCCCTCGCCCACTTCGGTCCCACGGTTCGCCTTCCCCTCGGTTCCATAGTGCTTGGTCGCTCTGGCGATAAGTGCTCAGATGCCAATGTAGGTTTCTTCGTGCGCCATGCTGATGAATGGGAGTGGTTACGCAGTTTCCTTACTATCGATAAAGTGAAGGAGTTGCTGGGGACGGAAGAGTATAAAGGGAAGCCCATTGATCGGTTCGAGATGAAGAATGTTAGGGCGGTGCACTTTTTGTTACATGATCATTTGGATCGGGGCTATGATGCCTGTAGTACTTATGATACACTGGGCAAGAATGTCTGTGAGTATATGAGGGCGAGGAGTGTAGACTTACCAGTAAGGTTTGTGGAAAGGGGGGTTTTGTAGATGGCTGAGTCCAAGGAATGCGGTATGTTTTGGAAATGGTGCGTTCTTTGTGATGGTCCCGTCATCCGTATGTCAAACATATTGACTGTATGACATGAAGCTGAGAACCATGGTGCTTGGCACTAACAATACGCTTTGGCCGCAGTAAATTATTGACATCTCCAACCATGTCTTGCCATGGCCTCGGCTTCGGTATTTTTGAGTTGTCAATATCGTACTGGAACCTCGTTGTCAGCATGAAGAAGCTGCTCTTCGTTTCGAGATGTGCAAGACATGGTACGAAGAGATTCTCACATAGTTTTAGATTCTCACGGTTGTACACCAAATCAACGAGGTGGTAATAATACTTCCGTAGGGTTGCATTGCAAGATCAGACTCGACCAGGACTCATACTTCTGTCTTCTCGCATACCTTCAAGAGGGTGAATTTAGTTGCAGTATCTTCCTCAGCTGGAAACTGCTTCCATAGACCATTGCGAGCAGACATGTCAACAATCCGTTCAGTCAGTTTGCAACCCTTGGCTTGAATTGAACTGCAAGAAGCAGGCCGAAAAATCTTGACAAACTGATTGAATTGTCTTCTAGCAAGGCTCGAACTGAACTGATTAGGTAACTTATTCAAACTGATTACTTTTTTACATACAAATCAGGCTTCGCTATCGTGCCAATCCCCCAAGTTATACATGCCATCAATTGCCTCGTCGCTAAGTAGAGACTCTGCAGTCTCTCCTTTAACACCAAAGCCAGCCCGCAACCAAGCGCGTACTGACTGTATTGCTACCAGCAATTGTGATAAGATCTTCCTCCTTTTTGGCCGCAAAAGATCGCCAAGCTCACTAAACATACGCTCACAGTCACAGCTAGAGGCGGGTATAGAGAGGACGTCGAGCGCGAGGCGCGTAAGGTTAGGGTAGTCGCGGCGGCGTGAGAGCTAATAAGTGATTGGATTGTCGACAGAGGGGACCCAGGGCTCAAGTTTCCAGCGCGTGTACTCATCTAAATCGTTGGAAACTCTAACGCCTTGATGAGGCTCCATCATAAACGCGATAGCGTCGTTAAGGTCGTTGTTTACACGCGCCTGAGGTGCTGCTGGCGCTGGCGGCGGCGCTAGGTTGTCCTTGTACGTGCCCCAAAGCGTCTGGAACGCCGACTGCGCTGCTGCCAACCACTCTGGTTTATCCCTCCACGCGTTGTCGCAGTAGTGTTTGTACGCTGGATAGAGAGAGGTAGCAGCATAGTAGGCGGGGGAGTCATCAAGCTTAATGTAGTACTCGTTCGCCTTCGCCCAAGCAGCGCGGAGGTTGATGGCAATGTGGTCCTCTGGCGCGCCAGGTTCGTCGTAATTGACGCCGCTGTAGGACTCTACGCGCTCCTCATAGCTATATAAGATGGTCTCAAAGACAGGGATCACCTCAGCAAGTGAGCCAAATCGCTTGTAGGTACCGCGACCTTCAAGGCGCTTTGTTGCCAACTTCAGCGGTCGTAGCATCGCGAGATACTCGTTAACAGTCTGCTAATTAGCCGCAGTAAGACCACCTAAGCGCATCCAACGCTGCGCGTCAGGCTCTTTGTTGCCGCTCGCAGCGGCGTAGGCGTCCGCGTTGGCGGTGTTGGTAACATAGAGTTAACAGTAAGCGTTAACTGCAGACTGCAGCGTAACTGCGCGCTCAAAGCAGCTAAAGTATGAGTTCCAGCGCGTAACAACAGGCTTAACGACCTCAAGAATCTTGCGATCTTTAGCGGACAAGTCAGCGTTTGCGCGGTGTTGAAAATTAATAAAAAGCTCATGCTGCTGTGGTGTTTTGATGTAGTTGATAACGTTAAGCAGCACGCCGAGGGGACCATCTTTACGCCACTCTCTTATAAACCTCACCTCGTCGCTAAGCTCCTCAGGCGCATTGTCATACGCCTGCTGATTGTTACCCCAAAGGAGCGTCTGCCTAATAAGGTTGAGTGTATGGGGACCGCAGCGGAGGCGGCGGTGGACTGGCAAGAAGTTGTAAATCTCTGCAACCACAGCAATAGCGGTGTCGTTGTTAGCCGCGTTGTCAAGTACAAAGTAACCTAACTTAGCGCTATCAACACCAAACTGCCGCAACGTTTAGTTAACAACCTCAGCTATCCTTACGCCTGTATAGGCACCTGTAAGCTGAGGAAGCGCAATAGGCAGATCTGTAAGCTCGCCTAATGAGCTCACAAAGTGCGCAACAACGCCTAAGAAGCCTCGCTTGCCTCCTTGCATTGTCCACCCGTCAAAGCTTATGTGTATCTTACTTAGCGCGTTAGACAGCTCAACAGCAACACGGGGTTGCAGGTAGTTGTAGAGACGCATAACGTACCTCGAGACACTGTTGTGGCTTGTCTATAGCGCAGTTACTGCCTCTAGGTTGGCTGCCTCCAACATAGCTCGAAACTCTGGGCGCTCAAACTCAGATAGTGAGTAGTTGCCTTCGACAAGCCAAGTGACTGCCTTAAAGCGAAACAGCTGTACGTCAAAGCCAGTGAGGGCGTTGTGTACATCCTGAGGCACCTTGCCGCCTGCCTTGTAGTATGAGCGTAGGGTGTACTTGCTGCTAGAGCCGCAGGTTTTTCAGGGTTGTAGATCTGGTGGGTGGTGTTAAGGTGACGCGCTGCCGTCGACGGCGAGGTAGTAGTGTCGTAGATGCCGCTGCAGGCTTTGTAATACCGAAGATGGCAGATTTTGCACACAAAATAGACCTTGCTGCTGAGCTGAGGGGCAGTAGAGTTGATGCGATAACCGTAGGCATAGATCCAGCTTTTCTTATGCTTCTGCGGCACAAGCGGTGCCCTGTAACCAGGCAGCCTTAGCCAGATGATATCATCGAAGTTGTCAGCAAATCGCGTGTTAAATCCTGCCGCCAGCGCCTACCCTACTGTGCTGTTGTCATTAGCTGAAGCAACTGTAGGAGCGCGCGAGGCGGCGGTAGGTGCAACAATAGCCTCCTCTAGCTGCGATTCACGCAGCTCAAGCTCGAACGCGTCATCCTTAGATAGCGGTTGACTCCCTTGCTGGCTAGCAGCAAGCAGCGCGCGTGGGGAGGACAGACGCGTTAGCGCAGGCGTTGATAATGCAGGTAGTGTTTAACGCGCTGGCGTTGTTGGTGCAGCTACCCGCGCGCGCTTTGTTGGACGAATTTCTGGCGTTGCAAAGTCCAGCTGGGCTTGCCTGACCTTTTCAGTAAGTTTAGTCGTACGCTTAGGGTGCGTTATGGCGGCGTTAGGGGACAAATAGAGGGAAAATTATGGGTTGCTCGTATCTACAGACGCGCTTACTACGGTAGTCAGCGTTCCTACCAAAAGACGCTTACAAATTAGGTAACGTGCCCACCGCTGAATGGCGCACACCACTGAAATGGCGCACTGTGCCAAGACCACACCACTTTCTACCATCTCCACAATGCCACAACAACCTAATCTTGAATCACGTCCCTGGACAGATAGAATTATCCTTGCTATCCAGGCTATGAGATCCGACGCGTCATTAAGCCTGCGACGTGCTGCTGCTGTGTACAACGTGCCTGAAACCACCCTTCGAAGGCAACGCGCCAAACCAGCTTCTGATCACAATACTCACCACAATGCATCAAAGCTGCAGAGGTATGAAGAGGAGGCGATTATACAGTCTATCAGGAAGCTTGACGCGCGAGGATTTGCCCCTACGCTCAGCTACGTACGAGAGATGGCCAATTAACTACTAGCTGTACGTGGTGGTGGCCAGGTTGGAGAAAACTGGGCCTACAGGCTTGTACGCCGGAGACCTGAGATCAAATCTCAGGTGACAAGACAGCGGGATCACCAGAGAGTCCTGTGCAGCAACCCAGCTATTATTAGGCCCTAGTTTAATCTTGTACGCAATGTTAAGGCTAAGTATGGGATCTTGGACGAAGACGTCTATAATTTTGATGAGACTGGCTTCTAGATGGGCATCGGAGGATCTGTCAAAGTAGTAACAGCCTCTGAGAGACGCCTTAAGCCACTTAGAGTTTAACCTGGCGATCGTGAGTGGGTAACGTTGATCGCTGGCATCAACGCGATGGGGTGGTCAATTCTACCATTCCTTATCCTCAAAGCAAAGCACCACGACTAGGCCTAGTATCACAACAACCTAAAAGATTGGAGGATAGGTGTTAGTAACAACAGTTAGACAACGAACGAGCTTGGTCTAGCCTAGTTACAGCACTTTATCCAGCATACAGAAGCTCGAACAGTGGGTAGTCACCGCCTGCTTATCCTTAATGGCCACGAGAGCCACAAGTCACTCGCTTTCTAGGATCTGTGTGAGCAAAGCAATATTATCACTCTCTGCATGCCTCCACACTCATCGCACATCCTACAGCCACTTGATGTGGGTTGTTTTGCCCCGCTGAAGCAGGCGTACAAGAAGGAACTTAGGGGCTTGGCAGACAGCTACATCCACCACATCGACAAGAAAGCCTTCCTGGCTGCCTTCAAGCCAATATTTAACAAGGCGTTCTCAAAGAACAATATCTTATCAAGCTTTCGAGCAACTGGCTTAGTCCCACATAACCCAGATGTGGTGTTATCTAGGCTTGAAGTACAGCCTCGTACGCCAACACCACCTGCACCAGGGCCTACCCCTTGGCAACCTAAAACACCAAGCAACGCCTGGGAGATAGAGGCTCAAACGACGCTGATTGTCAAGAGGATAACAGACTACAAGGAATCATCACCTAATTCTATTATTGAGATGGTGCTGCAGGTCAAAAAGGGATCAACTTTGAAGGTGCACTCACACACGTTGCTTGAGGCTAGAATAGCCAACCTTAAGGAGGCAAACCAGGCAGCATCTGAACGTAAAAAGCGCAAGAAAAAGCGAATCTAGAAGGGAGGGACCCTATCGCAGGCAGAGGCAGAGGATATAGTTGAGCAAAGGGATGTTGAGATCCAGTTAGAGGTGGAGAGGCGTCAGGAGAGGGTGCGCGCAGGTGGTAGTGCAGGAGGTATCCGACGCTGCAAGAACTGCGGCGAGGCAGGACATAACAAGCGCACATGCAAGAAAGATGCAGTAGAAGTAGAGGATTAATTCTAGCTATTGTACGCCTTTATTGCATGTTGTGGTGGAGTGTTATTAATGTGCAAAGGTAGTTTTATGTAGAGGTGCGCCATTTTAGTGGTGTGCGCCATTCAGCGGTGGGCACGTTATTACAACACGAAAAGTTTTTAGCTTTAGAAGATTCTTAAGCAAATGTTAAGCCCTATTAGGCACCCTAAAATTCAATACAATTAGGCCTTTCAGGCCGTTCAATCAGGCCTTCACCTTCGGCTTGAACGGCCTGCAAAATTTAGGAGGTCTGGCTTGAATTGAACGGACTGATCACGTGTCAGGCCGAACAATCCGTTAACGGGAAACTGACGGATTGTTGACATGTCTGATTGCGAGTCGTCTTTTGAGAAGGTGGGAAGAGCACGACAGACATTGGCTGTGTATCTACCGATTTTGGGCAATTCGAAGAATGGATGAGAGAGACAAAGACGGAGACGGAAGAACTTTCTGGGAGGAGGAATCTATACAAGCATCAGCGCCTCAAGCTCTTGGATGTATTTTGTGGCTGCGATCTCACAACCATGTAAGATTCAGCACTCACATCTGGAAGCAAAAACCTCAATCAGACCCTATAGTCAACCTGCGGTGCCGGCATGTCAAGACAGGTTTCGTGATTCAAAAACACAGAAGAAGAGGCACCAGCATAGGTCTTACCCGGTGTTTTTTTTTCTTTTTTTCCCCACTTAGTATAAGCGCTATGTAAAGAAACAACTTTAACGTGGTGAAGAAGTTATATACCTGCGCAGCCCACTCTTGCATCGACGATCATGAATTTTGGACGCTCTCACATCACAGTGATTGAGGCTTGTATTCTGAAGCGGAAGGCAGGAAGTGCTCTTGCAGGGTATTCTAGACATCTTGAATGGCGGTGTACGCAGCCTCGGCAACGCGAAAGCATCTCGTAGCACCTCATTTTCCAACTTTAGAAAGGATGCCGATGAGCGGCGGCCATCCCACAAACCATTTCCGTTTTTAAAGTTTCAATAGGAATTAAGGGATGGTGATGAAAACAAGGGAGAAGTGGAGGAGCTTTATATACACTCAGAAAGAGCTGCAGTGGGTATGTGTTATGCTGGTTGGAGGCTAGATAGTATGTTGAAGCTGCCGCGCGCCGCGCCTTCTCATCCTTTGGCAAAGACATGCCGCTTAGTACATAACCCCAGAAAAGGGTAGAGAGTTCTGTGGTAGGAACGCTTAGGCTAGAGTATGGGCATAGCGACTCTCATATAGTTTCGTCGGCGCCAAGTGTCGATATTTCTGAAGTTCAATGTGCCAGGATCCCATGGCTTGTCACTATTTAGCTTGTAGAAGATTGAGCCTGGTCATTATGAACCATAACGCGTCGGTTTCAATACAGTATGTGGTAGCTTGTGCAGAGGAGGTGTGTAGAACGGGTGCGCGGGAAGAGTAAATACTATACCGGGCGCGACTACGCCCGTTCAGTCCGATTAGAATTTCTGGCTACATATTTGAACTCTTCCATGCAATGTAGATCATATTTTTGGCGAATTTTGAAGTAGTAGGAGACACGGATCAGCGGTGACGGTGACATGACGTGCAAATGATGCAAGCGACAAACGTGCATTGGCCTGCAACACCAACAACAGACTTGATGATGCGATCGCACCACTAGATACTGACAGAACAAAGTGATAGAGAGTTAAACAGAGCTCTAGAATTTGCCTAACAGCCAAGGAAATAAGTGCTAGGTCATAGGCCACAACATCCAAAGCCAAGTCATGAGAATGAATATTCTCACCCATACCGTATCCACCAACACTAGCCGCTCGCTTCCGGCTTCAGTCTACTGCCCGCTTCTCTTGGCAGTGGACTCCACGCATTCTTTCTTTTGACTCGCATTCGACCTGTGATTGGCGCCCGGTCTCAATCTCCGTGGTGTAGTTTTACCGACACCACGCATCACGATCGCCGACTACCGCTTTAGATACAATCACTTTTTCGACCATTGATTGGAGCGGTACTCTTCTCCGGCCAATATTAGGTTAGCAAGAAGATCATTATTGGAAAAAGGGAGAAGAGACGGAGGTAAGATGTGCTGTATGGGGTAGGTGTTGAAAATAGTAGAATGAATCGGTGATCAGGCCCGAGTATGGGTTTCTACTTTCGGTAGGAGGAGACAAGAGGTGTAGAATGTAGTAGGATTCGGTGGTTGCTCCATCCTATGGGATTTGAACAAGCCGATGGGCGGTGTGGTCGATGTTACGGTTACCTCAACGGTCAAGCGACCGCCAGGGACATGTACCTTGGCCTGATGAGTTTTGAACGGGCCGTGAGCTACCGGATCTACAGGGGTAACGTAGGCCTGTTGATTGGAAAAGAAAAAAAGTTCATGGCATTCTGAAGGAGAGTTTTTGGATAATTGAGAGCGGTGATTCGAGACACAGAAGAGCTACCGCGCCAGACGGTGTTCTCATGCTGCGTCAGTTCAGCGCCCATGAGTATGACCTCGTCGATTTCCTGTCTCTCCGTCGCCATGATCAGATTGGAGATTATATTAGAAGAGATGAGAAGGTAAGAATAGTGAAAGCAGCCCTAGAGGAAGAGAAGCACAGAGTTCGTACCTACGACAACAGCAATATTCTTTTGTAAGATGACATGCGAGACTGGCAGCTCTCGAAACCACACATGCGAAAACAGGATGCACGTTTCAATACTTCAGAAGAAGATCAAGGGACTAGAACTGGACATGTAATGTGAATGATGGGTGTTTTGGAAACAAGCGCTGGGCCGCATCCCCACACACCATGGCCTCATCAATGATAACTTTCATTCAGGAACAATCTCCATCACGATTCTAAGATTATTTTCGAGTATAGGCGGCTGAGAAAAACATGACGATTATCTCCCGGGCTTCTCTGTTAGGATTTGAGGATTTGAGGATAGTAAGGAACAGATCTTGTCCTCGATTTTAGAAAGCACGACTGTATTTTGAGATGCGGCGATCCGACTTCTTGGCTCGATCAAAAACGATTTATACTGGTCAACCCTATCGCGACTCACATTCCAGGTGTAAGAGGCTGAAGCCTTGGTTAGTAGTACTTGGCCTGTGGCCTTCGTTATAGCTGGTTGGGATAGGCTGCAACCCTCGGAGCGTTGTCGGGGCTTCATCGGCGCTCCACGGACCCTTAGAAGTTTCTCGAACCTAGCACTACGTGATACATAGACTCAGCGCAAGCGTAGTGTAGCTTCTCTATCGAATTCATTACTGTTATACCTTGCACTTATGGTCAACCCATCGCACCCTTACACCAGGTATATAATAAGCTTGTTGACCGAGGCTTCCGATATATGGTGCAGCGACCTTCGACGAGCGAACCATGGCATGGTTGGTGTCCCTTTTCCAACCTTAAGCAGGGACTTGAAGACATGAGTACCATGTGAAGGACTTTGAAGGCACCACGGGAAAGAGGAATTCATGTGTGCAGTAAAATCTCTTTTGACACTTGCGAGCGGTTGAAAACTCTTTGCAGAAGCGACATGTGCTCAATCTCGCAAATATTTTGCAGGTTGTCAGAAGACCAAACTCATGGAGGGATGATGGCGGTGATTCCGATGCCGGGCGCGAGGATTGTGCTGCAAACAAACATAGTATGATCGTGTTTGAGATTTTCGACAAGACCCACTACACGTCATAGACTTGAAGAAATCGAGTTTTAGAAAAGACTGAGAGAACTTCCCCAATACGTTTGGGGTGATGTTCTTGGGACAAGAAATGGAAAGATATGGGAAACAATATGGTAGATGTGTAAAGTGGTATTTAGACTCGCTAATCTCGACAACTTCTAAGCAGTCTAGCTCCGTGGCTGGAGTTTGCGCAGTTCATGGCCATGACATTCATCAAAGCTTCGCGATAGCACTCGTGCTCGCCATCGGTTCTTTCTCGATCAAACAGCCCGCAAAGAACGTCGCGATACCGTCAAAGTCGTCCAATGTCGACACTTTCGATACATCTACATCAAGTTAGCGTCTTCGTCTTCTGCACATCATCAAGTCATGGTTGCTCACATTGGTCTGGTCTCACGACCACGACCGCGCCTACGTCCGGGTTGACACCGTAGTTCTTATAAGCGTGTCCATGACCGGAGTTATAATGCTCGTCGTCAACGTATGTTTTGTGGAGATCTGGCAACATCGTCAACGCCACAGTGGCTGATAATCAGAGAATATACATACCCCGTATACCCCACTTCCCACTCTTCGGCCAAAAGTAATCGGGTATGCGATCCTGCTCGGTTTGCAGGAATTTGCTACTCAGCACTAGGACGGGTTCGATAACGCTGTCGATATGTTCTGACACAGGTGTATATCGGCGGGCGGTTGATTCGAGGGATTTTGCCAACGTTGCAAGGTTAGTATATAGAAACTCTATTGAAGATGGGTGGGCATACCTTATCCAACCGCTTCTGATGCGACGTCTGATTAACATCTCCAGCAAATACCACGACGCGCCACCTGCTATCACTCTGGAGTACACTCTGCAACTGCACAGCCTTGCAGTCGCAGAACCGTATCACCTGAGCACTCGGAAAGCGCATCCCCACTGTGACTGCTGTTGCCAGACTCTCATCACTCTTCGTCACACTGGTAGCCATAGAGTCTTCGTACCTCGCTGTGAAGCCTGCCATATACCGTCCACTCTTCGTGAAGTAGTCCGCAAACTCACCCTCATACTGCTCTTTCCTGCTAAACATCTTTGCTAACTCTTTGTCGAAGGCGATGAGGTCGGCTGCGGTTTTACTGCGCTCGGAGACGTATGTTGACAGTAGGGAAGGAGGTGAGAGGCCCGATAACACGGATCCTAGCTTCCAGCCAATGTTGTATCCGTCTTGAAGCGACACATTCATCCCCTGGCCAGCTTTAGGTGAGTGCGTATGGCACGCATCGCCAGTCAGGAAGACGCGGTCATGAGCATGGAAAGCTGAGGCGAGGCGTTGGCCGATGCTGTACGCACTCCACCAGAACACGTCTGCAAAGTCCATTGTATACGGCGCAAAGATTCTCCGAGCCTGATCTTGCAAGTCGACCAATTTCACTTCTTTGGGATGCACACCAGCAGGTAGCTGAATGTAGAATCTGACTAGTTGGCCACCTTCGCGCGGGATAATCAGTAGGTTACCAGCTGCGCTATGTATGGTACATTTGCGTCTGATGTCGGGAAAGGACGTGAGCGGATAGATATCCATCACGCCCCATACGGTATCAGAAGTGTCGCCCAGCATTTGGATGTCGAGAGCTTTCCGGATAGTCGAATGCGCACCGTCGCAGCCCAGGACATACTTTGCCTCCCAGACTTCCTCTTTTCCATCTTTTTCTGCAGTCACTTTGACACAATGCGCATTTGGATCATTCTTTCTGCTCTGGTCGATGTCCACACTCTTGACCGCCCATCCGTACTCGATGCCGTTGCTCGTGCCCTCTTTCCACTTCCCCTTCTCTTTCAGCACTCTCTCCATCTTCCCCAGCATCAGCCCGTTCATGCGCGCCTGGTTCAAGATGACATGCGGTAAGTGACTTAAGCCTCTCTCCGTATCAATCGATCTACTCTTCCTCTTGATGCCGCCTTGCGCGTTTCCGCCGCCATCTTCATCGACGCCCCAAAAACACACTTCTAGGATGTGATATGCTTCTCGTAACAGCTCTTCTGACAAACCAAACGATTCGTAAATCTCTACTGTCCGAACTTGTACGCCGTCAGCTTGGCCGATCTCCAGTGGTCCGGAGCGCCTCTCTAAGATAGTAAACGGTATATTGTAAATTGCGAGCCAAGTTGCTGCAAAGATACCCGCAGAGCCGGAACCGGCAATGAGAACGTCTGTTTTTGGCATCGCGCCGAAATGCAATTGCGAATCGGTAGGCTTTGGTGACGTGAAATTATGACCTGTAAACGATGTAGCTAGATGACAAGTAATTATATGTACAAGATAGACGGCTCACGGTTGTGGCGGGTCTTATTCCGCAGGAACGGAAAACTACATTGCATGAAAAACACTCACCGAAGGTTATATCTGTGCCGAACAAGAGCTCCGAAGGTGCATCGGGTATGATGCGGGGATGCACATCGACCCACCCACTAGCGTATAATCATACACAGCGAATCCCGGGAAGGAGCCGGAGTAGGGTTTTCCCAAGAATCACGAGAGACCAAAACAACAAACCTATCTCCCAGTGATGCGGGGAAAATATCTGGAGCAATGATCTTGGCTTCATTTGTCAGGTATGGGAATCATTCCGCTGCTGCACTTTGCGCGCAATGTCAAGGAAGCGTCGGCTTGGACAATACAAAGCACGAAGAAATGACCTCGGTCGAGTCAAAGAGTTGGTATTATTATATACTTTGTAAGCGCTAAAGATGGTCATAATCACGTCTGCATAAGGCGGCAAGAGAGCACATTACCCAGTGCTTTCGCAACCCTCAGGGTCTCCCAATGTAGTCCAGAAAGGTACCATGTACAATACGTGGGCTAGCAACAACACTGAAACATTTTGCCGAAGCTGATGTACGCCGTAAACTCCCCCAATGCGTAAAAAGGTATGTGCAAAACATATATCGTCGAAGGTAAAACAAATGCGAGAGGTAGTCGTGAGCTTAGTGGCCGACGGCAGAGTAGTGCGAGTTGCGCGGGTGGTATGGTTGCTGATATAGCGATGGCTCGTACTCAGATTGCTGGTACATGGTGCCACGCTTGTCCTCCTCGGGGAAGGGCTCCTTGACCTCCCAGTTGTGTTGCTTGACGCCGACGGAGAACTCGAGATCTTCGCGAGTAATGGAATCCCAGTACTAGATATTTGTTAGCATTGTTCAAAAGAAGATGTAACGGTGGTTGGCATACCTTGTAGACCATCATGACTGCGAGCAGATTGCAAATGGTTGCGAAGAAAAGACCATCGATGTAGTGCTGCACTTGGTCGCAGATGGTGTCGCTGAAGACGTAGAGAATGACCTGGCCGATGACAAAGAAGAAGATGCCAAATGAGATATCACCGAGTGGCCAACGGTCTTCTAGCGTTCCTACGACGAGGATGATTTGGCTAACTGTGTAGATGAAGAGGCAGATTGCGTTGACGATGTACGTGACGACGAAGATACCGATGGGGTTTCCAGGGCTCAGTCCAGCCCAGCCCTTGAAGGTTAGGAGGTTCACAGCACCGCCAACAATGAACATGACGAGAGTGGAGAGACGCAGAAGCCATATGGACAAGGTAGTGCCGTCTTCGTAGAGTTGAAAGCCGACAAAGCCGTTGATCAGCAAACAGGTGCATAGCGCGGACACAAGACCGTTCTGGACAGCGGCGAAGTACGGATATGCGGCGGAACCTGGGGCAGCGACACCGGCATCGAGGACGAGCGATATGATGGTCAGGAGCAGGTAGATGTAGAAGAAGGAGGTGATTTCCTTTCGGCCTGCAATGCGTTAGTGCAAGCTCGCGGGTACAGACAAGAATGCGCCCGCTTACCAACAGCTGTGAACTTTGAGCGCACATGGATGATCATAACGACTGTCATTACCATGGCCAAGATGTGCATGAAGTCGTTCGCCGCCTCGAAGATGAGGGTATTCGCAATTTCAATCGTCCGCGCATAGCACTCTGTCTGGATGCCCACGCCATTGTTGATATCCTGGTGACCCACAAGAGCGCATAGTGGTATCGGTGCCTTTTCGCAAATCGTCTGGAAGTCGCCGAAGCCCATGGTTACTGTCTATGGAACGTGCGGTGTCGCTCGGGTTGCGGCGGGTTCGGCGCAGTCTACGGCGATGGTGTGGTGTCGACGACGGCAAGTGAGTGAGGTTTGGTGGTGTGGGAAGGTGCAGACGGCTAGCGAGTGAGTGTCTGCAAGGTAAACAGTAACGAGAGAAGGTGCGGTGGGGTGCGACGAGGGTCAGGGATACTATGGGGGGCGGTTGTCAGGAGTGAATGCGCACTGTTGACAGTTCCCGAGCCGCACTAGTCCCACCCTGCAGGTCGTATGCGCTTCGAGACTAGCGCCATGCTATTTCCGTCTTCAAAGCTTTTCGTTTCCGCCCGGGCAACACCAGCGAATACGAGTCGTGATGCCTTGCTCCCGCCACGGTGAGTCCAGAGTCACCATGGTCTTCTTTTGTGACGGTAAATTTTCCGACAAGACTTCGCCATATCCTCCGCCTGCCTGGACCATGGTCCACTGTGGAGTTTGTTGAACCCAATGCTTTTGCAATCGCAATTCTCGGTGAAGAGCATGGACACGTATCAACACGTCCGTAAGGTGCACTTGAAGCTAGACAACTACATATATTACTTTGTGCACGCTCCAGGGTGGTTTTTCTCGATTGTAGCCTGTATGGCTACGCATCAGCACTGTCCTAGAGCGATGCAACCAGCACTTCTCCAGCATCTCTCTCCATCTTCGTTGATCTCAACAACACCTTGCAAAATATCAGCACAGAAACCCTCTATGAACCGCTCGGCGTATACAATGAGACATGAACTGAGTGGCCAAGCCTGCGAACATGTCTGATCGATCCACGGTTCTTGTGGAAGGCGGTATCGCCCAACCGCAGGTAAGGGTAGTCCAGGGTCTACGACCGCCTATGGTTCTGGAGTGAAGTCAAGAAACGATGCGGCATATCTTGCAAAGTTTAGTATCTGCTGCGTGGGTTATACTTTCTGTCGTATTCACCGACACCCTGTAGCCAGAATACTTCCTCAGTGAGCGCAACCTGAACAATCAATCACCACTAACATCCATCTATGGTTGCGCACCTCAAGCTCTCAGTGCACTCCTTATTCTTCGCGCTCGCTCTCCTTGGTAAGCTGGAGATCCTCAGGCTCTGAGCTGCCTATTCCTCACGCACCTGACATCGTTCACTACTAGTAAGCTTTGTCTCAACTCAAGCACCAAACGCGATGGCCGACCACCCAGACTTCTTCCGCCCCGCCGAAGAAGCGCTCTCGAGGTTGGCCAACTTCAGGACGCAGAATCCTATTTGCGTCATGACCGCACCAGCAGGCCGCTCGTCCTCTCCGTCTCCTGGTTTGCCTTCCCCGTCAATGTCGCCAATCTTATCTGTACCGCTGCAATCGCCACCAACTGCGATTTTTCCGCAGTTCCAGGCTTCGCCTACGACTATTCCACCAACAACGTATGGTCCTGCCTATAATTCCGTGCATCAAGTTTCGCGAGCGAATCACATGCCGTGCCTTGGTACACAGTCGCCATCCCCACAACCGTCACCGCCGCAAGCGTATGAGCCGCTGGTGTATCCCGAGCCGCTCGAATGTATGACCTATACAATGGTCTACGATCGGGTTTATCTGGTTCTCCGGGACAACCTGACCGATTGGTGGACTAGGAACACAGACGCACTACACCAGGTTACATGTAGGTTCCCTCTCGTCCTCTCCATCTCGCCTTTTCTCTTTCACTGATACGATACTTTTTCAGATCGGTTAACGGCCGCGATAATCGGTGGTGGTGTGAAAGGCATGTTCGGCTCTAATGGACTTCAATCACTTTACCAAATCGGTATGTACACTGGCCGAGAAGGCATCTACCGCTATATGTGCCTCGCCGTACAGTCAGAACATGGTGGACTCACGATTCTCCTCAAGGGCGACCTGTGCGAGAAGGATGGAAAAGATCCGACGCACGACAAGGAGTTGCTGGTGTTGTGCAAGGACGGCTTTGACAAGGGCGTCGCTAAGCTGTATTCAAGCATCGTCACGGAGGCTCAGAAGCAATAGGCATGTAAAGAAATGGTTGATGTACCTGGCACTGAGAGTAAGTGTTCTTCATTTGAAGCAGTTTCGCACAACTGGTGTCGAAGCTCGTGGGTATATCGCACGAGAAGCCATAGTGTAGCAAACTGTGAAGCTATCTTCTTGAATGGTAAGATGTATTTTTTCTTCAAGGAAGGTGCGTTCATTGACATGACAAATATGGCACGCCTGAGAAGTCTGTGGGCCGAAGCTCTCATGATTGGCCGGTTCGTAAAAGCACGTGATAAGGTCCCGTCACTGATGTCATGATTGGCTGTCGGCATATTAGGCACTCCACCACACTTTCATCGCATAACGCATCCGGTCAATTGTCTCGACGTGTTTCCATCATGCATGCGTCCTCCAAACTCATTGCCATCCTTGGCCTCCATCCAGCATGCCATTGCCGGATGATGCGCCTGTTCAAATTCGCAGGCGCAGTCCTAGAGTGAAAACAGGTTGTCGGACTTGCAAGTATGCAGTGTATGCCTTACTATATGATTGCCGGATTGACTGAGAGCTCCTAGAGTACGACGCATCAAGTGTGATGAGGTGAAGCCAGCATGCCTCAAGTAAGCATTATCTTTCCACGTTCGCAAGTCGTCCCGTCAGACTAATAGAGCTAGGTGCACAAGTACCGGCCGCAAGTGCGAGGGTTACACAGCAAGCGGCGGGAATTTCCAGGTCCGCGTCTGGAGTCATAGTCAGCCTTCCAATCCCCAACACGCTCTATCCACCTTCAGCGATCTCGGGGATAACGCACGCTTTCTGGACTTCTATTATCATTGCGCTCGTCCTGCACTATCCACCAACTTCGACAAAGAGTTCTGGTCTCGCATAGCACTTCAGATGGCGCATTCAGAACCTGCAGTGCGTCATGCATTGGTAGCTTTAGGCTCCCTCTGCCAAACCGAACGCGGAGATATGAAGCATGCATGCGCGAGACTCATTACCAATCCTCAACGGAAGGCCGTATTATCTCATTACAATAAGTCTATCAGATGCTTGGTCGATCGCATGAGCGAAACAACTTACTCGCCTGAGCTTGGCCTCGTCATCTGTCTGCTTTTTGTTTGCATTGAGTTCCTGCAAGGGAACTACCACACTGGCCTGACCCACTTGAGGAATGGCTTCAGACTGATATCTGCGCGCCGGCGGGGTCTGACAGTGTACCATAATCTGTCACCAGGCCTTGGTCCTCCTCAGGTAGTACCGAGCGGCTCAAACTGTACACTAAACTCGATCGAAGAGACGTTGATACCCATCTTCACCCGCGGCATGGCGCAAGCTTTGTTACATACACTCGGGATTCAAGATGATCTGGGGGTACCGAACCTGATGCCAGCGATGTACTGTCAAAGTCGATTCAAGAACCTTTCCGAAGCGCAACAGGTCTACTTCGAGCTCCGAAACGCTTCCATAGTTCATCTGCATAACATGGGACTGAAGTTCCTCTTCCAACAGAAGCCCAGCGTTGAAGCTTACCAAGAACGGGACAATCTACTGGCGTGTCATCACATATGGTACGAGAGCATGCGACGCTTTGAACTCGAGAATAAACTCGCGAATGAGGAGACTGTTGCCGCGAGCGCTCTCAAAGCTTGGTATCATAGCACTTTCGTCTGTGTCTCGTGTTCAGCAACAGTGGTCGAAAAGACATACGATTCGTATCTGGACCACTTCAAGAAGATAGTACATTACACGCAAATAGTCATCGATTCAACACCCCCTGCGAACAACAACATAGCCCACTTTACCTTTGATATAGCTATAATTCCACCGCTGTATTTTGTTGCAACACGGTGTCGTTGTCCCACCACTCGACGAGAAGCAATAGCCCTTCTGGAACGCGATCCCCCACGCGAAGGTCTTTGGGACGCGCGGCAGCACGTTGTAGTGTCCAAACGAGTGGTCGAATTGGAAGAAGCCGACGTTGACCCCGGTACCGGCTGGCCGGTCGAGGAGACAAGGCTATGGAATTGCGTCGTCAAGGCTGGAATGGACCATAACGGTGGGTTCTGGGTGGAGTTCACTCCGGCACGATGGATCGGGCTACTAGACGCGAACGGGCAGCGAAAAATAATGTACGAGTATTTCGTCCTATGAGGATCGTGTGGAACAACACGTGTATCTCGACATATGAGCCGGATATCTTCCGCGGGTACACATTCCACTTTTTCGTTTGCAATTATGGATTTTGCTCAACATGAGGTGTCGATGTTACTACAGAAAACAAAATACTCCCCACTAACCTTCACGGTCAGTGTACCCGATCTACCATGCTGTGGGGTGGAAAGATTAATGTTGGCGAGGTTACATCTATCATTATCGCAATCGCAAACAAGCAACAAGCGGGGTAATACGATGGACATCGTAGCAAGCACGAGAGCACATATAAACTTTGCTTCCACCGCAGAACGCCACGCCCATGAACTGCATTCCAAACCCAAATATTCGACTTCGAAACATGGCCTTCACCCAAATTCGACACATGTTTGAGAAGATTCTAGCTGACCAGGAGGGTCGTGGTCTTCCTCTTCTAAGCGCCGAGGACTATACTCCCTTCCTTGGTAAATCTCTCTATCTTACTAATAGCCCGTCCTAATTATTGACTCAATCTAGACGCTATCGGAGCCCTCCTCGTAAATCCCGACTTCATGCACGAACACAGCTGGGAGACCCGTACACTCGAGCACTCTATTAGCCGACCTACTGTCGATGCCAAGAGCTCCGAGGACTGCAACAGTAAGCTGAACATTCGACTCCAAGAGGGCGAAGAGAAGGATTCCAGTGGTACAACAGTGTTCGACGGTAGTGTAGTCAGTATCCTTGTGGATGGATATACTCTGGTGAAACGTAGGAGTACTTCGTGGGCTGGAGATGCGCTGCTAGAGGTGTTTCAGAAGGTAATCACGATGGCAAGGGAGTGGGAGTGATATTGGCTGCGGGATACATTGAGGTTGCAGGTGTGCTTTGACTGTCGTATCAAGTGATGTAGGCTTCACTCCTGTTTCAGACTATGGTCCGACGCGGTATGAGCTTGCTCTTGACTGCCAGCTGGCAGCTATGAAGTGGCCACTTGAGCATCTATATAATCCCTGTATGTTAATCTAGCGATGAGAATAGTGAACAGTTCGGGTAGAAGCATTCAGAAAACTTTTCCCCAGTGAAGTGAATCTACACATGGGCGAATTACCTCAGTAAATGTTTCCATCAAATCCTACCTCTCCTACAAACTTGTCCGATGATCTGAACGGTTTGATCTCCACCCCCTGTCAATGAGCAGCAAGCCACACCACCGCTGCCATTTCTAATGGTTGAGAGCAAGCGTAGCTGTTTTTCAATAAGCCTGAGCTGACCCAGTCCGCCTGGTCCTCTTTCCAATGCTTATAGCAAAGCGCTCACAATCATGGACGAAAGGGTACTGGTAAGCGTCCCTGTACGGACTCCATATGAGCCATTTGTTGAATTTGTGCACCCGTGTTTAGACCCAGCTGCACGTTCGAGGATTGCCTCCATTATGTCTTGACAGCAAAGGAACTTCTGGTCTTCACATATGCAGATTACCGGGATTTTCGCGGTACGTACAGCGCGTACAGAGCGCGAGTAGTTGGTCGACAGTACACAAAGATGACATCATTCACCTCCTCGATATAAGAAGAGAGAAAATATATGTGTACCTATGAGAACGCGAAGGTAACGTCAAACATATGCGTGCTTCGTCCGCTCCGCCCGTGCCGTCCGCTCTGCCCGTTACACTAGCCTCATCTGTTTCGCCTGCTCTTCCCGACAGCAGTATCGAATTACCTTCCAACGCGCCCGTAGACAATCCGTGGTTATCTCATCCCTACCCGAACAATCACGACACACCGAAGAAGGAGAGTTACGATCGTATCGTCATCATCATTGGGAAGGAGGGTTGGAGTGGAAGTTTTAGCGACGGTAAAATGCTTCTTCTCAGCAATTGGTTATTTTCTAGATCTTAGCGTAGCTTTAAGTAAAACACGAGTAAGAAGTTCAATATAACACGAAAAGAGAGTATAACTATATCTATTTTTCATTGAACTCATTACTAGGCTAGGCTAACAATATATGCTATCCTGAACTATAATTAGTGGCTTACTAATCATACGTAACGTAGGTCACATGCGAGTAGATGTTAGACATAGCTGACGATATATACTATCCTGCACCATGATCAGTAGTTCACTGATCATACGTACTTTTTGATTCGATAGCGTAGTGGTGCAGGGCTGCGTTCTGACACTTATGTTCGTGGTCGGCATTTGCTCACGGTTACAGGTGCTCAACGCAGTGAAATGCGATAGCCCATAAGCAGCGCATCGAGAAGTACCGAACAAGAGAATGAGAAATGAACGAGAAGCGACTAACGCTAGCCGCTCCCATCACCTAGTCCACCTGTTTGCCGCGTACATGTGGAAAACATGCACCTGTATAGACGTTGATTATGGCAGTGACGTCGAAGCCTCGCGCTACTTTTCATCGCCCTCAAGTCCATTATGCAAGCTTTTCCACAGCTTCTCTACCGTGTAAAATGCCTCCTTAACGTGCTCCTACACCTTCGCAGGCTCTAACCACGCGCACCGATCCATCTCGAACACCTTAATGCGCGGGATGGTTGTACCCAGGTAGCCGCTGCTGTCCTGGTACTTCAGCGTCCCGCATATGCTGCTGAAGCTGTTTCCCATGTATTTGCCGGCTGTAGTTGTGTTGTTTTGCTTGAACCGAGTAAGTTTGCCCTTGCTGTGCAAGTGCTTGAGGTTCGTATCTTTGACAACGAAGTTAGAAGCGAACATGGTGAGATTGTTCGTTAGCTGCGTGATGCCGAGTGCTTTGCAGAGTTTGGGATACCGTACCTCGTAGTGATGCTGCAACAGTTGGTGCAATGGCATAGTGCCCTTGCGGTGCTAGTTCAGGCTTTCCTTCGTCATAATGATCGTCCTGCATGGAACTAATTATACTGTCGCATTATTATATCGACTGAAATGTGACTCAAACGGAAATTGCGGGCAGAATGATACCGTGGGTGCAGTTTGATGTCCAGGCCCTCCGGCTTATATGTTACAAAGACAATGACCAGGACTGCTCTGGTGCAAAACACAGTCGTGTAATTGTTGCGACAATCTTTTGCTTGATCGTAGCGCCAGTAATGCTGAGTTGGCAGTTTTCGTGAATGTTCACGAACAAGTTTCGTCATTGCTGAACCCGAAGCCACAAACTCGGGATACCGTCTCCAAAAACAAGCCGTGCAAGAGTACGACACAACAGTGATATTACAAGATAAGGGTTCGAATCACCGGAAAGGATTTAGAAATGCAACACCGAGCGGGAGACGGATTGGCAGTGGCCTCCCGAACAACGTATCGCAGTCATCTCTGGGCACCTTATCCAGCGCTAGTCACAAGGAGGTAATGGCGTTCTGACAACACTCCACTGTGTGAGACCCAGAAGTAAGCACTAAGTAAGGTCCCGCAACAGCTGATTAATCGCGTCACGTCATAGCACCGAGTCACCTGAACGGCGTGTCGTCACAGTCTCCGAAACTTGCTGACTATGTTATAAACAATTCAGGCCGCACATAGCATGTTCCAGGTCTTGAACTGTGCGGATACGCCAAGGTCAGTAGTAGATTTCTGCCTACCTATGCACTACTACTACAAGTGCTTAGACTTCTCGAAAGAAACGCACACAGCACACTATTATGTCAGAAACCCGCCTTTTACAGCCCTTGAATCTGGGCTCAATTGAGCTTAAGAACCGTATTGCTATGGCTCCCATGACCCGCTTCCGTGCGCCTGATGATCACGAAATCCTTCCGATGGCTGCGCAATACTATGCCCAACGTGCTTCAGTTCCGGGGCCTCTACCGGTCACGGAAGCAACACTCGTCTCTAAACAGTCCGGAGGCTACGCGAATGTGCCAAGAGTTTACATCGAAGCCCAAATCAGCGCGTGGAAGAAGGTTACCGACGGAGTACATAAGAAGGGAGGCTTTATCTACCTTCAGCTCTGGGCCTTAGGCAGGAATCTCTCCAGTGGCTGAATCAGGCACTTCGTTTTGTTTCAGGGAAATCCACACGGTTGCTACAGCTTCAATTGCTGTACCTTACTACGAGACTGGTCGATTCCACTATCACTGGGTGAATGTACTAAAGTTAGAAGATTTAGAAACCGAAATTGAACGCCCATAGGCGATCTTATTGCTGAAAGGTTAAAAGACAGAGCATGCAAGTTTTTACTTCCAAGTTCAAACATGCCATGTGTTTCTTGGAGACGATTAGCTTCATTTGTTCGCATTGAAGCGATTATCACAGACCAGCCACTACAGACTCGTCCGAAGCCCACCCTTGCCTCCATTCCCAAAATTACCTTCACTGCTGCTTTCCAAACACCTCGACAGCTGCCTCGGCCGTGCTCTTTGCGCTCTGCGGATTCATGCCGGTCACAATCCTACCGTCGACAATGTGGTAGTCATCCCAAACACCTTCTGATCGAACATCTGCACCAACCATGTCAGCTCAGCCCCATATAAGAACATTGGGAAGGCGATAACATACACTCAGCGCCGAGCGACTTTGTATGCTCATCAATCAATGGCTCCTTCCACGACCGAAGACTGTCCATAATTCCCATCTCCTCCTCAGCTTGCGTCGTGAAACCAGTGATCTTCTTACCCTGGATAATAGGCTTGCCAGTAGTGGGGTCGAGAAGGTCAGCAAAGATGGCTGGGCCATGGCAGCTGTTCTTTTGTTAGGTACTATCGCAACTAGAAGTGAGTAAATGGAAGACGACGACTCACACAGCGGAGACGACGCCGCCGTTCTCCCAGACTCTGGCCGCGATCTTTTTAAGATCCGTAGCATGGGGATAGTCAATCAAGGCCGCATGTCCCGCAGACGCGAAGAAGATGCCATACTATGACCAGATAATCAGCCTCCGACTGACATGGGATGGCTCAAACATCAGCATACCTCCTTCTCCAACAAATCCCCTGCCTTCACATTCCGGTCTATCTCGCTGCGGAAGTCACTGTTCCTGTCATCGTACTGCCTCCTTTCCTCATCGCTTAGAAAACCAGGCTGGAGACTAAGCCAGTCTTCTGTCCACGTTCCTTTCTCAGAGGCAACATCGACTTCGAAGCCCGCAGCTTTGAGAACGTTGTATGGATGCAGGGCTTCGCCGATGAAAACACCGGTTTGGTGGCCACCGCCTTCGAAGAGCGAGGCATGGGCGGAAGTGATCGCGATGAGAGCGCGGCGAGGTGGAGACATGCTGAATATGGTGATGAAAATGTGATGAGTTGAGAGCCTGGGAAGGAAATTCTTCTTAAATTATATAAATCGGTATGTCTGGCAGATCCGGAGAATATGTAAGGCAAGTTGACTGGGTATGAGAAGTATGCTCCTAAGTGAAACATCTCAACTTCTTATATACTTCGCCAGGCACCCATCTCAGTAAGCTCTCGGAGAGTCACACCCAACAACTCTTCCATGCAGTACATTGTGCCTAATCAAACCTTGCTTACCAAAGCTAGTCCAAAAGCTTTGTAGATAGAGGGTATTAGGTGTTGATGTTGTCTGAGCTAAGCCGTCAAAACCAATTTAGGTCTTGTTATGCCGCAGTCTCATATCGGCTGAGTCCGGGCGATTGGCGCGGGTGCCACTGGGTCTGACCCGATGAGCTGCGAGATAAGCTCCTGGGTGTAAGATAAATCGTGTTTGCCAGTACGGAGCTTACCGCCTTTCCGGACGTGTCAGGCTACTAGGCTAGATATGTTAGAAGTTTTCGTGGCAAGGACCACTCAATTTAACAAACAAGGCAAGCAGCACACGCAGAGTGTGGGGGCGGAAAGAGAGCGATCGAGTGATTTACGCACGAATCAGGGCTGGAGACCACGCGGCCTGTATAGGTCAGTCAGACTGCGCAATTGTGAACAGAATAATTCAAAAATATGAGTCTTCTTGTTTTGAATGTTCACCGTCAATGTTCATGAGGTACACGTATCGTATTGCTTCTTCGTCCGTGCGCTTACACAGTTGTCTCAACCACTTGACAATCTCTTCGACGAGTTCAATACTTTGCTAGCGCCCTGGTTGATGTCGCGCAGAAAAGCCGATAAGTCGCATTAGTCAAATGAGCAGTTGGTCCCTGCGTACGACTCGACAAGGCCTTCACCGGCAAGTGTAAACATGTGACTTCTACTTCCTAGACCTTCAGCTTCAGCCCAGGCTCCTGTCATAACGCAGCCCTACACCAGTACGCTGTGCAACCAAAAGTTGCGTATAATCAGTGAACTACTGATCAAGATGTAGCATGGTATATATCGTCAGCCAGGCCTGACAGCTTCTTTGTGGTGGCCCCCAACGCAAAAGTATTTGCGTATCTTCTCCCAGCCATAGCGCACATCCGCCGCAGCCATACTTTGCTATAAGCAGATATGTTTAACTGTACGACATGTCATAGCCCCCATACACGGAACACCGATGCAGATTCTCATCGGGATTTATTCTACTGATTATTGTTTTAATACCTGTTTAAGAAAGGTTCTCTACATTGGATGAAAATTACATATCATAACCTGACCCGGAGCACATGCAGACTACAGAAGAGTATGTCATTTGCAGATAAGGCACAAAAGGGACATTACGGATACAACTGCGCCGCAATGGTAGATCCATAGAGTTAGTCGAGGTAAGGTCCACTAGATATTGCTCCTGATTGGCCTGCTCGCTTTTGAGTTGACGTAAATGTCTGAGTCATGATGAGTCTGCTAAGCCAAATATGGATTAGAAGAGAACCAGCATCTAAACCCGGATCCTCCACTTTCGCTTTCGGCCTAGTAGCTTGACGTGGGCCCCAGAGGCGTAGGGGGCTCAAAGCACCTATACCCCACTAGCACAGTCTCGCAAGCTACCTTAATTCGCTGTCTGTTGCTACGACTGTGTTGCAACATCTACTGTGCAAAGACATCCGCGTACGGACTAACCAGAGATCTATCCGATGTGCTGCAACACGATATGAGTCGCCAATTGAAGGTTCGGACTGGGTGCTCGGTTTGCAAGTTAGCCTCCCAAGCCTGCGTTAGTTACATCTTCTCACCACAAGCTTCAGGATACGTCGCGTCAAGTGTGACGAGACGAAACCTTCTTGTCTTAAGTGCACCTCGACGGGTCGTACGTGTGAAGGTTATGCGCCACCGCTACCGAGGAAGTCCAGGACGCGCCGTTCCAAGTACGACGTTTTGGAGATGCCACTGGATCGCAGTATTGATGTTAAGTTCGATACACCTGACGTTAGCATTATCTTGAACTCAAACGTTTACGACCCAGGTTACGCATGGGGTGTCCCCAGGAGCTTAGACCGCGCACGTGACGGAGTCGACCGGGACGAAATTCGAAGCCTCGCTTACTACCGTACGCGTGTCTCCAATGATATCTGCAGTTATTTCGATACAGACTTCTGGTACAACCTCGTTCTGCAAGTGAGTGAGGAAGAGCCAATTGTGCGACATGCCCTTCTTGCGTTGAGCGCCCTGTACGAGGCTGGAGAAACATCCCAGCTGCTAAATCATCCTTCCTCAAATGACCGATACAATACCCTGATGCGGTTCGCCATTTATCATCACAACAATGCTATCAGCACGCTACTCAGGAGAATTGGAACGGACGGGCCACTCCTGGAGGTGCTTATAATGACCTGCCTTATATTCACTTGGATAGAATTCGTAAGGGACAATGTGGACGATTCCTTGAGACACCTGCACAGTGGTCTTCGGATCCTGTGCGAACAGCGGCAGCTAATAGGCTCTCGAGTGGTGATCGAGCACATGGCTAAAATCGTGGGTCGTGTTCTCATACAGGCTACGCTACATAGGAGCTCCTCGATAGAGTTCGATTATTACGCTACTGTGGGCCATAACCCAGTCGCAGGAACTCTCAGCTTTACAACTCTAAGAGAGGCTCGATGTGATATAGATGGCAAGATAAGCAGCGCCTTACACTTTCTACGCAGGATTGAGGGTGCTGGCTTCGCAGAGTTGCGCCATAAATGTTGCGCTTTTCCGGACCTGCCATGCCTCAAATGCATGCATCAAACCCACATCCACGAATTTGACCAATGGAAAGTGGCCTTTGAAAGCCTTAGGGATCGTCTTAATATCAACGCATTGACTGCCGATGCACTTCAAGCCCTTCACCAGCTCGAGCTAAGTTACTTGCTAATCTCAAACACTTTCGACACCCTCTTTGCTACGACACCAATGGTTTTTGATAAGTACAATGATGTCTACGGCCGTATCCTATACCTTAGTCGCTGGATCCTTCAACATCAGGTCCTCCGTAGATCAACCTCACTATTTACATTTCCCTTCGGCAACGGCGTCCAGGGCGCGCTCCTCAATATCGTTCTCCGGTGCCGCCATCTACCCATTCGACGGGAGGCTGTCCATTTACTTCAGCTTTGTCCGGATAATGAGGGCATTTGGCAGCGTACAAGCTTGATCACGTTTTGCAACTGGAAGATAAATATTGAGGAAAAGGGAAGACCGCGAGGAGCGCTCGAAACTGATCCGCTACCAGAGAACGCTCGGGTGTACGCTGAGAGGGCGAGGGAAGTCGTAAGAGAAAGCCAAACTCTGGTGGCGATAAGTTTCAAGCGAGGGGCGTGGAGCAGTATCAGCGATGTCGAACTGGACGAAGAGGTAGTCCCGAACGTGAGCATGAGGTTAGTTGGACTGTTGGGAATGCGGGTGGCACTATCGCTGCGCCCTGCTGTCGAGCTGAAAGCTCAAAATCTCGATAACAAAAACATTTACTGTAGCCCCACAAACCTCCTCAGTGTTACGCGATCGGATCCAGGGTCAATGTGAAGCCGTGTCACATGACTTAGAGCGGCACTTTGCCTAGACAGGCAGCTTTCGGCCTTCAGTCTTCCTATTTGGGATGCACTTGATCACAATAGATAATTTCAACTTCCAGTTACTATGCAGTCGTTAAACGTGACCCGCCTTCGTTGATTGGAACCACGTATCTCCTTGTTCAGTATATTGCAACAGCCTTTGGTCCATCAGCTAATAATATAGAGTGCAAATAGAGAGAAATTTCAGTGGCTCGAAAAGCGAGCGCATTAGCATATCGCTCGCACGAGGCCTGACCAGACCTCTAGCAATATACAGGCGCGATTCACGCGTTGCTTCGACACATGCCTCCCATTCCGATAGTACAGTTACACCAACATGTTTTAGTGACGCTGCCTCTGAGAAATTAAATTCGTACGGAGTTATGAAGCTATCCCTGAAACCATCTCGTATATGGCGTGGCACTAACGAGAAACCCCGCACGGAGCCAGCGAAAGCTGTCAAATTGCAGGGCGATCTCATCAGTTTGCACTCTAAGCATATAACAGGCAATATACCTCTACCCTCACGATTCTTGTGCATCCAGTATCTCGTTAGACTCTATTGTTTGACACTAGGCATAGCCTAGTTCTTTACATATTGGAATACTAGATAGAGGAACTGTTTAATTGTCTTTTTTAGGTTATTGAAACTCTGACACTATACTACTTTTAGCGTAAGGATATATATCCTCGCCGTCTCATGTTAAACAGGTTAACCCAACTTTGATTTCAGTCTGCCTATCTTATCGAATAACCAGTAATCCAAGTCCACAAGATCCACGACCCTAATCCCTGTATTGTCTGCGGCATACCTATTAGCACCTTTTTCTACGATATTGAAGCGGCTCGGATCAGACGCGGGATCAATTTTCCTGTTACTAGATACCATCCTGTCGATAGCTTTTCGCAGCGGTGTTGCTCCTGTTTCATTTTTGGCTTCCAGGTTGGCGCCGTAGTCCAGCAGGAGCGTTGCAATAGCCAACATCTGAAGCTCTGTGGGTGTTTGGATAGCAGTGATGGCTACTACCGTGTGTAGCGCAGTTTCTCCTGCTACTGTAGTAGTAGCGTTGACATTTGCGCCCTGCTTAAGCAGAAAGCGAATGATATCCATGTCGCCCTTTTCTGCTGCTCCATGCAGTGCCGTGCGCCCATCAGATGCTGTTGCTTGGATGTTCGCACCGTTCTTGAGGAGTATCTGGGCGGTTTCGAGTCGAGAGATCGATGTTGCCGTGTTCCATGACTCTTCCAGCACATAGATATGTGAAGTCAAATGACGTCTCCCCCAAGTCGCAAAATGGAGTGGTGTCCATTGGTCCTCTGTGGCAAGTTCATCCAGATTTGAACCGCGAGAGATCAGAAGATCTACCACGTCTGCGTGCACTTCCTAACATGCCGTGTGGAGGGGCATCCGTCCCTGGTCATCTTTGGCCGAACTATCTGCCCCAAGGCTACAGAGGAACTCTGCAATTGCTCGCGTTTGAGCAAGGTGGAGTGGTGTGCGCAAGCTCTGGTCCGTGACTTCGAAGCTAGCTCCAGCCTCTACCATTGCTTTGATAGTCTCGATATTTTTGATGTATGCGAGGGCGACCATGATAGGCGGTGGATGATACTCGCCAGTATCGTCATCTATACGTGGCCCCTCATCTACGCGCAGACCCTTCGACAACAATAAACCTAGGACGCTCTCAAGATTGAAGCTCGGTACGGGACTCGTGAGAAGCCAGAAGCGAGTCATGCCAGTTCCTAACACTGTGGCGTTTATGTCAGCCCCGTAGTGTACGAGATTCTGAAGCATGGATAAGAATCGCCCGGGCAGGTTTTTGTATTTTTCCGGGCTTCTTTGATAGAGACGTTCGCGACAATGATGGTCGCAACAATACTCGTATAGCGCCATGAAAAAAGCCTCGGTCAGACAAGATCTATCTTCGATAGCGGTGAGGTCCGGAAAGCTAGTGGCGTGCGTGAGAAGTAGTTCGACAGCTTCTGTGTGCCAACACTGCGCAGCTTGTATCAAAGCTGTGCGCACACACCCTTGTCTTGTGTCGTACACCAATTCGTCTTTGTTGAGCTCCTGAAGAATGATCATCATGCAGTCTGTCCTGTTCAAAGATGCTGCCAAAACGAGGGACGACGGAGACATTGCGACTTCATGGTCAATCAGCACCCTAAGGGACTTGCATGATCCAAGCCAGGCTGCAAGGTCAAGAGCGGGATGTGGAGGATCAACTGCAGTGTCTGAGTAATCTAGTTTCTCTGGATCTGCCCCAGCTTTAAGAAGTATCTTGACAGCCTCAGCATGATCACCTTGTATGGCAAGATGAAGTGGTGTACATTCACCATAGGTGTCATAATTGTCGATGTTCTCGATAGAGCGTACAAGGAATGCGAGTTTCGAGATGTCGCCTTGTTCGGCTGCCTTGTGAACGGGCAACGTACCGAAAGGCTCCTCGACCTGCGGACCTGTATGCGCCGGAGTTCTTTCGCCGTGGTTATTGTAGTTATTTCCTTCTAGATCCGAATTGTCCATTGTTGTGCGCTGCCTCGGCCGAGAGGAACAGGAAGTCTTGTCTTTCGTGAGACGGCAATGTCATCCCGTATCCGAGACTTGACGAGCGGCGCACAGACGAGGTATACCGTGTCTGTGCGCGTAATGCGCATGGTCGCGTAATGCGCAGCTTTCACTAGTAAAATTGAAAGGACATCTCTAATGGGATATTAAATAAGGCTTACTTGATAGGGCTAAGCGATAAAAGATACGGATGAGAACTCGGTGTAGCATTAGATTACCTACCCTAAGGTAGCTAGATATAAGCCTAAGAACCCCTTAGGAATAAGAGGGAGCTTCTTTAGATAATACTAACTTAGCAATTGCTTCTTAGCATCTCTTTAATTCTTCTATTCCGCGGATTGCGGGTTAGATATCTACTACCTCTGCTCGACGATCGTTGCGCGACAATATCTGATCTAATATGTATTAAGCAACCCTTACACTAACAACAGTTCTTAGCGGGGACATTTAGAAGACACGTACACAGTAAGCTAGGAAGCGCAACGCAAAGAGAGTCGATCCCAGGCACCGGCAATGTATGTACAAGCATAGCCCTAAACGAACAGGCAACGCCAAAAAAAAAACGCTAGATAAGCATCGTCACCAGACCAAAGCTCACAAACGCTCAGAGCATGCTCAGTAGTAAGTACTACCGTTTAACTTACTCTATATCGTGCTAGAAAAACTACCCCCAAAGGCGCAAACGTTTCCCCGACGCCGCTCATCTCTTATCGGTATAAATGGGCGTAGAACCACAACCAATCAATCAATCAATCATCTCTTATCGGATGCAAACCTTTACTTAGTACCCAATTCATGGATGACTACGTCAACTATCTTCGACATCAATCTGCCGCACTCATTTTTCAAGTGGTGTTTACAGAGCAGAATTACACAGACGAATTATAATCTGTGTCGACATAGCGATATTGCTGTACTAGAACATGGGGCCCAGGCCTGTCACTGCCCGCTGGCATGGCCTCTTGTGTACGAGCAATATATGTGCAAAAACTCCCTTTCCTTGCACATACGACCATAGGACACTAAATACCAGGCTTCCCGTCCGCTCAGCCATATACAAACAATGTACCAGCAGATTATTAGGTAGGTAGGTGGGTGGCCACTAGCAAATCTCCGCTGTTGTATGTTAACATTTTTGTGCTCTCTTTTTGCATCCTTTGTGGGCCGGGTGAAGACGGCAACGTCTCGTGCGGAGTAGCTGCGAGGAAGACTGTAGCATGACCACACGTTGCACGCTTCAAGGTCGGCGAGTACACGCTCGCGAAGGGTCTGGGGATAGATTCCGAGAAAGCTGCGGTGTGAGAGTTGTTCAAACGTGTACATAGCCTTGCGGACGAGTACCGCTACATGGAAGAGGAAGCACGTTGGACTGACGAGGAAAGGCGTGTGAAGGCTGAAGAAGTGAGCGAGCCATATGAGGCACACGAGGCAATCAGCTTTGGTGCGTATCGGTGATTGTAGTGGCTATCAGCTCACTCTAGAGATCTCACGAAGTTCATCGAGCGATACCGCCTTCACCTCAGGGCAATGATGAGAGCCGATATCCCCAAAAGGGAGACAAGATTCGGTATAATGCGAGAGGTGAGAGACAGCCTGCTCCCCGTTTGAAGGCGATAGCCCCTTCGGAGTAGTACTCGGCCCACCCGAACTATCACCAGGATTTCGATGATCACGATCTTCGGCCTTCTTACACTGCGCGATCACCTAGACGAGTACAACACAACCTGAGAACCAGTATCAGACCCACCATTGAGACGAAGACCACGAGAGAAATGAGACTAAGGCTCGTTATGTCGCCGCAAGTGGCCACATCAGGAGATCGATTGCGCAGCCATCTCCAGAGTTTGCTCGATAGGCTGCCGGGCAAATTACCATCGTACGATCGAAAGCAGCTTCTTGGTGCGCACCCAGGCCCGTATGACTATATGTGCACTGACATCGACTATAGACGACCTTTGCTTCTTGTTACACAGCCCTCTCTTCCTCTACGCCATCGCTCCGCGCCTAGGTCGCGCGACAACTTCACTGAAAAGCGATGTACTGAATCTCGTGACAGCAGGATCGCTAGTCAACGGAACCAAGAAGGCAGAAGAAATCTATAGATACGGACTGAAGATGATGGTCGCATGGGATGGCAACAGCTGGGCGACTAGACTACTATACGGCGAGACTCCGCTCATCGAGGGACGACAATACAAAACGACGGAAAAGGCGGGCTCTCGTAAGAGTTTCCACTGGTTCTGTGACGAGGTTAGATTCTTGAGTTGCGAATTTCGCGCTCGCGAGCATGCCGCAATGGTGGCGCTAGACTCCGCCGCCGATACCGAGCTGACGGAGGTGGAAGGTGGACAGACTCGTGCAAAGAGTGAGGGGAAGAGGCAGCGGCGCATCGTCAAGTTGAAGATCAGGTACAAGGTGGTGCATGATAGGCCAGTGCTCACAAATAGGGCGAGGTAGTGGAAGGACGCATGCGATGCGCTGTGGCAAGAGAGCGGAAGTCGAGCTGGTTTGATGCGCTATAGTGTAATCCAGAATTCTTCTAGCCTATAACAGCAGAGGGAAGGATATTATCACGCCGCATAGGGAACCTCGCGATATAGTCTTTGGGCCAGTGAGTGGGTGTAGTCGTCGATCCGATGTCTTTGTTATTAGCAGAATGGAATCTGGACACAACCATATGGCGTGTCTCATTGCGCCTGTGCAATGCCATTATGAATTTAACCATACCGCCCATAGCAGAAGCATGCGTCCAGCAAGAGGGAAAGAATGCGACAACGAACCACAGTAACCCTCGCGGACATCATCAACGTAGATGTAACTCGCCTGCATATCCATCCTGTCTTTGAATGCCCTTGTGGCTGTTTCGGTATTTCCCAAGCTGATTCTTGGTGTGCTTAGTGCGCAAGGTTGTCGCCGAATATTCACAGTCAAGGTGAGTCTAAGGATTGGTAAACCTGTCGTGCGGTACATGGACCTGAAGCCTCTCACCACGAGAAAGCTCGCTTGACAGTCAAGCTCGGACTCCGGAGTTCTGCCGAAGAGCCCACAATAAAGAGCCGTGCGACGCTGCCTAAATATCATGTGATGTCTAGCGTGCCAAGGCCACAGCGACTACTTATTCTCGCGCTCCCTCGTCCTCCTCTTCTTTTCTTTAGCTCTCTTTGCCTTTTGGCTTAGATCAAGTGTAGTATCTGTTCTTTTTAGTTTAATCTCTAAAACTGGTTTACGAACCAAATTAAGATTATCCTTATTTTTGGCATCCGCTGAAGAGGCTCTGGGCTTGCTCATCTTCTCGGCACAGTGTCGCCAGTATTTCACTACCTCTGGCAGACGCGACTTTTTCATTGGGTGTTCTTGCTTGCGAGAACCTCGAGGAAGGAGTTCCTTGACGTGTTTGAGTTCGTTGACCTTAGATTACGTACTCGTGGGATACATTCATTCTTAGCATACCGCCTGTTTGCATCGTTTGAAGTATGCTTTTGTACTTTGTTGCCTAAAATTTGTCGCAAAGCAGCATCGGATTATTGTTACGCGTGGCATGGCTGTCAGTCACGTCTTCGTCTTCAACAGTAAGCATAATGTAGCTCATACGTCAATATATGCTTTTGTATGTGTCGTTCACAGGTGTTCTGAGTGAAGTCCCGCTTCATCCATACCGATGTTAGTGGCGCATGTATGTATCGCGGATCCTCCTCACGGGGCATATAGCATAACGCGAAGATTCTTGACCCAGAGGGTTGTAAAGATCTGCTTTACCAATGCGTAGATACTTCCAAAACGATTGAGCGCCTATTTTGTGCGCTTGGAGCTGGATAGAAGCAACTTTTCGCGGCAAATAGTGAGAGACCGAAATTTCGTAGCTTGCCGTGACAAACAAACATCGACCTAGTCACTTACACGAACTTATTCGCAACAACGCCTCATCACCCATCTACACGTCAAAATGGCAGCTAAGTCAGGCATGGTCAACCCGGCCATCTTCCAGGATCTTCAAGCGCGCGTAGACGAAGACACCGCCGCTCGGGATGTAAGTGGCGGTCGATGGAGCTGCACGTGATAGCGTACTTACAACGCGACAGGAGCTGCGCGACATCATACAGGCACTTGAGAAGCACAGTAGACGCCTTCAATTCAATGCATAAGCTCTTCTAATAAATCACAGACCGTAATGTGTCGTTCGTGCTCTCAAGAGCCCATTCGACGCCCGTAGATGAGCGTGAGTCGCTTGTCACAGGTCTATCAACACCATGACTAATGTAGATACAGTATCCGACATCCTCAAGGCAGCCCAGGAACCTATCGACAATGTGATCGATACCGTATCCAAGCTGTCGCAGGCTGCGTCAAAGATGCCATACTACAAGTTCAACACCATGTGGAGCCGTCAGATGCAGGGCGCAGTAGGTTCACCAGGCACAGCAAACCGTCATCACAAAGCTAACGAGATAATAGTGCGAGAGCGCTTTGTTCTGGGGCTGGTTGGGCGGCTACAAGTACGATGGCGGTGAAGTACAGTGCGGCCGTTTGTTGACCATCGAAGAGCTCGGCGAGATCTTCAAGAGTATGCTAAAGATTCAGCTTCATCTGCGCCTCGCTGACAACAGCAGTTCCTGTCAACTTGAAGGACCGCGATGAGTTCCACCTCTCGCTCGAGGAGTATCTCCACTCACTTATGACGCTCGTCGAGGAACTGACACGCCTTGCACGTAACGCCGTCACTCTAGGGGACTACGAGCGTCCACTTCTCATCAACCAATTCGTCAAGGACTTGCACGCAGGCTTCCAGATTCTCAACCTCAAGAATGACAGCTTGCGCCGTCGCAGCGACGGGCTGAAGTATAGGGTCAAGGATGTGGAGGATGTAGTCTATGATCTTTCCTTGAGGAACCTACTACCGAAGAAGGCAGAGCAGAAGCAGTAGAAGGTCCGTAAGATGTTGCGGTAGGAGCGTTCCCTCTGTACCTACCAAGTAGATACATGTCGCACAGAGACGAGAACATCAGACAAGCCCCAACAAAGCTACACTCGAGTAATGAACTGTTCTCATCTTCCATGCGTGCCTGTTACGTCGTACAAACCATGGAGGTGCTCGATCGATGGTCCGCTATCTGTCCAATGAGCGAGCAGCACGGACAACATCACGAAACTTTCCGATCCGCGACATCCCTCCACAACCATCGCGACTGCAACACTCCAACAGGCCAGGCGCCACCTCCGCTCCTTTTGACGCCTTACAAACTACGACACTTCGTCAATTGCCATCTCCACCACATTGACAGTGCCGCACATCGTTGTTCCGCCTATCTCATTCGCAAGTATGGCCAGCACAACTGTCATCAACGCAAACGCGACATCGAAGGTTCAACCTTCTACGGCACCGCCAATCGAGCCATTGAAGAACGATATGGCACGTCTTTACACGCACATTCACCCAATACTCGTCCTCTCGGTCTATGCCTTGAAGTTTCCTGCATTGGTCGCGGACCCTGTGCAGACTCTCCTTGTTACGCTTGTGCCGCTCGCAGTTCTGCAGATTGCGTTCGTAGCGATATGCCTACCGCCGACAGGGGGCACGCCCTCCATAAGGAACAAGAAGCCCGGCGAGAAAAAGGGCAAGGCACCGGCCAAGCTAGACCAAGGGCTCAGCTCAAAGATCGTCGTATGTAAATCCCACGACCTTCATACACCGTACCGGGTCTATGGCGGCCCTTTTCAAAGACACACATACTGACAACAAGGTAAAGCCGGCATTCTTGTCCCTCCTCCTTGCCGCAATCGCGGCAACACCACTTCTTACCGCGACCCTCGTTCTTTTCGGCGCGCCCGTCTCCACACATCAATCGCATACCCTCCTCGCTGGCTCTCACATTGCGCTGCTCAGCACACTTCCCTTGGTATACGTACACGGTGTAGACGGCGAGACTTGGAGACAGATCGTCGCACTTCTTTTGCCGATTGATGAAGTCTACGGAGGATTGATCGGTACCGTGCTTGGTGCATGGCTGGGCGCTGTACCCATCCCATTGGACTGGTGAGCATTCCAATCCTCTCCAGTGTCAAAACTGGAGGTGACGCGAATTCTGCGACAAACATGGCTAACTATTTACAGGGACCGCGAATGGCAGAAATGGCCCGTCACCATCGTTACCGGCGCGTACATCGGGTATGCAGTTGGCAAACTGCTCGGAGGCACATTGTTGAAGGGCAAGAAGATTATGTTTGACTAGAAGACCATGATTGTGCTTGCTGTGCTTCCAAGGTACTTGCGGGCACGTATATGGTGGTACTATATTGTTAGTGTAGTGCGCAACTGTAAGTTGTGAGCATACGGTCCAAGGATGTGCATTTACCATACGAAGCGAGTATAGAGAGCCAGCTAGCTTCGGCCTCTGCATCAGTAGTATTAGCTTACCCACGCATTTGAGCAAGCCATTTTAAGCTCGTATACATCTGCCACGATCTCCATAAACTATACTTCGGATGTGATGCTTCGAAATGGAGTGCGGATACTGCAGGTAATGCAGGTACTGATAATATCTGGTAGCGAGGCACAACATCGAGTAGCTCTCGGAGCTGAGACCGATGCGAGCTTCCCACCACAAAAGCCAAGCTTCACCGGCATTCCCGAAATGGTAACTCCGGCGCAAACATGTCCTTCTCCCCACGTTACCGTAACCCACCTGTATTCCACTTGACTAGATGCAGTATACCCACGCTTCAAGTATCATACTGACATCGTCTCGGGCTAAATTGAGCGCGGTTTTAGGCTCTTAGACGCGTATTGAGGACCGAAAAATTGAGTTGAATGCGTGGACAAGCGCCACGAGCGGGGTCCGCGGTCATTATGTTGATCGAGGCGGGGGATGCGGGGGATTGTTTAAAAGGCACGATGTCCGGCTGAATTGGTGGTATGCCGCGTGGCTTGATTTCTTGATTTCGTCTCCGGTATTTTGAGCTGTACGTACTTTGGGCGTGTTCAACAAAACTGAGGTATGTTCTTCGTTTGTTGCGGCTGCACACTACCACTGCCAAACATCAGACCGCCTGAATCATAATCGCTGACAGCCTTAGATCTTTATACGCTGTATACGTTCAAGCACGCTGTCAAGATGTCGCGGAAACACTTCTTCCCTAATCCGGAAGGCGTAGTCCTCCACAACCTCCGCTCGTTATGCACACGCAACTCACACATGGCGCTCGATGAAGCCAATCGAGTCGTTTACAACCTCTCACACCCTCCGAACCAGGTCACCATCGTGTCTGGTGGCGGTTCAGGTCACGAACCAGCGTGGTCTGGCTTTGTCGGCGATGGCATGCTGTCAGCAGCCGTATGCGGTGATATCTTCGCTTCTCCCAGCACCAAACAGATCATGGCTGGGATAAGAAATGTGCCAAGTAACGAGGGTGTTATACTGTGTATAACGAACTACACAGGAGATATGCTACATTTCGGTCTTGCTCGAGAGAAGGGCCAAGCACTCGGATACAAAGTCGATGTTGTATGCATGGCGGAAGATGCTGCTTTAGGTCGCGAAAAGAGCGGCAAGGTTGGAAGGAGAGGTCTAGCGGGTAATCTGCTGGTTATCAAGCTCGCTGGTGCCGCGTCACAGAAAGGCTGGGCCTTCGAACGGTGTAGGAAAATTGGCGAGTTGGGTAACTCGCAATTGGTTACTATTGGTACGAGTCTTGATCATTGCCATGTACCCGGTCGAGACGCATTCGAGAGTGTGTCCGACGATGCTTGCGTAGTTGGCATGGGTATTCATAACGAGCCTGTAAGTTCCGTTACGTTAGGTCGATCTGCTCCAAGCATCGCAAACTCACGGATAACAGGGTCTACGAACTATCTCCCCGATGCCTAGTCCCGAGGATGTCATCAAGGAGATGCTCCGTTATCTCCTCGACCCCTCCGACTCCGACCGCGCATTTGTCACATTCAACCCCAACGACAACGTCGTCATGCTCGTCAATAACTTCGGCGGCCTCTCAAACCTTGAATTCGATGCCATGGTAAATCTCGCCCTGATAGCCCTGAAGCGCGACTGGAAGATCGTACCAACACGCATCTACGCCGGCGTGTTGGAAACTTCGCTCAACGGCCAAGGTTTCAGCATAACACTAGGTAACATGAGCGGCATGGCAAAAGCTATGGATCTCAAAGACGAAGAAGTCATGGAGTTACTAGATGCGCCCACAAATGCCCCCGCATGGCCAAAGAACGGTTACCAACCCCTCAACATTAATAAAGAAACAGAAGAACTACGCAACAAAGCCAACGCCGCCGCGGCCGATAAATCCGCACTTCACAAGGGCCCAGCCACACCGACATCCCTCATCCCCGCGTTACGCACAGCATGCAAAGAAGCGCTACAGGCCGAACCAACAATCACACAATACGACCTGCAGATGGGCGACGGTGACTGCGGCGAAGCCGTAGCTGGAGTCTGCAAGTCCATCCTCGCCAACATCGACGCCGTAGAAAGCAATCCCCCACCCATCCTCGCCCTGCTCGAAAGTATAGGCGAGAACGTCGAAGACGTCGGTGGCTCCCTCGGCGCCATCCTCTCCATCCTCGTCACCGCCTTCACAAACGCTTTATCCAAAGCGACGTTATCTCAAAACGCACCGCTGGATATCTCAACACTAGCTTCCTCCGCATCTGCCGCTCTCGAGAACCTCAAAAATTACACTAGTGCGCGGGAGGGCGATAGAACGGTCATGGATGTCTTGATTCCATTTATCAACACGTTGGCTGAGAGTAAGGATCTCGGACAAAGTGTGGATGTTGCGGAGAAGAAGGCGGATAGTACAAAGGATATGAAGGCCAAGTTCGGACGTGCGACGTATATCAGTGAGGATGGGAGTGAGAGGAGTAAGATTCCTGATCCGGGGGCGTATGCTGCAGGTGTCTGGCTGAGAGGATTGGAGAGAGGTTTTGGTGGGTCGTAGATGGAAGGTTGTATATGGTACCAGTTTTAGTACAGTCTTAGCAAAGCTGCGATACCCGTCTAGGTGCGTCACTTGCTCGTGAAAAAACTTATTGTGTTACTACTATTAGAGTCGCGTAAAACGTGGTTATACACGGCAGGATTGTGTTATTCCGATATATAACAGAACTCTAGCGGGTAAAAGAAACTATGACGTGACTAACACACTATGCCTCGCCTTCCTTCGCTTCTAGAACAGGCATGTCCATCATCTGAAGGACGTTTCACGATCGGAAGTACGATCTCACCGCCAAGTCTGATCTCGTTCGTGCCGGAGAACACTTCAATGGACCTGTCGGGCATAATGTGTCACATTGCATGAACGATTTCTTCCTCGTCAGTCGCTCGTAACGCAACTGCAAATCTGTACCCTGTAGGGACGAGGGGAGACGTGCATGGCATAGAGACTTTCATATTGTACCACTCACGAACATCATGCCCGCTTTATATCATACCTAGGTGCCTTGCCTCACTTGACCACTACTGTGCATTTTCTAGACTCTGGATGGAAATTCTCAGCCTCCCGAAGAGGTACTCGCGATAATTTCGCGTGACGATAACATTGCTGAATCTGAGGCCTGGACGGCCACAGCGCATTCTCACGGCCACGCCATTACGGAGTCAAACTAGAGACTTGCTCATGAGGGCATTTTCTCTCAGCCACACATTGCTCTTAGACCAATATCGCAACAATGATGACATTACTTTATACATAAGTTGAATCAAGTACGTGTGGGGTATAGGGTCAGAGACGTAAGCTAATGGAGGTACATACCAATCATACGATTAGGTGCTCACGAACGGGAAATACAATAATCAAAAGGAATTTTCGTTGGGCAGTATTCATTAAGAAGGTTGAGTTCGCACTATTTTTGATTTTTCACGAGACATTCTTATCCCGCTGTAGCCACTCGCCTCTTGCATCACGATGCTATCTAGCTGACAGAGGATCGACCCTGAGCTATTCGTTCTTCAAGGACGCCTGCCAACTCAACAATATTCTTACGCGGACTTCTGCCATCCGCATCATCTGCACATTATCTCCAGTCCACATGCGCACATTTAGTGTAAACAAGTTCAGTCCTAAAGACGCAAGATGAACCTTGGCTCGCAGTAAGAAGCCACGTCTTAGCAAAGCAGCAACAGAGCAAAGATGAAGGAAAAAGGCGAAGAAGAGGAAGAGTCGAGGAACTCCGGATGTTTGCCCCGCACCCGATTGGTGTGAGCGGAAACCTTTACAGCGTCTTCGAAGCCGAACGCCAAGATATCATTCACATCTGCCACGCCGCCATTGCCGGAACCAGAATCGTCGATAGACTGACTACTAGTAACAAGAAAGGCCTCCTCGTCCCCACCACGACCACAGACTAAGCACTCCAGCATCTTCGAAGTTCCGTACCCGACAAAAGCTGCCCGTTTTATCACACATGTCGTTGCATCACCGCTCATCGCGTTGGAAGGTAGCTTCATCGAGTATCACGATGTACCACCGGCTCATTGATCCGCTCAATATGACACCTGCCGTTTACAATATGTTGGCACAGGATGAACACCGAAAGGCAGCCTGTCCTGGGTGAGAACGTCAGAACGCTTGCATCACAAATATTACACGACATGGGTGTTCACAGCAAGTGGATGCTAACTAGAAGGATGATGCGAACCTGATGGGGCCGAGTGGGGGGCGCAACTGTGACGGAATTGTGATCACAGGAGAGCACCAAAGTGTGCGTCAAGTTGCGTTATTCATAAACACTTTATACAACTCGTATTCTGGTTTTAGGTCTCTTATACTATCTTAATTCGCTGTTTGCGCACTTCTTGCCCGATTACATTCGCCAATTGCTGAGGGGAAATCTGGTTCCTCCGCACTCAAACCAAAAGCGCTTCGATGAGAAGGATCAATGTAAGAGTTTTGCACTCGAAAGCAATTTTCATTCATCTAACGTTATTATTGAAGCAGCTGAGTAGCCTTCGAAACACTAGACACAGTGACGATCGCTCTTCTAAGTCTGCCAAATGAAGTAACTGCTCTACCCACCGATCCGAGAGAGTATATCATCAATGAAGGAACCAACATGTGATGATGTCATCCATGACTCCTAAAGTAAGTCCTCTTTGCGGAGGTTAAGCCAGCTCGGCAATGGTGCGACAGTGTGAATGTCCGCTTAAAGCCGCCCGGCAGTCTGCCAATTGCCGTTCCACTCACTTTCTGTCCATGTGCGTCCTTGGACGACAATCTGGTCTATATCTTGTACAGAGCCGGTGTCAAAATTGCACTTCACAAGTGACCTACCGCAACAAATTTCCTGCAAAGCTTCTGGAAAGCCTCTCATGATGTACGCATGATTTTCGCGAATCTTCAGCCACCTCGGTGCGGTCAATCGTGAGATGGGAGCGACAATACACTGCTCATATGCAGATTTCCATGCAGCATCTCGTTGCAGGACGTCGAAGATATGTGTCGAGATCTCTGGTGTCGGCATGCCGTCTATGATCAGTGACATGGCGCCGGCCGGCATGCCTACGGATTCAAGTGCGAGCGCTTCCATTATCCAGCCAGCAACACCACCAAATTTCGAGTGCCCGCGGCTAATCGTCCAAGGCGTTACGCGATCATACTTATATTCTTGCAAGGCTTCGGGCGTTCGACACATCAATTCGTGAAGCGGTAGGAAGGCAGAGGGTAGAACGGTTCTCCAAAGGCTGATCCGACGTTCTACACGCAAGTTAGAATTCTCCTGGCAGAATGATATCAAACCCTGGCCGTGGCTTTCAGGCCATACGACGGACTCATGGTCTTCGTGCAGTACCAGGCGGCGTACTGCGAGCCGCGTTTCAGCCGCAATAGACCCCAAAAAGCGAATGGCCATAGTCGCTGCTGAGAATCTATATCTTACTTTATCCCAGTATCGACGACCTTTCCTGAACTGGCCGGCCTCCATTGGGTAAGGTGCAACGAGTAGGAGCATGTTGGAGATGTCATCCTCACTTGGTAGCGTCCATGGCTGGTGGCTGTGCGCTATCACAGGCACAGGATCGGGGCCTGGCCCGTCGTGGTAGGTTCCTCTCCAGTATGAATTCCGGCTGACAGTATCTCCAAAGCCAGGTATCCTGGCGATAACCTCTAATGTGGATGCGATGAAATGTCGGCTTTGTGACGGTGTCTCCTTCCATTCGCTACTACCACAGTTCATCCCACGTCTACTGGCTTGCATTGCTTATACGACAGATAAATACCGTGGATGTTGTTTTTCCACGTAATCGTGTATTGTTCTGTCAACCTGGCCGGACACATGAGCGTGCCATAGTAGATATTATGCCTTCAGGTCGCTAATCCATCCCAGTAGCGCGCCAAATTGACCGGCTCTTTCGCGAAGATTCTCATCGCACATGGTCGAGAAGCTGATCGTATTCAGCTTGAGAGCGAGGCCACGCGTCTCAGCTGCCACCTGGCGGCATGTCAGCCTAATGTTAAGATCGACGCGAGCACCCTTGGATGTAGTCAGCTTGTTTGTCGCGTGGTTGTACTGATATCCGCCTTCGATGGGGAAGTAGTCAGCGTAGACCTGGTCACGCAGCTCTCGGGGGGAGCTTAAGGAGCCCGCTCGACATGGTCATGGTTGCTGTCGTAGTCACGGTCAAGGTCGTGTAGCTGTCGATTGCTGGCTATTTCGTGTTCCGATGTCGATAACGTTGCGCGTAGAAGGGAATGTCGGAAGACAGGATGAGAGGGCGTTTTATAAGGACAGTTCATGGGCGACTTCTGGCTGCAGGCAGAAGCCTAGGTCATGCGAAGACACGATAAGTGGGTGGATGGGTTCATCGGTGCCGGGTACCATGGTTGCGCGGCCGCCCCAGTTATCGACCCCGCCACTGAAGAGGGACATCTGGACGCCGCACCAGGCTATTGAGTTCTTCCGCGGTGTATGTTGCGCTCGCTTTGCCAATGATCGTTGGCAAAAGGTTCCCATGACAAGCAGTAATAGCTCGGTTGGATTTATCTTCTCCAAGTAGATGTACAGCGATTTGCCGACGACTACGGTACTGCGGAAACCAATCAGACTCAACAGCGAAACGTCTAAGACCATCACGACTATACCGCACACTACAGCACAGCTTTGAGGTCGGATGCGAAAGGGTGTCAGGCCACAGCATAAGCTAGAGAAGTTTACCACTCTTCGTTCTCCAAGTAGATATCTTAAAATGCTTCGCGAGAGCTCGCGATTGAACAAGCCGTGAAGGACAACGGGATAGGGGAATAATAAAATTATCTCATGGGCGAAGCACATCACTGGATGGAGCAGACGTGTTTTGTCGGGACCTTTTTGTTACATATGAGAGTGTTGATGCACAGGCAGGGCAACACAACGCGATCAGATAACTTCATACAATAATCTCAATGCAGGTGTATTTCCCAAACACCCCTTGTTCACTCTACGCAGCTGTAGTAGTCGGTACTGGAGAAAATGTTAGCGTCGTGGAGCCCTAAGATTGTGGTGTGCGACAGCATGGACACGTACAAACTCTCTCTCATGCGATAGCTCTCATGCTTGAACGGACGACGAACGTATGGGCGCTGCAAATTTGTCAGATCGTGCGGGGGAATAACGAGAGATGGTGGACACATACATACTCTCTCTCTCCTACTGGAGACGTCGGTGCGGCTCTTAGGCCGGCCAAATTTTGCACTAGTCGTGCTGCTGATTGGTTAGTTCTCGAGGAGATAGATAGGGAACGATAGACACATGCGTTGTTATCATTGCCTTGGAAATCCACATCATTGGGGTGAGGTGAAGTTTGAATAAGCTTCGTAGAAGCCTGGTTCAAGGGCCCAATCGACCTGCAAATTGGTCAGTTGAAGCGGAAAAATACCACGGATTGATGGGCTGACCCGTCGCTACCACAACAACAGGAGCCTCCCCATTGGTAGAGGCTCATTTAGGTGACCACGGTCGAACGCGACTCCAAACCGTGGGACCACGTATTGGTTAGGTCATGCGGAGAAAAGACGGCATAACGATGGACTGACTAGCTCTGCTGCCTGGCTCCGAAAATATGAAAAAGTCTGCTGAGGGAGTCTTAGCGATGCGACAAGTCCACTGTTGCATAGTTCACACAAACCTTGCTTGTAGATGCCTTTCACATCGCATCTTCATCCCAAACCCCTTGAAATTCCTCCTCCTGCACCTTCGACATGTACGGCGTATACAAGAAGATTATCGGCATTTATCGCGCTAGAACCAGGTAGTACAATGCAGCTCGCTCGTATTGCATGGTCTGTTGATCAAGGATCATATAGGGGTGGTTCCTCAGCTAATAAAACCCTGCGACGTTCTGTCCGCGTTCTTTGTGCAAGCACTATATCTTCGTCGTAGAAGGTTCGGATGTGTTGTGCCAATGAAAGTCTCCCGAGGGTAATCACGATGCGTTCGATGAAGAGCTCCTTGTCAAGCACCCTCTTTGCAGCATTGTAGAAAGCCCCAGAGATCTGCATCAAACATGAGTACTGCAACCTGTCTAGCCGCTCAACGAGCTTTTGTATGATGTGCCACTTGCCTTTCGCATTGTGGACATTGATATACCAGGCCCCACATCCGTAAGCGATCATGGGGATGATCGCAGTACGATATAGCTCGCGCATTTCGTGCAATGACCTTCCCCATGTTGATTCATTGATACGCATAAGAGCAAGTAGTTTGCGTGCCACCTTTACTTCGATCTCCGCAACATGTTGTTCCCAACGCAACAAAGGATCCACGAGAATACCCAAGATGTTCGTAGGCTTCAGTTGAGTCCTTAGGACCGGATTGCCAGAATCACGACCGTCGCAGAGGTGAGGAATAGCCTTAGGAAGCCTTTCACATACTGGTGTATTGTGGTGTCTGCGAAAGTGCACGAGTAAGTATTTGTGCGCACCGAATTCGTAACCATTCCTCGTGGCCCACCCGAGAAGCTTGACGTGCATATCCTTCAGAATTTCGATATTCTTCTCCTAAGTGGGAGATGCCACCATGAGATAGGTGTCATCGACGTAAGCAAAGCAATGGACCTTGGCTTTGCTGCTACAAAGTCCTTCTTTCGAAGAGTGTAAGTCTGCTGCTAGCGGAGAACAAGAAGAGAATGGGCGAGAGGGGGCTTTCTTGCGGTATACCAATGTCAACCCAGAATGGATCGAACATGATTCCAAGCATATTGAGTGTGGTGCTCCTGTCTGACAAGAAAGACGCAGTCAAGCGGATGAGCCAATCGGGAATGCCTTTGTCCACCAAAACCTGAAGAAGCTTCGCTCGGTCAACGCAGTCAAAAGCACCCGTAATGTCGAGGCTCAGTAAGGTCGTCTGATGCTTCGTACACCAACCGGTGTAAAATGGGCTCAGGATAGCTTGCAAGGCTTTCGTAGTGTCGCGCCCGGGAGAACCAAATCGTAGAGTTAGTAGCAACTTATGAGTCTCAGCAAGATACCTGAAGCGATTTGCAATCAACTTCTCGAAGACCTTTCCGATATTTGATGATAAAACAACAGGTCGATAGCTCTTGGTACGACCCTTGGGCTTGAATGGTTTGAGTAGGAGTGTCGTGATTGCATGCTTGAACTCGTTCAGATGAACAGACTGCTTGAACATATCAGTGAAGAAATCTGCCAAAATCGGCGCAAGCTCTTCGCTGCAAGCCTTGAGTAGTTCATTGCTGACCTTGTCTGACCCAGTTGCTTTGCGTTTCTTCAGACTCTTTACGATATCGAGAACTTCTTCCTTCGTGACGGACTGGTTGCATGTGAGGGGTAGTTATAGGCAATAGTATTTGCTTCACACTACAAGAGAATAGTGGGGGAAAGCTCTGATTACTACACTAGGTGGGGAGGTCGTGAGAATAATTCTTGCCCATCTCCTAACGCGCGGGGCGCCGGTTGTGAGCAGGTTCAGAGGCCAAGGCGCGAGCGAGAGAAGCAAACATGTTGGGACCATAATCGTCCTCCTCGCTCCGCCTCTGCCGTCCCGTGGTACATTGCAAGCGTGCTGCTTCTTTCCAGGAACTGGGGCAATTTGGGCGAATGTCCGAGGCTGTTGCCGGTTTTTCTGCGAACGTCAGGCCATATCGTTTGCGCGTACAAATCGGCTTTCTCCTCGGCGGTCGTGTAAGCTTTGCCCTTATCATTCAAATCGGGTATCGTGGGCGACTGTTAAGGCTGCACCCATCCATGCGCACGTCGAGCCCAAATGAAATGATCGTATCTCGTTTTCGTCTTGGATCGCATTAGAGAGGAGCGAAAGGATTTGCGACGCTCGGTCGTCATGAGTGCGTCGTTATTGCGTCTGAGGTCATTGAAATCCTTGAGCTTCCTAGCAGTATAATGTCTCTCGAGGGATATCAATGCCTTGCGCTCCTTCTCGAGTTCGGTGCTTAGGGGTGTGTAGGGTGAACGGCTGAAGGCGGCGCCGGGTAGGCACACGCTCTTCTGCTGCTGCCAGACACATGACCACGGGGGTATGTAGTGATCATCATATGTATGATCTTTTTGTATGATGTCGAGGTCTAGGGTCCTGTATTGTACCAGACGGATAAGAGGGGATATCCGATTAGCTACATTTACTGGGTCAGGGTCTACATACCCCACTTCCATCTCATCTCCTTCACGCCCGTATGGCCGCCCTGTGTCCTCTCTCTCCTCTTCCTCCTCCTCCGTGTGGCTCATCATATGCTTATTATATGCTCTCATGCGTCCCCAAGACATAGTGTTGTATGATAGTTTTGTAGTATGCGGAGGCATGTCCGATAGGAAGAGAATAGGCCGGAAAAGCTGTATTTTACTCCCCACCTTGCATGATCATACACTTTAGCTTACCACAGTCTCCTCGTCTGCACACGACTCGCTCTTCTTACTCCTGACTCGCCCAAGCTCCTCTTGGCCAGCCAAATCATCATATGTCCTACAATTTCGTAGTACGATCACTACACAGGCTCGTAGACCTATACAGCGCTACACAATTCTTTTCGATATTCCGCTCGCGAGAAGATATTAGAAGAGGGGGGGGGGTTCCTCTCGAATTTTTCCACCTCGCTCAGTGTATAATTCCTGTCATCGGCCAGCTGGAAGACATTTTTCCCTGCATTATCAATGGCATAAGGATCTGCCCCACGTTCCAGCAGACAATTCACAACTTTTTCGTTGTTTGTACAGCTCTTAGCGTTCGAGTCGTACTCTCTCGTAATCGCAAGCAGCAAAGGAGTCTTTCCAGTACCCTCTCTAGCTTCGATTTCAGCACCATGGTTAAGCAGCGCAGTCACCACCTCGAGGGTTGCTTCCACGAAAGCACAGTGAACAAATGCCATGGCTAGATGAAGCGGTGTATTGGTCTCAGCCAGAACAGTGGTCTATCCGTTGGAGCCACACGTATGATCCTCCCGTGTTGCACGACCGTGAATATTTGCGCCATTTGCTAACAGGAAGGAGACCAACTCCAGTTTACACAAAGCGGCAGCATTATGACTAGCTGTAGTACCTTAAGCTGTGGCAGTATGAATATCTGCGCCATGGTTGAGCAGCGCTTTAGAGATACTGGCGGAAGGAGACTGCATGAACGGCGTCCATCCCAAGTTATTCCTTACATTTACTGGGCTGCCAGCGTCTACGTATATAGTACGTCTTCGGACATTGATGAGGCGCGTCCCTGGTGCGCTACTCTCCAGACACGGGAGTTTATTCTAGGCCGAACTACGAACCATGAGAATATGTCCAGAAATATAAGCAGTAGCTGCAGCGTCTTTGTCGGTACTTAGAATCAAAGGACATAGAAGAGCTATCAGAGCCATCCAATGCAAAGAAGATAACACCATAGAACAGACGCAAGACGAAGCACCCTGGTCTGCTTTCGCACAACAATGGGCAGGGAGTGTGGACTGCTGTGCCATCGCTGATCATGCGTGCATCAGAACCTTAGATAATAGATACGAAAATCGCGTATAGAAAGTCCTGAACGGCCTGTAGGTCAGAAAACCTGCTTTTCAATTGAAGTATGACGTCGTACGTGCTCACGCAACCGTCTGACATCAGCTCATGCGACGTTTGTCACATGACCTAGAAGTGCCGAGGCACCAAGCAGTATATCATCCTGTTGTGCCGAGTTATCGTCGAGAGTGCCATGTATGCAGTGATTGGGTCGGAGAGCTTCAAGAAAGTGCCCATAAGTGGTGCATTTTGTGTCCAAGGCTGCTACTGGTACGTCACAAACTCCTTTGTTCGATACAAAGATCAAATCCGGTCGTATTGATCATGCCAGGTACCATTCAGACTCTCGACGACACATCTCTGCCTTGATACTCAACCATGGTTCGCCAAAAGACCCGCGATGCCTTTATGGCAAAGACATCCGTCAAGGCCAAGCTGTCCACACAAGACAGGTCTAGCTCGATGAGCCTCGAGGTCGGTTCCTGTTCCATTGCTCCGCACAAGTAAACTAACCTTCACAGCCCGTGTACATCGGTATCGCTATCGTCGACGGACTCAGCAGCTCAATTGACATTGCGTTTGTTATCCACGACGGCACATATTCGATGGACTTTGCGACTGTCTCCATAGGTGCGGAATCAAGTAGCAGCTCTGAGCCTTCAGCCGCAACTTCCGAGGCCAACTCTGGAACTACAACCCCTGCAACGGCTGAGGAGCGTGCCGGTTGCTTTGCCGAGGAAATCATCAGCAAGATGAAGCGATACCGTGATAAGCATTTCTACAAGTTTGTTGGCGCTGGTCTAACTACAAAGGCCGCCAAGATATGTCCTCAGCTACCAACCCGCTTGTGGCTCGAGTTGGATATTGTGCCGTTGGTGCTGGAGCCTAGTTCTGGCAGGCAAAATACTGGTACTCCAGATTCACCCAAGTACATGATAGTAGATGAAGAAGCAGATGCAGTGGTAAGGAAAGCTTTAGGGTAAGCATTTAGATGCCTATAGCCTTGAATAGCTCTCCGCTGACACATGCAGGTATTTCGGCAGGGCCAACCAACCTCGCTTGGAGGTCGTCTACCGCAATGAGGTTGGTGTCGACAGCGATGGCGCAACTGTAATTGCAGATGAGCCAAGCTATAGAGATAGTGTCCATCCCAACACCTACGCGGCGACCATGGTGTACGCTGATTCGCTCAAGAAGCACGGCACGAGGATTGCCTTCTTCAACAGCACCCCTCAGGGCGGCGGTGTCGCCTTAATGAGACATGCGCTGATTCGCTTTTTGCGACTTATTGATGTTGATTGCAAATGGTAAGTCACTCTACATTTCACATCTGATCATTGCTCACACTTCACAGGTACGTTCCAAAGCCTAAGCCTGCTGTTTTCCGTATCACCAAGAACAACCACAACATCCTCCAGGGTGTGGATAAAACCGGCCTTCGCCTCGAACAAAAGTCAATCGACATCCTCGATGAATGGGCCAGGCAGAATGCCGAACGCTACTGGATCGCCAAGGGCAGTCCCCTCGCTCCTCGAGCGGAGGGCGGTGCTGATGTCATCATCGTAGACGATCCCCAGATGCCCTCTCTTGTCAAGATTGCCAAAGAGCTAGACCCCTCTCGTCCTGTCCTTTTCAGAAGTCACATCCAAATACGCGCCGATCTGGCAGACCAGGAAGGTACGCCCACCGCCGAAGTTTGGAACTGGGTATGGAACAACGTGAGGCAGTGTGATGCTTTCATCAGTCACCCTGTTCGCGAATTCGTGCCCAAGAATGTAACGGCAGAGAAGGTCGGTTATCTTCCTGCTACGACTGACTGGCTCGATGGTCTGAACAAGCAGCTGGACAGTTGGGACGCACAATACTACATGCACGAGTTTGAGATGGCCTGCCTGGACAAGGGTGCCAATCGCCTGGCATTCCCAGCACGCCCATATATCACACAGATCGCTCGTTTCGATCCAGCCAAAGGTATCCCTGACGTTCTTGCTTCGTACGCCATCCTTCGGCGAGAATACATGAAAGACAAACCAATGGAGGAGGTCCCACAACTTGTCATTGCCGGCCACGGCGCCATCGACGACCCCGATGCAACCATCATCTTCGATAAGACGGAAAAGGAGCTCAATGAACTCTACGCCGATATCAAACACGACGTAATCGTCATGCGCATTGGCCCCGTGGACCAGCTCCTCAATGTGCTCATGGCCAACGCCCACGTCGCGCTCCAGCTCTCGACGCGCGAAGGCTTCGAAGTCAAAGTCTCTGAGGCCCTGCACCACGGTGTCCCCGTCATCGCTACGCGCCGCGGCGGCATCCCACTTCAGATCGAGCACGGAAAATCAGGCTTCCTCGTAGAAGTAGGCGAGCACGACGCGGTGGCCAACTACCTCGACCACCTCTTCACCGACAACGTATCGTACATCACCATGGCCAACTATGCAGCTAACCACGTCAGTGACGAGGTCAGTACCGTGGGCAACGCACTCAGCTGGCTGTACCTGGCTGACGAGCTTGCCAACGGCGCGAAGAAGATCGAGCCGAACAGTCGCTGGATCAATGACATCGCGCGTGAGAAGGCCGGGTATCCATACCGGCCCAAAGACAAGGAGACGACGCTCAAGCGCGAGAGCGCCATGCTCAATCTGACACATCAGCCGGGCCGCAGCCGGCACAACAGTGTGGTGCAGTGAGGGTGGTTGGCAGGATACTATACTAGGTCTTTAGGTAGATCACGTTCCTTATATTACAATCTTTATCTGTACAAGTCGCGTCCTATCATGCAAAAATAAAACTGGTGCAAAAGACGTTTCAAGCAAGAGCAGCCAGAAGAGCGGCGCGGTGCGTGCCTTGATGTTTTACTAGGTAGGCATTTAGCAAACACATGAGTATTCAGTGTGAAGACCAGGCATGATCTAGATAACCCTGCTTATTCTTTCTGCTACAAGCCCTCCTTTTCTACAACGTGTTCAAGTCCTGTCACAAAAACTCGATACTGTAGAAAAGATTATATGCGTTGTGTATTATGTGTAGCATGCTAACTTAGCTCAGCTTATATGAAGGTCATCGTATGGCGTTATGATTGATAAAGTTCATGTTTCCGACAGCGCATGGCCTGTGACAGCTGTTATCTAACGACCCTAGTTTTTCCATCGAGATACGTTCAGCGGAAGGCATGAGATAGAGGGCACCGCGAAATGGGTTTGGAGAGCACCCGTTTTGGCGCGGGCAGACCAGAGCATGCAGCAGTAAAGATTGCGCCGTACTAAATTCAGAGAAAATTGTCAGATTCAGTCTCCGTGCTGTTGGTGATGCAGATAAACATAGGCTATTAGTTGATTTGCCCAAAGCTGTACTACCAGTTACTCTGGCCTTGTAAGCATTTACTTCAAAATATTGAGAGGAAAAGGTCTGTCGACGGCTCTTGATATAAATGTGGACGTGTTCACCAGTATGCCCTATCCAGTGTATCTATCATAGAAGTTTGTAAAGCGAAGGTCCGCCTTGGTACATCAGGAGTAGCAATGGGAAGTAAGATCTGGTTATTGTAACGTTCGGCACTGCCGTTCGAAGAAGACCATTTTATGACGCCGATTACATTATCCGTAGACGTCTGACAAAGGGCCGTGACAAACGAATACTTCTACCTGGGTCCAAGTATCGCGACGAATGCTCAGGTGACGTCGTAGACTCACGAACAAGGCTTCAGACTGTCTTGAACAGGAAGCCCTACAAGAAGACCCGTGTCGTACGATCCAGAGCAGTAGTATTGCTCAGAACGGCCGCACCACATAGCATGACTAATCTCAGACTTGCTGATAAACTTGCCTAAGCCAACATGAGTTTTCTCGATGATGTCGGCACGTTGGTCTTGATCTCGCAATCGACTTGTTCCACGATATAGTGAGCCATTCGTCGTAGCCGTGTAAAGAACCGTTTCTTTACACTGCCGGATTTTCGGGGGACTTGCATTATGTAGCGCGAGAGGCTATTCTGAATGAGGCGCTGGACACCATAGTTTTTGCTGTAGAACTCCTTTGGCTGCTGAGAGAAGACTTCGCGATCGATCTCTGCAGCAAAACCGCAGCAGACACTTCGTAGCTTCCATGTGGGGCTGATCATGACACGATGGTAGGGTCCTTCCTCCTGAATACTATTAACCAGTTCATGAATAACCATTCGAAAGATTGCAGCCGGAAGATCGAGAAGATTCTCCATGGCGGCTGTTATGGACGATGGGTTTTGTTCGACGGCTAGCCGCGAGTGCGCGTAGATAGATAGTCGAGTTCGGCTTCCAAGGCCTGTTGACGTGGATTTAGTCGCGGGATTGAGTGTCACGGTCTGGTGAGAAGATTTCGAAAGAGCGGTGGCGGGTGGAAGAGCTTTGGGTGGACAACAGTTGGCAAGTGACCGGGTCGCCTACGACAACAGACACTGGTCCCTGCAGCACGGTCCCTGGGTAGTGTTTGCGCTGGAAGTGGAAGTGAAAGCGAAAACTCTTACCAAATGTGTCACATTCAGAGGTGATGGAAAGTGCTCCAGGCAAAGCACGTTGCTGTGAGACTGTTTGTTTGGCCGCCCGTAGCCAGGAATCATGACGATGCAAGCGACTAGCTGCTTACCTGTCTCACCCTGTCTATCTGACCTATGCACAACTGAACGAGGTGTTGTATGTCTCATTCAGAGACACCGGTCCACCAGTTTCGCATGCTATATTGTGATATCGACGCGCATCGTTGACGATCTGTCGAGAACACCATAAAACGGTTTAAGGAAGTGCCATATAATCTCGACGTTTGAACAACACCTAGACGACTGCGTGGGTGACGACCTAACAAGGATTCCAAAGGAGTATTAGTGATGATAGCAAGCGCGACGCGTCGCTCTTTTGCGTATGACGTAACCACAAGGCTCGTGCATCGATTCCGTCATCAATGCCCGCGGCTTTGTCCGAGGGCTTGCTGGCGTACGAGGCCATTCAGTTCTATGAAATCAGAATCCACATTGGTATCCGTTCTCTATCCAAACTGTCCTTCTCTGAAGACATGTGCTCGCAAGCACGAGGAATTTGCCAGATCAGAAGCCGTAGAACATGTCACCCAGTACGTTTCTTCTCGAGTATCCGAGTACGCGGCTCGGTCTCATCCGCCTCCCGATGAGCTCACTTCTTCTCCTATACCAAGTGCCTCGGCAGCGAAGCATAAGTGCATGTCGCGATAGGCGTTGTTGAGTCCTCCAATGGTTTTGCCGTCCAGTTTGTTTATGTGGGTCACGAGCTTTTGAAGAGCAGGCTCAGCGACTTCGGCTGGAAGGAAAATCTTGTTATCCACGAGCATATCTGGCTTGTCCGTGATGGCCTTAAATAACGCCTCTCGAATGCGAGAGAAAACTTTGCCGTCTTCGTCTACGATGTCTGTGATGGGGCCGACGTTGACGTTGAGACGTTGCTGAGGTGTCTACTTGCGCATATCCCAGGGACGCCCGTTTGCTTTCGAAGCAGTATGTGTGGCTTCCTTACCAACAATTAAAGCCGGCGAGTTATCGGGATTCATGTTACAAATCTGTTACTGTTAAAAAAGGTACAGATGAGAGATTAGGGAAAAAGTCACTGGGAGGTTGATCTGTTGGGGAGTTCGATGGTCGTGTCAAGGGCTCGTTTGGGCGTATGTATTTCTCAAATTGAGTTGACCGAAGAGCCAGTCGAATGGAAGTGCTTGAGCATTCTTTTGGATGAGGTGATCAAGAGTATCCGTGCAGTCTGAGTGATGCGCTAGCAACGTCCCAACGCGACCACTGTTCAGAGTATAGCACACTCCAGGTGACGTAAAATAGTCCAAAAAGTCGGATAGGCGTTGCAGACTAAAGTCGTCGTTCTTTCATCCAGTTTACAAGACCACTCTCAGGCAATGAATCTATTGATAGAGCCTGCATGAAATATCCTCAATGCTTAAGGTTTTCGTATAACTCTCTGAATACTACACAAGTTCGCCGAATGTCTATCGAAAATTCTCTTGTGTTCGCGATGGTCCTTCATCGGGCTTTTGCCTCGATACTGAACCTAACAATTATTACCTAGAGAATATAAAAGCTGCTGAACCCCCTAAAACTTGTAGAGGAAGAAACATCCTCACTTTGCGTACTTTTAGCCATATCAATAATGGCTCGCAAATCCGAAACGTTTATGAGGAGCACGAAAGGTCCATCCAACAGTCCTCCTTCACGCAAAAGGGTGCGTTTGTCAGGCACTACTGAACTATAGCTGAGCATATTCATTATTGCGACCAAACAGAAACAAATGTAGAGCAGAAGAGCAAAGTCTTCGTTGACAACTATCCTGCCATGGCTAGGTTATCGCTGAAGCTCGGAAATAGTACAGTGGAAGAACTGATCTCAAGAACGCGAGAGTACGATATCGCCCCATTTCGGAAGAACACGTTCACCACGGAGTGTAAGAATTACATCAACATAATCAAGCATGGGGAAGACGTTAAGCCCATCACGGCAAAAGAGTACTGGCAGTGCATCGAACAATCCAATTCAGATTGGAACAATGCCCTCGTCATATGTACATCTACAGAAGCCCGCAATTTGCTCCAGCGCTCCATCCTTCGCGTACCACTACTTGTACCTTCGGAGTTAGACGACAGTCCCGAAAAACGATCGCTCGCACCTGAGGCGCAGTATGCGAGTATTCTCAGATTCCGGAAATATGCCGAGGGTGATTCGGTCATCAATATGCAAGACCTTTCTAGCAAACAGGTAACGCGCCCACTGAAGATGGACACGGCGTTCAAGCGCATGAACGTACCAGAAAGCCCACCAATCAACTTTCTGGATATACGGCCAGTTTGTCGCAACGTGTTGCCTTGGGAGTTGGACGGCCTTCTCGACTACAGCGTCTTGCATGAAGCCACTGAGTATGGGGAGATGTCTAACTACGAGGGCACCAACCATTCGGATCTTTCCAACAAAGACAGCTTTGCGCTGTGGGGAAAGAAAGGTGTATGTTCATATCCCCATATCGATGAGCACGGCTTATACACGGGTGTATTGTGTGAAGAGGGCGAAAAGCTCTGGTATTCTTGGTCACTCACCGACCAAGAGCGCGAAAAGTGGGTGATATCTCGAGAACAAAACGAAAGGCACCCTCCAGAGAGGCCTGGCTTTCCGATTCCCCTTCGGAAGGGCGACCTCCTTATCATGCCACCGGGTACTGTACATGCGCCGTTGTCGCTTACCAATGTCGTCATGCGCGGGTTTCATATATGGTGCACTCGTACGATGGTCCAAACGGCCAGGTGCGCACTGCTAGATCTGCGATATCCCATGATCACAGATGATGAGCCGCAGAAAGAATTGAGGAACAAACTTCAATATCTGGTGCGTGCATCGAAAGCGCGGCTTCCGCCTTACGCGTGAGGTGACAAGAAGGATCATTACGCATTTGTTGCTCTAGTCAAGGTAAGCAACTATCTTGAGTTATTCCGACAGCGCGAAAGACTCCAACTAGTATGTAGCTTATCCTACAAGAACTGGATTCTTCAGAAAAGGAACCTGAGGACGTTCAGCTTAGATTAAGTGAAGTGACTGGGAAGGTGCAAATTTTGATCGAGCGACGGCGTTATGCAGATGGCAACCCGAATCTAAATAGTGAAATTGTTTGTGCAGGATAATCTTGCAGGTGAAAAAGGGTCATTCGGGGGTTCCAAGTCCTCATCGACCTAATTATCTCGTAAATTCACTGCTGTCTGAGCATTACCTTCCGAGTACATAAATCCCCTCATTCTTCTCCCTACCTCTTCTCGGTACCAGTATCGGGATCTATTCTCAACCTTACCAGTCAGCACACCCAGCTCTTTCCTAATAGATTGCCCTACAATCACCACAAGATCAGCAGCATAAAGATGGCGCCCATGTCCTCGGCTCAGAAGCTCGCTGCTGGAGAGGCTAAGAAGAAGCCTTCGTCGTCTTCTACAGCTGCTTCTACTATTCTCTCCTCAGCCTTCGTCACCGCCCCTGGTCCGAAGGCAAGTCAACAAGCCGCCGAGATCAAGACCGTAAAAGCGAGAAAGATCTACCCCTTGTCTTTCGGCGACCGCAAGCTCCTGGCTAAAGGTCCCAAAGTATAGATCGTCGATAACGAGGGTAACTTCGTTATCGACATAGCTCTTGCTCTTTTCCGTGCGACCTCGATCAAGAAGGAAATGGTGGCGGACAATCTTGGCGTGGAGGCCAGCATCATTAAGCTTCCCGCAAACCTTGAAGTCCAGGTGGTCAAGGACATCATCCAACACTTCAAGGATCTCACCACCTGGAACAAGTTCGCCAAGGACTTGCGTTCTTACCGGTCGACATATCGGGACATCCAGTTGTGTAGTGCTGCGGATTTCCTCGGTATGACCGCCTACACCCAACATATCTTCAACTGGTACTGGGCACGTCTCAGCTCCGGTTACATCCCGGACTATGCCGATATCGACGCCATCTCAGCCGCCCGGACCCCGTTACGCGACGATATTTTCCGCAAGATCGTCAACGCCATTGCGAAGCTAGACCGCGAAGGCAAGATCCCAGACCCGGAGGACTACGAGGCGTACTTGAAGGCCAACGAACGCTTCGGTGTCGCGGTGGACGAGGCAAAGAAGAAGATGCAGAAGCATGAGGCCTACGCCGACAAGAAGAACCGACTTGCTGCACAGGCGGAGCTTCAAGAGGAGGCTGCTAAGATGATGCATCATCAGCGTCAAAAGCAATCGAAGGAGAAGGCGGCGAATCAGCAGGCCAATTGAGACGCGCAGAAGAAGAAGGATGCTGAATTGGCAGCGCGTGTTAAGGCCAAGATGACGGAGCCGGGCAAGAAGAAGTGGAAGCCGGACGAGGCTGGGTACCTCCGTCGCGTCCGCGGTATGAACGTACCTACATAGGTGCGAGTGACTGTGTTTTAAACGGGCAGGTGCGTAGACTCTTGTGCTGTCTGGACTTCCTGTGGCTGAGTTTCGAAGGCGCCGAAAATACGTGTACAGTTCATGTATTGTTTTCTTCGATGATAAATATAGGCATGGATCAGACTTGGTGACTAGAGTCAAAAGAGCTCGTTCTTGAGTAAAAAGGTGAAGTCCATGCATATCGTGAGTCTGTAATCGTAACGTTGTGGTCGATGGCAGAGTGATTCCTCATATAATCTTCAATTCTTCCACGGGTAGTGACCGGATCCAGTCGTCAACTTGTACTTCCTTATCCTCGGCATATCCACCGGTTACTTCAGGGTTTGAATACTTCAAGATTCGCGTATGTATACGAAGAAAGCCGATTCTCTGGTACTCTGCAGAATTCTTGGCTACTTGTCGAATGATAGGTCCGCCTAGGTCACCACTCGCATCCTTCGAAACTAAGAGCTTCAAGACGCACCTAGGTGAGTACGCAGCGTCGGTGGTGGCTAGATCGTAGTCCGCGTAGAAAACAGGATGAAACGACCTCAGACTTTTCCACTTGAATAGGTCGGTTGACCTCAGGATGCCTTTCAAAGATCTGTGGTGATTGAGGTCCCTTGCGTCAAATGGGGAAAGGGTTTTTGCGTCAGTGAGATTCAATACAGAGATTCTGAGCACAATACTAGCATTGCTGACATCTCCAAGATGAGCGGAACCTAATGCCGTATACTCCAGGTTGACGACCTTACTCGTGTCGAGCAAGGTGCCTGCATACCACGTAACTCCTGCGTTTTGAGTTGATGCCCAAGACCACGAGGGAACTAAACGTGCAGGGCGCGGTTGGTTGGAGTCTGCAATCCACAGTATATCCGAAAGCATAGTGTTCTTCCACATGCCCGCAATGTAGACGTCGTCTGCTCTTCGCAGCATCGACATTCGATCAACCAAAGCTGCGATAGCTGGTAGACGATCACTCTCGTAGGATAGTCCCAGGGGAGTGTACTCCCTCAAGATCTTTTGCCAATTCTTCGCACAATCCACAATTTTATCGCCCCATTGGAGGTCATAGGGGTCTTGGATGTGATCCGCATCTTGTCTCCATGCCTTGTCTTCGCTAGCATCCTCGGAGGCGAAGTGACTTTGGCACTCGAAGTACACCTGGTATTTTCCAAAGTGTATAGTACGAGCCGAGAGTCTTCGCTCTTGGTACACCCAGGCGCGAGTCAGCAGCGGCCATGATGTTGTGTCTCCGGAAAAGAAGCCACTGGGGAAGAACGGTGGTATCTCCCGGATAAAGAGGTGGGGATGCCTGTCCAGGCGTCTCGTGACAGGACGAGCGGAAGAGAACAGGCCGCCGTTGCTGTTCTGAGCAAAAGTAGCTGCTATAGTGATATATGCGTTCTCGTAGACGTCGGCCATCGTGGTCGCTGCTTCTTCCCAGTCTTCTTTATTGTCTTGGAGAATACCTGCTTCCATTCAGTTGTAGTTTCCCGGATAATAATCATGCGTAGAGGCACTTACATAGTGCATCAATCCAAAGATATTGCACTTCAAGATGTCGACATACCTCAACAGCATCTCTAAATGTCTTAGGTAACTCGGGTACAGTCAAACCCTCACGCAAATAACCCACAGTACTGGCTGTCAATCTGATAGCTGGGCCATCGGGTCCCCAACAGTGACTCAGACAGGCATATGGAGCTGAGCTGACGAGTTGCTCTCTGAGGTATATATGATCAACCCTAATCTCCAGGATTCTTTTGGGCAGTGAACTGGCTAGTTGTGGCCTGCTATGCTCATGGTGTTTGATACAATTAGTTGTCCAGTCCTTGATCAAACGGAAAGTTTTCTTTGAAGACATATCAGTCGGTAATGCGCGAAGCTCTTTCACATCCCAGGCGGCAGAGATGGATGGTTCAAGTTTTTGTGGTTTGTCCGTACATACGGTCAGCTCAAGCGTGCCGTTATGCTAGTTCGACGTACCGGCGTAGCGAACGATCTCCATGTAGGAATGGCTATGAAATCCTTCATCAGATCCGATCATAATTGATCGAATCTGTTTCAAGGATGAAATTGAAATAACGAGCCTCTTTCCTTGGTCTCTGTCCCTAGTGATGGTGGAAATAGCGTCCAACATCACCGCGCAGTTCCGACATCCATTCTTTGAACCAACTTCCATTTTCATGGGATCAATAGACTCATGGCAATCAGTTATCGTTAGGTCCCCTTCGATCGTTCTGTCAACTATCGGATACCCGCAGCCGACACAGACATCTTTGGTAGCAGACATATCCTGAGAGGCTCATCCTGCTATCTTAGCAGAGAATTTCGCGGACAGGACTGACGACTAGTCGTCCAAAGGAATTCGCCTGAGAACAACGCTCGTGATTGGCATATAACTAAGGTTGTAGGAAGTACGCGGCGAGAATGCTCACATTATATCTGTGGGAAGTCGATGCAAATGTGCAGCCTAATGAGCTCAGCTGACGAAGTGGATAGGACACATGCAGTCAGCAAATGTGGCTGTGGCGAAATTCAATGCATCGAACGAGTATGACCCAATGTGCGAAAGTAAGCCTGCATGCTTACAGCTTATCATAATCGGAAGCTAAAGTATGGCATCCGCGTGATAGTGCGAAGAGATTCGCGCTGCACTGACAGACGGCCATGCATTGCGAAAGGTATGCGCCAAGCCTCAGTATGCACGACGAAAGAATGCGTCCGGCGCTTTATAGAAAGAAAAACGGAAGTCTGTTGAAAGGTGTCGGGTACAAGCAAAACGGCTCACTGATGACATTAGGTCCAAGACCAATAGGGCCGTGCGCTGCTGACTAACCAAAGCTGGATGAGTTCACAGCAACTGCACATCGCGACTCGAGAACCCCACTAAAACACCGCGACAATGGCTTCAGGATACGGACTTGCTGGTGGTACGTAAAATACACCTTCTAGTTGTCACTTCTGGGAGCTTTGGAGGTTGGCGGGGGCATCGGAGCGAGCGCAATGGCATCACGAAGAGCGAATCTGGACCGGATGCGAAGAGCGACAACCACGATTGTACGATGCGACTACATCAGCGGACTATACGACGCTTCAAAACAAATGGGAGGAGTGAGAGGATCGGGGGCAAGGAGCAACGTCGGCGCGCAGGGTAGCCGCAGTTATACGAAGATGGCATTGGACCTACGGCATGACAAGAGAGCGCATGGGCGCGATGAACTACACGACCGCGAGCCCGAAAGATCGTCTCTATCCCAAAGAACACCGTCATGTATGAGAACTTTGATCGGCGCCGTACATTGCCAGGACCAAACGCCCGCCCGCCAGCTCCGCTTCTGCCTACCTACTGGCACGCGCTTTAGCCCTCCAAAGCTTCTCAATTTCACAAAAAAAACCCTACCGCCGAACCTGGATGCTAAAAGCTCAAGTTGAGGCTAACACAATCTCCTAGGCCCATCCCGCTGCTTCCCCTTCTGGCAAGAAGTCCTGGCGTGCTACACCACCAACACAAACGCCGAAGACGACTCGGGCAAAGCAAAATGCGCACCCGTTCTTGAGGACTACTACGAGTGCCTTCACCACAAGAAGGAGGTAAGTGATACTCCCACATCTCCCATATTATCCCACAGAATTCCACTCATTACCCTCCTCTCACCTCGCAATCAACCCTCCTTCTCTCTCCAATAATTCACGTATGTTAACACATTCCCTTTTTTGTTTTAGGCCGCCCGTACCCTCGCCCTCCAAGCCGCGTACCGCAAAGCCGAAGCCAACATAAAACGCGATGACGCACCTTCAGCGGGCGAGATAAGGCGATTGGGTGTATTGGATGCGCCGCTCGAGGAGAAGAACCTCAAAGCGAGCAAGTGGTTCCCGCACAAGGAGATCAACTAGACTATGTACTGTGAATGGGTCTGGTGATGGATATCGGGGTATATATATGTATATGTGAAGACCGATAGCATATGTATTCACACTCGTGATTGCAAGACAATGGGAACGATGAGATTAAGTCATCTTTTCCGCGTCGATACATGTGCATGTACATTTTGCTAGTGAATGAGTGTTGCGCGTTCAAGTGTACTAGAAGCTCAGGTGCCTTGCCATTATATCTCCGTAGTTCACCACAAGTGGGTTTGATCCTCATTTCCCATCACACAGAACGTTACATGGCTAAGCCGAACAAGAGTTAAACATATACTTTCAATTCACTTTAATACTATGACTATACACCCGCGAGGTTCCGAACTCCCATACTCGTCCCACTACTTTTTCCCACCGATACAGAAATGAGGTTTAAAAAAACGGAACACACAATCATTATCATAACCATTCCTCTTTCCTCGATGCCATATGCTCCATAAACACCATAGCGGAGTGGTCCGATTGTTTGGATCCATATGCTCTCGCCGTCATAAGGACAGATTGCGGGTTGAAAGGGAAAAACATACAGCGATGGAAAGCATAAAGCGACAAGTACAACAACCCTTAAACTCCATGCTGGTACAGAGTTGCATACGACTTAATCAAACAAGTAAAAAGTGTCGTAAACCGTCATAATCCGATTTACTCCATTAGAGTAGGCCTTACCCTAACCCTGTTTAGCATAGAATCTGTTGGCGTAAGATCTGTGGTTGGGATAGGATCCGTGCCAAAGCGTGACACAAGAATGTTTATCGCAGTAGTTCGTTGCTCGGTATGTTCGGGCGACTTGATCTACATGTTCGCGGGAACACTTGTGCGCGACATGTGAGGAGGAGGTGTAGCGGTGGAGCGACTGCCGATGCTGCCGAGGCCGTGGGCTTGCGCCATGCTGCGGTGGAAGGAGCCGATCTTCTGAAAACCCCTGCTGTTTGTTAGCATGGTACACTCTACTGACAACCTAGATGCTTTCGCAACTTACTTTGAAAGATCGTAGCTCTCCTCTTCAGGCTCAGGTTCCTCCTCGAAGCTTGTCAGGCTAGCACCACGTACCATTCCTCCATTACCGACAATGCCTAGTCCAAGCCCGTTGACATTGCTATTTGACCGCGAACGCTGATTCTGGCTTCCAAGATCTCGCCGACTGACGGGTCGGGAGACCGTACGACTTGGACTCTCCGGGCCAACATCCTCATCTTCGTCGCCTTTCTCATCGGCATCCTGGTCACGTTCTTCGTCATCTTCATGCTCAGCGCTAATATCTGGCAACATCGGCGGTGAACTAGGGTGGTCCTCGTCGTCGCCGTCCTTGAAATCAGGACGTTGCAGCTTGATAGGACTCAGCTCGAGGGGTGCTTTGGCAGGCGTGCTGGGGAGATCGACGAACTTCCAGAAAGGCGCAGGGCTGGAAAACGCCATGTATTGGCTAGGCATCTGGGCGGTGCTGGGAGGAGCAAGACGAGGCGCATGGCGCGAGACCAGTGGGGTGACGAGCGCGTTGTTCATTCGGTTTGCATCGTAATTGCCGCTCATGATGTTTGATCCGGCATCTGAGTATAGAGTCGGCGGGGAGTTTCCTACGTCAGTCTTCATACCGGGGACGCTTTGTTTGACAGGGTCCACACCAGGTGAGGATTCTAGGTTGCGAGATTCGTCCTGCTTGATATGAGGGAGTCCTTGGCCCTCGTTGGCACCATACACAAGGCGCTTCGCAGGAGTCACAAAGCGATCCTGATCGCGTATAGTCGGTGATTGCTTGAAGCCTCCAAATGGACGTGGGCCACGATCTGGAGTGTACGATTCGTTTGCCATTGGGACAGACGAAAGCGGAGGCGTAGCGGATCGTGGGGGGGACTTGACACGAGGAAGGTATTGGTTATGGCGGTTATCACGCTCCAAGGCACCGACAAGGCGCTCGGTAGCCTGGGATGGGTTGCCCAGCGCGGGCGAACTAGGCCCTGAGCCGTCTATGCGGAATCCGATTTGAATTCCACCGCCTTTGCGAGGATTGAGCAGCTGCTTCTTAATGAACTCCTCCTTCTCGGAGTCTGCAATCTTCCATTTCATGCCTTTGCCCGGCTCATCGGTACGGCGTGCAACCTTGGCGAACGACTTGTTGAGGGACAGATTGTGACGAATGCTGTTCTGCCAGCCGCTGTTCGTGTGACGGAAGAAAGCATACCGAGCTTTGATGTAGTCGTAGATGTTTGCAAGCGTGAGCATCTCCTCCTCGCTGCTGAGGATTGCTTGACCGATGAGCTGCGCATAGCTGTGTGGCGGCTTGATATCTTTAGTGGCGTCTAAGCTGTAGTCAACATCGTCTCCAGTGTCCAGCACGACTGCGCGAGAGAAGGTCGCAGGCGAGCCTTTATTGCGCGGGTCCTTGTCACCCCGGAAAGTCATGGGTGTGCCGGGTTGCGGGTAGCCGGGTGTGGATGTCATTTGGTTGTAGTATGCTTGTGACGATTGGTGTTTGTTGCGTGGGTGCGAAGACGGCGGGAAGGGATCGTACTGGTCGCGCTTGGGTGTTGGTCCGCTGGGATGTGCATGGTGATGCGACTTGGGCGGCGGGTTGCCGTCGTTATCAGACTCAGCAGCGTCTTCGCTCTTGACCTGACGCCACAACATGGGGTGGAAGTGATCCTCCTGATTGGCGAGGAGGAACAACATTTGGGTACTCATGATACTGATGCAGATACCTGAATGTAGGGGCGCCTTGTCTCCCCTGGTCAGGTGGCGGTCGTCGAGCTTGAGGCCATTACGGCTGTTTACGGTGATGTACCACTGCTGGTCGTCGATCTCGAAGTTGATCTCAGCATGGACGCGGGAGATCTGACGCTCGGGTCCAAGGTCGATGTGCACACCCCAGTCCTGGCGATGGGGGTCACTCGGGGGCAGCCCGGCGATGTCGGGCTGGGAACTTTGCTGGTTGGAGCGTTCTCTCGAATCTACACGGCCGATTCTAACTTGCGTGTCCTGAACGAAGAAGCACCAGTCGCGCGCAGCGATCTTGGCAAAGGCCGCGATGTTCTTACCCTCGTTGCGCTGCGACTGTAGGTCGTTGGCATAGTCGATGGCGGCGTTAGGGACGTAGCTGGGTACGCGGAGGGCGGCTATAACGATATTCTGGCGCTCTATGGGATCCATAGGGTTGTCAGCGTCTCCGCCGTTGGGCAGTGTCGTGTTAGAGTCGTTGCTAGCGACGGATTCGGTGATGCGTGTACGGGGAGGATCTGGGGCGGCCAAAGCAGCCGCGTCTTGCGCGGAGCCATTCAACTGTGCGAGTGAGTACAAGTTCGCCGCAACACTGGTAGTAGTTGGGCTGCTCACCCGCCTGCGCTTCCGCGAGGGCGTGGCATCTGGCGTGTCGAACTCAGACTGCTGCTGAGCATCTCTACGCGAACGGAGTCCACTTCTGCGGGTAGACATGGTGCATGCGAGCGAGCGACTCTGTACAGGGAGAAGAAAGTATCAGCGATTGTTGTGTGCATGGATGTATGATTTGTTTGTGGTGGTGATGATGACGGACCATGGGAGGGACGAGCCAGCCACAGGACGTGCGAATACCAGCCAGCCCGCCCCACCAAGGAACTCGACACACGTGGAAATAGGATGCTGCTTACCGCGAGACGTCGGTTTTCGGTTCCCAATGCAATGCGCGCGATAGGAATGCGTCTTCCAGGGAGCGGCAGTGGACCGAGAGCAGGCGTCGCAGGGCGGTGGTGACGAGAAGGAAGAGTGCGGTCCGCGTCGGAAGCGTCGACGATTTCCCGGTGTTTGTTATTCCAGCACGACGCGACTTGCTGTTTAGCGCAGCGTGGCGATGACCTCAATCCGCAGCTAGACGATGCGCGACGCGTGCGGGGGACGATGATGACAGTTGGCCGAGGCGCGTGAAGGGGTCAGGATAGTGAATTGGCTATCGATAGAGAGATAATGGAGCAGAGCCGCAGAAGGGGACAAATTACGTCGCCTTGGTGTCCTGATACCAAGCTGCTATCCGTGCGCACGGCACCCGTGATCAAAATAACGCGGTAGCTGAGCGCGCAGAGTGGGCCTTGGGCGACTCAGCCTTTCATCTATGCCGACAGCGATGATTCCAAATGGCATGATTGCCCGTGTCATGCTCATTTCCCAATACTGCATCCGGAGGGCTGCTTTTCCAGCGCATCCAAAACCCAAACGCTGGCAACCTGTGCGCGTTCGATTCGCCAAGCAAACAATGACGCTATGCATCAGGGCTTGAAAACCGTTCGCATGCCGCCAACAGGATCGCTGCTAATGGCCCACACCAACACCAAAAAGTCGCCAATCGTTGCCGCTTCCACCTGCTAACGCTTACTCACTCGCTTCTTGTAGTCGACTACACAGTCATGAAGAATGTCCTGGAATTGTCCGTCTCACGCCTTGCATAACCATCACGACTTGTTTCGTTCGTCGCGTGACGTTTCTACTTCTTCTTCGCATTAGCTGCATTTGTGACTTCCTAGACACGTTTGGTGACTCTACATCGTCATCAAATCTCTACGCCGAAGCGAAGCCGGACCGCAATACGGGTTACCCCTCAATCCATGGGTATGGCGGACGATAGCCGTCTGGTTCTGATCGATTTAGTTAGGAGTGACGGTTTCATCGTGACATTTGACAGGCCAGGCGTGTGCGCTTCACTTTGAACACAATCAACCAGTTTTTACAATCACATCTTCACAATACTAGCTATGAGTAGCTGACAATTAAGGATTGAACATTACTATTCAGTGTGTCTGTCAAGAGACATTTCATTTACAGCCTCTAAGAAGTGTAGTCGCTCGTGTCCAACTCAGCGCTAAGAACCAACTTGCGCGAGCTAGCACCGACGTACACGGTCTTGGGGTACTCGGAGATGACCCAGTTCTGGGCGGCAACATCCCAGTTGCTGATATCACGGCGGGTGATGTCGGTGCGGAAGGTAGCGCTCTGACCGGGCTGGATGCTCAAGCGGTCAAAGCCACGAAGCTGAACCTTGGGGTCCTCAGGTCCACCAAGCGCGACGTAGGCCTGAACGACCTCGTCACCAGCGACAGTGCCGTTGTTGGTGATGGTGGCCTCGACAGTGAACAGGACGTCCCACAGAGCGGGGTTACCACCTGGAGCACCACCAGCGGGGATGCGAGCCTGGGGTGACCCATCGGCGTAACCGGCAGGCCAGGTGTGGTTGACACCGTACTCAGGGTCTTGCGACGCCTCAGCAAGGTCGGTTGAGTTGAGGTAGGGGAAGATGTAAGTAGCCGGGCGCGTAGTGTTCGCGGGGAACTGGTACTCCTCAATGTCCCTGCTGAAGTTGCCAAGAGTGGGTGCGGCGATAGTCTGACCAGTGGTGGGCTCGTATGGGCCGGCGTTACCCTTCTCGACTTTGATGTCAGAGTACTCAAAGGTGGTGTAGGAGAGACCGAAACCGAACTCGTATATGGGAGTGATGTCGTTCTTGTCAAAAGCGCGGTAGTCAATGAAGACACCCTCCTCGAAATTGTCCTGAGGGCTGCCGTTGCCGTTGGTGGGCTCGTAGATGAGGTCAGGACCGTACTCAGCTGCAGAGCTGCCGAAGGTGAAGGGAAGCTTGCCACCGGGGTTCTCACGGCCGTACAGGATGTCGGCGATGGCATTACCAGACTCTTGGCCGGGAAGACCAGCCCAGAGAATGGCAGTGACGTTCTCGTTGTCATGGAAGCTGTTGACTAGAACGGGGCCGACAGAGTGGATGACAACAATGGTGTTGTTGCACAGCGCAGTGACGTTCTGGATCAAAGTTTCGCCGTTTTGCCAGAGAGTGAGGTTGTTGCGGTCACCAGCGTTACCGTCGACGGTGATGTAACCTTCACCAGAGTCTGCGTTGACGAAGACGATAGCGACTTCAGCCTGACTAGCCATGGCTTGAATCTGCGCGTAAGCCCAGTTGTCGGTAACGGAAGTAACGACACCACCGTTGTCAGTGACCTCGCGCTTGATAGACTCGAGAGGAGTGACCAAGTAAGGGAAGTCAGCAGTTCCTGAACCCCAGCCCATGGCCAATGTTCCGTTGTCGCAACCGCGATCGGCGCATCCGTTGGGGCCGTACTCGTTCTCCGCAGCGTCGTTGCCGAAAACAGCAGTCCACTTCTCGTTTCCGGTAAGAGGGAGAGCGCCAGAGTTCTTGAGCAAGACAGTCGACTTGGCAGCAGTGCGACGGATGGAGCGGAAGTGGTCCATGCGGACGTCAACGTGCTGGTTGACTAGTCCGTAACCAGACTTTGCGTAGTAGTGCTCGTATCCGTAGGTGTCACGCTGCCAGCTGTCGAAGTTGACGGGGATGGACTCGTCAAGGCCGACGTAGTAGTAGGCAGCCATGATACGGACAGCCGCATCGTCGAGGCGCCACTGGGGAACAGTACCGTTGAGGATGGAGATGGTCAAGTTGGGTCCCCAGAACGACTGGCCGGAGTTGAAATCGGTGTCACCGGGCATGGTCATGTCCATACCGGCAAGGGTGGAGGCAACACCAGAGTGCTGAGCATCCCAATCGGACATGATGAATCCCTGGAAGCCGAGCTCGCCCTTGAGGATGTAGTTTTGGAGGTATGAGTTTTGGCAAACCTGAGAGTTGTTGACCTTGTTGTAAGAGCACATGATGGAGCCGGTTCCAGCACGGATGGCATCGGCAAAGGGCCACAAGTAGAGCTCGTGCAGAGTCTTGTCGTCCAAGTTGGAGCTGAGCGCATCGACGAAACCGAAATCCTGAAAGTTACCTGGCTGGCGGAAGTGCTCCTGCTCGTTCATGATGTAGTGCTTGGTGCAAGCAATTACACCAGCGTCCTGAATACCGCGGACGGTGTCGGCGACAGCAACGCCAGACAAGACTGGGTCGGGAGAGAAGCCTTCCCAATTACGCTGGATAGACGTTAGTGGATATCACAGAAGTGAGCTTCATAAACTTACTCCACCCTTGGGGTTACGACCAAGAGGACCAACGACAGGACCGAGCTGTACATCGACACCCTTTGCGCGGTGCTCCTGACCCATCTGGTAACCACGGCGGTAGAACTCGCCACGGTCCCACGATCCAGCAATGGTACCTCCAGCAGGGAAAGCAGAGACATAGTCGGCGAAACGAATACCCAGAGGGCTGTCTTGCATGCAGAGAGAGTCGAAGCCGAGACGGGGAATGGCGCCGACGTTTCCGACGCAGGCTTCACTCTGCCATCCTGTTCCGGTGGTGAGGTTGACCTTCTCGAGAAGGGTCAGCTGGCTAACGAACGCCTTTGCCTTTGTGATGGCATCAGCCCAGTCGCCGGTCGTGTCCTCTACCCAGCTATTTTGAAGTTAGTGATGGTTTTTTCGGATGTCGGAACAAAGCTTCGCGCAATGCGACTGCCGTGTGTCAAGTTTAGTGGAGCCTGCGCTCCTTCGCTCTTCCCCACACTTGTCAAAGCCCACTTCTAGCGGCTTGCATTGCGCAGAACGTTGAAATTGTACGTACGGACTTGGGTAGAATGGCGGACTTTTAGCAAAGTCCAAAGGACTGCTGCCGGTGTTGTTGGTATACTTGTTTATCGTCAGCATAAGCTTGTAAACAAGACTGCAAGGATGAATTATACTGCGCGGAGGAATGGGAAGAGTGTGATAAAGAGATGCGCAGAATCAAGCAGCATCTCTTCAGCTCTGGTATGAATATCTCGCAGCGACAATACTTGCGTGAGGTGTAGCTACAAAATAAATGAACATACCTGGGCATGGGCAAGGCCCGCCAATAATGCTTGTGCAAGCCACAGCATGACGTCTGGCTGGCTGGGAAACGCGAGCTAAGAGGTACAAGTACACAGTAATGATTAACTTTACTGTGCTAACATGTAATTAGGAGTTGAGAGCGCTCGCAGACACAGGCCAAAATCCAAGGGCACCATGGCACCCTTTATTCACCGCGATGAGCACCAAGTGACAAGGCAAAGGCGTAGCTTCCCCAGCTACCCGTGCCCTAGCACCACGCGCCGTCACAACCCCGGGCGCAAGCGGCTGGCTCTTTTTTTGCGGGGAGCGTGCAGAGCCTGCTGATCTCCGCCCCGGGGCCCTCATTGACTCGATGGAGCTCAAGCCAGGGCCTCCGCTCTGTCTTCTGGCCCCGATGTTACCTTGGAAGCCCCATCACATGGTCTTTCTTCAGTCAAATGTCCTGCATATATGCACCGACCCTGGCCTACTTGCAGCTGCATCACGTCAAGGGAGCTCCACAAGGGACAAGAAGAAATATGGTTTCTATCCCGTCTCCCTCGAGCCTCGTGCACGGTCACGCTCCACTACCCTGACCATGTACATCGTCATCTACCTACGTCAACCCCGGACGTGCATATAAGCTCCTCTCAAAAGCCCTTTCCGAACGCCACATAAAAGCCAAGCTCAGAGTTGGAGGGTGCGTGAGGCGAGCTATCTGGCTAGCTTACAACCTCCAAGCCCAGGACAAGACACGCAGTGCGGGGTCGATGTCGTATGCTTCTCTTCGCTCGAACTGTGCCCCATAGCTGCAAGCCTTGTTGTCTAGCATGTACACGGTAGCGTCTGATGAGAGGTCCGATACTCCGTTGGCCTGTACAATCGGCCGGTATAGCTCCTCGGGGTAGACCCAGTATTTTCATGGAGCACCCGCGTTATACATAGGCGAATCTTCGGCATTACTCTTTGCGGAACTGCATCCGTTTGTAAGCTCAGTGTTATGCCCCGGATGCTGCCTCGGCGTTTAGTTTCTAGCAACTAGGAACGCGGCCGAGTGGGCTTGAGAGCTTTTCCACCGGATGATCTAGTAAGCACCAGGGTGTTCTCGTGCACTGCCCCACTAGGCAGGTGGTACGTACGAAAGTCACTCACGTCACAGATCTTGTTCGAATAACTTGCCTCCGATGCCGACCCGTTTGTGTTACTCTTTTGCCTCAGAGCAGTATCGCGCCAATACAAGGCGGCATCACGACCCGTCGGTAAGCCGTTCGGCATGTAACCAGTATTCCACCAGGCTTAGCTGTCTCTCTGTTAGTCACTAGGCTGTAGACAGTGTGATGCGCCTTGGATTCAAGTTGAACTCATGGTACATCGATAGCTCGCAAACTTGGAGACTTGGAGACATTGCTAGCCAGATTCGCTACAAGTCCTAATAATATCTGGGTACTCTAGCGATACCCAAGAACCCGTTTTCCAGCGTGACGATCTCAACTTCATTAACCTGGAAACTATATATTAGCTTCGCGCTTTCAAGGTATACCGCTGACTGTATTCAGTCTAGATACCATCTTCCTCCGCGAGGACTTGCATGAATCGTTCATGCTATGTACCCCGCTCTATGGCACACGTTACATCTAGCTGCAGTAGTCTACGAAATCTCAGCGAGTTCCTTGTGAATATGCGAATACGACCATACTTCCGCATTTCACGAGACTTGATGGAGATTCGAGGTTTCGTTAGCTCTCTCACCGTTTTGCCCAACACTGCTCCATCATCTCGGTGCGGTCAGACCGTATTTCACCGAGCCGAGACCTCATTCCCGCGATTGAGCCTAGCCTGCCAGTTTGCCTGTGCAAATGGCACCTGCTGCCCCTTGAATGAGCACGACAAATCTTGCAACGACTGTTCAAACCATGAATTTCGAATATGGACTTTGCTCCGATTCTACTTCCTGAAGCTTAAGCCCAAGCCGGAAACAGTTTAGCTTCATCGCGCCCAGCCACAGGGACAGTGATGTCTTCAGACATTCATCGATCGCCACTAGAGCTACCACCATTACACACGTGGACAACTACTCCTTCATTCTAAAGGGCGAAAGATACATTATGCTCGAGACTCATCTCTTGTTTTCAAGCCTGCATAGATTAGTGTGGCTGAAGGGCTGAGGCTGATCTCCGATGATGTGCTCAGCCTCTCTGTACTCCTACTATACGACCGTCAATTGATCAATCAACATGCATGAAAGGTAGGCCAGATACCGTGTCAGGCATTGCAGCCTCGTCGCAGCTGAGATGCGTATGGTGAATGTGGAGTGTTTCCATGAAGTCTTGTTCGAGCCAATGGCTGCCAACGCCGCAAGGTTGCCTGCAGGCAGCACAACGCCTTTCTTTGAGTCAACAGCCTTTCTGAGTCAAACTTTCCCGTATTCATCTGATCAGTAGTTTGCTTTTAAGTCGCGTCTTCGAGAGTGTTCCATGTATTCACTATCGCAAAAGCCATCTCGTTCATCATGGGTTCCAAGCTCTCCCGAGCGGTACGACCGCAGGTGAAGGCTGTTGCCTCGCCAGTCACAACTGCCCAACATCACGACATTGACCATGCAAACGCAAGAAGAGACTGCCAGGAACGCACTCCGCAATTAATAGACCCTTTTTCTTATGACGATATAAACGTTGCAGCTTCTATCAGCGCGCCCGCGATTTCGCAAAGGCGCAACAGCGCGCCCGCCTTATCATTCGCAACTTCCATATCCTCCACCGCCATGGCACACCTACGAGATATCAGCGATACCTTCGGCTTGTATCTAGAAGAACGCCACCTGATGTCCATCCAATACGCCGGCACCGACCCTGATCCAGCGCCCGCAATCACCGTAGCCCCGCCCCCTCCACCATCAGCGCCGCCTACTGTCCCTTACAAAGAATCCGAGGTACAATGTATCATATGCTGCACGCAACTACCGGATGCGAAGCATCCAAAGCATGGGAAAGAGGTCATCAGGCCATGCCGAGATTGCGATAGCACATACTGTGGGCCATGCGTCAAAAGAATGTTCACGGAATGTTGCAAAGATACCACCCGCATGCCTCCGAGATGTTGCGTGCAGATACAACCCCATCATGCAAGACCACATCTGACGAGAGAAGAGTTTTTGGAGTTTAAATCGAAATACGAAGAGTGGCTCACGCCAAATCCATTCTACTGTCCGGTACCAACATGCTCAGCATTTATCCCAGAACGACTTCTTCCAGAGAAGGCAATAAAAAAGAAGGGGAAGCGCGTGGACTCTGGCTTTGGAACACCTACCTCGAAAACTATTGCATGTCCAACCTGCGAAGTGGATATTTGTCCAGATTGTCGGCAAGTCGCTCACCCAAACGGTTTGTGTAACATCTCCGAGTTCGGCATCGATGCAGAAACGACGGAATTACTGAAGAGCTGGGGCTACAAGAAGTGTCCAAAGTGTGGACACGGGCTAAAGCGGATGTACGGGTAAGTTGTGACTGTACGAGTTGCATTTGACACATACACTGACTTCGTATCTTCGCCCTGGCAGGTGCAACCACATGGAATGTCGATGTGGAGCACACTTCTGCTACGTCTGCCTGGACACATATGACACGTGTAACGGACGCTGCGACGATGAAGACGAAGAGTATGAAAATGACGACGATGATGAGGCACCCGAAGAACCCGATGAGGCTGAGCTTCCACCTGGCCCGAACGATACACCGACTCTTTCTAATGAGGCATCTCAAATTCAAGGGACTGTTGACGACATAGCAAGCGCGACGCCACAACCGGCTCCACGGCCACGTAACCTTGACGGCGGAGGACATCGCTACTGGGAAGAGCAAGATCTGAATTTTGGCGAGGAACCAACAGAAGACTACCAAGACCGCTCTTGGAACTGTTACCATGACTTCAGGCCATCCACAACCACACTCGCAAAAGCTCTGACTAGCCATTCTGCTGCCGAGATGGAGTGTGTGAAATGCTGGTGTCCGATAAATCCAGAGATCAAAGCACCTAGTACTGCGTCAAATACCGAGGTCAAGGTGAAGACTGTCCCGGCAGGCGCAAGAGAAGCGATTCGAAGTATTCCACAGGGAGTGAACCGGGGTCGTAGACGAGGAAGATATTTACCTCCTCGTGGACCCTTCCGAGCCGATGACACGATCGGAACCGCGCCTCATCTCACCACCACAGTATCTTCTCCGCTGTCTCAAAGCGTACCAACGCGCGAAACTTCGTTCATGGAAGATGTTCGGTATGCTTCCGACCGGGTAGTAGACACCTACGGCAACGTTATCGCGACGACAGAAATAGTGCTTCGGCGCCGAGCATCTGAAGTTTCTTTCGATGACAGTGAAGCCTTCCGAGATACATTCAAGACTCCATCGACTATCTTCTCCGATCCAACTACCAAGTTCAGCCTCGCGCATGAATGTCGCGATTGTGCCTTGATCGTATGCGCTTCGTGTAAAGACAGTATCTTGACCGCTCAAGTTGCCGAAAGGCACGACTACATGGAGTAAACGCACCTTACTTCACGACTTGACTTTAAAATACCAGGTATATTAACCAATGAGACTGCGAGTCACAAACCTCGGATGGTCAGAAGATTACGAGAGCGATTGACACATTTCCTACTTCACCTTGGGCCCTTACAGTGGCTGTAAATATAATGAGTGACCATCGGGTTATAGATGCATAAGGGCGTCACAGTGTTCTTTTTTTGTTATATTTGGAAGCTTCCATATGGGTTCAGTGTCTCGAATTCTACATTACCGGCGCTTAGCGAGTAAATATCTTTCTACATCTTGCATGTAAAGCGATTGAATCGCCGCTTCCGGCACGAATACATGACGGTGCCAATTTCCAGTGAACTACTCGATGCCCTGCTAAATTGAAAGGTGGTGTCGCCTTCCCGTGGTGCCTGACGATAGCTGTGAATGCTTAGGCTGTATCTGTCGGACATGGTGTTTATCATTGGCAACAATGTTACTCATTCTCATCGTAGTCGTGAAACAGCTACGATAGTTACCATCTCCCCATTTCCAACGCATCGTCTCTGAGTTCATTCAGCGCAGCTTCCTTGACCATCCTTGCCTTCTCTTTCGCAATGTGGAAGTCTTCTTGCGATACGGATCCGTCAAATCCGATGCCCAACGCCCCCAGCCCAGCGTTCCCTGATTGAATCATCCTCATGCAGGGAGAATCTCAGATTTTCCCTTCTTTGCAACTCTTGTTCTCCTAGACCAACAGGATATGTTGGTAAGTTGCCATCTGCGGCGGTAGACGCAAAGACTGACCAGTTCCTCGCGACTTCCGGGACGTCAATTTGGAGATGCACCTTCCCGAGGCGCACCGGCATCACGGAATATCCTACATATCAAAAAAGCTCCGTCGTGCTCCATGTAATGTCGCCAATTCGGCTCGCTTAGCTCCTTAGTGAACCCAAGGTAGTAGGAGTGTGTGCAACGACGGCGATATTGCTCTTCTGCCTTCGCGCGCTCGGTGCCATCCATTGAGTCGAGATTCTCGGGAAGTTTTGGAACTTTGGACCCTCTGGAACCCTTATCAGCATAATTTTGGAAGGCTGTTAGAATGTCGGCGGGGAGAAAAGCGGGGAGAACGACTGATTGTTGCCAATCGAGGAAGCCGGTAACGATGAGGTCGTCGGATATCAAGATGTTGTTGGGGGTGAGATCGGGATGTCGCAGGGTGGGACTATACGCTGCTGGATCTGTAGTTATAAGGTAAGGCACGAGACGCAAGTACTCTTCTAGCGAACGAAGATGCTCTTTAGGAACTTCCTCCGTGTATCCGATGGATTCGCCGTGTTCACGATGCAGTGGGTGGCGAAGTCAACCGTAAGTATGAATCCGGGCTAGCTCCTTTTCGGCGTGAGTTTGGAGGACGAGCTCAGGATCGATAAGAGGACCTCGGTCAATATTCAGATTTCTACGTTCGCCATACCATCATTTTAAGGATGCATACGGACCAACGCACAAGCCATTCTCAAATCCAGGACTATCTATGCGGGGAGTACGTGCAGCCAAGTCGCGAGAGTAGTAAATGCTGCCACTGGCTGGTAGTTTCATGACGAACAGTTTGGCTTCCATGGTGATTATTTGATGCAGGACTTTGTATCTTTCCTTATCGGACAGACCGTACCAGACACTACTGAGCTGCTTTCCTGGCATTGGTTCCATCAGCATGTACTCTGCGCCAACGACGTCTTCACCAGCCAAAACTCTATGTGTGAGGATACCATCCGCACGCAGGAAGTATAGCGTTGCGATCTCACTTGCTACTGCCAAGCGTCGTGGTATGGTGAACGGATATGGAAGACGCGCAAAGATTGAACAACCATCGCTCATTGTGGCTTCCAAGATGCGGCTACAACCGCCTTCGGCGATCTTCTGTATGGTTTATACATCTGCAACAGGCCTGTTGAGTGCCCTCGCAGCGGCGTTCCCGAGCTCAGGGCTGTTGAAATCCAAGCGACTTTCGGCCATTCGGAGAGACTCGTTGAAATTATGTGATCATATCAGTCAATCTACAATTCAGTAATATATGATTTGAGTTCATGTACATCGATCTACCGGAAGTATATCCAAACAATTCGTGGCCGTTTTATCTGTCATACAATGAGTCTTGGCCGAGGCCGAGACACGCCTAGAACATTAGACGACGGAAAGAAGGCGATTTCACTCTAGGATAGTGCTCGCCTTCTCAATCGAAATGGCAATTGACGGAATCTTGATGAAGGAACTGCGAGTGTCATGTTTCGAATGATGGTGTTCGCGCAATAGCTGAGCTGTTGCTTCGTATGCGCAGGGCGTGTGCACAGACAGCTACGGCCTTATTTTGGTACTCATCTGCATCATCTTGGCACAGCGTCCATCCTTCACCACAAACCGCTATACTTTTCGCAGAAGGATGCTGAGCATGGAGTAGTTTTCGTGAGGGATGACCTATAGAGACGGGCGTAACCCAAAGTACACAAGCCGCCGTCTACAGTCCCACTTGAGGTCATTCCCCGCTTGTACAAACGATGGCTCACTCCGAGGCTCGATTCGGTCCGATTTGGGCAGCATCTACACTTACGACGTTCTGCCTCACGAGAAGTCTCTCAGATTCGCAGAACTGCTTCCCGGACCCAGCAATGATGATGTCTAGCGCAAGCTCCATTCGGCGAAATGGGAGTCGCTGCCGGAGTAGGAGGCTATCTCTTACGCTTGAAGCGACCCGGCCGTGAAAGCGCCTGTGTCCTGTCATAGACACATCATCGAGATCACTCAGAATTTGCATACAATCTTGTCGCCCTTCCGTTATGAAGATAAATCACGCTTTTTGTGGGCTGACGCGTTATGGTACATGATTGCCTGAGGGGTAGCTTTGTTGAAGACTTTATAAGCTAATGATGCGTAGCATCAGCCGAAAAGACACCGGAACGCGGACTGCAAATCAAGCAGATGAAACAAATGTAGTAGAATGCGCAGGATCCCCAGGTTTGGCTTGGGGCCGATAGAGAAGACCATACGGCCGAGACGGCCTTCGACTCAATCCGAACCGTTTCCGATTTCCTTTGCGATGAACTCAGCATCTCGATCAACGAACATACTGTTGGTGACGATACGTAGTGAGAGAGCCTGCTCAACTGCAGAGCTTGCTTTACTCTGCCCAGCGAGATCGAATGTAATACGGATACGATCTGGCAGTTGCTAGTGTTGTTTTATCTTATCCCTCCTTCACCCTGGTTTGGGTGATACAAGACATTAGCGCCGGCTTCAACCGAAAAATCAACATCAGATACACGAAGGCAACGTGGAATAGGGTTGACGTCGTGGTTAGAGATAAGTTGATGAAGCCTGCATTCTCGGATCCGTACGGCTTTTCAGCCGCGAACTACAGATGGCTTGCGACCAACTCCGAGCTGACCGCACAGCTCACGCGGTGGTTTAATGTTCTCTATCTTACATCGGACTACAGATCTTTGGATACAAGACAAATCACCCGTGGGTTACGAGACTTATTGAAGCTACAGGGTGGCCATATGCTGGATCCGGACTACAGTAGATTAATCCTTGGGGTGTACCGTGATGTGGTCGAGGCAGCACTCATGGACTTCGAGAAGGTCGATGTATTGTTATATGTCATAGGAAGGAGAGACCCTTCATGGACACCGCACTCGAAAATTCCGATGCACTCTCGTAACTCATTTAGATTTCATAAGCACATGCCATGGAAGCGCGCAGGCGATAGGAAGCCAACATGGAGCATTGAAACAAACATGAACGTGCTATCACTGTCTAGAATCAGTCTGCATGTAATGTAAAATGCTGAAACGTACAACCAGCTTGACTTCGATAACAGTACCATCGACTCAGTGGAGGGAAAGGCTTAGCTCAAGAGTCTTTGAACGCAGAATCTGCATGCTTTTGAACATAGTCTCAATATTACTCTACTAATTCCGAAATCGCTTCGCGACTGCCGCAGTATCGTTCTCGGCCTAAACCACGATGTTGACCGTTTCGAGCAACTTGGGGTATTACACGACTTCTTCGTCTACCTCACCCTCATCTTAGCTCACAGTCAGGCGATTTTGACTACATATATTCGCAGTGACATGCTTGAAGAGTCAGATAGCGCAGAAGAACGTATCTTTGATGACCCAATGTGAGACTTTCAGTACTCTGAGTTCAGCATCTTCGTGACGAAGAAATAACTCGTTGGATACGCCATTGTAACAATTTAACAAAATGGCGAGGGTTTCATTGCTTTCAGAAGTACTTATGCAATGGAATTCAGATCTATCAATAATGGCGGCAGTCGCAGTATGTGATTCGTTTGTGTATGTCGACTGCGCGATGAATGGAGAGCGTGCAAGTATGAACGACTTGACGTTCCACATACGGTGAAGTGGTTTCATGGGACAATCTATGATTTCCAAAGGATCCAATCGTGCTTCGGCTAACATGCACAATATTATTGTAATGGGTTTTGGTTGGACAGTGTTCAGCTGCTGCACATGCGCACGGACGTGGTGGCGCAATACTCTACAGGTGAACTTCAGCCTGTTCAGTGGAGCTGAACGTCATGAACCTTTATAACTTCCAACCTACTCTCCGGAGCTATCCTTACCTTGGTCTTCGCTATGGAAAGGCATTTTGTAAGCAGATTGACCCCTACATCTTCGGCATACATGCTACACCGTGTTCCATTTTTGAACTGTCTCACACGGTTGTCAGCCTGATGGGCTTTGAAAGTCTTGCCATTCGAGCACTTGTGGAAAAGATAGACAGACTGACTACGATAAGCAGGGGTCGCGGCGAAAGCTGTGGTCTGACCACAAGCACAAAACAGACTCTGATGTGCCGTGGTCTAACCCCGTCGAGCCCATCGCACGTACTGACTCAGGGCCGTCGTATGGCCACGCGAGTAACGCACGTACTGATTCAGAGTTGTTCTCCAACCACCAGCTCGCCCCAGATCAGTTTCCTAGCTACCGGCTCGCCCCGGAGCAGTTTTCTAGCTACACGCCCACCTCGGGGCCGTGGTATGGTGATCAGTCCGATGTGGCGTCGGAATCTACCTATCTGTCCAACTTGAAGCAGTCATCCGGTCACAGGTATCAGCCTGAGTCATGGCCTAGCTACCAGCCTGACTCTGGCTCTGAACTGAGGCCTGAAGGTCTCTCCAAGAAGTTACAGGAAAAGGCAAACGCAGTAGAAGAGAAGGCAGCCAAGACGGATGACAAAGCGGAAGGGAAACAGGCATCTTACTTCCAATCTGGATGGGACCACGAACGGAAGACATACTTTTATATCGATGACGAAACTGGCTCGAAGGTGTACATGCCAAAGTCGTCTAGTACATCACAATGGGAATGGGACTCGACACGGCATAAATACTATTACATCGACCCCAACGATGGATCGAGAACGTATAATACCTGGTCATGGGATGAGAAACGGCGCATGTATTATTACATCAGTGAAGGATCGAGAATGTATGTTTCCGGACCCCACAGTCATCACGATGCACCAAGGGCGTATTCAGACGGATCGTACATTAGCCACAACGAGGGATCAAGGATGTTTTCAGATACGTCGCACGTCGCTAGAACGCAGCGAAGTGCCGAAATAAGCCCAGAGTGGACGAAGACTCAAACTGAAGCGGAAGAGAGGGACGGGCTTGAGATGAACACCGGGTGGCCTTTCACCGATCAGAGCGCTGCAACTTTTCAGGCCTCCACATCACCAAACATAGCTGCCAACCTTGCGGATGGAATTGCTTCCGAAGAGCTGTTCAACACCGATGATAATGCACAGATTTGGGAAACATCAAACTATCCCCGAGATGCATATGATATTACATCGAGAGCTGTAACGAAGACTGATGATGAACCTATACCTAACGCAGACCGCGATAATACTTCCGACAACGGCGACGTGCATAACTTCAACGACGCGATGCGTGATCTAGCTTTGGGTGATTATAGAGAAGACGTAAGCGATAGCGGAGCCGAATTCGACCGGAAGGCCTCTTGTGTTACTGATTCAAACCTTGGGTTCGACAGTAGTCAAGACGTAAACATTGCCGCATACGAAGCCAGTTTGGACACACACAGGCTGCCTTACTGTATGCCTTTGGAGAAATCGTCCTTAAATAACTGGAAAGAGATCCAATCGGGGCTTCCTGCTGATTGGCAGTGGGATGTCGAATACGATGCTATGCATACCGAACATGGTTGGCAGCACGGGTGTTGGACTTGTACTCCTTTGGAACCAGACAAGCCCAAACAGTTTCCTCTCACTATCGCGAATGATCCGGTTGTACTCCCAGTGGAGTATCAGTGGCCTCCTATTGGCGGAGTGGCTCCACCACCTGATCCGCGGCCTGAAGCACCAATCGATTGTCGGGCCGGAATATCCATCGAGCTTGTGAAAGACCTCTTCTCGACGTTTAGGAGGAGTATAGGGTTCTATGTTCTGATCAACGGACTTCTTCAGGTCATTGTGCCAAAGGACTATGACACCAGCTGGGCATCCTCACACCTTCCGCACAAATATGGTGGTCTCAAGGTCTGTTACATCGAACAGACTCTCAAGCCAACCATGTTGCCAACGAGGACACAGAATAATTGGACCACACCTCAAGGACGCTCAATCGGGTCCCCAAGTGCCTCTAATATGTCCTCGGCGGCTCGCCCATTAGCCCTCGCCGATAACCCGTCACTTAAGCTCAATGACCTTATAGAAGCTCGTCCAATGTCTAATCATCGAAAAGAGAAGTTTTCTGGACGCATCGGCCTCAAAGTAAAATCAGGCGGCGTTCCTTTCTTGGTGATGTCTACCCATGTTATTACTGAAGCGATCCTGGCAAGATCTCGCCGAGACGCTATACTTGGTCGCAAACGTATCGAACGCCTAACGAGGCTAAACGGTAATTGGAATGATCGCGCCGTGATCTTCACCGGTAGTAAAAAGGTCAGTATATTGAGTACGCCGATTGTAGTCATGTGATATCATGCATCACTTTCTACACGCTCTTATGCTAAGAATTTCGCCAGATCGGAACAGTTCACCAAAGTTTTGACAAGGAAGCGGAGATTTATCCGAACGGATTTAATCACGATGTCACACTTGTCAAGCCTACGTCTCAGACCTTAGTGAAGGACGTTGTGTCCCCCGTTGCCGATCTTGGGTGGCTCGATCACGACTCCTGGGCTTCGCTCCGCCAACAAACCACGACCGTTAATATTCTAGCTGACACGGAAAGCTCGCAGTCAGTGAAGAGTATCAAGTGTAGACGTCCATCTGATGTTCTTGTCGTAGGGGAAGGCATCTTCCTCAATCACAAAGTGGCAGCAGGTAGTTCAAAGGATCTCAAAGAGCACGACGCGTCGATATGGAAGGACCTCGTATCGCGCGCACTATTGTACCGCGTGTACCCTGACTTCGACCCACCAAATGGCTACAGTGGCACCGCGCTCTACGCGTATGGAATGAGGACAACTGGAACGGAAGGCCCGGGTATCGTCGGTTTCCAAAGCTTCGTGCAGCGCAGCGGCCATGTGCAGAATTTCAAGATAGAAGGTCCTGCACTCGAGCAGAGGTTGCAACTTGGAAGAGTGGCGTTTTACGGAGCGTTCGAAGTTCCTGCTGAGCTGAAAAGATACGAAATAGTTTGATAACGAACTTTCATTGGTACTTGCACATCTACACGTCCGTAGAATTATCGTGTTTCCAACAAGCTAATCAAACTTTGGCGTCCACGATAGCCCAGAACTCCCACAATTGTTTCCTCTCATTCCACTGATACAAAGCAAAGGTAGCAAGCCCAACAGATACCATGATAATGACCCAGATCCATATACTCAGCTGCTGCAACTCAACAAAGTTCATGCCAAATATCCAAGTGCAGTAAGAGAGTGGGAAGAAGATAGTCGCAAGTATAGTGAGCTTCGTGTCTTTCGCAGCGATTGTGATTTGCTTCCGCGATCCTGGGAGCGAAATAGCGCTGACTAGTACCGATATAGCTTCCTGGTAGTGTAGCGAGAGCTGGCGATATCGCGACAGAAGAAATTCATAGTCAGCTTTGTGTGCATCATTGGACTCCTGAGCTACAACACTCTGGTCTTGTGCAAGACTATTTGCCCATCGAGCTAGTACGGGCGACTTGATGAACCGTAGGACCTCTTCTTGGCGATTGGCATGGTCATCCAAAAGATATTTGTGCAGTATTAGCTGTTCCAGATGTTCGGTCGAGTACTTTGGATCCCACTTGGTCGATACAATAATGTCGTACCATCTTTGAAGAGCGGACAGTAGTTGGTTTTCTGAGGCAGCTGCGAAGAGGAATACGGGTGTGAGAGCGTATAGTGCGTCTCGATCGGCGATTGCATGATCATCAAGCATGATATGCAGCTCCGAAGGTAGATGAGACGCTGTTTGGAAGAGCGAACTATCGATGGCTTAGGGGTTATCGCGATCGAACAGAGGTAACGGCCACGTGTGTTTGATCGCTGACTCCATCCCTAGTACTTTCACAGGCAATAAGCAGATATCTCGGTGCCCTGTCTCCGTCTTGGCTGTCATATGCTCGATGAAGTGATGATATTCATGGCTTTTGGAGAGATCTCTGCTTCCTACGTCCGTCCACAAGATTGCTGATGCACAGGTGAGTGATAAAGAAGCAATAGCAGGAGAGATATGCAAGGTTTTCTTACCTGTCCAACCATCCCTATCTGACTCAATTGTGATGGATATGTCCTGTTCAATGACGAACTGAAGGTTGCTAAAATATGCATGCTTTCATATATATGAACCACCAGGAGCTGCAGGCAGTCGTCTGGCATCCACTCAACGTCATCAGGAAGAAGCCTTCGACGCGCTTGTAAGATGAAGCCACTCAAAGGTTTCCCAGGGAGTTTATTCTTAATAGAATACCCCTGAGTGTTGAGACGCAGTACAAGTCCTTTGTTGGAAACAGCTGATGGAGTTCTGGTAATAGCGTGAAGAACAGGCCCGTGGGTCGAGCGCCGATGATGAATGTGCTGCCGGAAAAACTCAGGCGCGATGCCGTACTTTGCGCCCACCTCACATATCCACGAGCCTGGAAGGTGGCCATCGAGAAAAAGGACCTGGCCTTGACCGTTGCCTGAAGATGGAAGATTGACCAGATTCTGCAACTCAGAATAGTTGTAGTTACGCCGTTGGTACTGCTCAGGGTCTTGGGAAGACAATCCGTATATAGACAGATGTGTGTGACAATACGCTTCGAGATCATGGTACTGCTTAGGTAGATGTGTCTTGTCAGCTCGGAGTAGCTCTGCAAGGAACCTATAATGATGGCCGAAGAAAATGGTGCGAGTATATGAACGTGCGCAATAGTGTAGTATGTTCTGACGATAGCCTTCGGCTTCGGGTGAGAGCTGCATATTACTTAGATACGAAGCATGAAATGAGTCACGCAGTGTTCACACTTTCCTCGGGATGGCACCATGCGAGGAGACGGTGAATAAATGTGAAAATGGATGCAGGCAGCCGTCTGTCTTCCGATATGCAGAAGGTGGAGCAAGGCTGAGGAAAAGCCACGCTGCACGTACATGGTGTTTTTCATCACAACCACTCAGGATAGCATGTAAGCGAGTTCGCGTCACCGGTAGTCAGAATACCTGCGAATGCAGGTTAGCCGCCCATGATACGAGGCTGGATGCCTCCAATTTCGCTCATCACCGAAAAGACCCCACGACTTGTGCGACACTAAGCAAGACCTGAACCGCCGTCAAGAAAACTACAATCGTAGCAAAGCTGCATCTTGTCAGTCTTGTGGAACAAAGTAGCCGTCAGTGACTCACAAGAACGTCCAAAATTGTAAGGTGTCTCTGCGATCACGGAACAGGACCCACACGCTCCAAGGTTTGGCTCTCTCGAGGTGCTCCCCCAAAATCACGATACGAGCCCACAGGTGTGGAAACATATCCGGTGTCCAGTCCGACGGCTCACTGCTCATCAGTTTGACCAGCAAAGGGTCATACTCGGTTTTGTGTGTTCGTTGAGCCCTCTTTACGCCCAGCGTCCGGTGTTGGCTGAATGTGTTGTAACTCATGATAGCACGACTACGGTATCGTCGCATCGAGCAAAAACAACACCAGCAAAACGATCCGATACCCAAGACTCTTCCAAACTTTGTATGTCTAGGAGTATCGTGTGAAGCGTTGAACAACAAGCTGTAGGTTTCTCTAATCTCTTGAGCAAGCTCAGTGGTGATGCCGACAAGCTGTAGAGAGGTAGCGTTAAGTGCACATGGCAAGCTGAAGATCTCAAGGATGTGCCGCCCGTCACGTTTCGATAGTAGTAGGTGCCTGGAAACATTGTGGGTCCATGCGATATCGACTGCTCCGAAGGTGTTCAATGTATAGGCGTTAAGCCGCGTCGCGTTTATCGTAAGCGATTCTAGAGAATCCAAATCATGCAGAAAGCCTAACGATACGCGTCTCTGTAGGTCGCCGTCATTCGAAACAGAGATAGACCCCGTGATGTCGACGTGGTTGGTCGAGGATGACGCCGACGAGAGTTGGAGGAAGGGTGAAAGCGCCGTAGCATCCTGCAACGGTGCCTGTTTGTATACTTTGTGGTTTGAAGGCAGACAATGGATAGCAGTTGGCAGCAGGCCACTGCCCGCTACTAACCCAGCCAAGTCTTCTCCGTACGGCTGGATTCCGTAAGGGCTACCATGAGTTCGCAGATTGTAGGTAGCCATAATCTTGCGAAGGCCACCAGCCGTCGGCAGATGAATGAACGAGCTCAAAAGCAACGACCAGGTCCCAATAATGTACAACAAGGTATCCTCAACGTCTTCGAGGTTCTGGTGTGCATAAGCGGCGGATGAAGATACGACATCTAACAACCCCTGAACACTCTTCTTCATAGAAGAGTCTGCTTGGACTTCTTGAAAGTATGTGACTACCGTGATGAGTAGCTTTATATGCTCCTCCATTGTATCACCACCAATGCATCGGTTTGTAAGGTAGTTGACGTACGGTTCGGCGGCGGCATCGTATGGATTGTTGGGGAAGCCCAATGCGCGTGCAAGATCGGTTCGTAGCCTTCCGGAGGCAGAAGGTATATGATTCATCGTCAGCAAAGTATGAGGTGACACGCCTCAATGACTTCAGTGTAGCCTATGGTCGTCGTCGAGTAAGTAGGAGGTTTCGCCAGGCAGTTTTAGAATGATGCAGATGGCCGTACATCACACTGCCAGTATCTCGAGGATCCTCCATATTGGCCATCTCCAGACCAGGCTGAGGCTGAGTTCAGGCTAACACGAGGATGCTTGTGTGCAGGTATGCAGGTATGCATTTGTGGTGGCAGTGACAGGGCGCGGATCGGACGCGCGCTTATCGATAAAGCACCTCAGGCAGCCCGCGTCGCACGGTTTCCTTGCTCGCGCCCAACCAGACGACATGACGAATTTACTGACGCCTTTTCTCAATAGCATGTCAAACACAGGGCAATTACCACCCATCTCATGTATACATTGGCGCGGCTTTCAGAATGTAATATAATTGCTGTGTCTATACCCATACGTTTGCTTACAAATTAACAGGGACGCCAGCAGCAGCAGGCGCAATGGCAAGCCAGCATCTTGCGAACCGTGCAGGTTGAACAAGACCAAATGTGATCACGGCCATCCTAAGTGCGATCGATGTCGCCAACGTGGTATCGAAAATCGCTGTTTCTACCATCCAGCGCCTCTCACCAGGCCGCGTCAAACGGTCGATGAGTCAGGCACAGGCGAGTCCCGTCCTCCTAAAAGAAAGTATGAATAACTCGAAACATGATTGTACCTGCGGAATTTGACCTGAGTAGGCGACCCCCAAAGCAGGCCTCAAATTCTGCTGTCACCTTTGCGCCACCGTCTCCGTCCCATGGTGACAAGCTTGCAGATGCTGTTGCTGCCGATGTTTATCATCCGGGGTTCCTCGGCCCTGGATCGTATGCTGTTCTTCTTCCCCAGGATGAAGAGCCCGGCCAACTACGCGAACGTGAAGAGTCTGTTGCGTCAGAGAGATCGGACCGCGAACTCACACACCAGCATACCCTGTCGAAATCTATGAGATATCAAATGGCATGTGACGTATTGAGCACTTTCCGCCATTATAACGCGATAAAGGAGCTTATTCTCTGGTATAACGCTAGCAACGAAGCAGGTGTTATACCTGCTCAACTCCAAGTAGACGCTGTGAATGCGTTAGAGGCTGTTGTTGACAAGCATGACCTCCGACGGAAAGCTCCCAACTCTCAACTTATAAGCCAAGTACTTGAGACGACCGCACGTCCCTTCACAATATCGCAGTCACTAGACGCGAGCGATTTCCATACGTTGTGTTCGGGTGAGAACCTACGATTCGAGATTATCGGCTTTCTCCTCTCGACGGCCGGACGTTCGCTCACATTCGGCTTCGTTCCAGATATCTTTAATGATCCTACTAACAAAGACATGAAGCTTCGCTTCGCAGATGAGTTGCTCCGCGCGAGTACGACTTGTCTCTTTTTGACAACGATGCTTGCGACAGTCAACGATTTGACAATTTGGATGTACTACGAGAATTACTTATTCACGATCATGATGTGCGGGTATGCTGGTACGTAGGAAAACAGCTCATTATCAAGAAAGACAAAGCTGACCTTGTCTAGGCCCACCTGGCTGGCGACGTATTGGCGAGTTGTCGACACAGATATATGCACTAGGTATCCACCAGGAGAAGAGGTGCGCCCACGCTCCGACATGGTTAGCGGAAACCCGTCGCAGGATCTTTTGTTCGTCTTACAATCAAGATAAGTCGATATCTACTTTTCTTGGTCGTCCGATACGTATCAGCAAAAGGCACACTGATATAAAACTTCCTCTTGACCTGGCCGACAACGAAGTCACCGGTGATCAGGTGGCATTGGACTCTGCCATAGCAGCATTGGATGTGGATGGCTGGAACACCAAAGGCAGATGGCTACGAGCGTCCTGGATCGTAAGCACTCTGATCACTTTGTTCTCTCATACATGCCGGCTAACATATGACTTAGCGTCTACGTCACATATCCCTACAATTTCGTGAGGAAATTTTGGAGTTCTCCCTCGTCAAAATCGACGCGAACGCTGAAGTTCAACTACAGTACGTCTTCCGTAGCGATCATACCCTGGTATCTACTAACAAGTGTGCAGAGACATATCCGAACGTATACGCGCCTCCTGGGAAATGCTACCAAAGCACATGCGTTACTGGAAGACCTGTTGGGAAGAGGATATCCCTACAGTAGTCTGTTTGATGCTGTGTATCGTCCACCTTACCCACTGGTACAACGAGTTCATGATCCAGAAACTGCTCGACTACAGCCCTTTGACACTCAATGCGGCCTTGTTGCGCGTGTCCGTTGATCTACTCTCTAACACATTGACCCTGGGTACGATACGCGATCGGTCTTATGACGTTCACCGCGACATGCTCAATGCATTATTGCTGTTTGGCGTACCCGCTGCTTCGGTATTAGCTACAGCGTTACGCGAGCAACACCGGACAGGCCAGCAGTTTCCCGCTGATATTTCCCGTGCAGAGATCATTCGCATGCTTAGTGTGCTCATCTCGCACCTTGATGCCGCCGCGCACATGGAGAATTCAGGAGCGAGACACGGCGAGGCGAACTACAACCTTTGTCGCAAAGCGAGTAAGATCTTCACCAAAGTCATAGACACTGTATTGGACTCCAAATTTGTGGAAGAGATCACGCCAGCGAGTGATCAGCTGGGTTTGGACTTGGACCTAGACCTTTTTTCCGGCCCAGGATTGGATGGCTTTGAGGGCATGGAGTTTTCGGGTCTGGGGATGGGACTTGGTACGAGTGGGAGTGGAACCCTCGCCGATAACGTGGTCGACTGGGGTGCACTTGGCCAGTGGAATGCTTTTGGTGGACCTGTATAGAGCCCTACGCGCTCGCTGATACGCTAATATTACAATCTAGGATATTGTTGCTAATCGCATGTTCAAGGCTTCGTTCTTATGAAAGAGACTTCTTTTCCCACACTTCACTCCACTGATCCGCTGTCTTTACGCCTCCGCCGCTGCCGTCCGCTTGATGTTTGTAAATCGGAATCCGAAAGCAGCAAGGAATGCGGCACCACCAAAGGCGATACCGACGATCAAACATTCCCGGAAACCAGATACGTAGGCTTCAAGTACTCCCTGCAAGAATTGCTCGGGAATTATTCTCTTGAGGTCGGAAGCACCAGCGTCCAGGACGATCTGGGGATCGAGGCCAGGAGCCGTGATGGCCAGCTGCTTGAGAAGCGTGTTCTGGAAGGCAGCTTGGGCGGCCGAGACACCGAAAGCACCACCGAGGGTTTGAATGACTGAAGTTGTTGTTAGGAATGCTAGTAAGGTAGGACTACGTTGCCGAGAACTTACACAACAGCGTGGCCGTGGCTAATGGCACGTCAACCTCCTTTGTCGTGGCCTGAATGAGCATAACAGGAACTTGGAAGCTCACACCGACACCGATACCGCAGAGGATCTGGTAGCCGATCCAGACGCCGGCAGATGAATCGGTATCAAACGTGTAGATCATACCGGAACCGATGGTGGTTAGGGCGGCTCCTCCGATCATCCATGGGAATGCGTATCCTGTCTTCGTAATGATCTGGCCAACGATCACGACACAGAAAGTGACTGCCAGGATAAAGGGTACTGTGCGGACACCGCTCGTTGACGCTGAGACACCTTGCACAGATTGGAAGTAAATCGGCAAGTAGTAGAACGTAACTAGGAAGGCGGAGTTGATTCTGGTAATGGTTAGCCATTGCTTCCTGTGACAACTACATTGGTAGAGACTTACAGGAACGAAAACGTTGAACCGACCCAGATAGTTCTCCGCTTGATGATGAGTTTATGGACCATAGCGTTCTCACCGAGCCACCATTGCTCAATCACGAACAAGATCATGCAAACGACGAATGCAACGAGGGTACCAATGACGGCACCGCTGTTCCAAGCCTTCGAGACACCACCCCATTGTAGGGCAAGGATGAAGCAGGTCACAGCGCCAACGATGAGGATTAGACCGAGCATATCGAGTTGGCGAAGCATGCCACGCCAGTCGGGACGAGATTTGGGTGGTTCGTTCGCGAAGAAGAGGAGGATAAAAAGACATGATACACCGCCTACGGGAAGGTTGATGTAGAAACTGTGGAGTCATTAGCGGGGCTTCGAGCGCTCATCCAGCAAAGGCATTGACGTACCACCAGCGCCAGGAGACATGGCTGGTAAATGCACCGCCGATCAATGGACCAACAACACTGGCGAGGCCATAAGCTGCACCCATCAATCCGCTGTACTTTGGTCTATCTGCCGAAGGCACCAGAACCGCAATGATGGTGTATGAGCCGGAGAACAGTCCAGCGGCACCGACACCGCATATCGCACGACCAATGATCAACGCTGTAGAGTTTGGAGCAGCGCCGCATATCACACTACCCAACTCAAAGAAGAAGATCGAAGTGAGATATGTCCACTTCAAGGGGAAGAAAGTGTAGAGTCGTCCCCAGTGTGCGGTAGTCGCAGCCGTGGTGATAAAGAAGGCTGAACCATACCAGCCGATGTCCTGAAGACTGCTGAAATCTTCGGTGATCTTAGGGATGGCTGTAGAGATGATAGTCTGCGAGTCTTGTTAGTCGCCGAAAGAGAAGAGGTCTATTGTTGTTACTCACGAAGTCGAGGGAAGCCTGCAAGAGTGGGTTAGTCAAGTTCTCCGTCTTTTTCGTGGGTATGGAGGTTGCTTACAAGAAAGATAGCCAAGACCAGGCCTATAAGCACGAGTAGGAATTTACTCTTGCTCAACTGGATATGCGCTTCCTCAACGTCTTCCTTAGTATCGAGCGACCCTTCGGTAGGATGTAGATCCTTCTCCGAATCTGGCGGTGTGACAACGCCTTCCTTCATATTTTCAGTTTGGTTGTAGACTGTTTGCAGGAGTGAAGACTGGTCGTGTTTGTGGTCGTGATAGTGCTCCGCGTCGTAGGTTAATAGCCAAATAGTAGTCTACACGGTGCCGCACCGCGTCGTGAGCTCCTAGACATGACTAAGCTCCGAAGCGCGAGGACGGACGAAAATCATTCATGCGAGAAGTGCTTGGTATACGTTGGGGAAGGACCTCCTTGGAGGCTCTGCACGGAGGTCCGGCGCGCTAAGGCGGACCTCCGTGTTGGCAGGTGTAACTCAACAAACAAAGCCCTCAGTGTTTGTCAACTGCGCTGCATTCATTGATGACTTCCGTATCGGGCGTACGCATGTTTTTCTTCAGCTGTGCAATTTGTATTCATGTTTCGCGGACGTCCTATCCATGTTGGCCCGGATGTTTCATCGTGGCCGGTGATCAGCCTCAACTGCAACTTGCAGATGGCTTATTTCTAGTCTGCTGGGCTTGTTTAAAAATCTAGCCTAGTATTTCTTTGAGTGCTTGAGGACCTAATGTGTATGTTGCGCTTGGAATGACTGTTTGAATAGGGTGTGGTGGAGTTGTGTAAAATCGACGCTATCTGTAGAATATAGCAGTTGCAGCGTCACCACAAGTACAAAAAAATGCTAACCAGTCGCTGAGGAGATATAGAGGTTCATATTACTAGTTCTAAATCATGCTGTGGAGTTTTCATTGATGTTCCGAAAACGTGACGGAGTACGAATACTTGTGGCTTTCGAGCAGTATTGGTGTTCGGCTCCTGGCGAGACACCTTTATGACTGCCTCGCGCCTTGTACGAATAAGGTCGTTTCTTGCAGTTCATACTCTAGATATTAGAACCTGCCGTAAAGGTATGCACTGTGAATTTCTCAATATATTTTCAGATAGACTATTGCGTTTATCTTCAGGATGCAGTATAGCTAGAATAAAACTTACAACAACAAACTTCTTCGTAAGCGAACGACTGGAGAAGGTATAATTTTGTCAACGATGCCGAATCACATTTGATCGCATGAATGCGCTGCAGTAGTAACGTCACATCGTGACTGTGGGTTCGGTTTCAGGAAATAGCAAACGTGTTCACAGGAGAGTGTATACATGAACAAGATGTAACATTCTGTATTGAAGGAACGAGACTACTAGGAATAATAATGGCGAGGAAATGAGACAAGTCTGATGACTTGGTACAAAGGTAATGCAAAATATATCTCATAACTTGAGATCTCCGAACAAAGACACTCAGATGGCAAGATCAGGATGTGCTGCCAGTGCCTCCTCGAACATTGTCACAAGCTTCTTCTCCTTGTACTCATCTCTTGGCTTGATGTCGAACACGAAAACCTCCGGTCGGGTGATGAGCAAGTCGGTCCACTCAAAGGTATGCACAGGGATATCTATTCGTATGTCAGTAGTAGTTTCAGGTGTCGAAGAGTGAGATACATACCAATACCAATCTTGTTCTTCTTCTTGGTGACATCGAACGCCCAGGCCAAAGAGCCCATGACAGTGACCAACTGGTAGTCTACGATCTCCATACCCAAACAATTGCGGCGACCATAACCAAAGACGTGGTGGTTGATGACGTTAGGGTACTTTGTCAGTGGCTCCTTGTAGGTTGGATACTTGGGGTTCAGGTAGCGATCAGGGTTGAATTCTTCTGGATTGGGGTAGACAGCCTCGTCGCTCCGACGCGCCCACTCAGTAGGGTGGAGTAGTGCACCTTTGGGAATGAAGTATCCATCGTAAACGTCGTCCCTCTCGGCCTCGTGGGGTACGCCAGTGGGGACTGGTGGCCTCCAGCGGATTAGTTCTTTACCGATCGCCCTCAGTACCGGAAGCTTTGGCGCGTCAGCCCATGTAGGCAGACGGTCGGGACCACAGACTTCATCGATCTCTTGTTGAAGTCGCTTTTGCCATTGGGGATAGTGGCACATGGCGAGGAAATAGGTCTGGATGGGCGATGACATGGGTAACGATGCTGTGATAGCGAGCATACCAACCGCAAATGCACCTTCCTTGTCGTCGGGAACGCCGCTAGGAAACTTCATGCGCGCTTGCTCCTTGATGAACGTGCGAGACCAGGAATGACCATCAATACCGGCCTCCATTTTGGCTTTGACAGCTTGCATGGCACCAACCCAGAATTCTCTTTGGGCATCATGGCGAGCCTTCTCTCTCCAGTACCACGGATTCAGAACGTTCGGCAACTTCTGAATAACAGGGAATCGGTTGGGCAGTTGGCCGGCGGGGGAAATAGCAGCTAGCAGGCCAGCCGAGCTTTGGTTCAGACCGCGACTCAGAGTGGGTTCCTCCCACGCGAGACGAGCGCTCACTCGATGAGTGAACTCTTCAGCCAAATCAGGGTAGTTACGGTTGTCCTTCATCAGCATGTACATCATTCTTGTGATTTCAAGATGTGTGAAACCAAACATGTCGAAGTTATAAGTCTCGGTAAGACACTGATGGGCAAATTTGCGATGCCTCGTAAGTGCGTCATTATTGTCCAAAAGAGGGAGATATTCCGCATCAACTTTGGCACCTGGGATGTTGGGTGTAGGCGCACGGTTCGAGTAGTGGGCTCCACGCTTTGCAAGAAGGTCCTGGGCGATCTTCTCGCTGTTGATGCGAATATGGGTCACACCGAAGAGTGTGAACTGGTAGATGGGGCCATATTGCTCATGCTACACGAGTGTTAGCTGGGTCATCAACAGAACAGGAAGACGCCATACCCATTCAGCAAACTTCTTGTAGACATGCTGTGAAGGGAACTTGTGAATCGGTCCAATCCATGGCAGACCTGAATGTTATTATTAGCAAGTCTGCCATCATTCGTTCGTGAGAAATATACCTTTTGGGCCTGGCAGTGGCTTGTGGTTGCCTTTCTTCGGGTCGTTCTTCAGGAGACGAACGGCAACCAAAAGAATGGCACCAATGAGGCTGATAGCAATGCTAGGAACAAGAAAAGAAAGCACAGCTTGCGAAGCTGACTGAACACCCGCTTGTATCATGTTTGCTAAAGCAAAAGAAGGAGAACTTGATGAGATGATGAATTGATACGGATCTCTGGTCAGTCCATAGCGCTTTTAACTATCATGCTCTTCGACTTTAAGACATTCAGTCAACTTCGCTATTGCACCAACTCCGCATTGGCATCTCTCTATCGCACACATCCCCTCGGACCGTCCCCGGTGTCATGTCTCCAGTCATGTCAGCCATATCATGAACCGTTTGACGCATAACGTGCATGCATCATCGCGATGCCCGAATGCTCATTCTAACGGCACTGCGGCCGCCGACTACCGATCGGATATGTCGAACGATGGTGGAGAGCCGTAGTAAAGTAAGCGGAGTTGCCATATTTCGTGTAGTTTCATTTCATGGTCGCCGTGATAGTGGTTAGGGGTCGTGGTTCAGTGTGCTGCCGGTCCTGAGCTCGGCTCAAGTGGGCTAGGCCGCCACGTGTGACCCCGGCGCTAGCAGTCTTGGTCAACTACGAACTTCGCAACCTCGGGATGCCTTACACGTTCTATCCACCCACAGCACGATGCTTTAGCTCTCAGCTCATCGTATAGCGATATCCGCGCCATCATTCTCTCATTTTCTCGGATACTTACTAGATCGTAGCCTACATCGGCCACCAATTGTTCGAATCCAATTAGAACACGGAAGTCCGCCAAACAGTCAGCAGTAGTATCGCCGACCACTAGTCCAAGAATGGAGAACGTGATCGTGTACCGTGATTGTATACCGTACTCGCGGACCTCCGTCGTACTCTGGATCTAGATCCTTCACCATCTCATTCGCCTACCTTGTACTTCCATGTCTTAAAATACAACCAAAGCGCGGGAGAAGAGGCACATGCAAGCTGCCTACTGCCCTGACGGCTATCCTGATACCCACTCTACTGGTGTTGGAAGCGGTTGCCTGCATGAACTGCCCATGCAAGGTTGCATTAGTCTGAGACCCAGGTCTAAGACACTATCAGCGGCTCAAGCTTCCAGGCAGAGTACGGCTTGAGTCTGTCACTGCGGCCCTTCTTCGAGGTGGATGCTTCGGAATAAGCGTCTTCGAGGCGTCGTGGCTGAAGAGTTGGCCCTCTAGTATCTCAAGGCCTCTAATTACCATGTATGCGAGATGGCCCGAAGCACGGCCTGAGCTGGAACTGTGAAGAGCTTATAAACCGGATAGACCACGTTGTGTAGTGATCCTATCGTTGCTTCCTTCATCCTTGTTACATCTGCATTACATTACTAGCGGCTAGTTGTACCGTTCCATCGTTATGGCATTCTTGGCATCGTTCGTTCTGGTCGCATCTGTCCTTACACAACAGGCGGTTGCAGTCACCTCACAGCAGATTCTGACCGACTTGTCGTCCACTCTTTCTGCCGGTTCGCAAGTCATTGCAACCACCAATCCTTCTTACCCAAGCAATTTCACTCAACGGTGGAGCATCTACTCAAAAGCTGAGCCGGCTTACACTGTCGCTGCCAAACCCGCTACAGCGGGAGATGTGCAGAAGATCTTGCAGTATGCGTCTAAGAACAAGGTCTCTCTCTTGGCAACGGGCGGTGGCCACGGTTACACCACGACACTTGGTGGTTTAAAGAATGCGCTCAATGTTGACTTGAGTAGCTTCAAGAAGGTTGAAGTTGATGCTTCCGCCAACACCATGGTTATCGGAGCCGCTACTACTTTTGCTGATATGTACGAGCCCCTGTACACGGCTGGGAAAATGATGCGTAAGTATCCGATTAGTTGAAAACTCCTCCATGTATACTGACAGAACCTCCAGCGGCTGGAGGGTCTTCCACGCCAAGTATTATCGGCGTTACCTTGGGTGGGGGTATCGGCCCCTTGACCGGCGAGCACGGACTTCTCATCGACTCCCTGCTCTCCGTTGAGATGGTAACTGGATCGGGCCAGATCCTAACGGCGTCGGCTACTGAGAACCCCGACCTCTTCTGGGGCATGCGAGGCGCTGGCGTCAACTTTGGTGTGGTCACATCAGCGACCTACCGCATTTACGATACTATTAACAATGGCATGGTGTACAATGCCGACATGTCATTCGAAGCTGAGAAGAACGCCACGATATTCCAGATCTTGCAGACTTATCAGGGAAGCCAAGATGATAAGCTTGCGATATCGATTTCGTCCTCCCTGAGAAACAACATCCCAACAATCGATCTTAGCGCCATTTACTTCGGCAACAAGGAGCAGGGTGATGCCGCTATCAAGTCTTTCATCGACCAGAAGCCTAGGTTCAGCAACGTCTCCGTTGTGCCCTACAACCAACTGGTGTACGTTGCCAACTTTGGTGGCGATGCATTCGCTCGCCAGAAGGGTATCAGAGCCGATATGTGGGGCTACCAACTCAACAACCTCACTGTGCCTACGCTGGTTGACACATACACCGGATACATCAACTTTCTCCTCGCTAATCCAGACGTCAGTAACGCTTTCTGGCTTTTGGAGAAATTCGGCCTGGGTGTCACGGCGACTATCGACGACGACTCTACTGCGTATGCTTGGCGCAAGACCGTCTCATATGGCTTTTTCGAGTTCAACTTACCCGAGGGCGTCACTGCTGCACAGACTAACAAGGTCGACACTTTCGCTAAGAAGCTCCGCAACGACATGGTGTCTGCATGTGGAAACCCAGAGGGTCATGTGTTCCCCAACTACGCCCGTGGCATTGAGAAGCCGGAGCAAGTATACGGAAAGGCGAAGCTGCCGAGGCTTCGGATACTGAAGAAGAAGTACGACCCGAAAGGCTTGTTCAACTATTACAATTCTTTCGCGTAATTTTTCCTATGTCGAAGTCTAGGCTGGGTGGTTATTTCGGTTTCGTCTTTTCTTTGGCGGTGCAGTCAAGTGTCTTGGATACACTGAGTTATGAATCGTTTCTTTCCATATATGATATCATCTTCATCCTCGCAAATTCAACGTGGCCTACTATTGCTACATGAAGATCTTTGCAATCGTAAAATGTACTTGTCAACATTAGTGTTGGGGTTATCTTTCACTTGTCATTAGTCTCCAGACTTTCATCATGCTGTGATGGATGGTTATGCTCTTGCGCCGTGTCAGACTAGTCGCACTCGCAACCATCCACAGATAACAGGTATCAAGATCAAAGACTGATTTCGCAACGCTCTTATTCATCTTCGTAATTAGGTTGCTTCTATATCCATGATTGTATATCAACTGAACCAAAAGCAGACGAGAAAAAGATATGGGAAGCACATGGGATCTAGTAAGTGGCATATCGCAAAAAATAGTTGAGATGAAATCGGATGTTACATGCTACAACGCTTGAACCTCTATCAAAACAAGAACAACGTCCAATCCATGCAGCAGTGGAACTAAAAAATGCCATTTCACCATTCTAACAAACCAAGCATCCATTCTCCCAACCTCCATAGCCTCTACCTTTCTCATTCCCATCATGATAGCTCTTCTAAAGGCTTTCACTCCCTCTACATCAGCACCAACACACCACTACCTGATTCTTGGCGCTAATAACTCAAGTAGTTCCCCGATTTTCACATTTCCCCCACGAATCCATACTCACATGCACACTTAAGCCAAGAGGGCGACCGCGTGAACAGCAACAAACCCAGCGTAAAGCACAATCCTAACGCGGTTCAAGTACCCCCAGTAAGCAATCTTGTCGTGGTCCTAATCAAGTATATGTCAGCAACCACATACTTCCTAATGAGAGAGGAAGAGGAGGCTTACCCTAGCAGTCTGCATTCCCTTGCCTTTCTCAGGCAGATCCGCATAATGCAAATCCTCTTGGGCCTTGAACTTCTCAATGAGAACATCATTCAACGGGTTCATGTAATGGAGCGTGAAAGGAAAGATCAGGAACGCCAGAACACTGCCGACACCGTACAGGATGGTCGGTGTTGCCAACAACCCAGAGCGTTGGGAGGATCCGTAGGTCATGATAGCAGATAAGATGAGGTTGGATCCGGATAGAGAGGTCGCAGGGATCTGCGCGGAGCGGAATTGCGTGTGCCATTGGCGGATGGCGAGGATGGGGGAGGGAGACTCGAGGATGGAAGGGATTGAGATGGTGGAGAGGGCTGTGTTCATTCCTAGGAGGAAGGTAGCTTGGAGGAGGGTGCCCAGTTGGAGGTGTTGGAAGGATAGCATCTTGATGGATGAATGGATGGCTATTGCTTTAGAAGAGAGGCAATGAGGTATGGGTGATATGGAGGTAAGAAGATGAAGAGCTGGATGACTGATGGCGGTAGAATATTGGAGTTGTGGAATCAATGTTTATATCTCATCCCATCATCTACCCTCCCCTCTGCCTTGACACCTACCACACAACCCTCCGACACCAAGACCAACCGAATTCTCTCCTCCCACTCCGTTCATCCCGCTCATCGCACCTCCAAGCCGGCTCTCCAACGATCGGTCTCCATCAGACGTCGGAGATCCACGCAGCAGAGACCAGCATTCACCATCGAACATCGGAGTTCTGAACACCAACCGGTGAACCGCGTGGACAGTAAGCATGTGAGAATACCAAGCCTCAGTGAGGCTGCCCTGACACGAGACACACTATTTACGGCTGCGGCTGCAATCGGCCCGTTTTTTTACTGCAAGGGCGGACGGACAGAACCTTGTTCCAAACAAGGCAAATGACAGATGACTTGACCCCATATGACATTCACGCTACCGGAACTCCGTACAAACACTCAGGCAACCGTTCGCGAAAGCAGCCAGCAAGAATAAGGACAATGGGAAATGGCAACGCAGTACCGGACACCGAGATGACTAATCTGTGACTGTTTTGTTTGCTCTTGACGTCGGTGTTGTTGAACGTGCGCTTCGTTCTCATCGTATTTGTTCCACACAATTCTCGATTGCTTGCCTGACTAAATTTGGATTCACGATCTTACCACGCACTTTGCCAATTTCTACAAGAACAAATCCCGCTGTCTTTCAGCCAACCACATCAGCAACGGCATACACACAAACGCAATCATGTCATCCTTCCCCGCTTTCCTAAGATCCCAGCTCCTCTATACGCCCAAAGTGCCCCAACCAGACACCTTCACAGGCAAGACTGTCATCGTAACCGGCGCCAACACAGGCCTCGGTCTAGAAGCCACCCGCCACTTCGTCCGCTGCGGCGCCTCAACCGTCATAATCGCCTGCCGCACGCGCTCAAAAGGCGAAGCTGCACAACGCGACATAGAAGCGAGCACCAAGCGAACCGGCGTCTTGCAAGTCTGGGAACTAGATCTCTCTTCATACGCCAGCGTAAAAGCATTTGCGAAGAAATGCGAGACGCTTCCTTGTATCGACATTGTGCTTGAGAATGCGGGAATTGCAAATGGCAAATTTAGCACGTTGGAGGGACATGAAGCACACATCACCGTCAACGTCATATCAACGTTTCTGCTTGCGCTGCTCTTACTGCCTATTTTGCGCAGATCCGCCGAAGTGCATAAGACGAAGCCGTATCTTACTATCGTTACGTCTGAAGTACACCACTGGACACAGTTCCCGCAGAAGAAGGCCGACAGTATCTTTGCTGAGCTGGATGACGAGAACAAGGCTGATATGGCGGATCGGTACAATGTCTCCAAGTTGATGGAGATCCTGCTCATCCGACACATGACTCAGGTCTTGATCAAGGATAAGAAGAAGTATCCCATTGTTATCAACTGTGTTACTCCTGGGCTGTGCAAGTCCGAGCTGGTCAAGGATATGGGAATGGCGCCGGTAGTGTTCAAGAAGTTGCTGGGCCGACCGTTGGAGGTGGGCAGTCGGTTGTTGGTGAATGCGACGGCATTACCAGACAGCCAAGGCGAGTACATCATTGATGACTATGTTTCCGAGCCGTCGCCGCTTGCGAGAAGTGCGGAGGGCGCTGAGCTTGGTAAGAGGGTCTGGAAGGAGTTGAGCGAGATACTGGAGAAGGTCAGTCCAGGTATTACTCAGAACTTGTAGTGTAGAGCGAAATTTCCATAATGTTTTCCTTTTGATATTTCCTTGGCTGTTGATGGAGTAATAGTATAAAAGTAGTATGTTGAAGCACCGCCACTAGGGGGAAGAGGAATCTGTGTCGTCTGCCACCCAGAAAGCGGCCCTTTCTTAATAACTGTGTGATATACCCTGAGTAGAGATAAACATAGTCTTCTACTTCTCAGTCTATCGAGATAAGACATCGCGCATGACTTTAGGGTAGATTTTACTCTAAATCTAATGCGACGCGAACTCTGGCCACCCCTGGTGCCATCGGCTCGCGAGATGGCCAAATAATTTCCCTGTTGGTTCTGATAAACCAAGTTCCCATATTCCAATACCTGATATAGAACGCCCGCACCAAACCGTTGTGATCACCATCTCCATCTATCTAAGAAATACTTAGCCTTCTCAAGAACGTTACGCGAGCAATGTGTGGGGTGCGTCTCCAATTTGCTAATGCAATACTGCAAGCTGTTGCTCCCATCCAAGATGGGTAATCGTCTCTTGTCGTCGAGCGTGACGACTGGCGTACCAGTAGTCGTGTTAAGAAAGCACTCTTCTTCCGCAGGTAACAGGGCGTCAATACAAACTTCGATTGGTTGGGATGTTGCAGAAGATGGTCGCTCCAAAGATCGGAGTGACCAGCAGGACATGGCGGCACGGTACAAAGCTACCGGCCACCAAGTCGGTCGCGCATCCATTGATAGACTGTCGATCAGTCGGAAGATTTGCCCGGCGTGAAACAAAACGTAGCTCTCCCCTTCAGGATAGCGCGCCCAGCGCCACATCTCTGCACGGGCCGCGTCCGAAGCGGGTGGCACTTCCTTGGCGCATTTCTCGATTTCGGGGATGCTTGTGAAGACATTCAAGCTAACCAGATGGAGCATAATCATGCTTACAAAATCCGTGGATTGTATCTGGTCCTTGTCATCCTCAACAGCAGCCGTTTTGGAGCGTCGAGTCAGAAGCGTCCCCAAGTCTTGAAGCAAATCTTGCGTCTCCTGCAAGCGACCCAAGATTTTGATCTTGGAAAGAACGCGATATCGGTTGGACGGCTCATCGGTATCGAAAATGCGCAAAAGTTGCTGCTGCTCAAGCACCATGGCCTGCAATGGGTGGAGAAGAAGACGAAGATGGTGTAAGGGTAAATCATCACCCACTGCTAGCCGGCCTTGGAGAAAACTTCGGAAAAGGCCGTTGAGCGATGGAGTCATGTGACTTGAGCGAGCTCCACTGGTACCCTGTTGCTCGAGCCAAGCACCGAATTTCGCGGCGTTGCAGGGGCCTGATCTGGTCCCATTCGCGCCAGAGTGCTCGAGCCACTCGCTATATGATTGGGCATGCCATAAATCGTTATCCTGCGGCAAGGGTACTTGCAAGTCGTTGACTGAGAGTATTGGCGGAAGATCGTGCAGTAAGCTGATCTCAAGATCTACGTAGACCCACGCATACGCATGTCTGGAAATTGTTAGCGAGACGTGTCCATGGGGTAATAACTGGGTCGTACCGATTGCGCTGCTCCTGTTCTTTCCACATTTCCCAAAGTTCCATTCCGTCGGATCTGGGAGTATGCAGGGTCTGTTCAGGCTGCAGGACACCAGTACATTTCAACATCTACGAATGTTAGAGCTGATTTGCGGTGGTTGTGTCGAATGAAACGCTTACGCTAAGATATTGACCTCGTTTCGACATGGCGTATGAAGCAAAGGAGTCTTTCCCACTTCTCGCGCAAAGTGTCAATAACTGCAATGCGATTCCTCCGATCATTGGCTGCGATATGCTTCGGCTCTCAAGAACATCATCCAACGCGACCCTACATACTTCCATCAGGCCGTTGGCGAGTATGTGTGATTCAGAATGATCTGTAAGCATGGCGCCTTGCGTGATCAAGAGTATAATCAGCAGTATGCCTACATCTGCCGTGTTGATCTGGAGGATATCTTGGATGTTGAGGATTGAACAACCAGCAAGACCTAGGTAGGGTTGAATGGAGTCAATGCGGGTTGCGTACGTCTCGATGAAATGTATGAGAACGTGTGATGGCGGGAGGACTACGATGCGTCCAAAGAGACCGTGATCTGATGGCGAGGGAGCACGCCGGCTCCGGAGTGCACGTTGTAATAGTAGCTGAACAGTCGCAACGATGCGGTCTCGTGCATCGTGTGAGAGAGTTTGGCTGGATTCGCTGTTGCCCTCAGGTAGTCCGTGCCACGCGTCAGGCTGAGCTAGCAGCTCCACCATCTGCACGAGTACATCATCAGGTGTCGCAGGTCTATCTATAGGTGCTTTCTCGGGATACTGTTGTGGAGTGAACGCGTTTTGTAGTCCGGGCGGGCTCGCTGGTTGACTTCTTTGCGTTCGAGGCGTGGTATCTGGTGGCGTTGGGGGCTGGTTCGGCATATGTGACTTGTTATGCTGTTGTTGGAACATTTGGCCACTCCCCAGTTCGTGCGGTGAGAACTGAGGGTCGCTTCCGTGCATATCCATTGATTGTATGGAGGCGAAGAGATGGTTGGATGTACTCGTGTCCACGGCATCGCCATTGACAGGAGCACCAGGATATGAGAAACTCATGAAATCATCGTAGCCGCCCAGATCCAGAGGTCCTTGGGGTAGAGCAGTGTTGAACACAAACATGTCGTTGTTCTGCGGTTGATTGTCTGGCACCATATAGCCAGTGAACTGCTCCATGCTTGGAACATGGCTGGCGTCGGAGGTGATGGTGTTGGCCGGCTCTGTTGAAACTTGACTTCGCGCCGACGACTTTCGAGGAGCTCGCGGCCTGCGCGATGTGCATCGTGGCTGACAGACATATCCTCTTGCGACACATTGTGAACATGGTACCTGCTGTTGTGTTAGATGTCACGTTCGGGGCCTGATACGTGCGGCGTTGGGTACTCGCCTTTCGGTCACATCGCGCCTTGGAGATGGCACATCGAGTGCAAGCGATCAAAGCGGCGTTGCTCATTGTAGTGTTTCCGTGACTGATGGCACAGTCGACGTACCGATGACTGATGTAGGATGGAGATGCCGGAGCTTAAGGCTATGTGCGGCGGGTTAGGCCGCTGCGGCCAGGTTCAGGCGATAAGGACAAAGCGGACAAGGGTTCCTGGGAATGCAAATCCACGCATGTATCGCACCGTGATGCCTAGATTGCCTTTCCAGCCTCACCGGCTAATCACTGCTAACGCAGTCGTGTACAGTGGATGTTATGTCAGCTATAGAGACTAGGTGGTTAGGTGGATCCGTGTAACTAAGCACTTGCCGAAAAGGTACTACATTATGTAAGCAGGTCTCATCCGTCAGCACTACCCCATGATGCGATTGGATTGTGCCTGGTTAACGTCGGGCCATCCCACTTCACCATACCATTTTCTGTGGTGAGATAATGTTGACAGTTACGAAGCAGTCGCATACACGAGCGATTACGTGCCATGAGACTTGTTAGCTGCTTAAGTCGGTCCCCGAAATCCGCCCTTTCGTGCCGCCTTCAAGATAAGCGGCTCTAGACGAAGTGAGACTCGCTTTCGCACTTGGTAGCTAGGGATATATCGCAGGTACAGACGAACTCGGCTTTCCCGCTGATGCGACCTGAGGTCGGACCTACGTGATGCAGCCACAACAACCGCATCAGCAACCGAAACATAAGGCGTCACAGTCGATACGCGGCTGCTTGACGACATGTAGCAATCGTCTCCATCTCCAAAGTGGACCCCGCTTCTAGCCTACATTCGCAAGTGTGTATATTACCGAGTATCTATAGGCGGAAGCATGTGAGAGCTGCACCTGTACGGCGGATGCTGAAATTAGGAACACAATGCCGAAAGTATGTCTGCACGGCCCGCACGAGAGTTTAGAATCTCACCATAATTATGTTCTGATACTATGCTTGTAAAATCTATGTTGTGTAGCATGGCATCCCGCGACGACGGCTTCGATATACCCCAGTCTGGAAATACAGAGGATGAGCAATAAGTCGAACAATTTCTCGGTGCACCGAACAACTGAACTGGTGGATCGGGCCTGTCAGTTCCAAGGTCAGGGGTGTTCGCCTGCTGCGGAGCATCGAAGGGCCGGTGGAGTGCCGGGCGCACTACTGGCCTCAGCTTTCCGCTTATACTCTGGGATCGCCTGGTCGAACACCCTGTCGGTACTTCATGCTCTGCCGTCTTCTCGGATCCCATATGATGGATCGCAGGTGTTGATTCTCGGTAGGGATCTAAGAGACAGCGCCAAAGCGCCCCATGGGGTCGGAATTCTTCGCTTGATCGCACTTTGGTACCTCGGCCGGGTCGGACATTCATCTGTTGAGACGACTGTTAACGGCGATTCGTGACGAGTATTCGGAGAGTTGCATGTACCACGAGCTTCTCAGCGATCAGCTTGCTAGCCCAACCATGGCCTTTCGCAGCCGCTCCTGCACGGTAGAACGGGCTGGATGAGTTCAACGCATTCGCAATCTATTCCACGCTTGAGAAGCATGCCAACCGTTGTGCGATAGCCGTTTTCGTGAAATGTAACAAGGTACATCCGGCGCAATTCAGCGGATCTTCCTCGGTTGACACCCCCGAGTGAAAGTTTAGCAAGATCAGGGCTGGCGCAATGTCTTCACGGAGACGGCAATTCCTGAACACAAGAATATCTAAGCCAGTAGGCACATGGTCCTGGCTACGAAGGAACGAGACAGGATATGATTGGACCTCGGAGAAGGGAGGAAACAGAGTCCCGCTTTCAGTGAGCTGTTAACGTGCTCAACGCATCAAGGGCGGTCGACACGTCGTGGTAGTCGTGGCCCAGTCGCAAGGATCTGCCAATAAGTGTTGGCACCTGGAAACATGTCAACGCAAAGACACAGCTTATGAGAGTAGAGGCTGATCCAGCATAGGCGGGGGCGTTTCCGGTTGATGATAGTAGTTTCCTCTCGTCGCGATGAGTGTGTTGTGTTCTTTCAGTACTATCGTCCTTAAAACTTGTTTATTCCTACCTTCATCCTTACCTAGTCTTCTGAATGAGAAATTGCTCGAAGACTGTGGTGCCGGATTTCCTTGCCGGATTTAGCTATGAGGAAGTTGCTCTTGTGAAGGTCGACCAAGTCTTTCTTGGCTAAGTATATATCGAACGATTTGTGGTGTCGTTCATTTCTGGATGCAGGGTCAGGACCAGGGCCATGGCGTGTTTCATGAGTCGCGAGTTATGCACAAGGTTTGGATCCGTTCGAGCCGTTCCTGGGACTTGCTCAATGGTGAGGTTCATGTTCCACGTATGCAGCGTATACAGTGTACATTCACGCGCGTAATGACGCTGACGATCCTAGGTTGTCCGTGGGAGGCGATGGAGGAACGCGTAAAAAGGATATGTCCGAACAGCAGAGCCGGTGAAATTAACTGACATGAACACTGCAGCAGCAGGGACGCCCGAGATTCGGCCCGCGCCTTGTAGTGACATCGAATTGACCGGACGGGCCCAGCGCGCAGCGCCTCAGAAGCGAGGCCAAGTCAAGATACGGTGATTGACACTACAGAAGCCTCATGCTCGTAGTATGGTGGAACCCAAGGCTACTGCAATGGGGTGCCGTACGGCTATCTCCACCCTGAAGGTGATCTGGCAGTTGGGATTGGGTGGAAGAGAGGACAGCATGTTCACCAACAGCAGCAAGTAGTGGATTATATTCGCCAAGCCTTGCGTTACTGACTAATGGCGCGGTAGTGACATATCAACATTCTTGTCGTCTATCAGACAGTCGAGACCTAATGGTTATTCAGTAAGGTTGCAGAGGCGACTTTTGTCAAAGGTCATTACATTCTTCCATGTTGATGGTCAAGTCAACGCCTCCCATCTAGATCCGTTTTGTCGTGCTGCTAAAGTACATGATGAAGGTCGAACGAGAAGCGGAGAGCCGGGATATGTCCAACACAATTATTTTACAAAGAAAGGCGTCTTGGAATCCGCCTCGGGAGATGCTCGCCTCTTCTTCGGGTCCATTGGAAATTCGTTAATTTACTCGAGAACACGCGTAACCAGGCCAGTAGCGACAGTTCGGCCACCCTCGCGCATGTTGAAGCGCTGACCAGTCTCTAGAACGTGGGGCTGGTGGAGTTCGCAAACCATCTCGACGTTGTCGCCGGGCATAACCAGCTTGTCGTGCGCGTCCTCGGTGCCCTCTGGCCAGTGAAGCGCGCACGATTCATCGGCAGTTCGGATGAACATTTGTGGCCTGTAGTTCTCGCCGAAGCCGGTGTGACGACCACCCTCCTCTTTGCTTAAAACGTACATGGAGACTAGGAACTTTTTGTGGGCCTTGACCTGTCCGGGAACGGAAACGACCATACCACGGCGAACATCATCGCGCTTGACACCACGGAGGAGAAGGCCAGAGTTGTCACCTGCGCGCGACTCCTCGCAGGACTTCTTGAAGGTCTCAATGTCTGTGACCTTAGTCTTGATGGGTGCAGTGCCCTTGCCGACAAGCTCGACTTCGGCGTCACGCTTCAAGATACCGCGCTCGACACGGCCCGAAACGACGGTACCACGTCCAGCGATGGAGAAGACATCCTCAACAGCCATGAGGAAGGGCTTCTCGGTCTCACGCTGAGGGGTAGGGATCCATGAGTCGACGGCCTCCAACAGCTCGTCGATCTTGGTAACACCGATCTCTGGCTGGCGGCCTTCAATGGCGCACAGAGCGGAACCCATGATAATGGGCGTCTCGTCGCCTTCGAACCCATAGCTGCTGAGCAACTCGCGCATCTCCATCTCGACGAGCTCCAGCATCTCCTTGTCATCGACAGCGTCGACCTTGTTGACGAAGACAACGATCTTCTGGACACCGACCTGACGGGCGAGCAGCAAGTGCTCACGGGTCTGGGGCATCTGACCGTCGGATGCAGCGACGACGATGATGGCACCGTCCATGTTGGCAGCTCCTGTAATCATATTCTTGATGTAATCGGCGTGACCGGGGCAGTCGACGTGGGCATAGTGGCGGTTGTCGGTCTGGTACTCGATGTGGGCGGTGGAGATGGTGATACCACGCTTTCGCTCTTCGGGGGCCTTGTCGATGGAGCCGTATTCGAGGTACTTGGCGTAGCCCTTCTCGGCTTGCCGCTTGGTGATGGCTGCTGTGAGTGTAGTCTATAGCGTATTAGTCGTGATGATGGCGGGTCGGTGGGGTGAGCGGCAATGTACCTTTCCGTGGTCAACGTGGCCAATGGTACCTGGTGGTGATTAGCATAGCCATAGACGGTATATCCGAGGCAACATACCAATGTTGACGTGGGGCTTGTCTCGTGTGAAGGCGGCGTAGTTCCGGACGCCGTTCATCCACCTGCTGGTGCCCTGCGCGCCCAAAGCATTTTGCACTGGGGAAACACCGCGCTGGTACTGGAGTGCAGAGCGCGAAGTGCGCAGGAAAAGTCTGGAAAAGCTCGACATGATTGACCCGATCACACGATGCCGAAGGAACGAGGGAAGGCGATTGCTTGAGATGGTGATGATGTCTGGAGAAGGCGAGGCTCAAATCATTTTCTTAGCGCGAGATGGTAGCACATCGTCCAATCATGTGAGGGGGAGATCCGAGCTCGACAACTTTGAGAAAGAGCCATGGAGCATTGCGGGCAGAAGACATTTCCCGGTAATATTTACCATCTTTCATATTCATCCCTCTAGGGCCTTTACAGAATCTCATTCTGCCATCACAATAGGCCAATTGAAGGTCGCGAGGTTCCTGTAGACACCCTGTGCGGGTACCCGAGGTTCGTCGGCAGAAGCTGTGAAAGTTGCATCATCGTCGCGCACTCACCTACACACACACATGTCTCTCCGCACATTAACAAGAACGCCGCTGAGCAGCGTCTCGCGGATAAGCACGACCAGTACCATGCCATTGCGCGCAAAGATCACAAATCCGGCTTGGATGAGTGGCTCAAGAAAGGTACGACACCCCTCCAGCCCACCACGCGACGACACCTAACAATCGCATAGTATGCCACACCCACGGCCGACCTTTTGAAAGCGCAGCAAGACGATGACCCTGATGATGTCATCTTCACCAACAACTACGGTGTTCGCAGCATTGAGCTCAACCGGCCGAAGAAGCTGAACTCGCTCAATGGCTCCATGGCCCGCAAAATCATACCGAGGTTACAAGAGTGGGCAAAGTCTGAACTGGCAGGTGTCGTCATTATCAAGGGCAACGGTCGCGCCTTCTGTGCAGGAGGAGATGTCGCAGCGCTGGCAAAGTGGAACAAGGAAGGAAAGAAGGGACAGCAGATGAGCTCAGACTACTTTGGGCTGGAATACAAGCTGGACCACCTCATCGCAACCTACACAAAGCCATATGTCGCATTCATGGACGGCATCACAATGGGCGGAGGTGTTGGACTTTCGATACATGCACCCTTCCGAATCGCGACCGAGAACACCCTCTTCGCCATGCCCGAGACCACCATCGGCTTCTTTCCAGACGTCGGCGCATCCTTCTTCCTTCCTCGAATGGAAGGCGCTCTCGGCACATACCTTGCCCTTACGTCCGAACAACTCAAGGGCGTAGACGCTTTCTACCACGGTATCGCAACCCATTACATCCACTCCTCCACTCTCCAGCAACTCGAGGCGCGTCTCGCCGAACTACAATTCCCCGACTACATGAAGCTCGACGAGCGCTTCAAAATCATCAACGCCACAATTGAAGAGTTCAGCACTGGGCTTCCCGCCGAGCGACCGCACATCTCGGGTGAACTGCGTAAGGTCATCGACAGCGTCTTCCACGACGACCAACCGGGAATCCAGAACATTCTGGCGTCGCTTGAACAAGTCAAGAATGGGCACAAGAACCCGGAGATCCAGAAGTGGGCCGATAAGACTATTCAAACCATCAACAGCCGATCGCCCATCTCCGTCTCCGTAGCACTCCGCCAGATGCGCATCGGTCGCCAATGGTCAATTGCGCAGACCTTCCAGAAGGAATACGACATCGCCTCCCGCTTCATGGCCCACCCTGATTTCGTCGAGGGTGTGACGGCACGTCTGGTTGAGCGCAAGAAGGAGCGTCCAAACTGGGAACCCAACACTCTTGACGACGTCAAGCAAAAGGATGTCGATGCTTTCTTCGCTGACAGTGGCGAGGCACCATTGCCTCTGATCAGCCAGAATGATTACAAGGAGTACCCGCATGCCTGGATTGGACTGCCGCGCGAAGCTGAAATCTTGAGGGAAGCAAGTGGACAGAAGAGAGAGGATGTTGTTGCTAAGCTTTTGGAAAAGTATGAGGGAAAGCAGGGCGTCAGGGAAAAGATTGCCGAAGTACTCGAGAGATATGCATAGTATGGTGAAGACGTAGTTGTCGAATCATAGGCCGCCGAAGCCTTGCATCTTTTGGATCGCATCAACTCACATACTTGGCACGAGCTCCTTGTGCCGGCCCGAGATCTCGTTGCCAGTCATACTACAAGAGTAGCTTTAAATGTCGCACTTTCTTCTCATTCTCTCCTTCTATCTTCGTTCATACCTTCAGTCACTTTTCTTCCAAAACATGGTAGGATATGCATACGGCGCCGCGGTCACTAACAGACCCCTCAAAAACTCAACATCATTCAGCTCCAAAATTGGACAATGACCCGCTATGGCGTGTGTGGTTGTCTTGGTGCTACAATACCAAAATAACCACGCCAACCATTTCACGTGGTCTTTCACATCGCTTTCTCTTGTTCGGGCTACCTCTTCTCTCTTTGCGATCCAAAACATGGCTAAGGAGTCGCGACGTGTGAGCATGCATAAAATAGAACCAGGCCTATAAGGATGGAAAATTCACTCATGCATTAGCATGTGCGGGACTGTCTGTCTTTCTCCCTCTTCTTTGTACTAAAGTCTGACCTCGGTATGCGAGAGGTCGAAGTCTATTGACAATACCGCCACCTCTTAAGATGACAACATAAAAGCAGTCTACTGCTATCCTCATCTTCTAACAACCAAGCGCATCGAAAAAGAATACAAAAACAGTAAGAGACTAATTGTGTGTTTCGCCGTGCCTTGGGTTCTTTCTACCACCAATAGAAGTCGACAATATGATGATGCTGTCTCCTTCCGCAGTCCTCCGACTTAATTACCAGTGCTTTTGCATCCCTCTACATTGCTGTAATCGACTGAAAAACGGTTGAGCAGCCTCCGCATGTTCTGCGTTGGCTCTGATGCTTCCCAAACATGAACTTAAAGAGAGGTATGGCTGTGGTCATCCAGACTCCACTCAAGACGACATCCACCTGTTCCTCCCTCTTGCTCCATCGGTTCATGACATCTACTCCAAAACTAGACGCGGGCAATGTGATGTGGACGCCGCCTGTTCGCTGAACTAGACTCAAAACCCTATCCTAGATCTTCATGATCAAAAGACACTTTGTGCCATTTCCATAAAGCGCCAGAGAAGATGCGATCAAATCCCGTCGTACCGTCCATGGATGGAGCGAGATGCTTCTCCGTTTCTCCCAAAGTCTGCAAATTATGGCGTTGTCTGCTCATAAGAATGAAAACACACATTGCGCATATGTATGTGTGGAGGGTTGTATGATTGCTTTCTATTCCAGATAAGTCGATACGGTTTTTGGATGATTTCCTCTAGCTACTGTCGTGCTTTCATAGTTCACAACGCCATTCCCCAAAACATTTATCGCATCTTGCCAAGTTCCGAAATCATTTGCTCATAAAGTCATATCTGTATTCTTCAAAGCTGTTATGCACCGAAGGTCGGCGTGCAACTTCGCCATATGTCTCCGCCTGGCTTTTCCACTACCTTAAGATAGCAGAAATAGCGCATGAGTTCTAGATACTCCCATGCATTTTGGCTGATGCATTATGTTTTCTTTTACCCCATTCGACGAAATACACGCTAAAAACTAGACGCTTCCTCGACGCCTTTCCGATGCCTCTTGCACGCCTAGCCCACCGAACACCACCAACACTTCAACGGCCTCGTACTCAGCCACTACTTCTGCATCCGGCGACACCACACGGCTCGCCTCGCACGTAAAGCTTTCCGCGCATCCCGAAACTGTGTGGTCATCGGTCCTTCTCCGCATCTGGTGGCGTTTATCCGTGGCGCTCAACAACTCAGCTGGAGTGGAAAGCTTGGCTTGTACGTCAAGCATGTATGTCTACATAGCTTGCATGGGCATCTGGTTTTGAGCGTGGGCCTTGGAGGCGGTTGACAATATTGAAGACATCGATCTTAGGTGTGTTACCTGGGTCAAGGTGGTGAGGGACACAGTAAGGCTGGGATAAGGTTGGTGGTGGAGTTCGGAGGTGCAGGAGCCAAGTGGGGCAAGTACGGACGGTTGCGATGGTAGCAGTGTACGAACGGCTGCATGCCCAATTTGGCAAATGGTTTGTAAAGAGACGTTACCACGGTTAGAGAGAGACAGAGACATGATCATGAGATGAGGAAAATCAAGGTCGAAGGCATATCCAAGCGACTCGTAGAAATAATTGTTAAGAATGAAGCGTTCTCATTAATCCTAGCATTACATCCAACACACACCTGTAGACATGTGCACCAACTCATTATCATGCATTAATGCATTAAACATCAAACATTGAAAGGTATATACTACCATCTTTTTCCCAATTACACGATTAGAAAAGTCCCAACCCAAGACCCGCAGCACCGATCAGCAAACCCGCGATATGCCCTGTCGGTAACGCACCACCTCCAGTGTACTCAGAAAGTGAACTCTGGGGAGCGGATGAGATGCCGTCCGAGGTGGTGGCTGAGCGCGTGGATGTGCGGCTTGATACGAGGATCGAGGAGGAAGGAGGTGCAGACGAGGGTGCTTCCAGTGAGGAAGTGGGCTCGACGACGGTCGATGGTTCAGGGACCGCTGATGATTCGGGGGGCGGAGGTAAGGCGGACGACGAGGGAATGGGAGATGGCGATGGAACTTCAGACGCGGAGTCAGCAGAGCTGCTTGACGGAGGCGCAACGCTGGAAGGTGGAAGAACAGTGCTAGATGGTTCGGGCGCTTGGCCGCTAGGCGGCGGAGCCACGCTCGATGGAGGTGATGGGGAAGCACTGCTTGAGGGTGGAGATGGAGGGGGCGAGCTACTAGAAACTGTGATGGCACTAGAAGAAGAAGGTGCAGGGGAAGGCCTACTTGAAGTGGGGGAAGGAGTTGGCGGTGCCGAGCTTGGAGGAGCAGTAGTGGTCACCGGTGCTGCGCTTGTCGTGGGTGGAGCTTCAGAAGATGGCAGAATCGCGGATTGCGCTGTCGGCTTTCGAACCGTTGACGTTGACAAGCCTGCAACGGACGTGATATATGTAGCAGTTCCAACTGTAGATTGAACGCCATCAACTGTACTTCCATCTAGTGGATCACAGGCGTTTGGACCGATCGACTGGCCGAGCTGAGCAATGATTGTCGGCTGCTGATTGAGATAGTCGACTACTGTGGGCGCCACAAATGCTGTATCAGGGACCTCGCTTAGGGGTACAACGAGAGACGCATAGTTCGTAGGCGCTGGCAATGTCAAAGTGTCTGTTTCAGTCACACAAACTGACCCTATCGCCTCAACCTCAAGATGACTGAACGTTTCGTAGGCCGCATACGTCGTAGGGTAAGTCAGAGGAACGCCGGAGTAGTCCCATGTGATTGTTGTCGGCGTTTGAGGAGGTAATGCGTTGGTGAAGAGCGAAGAGCTGACATCATTCTGCGCGTTATCCGTGTAGATTTCGAGAGTGACTGTCGGTACGAATGTGGTACTAGTCACAACCACTCCAGGGAATTCTAACCTAGTTGCCGTAACATCGATCTGACATTTGCTAGAGCAGGAGATAGATGCAGGCGTCGTGGAAGATGAGCTCGGTGTCAATGTCTGTATAATGGTCGTGGGTTGAACTTGAGTAGTGATGAAAGACTGTGTGATGAGGATGGTAGATACCGAGGTCGTCGCAGGTAAAGTTACAGTAGATACCGAGGTCGAGCCGGGAAGGGATACGGTGCTCAATACTGTGGATCCTGGTAGGGTGATGGTTGAGAGTAAGGTACTTGTCGAAACGCTACCTGGTAATTGGCTAACCACAGTCGAAGTGACCGCAGGCAGAGTTACGGTCGAGAGGATAGTACTGGCTGGCAGTTGGGTTGTCACGACGGAGGTTTCCGCAGGCAGCTGAACTGTGGAAGTGACAACGTCGCCCGGCAACGTCAATGTCGAAACTATAGTACTCGCGGGAAGTTGAGTCGTTATGACGGACGTAGTTCCGGGAAGCTGAACGGTGGTAGTTGTGATGTCGCCAGGTAGGGTAATGGTAGAAAGCACGGTACTTGCAGGGAGCTGCGTCGTGAACGTTGTCGAACTTCCAGGGAGAGTCAAAGTGGTAGTGGTAATTTGGCCTGGCTGTGTAAATGTCTCTACTATGGTCTCTGGAGGCGAGACGCTGACAGAGGTCACTGTCACTTGAGGGAAGATGAGAGTTGACACGATGGTCGATACCACAGTGCTAGGCGGAATTTGGGTCGTGATTGTTGAAGTTTCGCCCTCAAGGGTGGTGGTGGTTACAATGACTTGTGGTGGTAAGGTCAGGGTGCTGAGCTGAGTGGAGACCTCTGTCACTGTCTGCGTAAGGGTATCGGTCTCTTCGACGGTCTGCGTTGGGCCTGGAGTCGTGATCACAATAGTTCGGTCAGACGTCAAAACAACAGTCTCTGGAACGGTCTGTGTGAATGTTGTAGTGACCAACACCTCAGAGATCACGGTCTCCGTGCTAACACTTGTAGTACCAGATACTGCGCCTGGTCAGATACAACATTAACAAACCAGTCAATAGCAAACTTACGAGTAAGGGTAGTCTCAATGAACTCTGTTGTTGTCGACGTTGACACTGACGTAGATACGCTGGTCGTAAGGGACGTTGTTGTTATACTGACCACCTGTGTTGTCGTTGTTGGTTGGAAGCTGATGATGGTCTCGATCGGTCCGGGTACTGACACCGTCTCAACCGGGCCAGGTACTGAAACCGTCTCCACTGAGGTCGCAGTCGGTCCAGGTATAGATACCGTCTGCACCGTTGTCTCGGTAGGACCTGGAACAGACACAGTCGGCCCGGGAATAGTTTGCGTCACAGAAATATAGTCAGTTAGAGTAAGCGTTTCCGTAGTCCTAGAGACGACTGTCTCTGTTGTGACGGAGGTTGTCCCCGGCAGTGTTAGAGTACTAGTCTCATAGAGAGTAGTAGAGTAAGTAGTGACCGAAGTGTAGGTCGACGTGGATATGCTGACCGTAGTAGACACAGAAACATCGGTTTGCGTGGTGGTATCAGTTTTCGTCGTTGTCAACGGCGTGGTGACATAGTCTGTAATCGTGTCATAGTCTGTTGTTGTGGTTGTCTCATAGTCCGTGTCTGTGGTTGTGGTTATGGTTGTCTCATAGTCTGTAATTGTCTTATAGTCCGTGGTTGTTTCGTAGCTAGTTTCAGTAGTTGGTACTAGCTGGAGGGAATGTTAGTGGAGTCCAAGAAGTTGCTTGCTGACAAGAGGGCGCCAAGCCGAAAACCCAGGACATATGAGCGAGATCACGGCACATGAGCGAAACGCGTAAAGCGCAGAAAAGCTAGGGGGAGTTATGGAAAATGAAATGGCTTACAGTTACCACTGTTGAAGTCAATGTCTCTGTAGTAAATTGCGTTATTGTGTTGTTGATGGTGGTTGTGGGCCCTGTAACAGTTTCATACTCGGTCTAACTCATTAGCGATGATTCGACGATATCATAAGGAAGGAACGTACCTTAGTAACAGTGAAGTTGTTTACATTGGTCACAGTTACGGGCGGTGGGACAGCACAATACTCAGACGAAGTAACAGTTGTAGTCTTTTTCCAGTCAGCACTCGTTCCGATATAGCTCAGGGACAATCATACCTTTGTAATAGTGGAGTTGTTCACTTGAGTCACAGTTAAAGGAGGTGGATTTGCGCAGTATCCGGGAGAAGTGACGGTAATTGTGTGTGGTGGTGACCCGGACTTGGTGACCTCTTTCGTTGATGTTGATGTTGATGTGACAGTGATTGTCTTCGGGGGAGGTGGAGATGCGTTGTATCCACCAGACTTGGTGACTTCCTTTGTTGAGGTGAATGTAACTGTTACTGGAGGATTTGCGCCATAACCAAGCGACGGCGTGACGGTCTTGGTTGATGTCACAGGCTTTGGACTTGGACATGTCTTGGGCGATGTGACAGTGATTTTGACAGTGGAGGTAGAAGCCTGTCCATACTGATATATCGTGCTCGTGGTTTTACAAGTACTGCCGCCCTGTCCATATCCACCACCTTGCGCCTGGAATGCCTCCTCGGTAGCTTCGGGTGCGGAAGAAGGCGGTGATGGCGTGGCTTGAGCACCTAAGACTGTACTGTTCTGTTGGGCGCGAACTGCGCTGGCCAAAGCCAGGAAGAGAGGCCAGTAAGTGCGCATCTTGAAGCGACAGACTGCTACGCCGGCTGAACGAGTGGCACACGGCTTGAAGCTGGCCGAATAGGTTAGACACGTGACGGGATTTCGGGGAAGATCAATGTGCTATATGGACAATGTAAAGCTCTTGCTGTCCATAAATAAGCAGTCGCAGTGCTCCATATGTGGCACTATTACTGATTCCAATTGGAGTAAGAGAAATATCAGAGACAACGAAAACGGGGTACTATAGGGTGTATCACGTACCTTGCGACGGAAGATGGGCTGGAGGCTCGGGAGTGGGAAGAAAGCAGGCAGGAACGGGTAACTATAAAACGATGACGAAGCTAGAAACTGGCCTGCATATGACGGGCAGCATACGGGTTCTTTGGCGAGGCTGGGATTACTCGAGCTTCGCCTGTAATCCTATCCACTAGTGTGTGTAAACATAAGGCCGGAAGCAGAACAACCAAGCCGAAGGCATAGATCTGCCTACCGTTGAACAACGCCCGGGCTTAGGCGCAGCATCAAAGTGAACCCAGATTGCCTAGACCTTTTTCAAGCAATACAACCGGCACAACTCAATGGCGAGAGGCCGCCACAAAAGCCAGAGCCGCAGGGTAAGACCACTGATGTTTTGGTGGATTTCCAGGATGCAGTGTTGCATCCGAACCACATGATGAGAACATTCGGACGCCTGTAGGTAATGCGGGATGTGATCCAACCCAGAGGTCCAGAGTCAAGTTCAAAATCCCACCCATGGCAATTGCTGACATGGATACATGTGAGGCCGCATTAAGCTAGCAAGCTGCCTTGTACGGGTTGGTAGCCTGCAGCCCGTAATCACCAGCGATAGGATTTGGCGCCAGACGGGATCTTGATGAAGGCAATGTTCTGGGGGCCAAAAACGAGGAGCGAAGATTGAAATGGAAGGGCGGCCCTTACACAGGTCCGCTGGTACCGAATGCCATACTCGCACGGGCTACACTACCCCGGTACGATAGTCTGTCTGAATGCGTCCTTCCAGGTTGTAGTCGCGCAGGGTGACAAGAAGAGTGACTGTGATCAGGGCATGTTGCAACGTGTGAGTGGAGGTGTATGCACGTGAGAACTAAGGTCCGTGCTCTGCGGAATAGTGGGGCGTCGGCTCGCGCGATTGGGTTCCTGGCTCCCGCTGAGTAAGATCATGGAGCGGCCCTAACAACTCTTTCCAGTAAAGCTACAGCGCCTTTCTGCAGGCCGTCAAGGTCTCTCGAGAGGCCTGCCTTTCCAGCCACCTCAGCATGCAGCCTTTCTGCGGCCCTGCTCCACAGCTATTCCCATCTAGACACTCGATTGAAAGGTTTGCGTGATCCTTCAACGCTGAATCTTCCCCCAATGGTAAAACTGGTGGCGCCCACACAACCTATACCCCTTCACCGGTATTGCCACGCTCAGTCACAGCCTGGCCTTTCCACAGGTAATATGCAGCCTTGGGGCGCCCTGGCTATGCTGTGCCTCTACCCCGCCGGAGGCACAGATGCTATACGCCCACAATAAGCAGATGGGCTTGACGCGCCTGTGACGGCCGGACGAATCAATGTTTAACCGATCCAAGCAACAACCATGAGGACATTTGGACTGTTGTCTATTGAGCGCTGGTGTACATTGTCCAAGATAGTTGCGGCTCAGTTCCACTGCTTCCGCTTCTCCAATACCACCTGACCTACTGGCGAGGCTGCCGCTAGTTGGAAGTAGTAGCCGACACAGTGTTGGTGTTTCTTATGGGTCGTGCCTCTTCTTATCTCTATTCCTTTCTTATCAACCGATCATCCTTCGCTTTAGTCACGATCCGCTATGCTCATGTTGCTACAATGTTCTCTATGAAGCGCGCCGAGCAGATTCAGCTTCCGCCGACACCATACGTTTTGGATCCGAGCGGAAAGTACGAAGGCAACGACGGAAGTTGGTCGACATTCTTCATCAATATCGGCGACGATGGCAAAAACAACAGTAACGGTCAAAATTTTAGGGTGCTCATATCCACATCTTCGCCGGCCACCCTAGTACCACAACAGACCGACTGGTGTGATCAGCCCAACCTTGAAGACTGCGCAGCGAGTCGCGGTATCATGCCATTTGGCGGCGGTCAATCTTTGGGCTTCGATGGATCAAAATCTAATCAATGGAAGACCGCAGGAACATACACCATTCCTGTGCCCCCATGGTTCAACACAAGCGCACTGGAGGGAGATCCAGCCGCGGTATGGGGAGTGGATAATGTGGGCTTGGGTGAAAGCTCACCACAAAGTCTCATGCTGTCGGAACAGTACGTCGTGACATATACAGTTCCGAACTTCTTCATGGGTTCGCTGGGACTAGCTGTGGGTTCTACCGGTCCGCCAAGCGCACTCAAGCCAAACTTCATTGACAATATCTACGGAAGCGCGCACAAGATCGCTAGTCGCTCGTTTGGATACACGGCTGGCGCCTACTATCGTAAGTGCATCGTGTGGAGTATACTTCTGGTTACTACCGCCGTTACAACCAATTCTCGCAGCGCTTCAATGCTAATACACCTAGGCAATAACCACGGAGTACTTGGGAGCTTGGTGTTGGGTGGTTATGATAAAGCGCGGTTGTCTGAGCAAGGCGTCTCAATCGATATGCCCAGTCGGCAGGACACCACGCTTGCTGTTGGTGTCAATTCCATCACCTACAGGCCAGATCAGAATGCCGAAGCCGATACGAAATCTTTCACGACTCAAGGGTTCCCAGCTGTCATCGATTCCAGCTTCCCATACCTTGTTTTGCCTGATGAAGTTTGCGATAAGTTCATCGACGAATTCGGTCTGGAACTCGATGACTTCAGCCAACTGTTCACTGTCAATGACACATCACACCAGCAAAACCTACGAATGAAGGCGACTGTATCCTTCAAAATCAGCGCCAGTGCCGATACTGACAGCGCAAAGTTTGCATCCATCGTTCTACCATACTCGGCCTTGGATCAACAAGCCAGCTTCCCATTCTTCACCAATCAGACGCGATATCTTCCTATAAAGCGAGCAGGAGACGGACAATCTGTCTTGGGACGCACGCTATTGCAGGAAGCGTATCTTGTTGTTGACTATGAACACCAGAACTTCACCATCGCTCCAGCCATATTCTCTGACCCGATGCCAAACCCGAGCCTTGTCACTATCTTCGACAAGTCCTATACTGGGTTACCAGCACCATCAGATTCTGAACCTGCAGGCGGTCTTTCCGCTGGTGCGATAGCGGGAATTGTCGTTGGTATCGTTGGCGCCTTCGTTATAGTCGCAATTGGCGTCTTTTTCTTGTGGAGGAAACGACGGGCCGCAAAGAAAACTGAGGAAAACATCGAGAAGCCTTCTGAGATCGACACGACCTATGCGGGTACTGAGATCAAGTATCGCCGTATCTCAGAGCTCACTGGCTCCGAAACCTTGCATTCACCGAAAGATTCTACGGCAGGCTACTACAACGCCGACCATAAGACTATCCCTCCCATTAGCGAATTGTCACCCGAGAGTACTCCTGCCGAGCTCTACAGTCCGCCCGAAGGCCGCGATACTGTCGACTATTTTGCAGCCGGTGGGATGCGACGGCACGGTGCGACGAGGGATCGCGATTCATCCGGCAACAACACACCGCGCACGCCGATCGCAGAACTCCCTGGTGAAGATGTGATAAGCTCGATCCCTGACAAAAGCCAAGATCCAAAGCCGTTCCAGAAACCTCCGCACAGCCGAAGTCCCAGTGACAACTCACTTTCCACCAACATCGACGAAGTGTTGGCGAAGAAGAATGTGTCAGAAACGGGACCAGTTGCTGATGTGACCGAATCAGCAACGGAGCCTGGCGCGCCGGCTACTGCGGAAGAGATCACTAGGACAAAAGCAGGGGCACAACCTGGAGAAACTGAAGATGCGGAAGAGTCTACAATGCAGCGACGGCCGTCTCACACTAGAGGACTGAGCGACGTGACCATCCAAAGCGACAGTACAGCGGTCTCGCAGCCCACGCCCGAAGAGCTAGAGCATTGGGCGAGAAGTGCAGACGACCCAAGTCGACCAATGTCTCCGCCATGAAGGACAGGATGTGTGGCTACGACATGTTGTGACTTTGTGATTCTTCGTCATTCTTCCTTTAGATTCGTGATCGCCATGCGCTGCGCTGTTTGATTCTTTACCACTTTTGTCCGAAACCAGTTCAAGCTTCAAGTTCGTCTCTTCAAGCTCTCTTTGGCGGTGTTTACGATTGGATGATTGAGATACCCACTAGTACACTCTTTACGACTGTAATGTAATAGTACACTGCATTGCTACCTTTACGCATCGCACAACTTTCACAACATCAGCACCTATCGATAATTCTCCGACGTCTTACAACAGTAAAAAAAGCCCATGCAGTTTGCATCGAGCATCAGCATTATCGTGCACCACATCATTGCAAAAACAATATTGCATCTGCAGCCCCACCCTACAGGATCGTATGCTTCCCACACTAGTGGCTTCATCCTGAGAATGGATGTCATAGCTTTTGGCATGTAGGAGCTGCAGAACGTTACTGAAGACCTCCTATATGCACATTTCCGCCAGCGCAACCCGCGCATCGTTACTGTTCGATTCGAGGCGGCAATACCGCATTCCCGCGTTGGTTACGGTAAAGATTGTCGCTGCATGCGCATCCAGTTCGACCTTGCGCACATGGTGAGAAACATCGAAGATGCACGACTCGACATTGCTATTTTCATGGCACATTGTGTACAGAAGAATTATTCATCACAATTACGGAGTTATTGATCAAACCTCCACCCTCGTGCGCCCTCTCGAATTACAATGAAAATGTCTCGTCATCAACAATGAGGCTCAGCATTTTCCATTTTCCCATATCCCTAATAAGGAAGGCGCGCAACGACAGAATCACTGCGTACGCCACCGTTCTTGATTCCAGTCACCTCAGCGGCTGGCTAAATTACCATGCAGTAGCCCCGCATACGACTTATGTGAGAAAGCGGCACGGGTCTGGGTCATGAGAAGAAGCGCAGACAAAGCATTTTTGGGGCCGTTACACAGAACACGGGTCGCATATTGGGCACGATGGAAGGCAAAGTCAGCCTTGTATGTTGTTGAGCGTTATTTACGTGGCGATTCGCCATAGTCATACCGATTGCATCAACGAGTTGTTGAGATGGTGCTTGGGCATGCGATGATTCTCGCGATGAGTAGAAACAAGGCACGTGTAAGCCTGCCTAGACGCCGTTCGTGTAAGCAATATACGAGCGGGTGTCTATGCAACCCGATATATATTACAAGAACGAGAGTTGCTTCTTGGCGCGCAAGCTGCTCTGTGGGCAAGATGCGATGCAACGCCATCATGGGATTGAGGCGTTGACGATTACGTGCTCATTCGTATTCACTTCCCACACATGATTTGTAGCTCGTACTGACGTTGTTCTGGAGTGATTGGAATTGCAGCGACTACGCCGCAAGAAAGTACTTATTGGCCGCCGATCTCTTTCGCATTGCCGGCCGTGGTGTGCGTCAAGCTGCCGCTGTTGATGCGGGTACCTAGCCGGGAGCACCGCCTTCTTGGGATCTACCCGAGGCTTCGCTGCTTGCCGCTAGAGAACTGCAGGTCCATAACACGCCAACATCGTGATCATGGGTGCTAAATCGTGCCACAATTATGTGTAATATAGCATCTGCTGCAAGTTTGCTGGGTTATTGTGTTTGGCCACTGCATGACATAGAGACAACGCCAGGTATTAATCATCCTCTGGAACCGGCTCGTCAACGGCGCTACCCATCCGAAGAGCATACTTTGTTCCTTGCAGCTGCAAAGAGAAGGGTTGTGGTACTTCGCCATAAGAGGTGGAAGATGATCCAATAGATGGAGTCTCTCTTTGAGGTATTACTGTCGGTTGCCGTGGTGTATACGACGTCTCCGTTGACGGCCTAGAACTCTGTCCCTGGCGTGTAAGATTTGCGAACAAATCCCATGACTGAACTTGGTCGAGAAAAGATAGTGGCCACTGTACAGCAGGCATCCAGCTCTGGTCGAGGACTTTGTGGCATGCCTTCATCACCCTGTGTCCCCAGCCCTCCATGAACCAATATCGAGGCTCAGCTGCAAGAAGAACAGTCGCGAAATACATGAGAATTGCCATCGCGCCTGATCTTCGCTGCCGCAGAGACTCCATAAATTCTGGATCTAAGTGAAGAGGCCAAAAGAATAGGAAACGTAACTCTCGGTTATCGACCCGAGGAGGCAGCGACATCTGAAGAGCCGGTTCGAAGTAAGCAATGGTTGCAAGATAGAGATTTCGTCGGGCCTCTGAAAGATCAGGTTTGCCTTCGATAAATGCTATTAGTCCAGGTAGGTGATCCTTCAACTCTTGCAGCATGGGTTGAGATGCAGTGAGTTCTGATGGATCTCTCAACATAGGGCCGATGAAAGACTCCCTCACCGCTGCCTGAGCCAGCGCAAGAACCTGGCCCATACCTTGCATAAGATGGAAGGCATTCATGATACTATCAATGCTGTCGATTGCTGCAGCAGTGGGTGCGTTCTGAGCCTCGAATCCTGTTGAAGCAAACACGCTTAGAGTGAGGAGCGTTGAGGTAGCTACAATCGCCGGGGCGTCATCATTTGTAACGTTGTGAAGCCTCTCGCGGACGCCTCGAATCGCAAGGTCTTGATGATGTATACCGCAAGCATAATATGGCTGACGTTGGTCTAGGGGCTGTTGGTATGCCTTGTGCAGCGCTGCGAAAGCCAAGATCTCATGCATAAAATAGTCGTGCGCGTTGGCTTCTTTAGGAGCCTCGACTCTCCACATATTTCGAATATCAGGACGCTGAGATAGGCCATCGAACGCCTCCGTCGTCCAGTGGTGTCTACAAAAAAAGTCGGTAGCGATTCTTGCACCTGGCTAAGCCGACTTACAAGAGCTCCAAGTCTCGCAGCCATAGTGTCGACTGAGACGGTTGACCAGTATGTATATACCTAGACAAGAAAGGGTATGCGTCCGACTGCGAATCGGAGGAATCGTCCTCCGAAATAGTCGACACGGCCCTGGCTGCGGGCGCGGTCGACGGGTTGCGCGAGTAGCTCACATGAACAGCAGGCGTTGACGATGTCGAAGAGTCCTGTTACACCAATGAGAAAGGTTCTAGTATGCGAGACTCCAGTTTGTGGGTCGTACAGCTATGAATTGTTCGGGCGGTGACTGATTCGTACGTCGCGATGAAGAGGCTGCGGAAGATGCCGAAGCGGTAGGCTGGTATGTATTGGGATCCCATACAACCAGGCTGCACGGGACGCCATGGCGAGCGCAATTGGTGCACGGCTTGAGTTCATCACACTGAGCTATTTCAGTATCGACTCTTCGTAAGCATTTAATGCTTGATTGGATGTGATGCGTCCTACCTTGACATGGCGAGCTTTGCATTGTCGGCAGCCCAATCTTGATCTAGAAGAAAAAATCGGGTTAGACGAAGGCGAATGGTGAGCTTGACATACGGGACAGGCATGCAACGGCTTGAGGTTACTGGCTTGTGGATGACAATTGGTAAAGGTGGGGTGACGATTACGGACTTTTTGTGCCCGAGGCGTGGCATTGCAGCAAGCTACGTGACCGGAGACCAAAGCTTTGGGCCTCGACGAGGGACCGATCGATCAGGCTATCGTCGCAACGGACCGTCTCGAAGTTTTCCAAGCCGCAGGATGGGGGACAAAGCGAATGCGATGTGAAGGACGTGGACGATGCTGTCGTTGGTGGGTCGGGAGAATCTTCTCACACAAGGATAATCCCACACTATACCCAGTTCAAACAAGACAATGTCGAATCAAAATCCTCAGTGACAGTGGGTAAAGCTCGCATTCGCATTCCAGAGTTCGTAACGAGATAGATATAGCCCCCAGGATGGGGGTAGCTGTCGTCGACGTCGCCGTTCAGCAGGTTTGTGCGACATCCGGCTTGTTCCGCACCTGAGAATCCGCCTCAAATAAACGCGCGTGCACCCTCATAAAACTACAGCGCCATCTCTGAGCCGCAAATGTTGTGTATCGACTCCAATCATGAGTGCGAAACTAACGTCATCACCTGTAGTTGCTAGAACATAACGCCTAGAACTTACGTAGATACCGCTCTATTGCTGGATCATGGCAGACGCGTATGCATGACGCCCATGCTTTTTCTGATCTTAAGAGCTGTATGTCAGCCGCAAACATTGCGACAAGAGCTTGGGACTTGCCGGTGAACAAGAATGTGCACGATTTGAGGCTTTGACAGACGCGTTCCTGATGATCCATCAACACAACAATTGAGATCACGTTGACCTGCGTCAATCCTGTTCATTTCCCAGGGTTTGCGGGGTTCGGTAGCCTTGAAAATCGTGAAGGGTCTCTCTTTGCTTTTCCTTCTTAGCATCACGGGGTAGGTGGATAGTGGGAAAGGAACGGTGACAAATCAAATAACACGCTAATCGTATGGCTCCGATCCAGGATCGATATGGTGGGAGTAGTCAGCTTTGGGTGTTCCGGTTCTCGAGGGTCATTACAAACGTCATATCGAAGAGCTGCAATGATGGAGGTATTGGACTTCCTGGCCGTATCGCAAAGTGTGAGCTGCATTGTGTCTCAACTGTAGCTGTATTGGCTTCTCCGCGAATCCTCGACTCTGCGAAGCTCGCTCTTGTTGGTAATCGTCCGCACAGGAAGGCCTCCGAAAGAGTCGAGTGGTAACTTTTCGAACCACGCCCGACCAGTCGCAATTGTTTGGTTCAAAGAGAATAGGTAGGCAATTACCAACCACGCAAGGTATATTATTCGCTTCTCGGGTTTCCACTACTCACCCTGGGGCTACAACCAGGCCACTATCATAATCTGCAATACTGATGACTCTGCAATGGACGGTACAGTGCGAACCGTGGTTGAGGTTTGTGACTCTTCATGCCATAATTGAAAAATAAGCCGAACCGCACCAGAATCAGAATACAAACTCCATCGACTCCTTCTCTTTTCTTTAAACCCCAAACAACCCACGGCATCCAACTGGTTGACCTATTGCAACTCCAACGCATCTGCCCAAACCGTCCTGTTACCAGCTTTCACGATGTCTCAATCTAGGATGAAAAAGACTTCCGACTCGCGTTACCCTCACAATGTCACTCAGGCGATAGACAGTGTTCTGGACAGCGTGAAGAAGTCCTGCTGCATCGCCAGGTACGGGTGCTCTCTGTCTCATATAAACTCTTATACCTCCACACCGTTATACAGTTCACCACGACGAAGCGGAAGCACCGATCAATTAGGGAAACTTCTTTCTATACAATCCAAAACGATGGAATTACACCAATCAAATGAGGTATCTTCGACTAGCGCGCAGGATACCTCCCTCGAGTTGACTGCAGGTTTAGTCAGCGGACATCAAAGCCTGTCTGTTGTAGAGAACATTTCCGATGAGGAAGATGACAACGAAATCGTAATCACGGGAGAGGCTGAGGAATCTGACCCTTTAGACGACTCTGACGAGAATGAAGAGGAAGACTTGGAGACTGTGTTTGGATATAATGTGGACCTCGTTGCTCAAGAAGGTCAAAATAAGGACAAACCAATCTATACACGCGGACTGCTCAACGACGTGAAACTATGCGCTGACCAGATCCGCAAAGAGTTGTCTTTAGCACCTAATCGGCGTGAACTTCATCATCTAGACGACTACGGACTGAATCAGAAAAGCTACAGGGTCTGGGGATCGCATAACAATCGTAATGATAACTACCTCCAGGTCGAATATCTCTCCCGGGTAGAGATGCATCCTGACTTCCAGCATCGCTATGGGAAATACTCGGACCAGATTAGAGCTCTCCGAAGGTACAATAAAGATCATAGGGATGATTGCTTCGACACGCCGTATACGTTTATAACGTTCCATCGGCAATTCTTAAATGAGCATAACAATATAGCTAAGATGAGAGAGTATTGGAGTGCTTTAATGCATACGAAAAGTCTCTGGGTCCCAAGAATGTCCAGAAGGAAGCTCCAAGAAACTTTCCAGGAGACAGCCAAGACTTGTGCGCCGATTACAAAGGTCTTGTGCTTTGGACTGGGTGCGTTCAATTTAAACAAGAAGTTCTACCACTCGGCTATTCAATATATGGCCGTTTTCAGCATTATCCAGGCTCTTAACGAGTTTTACCTTCGAAACGACGCAAATCGGGCACCGATAAAGCTTGTCCTGCAAGATCCGAATTACGAGCTCAAAGACCACCAGCTCTTGCGAAAGCTGTTCCACAGCGACGACAACATCAGCTTCGTATCTGATCCAGAGGGCTTGCTTGCGATCGACTCGGGTACACTGGTCGTCACAGCTTTCCTCCCTGTCCAGATGCCTCTTGTCCAAATTATAGCAGACTTTTTCTCAAAGGACGCTTCGAAAGGCCCTGTGGCAATGATATGCGACACCATGACCGTTGATACCGCGAAGCGAGAATACTCACTGAGTGATCGCGCATCACCAGCTGCTGCACGATTCCTCACAAGCCATTATGAGAAGATAGAGGACGAATTTGAAGAACATGGGTTAGAAGATGAGCTCATGGCAGATACATATGGAGACGGTTGGGAAGAGAAGAACAGATTATATTGGTTGAACAGGATGGACTTATGGGTGCGAAAGACCGGCACGAATTAGAACGAGCCCGTCTTCAAGATCCTATCATAGTAATGTCTCACTGTGTTAGCACCCAATTTCACGGTATAACACTACCACGTTCTTGCGTTGCGCAATGAAAAGCACAAACGTATAGTTCACTTACCCTGACCATGAACTTTGTCTCTCTCTAATCAACTACATTCATCACCCAATTATTACAGTGAACGTATAAGTGCTTGCATGCAGGTACAGCGCTATTGGTAACATTGTATGTTGATGGCCGCTATAAAAGTGTACATGCTAAGCACTTTTTATTTACTTTGTGCAACTGTATACCTAGATGTACCCAGATGGTCTCCTCGCGGTTGATTCTAACACCATACTCGTAGCACCCTATCTACCCACGCAGTTTCCCTGTATCCAAATTATCGCTGATCTTTTTGTATCCGGATCGGGACCGGCTGTAATCATTGGCGACACCCTTCCCGACCGTCGTGAAAAGGAAGTGTACAAGCTCGTCCGCGAGTCGCCAGCTATCACAAGGGGGGGTTTTTTTAGATCGATATGTAAGACTGCAGAATGGTTCTGAGGCATGCTGATTAAGATAGTACAGAGGTGACACGACATGCCCTTGTTGTATTCTGATAGGAAGACGAGGAAGAGCAAAACCTATATGAGGCAAACACTAGAGAGCAGAACCAAAGGATTACATGCCTTTGGCATAGATTTTTCCGATGAAACAACGGGGGACGGAATGGGATATGTAGAAGTCGAGCAAAGACCACAGTATGAATATGTGGAGGTCTAACAATATATCAGAAATGTCGTGTAGTTGCTGATGCTGTTCGAAATGCGTACGTGGACGTCAAGCCGGATATGCCGTCAAATCATGATGTCCAAATACATATCCTCATCCCAACAAACAAGGGTATATCCACACCTAACCAGCCACACCCCTTTCCATCTAACTCAACAACTCCTTAATATCCTCAATCCTCTGCACCCTCTTCTCCTCATCACTCATCATACCCAATGAACTCGCACTGTATCATGTTAGCACTCGTAATTAACCCCTATCTCCATCGACCTCTTTCACTTACATGAACTTCTTCCTTTCCTGTATCCTAAGCATCTTCTCCTCGATACTCCCTTCCACACAAAACCTCACTACCTTAACCTCCCTCTCCTGCCCCATCCGGTGCACACGATCAATAGCCTGCGCTTCGACCGCAAAACTCCACCATGGATCCATCATGAATACTTTATTCGCACACGTCAAATTCAGCCCTACACCACCCGCTCGTAGACTGAGAAGTAGGACGTAGGGTTTATGTGACTTGGTAAATTCGGTAAGAATCTGGGCCCGGGCTTTTTGGCTTATGGAGCCATCGAAGCGGAGGAAGGGGATGTGGTCGCGGGTCAGGGCTGGCTCAATAAGGTCGAGGAAGGATGTGAATTGGGAGAATACAACGGTTTTGGCTCCTTTTTCTTCTTTGCGGGTTTTCTTGAGGTGGCCGAGGAGGGCTTGGGTTTTTGCGGAACCGGAGAGGCCGATGCGGCGGAGGCTTATGCGGGGGGTTTGTGTGGATGGAGGTGGTGCATCGGCAGCGCGGAAGGCGTGGTTGATTTCTTCATCGTCTTCGGTGACGTGGTCGTGGCGGACTACTTCGAAGACGTCGCGTGCGTTGATGGGTTCACGGCAGTTGAAGCAGCGGGGGATTTCGTTCTTGTCGCGCTGGTGGGCTATATAGTTTAGTAAGCATTCTTTGCAGGCTGAGTGCCAACAACCGGTCACTGCTTGCTCGATCATAGGTTCTTCTGAGCAAATTGGGCATTCAGCTGCTGCTTCGTCTTGGATTTGCTTCAAGACGTGTGCGCCGAACTTGTTGACATCTTGGTCGCTGTCAGTTGTGAAGCGCTCAATGAGAGAAGAAAGGTCCATGTCATCTGCCAGTCCGTTTGCAAGATCTGATGCTAGCGTGGCGTCTTCTTCATCGGCGACAATATTGGCTTTGCGGGTTAAGACGGGATGACAGCACGATTGCCGCAGTCGCAGAATCTGGGCGAAGATGGTCGTGTACGACTTCATCAAAGTACCAGCATCCGCATTAGCACTGAAAAAGCTCTTTGCCCGCAAGTAGATGTGGTCGTATACATCTCGTTCGGCCTGTGACAATACGATCTTCTCGACCTCGATCGTCCGTAATGGCAGCGGTACCAGGGCCTCGCCATCAGGCGTCTTCATATCCTTCGTTCGACGAAGCACCAGTGGCTCTAGTACGGTCTGCACAACATTCAAGGCACGTACAAAGTCGCCCGATTCGAACGGTACTGTGATGAACGTCTTCCAGAAGGAGAAGTTTGCCCACGGCTCGACCTTGAGGAAGCGGACTAGACTGAATAAGTCTTCCAAGCGGTTGACGATTGGTGTTCCTGTAAGGGCCCATCGATGTCTTGCACTGAGTTCGTAGCAGGCTTTCGCCGTTTTCGACTGTCGGTTCTTGATATAGTGCGCTTCATCAAGAATGATTCGAAAGTATTCGAGTGAGAAGATGCCGCCATGCGAGCCTCGATTACCATCCTGCGCAATGACCTGGTTGTACTCTGATAGTACTGTGCCATAACTTGTGATGATAATGTTAGGCGCATTAGCTGCATTCGAGGCGCAGCAGAGCTTTTGTAGATTCACGGCCTTTTCCGAACCGTAGTAAACAATGGCTTTCAGTGTTCCGTCTTTAGATGCCTTCTCAGCTTCGCTATGCCATTGCGCCAGTAGTGACATTGGCGCTATGACAAGCGTGGTGTATGGCGCAGGCTCAACATCAGCACTAGCTTTCTGCAACCGCGGGAGACGCTTCGGTGTCGCTGGCATTTCGTCGTCGACTTCTGTCCTGTGTGTATGGATCAAGCTAAGCATCTCGATAGTCTTGCCGAGACCCATCTCATCCGCGAGTATACCGCCGAGGCAGTTCTGCTCCTGTTTCGGGAACTCAAGCGAAAGTTCGCCGGAGTAGGGATTGACGTAGAACATAGTCTGGTCTCCAACGGCTGGTACTGGCTGGTTGTCTGCATCTTGTGTTGGCCACTGATACTCCTCCCACAACGGATGCATGGAGGTCTCCTTGTCTTCAATCGACTGATCCTTTTCTTTGCTGACCATCCAGAACAGCGCCTGCTTCTGGTACTTTCGCAAGTCCATGCGGAAGGTGCTGGCTGGCTCCATGGTTGGGGTATTGAAGTCGAACGACTGCGCCTTCTTGTACAACGAGTCCAGCTGATCCTGTTCCAACTCTTCTCCGTCTTCGGCTTCGTCGGGCGGTGGTGAGGATGTAGGGTCGGTAGGGGTCGCAGGCGTTGCTGATGTCGCATTCTTTGGCTTTGGCTTATCGCTCTTCTTTTCATCGATCTCAGCCGCTTGTAGCAGACCTTGTCGCTTATGCTTCGCTGTTGTTTCGTTCTCGCGAGTCGGCTGGAGATTAATGTTTTCAAATAGCTTGACGAGGCCAATCTGGCGTAAACGAAGGTCTCGCTCATCAGACGACTCCTTCTGCTCAAACAGGTTGATCTCTCGGTTGTTGTCCGGTTTGGCGAACTGCCGCTTGTCGAATGCTGCACGAATGAAATAGGCTCGTAACTGTAGATAGATGGTATCGCCGGTCCGTAACTTGTCGGGCGTATACACAACGGAGCCCTCGAAAGAGCACACCTTCTGATCCACTAGCACAGAGACCCAAGTCGCAGAGTCGTTGTCCAGTCTGCCAACTTCCTCCCCTCGCCCATTGAGAAACCTGACTACGATATCTGGCTTCTTGAGTTGGATGACCTTCTTTGCCTTGTTCAGTTTGGGTTGTGGCTTCATGCGCTCGATTCGAACCTTCTCGTCGTGTTTCAGTAAGTTGCTTCCGCTCTTGGTTGCCCAGGCTGCGACACCGAATGAACCGATATAGCGTTTGCTGGGCATTTCTTGCAACATTTGTGGTGTAGAGGTACCCGAGCCCGGTGTGGAGGCGCTTGACATTTCGGAATCGGTACGCTTCATCGCATTCGCTATTGTCATCTGAACTGGCTGCCGACGGGGCTGAAATATTGGGGCGGGGGTTGGCGATGGCAATTTACTCCAAGAGCCGTCTAGATAGAGGTTGATTGCTGCCAATTGTCAGTCGTGCGCCTGGCGGTTCTCAGCTACTTGCATACCTCGTTGTACATCGCTTCCGCTCACGTCCTTCAGCTTCTGCAGTACGGTAGCCGAAAGTTCTCCAACGACTGCCTGAAGCATTCCGACGTCAAAGCTACCAAAATCAGCCTCCTCTTCGTTTCCATTGCTTTCGTCTAGTCTTTGTGCGCCGAATGGTGGCGGGGACGACGGAGGAGGAGGGTCGGTGGGGTGTGAGCGGACCTGTACAGGTGAAGAGTCCTCTTCTATGAAGAATCGGCGCTTCTTTACAGGTCGCTCGTCTGGGTGTGGTGACTCCATGGTGTTGTGTTATAGTTGTTGTTGGTGTTGTACATTCGCCCTGCATGTAATCCGACGCGTCGACGCGCTTTCACGTGGCGACTGCGGGTGATCGACGTAATAGCGTCATACAATCGACCAGTCGCCATGCACTCTTTGCGCCTTACCACGAGGATTTGAGTCTACCCCAGATTATGCAAACATCTCGTCATTTCTGAACAAGAACTAATATCACTCTGAACTTCCCTTCGGTCTGCCATGGGCCTTCGCTTTGTACAATAGTCGTTCATCCTCTCAAAAGTTTTCAATGCCACCTCCAAGGCTCCGCACAGCTTCCATTCGGCGCACACACAACTACCCCAGGCCACGACGGAGGCAATTCCACACTTCGCTGCGTCTTCAAAATGCGGCTCGTCCCTCTGAGGACGAGATTGCACGTGCGCGGGCGTATTGCGCAAATCTAGTGAGGTAGTCCCGCCCTGGAAACCCTCTTGTACAGTTGCACATACTAAGACTTATAGGACATACGACGCGCCCTCACATATCCTTCAGACCTTCATACCGCAATCTTCCCGAGATGCCTACCTCGCGATTCGTGCCTTTAACGTTGATGTTGCCCGCGTCGCCGACACAACGAGCACCCCCACAATTGGCATGATGCGCATGCAGTTTTGGAGAGATACCGTCACGAAAGCATTAGCCGGCACACCGCCCAAAGAGCCAGTCGCCATTCTATTAGCACAAGCAGCTGAAGATTTACATGAACGGTCTGGTGGAAAGGCACGGCTGAGCAAGAACTGGTTCCATCGCATCATCAACACCAGAGAACAACATCTAGGCAACCCACCATACCCCACCTTGACCGCACTTGAGAGCTACGCAGAGAATACATACTCAACTATGTTGTATTTGACGCTGTCGGCGCTCCCCCAGGCTTCACTCACCACAGACCACATCGCCTCGCATATTGGCAAAGCCATGGGCATCGCAGCTGTACTGCGTGGTATCCCGCTCATCGCATTCCCTCCACAACAGCCTTTGGGTACTAGCAACTCCATGACAGGCCAGTCTGGCCCCACGCAAGGCGCTGTACTTCTCCCACTCGACGTAATGGCCGAAGCCAACGTTCGCGAAGAAGACGTCTTCCGACAAGGCGCCTCCGCTCCTGGTCTCCGCGACGCCATCTTCACAGTCGCGACACGCGCAAACGATCACCTCATCACTGCACGCGAGATGCTTTCGAAGCTGCGATCCGAAGGTACACTCGGTCATGACTTTGAACACCAGCATGAGGCGGAACATCAGTATAGTGCACAGCAGATGAACACAGGGCAGGAAACACAATTAGCCGAGGTTGAACAGGCGTTTGGTGTTTTCATGCCAAGCATAGCGACCCAATCTTGGTTGGATAGGTTACAAGGAGTTGACTTTGACGTCTTTGATGCGAGTCTGAGAAAGGTTGACTGGAAGCTACCCATGAAATCCTATTGGGCGTATAGTCGGCGGAAGATATAAACCCCCCGAATGAATGACTAAAGGAGCTATGAGCTTCGGAATCGAACTGTGACAAAGGTGGTGATGGTGATCATCATTCAAGCATACGACAGCAGACTAAAAGTCATCACCCAGAAACTGGCCCAACATCATAGCGCGGTCTATCGATACGTTTGATCGCTTCCTATCTTTTCAAAGGTGGAGTGTAAAAAAGGAGTCGTCACCGTCGGCTTCTCTATATACAGTTCTTGAACCCTTACAACAAGCGGGCTTGTCACTCATCATAGCAGGTTTTACGATGCTTTTTGGAGAAGGATATGGCATCGAGAACTTTAGTTTTCGACCTGACTTCCAACTCTCTACGCAGGGGTCCCGTTCAATGTATTGTCTTGTCTTAACGACTTCGCATGAGGGGTACATAGTTCAGTTCCACATTCGCCTAATGACCTTTTTGGCTGTGGTACCGAAATCATAGAACTGTGGTTAAAGTCTTGGATGAGTCCAAGAAGAGGCTTATGTATACAGCATCCTGGAGTCGGATATCTGACACAGCATGGCACAGCTACGGATTTTTTTGGCTGCTAGAGCCTTTACGGTGCTTTCGTCGCGTACTGCTCCACATATGAGGTGATTGCGCAAGCTTCCAGGCGCATATAAAAGATTCTTCCACCAGTTGTACATCTCCTGGTAGGTTGCATGGAGGTTGGGAAAGGTTGGCTTTCGACGGCAGGTGAACCAGCCAGAATGAAAAGAATCATAGCGTACTCTGCAATACGTTTTGAGACGCGTAAAAGTGAACACATGCTTTGTTAAACGATGCGTTTCGGTATAAACCACTGGAAAGGATGTTGTTTGGAGGAGAAAGTGAGGAAGAAAGGGCCTTTCTTACACGCAGACACTGCAAAGAGACGAACATCATATATTGGTATGACTCGTTTCCTTCGACGAGAAGGCAAATACTCCCATAGAGAAGTTGCACTTCACTTTCAAAAACTCTTTCTCGAGCTCACGAGTTACAAACACACGTCTCCCATATCGAGCTTTGGAGAGATAGTCACTGCGAACAGTTCGGAAGAGACACGACATGAGTTTCCCTCGCTTTGCATGTTTCACATTTACCGACAAGAGGCGTGGAAGAACGGCGCTTGAAGTGGAGGGCGTCGCGCAGACGGAACATCTTGTTGGATGCGCCAGCTTTGTATCATTCGGCGTGAAGAACAACATGAGCAGAGACTCAGTCGTTTTTGATATTTTGATAGACACAATGGAAGATAGAAGAGTGCGAGGATTCGCGGCTGCGGAATACCTTATATGCGTTGGTTCGAAGCGCCAGCTGCCCCCATGCGATGCAGGTATCGCTTTTTGTAGAGAAAAAGAGGCTCGTAGTCTGCATAGCGGTGTGCCCACTCGGTTATGGTAGAAGCCTATTGTTGCAATGTTCGTGCATGTGCCGTGGTTTTGTAGAGATTCAAAAAAGGTGGGGGGAATACCAAGAGTATAAGGTAGATCCAGCGCCTGTATGTACGTTGGGGTAACAGTAAGAGCCAGGTAATTATGCAATGCGACAAGTTTTGTTTCAGAGGTGTAGTACTCTTAACGATCCTGTTCTTCGTGCATATTCGGATGCTGCAGAGAAGAAGACGCAACATAGGCGAAAGTAGTTGTGTCTTTGAGGATCAGTCCAGCACGCCACATGTAATCCTCCAACACCTTTTTGAGAAACGCACATGTGGCATGAACCTTAGATTTTGGAGAAGGAGAAAAGACATGGTGTTATGATAGTAGAAGAGCTGAGGAAATAGCGCTTTTTATACATTACTGCGCTGTAAACGGACATGTCGCGGCGGTACCTACCGCTTGGATGTGGTCGAGGCTGTCATGCGGAGCGCGGGAAGTATCTGCAGCACTGCTAGGGGTCTCTGACAGCAGCGCCATACATACTTTAAGGATTTCACTTCCGTAGTCGAATACAGAAGCGACGTGCGAAAGTTTTGTGTTAACAGTATGTACAGTGAAATGAGACTGCAGGGACAGATCCACAACTCGAAGGGCGAGGTTTATCGAACCCCGCCCTATCGTACCCGACACGGTTAGTTCGGGCATTCTACCCATCATTCTCCCGTCCTTTAACATATCGCAATTGTCGCGAAAAGTGAAATTCTGTTAGCTTCGTTCCCATATCTTGCGTTACGGCTGCAGCAACGACCATCGAGGATGGCGTCAAACGTGTGTGACATCGGTCGCAACCCCCTGGTCGCCCGCAAGCTAACAACCACAGCCGCAATCAAACACATCGCTTACCTGGACGCCATCATACAAAGAAGATGAGACCAAAGTGGGCTTCCTGGACTTACCGCGCGAACTTCGAGACCTAGTCTACGAGTTTGCATTCCGCATCCCAGGCGCGATTCTTGTCTACTCGCGAGACCCCTTCGCAGTCCGACCTGTCGCTCGAGCGATGAACATCCGACACGGCGGTGACGGACCGATTGAACCCCAACCGCTGAGCACCGGCCAGATTCCAGTAGCGCTCTGGAGAACATGTCGACAACTTCGAGCAGAGAGCAGCCCCGTTTTCTATGGAACGAACGTTCTCTCTTTCTGGGCTCTGGGCAACATCGACGTGGGACTTGCTAACATGTGTTTGGTGCGGCACGTTGTGACTGAAGCAAGTCCTCGCGGTATCTTTGACAAATCTCTCGAGCATGTGAGCTATTGCTGGAAGAGACGGTTTTGGCCTGAGATATTACGCAATAGCGATGCTATCATGAAGCAGTTTCCAAACTTGGAGACGTTGACATTTTCGTTGAAGCCGCCGCGTGGGGAGATCTGGACACCGGCTTTCTTCGCTGTGGCTAACAAGACGAGGGAGCAGCGTATCGATCTCGTTGCTACTTGGATGAGTCAAAGATGTTCTTGGGAAGACGATCGGTTGCGTCAAATCTTGCATCTCGAAATGGTGCCATCCCCTGGGCTGTCGAGGCGTGAATATGCGGGTTCACGGTTCATACCCGAAGATGACGATGTCTGGGACTGTACCGAGTTTGCGGATGCGTTTGAGCAGATGAAAAGCTCGATTCAACTGGATGCGAGTGTTGATGCGTCGATTGGATAGTTGCAAGAGACTGGGCGCCTAGCTAATGACGATGTTGCCGAAAGCATCAACAGAACAAGGTCAAATAAGGCAGGCGCGATCACACGTTGGTAACATCCCAACCACACGCAGTCTCCACCCGAGCCATCACCGAACATCAAAGCATCGCCACCAGAACACGAAGATCAACATCCTCAACATCTCGGCCTACATCACCCCATAGTCGCATCGCCACTCCAGACCCATCCCACCTCCTTCTTTTCCATCCCGCCAAGCCCCCGCAGAGCCGCACAGCCCTGCATACCCCAAATAGGAAATTCCATCCCGCCCACCTCACCAAACATGGAAGAATACAACAATCCCATCCCATCGCGCACCTCCGATCCTCGGTTGATCAAGCATTCCAGCCCTAACGTTCTAAAGCCACCGGCTCGGGTGGCCCTTGCCTCATGCGAGTGATCCCCAACAAGGGACCAGGGTGGACGATAGTATGCCAGGGCGAGCAGGTAAGGTACCCGCTCAAGTACATGTTATGTGTCATTGGCGTATGGTACCGAACTGCCGATGCAAGGTGTGCTGGTTGCATGTTGTGTATCAGGGATGTGGGGAGACTGATGTTCTAGAATTCTGTGCTAGTGTGCAACGTGGTAAAAGACTTTTATTTCGTTGTGGCTGCGTGGTGCGATATAGGAGGCGAGTATCGTGAAGTATGTTTTAGGAAGGTGTGTCCGATGGAGGCGGAGGATGAAGCGGTGAGGTTTGAACTGGCTGGCTGGTGGGGACTGGTGATGCTGTCAACTGACATGTCAAGATTCGTCACCCAGCGACATGTGCATGTTGGAAAAGTAATCATTGTTCATGTTTTGGGGCCTCTTCACTAAAGGATGGAACGTGCAGTGGTATGAGAGCATGGAAGTTGATTGCGCTGGTACTATGTATTATGTACTATTATGTGATTCACCAAACGTGATCTTTGAGTTGAACTTTTCTTTGTGTCATTGCAAAACGCCTGCTGGATACCCATCCGATGCAAGAGGGACTCGCCACGGGCTCAACTCAGGCAATCCAGTAATAAACCAAAACGCCATACAAAAATGTACATGAAGAGTGGCGAGCTTGTAACGCGACGCCGGGTATATCCTACAGTCCACTAGTGATAGTTCCAAGCAAAATCGGGCCAATGGCGCAGTAAGGGGATTCGTGAAGCATCGATGAACTCATCGTAAATGGGGTATAAATAACGAAAAGAAATAGCTGAGCCAAAGCTACTGCTCCAGGCTGAAGCTGCCGGAGCGAGAGGTATTGTTGGACCATGGGAATTCGCAGTCGTCAACATAGGTGGGTGGGCTGATGGGGACGTCTTCGTAGAGAGGGGGCTGCTCCTCGTCCCAAGCGATACCCATACCAGAGCGCTCAGTGAGAACAAGGTGGAATTGGGTGCGGAGGACGCGAGCAGCGCCAGTAGGAGTAGCTTGGCTGAGCTTCTTCAGTGGTGCCCACTCTTCAGCAACAACCATCTCGATGATGAGGTTGTGCTTGACGCTCATGCCGCTTGGGCTCTCCATGTCGCAAAGAGGCTTGAGGCCAACGTTGCAGGCAGCCTGGAACTCTACATCGATCTCGCCCTTCTCGAAGTCGGTCTTCCATCCAGTCTTGACCTCCTCGCTGGCAATGGCACGAACATCCTCGTGGAGGACACCCTTGCCCTCACCACCGACCTTTGAGATGTGCTTAGCACAAGCTGGAGCGATGAACTTCTGGGTCTCCTCGATGCGCCAATTGAGCTTGCGAAGCCTCCATCGCGTCTGTGAATCTGACTTATTCTGGACAATACCGGATAGGCGCATCTCAATGGGAAAGTCGCCAATCGGGTGGATGACGGGCGGTAGCTTGACCGAAGCGGTAAGGTTGGTGGGTGGGAAAATGCGAATGGAGTGCTTCTCGGCACCAGGGAAGATGGCACGCTTGATGTCAAGGTTACGCTTGTAGGTAATCTTTCCCGATGAGGTAGTGGCGACGGCGGAGAGATAGTAATCGACCGTAGCGAGGCTACCATGTGTAGTTGCGGGTAGGTGTCCCGGTAGCAAGTGGCTGAAGGGGAACGAGTGCGGACCATGACGCAGGGTGGTAGGATGCGTCAGGAACTCCCACTTGTGGATTTCGGTGGTTTGCGTGCTGCAGTCGGCGCAGTGTGGGGCGACAGGCTTCTTAGTGGAAACGATGGCGAGCATGCGCATCTCGAATTTTTCCACGGTGACGTAGGGGTCATGGACGTTGATGACGAGCTGACCCGAGAAAATTGCACCAGTCGAAGTTTGCGGGCTGTTGTAGAAGACAATGGGTGGCGACTCGACGCTCATGTTCATGGAAGCCGCGCCCTGTGCCTCAACCTTGGGGCTCTTCTTGACTTCTTCCTTCTCCTTCGCATGCTTGTCATGCTTGTGGCGGTTGAAGATGTCCATGACGAGCGACTCCTCCGACTTTGACTTTGCTTTTACGCGGGGTGCGTCGTATGAATAGACTGGCGGAAGTAGGCCCTCAGGGTGCGGTTTGACGTGATCCAATTTAGGCAATGGTGTGGGTGCTACCCTCGCGAGGGTGCTCAACAGACGACCGGGCATGTCTGATAAAGAATCCGGGGTAGGGCTGGGATTGAGTGACGTGAGTGGATGATTGAAGTTGAGAATCTGCGAGATAAGGCGCTGTCCAATGGCGTGAAAGGGTGGGCCGAGATCCGATATGCAGGTGACAAGTGCAATGTTCAAGAGTTAACCTTGTGGGAATGTAGATGGTTAATAAGTGTCTGTGGCAGGAACATGTTCTGACGTTCAAAGTAATCAAAGGGGTCACTTGGGGTAGGGTGTGGTCTTATTTAAAGGCGTAGACGCATTTTCATGGAAGTTTTACATGAGAGAAACTCGATTTCGCATGATTTCATTGCTTACACCAGATGCAGGGATGGCGTACGCCACGCTAACGGGTTCAAGCAAGCCCACCCCTGCGCTTTCCATGCAGTTTTTGGGTCAGGAGGAAGGTACGCACGGCCTGCCGCTCTCGTGATCGTCCTGTAACTGTCGTGCCTGCCGACTAGAAAGACGTCAACAACCTTCTCAGCTGGGCGTGTACCAGAATGTTGTGATTATACACGCCCTACTTACAAACCTTGCTATACATCACCATGCGCAAGCAGCTATGCTGACCGCCAATCCATCACCATAGCCGAACTCACGCCGAAGTTCAGCTCGTGCTTTTGTTCCGCTGCCAACAAGGCACCGTGGTGGCTTGATGCATCGCCGGGCAACATATGTGACTCGCCGACGGCCATTCACTACAGCACGCACATTATACCATACTGTCTCCACCGGAAAACCCTGGGGTGCTCATCCATCGCAACGGCACACTGTCCGTCCGCTAACACTTATTCGCTGACGCACGTTTGATGCGCTGTTCCCCGCAACATGGCGTCGTGATCGCCTCGAAAGTGTGACTCTGGGGATGAGCATTCGAGCATCTCCTCGGACTGCCCATCGCCGGAGCGCCTCCCCGCATTCTTCAGGGGCACGAACCGTCACCGCAGAGTGTGCACCTGACACTCGTTGGGGCTTTTCCTCTGCACCCTACTCGCCCACATGGCGGATTGCTAATTGTGCAACGTCTTCGTCAATTCACGGTCATGTTGGTCCTGCATCGCGATGTTCACAGATGCCAAGGCGCGCCGTCGTTAGGTAATGCGTCGAATTTTTCCTGACACCCACCGTGGTGCGAGTACAAACGCTGGCTGGGTACTCCACCTGTCCCAGATCCTTTACAGCTTCTTTACACACTTTGGCGTTCCGGCCCGATATTGGTTGTTACCTACGATGGCTCGTGCAAAAGCACCCACTTGTTGGGAGACCAGACTGGTCTACATTACTCGATGGAAACACCACCGGTTCCCGTCGCGCAAGCAGTTTCGCGTCGGAGAGGCCCGACAAGTGCCTGTGGATCAGGACAGACCAGGCCCCCAAACACCACCTTGTAAATCTCACGATACTTCGCTTAATAACGGTGACGCTTTTATGGCGTCCGCGATCTGCCAAGAGTAGGGTTCCCGATTCGGTAAACTTATTGCAGTCTCTGCATGTCCCTGGCATCCTCGTGCCCTTCTTCTGAGGCCATGTGGCGCACCCATAGTTCCCTCAAGGATCCTATTCCCGTCGACATGTGCACAGTATCTTGGCTTAGCATGCCACGCGTAGTTCAGAGTCATCGTGTCGAAATTTGACGTGCGACTGGCGCCATCCAATGGCCCGTGAACGTGCTATGGCACCATGCTGGCAGCATCGAACAACATCTCACCGCTTGCATGGTTGCTCAAAGCAGACACAATTCACAGTGTCTAGACTTCCCGACAATGCCCTGCATTGCGGCTCTTCGTAGCCTCATCAGGGTACAAAGTTTCGGTCTACGACGGGCCGCTTCGGTATACCTATCTTGAACTCCATCACGACTTAATGGCCTACGGCGGCGCTCCCGATGTGGCGCTCTTCGTGTCGGGGTCTCCTCCATCGCATTGAGGCTGTTCTTGTCGCGAACCAATGTAGTGGTGTTCTAGAGCGCTTCTTGTACCCTCGGCTTCGCTTTCTCTACTGAATGCCGAAGAACCGCAGATTGGAACGCGGAGTAATTCACCGGAACACACATCTCTCCAGTCCGAACACCGCAACACCAAGCTTCCTGCTCCCCTTTACGGCACCCCATTCGGGCATATTCTAAAATTTCTTCACATGTCAATGACAGGTGTGACACGCAAGCGCGCCAGCAGCACACGTCTTATGAACACACACCTCACGCCCTAATCACGCCTTACACTAAGTGGATCTCATTTCGCGAGAAATGGTTTTTTGCGACGAGCATACCCACAGCAACGCATCGCTAGTACCCGCACATAAACAGTACCACGATCTCCTCCTACACCTGTCGATCTGCCGTAGACAATATGCAACTACTCCCTCTAGTACCTACAGCAAGATTTTCATTCCCCCACAAAACACCAGAGATGTGTAAAGATGAGAGATATTACACTCTCCAACTCCAGTACAATCAACCGTTGTGGAACCAAAATCTTACTGCTGCTGCATCGCTCACAAGCTTACAAGACAGGCACAGTTCCATCTTCTCATACAAGAGCTGCTTGTACCATCATCTACAACAAAGGCATGGTTAAGCTTCCGTCGCAGTTGGCTTCAGGAATCACCAAGGGTAAGCGCGATCTGTTTCCCACTTCGACAACTCTGGCGCGGAAGGCATTGCAAACCCCTTGCTAGCATTGTGTGGAGTACTCCCAGATGGGTAAGTCTTTGGCGTCAGACTAACTCGCTTCTCGCGTGTGACATCGCAGACTTTTCTCAGGGATCCCTAATCTTGCGAGAATGCTTGCGCGAGTTCACCCCACTACCCAGTGTATTTGCAAAAGCAAATTGCAAGCGGGGTTCTTTGTTGCTACAATGAATGTGCTGGTGCTAAAGCGTGGGTACAGCGATGTTTACTTCCTCTGTATGCTGATCGCAATGTGAATATATCTTCCAAACACTTGATCTTCACTACATGCAGCTGTACATGCACTCTCAGACTTGATGATCAGAAAGGCTTTCAGCGAAGATGATAAGCACACAATGAAAAAGCTTGACGGAATGGCAAATGCATCAATTCATTAGATCGTGCTATATGCCATGTAGACCTCCACCCATCATTGTTTTCCGAACCCTAGACTCCATATTATGCAAGCCATGTTGGTATCATCATGTGGTATCGTAGATCTACTCGTCATCCTCATCCGCCTCGTCGTTGACAACGTTGAAGAAGCGGAGCTCGTAGACACCCTTGGAGGTGGAAACGACGCGGAGCCAGTCACGGAGCTGCTGCTTCTTGAGGAACTTCTTGGTGCTACCATGGCGTTAGCTTATACTCTTCGCGTCGCAAGATGCAGAATAGACATACAGGTACTTCAGGTAGCGGCCAGAGAACTCCTGGTGCGCAATGACCTCGATCTTGCCATCGCCTTGCTGGCTGATCTGGATGTTGTCGCCAAGGTTACCGGTGCGGCCCTCGACCTTGATGCGGTCGTGAAGGAACTTCTCGAAAGCCTGGATGTCGAAGATCTTGTCGTTGACGGGCTGCGAGCAGTTGATGATGAACTTCTTGGTGATCTTTTGGCCCTTCTTGGCGGCGGTGCTGCGCTTCTGTAACTTGGGTACTTAGCCTACTGTTCATTTGTGCGCGGGGTGCTGTTGCTCCCTTGCGCTGGACAGCAAAGCGGTTGTACGTACGGTTGTGGACATTTTGGCGGTTTGTGAGGGGTGGGAGCGCAAAGAAATGGATATCCTGCGTCAGTTGAAGATGGGTTGGAAGGATAAAAGAGTCTCGCGCGATGCGCAGGAAGTTCGAGCAGCTCAAAATTGCCGGCGCGTTGGTGGGGTACTAAGCCCGAAGGGGGTAGTCGCGCGAAGTGTTCGAGATACGCTCATTGGTCGAGCTTTCTGAAGTCATCACATTTAGGACATGTCCATCTGTTGTACATCTACATTAAACTTCTTTACCTTTGTTGTTGAATCCCTCAGACTCTATGCTTGATTCCGTACATCCTTTGCGCAAACGGGACGGTACAAATGCCATGATCCCATTACTAGCGAACTCTTTCCCTCGTTCCACGCGAGCACAAGTGGTCGTGTAGATACATTCCCACAACGAGAAGCACGCAGGCAAGCTGTCATACATGTTGAATGACTTTTCATTGTGATGACCGTCTTCTCTTCGTCTTTGTTATTTTTTGTCGACATCGGCCATAAATACGGAGCATGAGATGTCATCAGGAACGTTTTGTGTTGGCTTACAAAACTCCTCGAGTAGGATACGATCGCCAGTCTGCCGAATATCATCATTTATGCCGGGATCAACATTAGGAAATTTTCCTAGGTATGTCCGGAGGACATTGCCGCCATACAATCTCCCACGCTTGTAGCCCCGACTTGCACCGACAAACTCTCGGAAGCTCATGTTCGCACGGCATATGGGTACGTGAGCTTGGAACATGGTATTTAACACGTGCTGTATCAAGGGCTCATTAAAGGCCTGCGCGGTCCAATAGGCCTCTTGTGTATGCAGAAGAGGTAGCCTAGATTCCAGTACGACAATAAAAGGACTATGAAGGCGGCGAAGTTCGAATTTGGCTTTGCAAAGCGCTGCAAGTTCCGTCAGCTTTAGCTCGCAGAGTGCAGGATATGTATCACATCCCACTTCGATGAAGTGATGCAAGTCATCGCAGTACCGCTGAAGCTGCTCAGGAGTGGGGTCTTGCATGAAGAATGTCACTAACCAGGGGTACAATCTTCTAGTATCGGGAAGAGTCCGCCGATATGTAGTGGTGATATCTGGGACAACATCCTTAGTATCACGATACCCAGGCTAGGGAAGTGTTCGTGCAGCTGATCGAGGTCGGCACGGTAGTTCTGTGGAACGAGTGCGAGGCTTGCGTTCAGCAAGAACTCTCCTCGGAGCAGGGATGGGTAACTATTAGCTACGTGACTCATAGCTGCCTTTCTCGCGACCAGATAGAAGTAGCGATTCATGTTGAGTATCGCGTCGAAGTTGAGTACTATTTATCTGAGTGTCATGGTGAAAGTAAGGGAGAAGTGGAGAGATTTATGAGCCATAAGGTCGAAAGCGTGCACTCCATTATCAATGGGTGAATGTTTCCAGCGTCACAAACTCGATGATCATAGGCGTAGCTTATAGTGTCGTTACATTTCACTTACCACTCCGGTGGTGGATCCCGATGCACGGTAGTAGGCACCCACAAAGAGAGCAACTTGGGTTCGTGTGAATGGAGAGGCATAGTTAGGACACTGCTGCTGGTCGGTTGATGGTACAGCGTCTAAAGATTACTGTGATCAGACCCATGTGCTATTTGATCAAGCTATGAGTCATCTATTCAGTGTACACTAGTGAATATCTCTCTCTACCCGCAGTATTCTTTACCGCAGTAAGATTCCTCGCTCTTATATGTATATTTCAGCTGCGGGTGCATACTCAAGATAGCTACCGAGAGGTCTCTAGAAGCACGGTTGCCATCGGATTGCTCTGATTAGCGCGATCAGCCCCTAGGAATACTAGAGAAAGTGCAACAACCTCTGGTAATCCTCCTTCGCAGGTTCCCAACAACATCTTCAGCTCGCTTCTCCGGTTGTATACCCTCGCTTGGAGATGGATGTACGTTGTGCATCCAGCAATTACAGTGGTGCTGTGGCAAAGTCAATCTCGTAACTCTTGGCTCTCATTTCCTTCCACCACGAACGATGTGTTTGAGAAAGGGCTGTTCATGCATCTAATGCGTTGAATGCAAGTCATGAACCGCGCTCGCTAGACTAGTCCACTTAACTTATGGCATTATTCATGATAGATCCTCAATAGAACTCTGAAGCGAACTGCTTCATGTAGTCCCCAAGGAAGAAAATCATACATTGTATATTGTAAGTAATACCGGTGTATATGCTAAGGGTATCTGCAGTCTCGCGTTTTGTTAGTGTCTAGAGTTCTTTTGGTACAAACACTGCTGCGCCATCCGGATCCGATCTAAACGGCATGCTGTAGAGGGTCCATGCAATCAGGTCAATGGATGTTTGAGATCGTATCGCGCGAAATTGATAGCATCTCGATGCTTCGAGTGCGGCGATGTCGATGACGTTGCGAGGTCGACACCGGATCTCGGAAAGAGAATCTGTCACGTGGTGAGACGAGCCACTCCGAAAAGAGGATAGCGTCTAGAAGCTTCCGAGACCCGAGTACCTTCGACGAATGTGACACAACCTTCACGACAACCACGTCGACATAGCGGATAATCAATGCCGTACACAGCATAGTTGGTCTTATCCCGCATACTACTACTACCGTTTCTATTTGAATGCTATCATGTCCAAGGAAATCGCGTATAAGGCGTCCAATGGGGCACTGCTGCTAGGCAGACACGGATGAGGCCTAAAAGCCTTCTTCTTGGGGGCGCAGAGTCCATTTAATTCTTGGTTGATCCGCATTGCATAGCTATAATCATTATCCCATGCTTTTTTTCCATCATTTATCCCGTACTACTACACAAAACGCTACCATGCACTTCTCACCAACAATGCGCAATGTCGTCCTCCAAGCAACCGCCATCTGCACCATCTCACTACTCTACCAACACTATGCCGGCGAAAACATGTTCAGCGAAGTAATGCAAAACGAAACATTCAAGAACCTCACTTCCCTCATGGCCAACGGGACATCGTCGGACCAGGCCCATAACGCATATCTTGAAAAGATGCAGAAAAGTGTCATTCCCGTTGATGAAGCTGATCAGTACGTAAGCCACACGGTCAACAGTTCGAATGGCACCACATGGACATATTTCTCCCGAAAGAATGAAACTGGAGCTATTGACACTACCAAAAACAACACACCAGAATCTTTCTACGGCCGAGAATTACCAAGAGAGGTGTTCATCTTCCTGATTCTCACTATGTTACAGTATTGGTGGCTCATTGGACTAGAGATGATTTTACCTGCTCGGCGTAGGCGTCGAGATGTCCCGTACGAAGGAAAAGAGAAAGTGGAAGACAGTGAGGATAGAGAGGAAGAGGTCGTCAAGAAATGGATTGCACAGGGTAGAGTGAACCGGGCATCATTGAACTGGTGCAACACGCTCTTGAAATGGGTACTCGATTTGACAGTTGGGATGGCATGGTTGTTCACAGTAGAACATGTGCTTCGGCACCTTCTGAAGCTGAAATCACCAATGCTCGTCTTTAGCGGCCTGAAAAGTGTAAGTTCTTATCTTCATCTTTCATCTTGGCATGAAACTGACACACCAATCAGCACCTGATCTTCAACTTCATAGGCACATATTTCTCCGTTACCCCGCTTGCTCGCCTTATTGTCTTTATTGTAATTCCAGCATACAAGCAAATCATCTTCATCGAAGGTATACAGCTAGTATGGACAATCTTCGCCTATCAGTTTATACGTATGATTGCTTCTTGGGCGGTCAACACGGAATTTGTGCAGGGAGCAATGCTGAACATGACGGGAGAATTGGAGAACAACCCTGCGAAGTGGCAGCCCATTAATGGCCGAGAGCTGTAAGATTGTAAAACGAGAAGGACTGCTACTTTTCAGGATGGCTTAAGTTTATATTACAACTGAACCGTTACTCTGAGCATAATCGTAAGTGATGTCATCTTTAATACCTCTATCAAACACTACCTTTCCCATATTTGACGACTGGGCTTCGTATCGCAACCACATGAGCGCTTCTTTTACTAGATCCGATGGTCCAGCAATGGTTGGTACATGCCAATCATCCCCTTGTTGGCTAATGAAGTCTGCATGCGCACGATCGTGTGCCTGCGCAATGGCGTGTGCGCATTTGATGAGTGAAACAGATACACTAGATGTTGCAGGGAACTTTCCCTTAGGTTCAGAATGCAAATTGGAAACCGAATTCGATGTACGAGGTGTAGGCGGAAGCGACTTGTCAAATGGTACAGGAGGAAGCCCGCGATTCATGTACCAAGCTTCGCAGCCTGTCCGCGAGGGTGGTGGAGCTGCTGGCGTTTCGATGGCTGAGCGTGGAGAACGTTTCTTTGGCCTCTTCGCAGCCAGTCGCTGTCTCAGCCTGTTGAGATACTGAACAATCAAGGTCAACAGCTCCGTACATCTTTCGCACAGCTTCACACCCCATATCGGCTGTGGCGATGAAGGCTTAGTCTTTTTCACGGGTTTTGATCTAACATGCTCTTCATACATCTCGCCACTCAGCACTCTCGACAACGGCATTCCATTAGGTACTGTCCGACCCCTCGCTCTAAGCCTTCTTTCTGACAGGTCACTATGACCAGTTGCTGGGAAGAACTCGTGCTGGTCGCTCCGAAATGATGGTTCTCTGGGCTTCGCATCGAACAGCATACAGCAATCTGAGTCAAACACCTTCATGAGACCGATATCGTGCGACTGCTGGCTATATTGGCTTGATGACTCGGAGTGGCGTATACATGGCGGCGAAGGTGTTGGCCGTGGATTTTCTAGCCAATTCTCAGCCCTAGAATCTAGTATACTGTCGCTTTCTACGACCGATACACCCAGCGATGATTCATGCTGGAAGTTCTTGTATCCCGTGTGCGGTCTTTTTAGAACTGATTCGCCCCGCGACCTTCGTGTTTCTAAGAGAAAGGGATGGCTAGTCTTTGATCGAGTCATGTGATTAGGATTTGTAGGGCGATAGTAGTGCGGCGACAAAACTGACTCACCTGCACGTACTCGCGGCGCGTTTGATTGACAGCTCTCATACTCCAAAATAGTGGGACCTTCCCTTATGAACTCCATCGCGGTACAAAGCTCTGATGTTCGAGGCCAGCGGCGGGGCTTGGAACCGCGATAAACAGGCGAAGAAGGCAATATAGTCGTCTTCGTGGAAAGAGTACTAGAGTTGCGGAATGTGCGAGGCTGACAACTTGCGCTTTGGGTTTGGCTCGCCAGATCATCCCACTCAGATCGCCAGTCTTCGCTGTCGTTGTCAAGATCTGCCTCGCTGCTAGCACCGCCTCTCAATCGCGGATCGGGATCCTCTACGGTGGAGAATGGCGGATTGTTAGTATTCTCAGGCCATATACTTTTCTTCCAAGGTCTACCAGCTCCACTCTTCAGCGCTGGAGCGTCGTCTTCATGTCTAGGACTCAAGTCACTCGGAGCATAGTCTTCCTCGGTGAAGACTGCCTGGCAATAGTCGCAATACTCCCGATGTTTGTCCAGATGTGTAACCCATTCTTCACAATGCGCACTTCTGGTATACCTAAAACTTCTGGAGCTCTTATCTTTATCTTGCGGACTTAGGCACTTGGTATGTTGCCAGTCAAAGCGACGTATGCTGTTCTCGCGCTGCTGCACGAACTTAGGAGGGAACATGAGACGGCCAAGTCGCATACTCAGTGGCCCTTTTGACGTAGCGATCGCCCTGTCTTCCGCTATGCGGTGAGATGCTGGTGCAATTTTCCCGTGATCTTTCAGCGTATCCTGGGGAGCGTTTACTGCGACAGGTAGTTTCGGGTAGTGTAGCGGAAATTCCCTGTCGCCATGTTGATCGTGATTCCAATATCCTGGGTCGCTACCACCACCACGTACCGGTACTACACGTTGTGATTGCGAGTTTAGGATATCGTAGTACAGTTCGTTGCCGTATGAGGAACAAGCCTGGCATATACAAGACCTCGGCCATCTGTTCTCGTCGTCGGTATCGACCGGGTCGCTGAGCGGGTTAATTAGGTCGCCAACGCCTTGGTAGTAGTCTTTCTCTCCTTCACTCGATGTAGTCTGGGCCGAGGTGACACTGGATGACTGAGCTACGTTTGACTCGATCTTAAGCACCTTTACTATCTTCTCAAGACCTTCCACTTCTTCGTCGATTACCTGCCATGGAGCTATCTTCGCTTCGCGATCCAGGTGAGTGCTGGTATTAATATCGGGTATGCCGATGGTGATCCGCTCATCGCTCAAGTTTCCAGGTAGATAAATACCCTTCTCTTCGCGAACATTCATGATTTCCACGATGCGTTCAATGTACGGATCGTTCTCAAGCTCTTCCATTCTTTTACCAACTTTGAGAATCCCGCGGATCTCTAGTAGTGTAGACTTGCAAGGGAACTGGTATATGTGCGGAGGGAAGCCAGCAAAAACTATTGTAGACCGTCTCAGGTAGAAGTCGAAGGAGTTGATGGTGGTAGTAGCCCATGGACGAGAGGCCTCGGGTTGGATTCGCTCGTTGGGGGTCTTCAACGATGTCGTTGACTGCGAATCTTCGTTGCTGCCTCGTATCGCCGTTTCTTTCTCCTGATAATTTGGATGGGGGTTATGGACTGCACTAGTCTCGACCAGATATGCCAAACGGGTTTCAAGGTCCTGGAAGTCTTCAGCCATAGCTCTCTTGTCTGCCTCGGCAACCTCAAGCCGCTCCTCCAGCTCCACTTGTACATCCATGTTCCAACGCAGATCCTGAATGAGACTGTTGTTCATCTCCTTGAATTCCTCAAGTTCGCGCTCGAGATAGAAGCTGCCCCATTGTTGTGTTGTGGCTACAGTCACCCAAGCATACGCGCGTTGTTCTGGCGAATCCCTAATGATGCCCATCCTAGCCTCGTCCATGAGGATCTCATGAAAACGTTCAATCTCATCCAACGAGTCTTCATTAAGAAGAGGCGATATCTGGATCGGCTCATGAATCGGGGAATCATATTCATCACAGGCTCCACCACGGCTGTGGGGACTAGCGGCCTCTGGTGTACGATTCGTAAGAAAAAGGTTGTTGTTGTTGACCATATACATTTCCCCTTCATCCTCATTCTCATCAAAGCTCCACTCTCCACGCGTCAGGATATTCCAGCTGAGTCCCATGGTCTCCCATATATTCGCAATCGCGTTCTTGAACACTTGCTTTGACTGTATCTTGTGGAGTCCGACGCTTTGCCAACCCCCGTCTCCGCATGCTTTCTGCTTCCATGCTTCTCGCCGCACAATTTCTTCTGTCGCTCTTTTGGGGAAATAGTAGATAGTTGTGGCGCTGTGGAAAACGAGCTCGGGCTTCATAGAATCGGGGATGATGAATCCTGGAGGTAGATATACAACGATGTAGTCAATGATGGAGTTGCCTACCTGGGAAGTAACTCGCTGGCAAAGAAGGTGAGGTGAGGCTGGGATGGAGGTACGAAGACTGGTGTTAGCATGATCCCGAGTGTGGTCAACTTCAGATTCTTCCTCGCCATTTCCACCACGTAAGTTTATATCCTCGTCTTCCTTCTCTTCTTCATCAAATACGGACACCGTTATCGTGCTGGAGGGAATTAGTTTGGTGTCCTTTGCTACTGTACTGTCGTCGTCATTGGTGGATGTACGGGGATCAGTCGATGAGGGGAGATTATCTCGCTGCGCCGCCTCCGTAAGCGCATGAAATTGCGCTTCTATTCGTTCAACCTGCCGTATCAATTCTCGGATAACCTCATCCTTATCACAATAAGCCTGGTTCTCAACCACATCTGTGTCCCGCGCCGGTTCATCCGCCTGATCCAAAGTCGTATACCCACCATAGTCGTACACAAACTTTTCGTCTTCGTCTCGACCCATACCACTCCTTAACGTAGCATCCCCATCTGCGCTTCCAAGCTCTTGGTAACTTCCATCGCAGGTACAGTACGGCTCATCATCCTCATCTTCTTCTTCATCTTCTTCCAACATACATTTACCGCACGTACAGTACAGCTCCTCGTCTTCTTCCTCGTCGTCGTCGCCTTCTTCTTGCGTCTTGTATATATCCCCCAGCAACACCGATGTACACTCTTCATAATTCCCTGATATATTTGCAACCCGATTACTCCATCGTTCTTGCAAATTGCATCGGTGTGTCAGATACTCGATCAGCGTCTCCGTCCTTTCCAGACGGTTCTGAAGGTGAAGGATAGCCATCTCCGTGTCAATCTGCCGTAACGCATCTCGATCACCACGTGGCGGCCGCCGTTCTTCAGGGCTAAGCGTATTGCTACGCTCGAACCGATATGCCATATCACAAGAATCCGCACCTTCATTTCCATTTCCAGGTTCCGGCTCCGAAGCAAGTTGTACCGGCCTTGTCTCACGTCCCTGCACTTCGTGGCCATCTTGCGCTGTGTAGCTCCAGTCTTTTCGACGAATAGGTGCAAGCCCCTCACGCCACAACTTCGCCATATCTTCCCACCCGCCCTCGAAGTAATGTCTAGATTCCGAGGGCTCCGGTTCATCATCTCTAACTCCATAAGCTTCCTCCATGAGTACCCGCAACGTCCCATGCAAGTCTTGAACACTCTTGTGCAGATGTTGTAAATGCCCAACTAATGCCTGTGTCGTCTCCATTCTACCCTCCACATATCCACGGTTGGAACGTTCTCTCAACACCGCATTCTCATGGCTTAATAACCAAATCTCGCAGTCCGCTTTACGGAGCTCGCATGCTAGCGTTTCGATATGAAGGGACGCGTCGATGAGACCGTTATTCGGATCTTCTAGTCCGATGCGAGGCTCGATGTATTCAGACGTGCGCTGGCCCACAGCAAAGCAGTTTTCGTGGATAGGGCTGCTGTGGTTGTGCGTAGGTGCATGGGATGGGAAGACGGCGTGTGACTGGGTTTGGTGGTGGTGGTGATGCTGGTAGTCGGGGTGGCGCGCGTGCGGTGTGGGTGATGGTCGTGTCATTCTTGTGCAGAGGGATTTAATTAGCGATATGGTATCGTATTGATCAAAAGAGATCGAGAGAGTTTTCCTTGTGTTGTGATGAGACTGCTTCAGCAGAAGAAAGAGTTCAAGTTGAAGCACGAATCTCGATGCTGTCAAAGTCGAGATCAATATAGTAGAAAGACGAGAAGATGCACAGATAGCTGGTGGGACAGACAGACTTTATGCAGAGACACAAGACCTTAGAATGTGCGGTATTCTTCACAGAAGAATGGAATGGTGTGGAGTCGCGTAATATGCGTGAAGCAACGCGCAGGATTGAAGCGTCGTCGTCGTCGTGACTGAAATCCTATGTATAACGACAATATGCTGGATAGAAGAGGCGGGAAAGTGACAGCGTATATCATAGCAAACCGCTAAAAGGTCGCCATACCATGCTAGACGTATGACACAACGGTAGATGTGAAGTGTACAGCAGTCACCAATACACAGTGACGTGAATAAATACACAAACAGTCTTGCGAACGAACGAAGAAAGATACGATTGCCCCGCTATGCACACAAAACCAATGTCTATGAAGCTTGACAACGAGAGCCGCTCAGGGCTTACAAACCATGTCTGGGTATACCGTGCTGTGATGCCCTTGTAGTATTGCGCCGTACAGAAGAAGTGCAAGACATGTTGAAGGGAAAAACCAGAACTAAACACCACCTAGCCGTGACCAAAACCCATGTTCGCTAATGGACTAAAACACACTGCATATATATATCCCAGGCCGTGAATAAGAGAAAACGTAAGCTCTAAACAGGATTACAAGACTCTAAAATGAAGAGAGAGACGTGACAGCCGTGAAGTACGGTTACCGCCACGTGTTGAACACCAACAAACCCCATACCGAAAAGATAGCTGAAGCGCTATCATGTTCATGTATCGAACATGCCAAACGCCAATGGGGTAAAACACTTTTAGTTGCCGACGCGCTCCGAAACACGACCGCGCTCAATCTGCTCAACACGATCCTTGGAATCGGTGCGCTTCATGCGGGATCGGGCCAAGGCGGCCGCGGCTTCTTCGTGCTCCCGAGCCAAGCGTCTTAGGGCAACCTTGGCCTCTTCAAGAGGTATGCTGTTGCTGCGCTTGGGACTGCTCTGTCTTGACGGGCGTTGGCTTGGCGGGTTCGAAGTGGGAGTCGGAGGCTGGTAGCGAACACTGTTGGCCCGGGTGCTAGCAACGCTGAAGCCGTTCTTGGTACTACCAGGACGGCTAGTGCGATACTCGGTGCTTACTGACTCTTGGCTGCGGTTGTCGGCATCGCGAGCGGGGGAGTTCTTTCGAGATCGGACGTAGTTGGGGTCGTCGCGCTTGATCATGTGACGGAACTGTTGGGTTTGCTGATCAAAGACCCAACGTTGATAGCCCGCAGCGCCATTTGCGTTACCAGGAATGAAGGTGTCGTTTTCGTCCCAGCATTTGACCCAAGCCACGTCGTCAACCCGGAAGAAGCCAGCCTTCACTTCTTTGCATTTGTCGTTCTTGATCATGACAGTCTTCTTTCGCTTGTTGAACTCAGGCTCCAAAAAGTAGCGACCAATGGCATGGGAGTACTTCAAAGGAACAGGGTGCTCCAGTGGAGTGTACTCCTTTCCAGTTGATGACTTGACGGATGAACTGGGGTTGCTCTCTGGTTTAAATTCATCCCTGAGAGTTGCGATGAGGAACCAGCCTCGACCGGGGATGCTCTCGTACTGTCCGGGTACTGGGCTGGACCACTCTTCAACGACCCTCGACGACTGATCAATCTTGTTTGATTTGAACCACTTGTGTGGCGCAAAGGCCTTTTGAGTGGCTACAAAGAGGTTGGGTGCCATCTTGGTAGTACTTTGAAAATGATTGGTTGCTGTCGTTGTCGTCCTCGGCGGAGAGTCGGCAGTGGCGGTGGAGCTTGGTTTCCGGGGGTGGCAAGTACTCTGTAAAGTTCTTGGGACAGAAATCCGTCGTCGAGGTAAATCACGCGGATAGTGATCGTCAGTGACAATGTGTGATGCTCAAAGATTCTGTTTGGTTCGTAGACGAAGTTGAAAATCCGGTATCGTACCGCAACAATGAAACTTGAATGTGACTAGCCGAAGACCGCCGGTCACTGCGTGCAGATGCACGACTGTGTCGCTATGAAGAGCGCGGCAAGCCTTCGACGAGACGTAATTCACAGAGAGCGCGTGAAAGGGAGAGAATCCTCGAAACAGAGGCGCTGGGGTGTCGAAATATTTAAAAGACGGGAGCTAATTTAGTGCTGGGTCTGAAAATCTTTCCCAGCCTGACGGAAGGGAAATTGGGATGCGCTTCGACCTACCGTGGGTACCAGTGTGGGCCATGGACCGGGGAGCAATTGTCAGACTTCATATGCCAATGCGAGGTCGTACGTCGCCTCCGAGCGTATCGGACCCTCTCTGAGTGGGAAAACGGGCCTCATCAAAGCATTCGTCATGACACACTGCCTCAATCAGCTATTCTCAGCGGTAAACGTTCCCGGTTCTTTCCTTTGCTGCGCCCACGGATCCGCTGATTGTCGTGGTGGCATGCCAGGCTCCGCATTCGTACCTCCCTCGCAGCAACCCACATCCATTGATAAAGTGCACCCATGAGCCAATCACCTCGTCTTTCAGACACCCGTGGACGGATAATGCCTGATAACGCGACGCACAAAGGGTGATTGTTTCCAGCAGACGCCTGAGTGTGTGAAATTGCAAGGGCAGGCACAGACAGATGGCAGCTCCAGAGCGGTGTGATGCTGGGTTGAGGTGTGCGGATGAGAAAGGAACTGAGTGGACCGACAGGCGTTGACTAGATCGTGCGCGGAAGTTCCGTAAGCGCAGCCGTTAGCGAGTCGCTCAACACATGGAACCAGGAACCGTGACACAACAGACGAGTCATCTGGAATACTCCGTAACGAAGACAGCCTTCTAGTCAGCTTCGAGATGTTTCGGCAATCTGACTGAATGTGTCAAGGCACGATAAACTTCAGCTTCGCAATTCAACTTTCCTTTCCCGTACTTTAGCTACTTTCTTACAATCATATTCGCACCGATTCTCCAACTTCGTGAAACATGGCCGTCTCCACACATCCATGCCAGACCAAAGCAAACAGACAGCACAAACCCTGCCTCTACCACGCGACAAATACCGGCTTACCTTTGAGCCCACGCGACGCCTCACTTGCTTCCCACTCGGCTGCACCCAGCGTACGTGCGACACGCGCCAAGAAGCAATCATGGCTCTTGCGCTTGCCCCTGTGTTGACTCGTACGGCTTTACTATCAAACTCCCTTATCGATGGGCGTGCAGTCGCAATTCCATCTATCTGATGGCGGTGAGTAGGTAAGGCTGAGGAGTTGGACGACGGCTTACGGATGCTTATGGTTCCGTACGAGCAGTAATCTGAGCGTTGTGGAGGTGTGCGCATGTCGAGGTTGGCCGTTCAGGTGGGTCGATGCTTAGACATCTCGAGCATCGGACAACAGAAATAGCCGGCAACACTCCACCACCCAACAACAAGAATATATGCATCATGCTCGATGAGCGGCAACTCCGATCTTGTGTTACTTTGAGCTCATTGGGAAGTCGGCCGGAAGGTACTGGTCAATTTCTGGTCGCTTGTTGCAACAGACTACGTCGTACATCCAACAACCACATATTGGGTATCAACGCATAGTGTTGGAGAAGAAAGTTACCTGTCAGGGTTGGACGAAAATCAGCGCGGCGTAGTTCACCGCAATCTGAAGTCTTCATCTCGATAACCATGACCTAATCTTTAGCATGTGAAGAGGATCAGCCTGATTGATGCGCATTTGATGCTTGGCGCAGAGTACATGCAGCAGCTGATATACCTTGCGGATGATATCGCAAAACAACAGCCCGAACTTGCGCGGCCGGCAGTTGGGGTTGCAACATCGAAGAAACAATGCAGATAGCCAAACGCGCCAAAAAGCATCACGCATCCTACGTCATTCAAGCAGTCCAGGTTTTGGCTCGTTTTTTCATTGCATTCCTACTGCTCGTGTCCCTTGATATCTTTGGTCATTCCGCAGTAACATGTCGCAATGCTTTTTGAAGTGCATGCCTCTCCCCATACCGTATCGAAGGGTACTGTGAGCCGAAGAGGATGGAAAGCCTTCCCATTGAGATCGTAACTAATCAGAGAGACGCCTTGTATGCCCCGCCCCAAAGTAAAAATCCGCACCCATCTACGACTCGGTCTTGACGCGGGCCTTGCCGTTGGTAACCTTGACACCGATCTGCTTCGCCCTGGCGATGATTTCGATGCGCTTTCGTGCTGATACAGCGTGGGCGATCCTGGAGGAACTGTTAGCACGATGTATGAGGCACGGTGTAATTGGTGAACATACTCTGCGGCGAAGGTAGCGTTGTGCATGAGGAGAAGGTCAACATCGGCAACTGCATCCATTAGCGGGATCCTGGAGTGTTGCGGTTTTCGTTCTGTAGCATACCGTTGTTGACAACGAAAGCCTTGTGGCCGGAGGGCATCATGTGGCGGGTCTTCCTGTTGGAGCCGTATCCGATCTGTGAGGCGCTCCGTCAGCCCTTGTCCATCAAACGTTCCTTGTCGCGCCCGTTGTCTTGTCGGTAACAAGAATCCTCCTCAATCCAGGTGGTAGGTAGTCCGTACCTTGGGCATAGCAGCCTGGCCCTTGAACCGCCTGCGGACGCGGTTGTCGATACCCTTAGGCTTGCGCCATGAGGGGTCAACGCCTATCCATTGTCAGATCCCCATTCCTTCATTCCCGTCTCTGGTGTGTCTTACACATGAAGCGGTCCGACTGGTGGCGGTTGAACCGCTTGCGGTCTATACGGTACGTCAGTCGCGAGTTTTCGAGGTCATGGAGGCAGATTCGGCGTACGCTTCTTCACGATCGGGACATGCTTCTTAGCGGCGACCATCTGGCTGCAGTCAGTATAGCAACAGCAGCATTCCGATGAGGTATACGCACTTTGACTGCTGTGTGGTTAGTTGTCGTGGGGTGTCGTCAAAAGTTGGCGTTGATGGATTTTGCGAAGGCGCGGCACCACAGTGGAAGACGCTAGTGGCAGCTCGCTTACGCTGGCCCTAGCCACACCAAGAGGCGCAACGACCATCAAAAATTCTCGGCGACCATCAGGAAAGCACTGGCACTGTCGCGTGGCTAAGAACAGCAGAATAACAAACAAAGTCCCATATGCACCAAAGAGAAGCTGCGAGCATCTTGCTTCTGCGTATACTTTAAACCCGGAAAGTCTGTTGGATCCACAGCAAAGCATCTTGCAACTAGTAAGATCTTCCTGCTTTACCTGATCTAAACTATCACCTACGGTCTTCTCCGTACAATCACTGAATGCACGCGACATATTGCAAGTGGCGCTCAGCCTCTGAATTGCTCATAATGAGCTAGTCTACGAAATAGAAAATGCTCAAAGCGCCGTATATCTGGCCAAGGGTATGTAATGCTCTCGTGTATCTCGTAACCATGCATCAAGTAAAACCCGCCTACTGATGAGCAAAAAGAAAAGCCCTCAGCGCTTCCAGTAGCAAAACATGTCATCTACCCGTAACTCCCCGCTAGTAGAGCCATACGAAGACTTGAACACTCAGATCACATCTCATCTTCGTCCATCGGCTGCTCCTCAGTACCACCGCGCTTGTCCTTCTTGACAAACTCGACGAAATCGTCGATGACAGAAGGCCACGAGGACTCCTCGTTCCAGAAACTCAAGGACTCGTCGTCAAGGGAGAGCTGTGCGAACTTGAGGGTCTCATTCCACATATCCTTGTTCACGCTCTTCTTCCACGATGTGTTGAGAAACTCGGTCCACCAGCTTAGCCATGGGGTGTTAGGGCTCGACCACTTGACTGCGGACAAGGGCGAGCTGAAGAGCAGCTCCCAGTATACAGTGGCCATCTCGAGTGGAACTGCCCTCTGATCCGTGGGCTTGGCGATAGTGAATGTGTATTTGTAGACGCGCGTGAAGAGCTCCTTGTTGTTGGAGACCTCGCTCTTGACGTTGCTGAGATATGACTTCTGCTTGTCGACGGTATCACAGCTGCATCTAGGTTAGTCTCACGGCAATTCTGACGAGAGTGGTTGTGATCATGTCACTTACTTGCGCTCTGACCAACCCTTGATGAAGCCATCGCGGCTCATTTCGCCCATGGTAGGTGCCTGCACGATCTCGAGAGCAACCAACGCCTCTAAACCTTCGGCATCGACACCAGTCTCTTCAAAATACCGCATGGTACCCTCTACTCCAACGACATCCTTGTCGGGTGCGCCAGCCTCTTGGTACCGATCGAATAGTTTATTCAGATTCGTCTTCGCTGCGGCTGAGTTCTGAGCGTTGCCGCCGCCGCCGCCGCTGTAGTAACTGTGTGGATGGTCAGCCTCGGTCAAAATGTTTTATGAGCTGGCAGTTGGCGATTGTATAGACTGTAGCTGGACTTGTTCCAAAGGGACTGAGAGATCCTTGGTTACGCTTGAAGTATACCCGCATATCGTACCGAATCAATGCTTGTGCAGGATCATCGAGTTCCAAGGTAGTAGAGTATCTAGACGCCATGAATTTATCAATCTGCCGCCGGCGGTCGCCGCCTCCACCATCCCGGAGCGACACGACTGACTGTGATCTTAGACGTTGATCAGAGACGGAGGCATGGAGGGGAGTCGCTCTGGTGACGTCTAATATTGCCAGTAGGTCCTCCAGGGTGGATTCCGGCAAGTATGTAGGTGGGACGGGGGCCGTGATGCTACGTAGATTTTGCATGGTGTCTGTATGCGTTCCTAGACTGCCGTAACGGCTATAACGGCGTAGAGCGAATTGACTTTCCGGTAGATCGACAACTTTCGCAAGAGTGAGGTTGTTATGTAGCACCCGACTTAGGTGTTCTGCTTGGATTTGATGTTGCTCTACTTTCAAAGAGTCCAGGCCGTCCGCCAGTTGTGGTACAGAAAGCAATGTAGAGACTTCATCGACTGCATAGGCTCCAATCTTGGCGATGGGGTCGATAGAAGCATCGCTGTCTTCAGAAGAGGTTCGTTCGTCGATGGTGGCGCTTGAATCGACTGTGCGTATTTCCACGGATGGAGTGTTCTGCTGCTGAGCCGGTCGGTTGGAAAGGCTCATGGAGCGAGAGCTGGAGCATGAGCTTATGGAGCTGATCCGTTCTCGTCGATTACGCCCAGCTAGTTGCCTAGCTCTATCCTGCGAGGAACCGAACATGAAGGGCTGTGTGAGAATATCACAGATCTGATTAAATGTTGAACAATCCGCGGGTAGTATACTGCTGGGTGCAACGAGAAAGAAGTTCGTCAAGGGCTTTGCCGTGGATTGGACGATGCCGTAGCAGAAGGTGTGCTGATGTAGGAGCTGTCCAGGAAAAAACGGCAACAGGTCCGTAATGGGAAAGCAAACAACTCCAAGTGCAGGAGCCTAAAGACGCGGTTACGTTTTTGAGGAGCGCAGTTGTGTGTTCCCCCAGACCGCAGCTGCTTCCAACTCAGCGGTCTACCATGACCTGTATGCGGCTTCGTATGCGACTTCCTGATTCTTCCACGGGTTTCGTGGTGATATAGTAGTTTCCATTCAAATTCCATTGCTCCTTCCCAGTATGTACCGGCAGTATATTCGCTGTGTCCAGGTGCCAGGCGGTCGGTCGGTCGGTCGGTCGGTTTTGTACGAGTGGTCCACGGGTCCAATGCGCCGATAGATATAACAAGTATGTAATGAAGGTGTTCTGTATATATTTGAAACAAAGGAAATGCAGTACTTACGCGTTAACGGCATTCTGCGCATCCCATCCATGGCTCTTCAGCGCCCTTATCGCAGTGTTCCGGTCGAGCTGGGTGAAGCTGATGAACTGCTGGATCGCAGCCTTTTGCTGAGAGCTGTAGACTGCAGGCATTTTGTGTTAGCGTTGTGTGTCGGAACGGAGGTGTTGGTTGGTTGAAAGTCTGAGGTGAGTAGAAGCCGCGGGGTTGCAGGTGGATCGCGCAAGTTGAGGGGCGAAAGTAAGTGGAAGGCCAAGGGCGCAGTAGAGGAAGAGAGTCAAGCACAGTGAGTGAATGTGAAGGCTGGTTGCGCGCGTTGTTTACAAAACCGTGGCGGACGATGAGTTGGTTGGCGATATCTTGGGCGAGATGTGACGCACCGACCGACGAGGCAGCAATTGTACAGCCGACCCCGCCGAGTCAACTCCACCCTTGCTCGTGCATCCAAACTCCGGAATTAAGGCCGCGGCGACAAACTAACCCTGCATCTTGACATGCAGCGCCCCAGAACCGGAGACTGATATAACCATGAATGAAAGGAGGAAAATGTCGGCTTACCTTCTTTGGCCTCAGGTGCTGCCTTCGCCTTCTTCGTAGGTCTTGCTTTCTTTACCGGACTGTCCATCGCCGCGGCGGTATCTGTGGTTTTACGCTTGGGCGGCATTGAGAATTCCGAGTCGTATTCTTCGAGACCGTCGATAGAGTCGAGTAAACGTGGTGATGGTTCAGTGTGGTGCTGAGGACTGTGACTTGGAATGCTAAGGATCAGCGAGCTTTGCTCTGGTCGACTAGGAAGCTCGTGCGTTTCCTTGATATCTGTGCGCTTGCTGCAACAGACAAATCGACGGACTAGGTTGCTAAATATCATAACAAAACTGCTTGCTCTCACTGGAAGCGATGTTGTTACGTGCGTGCGTAGATGCGGCCAGTGCCTTCCAAAAACAGGCAGAATGTTCCCAGTGAATTTGTTTGTGCAACTCCAAACAGCTAGAAGTCTACGGTGAGCTCTGAACGGGGGTGTGAAGACTAATGAGCCTTAACCTGCATGGATGAAGAAGGCGCGACCAAGTGATAGAGAGTACCGTCAGCTTGCCGAGCTACCTAGGTAGTAGCCGAGTCGCAAAAGTGACGCGGCATCAAGTGTTCTCCCTGTTCACGATAAACATCACACACGGCAACATTAAGTATGCGCCGGTTAACTCGAGAGCCGGACTGGACAGAATGCGAACACGCGTGTGCTTTCAACTACACCCCCGGAATCCGTACCTATGTACTATCTTACATGGTCGTTTCAACACCCACACCCTCAAAAACGTGCCTGTACACTTGAGGATTCCTGCTGATCACGACCAGAAAACGCCAGACACCTTCAATGCTCGTTTACCAACATATAAACTTAACACGTTAACCACCTAAATCCTCACAATATCAACACGCGTCCGTTCCCAGAGCTTGTGTGCGACTGCAAACCCTTTCTCCCGTTCTGCCTCACTAACGACAGCAGGCTGTACAATAATGCGGGCGTATGTACCGGCTGCACGGCGTTTAGCCAACGTGCCAGGATTGATGACGAGTACCGACTCCACGACCTAGTTAAGATTAGCATACCGCTTTCAGATAGACGAGGCTCTTGAACATACCTTGACTGTGCCTTGAAGAACACTGGGGGTAATCAGTATGTCAGGTCGTACGTTCAGCATTTCGCCTAATTTGAGGTAGCTCGTGTCGAGCATGGTACCCAGCGGAAGGAATGGACTAGGTGTTTCTTCTTCTTCTGGCTCTTCACCCTCTTTCCGCTCGCCGTTGACTGCCCCACTCTTCAATACCTTCTCTTCGATTGGAGCTGGCATAAACTGCTGCTTCTCTCGTCCAGTTGGTGGGAACAGAGGTAAGAAACTTCGCTGCTCAATAACGTTACGGGCGCATCGTTCGTAGATGTTTGTTGTTCGCGCCTTGCCGCCTGCTAGCTCTTCTCTGCGCAGCATGTCCAGAATATCGATCGAGGACATACCTACAGTCATTTCGTTCATACTCACAGTCATTGGGTTAGTGACACATTGGACCATCTTTCCTGCAGCGCCTAGGCCGAGCTCCTTCTTGATGAACTTGTCCTGGGGGAACGCGGCATGGTGATGATGCGCGTCTCGTAAGCTAGGAACCAGAAGAACGTTGCACGTTGGCACGCGTTTGTTGAAGTTTTGTAGAGCGCTGGAGACGTGGTGTCGGAACAGATCAGTCATGGTGGCCTGGTCTGGGCTTGCGTTTGGCGGTAGGTCAAAGTCGCCTGACCGGATTTGAGGATGTTCTGCATCAAGGAACGGGCCCACCAGGATGATGGAATCTGCATATGCTTCAGCAGCATTGTCGAGGAAAGTGTGTAATGGCGCAAAGTCGAGATTTTGATCTGTGGTGTAGGGTCCAGAAGCAATCATGATGGTGAGAGGCCGGACATTCTCCGGGTCAGAATCTGGTGTGTCGAGGTATCGCGCGTTGATGGTATCTAGTTCTTCGGGCTTTGTGGCTGGCGGGTTCAGAAGTGGTAGAGAAAGGACTTCAGAAACCACAAATGAATCGCCCGAAGCGTTGGTGCCACGCAGAGCAACAATCTGGCCGGGGAAGAAGTCGTATGACGATAGTCCTTCTACGTTCAGCGGTACACGGCGGCCGGAGCCATGTCTTCGTGAGCCTTCCAGGACAATTGATGCCGTGTTGAGCCTGCCTTCGCTTGTGTCGTTCGCTATTCTTCCTACTGCAATAATCTCACTCGGAGACGGGTAGTTGGGATTGCCGAATGCACTTTCGTCCAGGCCCGTGGTATCCCTGAGAAGGTCGCGGAACTCGTCGATCCTGTCATCCAAGACTTCAGATGCTTCGGATAGCTTCATGGCCATAGTGCGATATGAGAACTTGGACATGTCTGTATTGGCCTTGAGTTTGATGCGGGGTTCTTTCGGTTCTTCTGACGGTGGTTCTGGAATAGCGATGTTGCCTTGCATAAATTGCTCGGTAATGTCGTTCGCATTGGTACGGGAAGCAAAGTCGAAGACACTGAGTGTTTGTTAGGACATGCCAGTATGATAGTATCTGGAATACGTACGGTCCACCTGGGGTTTCGGCCTTGGGTGTCATGGCACTACCCGGCGTACTCGTCTCATGAGCCTTGGTGGCCTTGCCTCCTGGTGTGTTGAAGTTGGCTTTGCGCTTTACTGTACTGCCATTGACGCCATTAGGTGCGCTTTGACGTGGTGTACCTGGTACAAGTCCTTCTAACCTGTCTCCAGTCAACTTAACCATATAGGCGATCCATGACTGCTTCAGACGTACATGTCATACATATCCCCGCCCTTTGCTCTTGGTGTCGGCTGACCCCGCTTAGGTTCGTTTCTTTGCTGTGCCTTCCCTCTGCTTTCGCGCTCCAATGCATCTTGTATGGTCTTCTTGAAGTCCCGCGCTGTCTTGACGTCCATCCTGTTTTCCTCCCCACCCATTTTCATGTTGTACGCCTGCCATTTGAAATCCAGTTCCTCGGGCGAGATGGAATATAATCGCGACATGGACTGCAATTCGGTGAGAACATCGACAGGGAATTGATCGCCCTTCATATCGCAGTAGCGCTCAAAGCGCTCGGTCAGTTCAGTCGTAAGGTCGTCCATCTTGTATGCGGTTACTGGGGTTCTAGGGTGATGACGGTGAAAGCACTTTGCGCGTGGGAACTCAGAAGACGCGTCGCGCGTGCCAGTGGGGCTAGCATGGAGAAGGCCTAGGGCGATCGACTGTGCATGCAGGGACCGCCATGTTTCCCAAAAAGTTGTCCAAGGCTGACCGACACCTCAACGCCGCAATAAGGAGGTTTCCTAAGATTTTTGGATAATAACCACCGGAGAAGTCAACTTAAGAAACTGCATTTCAACTTTGACAAAATGTCTGCGATTGGCCCCTTCGCGGACCCTGCACCGGGCTGCAAACCCGCAGCTGCTCCTGCCTTGACCGCCGAGCAACAAACCAAGTACGACCAGCTTCTCGCCGATGTCCGGACCTGGGAGACGCTTCCCGCAACCTCCGCAAAGGGTGCTGAAGAGTCACCAATTTCCGATTATGAGCGCATGTGGCTCACTCGCGAGTGCCTCCTCCGATACCTTCGTGCGACAAAGTGGAACCTCGCTCAAGCGACCCAGCGTCTGCGCTCGACATTAGTATGGCGTCGTGAGTACGGCACCGACCGCTTCACGGCCGAATACATCTCAGAAGAGAACGAAACGGGTAAGCAGGTCTTGCTTGGTTTCGACAATGAAGGAAGGCCGTGCTTGTACCTGCTGCCACAGAACCAGAACACCAAGGAGACTCCCAAGCGGGTAGAGCACTTGGTCTACATGCTGGAGCGCACCATCGATATGCACCCGCCCGGTCAGGAGAGTCTGGCACTATTGATCGACTTCAGGAACACTGGAGCTGGCGGAACCCCTAGCTTGGGTGTCGCCAAACAAGTCCTCGACATCTTGCAGAATCACTACCCAGAGCGACTTGGCAGGGCATTACTCACACACCGCAAGTACAACCCTACTGCTCCCTAGATGTGATGCTGACAGCACAAACAGTCCCATGGTATGTTAATGCCTTCCTCAAGCTCGTCAACCCCTTCATCGACCCCGTCACCAAGTCCAAGATTAAGCCAAACGAGCCCCTACCCAACCATGTGCCTGCATCCCAGCTCATGAAGGTCTCTGGCGGTGAAGTCGACTTCAAGTACGACCATTCCGTCTATTGGCCTGCGCTGGAGAAGCTTACCACTGAACGGAGACAACAAAGGAAAGAGCGATGGGAGAAAGCTGGCAAGATAATTGGAGAGAGTGAAATCTACCTCTGGGGAGGGGATGAGCCCAGTCTTGCAAATGGAACAGCCGTTGACACTGCAGTGGATGCTACCCATCCTACTACAGCAGTTGAGGGAGCCAACACTGCACCGAACGGGGCTGCGGAGCTTATTGATGGTGTTGACAAGTTGGACATCAAAGAAGGCGAGCCGGTCAAGGCTGCTGCTTGAAAGCTTTCCGTGACACCTCGGACGGTTGTTTTTCCTTACTGTATATATGTATAGACCATTTGACAGATTGATCTGGTGATGCAATAGACAGTTGCCTACAATATAATCCTATTGTAATCAAGTCAAGCATATGCGTCTGCAAATCTGTAAGCCGATCTTTCAGATACTAGTCAAGCGGCGCTGTGAATGCAGGTGAGAGGCGACACGTCGATGGCGTAGTGTCATACGCACGTGCACGCAACCTTGCACTAAAAGTGCTCGGACATACAACGCGTCTCCCAACACCATCCCCGCCTCCAGGCAGACCGATCGCGCCGCGCCTTCCCACCACAACCACTCGAACCATCTACCAAACAATCGCGCGCAAAAATCATGAGCGCGGCCGAATCACCTTCAGGTGTTGAACAAGTCGCATCTTCCGCCGCGCGACGCAAATCCGGACGCGTATCCAAGAAACCTGCCAGATTCGCGCCGGGCGCAAGTCCAACTGGCAGCTCGAAGCGCAAGCGCGGCGATGACAATGATAGCGGGGTCGACGCGAATGAGCCGCCATCTGAGGAAGAGTCTGAGGAAAGCAGCGAGGGCGAACCGGATGAGGAGGAATTGAGGGAGCGCAGGCGCAAGAAGAAGGCCAAGGCTCCGGGGCGCAAGCCTGCATCCAAGAAGGCAAAAACGAATGGCGATAGCGTCAGTCTGGCGATTCGGCCCGCCAACAATGCGATCAAGAAAGTGTCCAAGCGACCACGAAAAGCGCCTGTACGCAAGAGCGCGCTACCGGATGAGACAGAAGGACTATACGGTAGGTGTGCGGGTACGACGGGAATATACGCAAACTAACGCGCCATAGCCGACGTGTTTGCCAGCGGAGACCGACTCGAAGATGTCACTGCACGATGGGTCGCGCGATTCAATGAGCATGAGGCAAAAGCACTAGCTGAGGTTGTCAACCTGGTGCTGCAAGCTTCTGGTTGCGATCTGCGAATAAACGAAGATGACATAGCAGACCCAGACAACGCGCCAAATCGCGTAGCCGAAATCCAGGAAGAATTCCAACAGGTAGGTTTCGACGTATGTCGCACAGTTCTCCATGTACTAACAAACCACAGTACGAAGTTACAGAGTATCCGTTGATCGCAAAGGCAAAAGACGGCGGTGGTCAGGCTTTCAGGAACGCGCTACACGGCTTCTTCGTTACTCTGATACAAACGGTGGCGCAGTCGGGCCTCCTGTACGAGAGTGCAGAGCTCATCGAGAACATCTCGGTGTGGCTGGGCGCCATGTCTTCCACCGGCAACCGCCCTTTCCGTCACACGAGCACGGTTGCTTCATTAGCCATCACGACCGCACTAGCACAAGTTGCTGCCGACCTCGTCGAGAACACAGCCAAGCGTGTTCGTCAAAGCGAAGCGGAAGCCAAGAAGTCAAGAGTTAATAAAGCCCGTGTCTCTGCGGCGGATCACGAGATAGAAGAGTACAACCAAAAGTTGGAATTCGTAAGCGGTCAACTAGACGACTGGTTCGCGGCGGTCTATGTGCACCGGTATCGTGATGTGGATCCCAGGATCAGGGTAGACAGTGTGGCAGCCCTAGCAGACTGGATCATTGCATACCCCGACAAGTTCTTCGATGGTACTAAACTTCGCTACTTGGGCTGGGTGCTTTCAGATCCAGTTCCATCGACACGGATCGAGGTTCTTCATCAGCTTGCGCGATTGTTTAAAGATGAGAGTAAGCTGGCGGGACTAAAGACTTTCACAGAACGCTTTCGGCCACGTATTGTCGAGATGGCTACGCAAGATGCTGAGATCAACGTTCGTGCTGCAGCAGTAGACTTGCTCGACATCCTCCGAGAAGCCGGCTTCCTTGAACCCGATGATATCGATTCGGTCGGCAAACTCATCTTCGACTCCGATGCAAAGGTCCGCAAGGCTGTCGTAGGCTTCTTCGCTGAGAACGTCAACGCCGCGTACGAAGCCATTGTGGAGGATATGGGCGGTGAAGAAGCTCTCAACGAAGCCTTGGCACCGCCCGAGGAAGAAGAAGAGGAGTATCACAACCCGCGACTCGAGTGGCTGAAGCTGAAATGTCTTGTCGATCAGCTGCTCTCGTACGATGAAGACCAAGAGGAGCTGCCCTCACAAATCCAGCGCATGTCACCTGGCACAGAATTACTCTTGATTGCCTCTGGCGTTGAGTCACGGCGCTCACTCGCTGCACAAGCGTTGTATGATGTTATTTCGGAGATCCGATCATGGGAGGTCGTAGCTGGTTATCTTCTCTACGACCACTCTCAGACTGTCCGGGGCGACAGTGAAGACCCCGAAACCATGCTCCGCCAAACATGTCAGCTGGAAGAGAAGCACGAGACCATTCTGTTAGACATTCTGAGTGCAGTGGTCCGCATCAAACTGCAGCGCTTAGCAGAAGTACAGAAGGACAAGAAAAAGACCAAGACGCAGCGCGAAAGCGACAAAGAAGACCAATCGGACATGGCTCGACGACTCTCATTGCTCATTCCTCAGCTCCTAAAGAAATTTGGTGCTTTGCCCGAAACAGCAGCACTTTGTCTCCAATTAGAGCGTGAGCTAAACCTGGATGTCTTCGAAGAGTTAAGACAGAACGCAGCTCTCACTGCCCTGCTCGATGACATCAACAAGCAGTTCCTCACACATCACAACGAGCGTGTTCTTGGAGAAGCTATCAAGTCGATTTTACATGCTCAAGGAAGTGAAGAGCTGAGAGAAACCGTCGATCTCAAAGTGCAAGTTCTCTGGGATGACTTGATCAACACATTTGACGCTCTTCGACGAGACAAGGATCTCTCTGTCCGAGGCAACCTCGATCAAAATATTCTTCGTGGGGTATCAAATGTGGTACTGAAAATAGCGCAGCTAGTAACGGTCTCAGACGCTTCTGTGCTCGATCAGCTCCCCGCCCCTGCCAAGTCAAAGGGTAAAGGCAAGAAAGCTGCCTTGAAGACACCGCCTATCGACTCGGTACTGCAGATCCTAGAGCGCGGGGTGCCAGTTGAGGATTTGAACGCAGAGATCGAGGAGGCAGACGACACTCTTGTCCGTCATGCAATGTCGGTCATGCTCATGTACTTCATGTGGAAGTGCAGAGATTGCACCACGCATGTCGAGGAGGGTACCAGCATGTCGGAAGACGAACTCATGGCACTGGTTGAGCGAAGAGATACCTGCGTTACAACACTGATGAGAGTTATGGAGAGCCGAAAAGGCACAGATGAAGTACGGCTCAACGCTGCGAACCTGTTGCTAGACATTTACACCATGTTCTGCACACTTCGGGTCAAGAAGGGCAAGCTCACAAAGACGCCAAAGAAGACACAAGGTCGCGCTTCAAACTCAGCCAACGATGACTGGGAGGCTCTCTGCCGAGACATTGATAGTAACACTACGAAGCTCATCCTACAAATCCTCACGGCCTGGGAAAACCACTTGGCTAAGCTCACCAACAAGCGTCTCGAAGAGCCCGACATTGACGACGATCCCATCGACCCAGACGACGATCCTGAGAGCGACGAAGAAGACGGCGCGGACGAACATGGCGTTTCCGAAAAGCGAGTACGCGCCGCGCTTGCAGAGCAATCGCTCGACGCATTTGGTGGGCGTATCGTCCACGCCGTCCTTGTCGGCGCCCTTGACAGCGATGGTTCGGGGACAGTGCGCAAGCGTCTCGAGCGTAACAAGATGAAACTCACACCCACTTGGAAGGAAATCGTGAACCATCTCGATGTTGTCAAGCAGCGCAAAGTTCCCAAGAAGAGTGGTGCAAAGTCGGCCAGGCCGGATGCTAAATCGGCTAAGAGCGCAGAAGTTATTGAAGTGGACAGCGATGAGGACGAAGAGCAGGAGCAGGAGGAACCAGAACACGAGGTCCCTGGCGACGAGATTGAGGATGAAGAAATGGCTGATGACGACGCTGAGCAGACGAATGGTGTGCAAGAGGGTAGTGAGAACGGCGAGGCGGAGGAGGAGGTAGGCGGAGAACCTAAAGGTGACGACGAGGAGAGTATCCTCGGCGACTGATTAGGAGTGTTGCGATGACGAATGTGGTTTTATCGTTTGTTTAGCTTTCCTTTTCATTGAGTACGTGCGCGCCTCCACGTATGTTTATGGCGAGGCTATATTCAGAGGCATGCTTCTCCATCGTATTCGTTTTGCTGTATAGTACAGCCAGGCATGGCGCTGAGGCGTTAGCCATGATGGGCGGCTTTTTATCAATGTCATTATAGCTGTGGTTGTGGTACTTCCGATGAATAGATGTTCTTTGAGGTGAATGAGTTTCGCTTCTGAAAATGATGAAGTAGCTGAGTAGAATGTTCGAAATTTGTGAACGTGTGATGGTGCGATAGCTGGTGGATGACTACATGAAACACCCTATCCTACCTGAGTGTGCTTTTTAATCGTAGCAAGGGTAGAGCATGTAGCATACCTCTACAGCACGCTTTCAGCTTCCAAGTATCGGACACCTATGAGAGCACAAGATCGCACGTGCAGGAGCGACAAGCCGCTGTCCGGCGATACAACGTCGAGTGGTTCCAGATCCTGCCATGCTCCACGATCCCGGTTTCGCTTAGTTAGACTGCCGCATCAGGCATCTTGATAGTTAAATCGTGGATTGTAGCGATCTCTTGGCAAAGCGAGAAGTCGCGATGACCTGTGAGAGGGCCGCGGCGCCGGCAGACTAGCGGCCGCACAGACCAAGCCCACACAATATTCGAAATCGACAATCCCACCATCGTGAACCGACAAGCCTACGCACGCCCGATTGATCTCCGCCGACGACACAAGTCAATACTGTGAGTAGACCGTTTTGAAGTCGCTATAATGATGTATTTGCTGAATCGAAAATAGCAAGCGACAATCCCCGTCAAAACCCTTCAAACCACACATCATGTCTCACGAGTCGGTCTGGTACTCCCGCCCTAGGACTTACGGCAAGGGCTCCCGCGAGTGGTACGTCTGAATCTCTCGATACTTTGCAGGCGGGCCCAGGTTATATATGCGCTGGATGAGGGCGATGCGCACCGTGTTGGTCTCGCGAGAGGGGGCGGATTGGACAGATTTGGATGCAACGGTGCATGGTTTCCAGGACCCGATGGCTAACACAGTACTCACAGCCGCGTCTGCACCCACCCTGCTGGTCTGATCCGCAAGTACGGCCTCAACATCTGCCGTCAGTGCTTCCGTGAGAAGAGCTCCGACATTGGCTTCGTCAAGGTATGTTCTACTTCATAGCTATACTTTACACTATATGTACGGAAGAACACAGAAGCTAACAACGCAACAGCACCGTTAAATCCTTCATTTTCGAACGGCAGGAGTAGAAATGGGCGCAAGTGACGAACGATGATTACCTGACGATACGATAAAACAAAGTTACCCTCGACCCGACCACATCACGATCAAGCAAAACAGGATATGGGCTCGAGATCAAGGAAAAGCAAGCTGAGAGAGTGAGCTTTGTAGTCGGGCGGGGATGTTTCTGCATGGCGTATTTTCCTCATAACAATGCTTACGGGTAATGGGGGAGATATCCGGCTTTGCATGCAATGAGAATCAATCCTGAATTCACAACACGCTATCGTTTTGCTGTCGGAAGTTTGAAGTGCTGTGGTATCGAGGGCATGCGTGATGGTTGACTGATGCGACAGGATGACCTGGGAGAACAAAGTATCGCCCCCGGGTTTGCTTTGACGCATCACGATGATGGATCCTGGAGAACAACGAACAGAAGAATTGCCATATCTTACGAGACCTGCGAAGACAAATGTTGAGACCGTTTCGCTGACCAACAGGGACATGCCCATGTTATACGCTTCGGTTGTGATTCGCTACCAACGTACAATTCCTCCCAATCTAGGTATCAACAAAGAATCTGGTCAGCCAGTCAAGTTTCCAACCTCTGCAGTCCGTTATTCACAACATGCAAATAGCTGTCTGTTCCCAATGGAAAGGTCCGCAAAACGACGTACTGCAGTCTACATCAGCACACGATTAAGAAGTGTAAAACATTCAATACTATTGTAGGCGTCTGAGATATATATCTATGTATTCAACATCCCTATTAAGTCTATTATGGACATCAACATAGCAAAAGACATATTTTGCATCTGTCAGGTTTCTCCCTTGCATGAGGTGTAAATAGATCATTATCATTCATTATTCATCCAACAACTTAAAACTCCATGTATAATGAAAACCCAATCATCCTGATTTTTTTGTTCATGCCACAAAAGCCCTCCTTCTCCTCGTAGTAGTAGCAGTTCTCACCGCACTTTCTCCCTTCAAATCACTCACACACTTGACATTCGTCGGCCTCGCCGTGTCCCTAGCAGAGTATGTCCATCTACCCGGCTGTCCAGTCACAGCCACCATGGTCCGTCTCGTTGTCCCGTTAATCAGCAGCGTCATAGCTTTGTTGTCTCCGTTCTTGACGTTGGAAGTGCAAGACGCGGTTATAGAGCCTGATTGCCGTGACTCCCAGGTGTAGGTATCCAGAGTGACGGTGTCAGCGAGCGTCGGGTTAATCTTGACGGTGACGGTTGCTTTGCTGGATTTTGTAGCGTCGGTCTTGGAGGTAATGGTCAGTTCAAAGGTGAAGGAGGTTTCTGTTGTGACCTTTGGTGCGAGGAAGGTGGCGCTGGGACTGTTGGCGTTGGTGATGCTGATGGCCGGGGAGGCAGGTGTGGTTTTGGTCCAGACAAAGTTCAGGTCAGTGTCTTTGAGGCCTGTGGCGGTGTTGGAGCCGAGAAGTGTGACGTCGGTGCCGACGCGGAGCGCAGATGCCAAGGTGGCGATGGAGGCGATTGGTGCGGTTTGTGGTGTGGATGGCTCGGTAGGCGTGTCCGGGCTGGGAGTAGATGAAGGAGTGGGTGAAGGGGTTGGCGTGGCATTTGGGTCTGGGATATCCGCAGGACTGCAGCTCTTGGATGGCGCTGGAGGGGACGGGCCTGGGAATGGCGACAGGGGACCGTACTGTTTACCGTTGAGGAAGTCTCCTTGTACCAAGCCTCGAATGTCGTTGAATGGATACGGCGGTGGGTTGGTTCCAGGTACATCGACTTCGGGGAAGATCCACTCGCTAACAGCTGCGATGTACTGACCAGCTTTGATGCCGTCTTTGGTCTCCTTGACAGGTGTGTTGGTCGTAATGCGATATTCGCGGGTGAATGGAGCTTGAGCTTGCGGCGCAATGCGAGCCTCCCACTTGCACCGAGTCTCCTGCTTGGGTTGGGTTGTACCGATAGTGCGATAGGTCTCCTTACCCGTGCAAGGGTCGACATCGATGGCACTGATGGTGACTGTAGCGCCAGCACAGCTAGACAGGAAACCGATGGCGCGTATATCCGCAAACTCTACGTTCGCTGCATTGTCTGGCACGCCAACGAGGAAGTCCTCAACACGAATATAGTTGGGTGCGCCAGCTCCAGTGGTGATGTGCAAGCTGGGGCATACAATGGACGAGGCGAGGATCTCGCCACCAACTTTGAGACCGGAGTACTCAATGAAATCGCCAACCTTGAAAGGTACCATGGCAAGGGGGTCTTGCGGTGTGAAGGTTTGGCCGGTAGGGCGATTCGAGCTTGAGCACTTGGCAGTGTTTCCAGAGTACGGAATACACATGGGAAATCCCGAGAAGGATGTTACTGAAGGACTGGCTGTGTCGGCGACCCAGTACTTTTGAGAGTCGTACTGTGGTCCGAACAAGCCGTCAGGGTCGTTGATGCGGACCCTCGGACCACTGGCTATCTGGAGCGTACCGTCTTCGTTGATAGCTGAGATGTATCCTTGGCTTCCCTCAAGACCGAACCGTTGGGCGACTGAGACCTGACCAGCAATGACTTTACCGTTGACGATGTTTCCAACGACTGTAGTCTCAAACCCGAGAGCTCCAGCGTTGCAGAGTTCCCGAAATGGTGCAAATACTACCGGTAACTGAACGATAAGATTTTGTGGTACTTCGATGTTGAAGTTGTTGACCGTGATACTACCACCGGCATTGTATTCTGTGCCCGTGGCATCACAGCTGCCTCGTGTTAGCATCGATTTTGTGTCTCAAGTAACAGACGTACCTGTCTAGAGATCCAGTAACAGTAAAGGGCTGGATACTGGGAAGTTGCGCTAGACCGGTTGAGGCCAGCGCAAGGAAAGATGCGACCTTTGATACACGAGACATACTGAATTGCCAGACTTGATGGAATGAAGTGTAGATCTGGTGTGATACACAATCTGGAAGGAGAGACAGCGCGATTATATACGTATCATGAAATCCACATTTCTGTAGCTGAGTTGCACATTAGTCTTCCTTTCCGAATTTCGACAAGGCAACGTAGTAACAGCACGCTAAGACAAACACCCAGACCTCGTCTTCCCCGGTATCGTGAAGACTATCGAGCGAGCATTGTAGGTCTCGAAGCTTGGCGAAGGCTTCAGTCATGACACAGGTGCCTCTGTGACCAGTGAGATATCCTTGGCGTCCGCCATCAATAATTCCAAGAACTTCTAAGAAGTGTGGCATGATGAAAAGAGAGACGAGGCTGCCACGAGTTTTCCGCTGCGGTGTAGTCAATGCTCCGGGGTAGGAACAGCTCGTCCCGGGCATAGAAAAACAGAGGCTTGTTCCCAGTCTCTAAGATATGATAGGCTTACATCGTGATGTCTCGCTAGTCTAGTCTCCGCAAGACTACCGAAGAGCGATCTCGACCTTCTCAGCCTTGTGTGGATCCATCGTACGTAGATAGGAAAACCTGGGGTTCTGAAGCGGCTGAGAGTCGCCAAGACAATGCTTCTCGTATCCAAGTGTACGCATTACCAAGATCTAGGTCACTGACGGCTTGGGTCCGAGTCTAGCGATACAGGCTAGAAATCTCCGCTGCCGACCAAGTGCCGTTCTTTTGACAATGGTTCTGCACTTTCTTGTAATACGGTCATGGATGGAGTAATGCTCCTTCACAAAGTTGCACGCGCGAGAGCTACCAAGAACGGCGCGAAGAAGAATAAAGCACCGGAACTAAACTTGACCCCAGAGTCGAGAAGTCATTGATTGTATGTGCTGGCGAAGTCTTTCAGCTACAAGCTTGTTGTGCCAAGAATGAGGCTTGCAGTGTGTGATCTGCATAATGGACTATTTTGGTTTCTGTTAAGCTCCACGGCTCGCAGATCTGACAAGGCACGAGAGGGGAAACACGGCAGATCAGACTCGTGATAGACGAAAAGGGAAGAGAGAAGCGAATAAGAAAAAGCGTGGCTGTTCCAGAGCTGTTCAGCTGGGTCGTTCTCAAAGATGTCCTGCTTGGCGCTGTATGTGCGGAGGCAGATGCGGAGTCCTCGCATTGGCGCCGCTGATTTTCGGGATGTTTGTCCAGATGTAAAATGCGCATTCGGGTGAGCAGTGTTTCGTGGAGGCGGTTCTATGTCTTGCGGCTTCACCGGACAAGACGTGATCGTCGACGGGACGTAGTGAGGTTCCAGACTTTCGAGCTCGCTTAGGCCTATGCACGCCGCTCACGTGGCATGGGGCTGAAGGCGCTAGCTAACAACAGGCATGCTATGCTGTCTCGGCGTTATTCGAGATAATTGACATAGCTGACGAAAGTGCCGCGTTCAACGGTTGTATAGGAAATTACCCGAATAGGTAACATCCTCCAAGCCTGAACACATATGCCCAGGGCTTCTGGATGTAATGTAGTCACCAGGCTACGACAGAACGTGTATGAAGAATCCAGCCAGTAAGTCATAAGCATAAGGCGAAACAGGAACAGCGGACATCCCAAAAGGTGTAATAGCGTAACCACTCGATAGAAAGAAGTTGGGCCCTTTGTTCTCATCAGGTACGGTTGTCGATGCTAGACAGCACAGCACAGCACAGCACAGCTCGAATAGTGGAAAGGCGAATGAGCAAAGAACAAGATGCAATATTGAAGACCAGGCAGAGGTATCTAGCCCGACCTACACATTCATACACAGGTATATACATCCACCCTCTTTGATATCGAATGCGCGCAAAAACGAACGTACAAAACAAGACGTAAAGAGACATTTACAAATTACAACCTTGGGCTCGTATCATTCCAACCATTCAACCGACCCAAAACAAGGCCGTGCGCCTCCTTCATCTCCTCTCCTGCCCCAACCTATCCACCAGTCTCATAGCACACAAAAAAAAAACGAGAAAGATACAACACTCCTCTTTTCTCTTTCTTCCTTCAGGCACACATACATACTACTCGCTCTTACTCAGCCACCGGCATGCTCTCCACTTCCTCACTCAACGCCCTCCAGTTGTCAGCCTGCAACTCGGCGTACTTGACCCGTTCCTGCGCCCACTCCTGATGCAATCTGGACACATGATATTGGCTCTTTTGGAAGAAAGCGAGTTCGTCGCGGATGCATTCTGTGATGAAGACGCCGCGGGCGTGTTGTTGGACAATGGATTCCTTGTCCTGTTCCACAAGTTAGAACACAGAACATACCTATACAGGTTGAAAGGGGGTAACAGGGACTGACCTTGAAAATAGCATCCTCCACCTTCTCCGCCTCGCCGGGTTTAATCTGGTCGGCAGATTTCTGGCGGATATTATGGAGTTTAGATTCATTGTTTGCGATGCGCTTTTCCAGTTGGGGAATGTTGTCGCGGGCGTACTTGTCCCGGCGGTCAAACATGTCGCGTACACTGACCAGTGTGTCTCGCTGCCTCTTCAGGTCTTCGAGAACACCTTCTTCCCATCCTCTTGCTTCGTCTTCTAGCAATTGTCTACTGGAATCGAGATGTCGTGCTGTGGCGTTCATGCCTTCGTTTAACAAGGGAACATCGTTTGTGTCGACTGCGTATGTCTCTTGACTTGATTCTGTGAGGCCACTGAGAGCGGAAGAAAAGCGTGCATATTCGGCTGCCATGCCTTCGTTGCGGCGGGAGAGTCGCTCCATCATGCTGCAGAGGGTGATGTAGGTTTCTGCACTGCGACGGACGCCGGATCGGACGGTATCGAAGAGTTCGGGCAGGGTTTTTGGGAGGGAGTCTTCAAGATTGGGTGGTAGAGGTTTGCCAGTGAACTCTTCCTGGACTGAGAGGTTGGCTTGTTTGCGCCATACTGCGAGTTCCTGTTTCAATTAGCATACCTACAATATTGTTCCGCTAAGCAAACATACCGTGGGCACTGTCAGGAACATGACTACCAATTGCTCCTGGTTGAGGACCGGATGCCGTACGAGCGCATTCGTGAAACGCGCAAGACCTTTTCTTCGCTTCTCGAGGAAAGTAGCATCTGCAGCTATTGGGTTGCCGTTGACTAAGAAATCTCAATACGTATCAAGGCCATGGCAGGATGGGTACTTACTACCGACCCTCTTTGGGGGCAACAATGGCAGTTGTCTAAAGGGATACCGCTTGTGCAGGCAGTCTAACAACCAGACAAAATCGCTATATCGCCGGACGACCTTGGTTGTGCGCTTCGAGCTGGCGACTTCGTAGTTGCGGTGCTGGAACATGAACATGCCCTCCTTCTCCGAGAGCGCGGTAATGGTTATGACCTCCTCGTTCCCACTACCACCCGGGTTTAGTCGGCCGATGGATCTGCCCAACTCAGGTGTCGCGTTTGAGCCTCCATCTTCACCTGTGGGCGCGCCAAATCCCCCTTCTCCCAAACCGGGGGCGGAGAATTGTTGGTTTACGCCGCCATTGTATCCACCCCAGCCGCCCTCACTGCTCAGGGAACTCGGTTGGACGGGTTGCGGGATGTCTGAGGAAGTCGCAGTCGGTTGTGTTGTAAACTGGCTTGTCGTTCGTGCCGTAGGAGGTGCAGTCGAGCCGTTGGTATGCGGTTGTGCGCTTGTATAGCTTGCGTGGCTATGGCCTCTGTGCAGGTCGGGGCTACCCCAAGGATCGGCCTCTGGGTCGCCGAAGGATTGCTTGCGCATAGGCGCACTTGACCTAGTTGCAGGAGGCGATGGCTGCGTAGAGGGCTGGCGTTGCGGTGCGGGAGGGGTGGGCGGCTGGACCTGTTGGGGGGGAGGAGATGGTTCGCGAGCCTTGGTGGACTGCGGCAGCGTCACGGTTGGAACGGGAAGATCTGGCGGGGCGTCAATATGGTTCTTTGATGGCATGCAGGACCATGCTAACACTCACTCCTTTTCCTCTCGTCGACGCTGTCCAGGGTGATGTCCTCATGCTCTTGCGCCAACCCAATCAGGGCGAAGACAACATTGAACTCGTTCCTTCCCAGTTCGGCGCTGCCACCGGACGGTAGTACAATCTCGAGAATCTTGGACTGGGCGTGACCGGGGATATCACTATCAGCCAGCAGCTTCTTTACACCCTCCACACTGACTCCATTGCCCTCGCGATTCCCAGCGTCTAGCAGTGCGTCGAATGCGTCAATGTACAAGTCGGGCACATCCGAGGCAGGAAGCAGCGACTTGACGACAGCTTCACGTGCCGCTTTCTTGGGTGTTGGCAAGCCCCAGGGCGAGTCGTTGGCGTCCAGGTCGTCTGCGAACAAGCTGTTGCCCGTCTTGCCCGCGGGCTTGGGATCGTCATCGAAGAGCGACGACGACTGCTTCGCGTGCTGCGGCGTGTCGTTGTCACCGAATAAAGACATTGTCGCCTGGAGAAGATGCGCAGTGGGCTAATTATTTCCAAACTGCACGTCGTCGATAGGTATAGCTGCAGGGCCACAGCTTAGACTGGAGGTGCTACACGCGATGATAACATGGAGCTATAATGCGGCGGTGCAAGGAACGGGCTCCACTAACGCCCGACCCATGCTCTACCAGATCGTCACAGCCTTATCATTGCCTTGGCACCCGTCTTGCAGGTCACATTGGATGGATTCAGAGACTTGGTTTGATAATATTGATATTTTGCTATAGCTTGTTCGCAGATTCTAGTATCTGCTACTTTATCCGTTGTCGCATATTTGCGCCATTCCTCCTAAATCAAAGAGCCTGACCTTGTAGTCGGCGGGTATCCAGTCCTCATAGAAACACTAAAGATTTTTTAACTTCCAATTACGCCATGCCATGCCAATGCTATGTGGAGTGTCCACTTTCCTCCATCATGCTACCAATGCGCCGCTCAATATGGGGGTATATACGTGCTATCAACATTTGAAATATAAACAGAAACATGCGAGAGAACATGAGCCGTCGACAGCCTACCTGTCGTGGTCTGTCCGAGTGTGTTGTTCGGGCCTGCTGAAGTCGATCGTTGACGTTGATTCGTCTAGTGGCAGTGGTGTACTCGGTGTGGATGGCGGTCGCTGCATCTCTGCTCCAAGTACGCCAGCACTGTGTTGGCGGCCAAGCGGGGTTGCGGGCGAGAAGCGAATGCGAGGAGTACGTGTTGAGTTTGGCGTAGCAGAAAGATTGACAATCTCGCTTGACTCAGTTACACCATGAGAAGTTGCCGGTGAATTCACAACTCGGTCTTGCTCGCTCACAGTTGGTACATCTGTAGGCTGCATGGCCTCGTCTTGTTGCGCCTGTTGTTGCTGACGAATAATGTCTGGAGACCAGGTTTGACCCCGAGGTTGAGCAGGGATGATAGTCACAGGCAGCGATGTTTCGTGCTGTGGCCCGGACTTTTTCTTTGCCCTCAGCTTTTCGCCCTGCTGTGCGGCAAAGGTGCCAAGTCGGTCGGCGAGTGCTAACCCGTTGTAGTTGCGAGGGGGTATATTCGCAGCTACATCATCCACTGCAAGTGGCTCGATGACCTGGCCTCTTTGGAGCTCTTTGGGAGGTGTTCGTCCTTTCCGCCGGAACGGGTTCCCTAGTGCTTGCCATTGAAACTTGCTCCTGCTAGTGACTGGTTCTAGTTCACCTCCCTTCTCCAGGTCCTCAGGATCAGCTGGTTGATTTTGGCGTTGTTGTAACGAGGTCTGTACTTGTGGCTGTGCTTCATGGTTTTCACGTCGATCGTCTGCCGGCGCAGGCCGTGGATTCACTGGTGTATCGCTGATCGGATGATAGCGGACTGTGTACACAGTTGAGTCGGCGCTCGTTGTGTCTGTCCTGCTCACTGGCGATGCGATGACTGGCACCGGTGGTGGAGTCTGCACCCGTACATAGGCCCGCGAGTTGCGATCCCCACGTGTTGCAGATGCCGAGCGTCGCACAACTGGAGGCGGGGCGGGAATGTGGATAGTGCGCTTCTTTCGTGCTTCTGTTCGTGGCGTTTCGGTCCTCTTCCGTCCCAACCTCTGGGCAAGCTCGTTGAAGCGACCAGCATGTGCAGACGCGAAAACGCCGAATCCGCCTTGACCACTCCCATTCTTCTTCTCGTCTTTTTCTGATGGCTGACCCTTGCGTTTCGAGGGCCATTTGGAGTCCGATGGGCTGTTGTCAAGCATGTCGTCTCCGTCGTAAATCTCTCTTCCCAGAATTCCATCTTTTCTCTCTTCTCTCTCCAGCGCCTCAATGCGCTCGACCCACTCCCAAACAATGACACTGGCGGCAGCAGCTCCAACCCAGCGAAAATAGTCTCCCCATCCGGCAATGGTGTAATTTGCGATATCGGTAATGAAGAAGACAACGGGTGTCAGGATGGCGATAATAGATAGAAGGGAGATGACACTCATGTTCCACATCATGGAATGGTAGAAGGCGTATCGTCTCTTGGTGATGGCGTAGTACATGACCCAGGCGGCGTAGAGCATGCTTAGTGATAACTGAAAGAGGTAGCTGAGGGCGGGGATGGCGGTGTCGAAATGTGCGGGACGGCGTTGGTTTTCGTAAGGACCAAAGCTGTTGAGACAGCTGAATGCAATGTCGAGTAGGATGAGGGCGAATCCGACCCATTTGATAATGACCTTCTCTTTGTGGCGTGGGAACAGGCGTATCAGAGTCTGTACTTGTGCGAGCCAGAGGAATATGTCGGACACGACGCGCGAAACCTTGATTTCCATGCCGGCAACGACCTGATCGCGGAGTTCCATGGCATCGATGAAGCCCTCTTCGTACTGGCGTTGGGCAATCTTGAAGGTGTCGGCGGTGGCGAGTGTCAGAGAAATGGCGACAGTCAGGGCTGCTGCCTTTTGCAGCCACGGGCGGCTTCCTACTCCTATGATAGATCCACCTCCTGTTGCCCCGCTAATCATTCCGCGCCGTCCCATGAGTCCTGACCGTCCCGAAGCGTTGCCGACGAAGAAGGTGCGTGGTGTGATGATGAGCATGATGACGAGCATCCAGGCGATGACGGTCGCGGCGCCTGTCGCGTAGGCCTGGGGCGTAATGGAAGCGTGGAAGGGGTCGCGCATGTCGGCTACACTGGTGAGTCCTCCTGTGCCGTCGTCGATGGAGCCCTGGGAGGTGGCCGTGTTGGTGCATAGCGGGCGGAAGACGGCGTTCTCGTCGAGGGTGATGAAGTTACCAGGCGAAAGTTCGATGGTACCAAATTTGAGCAGCTTGTACGAGGGACAGTGCTGGTATCGGTCGTCAGTCGCGTGCGTGGATGGTGTCGCGGTCGTGGTACTCACGTAGGGTCGGGTGGCATCGGGCGCGCGACGGTCCAGGAGAGGCGCCCCATACCAAGAGTCGTCGGCCTCCCACATACTCGGTCGGCGTCTATAACTGTCCAGCAGCAGTTGGTGTCCGGTACAAGAAGCCCATGGAGGTTCAGATGAGCGGCATGGCCTGTGTGTCGTGTTGAGGTCGAGGGTCGCGGTTGTGGGTTAAGCGTCAAAGCCAAGTGGGAGTTCGCTGGGCGAAGCTTGAGGGAATGCAGGCGCTGTGGGTGGCACCTGCCGTTCCAGCCTGCCACCGCCCGTCTGCCATTGGCCACCCACGCCTGTAGGGTTCGGTCCTTCCAAACAGGAGCCACGGAGCCCCCCAGTCACTCCGCATCGAGACTCCATCCAGCCCGAAACGTCGCAGCATGAAGCCATTAGTGGGCCGCGTGTGCAACTTCAAACTCATCAGCGTCGTCCTGGACGGTGCTGTTTCTGAAATCGTTCTTGAGTAATCAGTCGCCTCCCCAAGTTGGACGTACTCTGGGCGCATTGAGCAATCTCGTTGAAGCAGGGAGCGAGCAGTTTCGGACAATCTCGGGGCGACTGGGGAAACCCTCCACAAGAAAATCTAATCACCTTTCCATTTCAGCTACTGCATACGCCACCGAACAACACACCCATGCAACCAAGAAAGAGACGAAAACAAATGGCTCCAGATCTCTGGTACACACTCTGGATGACAGCTTGGGGCTGAGATTTAGCACATGGCGTGATCTGGTTGACAGACGTCGCGCGACTTCCGTGGCGGAAGCTGCACCATGACCGTGGCCAAGCCTGTCAATAACATCAACACTCTTAGTTCAACCTCAATCATACAACAAAACTTGATTCCACATCTGCGCAGGACAACTATCGCGACTGAGTGGTCTGTACGCCAGCCGTTGTAGCCGGACGCCCTCCCAAAAACACTCGATGCTGACCACGTGCATGCACGTCGCTTAGCCGAAGAGAGCGTATCCAGCTCATTCGACTGAGGAATCAAGCTGTCTCGATTCACTCAACTTTGGGAAACATCAAGCTTCAAAGAAAAACTGTAGGCACGACCTGCTTCATGCGGATCAATATCCGGGAAAGCTTGACCACGCCCACGTGCTGGCCATGCGCATCTAGAACCTCTACTTATCACTGCCTGTTATGACGCGCCTCCTTCCTCAGTGAGAACCTCTACAGTCTGTATCTGTTCGCCAAGGACGCTACACGCTGCCGACTTCCGGTGTTGACGTCTCGGTAACCTGCGTCAATGTCTGGAGTATTCAGCGAACATGTGGAACGTGCTGTCAGCCGAATCTGAGCTCAACTCTCACCACTAGAGAAAAACTGGGGCTATTCACACAATGAACAAGTGTGACTAAACTATCAGCTTCGGGGGTATTGGCTGTGTTGTGATCACGCTCTGAGGGGTTAGCCATGTCATTGCGTCGACAACGAGGTATGCATCTGCATTTCTTTGGAGCATCTCCAGGAAGACAGCCGCAAAGGCCTTCTTTACAGAAGTCGGATGCAGCTTCCGACATATTCCTGAATGACTAGGCGATTCTGACCGCGCGTGAGGGTTCTTCCTTCACGTGTACACGGATCCCTAACAATGAATCATGGAAGTAACAAACATGGCGCGACTGCACCCACAGGCATAGAAGCCAAGGTCTCCAACTTTTCTCTGAAAACATCCAGTTAACTGGACCACTTCCCGATTTACTCTTAAAGATACTTCGAATAGCATCATCTACTGCGACTATCAGATATGGTCCTCTGTCGCTACTTCCTGCAAGGCTGCTGCAAGAAAGGAGATACCTGCGCCTTCGAACATCCCCAAACACGCCAACCATGTTCTTACTTTAAGAGAGGTACTTGCAAGTTTGGAGTCACATGGGGAAATGCGACATTACTTGATAAGCTAGCTACAAGTATCCCTCGACGTGGCCATCTTCGTATTACTTCTCCAGAACACGCACAATACTTACAACAGCTACATCTCTTTCTGATCACTGCATCCTATTTGTTTTTTCGACTGCTGTTCGCCTGGGGCGAACATCAATAACAGATCCCACTGTAATACCGACTTGTCACCTTTTCCTATTACCCGGAATATACACAACAACAATTCAATCTCTATACCACTGTGGTATCCAATCAACAGCCTCGCCTTTCAATACAACACTTTCCCACGTAGCTAAATGACAACTTCGACCATTTTTATGAACAATGCCTAACATAGCACTGGTACCCAAAAAAGAAAGTGATGCTCAAGACATACAGCCGACAAAACAACGTGGCCAAGTCGACGGAGCAAGCAGCACAAAAGCCCCATGATACTAAGCATCTCAATGGACATACAACGAATATGGAGTTGCCCAAGGCAAACGACTGAGCACCGCAAGCCGCTCCGGAGCGTAGATTACCTGCCGTTATCAGTAGGGGTACTGTTCAGCAGATACCAGTAGGAACGCCCGAGCCGGTGCTGGATTTTAAGAGGGAAGCGTATCAACTAGAAAATACATGTTGGTAGAAACAAACGAAGATAAGGTATCCGCAGCCAAGCGTAGGGAGGCGAGAGAGAAGCGTTATTATATGGGGAGGGGGATTTGCGTAAATCGGAGCTTAGAGTGATTAACCAAATCAAAAACCACGGGATGATTGAGCCGCCTTCAGCTTCGACTGTTGTCCGACTGCTAAATAAACGGAGGGCGCTGGGTTGAGTAAGATGCGGTTCACGGTCCGAGTGGAACGATAGAGAGATAAATTGTATACATAATGTTCCAAGAGTCGAATGGAGAATGAGATCTGGATAGGCAGTCTTCAATGATACTGATTGTGCCTGTTGTTTTTAATATTTCTGTTGACTACTAACATGAATACAGTTTTTGTAGAAAGAAGAGAGTCAGAGCGAACCTTTAAGAGGAAAGGATAAGATAGAAGAGCGTTTTGCAAGTTTGCTCGGCGTTGTGTACCAATGTTTGTGCTGACTATGCAGAGGGACGCATGACGCTAGCGCACGTGCTCGCGCGCCTCGCCTGGATCGCCGGTCCTTGTCCTTGCAGGCGCATCTTTCTGCGGCCCCACCGTCATCGAGAGGTAGACGATTTCTCGCCATCTTGGAGCTTCGTTTACATAATTATTTTTTTTCGATATCTTGGATGTTGCGCACCAGTAATTGAGGTTTAGCGGCTCTTTCAGATAGACCGCAACGTTTGCGCAACGCGGCAATTGGACGCGACGGCGCCGCGCAAGACAAGACCCAGGGTGAGACAGTGAGAGACATCCACAGTGAAGCCGACTCAAAGGCCAGAAACGTCAAGATGGCACCCAAAAAACCGCGCGATCGCAAACGGCAGACCAAAATCAACTTCTCGCCTGCCCCCAAATCCTCGCCTGCGACGAAATCGAGTGCTGCCACAACCATGGGGACCTCGCCCTCGCGGCCGAACCTGACGGCTATGCGACCGACAAAAGCGCCCAGCAGAGCTTCCAAAAAGAACAAGCAAGACTTCTGGGGTGAGGATGAATTGGCAGCCGGAATAAAGCGAGGAAAGGGGTTGGGCAAGCTCATCGGAAGCACGGCGCATGGCATGTTCGACAGCTCCAGCAGTGATTCTGCCGGTTCCACAGCTCCAGAAGAGGACGAACCACCGAAGCTTGTTGAGTCACAAATGCGAAGAAGAGCAGCGACGTACAGCGAAAGCGGATCTGAGGACGAAGAGGACGAGGAAGACGAGGTGCCAGTGGAGGAGCCTAAATCACGAAAGCGAAGACGAGCCACGACGCCCAGCGAATCTGGGGACGAGGAGCTTACAGTTACAGTTATCCCACGCAAGCGACAACGCCGCGTCAAAATCGAGTCTGATAGCTCAGAAAAACCGAAGAAGGAAAAGAAGAAAGACAAAAAGGACAGCAAACGGCGCAAGACGAAGGAGAGTACGCCGGAGAAGGAAGAGACGCAGCCTGTACCTCGTAGCAGCCGACGAGGGGCTGTGAAGAAGGCTACGACACCAGATGAAGATGATGAGGAGGACGAGCCTCTCACACCAGCTCCAAGGTCGAGGCGGAAGACCACCCGTAGGAAGTCTCCATCTGCTGAGGAGGAAGAGAAGGAGCAGAGTCCACCACGAAGCACAAGACGCAGACTCAAAAGGCGAAAATCCCCCTCAGAAGATGAAGAGGAACCTTCAGCTACGCCTGAACCTGCGAAGCGCAGAAGCAGGGGAGATGCTGTGTCGAATGGAGAAGATCTGGACGAAGCCGACGGAAGCGCAAATGAACAAGAGGACAACGAAGAGCAGGATGAGTTGAAAGAAGAACTCGCATTCTTGAGATCATCTCCACTACCAGACCGTGGCAGATTAAGAAGCACGCAAGACAAACCTAAGAATAAACGGCAGGAAGCTCTTGAAGCGCTAAAAAGGCGACGTGCCGGCACTACAGGCACCAACGAGCCTTCTTCCTCCGTCACACCTGGGCGTAAAAGAGCGGTCGTGGTCGATTCAGATTCCGAGTCAGAGCTTGAGGTGATTAAGGAAGAGCCAGATAGTGATCTTGAGATCTTGGGACAGGACGATATCGAAGATGACGAGCAAGAAGAGTCAGACCGTGATGCCAATGCCCTGGACATGTTCCAAGAGGACCAAGAAGATGAGCAGTTCATCGACGACGACCCAGATAACATGATTGGCGAACCATCTGTCAACGACGACCTCGACGAAATGCGTCTAGCATTCAGCTTATCGCGTGCGAAAACTCGGGATTTATTCAAACACGCTGTCGAGTGGATGGTCATGAAGAAAATCCACCCAGGTTTCGATTCGAACAAAAACGTCTACACGCTGACGTTCCGTAAACTGGATGACGAAGTGAAGGGCCTCGCCGGATCCAAATACACATCCTCAGCCTGGACAGCCGACTTTACAAGGGCTATCCGCGCACGCCCAGATCTCATGATCAACGAACTCAGCGCTGCCGAAAGAGCCGTAATGTCACCACACTGCGAAGCATGCAATAGAAGCAACCATACAGCAAGCTTCGAGCTCCTTCTCCAAGGTCAGCCCTACCACCCGGAAACACTGGAACCCCTTGCCAATGCGTCAGATTCCTCTGATTCCGATAGCGACGACAGCGACTCTTCCGGCCTGTCCTCCGACTCTGAAACCGCACTCAACGGCGAAAAACCAACTTACAACTACCAAAAAGACCGTATACCCCCAGAATCCCACCGCTTCCCTCTCGGCTCAACATGCAAAGCCAACGCACAAGTTGCGCATACGCTGTACCACTGGCGGTACAATCTCTACCAGTGGGTGAAAGATTACCTCAAGGCCGAGGGACATTTGACGGCGGAGAAGCTGGTCAAGAGAGATGGAAGGAGCGATCGCAAGAGGGCAAAGGAGGCAAGGAAGATTGTGGATGCTATGGAGGCGGATGGGCAGATCAGGTCGCTTTATCATTCGTACAAGACTCAGCTGCAGGCGGCGGTGGAGGCGGATAATGATTATGCGAATGGCTGGGGAAGGAGGGGTTGATCACTTGTATACATTGGTTAGTCGCATCAAGTGATGGCGTGCAAGCAATGAATAGAGGTGCAACGCATTGATTCGTAATTTTTGGGTATCATGGTGTATGCTTCGTGACCTCTTTGACCTCGACCGATTTCTTTTCTTCCCTGCCTCAGAGCATTTCCTCCGTCTCCACAGGCGCTGGTATACTCTGCGATATCTCAACATCCACTTCCTTGCTCTCGCCCTTGACCTCACCATCCTTGGCCTCAGCACCTCCCTCCGCCGCTGCTACTGCCGTCTCCTCCTCCACATCCATATCTTCATCGCTAACCCACTCCCTCTCCTTCCTCTTCTCCTCAGCTTCCAACTGCTCAAGCGCAACCTCTTTCTTGGACTTCTTCGTGCCATCACCATTGACATCCTCCCAGCCCTTGGCCCTCTCAACAATCTTCTTCGACTTGCCCACACTCTTGGCCCTCTTCTTCTCTAGCTTATCCATGTTCTCCTCTGCACGTTCAAGTCCCTTTTGGTAACGTAACCGTTGTGCGCGCGTCATCTTTGTGTCTTTCTTTTGCCTCTTCTGGATGCCGGCATCTTTTGCTTTAAGGGCATGAGGGTTGGCTTGTGAGGGCCGCGATGGTGAGGCGGAATCGCGGGTTGTGTTGGCTGGCTTTTGTGCGGATTTGTCGAGGTTGAGAGATGGGGAGGCGGCGCGACGAGCGGCGCGCGAGTGGATGGTCACCGCTATGGGTTGTTAGGAAGTGTACATGAGAATGGTGGTGTTGAGATACTTACGACGCTTCTTGACTTTAGCGGTCTTTGCCATTGTGTGTTGGGTTCTTGGTTGTTGCTATTGAGGATACTAGGGACACGAGTGAATGCTCAAGGATGCGCGATTTTGTCTGCTGGTCGCGATATATTTTCGGGTTTCGATTTTAGTAAAAATCTCGTGTCGTGAATGAAGTCTCGAATCGTTCCAGAAATCTACAAAAGTTCCCCACTAGCTCGTAAACGCCAAAATTCCGGATCCACTTGAGCCGCTAGCGCGTTCCCGCACCTCCCCCAATAACCTCTCGTAATCACGAGCCATCGCCCTTGCCCTAGGACGTTCACGCTGTTTCGCCGCCACCACCGCCGCTGTCGCTCACCCCCGACTGTCGCACCCAGTCTCTCCCATGTCGCAGACAAACACAGCACCGTGTTTGCTCTGTTCGACTACTCCGTCCATGCGCTGGCCCGAAGGTTGAATGAGACCCACCATTTGCGCCTGCAAGCGTTACCCATAGTTTACACACTTTTCGCTACGCCCGCTTCTTCAGCCTGCCCGTAGGAGTCTAGCGTTTCAAATTTATTTCTACCTTCCACTTAGCTATGAGCTACGCAGAGTACCCCGAATTCGAGGCCTATCAACAACGGTGGAACACAACCGAGTCGCATACCATCATCACGTCCCTTCTCCTGGGCGCTATCATAGCTGTATACGCCCTCTTCAAAGGCCTGGATATACTAGGCTATCCTGCCTGGCATCTTTTACAGCATTTTCTCGAAATGGCAACCGATGTCCTCCGCCTCCGCGGCGCCTCCTTCAGCTCAACATCCTCCACCTCAACCGACGACGATACAACGCAGCAGGGAGGCATGTTCGGTAGCCTCTTTGGTACGAGCCCGGGAAACCTATTACAAAAAGGCGTACGAGGTGTCGCGAATGCCTTTTCGAAGGGCCCTAGCGACATTCCACCGGGCTTGGGCAATATTAGCAACTCTTGCTACCAAAACAGTGTTATTCAAGGACTCGCCTCCCTTCCATCTCTACGCGACCATCTGTCCAAGACGACTTCCCAACACCCCGCGCTCACTCCCGATAGCACAAATGGCGCGCTATTCGATATCATCACTAAGCTCAACGACCCGGATAACAAGGGTCAACATTTTTGGATACGTGGCAAGTTGAAGTCAATGAGCACTTTCGAGCAACAGGATGCGCAGGAATACTATAGCAAGATATTGGATGCGCTAGATGAGGAAGTCAAGAAGACTGCGAGTAGTAAGAGACGATCCTCTGTCTCCTGGCTTGAAGTTACAAAGAGCCTGAGCGACTCAACAGATGCAGATAAGAAAGCGCAAGACGGAACAAAAAACGGGACGGATAAGTCGGGATCGTCACCTCAGGTCCCATCGAACCCGCTCGAGGGACGCCTTGCTCAGCGCGTTGGCTGCACGTCTTGCGGCTACTCCGAAGGCCTCACGCTCATCCCGTTCAACTGCATCACCGTGTCTCTTGGCAAGAACTACAGCTACGATGTTCGGGAATGTCTAGACGAGTACACAACCCTGGAATTCATCGACGGCGTCGAATGCGCAAAGTGCACGCTGCTTAAGCTGCAGAGGACTCTTTCGCCTTTAGTCGCTAGTAAGCCCGAATCACCACTGAAAGCAAGACTAGATGCTGTACAAGAGGCACTGGAAAAGGAAGATTTTGAAGACAAGACACTGCTAAAAACCTTGAATGTGCCGAAGAAGAATTGGGTGCAGAGCACAAAGTCGAAACAAGCTGTTGTTGCACGCGCGCCTCAGTCGTTAGTCCTGCATGTCAACCGAAGCAGCTTCAATGAATACACCGGCATGCCGTTCAAAAACACCGCGGGAGTCTCATACCCAACGGTATTGGATCTTGGAAATTGGTGCTTGGGCGGCATCCCTAATGGCTCGCAACAGCCCGCTGCATCCGAAGAGGAGTGGCCGAAGGATCCTAGACAGTCGATGTTGGCAAGGGATGAGCCTATGACAGATTCGCCTTTCCAATACCGATTGCGCGCCGCTGTTACGCATTACGGCTCGCATGGTAATGGTCACTACGTCTGCTACCGTTCACACCCTAAGACTGCATCCAAGCCCAAGAGCTCTGAAGACGATGAGGCATCATCGACGGAAGATGATGAAGGCGAAGATGTTGCCGTACAAGAGTCGGAAGAAGTTACTTCTACATCACAGCCAGAGCAGTGGTGGCGCTTCAGCGATGATAGCGTTTACCCTGTATCCGAGGATGAAGCGCACCAAGGGAACGTCTTTATGCTCTTCTATGAGCGTATCGACGAAGAAGCTCCTTCAACACCATATGCTGCATCGGAGATCACATCCGTGGTCGAGAAGGCACCATTGCCGCCAGCTGATGCTGCTGTTGATAGCCTAACAGCGGTTGATGAGGACGCCATCGCCACCGCTCTGCCAGACGACGATGACGATCTGCTAGACCTCATCCCACCACAATCAACTCCAGTGCCTCAACCAGCCACCATCGACTCCAACCAAACCCAAGAACCAGCAGAAGAGCCAATCTCACCATCCCCTACAATCAGCACACCCACCGAGGTAGCCCCACAATATAACGAGACAGAAGCCAGCGATGCAGAGTCTGAAGACGCGCCTTCCACCCAATTGACGTCTGACAACGAATCCGAAGCCGATGTACCCACCCCACCGACCAGTGCAAAGACTACTCCACAGCTACAAAAAGTCTCACCTAACCTCATGCGCACAGCGGGTAACAAGGCGAGTAGAGGCCAACAAGGCAGTAACAGGCAGAGTTTACCGTTGGTGTCTGCTACGTAGTATACGAGTGACGCCAAGCGAGTCAAACTTGATGGAGGAAAGGGGTGGTGTGTTGTTGGGTAGTTGCGAAGGCGTAGGATAGGACAGAGCGGGAAATAAGGGGGAGATTGTTGTGTGTTTTAGTTTGGCGTTGTTCTCAATTTTGGATTGGGCGTTTGAGGTACCTGTTTGCCCGACAGGGTCAGGTTGGCGTTTTAACGACTTTGGTTATTGGTATAACTCGTGTTCAAAAAACGAATTTGTATCGTTGTTGCATTCTTATGCTCTTGGCCTATTTATGATGGGTTCTGTTCTACTTTTTTAAGGAGTGCGCGGTACATCCTTAGGCTACATGGAGCATGGGATACTAGTGGTATTATTTGATATGTTGTTCATTGTGATAATGATAGTGTTGTCCCTTCTATCTATGTGTTCACCTATATTAGTGCTGACTCTGACACTTCCGTGAAAATGCAATTCGAAACGCTCAAATACATCATGCATCTATATACCCATGCCCCATGATCAATCATATCTCTAGCTCAATCCTGTAATGAGCCCTGCATAATAATATCTCCATCCTGAGTTCCCGCCAAACTCGCCGTCGCCGTCGCCGTACCTTCCTCTCCACTTCCACCCTCATCACCCCAACCTTGCCCCTCCAACCCATCCCCGCCCACCCCCTCCCTGCCGTCCTCATAACAGCGTCAAAATCCACATCAGCATCGAACCACCTGTCCTTCCTCTTCGTCTCCCTAACACCACCTTCAAGTGCCACGCGACTCGCTCTTGTAGTCCTACTCCTCTTGCCTCCTATTCCACCAGCGGTGTTTAGGACACTCGACATTCTCACACGATGTTCTTCGAGCATCATCTCGTGCGCAACGATACTACGGACGTAGGGCGCTAAATCGAGTGTGATGATGCTGAACGTGCGATCAAAGGAGGACGGTATGAAAATGAAGGAAGAGCGTTCGGGGAGGAGTTGGTCAGGTGGGTCGGCGAGGGGATCGAGGGCTAATGCAAAGTCGGGGCGTGTGAGGGAGGTTTTTGTATTCAGGGTTCTGCGGTGTTTGAGGATGGCGCGAGCGTAGTCGGATTCTGCTCGCAGATTTGGAGTCGATGAGAGGCTGTGGCTGCGGGATAGATCTGGATATGTACGTTGGATGAGAAGGTGGGTTTGTGTGGAGAATGCGGTGTCGAGGTTTAGGAAGTCCGAGCTGTGGTCGACTTGGAGCAGGGGTGCGGCGAGCGTATAGCTAAGGCGTGCCTTGTCGGTGATTGGTGGCTGGGATGAATCGGTGGGTTGATCAGAGCTGGACTGGTAGCTGGGTAGGTCGACCCGACAGAACACGTCTGCGGCACTGAGTGAATCGGCGTAGTTGTCAAGACTTATAAGGTCACCCAACTGATCGAACCACTCGGTGCTCTGCTCTCTAGATGGCTGTTGACCACTTGCTTCAGGAACTCCCCAAGCCGACGGACTGATACCCCAGTCCGCCCAGACTTGCTGCAAAAGTTCTTCTTCCTTGTCAAACACTGGGTTGTCTTGAGTTTCGAAGACGTTGTGTGATAGCCAGCCCATGCCAGATTTATATGTGCCTTCACTGGCGACTCTCAGTATTTGGCCATGCTCGTCTGTGTCTTTGCCGGGTGGCCAACGTTGGTACATCCACTCTAGGCCACCCTTCCTATCGCCCACAGACATCTGGCACCAGAAATCAAGTTCCATGATGCTAGCCCTCAGGTCGTGGTCCTTCGATTCGTACAGCTCTCTCACAGTCTGCCGCTCCAGTACATGACCTTCCCTACCAGCAAGGACAAGCAAGTAGTCAGTGGCCAGTTCCACGGGAGCAGGTTGAAGGCGGAGGATGGCCGCTATTGGCAGATCTTGCATGGGTATCTGTCGCTCATCGTTGCATGTGATAACGATTGGACGTTTCGACAAAGAGGCGATTTTGGTAATCTGAGCCCAGAACTGCTGGTCCTCCTCGAAAAGTATATCGGCCTCTTCGATGAGGATCAACGATTGCTTCTGCGATTTACGCGATGCTTGTGCCATGGGAAGCGTGGCTTGACCTGCGGGTTCTGGGGCTTTGCTGAGCTCCGTAGTCTTTGTTTTGATCTTCGGTTTGACCGCCCCTGCTCCAGGTTTTGTTTGAAAGAAGGATGTCATAGTCCCTTGCCGTCCGCTACTGATGTCATCCTCTAGAGCAGTATCTATCTGGTTGTCGTCTGCATCATCCGTCGCTTGAAAAGTCTCTTGCACAGATGCTGCGCTGCGTTTGTGATTCACTAAATGGTTCGCGGTCATATCGCCAACTTTATCTTGAATGTCTTTCCCCGAACGACGCATACCAGCATGGATTTCAAAGACCTCAAAATCCAACTCTTTCGCCACAGCATATACAGCTGCACTTTTACCGCAGCCATGAGGGCCGCTGATGAGCACGACATTATTGTTACGTATCCATTGCGGTTGCCGGAAAGATCTTGAAGGCGCGAAGCCTGCCCCTTCCGCAACAGGAAGCATGACCATGTCCTCATCCTCATCTCCTTCATCGTCCGGCACGATGAAGTCGTCTAGAGCTTTCTTTCTTTTCTTTCGTGGCGGCTGCTTTACATCTAGGGTAGTAGCCACTTTCGATGTACCACTTACCGCCATGACCGTCAGACTTTGCAACCAGTCTTTGAGAACCGCTGCCTCCGTGCCTGTCTGCAAGACATGTGACGCATACTTGGGACAGTACTTCAGAGTCCAGGGTTGAGACTCGCATCTTCCTTCATCAAACGGCGTGAGAGTGCTCTCAATCCCTTGGAAGAGATCTCTAACGGCTGGGTGGGATGTTTGTCGAGCATCCTGTGGTATTCCTGACGAAGACAATCGAACCAGCAGCTGTTCACGCACTCTGCGCTGTATCTCTGCTCCGGTAGTAAGCAGCCTTTTGGGTAGACGAACATCTTTGGGAGGTTCAAACTCAGAAGTTGACCGATCTTTACTCGCTTTGCGACCTCCGAGATCTTGTGCCAGTCTCGCAACCACATTCTCGTGTTCTGGAAGTATTACCACAGCCTTCTTCAGCTTGCGAGGTCTTAGAGGCAACTGCATACATGTTGCGTTGTCCAGACGCGGTGATGGAGAATCTAGGTTGCGGACATGGGCATTCTCGCCGGTAGGCCAGGAGACTTCGTTCAAACCAGATTGTTTCCCCATCCTACTCGACTGCAACCCTCGGCTAAAAGCTGGCGGTCCGTCAGGCGATCGGTCTCTTTGAGCCTCAGCACGCAGTTTTCCTGGAGTGCAAGCGCTCTTCCTTGGGGTGGCTGGTGGCAGCTCTCTAATGACCTTGGCTGGAGGAGCATCTTTAGTCTTGCCGAGAAAGAAGGGATGCGTCGGCCCTGCGGGTTTCGATGGTGCCTTTTTTTGGGTCGCTGGACGCGCTGCCAATTTCTTCTTCCCGTTCAAAATATCTGCAATCTTCTGACCTAAGGTAGCTTGACTGGCTTCATCTGTACCGTACCGTATGACCGTCACCGTGGGGATTATCTTGGCTTCCTTGCGCGGCCGACCCCGTCTTTTCTTTGGTGACGCTACTGTATCGAATGCTGGCTTTGGTGGACTGGATACTAATCTGCCGCTCTTGGTGATTCGTATCTGCTTCTTCGGCGTCGTCTTTGTCGGCTCGTTTGCGACGGAGTCAGCGGCAATGCTCAGGTCTGCCTTAGGTAATGTGTCAGGCTTCACAGCTTGCTCCAAATGAACCACTTGTTCCCGCACCGCATTCGCTGATGTATCATCCATCCCAATTAGCGGTTCAAAAATTTCTTGCACCCCGTCGGACCTCCCACCTTCCACCTGCAGTTGCTGATGCCAATTAGCAGCAAATGGCTCGGACTGCGCCGACCTCGGTGGATGGGAAAGAGGCTCCGGTGAGGCGGTCTTCTGCCTTTTTCTTCGTTCTTGGTTTGGATCTATCTCTAGTGAAGCCTCCACAGGTGCGTTATTGTCATTTACATTGGCTTCGTGGGCATTCTTCGTTGTCGATGGGCGAGTGAATCTGTCTAGAGACGCTTGGTTCTTCGTGTGAGAAGCGACCGTTTTGCCCTTGGCTAGATCGGTCTTTCGTGACCTCTTCTTCTGCCCTTGAGCTGAAATGGGATCTGTCTCGGCGTATTCTGCGTCATCGTGGGTATCGTCGACGGGGGTTGCGTTCGCGAATGGTAACGTTTCTGGTACGTGGCCGCCTAGGTGATATGTCAGCTGGTGGAGGTTCACAATTGCTGTTGCGGCATACTGGAAGGCTTAGTAAAGAATGGATGTACGTTCTTGCCCTCTAGATTCATTGCGGGTTGTACCGCTGCGAGGGCCATTTACAGATTCAGAGGCTAGGTAGGTATTTCAGACATTGGTATAGACCGGATATCTTGTTAGTACAGTATGCTATGCGAGTACACTCGTCGAGGTTGCAGGTGAAGGCGCGTGGTCGTCGTCGCCATGAACGATGATCTAAAGACACTTCCGGGGACACGCGACGTGACGCGCTAAGGGACGCCACTAAAGCCACACTTTAGCCTTCGCCAAGATTTCGCACCGCCTGCCTTTCTGCCGGAGCTCCAACTTTTTTTCGAAAGATACTCGACCGCGCAAACCAAAGCACGCGCCTCACCGTACGGTTCACGCAGACCTCACCTTGTTCGACGACCAGGTCTGGCAAACACTATGTCGTTCGACCAACCGATTGGCGCTCCATTTACATTGGCGTCCTTGTCCAAACCGATCAGCTCTACCGATGGACATGTTCACGCTGCTGGCGTATGCAGCCTTAGCGGCATAAAGAAGAGAAAGCGCACTGAGATCGCTGTCGGTGTCGATGGAGAGGGCGTCTCTATATACAGCGTAGGTACTACCACAGTGCGATGTGCGATGTGCGCTCATATCTTTTCCAGCTCCAAAACCCTCAACTTATAACTTCGTATGCGCTACCGCCAAGCGCAACCTTCGCATCCGCCCCGTTCTCCATCTATCGCAAAGGCGCGTCCAAGACTTTGACTCAACGCTTCACCTATGCTTCCCTGGCTGGGTCGTCCCCAGCTGAGAAGCCGTCACTGGTGTGCTTTCACGACAAGTCGTCCGGCGACCATACCGAGACCAACAAAACTTCGTATACGCCCTCTGACACTGCGCGCATCACTACACTAGACTCACTTCCTGTTGCGCCTGGTGGTTCAGCCAACGATACGACGCATGACATACTGGCGACTTTCGATAACGGAGATGTCATGTCTCTGTCGGCAGATCTCCAGGTTGTTAGATGGGTCGCAAACTTGAAGACACTTCTACCGTCTAGGGAAGCCGACACCGACATTGAGCATGTTACGTTGGCTAGTGCCAGGTCCGTCATACGAGGGCTCCTGCGAAGCCGGCAAGACATTGCTACAATTCTGGATCCTACACCGGACGAGACCTCAGATCTTCTAGACCTTATTCAGGTTATCTGCGTTGTGGACCGCAAACCAGATGGAAACAGGGCATTGACACTTGTTCAAGTACAGCCAAGGTCTGCCGACCTCACTACGAGCCAACTCACGCCACTAAAGCACCTACTTTCGTTGGACCTGCCGCAGCCAAAGACTTCGACCGCACGAGCTTCTACTTCGCAGATTGCTCTATACCCTTCCAGCGGTGCCATTCACATACTTGCAAGTGGAAACCTGTTATCTTACGACTTGTCCGGAACTGTACCTAAACTCTACTCAGAGTTCCTCCTTCCTGGGTTGACTGTCGACTCTTTCCTCCGAACTTCGCAAGACGTCATTTTTACTACGTCGCAAAACACATGCCGCGTCTTCGACGTCAAGTACAACTCCTTGCAAGCTTTGCATTCCATGAGCCCTAGCCCGTCCACTTTGGAGTCTACTAGCCCGTCGAAGAAGAGGAAGCATACGCAGCCGGAGGGTGATCAACAAACAGCGTCTTGTTGCAGCCTGGTGGCTTACTACGCCGATATTGGACTGGTTGTAGCTGCACGAGAGGACGAGATATTTGGTATGCAGTTCGGAGGTGCAGGATCGCGCAAAAGGACCAAAACCGAGGGTACTCTCCTTATCGATGCTCTTGGAAAAGGAATCGCACTCGAGACAACACCCAGCACAGGCGATAACCAGAAATGGCAGGAGCGAAAATGGAAGCTGAACAAGTATGCTGCCAAGGGCAAGATTGCAAAGTTCGAGCGACTCTTCGCATCAGACCTGGGTATTGAAATCGAGTCTGCTGATGTAGCGCAAAAACATGACAACGAGATTAACGGCGGACCTTTAACGAACGGAGGAGGGCCAAGCCTTCCTGATGAAGATGCCATGGTTGTCGACAAGCTTGATGATGAGCCTTCTAAGGACGACTTACCTCAATGGAAAATGCCCAAAACCATTCCTGGCCACCAACGACAGCAATACCGTCAGTATGCGCTGTATGCGTTGAGTAAGATATTTTACTGGACAGATGCAACAGAGGAGCAACCACACGGACAATTGAGGGTCGGCTTCTTTCCGCCAAACGTTTTCCAATGGCTTCTACAGACTGGGCATCTTACGAAAGAGTCCATTCGCCGATCAATCTTTGAAGGAGCAAACGAACAAATGCAGTCCACATCGGCTATCGTGGACGGCGACATCGTCAAGGCTTTGGTCGAATACGATCCCGATCTGCACATTCTTTCGGCAGTCCTCAATCACACTCAGTTCCTCCCAGTGGGCGAGGTCGTTCAGGCTATCAAGCTTCTTATCCAGAGTATAGATGATGAGCCAAAGGATAATGAAGCAACGAAGCTTTTGACAAACGGCGCCGATCCATCAGAAGATGAGATGGACCTCGACTTTGCTTCTGAGCTCGAAGCAGCCTCGCACGAAATCGATCATGCCTTGTCAGTGCTTGATCATGGCCTGTTGACGCGAAGCCATACACTGCGCCCTGCTTTGATCCGACTCCATACCTTCTCAGCCCCAATAGTCAGTGCAACTCTCCGCTCGACATTGCCACGCCGAGACCTCGATTCGCTTATTCGCCTCCTACACTTGGAGCTGAAGAACGGCGGATGGTCTTCGCCACTTGGCTTCGTAGATACAGAGTCACCCGCTATTGAGAGTTCAGGTGAGGACCCGGACGACCATGCAGTCACTATCATTGCGTCCCTTCTCTCGACCACACTCGACGCTATCGGCGCGGGAGCTTGGTTGGCCTCTGTTAGCACCATCTCTGCGTCCGAGACTGGTGAAGACATGCTCAAATCACTGAACAGGGATGCATCCATAGCACTGAGTGGTTTCTTCGAAGCTCATTTCATACGTGGTCTACTCTCAGAATTTCTGCGCTATGCTTCCACTGTGCCAACATCAAAGAAGCCTTCTAATAAGGCTTTAGAGGTACAAGGTAAGCCATTTGGTGTTGCAGGCAAGCTTGACGGCGAGGAGGATCTGCCTATGTTGCCTCTTGGTGCCAAAGCAGATCAAGGTGTGGAGAAGATGAAGAATGGCAAGGGAGGAAAGAAGGAGCAGCGGAGTAAGAGAGAGATGGGTATGCTGATCAGCAAACGGGTGCCGAAGTACAGCTTCGAGCGCATTGTTGTATAGGAGGTTGCTTTTGAAATTTGTATATAGCGGAAGATACCACAGATCATATAATCTAGTAGGCATCTTCTTCTTTAGTCCGACGCTATCAATACAAACATACCGGACTAGTTTGGTCGGGTCTTTGCGTGCCCATACCGTACGCTGATATTGCAGTTGCGAGCGGAGAGACCACCCAACCGAAGGCCCGAATGGCTGGGATGTAATGTGCACTAAACCTTAGATCTGCCCTAGCGCCATCCTTGACCACTCACATCACGGACCATGACGTCGACCGCGCGTGGAAAAAATGCCGAGCGCGGCGCGCGACTCCACGTTCGGAGGGTCGGATGAGATCCCCTAGGGGTTTGATGAGAGATCTACACCTAAGCACATCTCAATATGTCTTAACAATTCCCTGACTCGATCTTTCACTTCTCCTACATATACCTGGGTGGTCAATTGAACTTTCAACGCCACGATGGCGTCAACCGCGACGGGTCGGAATGTTGTGGACAAGGAAGAGGCGGGTTCTACGAACACAGCAACGGAGTCACCAATTGGAGCGCAGGAACAATCAGATGGATATCAACAAGATGCGACACTTACGGAGGACAAGAAAGATGGGGACAAGAAGACGAAGAAGCCATCAAAACTCAAAGCATCCTGGGATAAACTCGGTCTGGATGTGCCTACGCTCATGATGATGGGCAAAGCCGCGCTACCCCCAACAATTGCTTTGGCCATGTACCAGGCGACGGATGTTGCGCAAACGTTCACCACGCTGGGCTACCTAACAGCTATCATTAGTATCCTCGGATTCTGTATCATGCCGCGTGCAAAGTTCATCCAGACGATGATGATGAATATATTGGCGACATGTGTTGGTTCAGCCCTTGCCATGCTCATGGTCTGGACAGGAGTAAAAGCTCGACAACACACGACTACACCTGGAGCGCCACCACAACGTTATAACCCCTCGCAGTCGGTAGTTCTGGGAGTATGGCTCTTCTTCCAGATTTATGCCATCAACGCGATGAAGGCGAAGTTCCCGCAACTGGCTTTTCCAACGATCATATATGCCATTCAAGTCAATGTTGCAGCGACGAACGGCTTTCTGTTTCAAACAGTACCGCAATGCGAGGCCTTCATCCGAAGACTCCTTGAGGCCTTCTTGACTGGATTCGCGATCGCGACGGGAGTGAGCTTGTTCATTATTCCTGTTACATCACGCAAGGTGGTGATGAAGGAGGTGGCAGGGTACATCGGCTTGCTGCGCGGAGCACTTGGCGCGCACAAGGGCTACATTCACAGCTTGGAAACAAGTGATATGTTTGGGGAGAAGTACACACCAGAGGATGGAGACGGCAAGAAGAAGGTCAAAGTCAGGCCCGAAGTAGAGGCTATCAAGAAGATGACTGGAGCACTGCAAGCATTGCACGGAAAGCTCACTGCGGACCTGCCATTTGCGAAACGCGAAATTGCTTATGGAAAATTAACACCAGATGACCTTGAGGCCATGTTCAAAAATTTGAGGTCGATCATGCTCCCTATATTGGGTCTTGGTTCGGTTATGGATCTTTTTGAGCGTGCAGCTGAAATCAACCACTGGGACGGACAAGAGGACGAACACGACGAGGAGCTCCGCAGACAAACCGTTCAGGAATGGAACAATATGTTTCAATTTGTCCATGAACCTTTCAACAACATCTTCCAGGCTCTCGACGATGGACTTGCACACGTAATGTTGAAGTTACAGCTCGTCAAGCCACCCAAAAAGAAGAAGGGTCAAAACCAGAACGATACTGAAGCGAAGGGCGACGCCATCAAACCAGGAGAAGCGGGCTTCGCAGAATATATGCAGAAGCAAGCCGATGCCTTCTTTAGCAGGAAGGAACCTACCCTGCGCCATTGGGTCGAAACCAAGGGCATCAAGCTTCGCGATGATTACTTCTCGTCGCCGTCAGCACTTGATGAAGAAACTCTAAAGCTTATGCCCAGCATCACCACGCGAAAACGGGATCAACGTCAGCTCTTCATGGTACTCTACGTCATGTTTCTCTTGAGCTCGATCAGTCGCTCAGTAATCGAGTTTGTCAAATTCGCGGACGAGCATGATCAAGCAACTGCAAAAAGCAAGTTCATATGGCCTGGTGGACGGCGTTTCAAGAAATGGGCGAAGAGCATATTCCAGAGTCAGGACTCCAACTCCGAAGACGAAACAACGGTTGCAGGATTCGACAGGAGCAGCACGACTGTTTACATGGGCGAAGCGTATAAACAGAAGAAAGATCCCGAACATCTGCCACCTGCAAACGCGTGGGAAAAGTTTGGCAATGGCATTCGTGGCGTCTCACGTTTCTTACGAAGTTCCGAATCAGCTTTTGGTTTCCGCGCCGCGTGTGCAACACTGAGTATCGCTGTCATCGCCTTTCTTCGCCCAACGCAACAGTTCTTCGTCGAACAACGCTTGGTCTGGGCGCTTATTATGGTCGCCATATCTATGACTCCAACAGCCGGTCAATCAATCTTTCAATTCATACTCAGGATCGCTGGTACTGCAGTCGCAATGGTAGTAGCCTGGCTCATATGGTACATCCCTGGACAGAAAACTCCAGGTATCCTGGTACTCCTTTGGTTCTTCGTCGCAATCGGCTTCTACATTCCATTGAAGCGTATGGATCTGGTCATTGTTGGCATGATCAGTGTGGTTACTGTTACGATGATCGTCGGTTACGAACTCCAAGTTCGCAAGATTGGAGAACGGGCTGCAACAGCAACAACAGGCCAACCGGCATACCCGATTTACGAACTCGGACCCTACCGTCTCGCCACCGTCTGCGGTGGTCTAGCTGTCGCCTTCTTCTGGACCATTTTTCCTTACCCTATCACCGAACACTCTGCACTCCGTCAGAAACTCGGTGGCGCTTTGTACCTCTCTGCAAACATGTATTCCATCATGCACGAGCAGGTCATGGGTCGCATCCGTGGCGAACTGGGAGGCGATGAGGAAAGCGACAAAGAAAGTCCAGGCTACCAGCTCGTCAAAGCCCGGAATAAGGTCTTCGCCAAACAGATGCTCACCCTACAAGGACTGAAGATGCACGCCGGATTTGTAAAATGGGAGTTCCCCCTCGGAGGCAAGTTCCCTAAGGAAGAGTACGAAAAGATCATTGGTTATGTCGAAAAGTATGTATTACCCCAAAATAAAGCCACGATGGGAGCATGGCTAACACAAATACACGCAGTATCGTAAACTACACCGCCCTCCTAGGCTATGCCTCCCAGGCCTTCACCCACCCCTCGCTCAACCGCCAATCCGCTGACCCAACCTCCCCCTCAACATCCGAAGCCGCCTTTTCCGATCACCACTCCGCCCAATGGTTCAACGACTTCCGGCGCGTAATCCTCTCCGCAAAAGTTACCTCCCACGAAATAACATCCTTACTCGCTATGCTCTCCTCCAGCATCACAAACGGACAACCCCTCCCTCCATACCTCCACGCCCCACCGGGTGCCCAACTATCCCGCAAACTGGAGATGGTGGACCCCGAGATTTTGAGCCTAAGACATATCGCAGAACCGGGGTATGCGGCGTTTGCGGTCATGAGCATAAGTACGAGGTGTATACATATGGATATTGAGCGGTTGTTAAAAGCGGTGAAGGGGTTGGTTGGGGAGTTGGACTTTTCGTTCCATGTGGTGAGTACCAAGGGGGCCGAGGCAGGGAGTTCAGAGGAGACGCTTGTTAAGAAGATGTCGAGGAAGCAGGATTAGAAATTATAATAATTTGTAAATAGACGAAGGGTTGTTACGTTCACTATCAGACTGGGCAACACTGACAAAGAAGAGTTGTATTGGTAAAAGAAGCGTCCCCATCAATAATGAAGAATCCAGCTAAAAGGCAACGAGATGAGTTCATCGCTGCTGTGCTACACTACATCACACCACCTTTCTCCGGCCAGCGTTGCCGGAGTGTTGGTCCCGACGCCGCTGACTCGGGAAATAAAACCATTGACCAAAGAACATCTAAACGTTCGTGCAAAAGTGCCAGCCATACATTCGGGTACGACTGCGTATCTACTGGCAGGTACCCGCAGCTTTAGCAGAGAAGATAGGCTTGTTAGGTCCGAAAGTGCCGCAGCGGCCAGTGGCATCGTAGACAATCTTATTCACGCTCGAGCACGTGTTATCGGAGTACGCAACGACTATTTCATCTCGTTAGCTCCTATACATGTCCATACTAACCCCTACTTGATGATGACTTACGAGTGCAGCCGGCAGGCATCGTCTGCAAGTTGGTCTGGCTGATTAGAGCGGAGTCTGTGTTGCCGCTGAAAATTGGCGAAGTAGGGAAGCAGCTTCCATCAGTGGGGATGTAGGCGGTGGTGACGGCGGTACCGGTGTTACAGCCGGCGCCAGAATAGAAGCTGAGGGGGATGGCATCAAGGCGCTTGCTCATTCCTGCTGGGGCGGCGTTGATGCCGACCGCAGCGATGAGAAGGGCGATGGCGGTGGTGAACTGCATCATGGAGGTGGCTAGATGGATTTACTTGGATTTAAGGGGAATTGGAGGTGTTAAAGATGCTGTGGTATGGAGTAAACGATGAGCAGATGCTGTGATATTTATGCTTCTCGAACTCACTGCGCAGGCCAAATGTCTGCTCTCTGCCTTGTCATTCATACTGCTAATGAGCCTACTCTGCTGACACCAAGTATGCCTCTCCACACGGACGTCCCAACAAAAGTCGAGTGCGCAATGGCTTTCTTGGAGTTGTTGGTGTGAAGAGATACGGAGGCTGACGTCTCGGCGACCTCGACCCACATCGTAGAGATCATGATCCATCAGCCTGACACGGTTAATCAGGTTGAAATGTCATTGGCTCCTCATCGATGTGTTCTCGTGGAAGATCGCATTCTGAGGTGCATGAGGCGGTACCTCCAACACCTAGGCTATGAGGCTGTCGCTTTTACAAGCCCTGCTGTTGAGGTCTCGGGAGATACGTTCCTGCTTCACTGTTGGTAGGTGCAAGGTGTTGCTGGTTGGTAGTGGCTGGTCCTCCCATTCTTCTAGAACGCTGGTCGGTGGTCTCATTAGTAGCTCGCAATGTGATTAGCTTATCTTACTGTGCAATAGTTGCGCGACTTATAGGTACATGCTACTGCTCATCTCACCCAGAAAACATGACACCCGCCGCAAAGATGTAAGACCATTGGCTTCCCGGTCATGATTACTGGAACAGATCGTCGGTTCGACTGGTACCTTGTTGGAAGTAACACAGCAGTATGCAGATGACCATCACCAGGGTTTGAAAAAGTGAGAAGGCGTGCGTCGTCTGCATGATAATCCTGCGCACCATCGCTCGATATATCATATATGTACTCAGTAACATAAATTTTGTCGGCGTAGCGATATAGCTGAGGGCAGTGTGGACACTGATCTTGCTTCTGGGTCCTAGCTTCGAAAGATCTGATGTGTTCATCTCTTGAGGATGGCTGCAAGCCCACTATTCAATCTGTCGCTCAGTCACCCGCTTGAGCAACAATGACAGCCTGCACTGAATTGTTACTGAAGGAGGCGCAATTGGATCGTTGCTGATATGCAAGAGTTGTGTTCAACCTAGATTTCCAAGCAATGGTCCTGGTGCTCGCAGGACTGACGGCAGCAGTTGGAATGTGGGCATAGGCCGTGTTCTGGTGCGAACCGGGTTCAGCTATCCTGGTAGCAGATCCTGCGAGGCCGGATGTCCCGTACCGCAGACAAGGTCTAGGCTTTCCGTAGAGGCCGCATGATAGCGGAAACGCTAGGCTTCAGTGGTAAGCCACACAGAAGCGAAGTTGGTAAGCTGTGCTGAGCGCCAATGATAGTTTGCGTCGCAGTCGTGAGGATAGCTGTGGAGGGAGAGTAGTAGCATGTCTTGAGAACGGCGGCACAAATAGAACCTCAATCGTATTCTTTCTGTGCGATGGCATGACTAATATAACTACAGATGGTTTTCCTTGACAAAACACCACTGATGAATTTGGGGGAGGACATCAGTCGTATGCTCACCACTCGAATCAGATATGGCCACCCTGTAGTGGACTATAGGCTAAACGCAGTACAATGTAAGATCGGTTCGCGAAATTCCTCGGTTCGAAGCTGCAGCCCCGAGAATCTAACGCGGACAGACGGCTTCGCAGAATGGGCTAACATTATTGATAGGTGAGCAGGTGACGCGACCTTCATGATTAATCGACCGTGCTCTGACAGTACAGCTTGGCAACTGACGATCGAGGTCCTTTAGCAAACCAAGGGAGCCAGACTATTGGCACTGACAAGGGAGGTTCGATTCATTATGGTGAGTGTCGTATGTCATGACTGAGCGCCGCACAAATTGATCTAGGGACCGTCAATGACTTCCGAGGTTCGTAAACGAATGGAGAAGGTTCGCTTAGTTGGAGGATCGAAGGTGGTTCCTAGATTACGGTAGAGCCGGTTTGCAGGGGTCAGATCAGCTCAATATCCACAAGCTGATCTTTGACATCTTTCCATACCTCTCCTTGCATAGCACCGTGTATGTATGAATCACCCATCACTTTCCATACTCTTCCTGTCTCTCCATCGCTAGTAGGTTGCCCGGCATTTCGTAAGACATAAGGAATATTGGCGCCCTGCAACAACCACACTGCATCTCCAACTTCACAGCTAGTCGGGACTAGACCCAAATAGCCGTTCTTTGTCCTCGCTAAACGCCGGAATTGACCATGTCTATTAATCGCACTACCATAGTTGTGGTCTTTCCAATTTCGCGTAATGTCTGGATCACTGGCTGCAGCCCCAAGGCGCGATATACGGTCGCTAATGGAAGTTTTGTAGGGATGGCTGCGAGGATCCGGGCGATTGAGATCGGCGATGTAAGGACATGTCGGGTCGAGTGGAGGATGAGGTAAAGTTGTACGGCCAGCGTCAGTATGCGACAGATTCGCCTTACAGGTACAGCTTTGCTGCTCCGCATGCCGGACTTCATCCCAAGATGTGATAAAGCCAGTGTTATCGCCTTCAGATAGCATATCTACATCGCGCAGAATCGACAAAGCTGTATCGGAGTACGCCGTCTTTGGTTTCGTTGTATCGGAGTAGTAGAACAGGTTATGGAGATGGCGGATGACTGCAGCGCAGGTTAGTCGCCGCACCACGTGTTTGAAATGGTCCATGTTGGGTTGATGATCAAGAGGCAGATGGTCAACATGATTGGCCGCTAGTGTAGTAACCAGCGCTTCACCTCGTGTCTTTCCCGTAGGGCTATAGAGTTTTGGAAGCTTGAGTGTAAGAGTGTTCCACCGAGGATCGAACTTCAAGCGCCCGGCGTGCCATTCCCATGGCTCGGCTAACTCCACAATATGATCGATTTCAGCACCGCGAACTCGAAGCAGGCGGCTGTTTTCAAGCGCGATAGTCAATACGTCAAATTCTGATCCCAGAGTGGCATTGTGGCCCACACTTGCGAAGGCCAGCTCTGATTGATAGGCTTTGTCTTCAAACTCTCCAACCCAAGTTGGGAAACCCGGAAACTTTCGTACCAATCTATCCGTCACCCAACTCAAGCAGTTGAGGTTTCTCGTTTCCTGAATAAGGCTTCGGAGTGCTTCAACGTACACCTGCTCTGTCGTCTTATTGTAGTCAGCAGTTAGCCCAAAAGCACCACGAGGTAGGATGCCTAGTAATGCGAAAATCTTGTCCTTGGGATTTTCACATCCAGAGATGCGGGCCAAGGCAAGGAGCTGTTCAAAAGTAAAGGGTAGCATCTGTTCCTGTGTTGCAGGTTTGTGCAACAGCCGCCATCGATCTTGAAATAACTCCAGAATAGCCTTTTCGTGATCGTAGTGTCGATTAGGTTTGATGGGCAGGGCCAAAGCTTGCCCAATCGGGTCATGGAAACGATGCTTCTTGATCCATGCAACCAGCAATGCGACCCTCTGAAGGTCCGCGAAGTCCACAATGTCCGTTCCACACAGCATGCAGATGCGCCGAGCAAGCATGACTTCCTGAAGGACCCAGCAGCGAAAAAAGTACTGTCTTGCAAGGAAGCGAGTCAAACTCTCATACTGCTTGCTGTGAATCGAGTCGATTTCCGTAGTGTCATTCTCGCTCAAGTTTTTCTCCATGAAATCCGAATATCTTGAGCATTGCCGATGCCCTTGCATATCGTCGAAGCACCTCAACTTATTGAGACGCTGCATGAGTGGTAAAGCTTGGTCACTATCTTTGTCTGCTGGGCCTAGCCACGAGATGACCAAAGAAGCTTTGCTGTAGATTTGGGCCATTAAGCCAACCTGCATGTTCCGTTCCTGAACATCGTTCTGGTTGATGCATAACTTGTCCTAACATTTGGCATGCAAGGTCAGTCAATATCTCATGTACTTTGTGCAGAGGGCGTTACGAACAATCCACAGGTATTGCACTTGACGTTCGAACTCCCGGTCTTTCCCGCGTCGCGTGCAAATAGCTCTGAGCGCGTTTTCCAGATTGGTAGTAACATCAACTTGCATGCCATTACACACGATGGGCACATCGCGCACCCAAGTCGTAGACGTTTTCTCGAACCAGTACCGATACAGTGGATCGCCCCAGGTGTAGGACAACGCGTAGAAATCCAAGGTATCGCATTCAAGATCAATCAAGTGGAGCGAGCATTCGATAGGGGCACGATCATCTGCTGGTGAATGAAGCTCGATGACGCGTATCGATGTTGCTGTTGGTAAGGGCCTATACAGATCTGGATAGTTGGACTGGGGCGCGTCCATGGTGGGGCTGCTGACTAGCTTGAGACGTGCTCAAGCATCTTGCTGGGACGGACGCTGTTAGTGGTATTTCTGGAGTAATGCAGCAAAGCAATACCCTCAAGCGACCTTTGATTCGCTTCGTCTGATCGTCGCTAGTGTTTCCTTGCGCAAAGCTGATGTTTGTAAATGAGAAGCTGATATGGTAAGTGACGTAATGTAAGGACTGGTCATCTGGCGATAGCCAAGACGCTAGATACGCATCCTTCATCGCGCCTGCCTAGGTGAGCGGTCACGTCGAGCTCGATTCTATGTTTAGTTGCAGGAGCTGATATGTGAACAAAAAGTCAACGACTACGGATCCTACACCATGTGAAACCCACATCACAATGACACCCGTAGCATCAACCGCCTTTCCTTCCCAAGTAGCTACTACCATTGTGGTTATCACAGCGCTACAACCGCCGCGTAATGATCATGGAACACGTCTGTGTGCAGCTTTGAAGGAATATCATCGAAATTTCGAAAAAGGCCGCAGCACGGTGAATAGCAGTAACGGGTAAATAATATTGTCCAACGGGATACTACAGACTTTTACTCATAATGCGCCATTAACACCCTCGATGCAGTGCTACCTTCATTTCCGTCCTTCTCCATCTAAACATCATCACCCTTCTCCGCCTTCTTCTCCCTCCACTGCTCCTCAAGCGCCTTGACCTTCTCCACACCCTTCTTATTACCAACACTGCTCTCCCACTCCGCCCACTTCTTAAATACACTCCTTATGCGTGAAGCTTTTCCCACCTTGGTCATACGCTCAAACAAATCCCTTACGTTATCTGCACTGCCGTGGCTCTGCTCCAACATAAGGTACATGTCCCAGACATCGCCCTTCTTCGAGAAGGTGTCGACGAGGCCTTCGAAGATTGTGCGACCACGTTCGGCGTCACCGTTGGGGCTCTTGAACTCGAGGGCGGCGAACTTCTGTGTCAGGTAGCGGTGTTGGGTCGAGGCGACGGATTGTGTGGCGCGTTGGAGTAGAGCGCGAGCTCGTGTGGGCGAAGGTGGTTGGATGACGTCCATTAGAAATGACGCATATGAGAGCCAGAATTGGGGGTCGGGGGTGAAGGACTTGTTCTTCATCATTGACTGGTAGAGGTTGTCCGCTTTCTGTTCTGATGTTAGCAAAGTGTGCGAGCTGCTGAGAGTACTGGGGTACATACGTCGATCTTGCCTGAGGAGATGTAGATCTTGATCATACGCTCATGCATCTCGCGGGCATCGTTGTTCTGGCACGCCTCCTTGAAGACAGTCTCGATAGCATCGTCGCTAGCAAAGTCGTTCTCCAGATGTAGCAAGGCGGTCCACACATCGAGCTTCTCCTTCTCCTCCCTTGGGTTGATGGTTGCCAATGCGCGACGAGCGATTTGGCGCGCCTTTTCAATCTCATTGAGTTCACGTTGGAAAACCATGTATCGAACCCACATCTCAGCGCTGTTGGGTTGTCCCAGGAGTAAGCGCTCATAGTCGGCGACAGACTGCGGCCCATAGGCATCAAGATCACCAGTGCGGTCTTCCTTGATGGTAGCCTTTTTACTCTTCTTCTTCTTTTTCGGGGCCTCGTCATCGGAATCGGGTTCAGCAGCGCCCTTTTGCTCGTCAAAGTCGAGAGTTGCACCTGTCCAGTCAAAACCGGAGGTGCGGAGTCCTTGTGTTGCCGCCTTTGGCACATCGTCGTCAGACTCATCGTCAGAAACACCTGCATCGGCAAGCTCGACATCCTCATCGCTATCAGCACTCTTGACGCTCCTCATATCTACGTCGTTGTCGTCGTCGAGCTCGATGCCGCCATCTGAGTCACTCTCTTCTTGCAGCTCAGCTTCGGAAGCGTCCTCCATATCCTCGTCTTCATCGTCATTGTCCCCCTTGACTTGAGAATATTTCAAGGTGAAGCTGATCTTTCTGGTCTTGGGATCGATCTTTACGACCTTGGCTTTGACGGCGTCATCCTTCTTGTACATCTCTTTGACCTTGTCCTTGTCCACGGCAGTGTCCGCTAATTGAGAGATATGGCAAAGACCGCTGACATTGTTCGAGTTGTCAACAACCAGGAACACACCAAAGTCTTCTACATGTCGAACCTTGGCGGCGACAATTTGTCCAACCTTCAGATCACTGAACTCAATTGGCTCGGTGTAGGTTCCTTGAACGTGCGACGCCTTCAAGCTCAACTGTGGGTTGCGCTGATCTGGCTTGTTCGAGATAACTTTGCCGGTCACGAGTTGATCTACGTGGAATGCAGTCTTCCAGTCTTTGATGTAGTCGTCCGAGAGGTGGCTAACACGAACGTAGGCTTCGACGTGAGGTCCCAGACGAATGTAGATACCGTTGTTGGCAACGTGCTTGATGAACCCACGAACAACCTGGTGTACTTTGAGCTGAGCTCTGTCCTTGATCTCGGGATCCTTGATTGGCAATGAAGAGCTCAATACCCTGGACGGCCTGATAGACAGTCCTAGCTTCTTGTTGGGGATATCGATATCGATTACACACACCCGCAAGACATCACCGACCTTGAACTCGCTTGGTTTGGCCTTATCGTAGTCGTCTGCCAATTGCTCGAGGAAGATAGGTGCAGCAATGTTGTCATTGATCTGGACAACGATGGAGGCGTCGTGCAGCTTTGTAACCCGTGCAGGCAAGATATGGCCGACCTTCAAGTCTTGAAGGGTCAGCGACTTGCCAGTCGGAGTAGTTGCAGCTGTCAAGTCCAATTTTCCAGCTGCAACATCGACCGCCTTAACGCGAACCTTAAGGGCAGAGCCCACGGGGAAGTTTTCCGCGACGTCAGAGAGCTTCTCGAGATCGTCGGTTAGGTCGAAGTAGTCAACGCGCCCACGAACATTGGCCGAGATATTTACCCAAACGTAACGCTCAGCAATGTTGTTTACGAAAGCAATGTGTGATGATCCAGGTGTGATCTTATCGAGGCTCAATACATCGGCTTCAGTCTTGATCTTGTCCGTGTTTGCGGTCAGCTCGAAAGTGGGCGTCTTGTTGCTGGATCGAGAAGTAATAGGAAGGAAACGGAAGTTGCGGGCGTCGTGTCTTCCCAGAACCCTGGCCTGAATCTTGTCGTTCATCTTGAAGTGTGCTGTGGGATGCTTCTTGTCAGGAATACTGTCCCAAGAATCGAACAGTTCAGAAACCGAAATACGTCCCGGAACATTGGCCGCAAGCTCGACGTTAAGTTGGGTGTCTTTGATGGATCGAATGCGGACGGTTGCTAGGGCGCCGAACTTGATGTCATCAGTAGAAGTGATTTTAGGGTCAACGGGATCCACTAGGGCTTCGCCTTTCGATGCCGGAGTATCGACAGTGTTGGCTGCGTCAACATCACCTTCGGCCTTCATCGATAGCCAAAAGAATCCCTTTCCAGCATCCACGTGTGTCACACGAGCAGTGACAGACTGATCCTTGCGAAGACCAAAATTTGGGGCTGAAAGCATCTCTTCGGGTAGTTGCGACTTGAAAAGTACACCGCTTATGCCATTGCCAAGTTCGATGAACACCTTGTCAGGTAGGATACCACGCACGAAGCCATGCACCGTCTCGCCAGCTTGAAGGTCCTCAATGCTGATAGCAAGCTTTGAAGTTTGAGCATCTTTCCGAAGACTAGGCTTGTTCGAGACTGTTGCTGTCCTGGACTTGCCATGCTTTGTCAGTACTACAAGGTCTTCCAGCGTACCACCCACACGAATCTTCTTCATGGTCGAAATGTCCTTCTTCTCCGATCCGTCGGTGAGGTGGCCAATGCGAAGGATACCCTTGACGCCATTTCCGATGTCCAAGGTAGCGATCTCGTCAGACTTCTCAATCACGTTGCCCTTTACGATGCCGCCGGGGTTGAGCGCGTTGAACGCAGCCTCCTTGTTAATATCGACAGCAGCGGGGTCTTTGCAGGACACCAAGAGCTGTTTCTCCTTCGCATCTACGGAAATGACACGGACGTTGACGACCTGTCCGTTTGTGAAGTGGCGCGTAGCGTCCTCAATGAATGCTTCGCTCATCTCCGCAACTGGAAGCCATGCCTTGACATCGCCATAGAAGCGTACCGTGGCACCGTTGCGACGAACGCTGACCAAGATACCGGGACCTGTGGCGCCCTCCTTGAGCATGGAGTAGTTCGTCCACGGCTTGACGTCTGAGTTGACCAAGGACTTCTTGAGGGTGAGTTGAATCTGATGTCTGGCAGGCTCGGTATAAAGTACACGGGCTGTGACAGGTACACCTTCTCTGAACTTGCGTTCCGGATGTTGCAGACGAGCATCAGCCAAATGCATCTCCGGTACTAGACCGGTAATGCCTTCGGCAAGGTGGACGAGGACAGCGGTAGCTCCAGTCTTATCGGCAATGAGCTTGTGAACCTTGCCTTTGACAAGTTCACCAGCCTTGATATCTTCTATGCGAAGGAAGGGCTGATCGAGAATCTTCTGCTCTAGTGAAAGCTGGAAAAGTCCATCCAAAGCGTTGTAGCCTATGATACGTGCCTTATGTTTCGAGTCGAGCTTGTATGCGCCAGCCTCTTCGGATAGGATGTCGACTTTGTCGTCGGAAAGTCTCGAAACGTGCGCAAAACCGACAACGTCTTTGATGCCGAGATCGAAGAAAGCACCGTGGCTCGGCGCCACCTTGATGACCTTTGCGGTATCGACAATAGTCGAGATGGGCAAAAGGTCGACTGGAGGTTTGCGTTCCTTGGGTTTGCCGGACATACGAGTAGAAAGGCTCACTACATGGTCGAGTAACGAAACACCGACTTTCCTGGGCTCTGAGTCTGGACATGTGAACAAGACGCGGGCCTTAACTTTGGTGCCAATCTTGTACTTCTCGGACACATTGGCAGCCTTCTCAGTCGCTCCGGAGTGGTAGGCGTCGGCGGTTGCGTCTATGAGGCCCAGAATCTTGCCGGTCAGCGTGGTGGCTGTGGTATCGGCAACGAGCACATCGACGGCAGTTCCGGGTAGGAAAACATCGATAGTGGGCGCTTCAGTCAGGGTGTTGCCTTTGGTCAGGTTGCCTGCTTTAGTGTGATCCGCGGAAAGCTTGACGATGCGTCCATCGGAGTTGAGGCCAGTAACCAGGCACATGAAGACGGCACCTTCTTGCACCTTGGCATGCTGCACCTTGGGCCCTAGTTCTCCCTTTGGCAAGAAGCCCTTCAGGCTGCTATCATCAAGACCCAGGTCCATGACCAGACCGTGGTCTTCGTTGCTGACTACGGAGGCCTGCACCATGCTGTTCACAGGTATTTTCCGCTTGTTAAGACCCTTGTTGACCAGCTTAGGGTCGATAGACAGCTCTAGCCTCTTTCGCGCTCTTGCGCCCTCGTCGCTTGTAGCTGTGATGCATGCTCTCACGTACTGTCCCACTGAAAACATGTCTTTCAGATCCACATCTTCGAAGGCCTCGTCGTCGCTTCCTTCCTTGTCCGCCTCCTCCTCCTTGAGAAGCTTCTCTAGTCTCTCGTTGAGTTTGTCGGATACGGCGGTGAGTGGGACATAGCCGATGAGGTTGTTCGGGAGCGCGAGTACGATGTCTTGGTGAGAGATGTCCGTGACTTGGCCGAGAATGATGGTTCCAGGCGACAATTTCTGCAGCGGTTAGTATAATCTCGCAATGCGCAAACTCTGCGACTGGCGTACCTTGTAGCTCAGGCCCTCTGCCCTCACACTGTCATCCTTCTCTCCACCGTCATGCGGCTTCTTGCTTTTCTTAGTCAGCGGCTTCTTCTTCGACTTAGTGGCCGCCTGTTCTTCGTCTTCGGATCCCATGTCGCTGAATCCATCGTCGCCGCCGCCGGTTCGCTTTATACCGGCCTGCTCGAAAAGAACATCTTGGTTCGCCTTGATCTGAATCTGCTTGTGCTCAAGCGGTGTCAAGACGCTGGCGCCTCCTCTAGGAAAGGACTTCTCCTCATCCTTGAAGACACTGGGCTTTGGCGCGGCGCTCCCAGGCTTTGGCTTTGCTGGTGATGGCTGCTCGACATCAGATTTCCGTCGTTTCGTTGATCGGTCGGTCGATGCGCCCTTTGCCTTTTTCGATGGCGCGGCGCCTTGCTCTGCTTTTCGTTTGATTGCGCCCATGATGCGCTTCTTCTCCAGTCGTGGAGAGCTTGGTGGTACTGAAGTTTCCGCCAAGAGTTCGAGAGCCGCATATGGTCTTCGACTTTTTTGGTGGGTCCATGCACGCAGATTCTCCGACCCCCGACGACAGGGTTCTGCGCTCGGGACACGTGAGACCAAATGGCACGGCAACGAGGTCTGAGGAGGGCAACTTTTCACTTGTACGACATGTACAGATTGTAAAAAAACATAGATCAATCTCTAACTCAACTTTGATATCTGCTGTGTTTTCTCCAGCAATTTCGAGTATTTTTATCATGTCCTATGGCAAACAAAAGGCCCATCTCGAGGGAGAGCCAAGCCACTTAACACCCAAGACGGCATAGCGCAGCACGTCGGTCGCGCCTGCTCTTCGCGACGTGCTTTGGCCGTGCGCCTTCCTCTCCAACCTCGCCGTCATATATGAGCATTCGTCTCATATCTCTATTTGCGTCTCCAATTACTCGCGTGTGTTTATCTAATCGTCCATTGGTGTTGCTTGTATATGTGTACTGCTAAAAAGGAACATGTCTTCTCCATGCGCCCCTCGAAGTCTGCTTCTCCAAGAGCCTACGCCTGAGCTCTGCTCATCACCACCTCCTCCATCATCCGCGACCGTTTGTTCACGCAAGCCAAAACGGCCACCGCCCATTACGCCCAAGCGTTTCACCCGCTTCTTCACTCCGCGAAACTCCAAAGATGTCTCGTCACGCACACATCTCTCCAGGTCGGGCCGCCAATTGCAGGACATTACACGATCAGCTCTTAATCGCAGCCGTGAGACAAGAAGTACTCCACGGAAGACGGTGAACTTTGTCGACATTGAGAACCCCATGCGAACCCCACAGAGCAGCGTGCGGAAGCGGAAGGCCTACCTGTCACCTGCGAGTTCTCCAGCCCAGTCGTCACCGTCGAAGCGATCGCGTTACGTCACTCCACCAGCAATTGACATACTTGAAGATGCCCTCGACCTGGATGACGAGGAGGAGCCTGCTATATACCCTGCGCCAATAAAGAGGTTAAGAACATTGGGCCGTCCATCGAGAACACTGCAGCGGTCCTTTGGCGGTATATTGGGCGTCGGACGAGGATTTAGGATAGACCATGGCGCATCATGGCAGGACCAGACAGCCAACTTCTACAGCGGTGCGGACGACCTACATCAGTTGTCACAAGGTGCACCACCGTTCTGCACAGCCAGTTGCAACAGTATGCTATTCGCTCTGCTCTCACACGTCATCGCAATACTGACCATAACCAGCCAACTCTATGCTCGCTATAGGAGACGAGGACGGATACATCCACCTACAAGACTCCGAAGGTGACTTCTCGAAACCCACTGTATCATGGAAGGCCCACTCCAATGCCATCATGGATGTACAGTTCTCCTCGGACGACATGCACCTCGCCGCCGGTTCCGGAGACCAGACTGCACAGATAGTCGACGTTCGCACCCAACAGACGCTCGCCGTCCTCGCCAAACACAAGTCATCGGTAAAGCAAGTACGCTTTCAGCCAGGTGACGACAAAATGGTAGCCACTTCAAGTCGAGACGGCGCCGTACAGATCTGGGATCTCCGATGCAAAGGTAATCAGGGGTCAATACACTCAGCTTGGGGGTCCGATGCGCCCTATGCCAGTGTCGTGCGCACTCTTGCCTCAGCACACGCGGATATCAGCCTTCCAATACCTACATCGTCCGCCACTCGAACCCTGGCCAACAGCAAGACGGAGAACATAAACCGACGAAACGATATCTCAGTGACAGCTCTATCTTTCCTTCCCGAAGGCCGCGAACACCTACTCCTGACTGCTTCGGACGCATCGACATGTGTCAAGCTTTGGGACATCAGAGGCCGATACTCGCTGCGAGGACCTGCCATACCCATTGCAACTACCCGTCACCCTGAATCCCACAACCGCCACCGACACTTTGCCATTAACTCTCTTACCCTCAGTGGCGACGCCTCGCGACTATACGCTCTCAGCAAAGACAACACCGTGTACGCTTACTCTACAAGCCATCTCATCCTCGGCGTAGCGCCCGAATTATCCACAACCTCCTCATCAAAACAGAAATACTGTGGTGTAGGCCAAGAAGGCCTGGGGCCCATCTATGGTTTCCGACACCAGAACTTCCACGCCGGCTCCTTCTACGTCAAGGCATCACTACGCAAGGCGTACCAGGACCGCACCGAGATGCTTGCAGTCGGCAGCACAGATGGCTGCCCCGTATTATTCCCCACCGACGAAACCTTCCTCAAGCGCGAAACAAGACATGAAGACGACGACGCAGACGATCTCCCCGATATTACCAGCATCTCTACGAAACACTCACGGCCATCCCTCCTCTCCCGTTCATCCACAAATAGCCGCTGCCCAGACACCGTCCCTATCTACGAGCACGGCACTGCCCTCATAAGAGGTCATGACGCAGAAGTCACAAGCGTGTCATGGGCCCGCAACGGCAGCCTCATCAGCGTGAGCGACGACTTCCGTGTCCGAAGATGGAAGGAAGGAAGTCTAGCTAGAGACCTACGCATGGGTGGCGAGAGTGAGGGAAGGAGATGGCAGTGTGGATGGGCTGCTGTAGGAGACGGATATGACGATGACGAGTAGGATCGTCGTTCGCGAGCTTTTGTGCCATGTTGTTTATTATACCCCAATTATTGATTGTGTAGGAATATGAATGAAAGAGAAGTTGACGACCCATATTTGTTTTGATCAAAATGTGACCGTACATTCCCCCTATGAGATGATTAGAACGAATTGGCATCACAGATGATGCAGGAGTTTACTGTAAGTCAGTATTATAATGAAAGAATCTATCTCAGCCCCCAGTCACGCGCACGTCTAAGCTCTACTGCGTCCAAACGCAAACACTCATTACAATTTCACAACATCCGAGCACAAAGCTTACATTCTTACTCGAGATAACTCGTCACAACAACTTTACCCCCCTTAACCACGTACTGACGATGCTGCGCCAACATGGATAACTCGGCCGTCCCGCTGCGCTCTGCCCCTCCAAACAAGCGTCAAAGGAGGTCACTCTTCGACACCTCCCGCGCTCGAAACGGTGGAAGTTCCACATCCTTCGTGACCACCTCCAACACAGGCATCATGGATACGACGTTCGGCTCTACAACGGACGAAGAAGACGACGATGACACAGAACAACACTACCTCAACAAGATGACCGACGACACGGATAGGAAAGTCGAACCCGTATTTGGCAAAGGCGTCGAAGTCTGGAATTCATTCAACGGTACCGTGTATGCCGACGTTAACGATAGGATCAAGAAACAACAACGTGACGAAGAGTTGTGGGGCAAGAAGAAAGAGAAGAGGAAGCGTGGTGCTGGAGGGAAGCAGGGGGGCACGCTACAACAACGTTTCGACTCGCTGCGCAATTCAAGGTCCATGTCTGGGTCTGGGTCCACTTCTACGCCGGGCCTCAGGGATAGTACCTATACGGACGGAACGATATCTTATCCTTCCCTGCAGTCGAGCGATTATACAGCGCTTCCGCATACACCTACTGCGTCGGAGTGGGAGATCTTTCCAGTACGGCAATCTCAACATGAAGACTTTTCTGGAATGCCACTAGAGTACAAGTCTTTGAACGGTACGAAATTCCAACAGGGAAACGCGGGTGCAGATAACGGTGGCAGCTTCGATCGCCCTATCAAGCCTTTACCTTCACGCGCACAACGATCTCAAGGCCAACAGCCCACAGCACTACACCCACACCTTCCAAGTTCACAGCCACCGTCTGTTACACCTCCGCGTCTTGTGCCTGTACCAAGCACAAGCTTCTTCGGCAACATGCTAGGTGGAACTAGCAGAATCGTGTCCGGTTCTTTTGGTAGTTTCGACGGCAGTCAAATAGATCGATTTGATGAGCGAGGATATAGATTACTGTCAGGTCAAATGAGTGAAGCGACTAAGAAGAAGAACGAGAACGGTGAGACTGGTGGACAGAGGGGCAGAAAATGCGATAGGTTCAAAGGAAGACCTTGGCTACGGAGGGGGTAGGCCGGTAGAGATTCAATCTTGTACCATGTGGCGGAAGGGAAGTGAGATCTTGATATTGTGAAGATTGCGTTCGGGGGTACGTGCATATACCCTTTAAACATTTCTAAGCTCCATGCTGCCTGATGGGATCGGTCTTGGGGCGAGGAACAGAGATAGTTCGCAATGGTTAATTCCTGCGATTCGAACTCCAATATAAATAACGTGTAGCATATGTAGAAGCTCGCTCTTCCGTCTTATGTTAAAATGTGGACAAGATAGAAAGTGCTGTATATCTTTGTGGCATGTTGTAGTTGCAACTTGAGAGAAACTTCTCCATTGTGGATAGGTCAACAAACTCACTTCGTAGTACAAAATATTGTCACGTGGGAATCACAACGTAAGATATGCCAGCAACGTTGATATGTCGCACTGATGGATGACGATGAAGTTTGGGTTTGGGTCGGGAATATTGACAGCCAACGATCACCGGCAAAACACGGCGGATCGGCCCTCCTCGGCTGCGTCGATGTGACCTTCACGATATCGGACGACGTACCCGACCGCAAGGAAACCTTGCACTCGCGTACAGCTGTGTTCGTGCCACACGCGTACACACTAACAGGATGCCGCTGCTGCCTGGATGGATACTTCGATCGAGCTACTACCTTTTAGAGGAACGAGAGTGTAACGAAGCTTACTCGCAATTGCTCATTATGCAGCGCAAGCACCATACCCTTTCCCCAACTAAGGTCAACATGCACCGATCGCCGCTAACAAAGCCACGAGGCCGAAGCCGTCAGATGTCAATCACTTTAGTACTATTTCCAGCATCCAACAGGGATGATGTTGGACGTAAACGGCAACTTGCTCCACGGAGCTTCTGCAACCCATCATTGCAACAAGGCATGAGACTAAAACATCGCCGACTGATAGTCGCCCAAAAGCATCTGCAGATCATGGAGGCATGTCATAGCTGATCCCAAGGTATAAAGAATGCCTAGCTGCATGTGTAGCCAGCTGTTCAGAGGCACTTAGGTCGTTGAGCATAACATTCTGGCAACATGCGTGTATCGGTAACGGCAGTCAGCTTGTTGGCGTCTTTGACCTCAGCCAACCTAGACAGCCCTAGTTTACTACAGCAATTCTACGCTCCAGGGCGTCTCCTAGGTAACTCTTTTGGTAACCCAGGTGTTAACGCAACATATGACTATGTGGTTGTTGGAGCTGGCTTGGCCGGCGCTCTCACGGCATCCCGAATCGCAGACGCGTTACCGAATATGACGGTCGCAGTCATCGAAGCGGGCTCCTTTTATGAAATATCCAACGGCAACTACAGTCAGATGTATGTTTGATGCGAGAGGGTGTATCATGTTGATGTGCTGATCTTAACGGCAGTCCCTACTACTCAACCATGTACGTTGGTCCAGATCCTGAGGACTACCAGCCGTTGATCGACTGGGGCATCTTCACCGAGCCCATACCCGGCGCCAATGGACGCCGCTTTCACTATGCGCAAGGGAAGACGCTCGGGGTATGTAATCAATCCGCACACATGGTTCTGAGTGAGATACTAACCTTGGCCCAATCTTTAGGGCAGTTCGGCGCGGAATCAGGAGATCTATCACAGGTACATGTCTTCCATGAGTTTTCGCGTTGAACCCAACTAACACACTATACCAGAGCAACGAGGGGCTGGTATGAAGCAATCGCCAACATTACGGGAGATTCCGCCTATCTGTGGGATAACATGTTCCCTTTCATGAAAAAAAGCTTTCCTTCACACCACCGGATGTCCGATTCCGCGCTGAGAATGCCAGCAATGTCAACTTCACGCTCTCCGCATTTGATTTCCCAGGAGGTCCCGTTCACTTGAGTTTTCCCAAGTACGCACAGCCAATAGCTTCTTATGGCCCGGAGGGATACGCTGCGGCTGTAATGAGCGCAGCCAATGGTTTCCTAGACGGGAACCTCTTAGGATATGGTTACTGGCCGTTTACACTGAGACCCGAGGACAGCACGAGAAGTAGTACTGAATCCGCTTTCCTTTCCCGTACAGCTACGAGGACATCTTTGAAGATTTACCAGTCCTGCATGGCTCGCAAACTTCTCTTTGATGAGTCCAGACGTGCCATAGGAGTCAACGTCACCGCTGGTGGAATGAAGCCGTTTACTGTCCATGCTCGGAAAGAAGTCATCGTATCCAGCGGCTTCATCCACTCTCCCCAACTACTCATGGTGTCTGGAATCGGTCCTCGCGAGGTACTCGAACGACACAACATAACTGTCATATCCGAACTGAACGGTGTTGGTCAAAATCTCCGAGATACGCCCGCTATTGGTGGCGTCGTCCACCGCACGAACGTACCAGGAAGAAGCGCTTGGGAGCGCGAGTCCTCGTCTTTCGACGCAGCCGTAGAGCGCTATTTGACAAATGGTTCTGGCCCCCTCAGCAGTCCAGCTAGCGATTTTGCTGCCTGGGAAAGGTTCCCCGAATGGTTTACTACCAACATGAGCCAGTCTACTCTCGAATTCTTGCAAAACCTACCCAGTGACTGGCCGAATGTAGAGTATGTGTTGCAATCTTCGGAGCGCATCTTGTCTTCGGCCCAGACTGCGAGCGATACAGGCGTCATCGGCACAATATTGACGTCTACTACAAGCCAGGGAAATGTCACCATCCAATCTGCTGACAATACTGTTGCACCTGTCGTATACATTGGCTGGCTGGATTCCATCGAAGACCAAGAACTTGCTATAGCAGCATACAGGCGTGCGCGCACCATCGCAGCTAGCATATCCGCGTTTGGCGATGAGATAGCCCCAGGAGCGAACGTCACGACGGATGCGCAGATCTTGCAATATATCAGGACGAAGGGTATCGGTGCTATCCATCACGGCGCGGCAACGTGTGCAATGGGAAGGAATGCGTCGAGCGGGGCAGTCGTGGACTCTAAGGCTAGGGTATTTGGTGTGAATGGGTTGAGGGTCGTGGATGCCAGTTCTTTGCCGTTCTCGGCGCCTGGGCATACTCAGGGCGTTACTTATGCGCATGCGGAGAAGCTGGCACAGGATATCATTGATGCGGTGAATGACGCCTAGTGGTAATTAGTATACTTACATTCTTACCAATAGGTTACTCGTTCAATAGCAATGTTACTAAAAATTGAAAGATTAGGTGTAGAGGTACGTTGGCTGAGGTGACGTCCGAGAATAGCGGTAGCAGAAATACTATCAGCAGCGACATGTAGGCGGAACAAGACAAGATGGAGAGTTGTTCGCGGGCCAACTGAACGCGCTCGAATCAGCGCGCTTCCGAATATGGATATATGCCCGGTTGTGGTATGATGAGCGCGATGCACAGGCCACCACTGACGGTACTTAGTGTTCTGCCGCGAAACCGTGAAGATGCTGCAAAGGGTATGGATACACTGTTGTCTTCTTGGGCTAGACGATATGCTCCCGTGTATATATAGATTCGCGTCGTGTGGACATTCGTAAATCTGCGTAAAATCATGGTTTCATCGTTGGGCAGGATGTGTAAGGTTGCCGTAGGCATGTAACCATAGCGAAGGTACAGTGCTGACGTCGATGAGTGGTGAATGGTGAAGCTAGAATCGAGTGTCAGCGCAATGTTTTAAGACGTAAGTCTCAGAAGATGGAGTGAAATATTCTTCCTCAATCAGCCCTACAAGGGGACTTGATCAATGAAAGAAAGTTGTTCCAGTTCGAAAAAAGTGAAATACGAGTGGAGGTTTCAAAAGCTGGATGGTGGAGATATTGAGAGAAGACATTCCGAGAATGTGAAGGATACTTTGTCTTCCGTGCGATCAAGGTGAAGTAGGAAGAGAGGGCAGCAGCGGAACCGAAAGCCGATGTTTATTGTCTCAAGAGCTACAAACGTCATATCGTACAGTTGGAAAGAGCCGGATGCCATGTTCGGACGAGGCAGTTACCAGCGACCAAGAACTCGCAAGAACACCGACGTGTCTGCAGGAGATGACCACAAACGACTCTGCAGCTGCGTCAGTATTGCGAGACCTTATTCATCGTACGACAATCTTACGACAATTCCGACCGTCCAGAACATGCTCAAGAAATAGAAGTACCAGTACAGGCACCGAAGTAGGTAGCCAGTCCATGACCGGAAGGTGCGCTGGCCAAAAAGGGTTTCGAGCACCGGCATCGTGAGGAAGGCGTGCAACGGGGCAACGGCGAACATAAAAGCCTGCAGATGGAGTTCTTGCTCTCCTGTTCCTTCTGTAAAAAACCGTAGGAGCGTTGGCATATGGAGAGTCTCAGCTTCGAAGCGTGACACCGTAAAGGCCAGTCGGAGCAGCGCTGCTCGGAGCCATAACGCGGTGGTTTCGAGAAGAGACATTTGGGGGCGGTGACTAGTGGTATTCGGAAGGCGAGAGGTAGTGTGAGGTGTAGTAACGATGGAGGTATCGTGCATAAGGGATCGTACTGAACAGAGTTGTATCTTGGTAGCAAACAGCAAGCCACGTAAGAATTTTGTAATCGAACCGATATCCATGCGAAGAACATACTATCGAATCAGAGAACCCACAAGTACGTTATGCTTACACTCCCTTAAGGAAATAGTCCGAGGTAGCATCATCTCCAACCTTTGTGCTCTTCACATCATAATCTTTTGTAACCTTGATGGCACCGAGTTCACCATCTTGGGCCGAGTGCAGCGTCCGTGATGGTGTATTACCCTGTCGCCACAACTCCTCTTCCGACTCGGTAGCCGTGACTCCTTGCTCCAGCCGTGTTATACTTCCCCTATGGGGCCTCTTCCCCCACTTTGACCCACTCGGTCCTTTTCCTTCCGAACCGATTGTTATATTCTGGCCAAGTGACGAGAGCTTGTATCCTTTCTTATTTGAACTACCCCGCTCCCCTGCTCCTGATCCGTATGAAAGTCCGCCCGCTACTCGAGCCCAAAGTGCTTTGAGACTTGGCAAGTTGACGGCGATGACGGCGAACTGTATCTCCAGAGCGGCTACGATGACCATCTTTCCAAGCACCCATGATGTATCCGGCGAGTTGTTCAGCTCCATGAGAGGTATGAGTCGGAAACACGCAATGATGACGGAACTGCTGCCAAAGGCCATGACACCTAGCACTGCAGCTTTGCGCCGAACCGACATTTGAAGTTTCAAGACTGTGTGTATGGGGAGTATGAGGATGTAGAAATCTTCTAAGATATTCTGTGTCATTGTCAGCAAATAGGTGTCTGGAAATGCATGAAGACGTAAGCCAAAGGAAGTTCGAGACTTACGAGCACGGACGGCCCTATGAGAAGGACAAGTGTGCTGATACAGATAGCATCGGGATGCGTACCCGGATGAAGAATCTCATCAAATGGGATACATTGGAAGCATGCCAACATGATATTGATAATCAAAATGGCAAAGTTCAGAATTCCGCCAACGTATACGGCAGTCCAAAAGGTTTTGCTTGGGGAGAGACGGAGGTAAAAGAGGAGGAAGGCCGATTTGATCACCCAGTGAACTGAGTAATAAACCACTTCTTCGATAAATAGCCACTGTCGATTGATTAGAATAGCTGATACTAACGTTTGGTCCTTTGCCTTACTTTGACGATCTCGAGCTGCTGAACACCGCTCAAAGTTTCCATGTGTCTATCTCTACAGTGAGCAATAAGTCAATAAGAAGTACCCCGGAGAAGTCGTACAGTCCACATCCCCAATATATGAACATATGCAAGACAACTTGTTGGCCAATACTGAATAGCTTCATGTTCGATTAGCCATGGAAATAGACATGTCGTAGGACCTAGGTCACATACCAAGATCAGGATCGCGAAATTGTCGTCCCACCCCCAAGTTCGCAGGACAATGTGCCGGCAGTAGAAGCGAAGGAATATAGAGGAAGTACCAAGAAAGAAGGTGATGTATGCGACAGCATAGGCCAGTGGCTGTAGAGTTGTCAATCCCATGGTAACGAAGGTGTTTCTCCTGAGTAGATGAACATTGGATTTGAGCGGATGCTCGATGTCTCAAAAGAAGTACTCGATAGGAGTTGCTACGAAAACCACAAGTAGACCTTTTCGTCACGACCAGTTTACGAACGGTTTCAACATTTCCTAACCGACTCCATGCTTTTTTCTTACCACCCCCACGGGCTCAGGAGATGGACTAAAGGACCAATGTTACCCTGTATGAGGCCGAATGCGAGCATGCGTTGCTAAGATCGGTGAAAGATGTGCGTATCTGAGCTTTGTTGTAACGTATCAGGGTCAGGATATCTCACATGATCCAAGACAAGTGGTGACTTCCTAGTCGCTGCGCATAATTAGATTCTTGCTTTACCCCGTTGAGCTGGGTCCGCAGTGCGGGAGGCTTCCCTTGTGGGTTACGGCTCAACCCATGAACCAACCTGGTGCAAGCGCTTCCCCGAGCCGTCAAGCAGAAGCGGGGGACTAATTCGATCTAGAACAAGCAAATACAAGCACCGGGGGCTATGCTCACTATGCTTCTACAGGTACTGGCACATGCAATTGTGGATTTCATCAAAAGGATGTCAGGCAGATCTGTCCATTTGGAGATCGTACCTGAGGGCTGGGAAGGATTTCAAAAAGGATGTGCAGAGGTGGGTGGCCTAGCCTGGATCGCAAGGTGCAAAGGACTTGCTTGTATCGCTCGCTTGCATTAATAAGATATGAAAATGTGCGTTCAGGTTGGTGGAGGCAGAAAGTGCCTGTCGACATGGTCCGGAACGCGTGGTTCCCAGCCGCTTCCCCGCCCCACCTGCAGAGCTATCCCGCTATCCGGCACGTCCACCAGAACACCGTTCGCTTCCCCGCCAACCTGCTTCTCCGCTGGCTCCCTCCAATACTTCTGGATAGTTCTTTTTTCACAACAGTATTGTAATACATGGAGAGGGGTCATGACCGCTCGAGTCTGCATGCCGTCTACCCGAGCCTCAGCTTCTTCACGCCGAGCGTGCAGCCGCGAGAAACGAGGCGTCAGAAAAGACATGGGTTATACAGGGCTTGCTGCAGCTAGTGATATCCGTATGAGCCTGCAATGGCCTCTAATACGTCGCTCAACGGGGTAGAACCGCACGGAATTTAGGTAAAATAAACGGCCCCCAGAAAGGATGCGCGCTACTCCAGTATCTGATGGTGGGGGGGTCTTCAACTCACGGAAGATGATACCAGCCTACTGTACACACGGAGGTATGCTGGAAACGAGCAAATGAGCAAGTAGCGTGTTGCTGCGGCTGCCTATATTGCGAAGCCCTGCTCCTTCTGAGACTCAGTCTCAGATTGTCAGCTGAAGCCTCACTTCTCGAATCCTACCTGAGAGCTCTGCGTTACGCCTCGGAGCTTCCGCAACGACCATGGACATCATTCGAGATGCTGCGCAGGATGTCACTCAGCGCAGTGTGTCGCAAGGCGCAATTGCAGCAGTCCTCTTCGGCATTGTTTTCCACCTATCGATTCGACCGTTTGAGTTTGAGCTGATCATGTTTCATTTCATGGTGGCTTCCACTCTGGCCTTTTTCGGGATGTTCTACGTCTTTGGTTTAATGAAAGCTTTGGTTTTTGCAACCGGTTTTAGCACCGGACTGCTCGCTAGCATTACGTTGTACCGATTGGCTTTTCACCGATGTCGTAAATTCCCAGGGCCGACCGCCGCTAAAATCTCCAAGTTCTACGCAGCGAGACTCTCGGCGAAGAATGTACAGTACTACAAGGAACTAGAAAAGATGCACGAGCAGTACGGTGATTTCGTGCGCACAGGTGAGCGATTACGTACCAAAAATTCCATAGGTGTGGATGTTGATGAGTAATAAAGGTCCGCGAGAGATCAGTGTTCTACGCAAGTCGGCTGTTCCGATCCTCTATGGACCTAATTCGGAATGCTCGAAGTCAACATGGTATGGTCAGACCGGGAACGATCCAAAGAAGTGCTCGATACATATGACACGCGACTTCAACGATCATCGGCTTCGCCGCCGTGCTTGGGATCGTGGCTTTTCGATCAAAGGTATGCATGGACCCACGAGGTATAGGACTTTCTTTTGACTCTTGGCAGCGCTCGGCACATACGAACCACGTATCAAAGCGAAGGCAGACTTGTTCAAGAGCCAATTGGCGGCAAATGGGGGAAGCTCGATGGATATGTCCGCCTGGTCAATGTTCTTCAGCTTCGACGTCATGGGCGAGGTCGGTTTCGGCAAAGACTTCAACAATCTCAAAAGTGGCGTCGAACACGTTGCGATTAAAGGAGTGCATGCTCACATGACTATGCTGGGCATCATGAGCACAGTTCCGTGGCTGCTGAACGTCTTGAGTTCTATCCCCGGAGCGGCGGCGGGCTATTCCGATTTCTTCTCTTTTTGCGCAGGCCAGATCAGAGAGAAACACAAGGTATGTTTCATGATTTTACTGTGGGTAACAAACAATTGACGTAGCCTAGACGTGGGACGGTGAAAAGTATCCGCAAGATGTTGTATCCTGGCTACTCAAGGCTGTGAAAGAGAACGACGTTTCGGCCTCACCAAGCGCGGCAGCTCTGGAAGATGATTCGAGGGTAATGATCATTGCCGGAAGGTAGGTGATCCGGGTAACGCAACCAAGTGACATAACTAATATGATGTAGTGAGACAACCGCTACTACCCTCGCCGGTGCTCTCTTCTACCTCGCTAAATACCCTACGAAGCAAAAACGGCTTCAGCAATTCCTAGATCAAGCAATGCCCGGTGGATACAGCCAGTGGTCATACGAGAAAGTCAAATCAATCTCTTATCTGGATGATTTCCTCAGTGAGACACTGCGACTTCGCCCAGCGTTGTTGACTGGTGGAGCGCGCGAAACTCCTGCGAAGGGCATTCAAGTGGACGAGACATACATTCCCGCCAACACGAACGTGGTGATACCAGTGTCACTCATTCAAAGAGACCCGCGATGGTGGCAACAGGCTGAAGACTTCGTTCCGGAACGATTCGGCGAAAAGAGGATAGAGATGGAGACCGACAAGGCTCCATACTTACCATTCTCTCTGGGCAAGTACCTCGATGCGGCTGATGTTCATGTATCGCAATCAGCTGACATCCATACAGGCGCATACAGCTGTCCCGGGAAGAATCTGGCTCAGATGAGCTTGCGTATCTCGCTCTCGATGATCGCGCAGAATTTCGACGTTGCGTTCGCACCCGGGGAGACTGGAGAGGCGTTTGAAAAAGAGGTGCTGGACACGTTCACCGTGACGCTTCCACCTCTTCAGTTACGATTCACTCCACGGACAGGTGCTTGAGTATTGGGCAGAGAATGCTGCTAGAGCACGCGGACTGGACTTGTTTGACTGGAGAGCCCTGGAGGGATGAGACTGTGTATGCAGTACCAGATTCGGTTGCAGGCAGCGACGCAGGGCTTAGGTAAATGTGGGACTCGTAAGATGAAGTCACATGGTAGTACCAAGATCGAAGAGAGGGGTCGTTGGATCAATATTCATTACAAGCGGCTATACAACCTGATTTCTAAATCGCTAGCAATGGTGTTCCGCGATGGCTGTATGCACAGACATGACACTAGTGGGTCTCCTGCGTAAGCTGCGGATCAAGCGGCTTGGTGTTGTCTGGATTCCAACAATGTTATGGTAAGGCGAAGCGAGCACGTTAGACCCTTTGTTAGTGGGAACTATGCTCGTTAGGTTTGATCGAGAAAATAAGGGGCGAACGCAAATGACGTCACCAAGTACCTCTTCTCAAGACGTACCCGACCAAAGTTCCAACGAAAAGTTCCATTAGGACTTGCGCGCAACGACTAGAAGAAGATAATGGCGACAGGTTCCCTCCAGACATGAAGGGTTGTCTGCTCTGCGCTCGAACTTGTGCCCAAGTTATCATGCGAAAGCTTACCGATCAGGCCTCAGCCCCTTTTGTCTGAAGCCTCCAAATAAACTATAATTCTTGGTTCCGAACTGAATACGTGCTTTAAGCGGTCGACTGTAGGCTGTACTGTTGCTAATGAGAGACCAACGTTACATAGGTAGCTGCAATTGCGCAGCTGACTCCAAAAATAAGGCCGTTCCTGATGCTCATCATCCATCAAGATGGCTAGATACCCATATGCCAGACCTAACTAGACTCGGCCCTCTGTAATGCCATGCCCTCGAACCGGGTCGGGGGTGTCATAGTTCCCAAACTCTTCAAGTGAACATGTTGCCCAAGATTCCGAACCAACCAAAGCCAATGGGTAAGCCCGTGAGTCGAGATACCACTAAGAACGCCCAGGTCTTGGGTACGAAAGATGCATGTATATAGGCAACGATGTTAAACCAAATCTAGTAGAGTATCATCAAGATCCTTTCTTGCCTTGATCTTCCAGCGCTCGCCATCATGCGTACCTCATTGTCACTCGTTTATTTGGCCGTTTCTCTAGTCTCTGCCGTACCGGTCGCGGAACATGAGAAGAGACAGAACGCAGAATTCGACTATGTCGTCGTTGGCGTACGTTGTCCTCACCCTATGCTGCGTTAGTTTACCGAGGTAGTTGAGCTAATATGTAAAACAGGGTGGTACCGCAGGCCTTACACTTGCGAATCGATTGTCCGAAGACAGCAATATCAAGGTTGCTGTGATTGAGGCAGGTGGCCTCTATCAGGTTGCAAACCCGCTCTTGTCGTCGACTCCAGCTGGAGATGTTTTGTGGGCAGGCTCTAGCCCATTGGACCAGAACCTTCTTGTAGACTGGAACTTCATTACAGCTCCTCAAGCAGGAGCAAACGGTAGGAGAATCAAGTATGCCCGCGGCAAATGCCTGGGCGGAAGGTGAGCTTTACGACTCCACCTTGTGCAAAGAATTAATCATTAACATATGAAGTTCGGCTCGAAACTTCATGATTTATCAGCGGGGCGACCGCGGCTCTTACCAGCGCTGGGCAGACCAAGTCGGCGACGACTCGTACACCTTCGACAATCTTATGCCTTACTTCAAGAAGTCGGTCAAGTTCACGCCACCTAATACCCAGCTCCGTGCAAACAATGGGTCGGCCGAATACGTTGCAAGTGCCTTTGATGCCATCGGCGGGCCTCTCGATGTCTCCTATGCGAACTATGCGGGCCCATTTTCGAGCTACATGGAAGGTGGCATGAACGGCATCGGTATCAAAACAAGACCCGACTTCAACTCTGGAGAACTCATGGGAGCCCAGTATTGTAGCTCTACGATCACACCTCGCAACCAGAAGCGAGCTTCAAGTCAGACAACATTCCTTGAAGCCGCTAAAAACCGTGCCAATCTCAAGGTGTACTCTCTAACGCGAGCTGAAAAGATCATCTTCAACAGCGAGAAGCGTGCCACTGGTGTCCAGATACCTTTTGGCTCTATCCTCAGCGCAAAGCGAGAGGTCATCCTTTCAGCTGGTGCTTTCCAATCTCCCCAGCTGCTCATGGTCTCTGGTGTTGGTCCTGCTGAACAGCTGAAAAAGTTCAATATTCCCGTCCTTGCTGACCGTCGCGGTGTTGGCCAGAACATGCAAGACCATATTTTCTTCGGTCCAACATACCGCTACAAGGTTCAGACGTTGACCAAACTGGCCAACGACCTTCTTTACGTCGGCGCGCAATTCGCATTTGACTACGGCCTACTCAAGCGTGGTCCCCTCACCAACCCTGTCTGCGACTTCCTGGGATGGGAGAAGGCTCCTCGCAACCTTGTCTCTTCAGAAGCCGCGGCAGTGCTGGATCAATTCCCTGCCTCTTGGCCAGATATCGAATACCTTTCCGCACCTGGCTACATTGGAGATTTTTCCAACCTCTTCGTAACCCAGCCAAAAGATGGTTACCAATATGCGTCCATCCTCGGTGCCATCGTTGCACCTCTCTCCCGGGGTTCAGTCACAATCACAAGCTCTAGCACAGCTCAGCTCCCTTCAATCGATCCTGGTTGGTTAACCGACCCTACTGACCAATCCGTTGCGATCGCCATCTACAAGCGTACACGTCAAGCTTTTGCCACAGACGCCATGAAGCGTGGACTTGCAGATACGAAGGAGTACTTCCCCGGCCCCAAGGTTCAGACCGACGAACAGATCCTCAACACCATTCGCGACACAGTAGGTCTTCTACATTTGCAGTCACTGCGTATGCTGACAGAATTAGTTAATGACTGTGTGGCATGCATCTTGCACGTGCAAGATGGGAAAGATCGATGACCCTGATGCGGTTGTGGATAGCAAGGCGAGGGTTATTGGCGTGACGGGATTGAGGGTTGTAGATGCCAGCTCATTCGCCTTATTGCCTCCTGGACATCCTCAGGTAATTCATTTTCTATAGCTTCTTCAGTGCGACACTAACTTCCCACCAGAGTACGGTATATGCGTTGGCTGAAAAGATTGCCGATGACATCAAACGCAGCCGTTAGGATTCGGTCGGGTAGGTGCGGGCGCGACATTGTGTTGTAATTATCCAGCGCCAGAGTTGGGGTTTCCCCCGGAAGACATGCAAATTAGAATTAATACAATATGCGACATGCGACACCACTTTGCATTGTTCCTGTGAGAGCGTTTCTTTGGTGGAATCTTTTGACGTTACAGGCCGCCGTTGTGGCAAATCGACATGGAGTTATTGAGCAAGATATGATAAAGCTTCTCCAAGGTGACGAAAGGTTTTTTCTTAACTGGACTGTACTTAAGTTGTGGCATGCTCGGAACCCGAACATTGCGAATGGGACGAGAATTGCTGGCATCGGGGCTTTGATATCCATGGTCCTCACGTGCGTATTCGCTCCAAATATACCAATCTTTATCTTCTTAATCTGCGCAATAGTGTGTTTCTATCAATCGGAGGTAGCTACACTCATCGAGAACCTTGAACGAAGCTGACAGTATTAGATGAAGTATTGCAAGAACCCCTGATACAACAACACGGCTGGTCTACGACGTTGGCTGTACAAACCCCAATTTCGACGGCAGCTTTAGAATCAACGAAACGACATGTCCACTTAATGAGACGGCCCCCGACATATACAATAACTATAGTCCTTCCTGCTCAATCAATAACACAACGGAACCATGGACACTCTAGGGAGCTTCAACGACTTACCGAGTGCTCGCGACGGGTTTACTGAACCAAACGGGCGACAACAACGAAGAAGATTTCAACGCTTTAGGAAATACCAATGACTCTGGCGCGTTCGACTCTATTCAACTGGTCACGCTTGTTGATCAAGCTACCAGTTATCAGCACATACTTTTATTCGATCCATGGTGGGCACAAGAAGACTCTGAAATGCCAAGGAGCCCTAAGTTCGCTCTAGTAAACGAAGCTATCGAGAGGTCTGGTATCGACTATGTTGTCAACACAACTTCGATTGTGACCAAATGTCTGCCCATAACTACGGACTGCGGGTTACCAAACAGGACGGACGACGATTCTACAATACCATATCATTGCTCCGACATCTTTGACGGAAATCTGGGCGAGATACCGGCAAATGGACTCGAGCGACTCAAAGGCTGGAACAGCACATTTTACAACCTTGAGAACGGATCTCCACAGGAAAGTTCGATCGCATCGCAGCTCAACCCGTTCAATTACAATGCCACAGCCCTGGTGGATAGTATCAGTATTGGCGGCCTTGCCATATGGTCGATGATCCACAGGTACCCCATAGCACTGTCTTTGGGATTGGCAATGGCCGCATGGGCTTTACAATTTCGTGCACTTCAACAATTTACGACGTCACGTACTCGCTCGTAAACGAAAAATATCTACGCCTTTAACACAACCCTGGCGGCTCCCAGCGCCGCAGCCATCGCTAAAGCGCCATTGCAAGCCAGGTTTGGTAGCTATGTGCTGTTAGTGAGAGCCGCATGTCCGTATTACTCACCAACTCGACGGTCATGGATCCGATGGAACTTGCTTTTGCCCAAATTTTTCTGGTACCTGCGGCTGGTATCTATGAACTCGCTCCGAATCTTGACAACCCTTGGCGCTACGACACGACCGTGAGAAAGGTTGGAAAAGGACCATTCTTATTTCTGATGGTTTGCATGCTCTTGTACGCCGTTGTTGTTGTGGTCTTCACCGTGATTGCCCTCAGCCCTTTCTGGAGGAGTGATGTTCGACAGATACAGGCTCAGCTGATTCCGTAAGGTTAAGGCGATGCTTGGACCATAATCATTGCGATAGATTTGCTCCCAGGCGGAGCTATAACTTTTTTCTTTTTAGTTTCATGTTCTTGATTACGAGTTCAGACAAAGCACGACTATTGCAGTGGAGTAGTCTCTATTACAACCACTGACCAGCATAGACGGCGATACACACATAGTGAATACAGGGTGTGACATATGATGTTTTCTCTTTTTGCTTTTTACTGTGAAGCTACCTTCTCTGCAAGCTCGGGCAAAGTATCAGCAACGACGTCCATCTTCCCAAAGACATCATCTAGTGCCTCTTTCTCTAACACTAAGCAATACGCCGTCTTGAATCCAGCCCTCCCTGCTGCACTGACATCCCAGCCATGTGCAGCGGCAAACCACAGCTCACCAGCTGCATCGCCAACGCCAATCTTTCCTCTCAGCTTCTCATATGCCTGTATTTCTGGTTTCCCTACGCCGATCTCGTCACATGTAACGACATGATCGCCGTCGATGTTGATGCTGCCCTTCTCAAAGTATCCCAGCACTCTTTCCCGATCCCCGCTAGTGAACGCCCAGACCGTCCAGCCGGCCTCCTTTATTTTATCCACACATTCCTTCGCACCAGGCCGAACTTCACATTTCTTGTACTCTTGCATAAAGTACTTCACATCCTCCTCACTCGCCACACTACGCGGTTCCGCTACGCCAGCGAAATGCAAGACGCGAAAGAAGATGGACTCGAAGACCTTTGCAAAGGGAACGTAAGAGCCCGAAAGCGAGAGGTAAGTGTACTCACGCTCCGCGGTTTCGAGCCATGCGTAACCGAGAAGACGTGCGGAGATATTGTGGGTCTTGAGTTTAGGACCAAGGCGTTGGTCGATGACGGCGTAGAAGTGCTCATGCGACACAAGCGTGCCGACTATATCGAAGACGATGTGCTTCGTTTTAGACATGGTATATAACGTGGCTGATGTAAAACTTTCAAATTCAGGCCTTGGCTCAATTTTTAGTCTTGCGTTGCGCTAAGCTGTTTATATGTAAGACAGCTCAAATACGCCCTGTGTGTTAACGGGGCGTATATCTTCATGTCCGGCTGATGTCATCGCGCACGTGACTATGGTGAGAACTCCCAAGACATGTGCTGCCATTGGTATCGCATACATGGCATTCTGCACTTTACCTCCGTAAATTAGAGCTTAGGATCGATTTTCGTATTATAGTCATGTGCAACTGCATTGCGCCGAAAAGATCTACCCAGAAGTGTGGGCAGCTCGACGGCTGATCCTGTCTCAACACGGTACCACACCCAGATGCAGTCTCCATCAAGAAATTTCGATTCCTTCAGTCAGCGGCCAAAATGTTGTCACATCATCATATGCTATTTCTCTTCCTTTGCTATCAATCATGATTGTTATCGCATCCTTCTCAAGCCACGGGCTATCTCTGGCGACCACTGCGTCCGATTGGTCAATGCACAATCTTTCCCGATTAGGTCCAAAACACCGTGCGATATCAAACGTCCGTTAACGGTGATGCAGATCTGGTACTGCGACGTGTGCATGTGCTCATGTGGGGAAGAAGGAGGGTGAAGATAATGACACGTCATGTTGAGGAAATGGCAAGACAGGGTCAAAGCCATACGCGCGGCCACACGTCACCTGAGGCAACCAGAGAGAGTGTGTAAGGGCAAGAAAATGCATTCTATCCAGATAAAAGGGGAAGAAAAGATGCGCTATGTCGAAAGCATCGCTAAGAGTCATTACAAAGAATGCCGTTAAACAACAAATCCCAAAGTACGAGTTCAAAGCCTCCAGTACCCATAACGCTCCGAACACCAAAGCCATGCATCATCATCAATCATGAACATCGCGTCGTCGCTTACCAAGCGAGATCGCTCTTCTCATTGTCATTGCCACAGGCAAGACCCTCGCAGAAGTCCTCCATCTCTTTGCTGATAGCTGAGGTACCCGTGGGCTCGAGCTGCTGCTTCGCAGGCCAGATCTTCTGACCAGCCTTCTTCTCCTTCATACCGTGCTCCATAACGATTTCGCGGCATCGCTTTTGGAAGAAGAGAGGTCCCTTCTCCATGTGTGGATGAAGCTCACCATTAACGAAGATGCCTGCCTCGATGTTTTTCTGGGCGCGCTCGCATAGGACTTTGTCTTCACCCATGACACGCTTGTAGGTGTCACTAATAAGAAGGAAGTCCTCTTGACTGGAGTGCTTGTTGCGCCAAACCTCGTAGTACATGACTGACTCAGTAGGCGACTTAGGCATAAACTTCTGCATGAAGAGGAAGTGTTTTGTGACGGTGAAGGACGCGTTGGGGAAGCAGTATGTGGAGCAGATCTCTTGACCAAGCTCCTTGCGGTCTTCAGGGGTCTTGGGGTCATGCTGAATGTGGTCGGCTGAGCAGTAGACGTCATAGCTCTCCAGGTCGATCAAGCCTGTTGTGAGATCGGGGTGTGTGCTCTTGCAGTGGTAGCATTCGTTGAAGTTATCAGCAAGAATCTTCCAATTGAATGGACCATCGAGGTTCCATGTGTGGTCGAACTCGTAGTCGTCGAAGTTGAACTGATTAAATCGTGTTTGTTCGTCGACGTGGTCAAACTGGGACTCCCATGATACCTCAGGCTCCTTCTTTGCATCCATGTTGATCCAGATAAAGCCGTTACGGTCGATGCGGGTGTGAATGGGGAAGAGACCGTTCTTAGCCTTCTCGAAGTTCTGGAGCTCTTGGTAGCCCGGAGCCTTCGCGAGCTTGCCGTTCAGGCCATACGACCAGCCGTGGTACTTGCAGGAGAATATCTTTGCGTTGCCTCCGTCCTTCTCGACGACGGGGTATGCGCGGTGTCTGCATACGTTGTGGAATGTATGAATCTCGCCAGATCGGTCTTTAGAAACAACGATGTCGTAGTTGGCCACATTGTAGCGAAGGAAGTCGCCAGGGTTCGCGAGTCTTGACTTGTGGGTAAGAATGAGCCATCTTCGGGTGAAGATGGCGCGTCGCTCAAGCTGGTACATTTCTTCAGATGTATACCAGTTGGCGGGCAGCGCTCGTACAGCTTGGTTCTCTGGTGGGGCCTGGGCAGCGGCTGAGCCGCCGAAGCCAAGGTAACTTAGGAGTGACCCGACCATTGTGAAAGATGTATATTAGAATGTAGAGTCGTACTCGGTGTATAGTAATGCTGTGCGAAGAGTAATCAAAGGTGCTCACTTGTGTGTTGTGTGAGTATACTCGAGAAGATGGAGTCCAGTTTGAGGATGTCGCAAGCATTATTATACTCTCTTCCAATACTCTTACCTCCTCACTCTTATCAAGTAAGGCAAACAACTAAGTCCCCATGGGGTTATGGCTTCCATTCGCACCCGAGGAGCGATAGCCAGTGGGATGTGGGAACGTAATTCGGCTGCAGGTGACCGTCAAGCGCCACACACTCTGACTATTTTGAGGTCCCTCCGTTAACGCAAGAACTACCATCGTGATCAATCCAACATTCTAGAAAGCAGGGCTAGAGCTTAACGGCGTCATGTTAGTGGATGGCGTCGTATTACCCCAGAGTAGTTTCATTGACTGTGCATCGAATGCAGGCAGCGGTCATGGTGACTGAACCTATAGACCGTTCTCGTCGCTGCCCCTCTTGTTAGCACGGACTTTGATGGATCTGATTTCCAAATGCGGACAACGGACGCCAGCCCAAGGCGCTTTCAGTCTACCACCAGCAAGTTCCTGCGGAACTACTACGGTCGCATTATCCAAATGCTATCGGAACCTTATCGAAGGTTTTCTTGACAGTGTTGATCGCAGCTGTTATCATCGAGATAAGGGTGCTATCTCGATGAGCTGTCGGGCTTGTAGCTGGTATCACAGCTGATAACGACCACTGAGCGGTGGCTCGTAATACTCTGATTGAGGTTATCGAGCGGGATTCGGAATCCACGTACAAATAGTGCTGCGTTGATGAGTGCAAAGTGACGCCACGCGAGTCGCGCAACGCATACGCCAGCAGAGCGTCACTGACCTGGATGGCAGCGCCCTTGTATGTGGGAAATCTCCGCGACATCTCGCATGTCACTACCCCTCCTAGCCATCTGGAGAGTAGTCGGGAGGGTTTGGATACTTTCGGCAATCGCTGTCGTGAGTTTGGCCGGATGGTACTGACAGCGCAGCGGAGTGTCGCGTTGGGCTCGCCCTGACACTGGAGGCGTTGAGACGCTTTGGCGATATAAGTTGCCGCGTGTCGCGCAGTATTGACACTTCGATGACTATGCTCAGCAAGAAAGCTCTCAGGTAATCCCATTTCGAAACCTATCCTGAGTCTGGCTCAGCATTCGGGGACTGTGTCAAGGGTGACAGCAAGGGTTTGGTGTCATGATCCAGATTGCTTCGCCGTCTTGCATGCCGTACGGTGTAAGCGCTGATCAAAGGGCTTGGTGCTTTCGAAAGGCCCCGTAGGATTGAGGCCGGATCTGGGGGATTTGTTGTCGCATGGCTTTTGTCGCAATGGTGGGGACCAAGTGCTTCGCACACGGGCTTTTTGGGTCGCGATGGATTGTCGCAAGGTTTGATGGCGGAGAATCACCCTCACTGTAAAATCAAATGCTCATTCTTGTTACAAGGTTGAATTGCAGCAGGTGGGGTATGTTGGCATTCGCAGGAGGACAACCATAAATGTCCAGTTGACGGGAAAAGCATACTAAGCTCTCCATGCTACGCATACTTACCTGACTCAAAATCTGATTTCGAATGGAACGAAACGAAATGAAATTTTCGTAGGTGTAACGATCGTGAGAAGGATGGGGTGGTATTGCGCACACGCGAGGCGGGGTTGCTCCAGGCTATGTAGTCCCGAGACGGTTTGCCTCCTCGCGCCCAGCGAAATAATCACTAATCCCAAAATGGACATCAGGACCCTACATCCACGACTGGCATCTTCCCCACCAATGTCGTAAGTATCGCATGCGGGGCGGTGGGCCGCTTTCGTCCACCGCGCTGCCGTTGGATACAACATGGGAATTATTTTGCCAATTGAAGTTTGTGCCACGCTTAGTTTCGGCTTCTACGATGGCAGAGCATGGTGAAATGGTCCGTTATCGCGAGCGCAAACAGCCTTAAGAAGAGTTCTTCCTACAACCCTTCGGAACCAATAATCCAATTCCATACTTCTCAACTCTTTTGCAATGACGACCTCTCAGCGCGTTGTTATTATCGGTGCTGGCGTTGTCGGCACCAACCTCGCTGACGAGCTGGTCTCACGAGGATGGAACAACATCACTGTGGTTGAGCAAGGTCCATTGAGCATGCCTGGTGGCTCAACATCGCATGCGCCCGGCCTAGTATTCCAGACGAACCCCTCCAAAACGATGACCTTACTCGCCAAGTACACAGTCGAGAAGTTCTCAGCGCTGGAGAAAGACGGACAGAATTGTTTCAACCAATTAGGTGGTTTGGAGGTAGCGACAACCTCAGAACGAATGGAGGAACTCAAGCGCAAGCACGGGTATGCGCAATCATGGGGAATCGAGGCACACTTGATCAGCCCCGAAGAATGTCTCAAGAAGTACCCTCTCCTTAATAAGGATATGGTCCTAGGTGGTCTTCACATTCCAAGCGACGGCTTAGCACTAGCAGCTCGCGCGACACAGCTACTCATCGAAAACACACGCAACGCCGGCGTCAAGTACCTCGAACACACTGTCGTTACCGGAATTGAACAAGCGGACGGCCATGTCACCGGAGTGACGACAAGCAATGGCTCTGTACCGGCGGATATAGTTGTTTCGTGTGCTGGCTTCTGGGGTGTGGAAATTGGAGCTATGATTGGACTGAACGTTCCTCTCCTTCCTCTAGGACACCAATATGCGAAGACAACAGCTGTTCCGGGTCTCCAAAACCGCGAGGTCAACAAGAAGATCAATGCTATGAACGCTGAACTGCCCATCCTGCGACATCAAGACCAAGACCTGTACTACCGAGAGCATGGAGAGCAGTACGGGATTGGCTACTATGGCCATCGGCCGATGCCTGTCAAAGCTTCAGACCTCGGCGTGACACCCAAACACGTTGATGAAAAGCACATGCCTTCTCGCTTGGACTTCACACCAGAGGACTTTGAACCGGCCTGGAAGGCTACCAAGGAGCTGCTTCCCATTCTCCGCGAGACCGAGATCGCAGACGGGTTCAACGGAATCTTCTCTTTCACCCCAGATGGTGGATCCGTCGTAGGACAGGCTCCTAACCTCGATAACTTCTGGGTTGCTGAGGCTGTGTGGGTAACACATTCTGCTGGTGTGGCTCGCGCCGTAGCAGAGACTCTTACAGAGGGTCGCTCGACCATCGACATTGCGGAGTGCGAATTGACACGATTCGAAGAAGTGCAGCTTAGCCCAGAATACGTCAGCGAAACCTCACAACAGAACTTCGTCGAGATCTACGACATTATCCACCCGCTCGCACCGAAAGAGAACCCTCGAAACCTTCGCGTCAGTCCATTTTATACCCGACAGCAGGAGCAAGGCGCTTTCTTCTTAGAAGTAGGAGGCTGGGAGCGTCCCCACTGGTATGAAGCGAACGCGGACCTAGTCAACACCTTGCCGGAAGAATGGAAGCCAGTTGATCGGGATGCTTGGTCGTCCAAGTTCTACTCGCCAATCGCAGCGGCGGAAGCATGGAAGACACGGAACGCAGTAGCGTTATACGATATGACTACGTTCCACCGATTTGAGGTGTCCGGTCCCGGTGCTGTTCACTTGCTCCAGAGGTTGGCGACCAGTGACGTTTCCAAACAGCCTGGCGCTATCACTCACACGCTGCTCGTTAACGGCCACGGCGGCGTACTGAGCGACATTTTCGTGTCTAGGATCGAGGAAGACCTCTTCCAAGTAGGTGCAAACACTGCAACGGACCTTGCCTACCTCGCACGCGAAGCACGCCGTCAACACAAGTACACGTCTGGTCAATGGGCTCAGGTACGAGACATTACTGGCAGCACATGCTGCCTTGGTCTTTGGGGTCCCCGTGCTCGGGACGTCATTCGCACAGTCAGCTCAGACGACTACAGTAACAAAGGCCTGCCATACATGGGCGTAAAGAAGACAAGCATTGCTGGAGTTCCTGTCACCATGTTCCGAAAGTCGTTCGTCGGAGAATTTGGTTGGGAGATCCAAACCACACCCGAGTATGGCCAGCGTCTTTGGGACTTATTGTTCCAGTCAGGCAAGCCCCATGGTCTAGTCGCTGCAGGTCGCGCGGCCTTCAACGGACTGCGAATCGAGAAGGGCATCCGAGCTTCAGGTTCTGACATGACCTCCGAGCATAACCCATGGGAAGCTGGCGTGACATACGCAATCCAGATGGATAAGAAAGCGGACTACGTCGGCAAATCTGCACTTGAGCAGCTTTCGAGAAAGGCAACGTCTAAGCGACTTAGATGCTTAACTGTCGACGACGGGCGGTCCATGGTTCTAGGTAAAGAGCCTGTCTTCGTGGAAGGCCAAAGAGCTGGCTATGTTACTAGCGCCGCTTTCGGCTACACGGTACGCAAGCCTGTCGCATACGCATGGCTACCTAGTAGTGTAAGCGAAGGAAAGTCGGTTGAGATTGAGTACTTCGGCAAGAAGATCAAAGCCACAGTAACTCGAGACCCGTTACACGATCCTCAGGAGCAACGTTTGAGGAGTGAAGGATCGGCCGAGAAGCCGGAGCTGCAGAAGAGATTGAAGTCGTTGCTATGATGCGGATGTTGTAATGTTAGACGATTGTTATGACTGTATATGAGCATCGAAATGGCGTACATAGGTCTGCTCTTAGGTATTTGTCAGGCGTACAGGTAGTCTTGTGTTGTGTACTGAATCTGAGTCATTCTTCATTCAACGTGTAATCTGGTGCTCTTGAAAGGTATCTACGTGGGTGTGCAATGTTAAGCGCATCCTAGAGGGTGTTGCATCTTTGAGGTGAACTCGTGTGAGCCGAGCTGCTGGACGCGTTCTGTAAGAGGACCGCAAGTCACGTGGGGATCGCTGGAGCTTATCGATAACAAGCAACAACGTCATCACCTCGGTCATCTCTGAGCTCCCTGACATCCCCAAATCTCCGTCAGTTTCTGTTCGGCGTCTTCCTTATGAGCTTATTCACAGCAGCCATTAAACGTTCCTCGCTAGCATCAGTTTCCCGTCCTATCGTAAAGGTAATTGCCTGAAAACATGATCGAGCCCTCGGTAACAGAAAGTTAACGCCAAGCAGCCATCCTCCGTGCCTACACGCAGCATGCATATCCAATCAATTCCCATGTGTACGAGTACCCTAATGGAGAACCTTGAATCTTGGACGCGATCTAACATACTGGTCAGGGGAGGGTTCGGGCAACAATTATGCCTACTTAGTCTCAGATGACAAGACCAAGGAAGCAGTTATTATTGACCCTGCCAATCCTCCGGAGTACGCTATAAGATCAAGTGAGGTTTACGCACGACTGACTATGCCGTAGAGTTCTACCTGTTCTGCGGGAGCAAACCACTACTGGGGGTCTTAAGTTAACCAAGATCATCAACACACATCAGTAGGGCAACCGCTTCAATCGATCCGACTTCGCTGACAAGCTGGATAGCCACCACGATCATGCGGGAGGTAACGTGGATGTTGTAAGTTAAAAGATACCGTGTAACTCTTTGACACAAATATCTAACCATTTCACAGATAAAAGCATTCGGCTTGCCTGTAATTGGCGGTCGCGACTGCGACAAAGTATCCGAGACACCCAGCCACAACAGCACTTTCAAGATCGGATCCATCAACGTTAAAGCCCTCCACACACCCTGCCATACACAAGACAGCATATGCTTCTACTTCGAAGACGGAAACGATCGCGCAGTCTTCACCGGAGACACACTATTCATCGGCGGCTGCGGACGGTTCTTCGAAGGCACTCCAGAGCAGATGCACAAGTCTTTGAACGAAACCCTAGCGGCCCTTCCCGATGACACGAAGGTCTACCCTGGACATGAGTACACAAAGGGCAACGTCAAGTTTGCAAAGAGCGTACTGGACAATGATGCCATCAAAAAGCTCGACACCTTTACACAAGAGAACAAGCAGACGCAGGGCAAGTTCACCATCGGCGACGAGAAGAAGCACAACGTATTCATGCGCGTTGATGACCCTGAGCTCCAGAAAGTCACTGGCAAGACACAGCCTATCGATGTTATGGGAGCGCTGCGAGCCATGAAAGACAAGTCGTAGGAGGGAAGATGTACACAATACAACCAATTAGCGCATCAAGCTATCGTTCTTGGATAGGAGCAGATTTTCAAGATACCTCGGTGAATGATCCGTATAGTCAAGCCGTACTTTTTTTTTGGTAGTAGGCTAACAGCATCTGTAACCAAAAAGGCCTAAATGCGGGGAAGACATATTAACAGGATACGCTTACATGTTCAGTTTACACGGTAACGCAAATGCTCGCGAAGGATGCAGTGGTTGACTCACAAGCGATGACTGGATTCGAGGTTCGCCTTATTTAAGAACTTCATTGTTCTATCCGAAAGCATAACACAACTTCGAAGTACCCTTGCCTGGCGATTCACTACGCACTGTTCATAATCTCATAGATAAAAACCTTCCAAGAGTATTCATTTCAATCATCATGACTATCAACGGCATCACCACGACTGCACCCAGGCAACGTGCAAGACGTGAACAACAGGAGACGCTTCCACCACACAAGTACTACGAGAATCAATCTACCTTGGTCCAACATCTGCGTGGGGAAGCTCATGAAGATGGCCTCTATTCTTCGTTCATTCCCAATCTCACGGACCTTGCCGCATTCCGCGAGCGGCATGAGTCCATCGCGACTGGCGAACAGCTGAGAGACATCGAGTATACAATGCGTGGTCGCATTATCACAATCCGCAGCGCAGGAGAGCGTCTGCGCTTTTACGAGGTTCAGCTGGGCGAGGAGAAGATGCAAGTTGTATGCCAGGTCACGGAGTCAGATGACATCGCAGCATACAAGCAGCAACACGAGCACCTCGCCAGAGGAGACCAGATCGGTGTAACCGGTCATCCAGGTCGTACAGCACCACGCAACCGACCCGTAGGCGAACTATCTCTCTTCGCGCATCAGGTTATCCTACTAGCACCAAGCCTACACATGCTACCCAAGACGCTCACAGATGCTGAGACACGCCATCGCGACCGACCTCTCGACTTCATTACCAACCGACGCAGCCGCGACATGCTGCGAACCTGGGACGCCATGGAAGCTTACATCGCCAGCTTCCTCCGCAGCCGCGGTTACATCTCAGTTGTAACACCCATTCTCTGCCATCAAGCCGGCGGTGCAGCAGCCAAGCCCTTCATCACTCACCACAACGATCTCAAGCGGGACATGTATCTACGAACTGCAACGGAACTTCATCTCAAGCCCCTGGTTGTCGGCGGCATCGATCGCGTGTTCGAAATTGGACGGGTATTTCGGAATGAAGATATGGATCTGACACATAATCCCGAGTTTACGAGTTGTGAATTCTACCAGGCGGATGCAGATTATGAGGTCATGATGCAGGTGACGCAGGAGATGATCTCTGGGCTGGTGAAGAACGTGACCGGGAGCTATGTCACTAGGTTTACAAATCAGACTGGGGAAGAGAGGGAGATCAATTGGGAGGGGCCGTGGGAGCGCATTGAAATGATGCCTGCTCTGGAAGCTGCGTGCGGTGTCAAGTTTCCCCCGGCGTCTGAACTCCATACTGAGGAGAGCCGACAATTCCTCTTAGGACTCTTGAGCGGTCGTAACGTCGTTTGTTCGCCTCCGCACACGAACGCCCGCTTACTCGACAAGCTCGTTGGCGTATACATTGAATCGCGCATCACGAATCCAACATTCATTATGAATCACCCCAAGCTCATGTCGCCCCTCGCGAAGACGCATCGCTCGATACCTGGTCTTACGGAACGCGCGGAAGTTTTCGTGTGCGGATTTGAGATTTGTAATCTCTATAGCGAACTCAACGATCCGTTCGAACAGCGAGATCGCTTCATGGAACAAGCAAGGCAGAAGGATCAGGGGGATGACGAAGCGCAGGGTATTGATGAGGAGTTTATCAAGGCGCTGGAGTACGGGATGCCTCCGACGGCTGGTTGTGGGCCGGGGCTAGATCGTATCATGATGTTCTTGACGAATAACTATACGATCAAGGAAGTTCTGGCTTTTCCTATGATGCGAGAGGAAGCGAAGAAGGGTGGTAGTGCGGCTTCTGGGACTCAGACTGAGAAGACTATGCAAAGTCAGGCGGAGAAGGCGGCAGAAAAGCGACAGCAGCTTCTCGCGCTGAGAGCGCAAACGACAGCGCTAGAAGCAGAGATCGCGGCGCTGGCCATTGACTAGGCGTTGCTTGTTAGACGCAGGTAAGCATAAACCGTGCCTGTAAATTACGTTGGGTACATTCAACAACGCCCTCAGTCGCGTAATAAAAGTATTTTATGTAAACAGAAGAGTGTTGGCGTAAGATGTTGATTCTCTCATGAAACCGTATCCATCACATCTTAGTCTACTCGTAAAATTGCCAAAGAGACCGATGATGTGACTACCGTCGATTTTGATAATCCTCCGGTCCTCTTCTCAACAAGTCTCTACCAACCAGACGCTTGACGAACGCCCCTCTTAGTAGGCATTGTCTCCTGCTCTTCAGTTCCTGAACACCTGATGTTAGCACTTGCGATAGGAAATAATCTGAACACAAAAAGGGAAACGCTGGACAGGATCATATGTTCGTACTCAATCGGTGAACCACGGGGACCGAGCTTGGCGGCAAGCTTCCGTATTCGGTGATGACCATGTTGATGTACTGCGCAGGCGTGACATCGTAGAGAACTTGGAGGTGATGTAAGTTCTTCGCGTCGTCGATCCATTTCAGAACGTCCGTGGTGTCGGCAGGCGCCTCTTCCGATGCTGACTTCTCATCGTTCTTTGATGGTGGAAGACGAGACTTGAGGGGAAGAAGCTCGCGGCGCTCGGCCTCGGAGAGTATTTCCTCGGCGGGAGCGACTTCGTTACCGACAATGGAGTCTAGTGCTACCTTCTCGGTGAACTTGACGGACTGACACAGTACAATGACAGGCAATGAGTGCGAATAGGCAAGCATAGATACTAGGGCTGTGCCAACGCGCGAGTAGAGGCGGCCGTTTGACATCATCGCGTGAGCACCCAAGAAGACTTTTGTCGCGTCTTTAACCGCGTGCGAGGCTCCTGTGATGAGATAGTATCGTACGGTGATGCCATGGTTTGCGAGCTTCCGTGCCAGCTTCTTGCCTTCAAATAGTGGCTTCGAGTCGACCACAATGACTGTGAAGGGTTTACCAGACTGGTGAGCATGAATGATGGTTTGTTCGACTATCGACGATGCGGCATAGACCAAAATGACATCGCCGGCTTGGATCTTCGTGGCTGCTAGGTCGCGGATGAGTCTGTCAGCGGCTGTGACGCGCTCACGAATAAATATGTCAATCTCCTCGATCAGGTCTCGCTTGGCCTCATTCTCTGGGGTCGAAGGATCTATCTTGATAATGACTAGAACGAGTCAGCATCTTGTAAAACGTGACTTGATATGTTTAGACGCTCGTCTTGAGCATTCCGAGCCTTGACTAGTTTGTTAGTATAATGTGAAACACCAACTTACTGTCCTTTAGCCATCGGATAGCATTCCCCATACTGATGCTAAGTGGTCGACAGCTCTTCAAGAACTCGATCTGAGGACCAAGGTGATGGCTAGTCAGATGTCGGGCCAAACTGTTTCCTGGAGGTGTTTGGTAGGCCTCGATGACTGTCTTGAATACCAACAACATGGCCACCATACGTGCCGTACTACCACAGATGGCATAGCTGCTATACTGTAGGCCAAGCGCGAGGACTGCGGGATGTACATCTTTTGACGCGCCAACGAGGGATTGCTGCTTTGGTTGGCTATAAAGATGGCCGAAGAACAGACCAGTCTGTTTCGGTTCTTTATCTTTCTTCGCTTTCTTCTCCGGTTCTTTCAGAACTGGGGTGTTAGCTTGCGATGGTCGTCGCCGTACTGGCACTGGTCTTGACAGGGCGTCTTTTGATGTTTGCTTTGAGTCTTTCTGCTGTTTTTGACCGTCTTTGGAGGGTCCTTGCTGTTGATTTGGCGGGCCACCCGCAGCTTTGGCTTGAGCTCGTTTTGCTTGCTTCTCGGCCTGCTTTTGCTTTTTTAACTCTGCTGGCGAGAGCTTTTTAGGCGCGTCTGTGGCAGGAGCGGCATCGCCATTTGTTGTTGCGGGTGCGCTCTCTTGGGATGGTGCTACTGCCGCAGCAGGTGCCGGCGCTGGCTCGGCAGCGGGTGTCTCAGACATGGTGATGCGACCTTTTCGTTATCGTCGACTTTTGTAAGTGGAATGTGGCCAGTCAGGTGTCAGACGATCCAACGTGGTGGGGCAATATCAAGTGTCGTGGCGCGAATATGGTCCCAAATCGAGTATTTCTAACGTCTTCAGATACTGGTGGACCGAAATGGCTAGGTGGAGCAGTGCAACGCGTGGATCGATAAGTGTTGCTGGGCAGGCGGAAATTTGATAGAGTCTCGTGAATTGAGTCAGAAGTTTGGTGGCCGCCTTTGGTTTAGCGCGAAAACGGAAATGTCCCGCATTAATCCCCGCGCTCCTTGCGTCATTGGGCAGGCGTCCTCCACGCCTTCTATCAAACATCTTGTTTACACATATTCGTCATCATCGCCAACTGGAGCCGGCTCCATTACTTTTACTTCAACTTCAAATAGTGACGTTCCTCTATATGTCCTGTTACTGAAACATCGACGCCGGAAAAAACGAACCTAGAGGCCTTCCTCCTATCAACATGGCCGACAAGATCAGCTCCATCACCGACCTCCCCCTCGACATCCTCGTACTCGTATTCCCATATCTAGACGCCAAGAGCTTCCTCGCCTTCTGCAGCACGTGCAAAGCCTTTCAGCAATCGTCGATTCGATTAGATCCCGCGTACTGGAGTTATCTCGCCCGAACGACTTTCCGCGTACCGAACCAACCAGTTGTACAACATGACGGTGACCGCTGGCAGAAAATGTATCGTCGCATGCTCACCCAGAGCCGCGTCTATACATGGGGTCATAACTCGCACAACCGCCTGGGCCACGCTTCTGACCCGGAAGACCATACACGCGGCCGCCTACCTCGGATGAGAGCTGGTATGATGCGGCCAGGCAGGCGGATGTACAACGCGCATCAAGCGTTCCCGACAGAGATGGACAAGACGCGGGATCTAGGAGTCATTTCTGACATGCAATGTGGTGGCTGGTCCACAACCTTGCTTACCTCTAAAGGTACCCTCCATACTGCTGGTGTGCTTGATGGCCAGAGGATACTCATCGCTAGTGGGCCTTTGCAACCGCTTCGCTTCCCCGAAGGTTATCCTCCTACCGCTACCGAAGCCCAATACGAAGAGCCGACCGTCGCCATTCGCCAGTTCTCCTCCGGTCGAGCACACATACTTGGACTCTCCGACAGCGGTCGGGTGTGGTCATGGTACGACGTCAAGAAACCTGCGCTCCAGGTCAAGTTCGCAACTCTGCAATTGAATGAGATCTCTATGGACGACAAAACAAATACGACCTCCAACTTCGGACAAATAAAACAAGTTGTAGCAGGATGGAGCCGCAGTTCGGCCTATGTCCATGGCGTCGGCATTGTCGTCTGGGATCCAGTTGAGCGGGATCACGGTGAAGACGGCACAGATACAATGCTCGTCATGGAACACGCCGAGGTCCCCAGGACTGGCTACCAGCATATCAAAGGCACCCGCGAGTCAGACGAGCAGAGAGCTTTGAGGCAAGAGGTCGGGGCAGTACTGAACTACGTTCTGCTAGAGCACTTCGTCTTATTTACTACCGACCTTGGCAAGGTCTTTTGTGGGAAATTTGGAGCGAAGAACGAGGTTGAAGATGTTATTGAGCTTCAAATGGTGCGCCATGAGAAAGGAGCTCCTCTTGATGTTCAAGGTTCGTTCCGCAATTTTGCTGTTTTCAGGGACGATGAAGTTATCACCGGCGATCAGAACTATCTCGAGTCATGTTGGAGCAATCGTCATAATGGTTCTAGAGACATGCAGGGTCTGAAGAAAATCCCAGCCTTGCAAGGCAGTAATGTTATCTCGATCGCTTTCGGTGACTATCACTACCTGGCACTCCACTCGAACGGCAAGATCACATCGTACGGTACCGAAAATTCAGCTTGTGGTGCATTGGGCCTGGGCATGAATGGTGACGGCCTAGTCGGAAATGCGCGCGGCATTGTGTATGACCAGTTCAACGCAAACGGTCAACTGCTACCTCACGCTTATACAAGCGGTCGTCAGATCTGGTTCGACACAAGGAAGAATGAGTGGCTCAAGAAAGTCGTACATGACGATACACATGCTGAAGAGAGCAAAGAGCGCAGGCAACTGTTCAGCAGTGACCACACTGTCCAGGGGGAAGTCAGTGAGTGGTTCGAGCAAGAAGGCAGGGCTTGGGACCAAGATGCTGGCGAAGACGGTCTTGGTGCATATTTTGCTCTTCAGGTGAGTGCTGCAGGATGGCAGTCTGGTGCCTTGGTCTTGGTCAACGAGGACTTGGCCAAAAAGGAACCGACATATGACCTTGAGAACATATCTTTCCCCAGGCTCAAGCTCTCGGACGGTAGAGAGATGCCGGGTGAGAAAGATTTTGACGAGTGGAGAGAAGGACGACCGGACTTCCAACTCAACGCTTAGGCTGGAGTGTTTGAAGTGTTTGTCTTTAGGTTACATTGCCGTCGGTCAGTTACAGCCTACAGTGAAATCGCTTCTTCACACAGACGCATGTTGCCCATCACTATCGCACCATGATTGAACATCGGCCGTCTTGAGGCGCAGCCTTGCATAACGCTACCTTTGCAGAGATATGGGCTTCTCTATCCAGGCTGATCAGGCATTCCTATGTACTGACGGTGTGACGGTAGCACAGGGCGCAGCAGTTGAGCGAATAAAGGAAGGCGCTAATTGACTGGGTGGAAGGTGGGGTACTCGTGCTCAGCCCACCTTCGGTTGTGTGGTGTCTAGCATTGCAACAACCACGACTGACGCTTTCCTAACCTAGTTATACATTTACCTGAGTGCACTGTAGATTCAGAAGCAACCCTTATAATTCAATATGGCTTCGACAACTACCAATGAGTTGTGTAAAGAATGCCAGATTCTTGTTTCTAAGATTAGTTGCGAACCCGGTCTTGCATTAATCGACCACCACCTTACGTTAGAATCGCTGGAAGAAAGCTCGAAGAAAGCTTGCGGCATATGCATCGAACTTATACGCTCTCTGAAAGACGGTTTTGCCAGTGGGCCCGATCCATTGACGACCTTCTTTCCGATCAGATGCGTGGCCGATACGTCCTCAGCGAGTTGGCAAAGCTCGTTCGAGATGACCTTCACTTCCAATCTACGAGACCGCGTTGACTTCAGTTTGCGCTTTGTCTTCGAAGTCGTTGAGGATTCTGAAAGTGAGTGGGTACTATAATACGGATCCTTCCAGTCGGCACTCACAACTTAGCGAAGGTGACCTAGTCGGATATACGCCCACTTAGTCTACAGACTCCCCTGAAAGCTGGGATCTGATAGATCGTTGGTTGAACCAATGCACTCAACACCACGGCCGATGTAATGCGGCTATTCCAGAATCTTGGGCTCCAACACGTTTGCTTGACATCGGTACCTCTGAAGATGATCTGATACGATTATAAGATCGTGATGAGACACATATTTTGTTCAATAAGCCTTACGCCACACTTTCTCACTGCTGGGGCAGAACGCCGCCCATCACAACAATTAAGCAAAACATATTGGAACATCAGCACGAAATTCCCCATCAAGATCTTCCGCCGACTTTCAAGGATGCAATCAAGATTGCCAGAAAACTCTCCATACGCTACCTGTGGATAGACTCGTTGTGTATTGTTCAAGATGACAGGCACGATTGGGCACGTGAAGCTGATTTGATGAGCAAGGTTTATAGGTATTCCTTCATCAATATAGCTGCCACTGGATCTGGCAGCAGCACTGGAGGCTGCTTTTGGAAGAGAGATAAGCGCAACGTACTACCTACAGAAGTGTGCATCAAATGGCATGCCAGTTGGTGCGATCGTGATGAAGAACTGCCAAAAATCAAGTATCGTGTGGTATTGGATGCAGACCTGTGGACCAGAAAACTCACAGATGAGCCGTTGAATCGACGCTGCTGGATACTACAAGAGCGAATTCTTTCGCCTCGCGTTCTTCATTTCGGAAGTGAGCAGCTCTTTTGGGAATGTCGAGAGTTTATCGCATGCGAGACATACCATCGCGGTCTACCTGCCGCCCTCCAAAATCATCCACTCATCAACATCAAACGACTAGAGCTTGGAGACCAACCCAAAGACAACCGATGGCCCGCAAAGTACATCTCGAAAGCTTCCAAGGATATCTCATACGTACAGAGTCTTTGGGATAACTTCACATCGATTTTCCGACCTATTGCTGTTCATGAAACAATATTCTATGCTGCCTTGAATAACACGGCAGTTTATCAAGATTGGTACGCGGTTGTCGAGTTATACTCTATGGGCAACTTGACTTTCTCAGTGGACAAGCTTGTAGCTTTGTCAGGCATTGCACAGACAATCGTTGCCGTTGAATCTAGTAAACTTGGCGATGGCTATCTCGCAGGCTTATGGCAGTCGTCACTGCCCGCCTCTCTCCTTTGGCAACCGGAACATACTACGAGTCCATTCGAAGCTAATGGCGGTGAAATTCTGAATCATGTCGATGAAGCTACATCTGTCCCATACAGATACGCCAATTACATCGCACCGACATGGTCTTGGGCCTCAATCCATGGCCGAGTCTCCTTCGCGACATGCCAAGTCAATTACAAATCCGAAGACTACTTGGCGACACTCGAAGATGCAAGTGTGTCTTATCATGATAATTATCGCTTCGGCGCATTGGTACCAGGAGGGTTCGTGGAGCTTTCCGGGCCCATTGCATCAGCTCTATGGAAGTCTGAACATGAATCTTCTTTCAGTTGTAGGAGGAACACGATAACACAAATTTTCCCTCCTCATCTCAACCGTCACGCGTCTGTTAAGCTGGATAACTTATATTTGGCCGATAGCGATGAGATCCTACTTGACACAGCCATGAAGACATACCAGAAGAGCTTATACTTTTATGTGTCGTCGAAACGAAAGAGAGCAATGGACATATTGACGTTGTCAGGGGTTTGGTACTACAGAAGTCAAGTCAAAGCGAGGATTACGTTCGCATCGGTGTTTTTGTGGCCTGTCGTGAGCAACTAAGGAAGATTCTCGTAAACATGCCACGACGGTCAGTTACCATAGTTTAGAGTCAGCCAAGTCTATGGCTTCAAAATCATATATTGTGCACACATTTCCCCGAAAGGACTGTGATTATCCGCCTGCATGCAAAGATTTGTGACTAGCACTAAATATTGTTACTTCGGAGTTTACCACTTGCTCCATATGGAAGCATTAGTGTAGGAGCGGGTCACGTGCCGACGTGGCGACGGCATCGCCGTGATGAGCAAACTAGGGCAATTTGACGTTGCGTAAGATCGACACCACCATACCCATTGAGGAATCGACGACATCGCATTCAGGGGCTTGTCTACTCTGTCGTGTGTTTGACCATGGCCCGGTGTTCCTGCTTGGGATCCGCTGGTGTCAATCCCAGGTTCGCTAGATGTAGATCTCCTCGCATCAACGGCGTCTCCGAAGATGAGGAAGGTGTTCGCGGAGGCGTACTCGATCTACGCAAGGGTCACGCAAGTGCTAGTAGTTTGACAGGTCCAGCATATCTGGTGTAGCTGCTGGAAGCCTGATGTCGCGAGACCAGCCCACGCCTGATGGAAGTAACACCAACCGCAACCAATGAGGAGTCAAACTGTCGGCTCGAGAGCGGCTTTCGTGTATCAACTTCAGACCCCGCAAGTACAAGTAATTGCAACCCATTAGTTTCGCGAGCTGTCGTCCATACATTCGGCATCTTCCGGTACCTACCCAAAATCTCCAGCTGACTGATCCCAGCCTCGCCGCTACTCGATACAAGCTCGCTACCGGGAACCTGTTTTCGAGTTTTGCCCAGCTTTTGTAGAAACAAGTGGTGTTGTGGGGATCGCATGAAGTACTCGAGATCGAGAGTATTCCGCAAATCGCGGCTTGAGGCGTGACAGATAACCTCAAGTGCCGGCAGCCACCTACAGGACTCGGTTCTGGCGAAGATGCGGACGTATTGACATCGAGTCAATCAGCTTTGCGTAGCAGCCGCCTCTTATGCGGTGTAAGTTCTCGAGGTCGTGAGAATAGAAATTGCCCCGCAAAAAAGCAGATATACGGCGGTTGTTTCCCTGGAATTGCTGATGGTCATGCATGTCGCTATTTTGCTGCAAACATGGTTCTTTGTTTAGCTGCTCTCTTATGTTGCTTAACTTGTTTTCTGGCGTATCACGAGTGCTTGCCTTTCGGTTGGCGTTCCTGCAGAAGCTGAAACCGATCCGTCACGGGATGCCTTTTTCACCCACCACACCTCTATCCAACACCCGTAATGGCGCAACTGCATTCAAGTGGCGGCCCCAACTACCGCGCAAAAGCCTGGCCAGAGGAGTTCAGCCAGCTCGCCGTTGTCCCTTTGCGCAGGATCAGATCTCGGATCATCCCTGCCGATTAGCTCTATGAACTAGTGGCTAACGCCACGAAGCGACGCCACCATCGCCGACTCAGCTGAACATTCACCAGCCAAGAAACGAGGACACTGGCTGTCCTGCTGAGGCCGCGCACCAATCTATGCCTGCCCCAGCAGGACCCGTACTGTATGCCTTCCACAGGCGCGATTCGTCGCAGCTGAACACGACCAGTTTGTTGCCTTTTGCTTGATTTGCACATCGTGGGCTTACGCTTCACTCTGCCTACCAGCCTTCGTCACCAGGTGTAGACTACGCCGGGCTAGCTCGCCGATTGCCTCAATGTTTCAAAGGTATCTGGGCTTGCTGATGTCGCTGTCGAAGCATATACGTAAACCAGGATGGCGCGGGTTCGCAGAGATCGATGCAGGAACCGAACCTGACTCTCACATGCGGATATCCTTATTTATACGTACACCCCGGTACTAATCCTCCAGGAACGAGACAATAACCGCACCCGTGTATTATTAGCTGGATACTATTGAGCGGAGTATTCGGATCTTAGTGCTTATGCTAACAGTTGTTCCCTTCTTACTTCAGGTAAAATTGTATGAAAGCGGCTCTGTTCCCGTCTTCTTGACTGACCGAGTAGCTAGTTCATCTAGGACCTGCATCATTCCACGCGATTGATAGTCAGAGTGGATCCCAGCAAGCCATACCTGCCTCCCATCGGCGTCATCTCTGCACTTATGCCTCCACTTCTCAAACCGTCAAATACTGCCAATACAGAAAGCTGGCATCCGCCTGTTGATCTGCAGCATTTATCTGAAGCCATTTTGTTGTTGGCACTTTTTGCAACAGTCTTGCGATCAGTTTTCATTGCACGAAGGAAAAGAAGTATGCCTGGTTCTGGCATAGGTCAGGATGACTTGGCCATAAAGCAAGAAAAGAAGCTGCCCATCCACCAAAGGAAAGACTCCTATCAAGAAGAAGAGCAAAATCTCTCAAGAAGGAATATGGAGGGCCCGGGTGATAGAACAGAAGAGAAGTTGATGTTGGAGGGCCGGAAAGATGCCTATATTCGTCTGCCATCACTGGATCAAGAACCAAACCAGTACCTTCAGTCACTTCAACAAGAAACACTGCGGCCAACACTCTCTCCAATCTATCCTTGGATTTCACCGCCACAAGCATTGCCAGGACCATATGATGCGCCATACTACCCACCTCCGCTACCGACTATCAAGACCGAGGAGTCACTCCAGATCGAGAACCATTCGCCAACCATCAAAATTGACGCCATCTCGGATGACATACCCGAGGAGCTAGAAACTATCTCATACACCCGTCGCGTCTCAGCAAACAGCGTCCCAGACTACGACTCACTGCTTGAAGGCACAGTCACCGTCTCGAACAAAGGCTGGCGACGAACTCAATGGACGGTCACCGCAGGTTGAGACTCTTCATGCCACGTCTTCACCGCATGATCAAATAAGCTAGGAATATTTTGGAAAGGCAATTTGGAAGGACTCTCGCACAAACACACCTTCTTCCGTATAGCTTGCATACCGACAACAATGACGCTGCTGATACAAGCCACCATCGCTCGATTTTGCTCGCATGGCCTCAGCAGATGTGGAGACTGAGGCTCAATCCGTAGTAACTGAAGCGGATGATTCGAGTATGGGGAGAGGTGGCTTGCGTAGTATAGTTCCGCGCTTACTAGCTGAGGAAAGTGTGGAGTGAAATGTGGGTCCGGGTAGGCGACGGAACTGACTATGAAGACGCCTCTTATGGGTTATTGAGCTATGACGGCTTGCGCCATAGCGGGTATGTGTAGATCCGAATGTTTTCCGTTGGTCGATTCCCCTTGGTTGGGGGTCATTTGTCATGCTGAAGTCAGTACGAGTGGCCTAGGGATCGGTGGCTGTGTTCTATTGTACCGAAGTATACTTATTTACTTATACTGCGATGCCCGTCCGCGAATGATATCCGGGGTTTTGTTGTGACTGTCTGCGTGAATCGAGATCTACTCCCCTCAAGCATGGATCAACGCTGTTTTCACCTCATGTCAAAAGCGTGCGCCACGGCGGCTATATCATGCACTCGCTAGCTCCCGCTCCTCGCAATCGGTGTCACTTTACTTTTGTGCTGCAGGACATACAGCCCTGATGAGATCAACATGGTAGTATGCCCTAGAAGGTCTATTCTAGGCACAGGAAATGACTCCATCTAAGCCTCGCAGCCAAGTGTGCTTCACTGGACGATCTGCTCGTGAGCAATTTAAGCGCTGAAAGCAATTCGTATACATATTTACCCGGAAGAGACATGACGATGCATTGGTAAACAATGGTAAGAATACATACTGCATGCAAAAAAGTCTGCAGAATGTCGTAGGTAGTGGTCGGGTTTGCGGTCGATCCCTGTTGCTTGTATATACTGAGCCGGGACAGGAAGTTATATGGTCGATCTTCCTCGCCTACAACTGCCTAGGTTCAGATGTTGCGTTGTCGATCAATGAGGTGCATAATCGTGGAGTGGTGTAGCGAGCTGAAGGTGAAACGAAGCCGTGGGGGGCATATGTCGGGTTGCGTTGGAAAGGACATTCATGATGGACGTGGCTGTGGGAGATGGTCAGCACGGTATTTCCACCAACTGTAGGCTCTAGCTGTTCAGAGCGGGTGTATTGAAAAGAGCAGAACTACGCGACCCAGAATTGACGTGTTGGTAATATATTTCATTGCGAATACGTGATGCGTTCGCGTACTCTCCAAAAAGGTATCTCGTTCCAATTCTTAACGCCAAAACAAATCCACTGTATATGTCAACCATGCCCATCGACGCCATACCATTTGTTCCCCGACCACTCTACTCAACCTACCTCTTCCCCTTCCAATCAAACCTCTCACTAACAGTGTACCACCTAATCAAACTCCTTGCCCCAATCTCATCGCCCGTCCTGAACAATTGCGCAACATCCACATTGAGCGGACTATCCGGCTCAGCACTAGTGAGCAATTGGTGTATACTCGTCATTGTGCTAGAGATGGTATACGCGGGCGTCCAAGCCGTCTTGAGTAGGTCGAGGCAGATCTCACCGGTTTTGAAGTCGACGTTGGGGTGGCAGATGGGCGTTACGAAGCGGATGGTAGGTGGGGAGAGGGGGTACTGCGAGGGGATTGAGATGGAGAGGAGCCAGCATCCATCTGTAACGTGTTAGTGAGTGAATGAGGTTGGAATGTGGTAGTGTATAGAGTTGGAGCGGTGTGAGTGAAGTATGCTGCGGATTTGTATATACCTTCATAAGCCGTCCCCTCTACTCCCTTCATAACTGCCCTCCATTGCATCACATCATCGTCCGCAGGTCCGAGTTCGAGAAGCGCATCGTTGGGGTCGTGTTGTAATGTTTGAAGTTCGGTCATGAGGCGCTTGATGGGCGATGCGTTACGCGATGAGCCTGCCATGGTGTTCTATATATGTTTGAATATGAGCTCTGATATTGGGGATGAGGTTATAATGGGTGGAGACGATGCGCTGTATGTCTATGGCGGTGAAAGTAGCATAGGAGGCTGGTTGACAGCTCAGTTGTCGCATCGGCAAGGATGGCTGAGCTGGCCGTGGTGATGCTCCGAGGTCTGAAGCTTGAGCCTCAGAATGAACTGAGCTTCCTCCCCACCAAAACTTTTGGAGATGTCGGGCGTCACTGAAGTATAGAGGCGTATACTATAAGCAATCTCTTTCCAAATCTTTGCGCACAAGCATTGTTGAGTACCTTCTGAGACTTCGCTTAGTCATTTATTTGCTTACTGCGTACCTTTCCTACCACACTACATCCTCCGCGATACAACAATCTAACACTTCATACATCACACGCGCATACGGATCAGAACACGCAACTATGGTCGCGCCTACAGTTACCCTCACGCATTTGAATCGCGCCGACGGTTCTGCGACATATAGCCACAATGGCTACTCAATCATTGGCGCTGTCAATGGCCCAATCGAAGTACAACGACGCGATGAACTGTCCGAGGAAGCAGCGATTGAAGTGAATGTCAGACCAGCTATGGGCGTTGGAAGTATGTATTGCTTCTCGAAGGAAGGTCGCGACCGATACTAACAGAGTCCAAGGCCCGAGAGAAAGACATCTCGAAACCCTCGTTCACAACACACTGCGCAGTATAATTCTGACGAGATCGATACCGCGGACGCTTGTACAGATCACACTTCAAGTTAGAAGTTTGCCAGAAGAAGATCGCACAGCAGGTGTCAACACTGTATGTCCAACTACTGCTCCAGTCCATGTCATGCCGCCCATCGCTAACAAGTACAGTCTTTAACTCTCCTCCCACACCTTCTACACACCGCGCTTCTCGCCCTACTCTCCGCATCAATACCCCTCCGCACAGTCCTCACTTCCGTATTGATCGCGCAACCCGCCTCACCATCTACAAACGCCTTCCCACCTCTCCTCTCGCCGACCGCAAATGAACTCTTACGCGCAAAACCCGTACGATCCGTGCACGTGTTCGCATTCTCTGGCGATAGAAAGATGCTGCTTGGAGAAAGCGAAGGGAAATTCAGTTACGAGGAGTGGAATGAGGCATGCCAGATGGCAGAGGATGCGTGCTGTGGAGAAGAAGACGAAGAGGAGGAGGGTGGTATAAGGCTAGAAGCCGAAGGCGAGGCTATGGATGTGGATGCGCAGGTTGAAGGAGAGAATCTGGAGAAGTGGCTGAGGAGCGTTGTGAGGAGGAAGGTCGAATATGAGCAGCGGTGGAAGAGCGCTACTTGAATAGCGCTGATAAAGAGTGATGATGAGAAATATGCAAGACGCGGAGCGGATGCTCTCATTTCTGACCCTTTCGTCAGTTGACGTAACCCAGAGCACGAGATGCTAGTCAGAGCGAAACATGGAGCCTGTGGAAAGCCAATGCTTAGCGTGCCGCTGAGTGCGGTGCAGTCAGAGCCTCGATGCTGGTGTCGTACGGAGCTGTCACAAGATACCTGAAGGTGTCATGTTGCTGCGCGGATACCCTCAACGTAGCAGCCATAGTTGTGAATAATGCTATAGATAAAACACCGCTCAAAGCGCTAAAGTTACGTATGTGTCAGATGCGGTACATGGTGTATGAAGTGATATATGCGAGATGTTGGAAGCGATCGATCCGTGGTAGATATGTCGTTTTGAGCCGTAAATCGTAAGTCGTAGTATAGTGATCCGTAAGGTCGAGTCCGAGCGCTATGCAAAAGCCGTAAAAGAATGTCCATGAAATCCAAGAAAAAGTCGTCAAACAACCTCTACCTTTTCTGTTATCAGTTTCTTGTCAGTTCTGGCTTGTTCAGCCAACAATCTTCCCAGAGACCCTTGTGCGTCCCAGTCTGGTACCTCCCACATTCTTTTGCCTCTCGAAAAACCCTTGTCCTCAACCAGCCTGACATCTTCGCTACATGCTTTTGCCTCCCTTAGCCACTCATGCCAAGCTACAGTCTCTGGACATGCGTCGCTCCTTCGCACCCATCCGACGTCTTTGCTAACACAGATGGCCCTCCAGAGAGCTTGCGTGAACGTCTCATTTTCGGATGGGTATCCTTTCTTGTCCATATTGGAGTCGGAGAGACATTCGTTGATGACCTTGTAACAAGACGTGTCCCAATGCATTTTGCTGGGCAAGGCAGCGACTATCCAATATGAGGCGCCGAGCAGCATGTAGGAACCTGCCCACGCAATCTGAACCTGAATCTGAGCGTTGGCAAGGCATATGACGCCACCCATGAGCATCATCGTGCCCACCAGACTGAGTATTCGGTAAGCCGGGCCATGGGTGAGGAGGTAATCGATGCTCTCCGGTGCGAAGTACAATTCACGAGCAACATCTTCCGAGCAACGGACAATGAGAAAACTGCCCTTGGGGTACCGTATAACGACATCACCACGGGGCACTATCCCTGTCGTGACCCTGCGTTTAGGGAGTTGCAACACCCATTTGTTCCCGAGACCGATCAGGCTAGAGAGAAGTGATAGAAGTACCGTGGCTACGACGGACATGCCATCGTCTTGCCATATCGATAAAGCGAGGAGGAGAGCGGAGAGGGCGAAACCGATGAGGAGTACGACGGTGAGTGGACCAAAGGTCTTGGCCTTGAGTGATTGCTCGCCGACGCGTTGAATTTCGACAACGCGTACGGAGAAAGGAGCGAGGTTGTTGGCGTCACTATGAGGTTCCCTGTTAGCATTGTGCGGTACTATCACAGTCATATCATGGTACGTATGACTTCTAGTGTGTTTTGTGGAGTCTGGTAAACGTGTCGGGGCATGTCTCGAGGAAGCTTGCCACTAGCGAGATCGTTTGTTGGAGTGCACTTACCAGACGATATTTCCAATATGATTGATGTTATCCCTATGATTTCCCGATACGATGCCTGTTACGAATCCGGGGAAGGGCTCAAGTTGGATTGGCCTTGTCGGCCTCATCAGAGCTTGTGGTGCCGGGATCAACCGTGGTAGAAATATCCATCTTGAGAGCGTTGACACTTGAGCGTTGGCAAGCACTGAACCCTCACCCAAGATGGCAAGGAAACCAACAATGTCGAGTTGTAGTTCATTGAGTGATATCTTCCCGTTCTCATCTGACGGAAGCCAATACATATCGATGAGGCTCAAATGATCTTCAAAGCTCAGTGCGAATTGAAGGCTGAACGCTGCGAAAACGATGCATGGGTCCAAATGGACGCGCTATAATGCAGTGGTAAAGGCCCGTAAGCGTACTCAGTATATACAACAAATGTGGAACTGAGGCGAGGAAGGCATGTATGATGGTGACGAAGCTCAACGTGGAGCAGTGAAACTCGCGCGTAGCAGCTGGGGGCCAAAAACGCCTGCATTGCCCACCGGATCTGCGTGTGGCACCTCTCTTACCACTCTGGTCAGAGGCCCAGGCACTTTATCGAGGACACGGGAGTTTGTGCACTCCCTCAGCCCCCATGGATTGGGGCTTGTGCAACTATTGGATGCCTCAGGCTGAAGAAATGAGGGGCAACATGGCTGACAGGACCAGTGGCTAGGCTCCAGGGTATTTGGCGCATGGCAGAATGCATGAGAGGCTTTAGCATAGCCTCAATCATGCGAGCGATGGGTAGTTCTGCCCAGCTTGATTTTCAACTTCTTTCTAGTAAATGATCCGCTTGTCGCGACGACATCGCGATAGTTTGAATCGCTGCGCCCCGCTTGCGTGTTGAGCTTGAACTCAACTCTGATCGCCAACTTCGGCTGCTGTTCGCAACACCAGAACAAGCGCACGCACCAGGCTGACATTCCCGTGACACGATCCGATAGCGACAGCTGTACCGACCATCGAGGTTTGCATTAAAAGACATCAAAAGCGGTATCGCATTCACTCGAACCGTCAAGAGAAGGAAGAATCATACGCAAAGAAGCGTGCGCTGATGTATGTGGTTGCTCCTCCCTTCTCTTTTGCGCGTCCTCAGGCACGCGATCGTTGGTCCTTTCTCCTCAACACAAGCCAGAGCGCAAAGTTTGTCTTTTGTTTACTAGAGCGGAAATTGATCTTCTCCTCATCACTCCAAACTCCTGTTTCAACTCACCGCAACTACATATCTACTTTCTTGTGCCCATGTCTTCAGGCATCAGTCATTTCCCAGCCTCGCGCGTTTCCTTAGCCGCGGGGCATGAGGCGCAGCGAACAAACTACATCAAAAAAAAACTATCTGTGAACTATGAAACTAATCCAGTCGGTTTTGCGCATTAGGCCGACGGGTAGGACAGCGGTACTAGAGTTTGGTACGCCATATACATCGCCTGGCTAGAGTACCATCTGGTCACGAGGTGTGCCTTGAAGCAACCTCGTTTTGCGGGATCTAAGAGCCGTCTTAAAGATCCAGAAACAAACACAGCCCAAACCGGTCAAACTAGAAAGGTCACCGAAGAGTGCATGCACCACATATATCCATCATATCAGTGTACCTGCAGCCTCATTTGAGTGGTATGAGCAGCCGGTGATAGACGTCTTCATACAATCGTCATCGGCATGCCCACTGACGCCGAACCCAAAACTTCGAGTGAGTCTCACAGAACCCGCACGGGGTTGTTTGCCAAGTGTGGTATTGTAGTCCCCACATTGTGAGTCTCCAAATGAAGACTCGGGTCTGTTGTGTGAGTTGGTGTTGACTGTTGAATGCAGCTTTGTACGTGACCGACACGGATCTCCGGAGGACCCAAACAGGCCAGTTATGACTGCAGCTGACTCACCGAAGAAGAGAAAAAGGGCCCTCAGCCCTCTACCAACTAGGAAGATGCCCCTACATTCAGGAGAACCAAAAACTATCGAAACGCCTTCTGAAAACACAATGACCGAGAAAGAAAAACTAGAGGAGGCCAAGGCTCAGTTCAGAGCCGCTATAGACGACGAGGAGGCGGTCAAGAAGTACGACGAGGACAGAAATAAACTCGTAAAAGCGGAGGACGACAATATTTGGGATCTAGCAGCAAGACCCACCAAGGATTCCGACCCTGAGGACGTCAAGACGGAGAAATGGGCTACAGACATCATCCGAGAGATTCGGGAATATGAGCGGAATGTCACGTTCGGCAATATAGCCTCAGAAGCGCTGCCAGAGCCTGATGACCGCGACATGGGTGGCCAATATCTCACTAATAAGGACCGTATAGACCGCGAGAGCAAGCTGTTTGAGATCGCTAAGATCGTTCCAAAGGGCGCTCTCCTGCATCTTCACTTCAATGCCGCACTACACCCTGAACTACTTCTCGTACGAGCCCGGAGAATGAAAAACATGTACATTCGCAGTATACGTCCAATTGCGAACGAGAACGATCTGGCATTGACGGAGGTGGTCTTCAACGTCCTAGATCCAAAGACTGTGGATCCTAACATTGATATTTTCTCGAGTACATACCCTGCGCTGGAAGATGCGATTAGGTTCAGGGATGCAGATGTCAAGGATAGAATCTGGATGTTGTGGTCAAAATTCCAAGACAAATTCGAGGAGAAGTTCCCAAGATTGTACCAACATCAAGAGCCCGAGACTTTTAGAGAGGGACGGCCACCTCAACGGCGCCACTGTGGGGACCCGAAACTGGTCGAGTTACGTCCTGCTGAGAACTGGTTGAGGTCAAAGATGGTGCTTAGCGAAGATGAAGCTTATGGCCCTCAACAAACCGTCAACGGGTAAGTCTCTGTCAACTATGGGCCCAAGATATGCTGACCCTGTTGCAGTGTTTGGGCTCGCTTCAACCAAGCTACAAGAGCTTTCAAAGGCCTGCTGAACTACGAGAGTGTCTACAAGGACTACATAGGCGATGCTATTGACCGCATGATTGTTGAGAAGATCATGTATGCCGAGCTTCGCCCGATGCTGCTAGACAAATCCATACCCACCACCGATGGCCGCCATACGGTTGACAACTTTGCCCAAATGCAGCTCATAATTGACGGCGTTCAAAAGAAGAAGGCAGAGCTCAACAAAAAGGGAGAGCTTCACAAGTTTCCGTTTGGACTTAAGATTGTATACTGCACACCGCGATCAATACCTCCGGCACTCATGAGAAAGGAAATGGAACACTGCATCGAGCTCAAGATGAAGTTTCCAGAACTCATATGTGGTAAGCAAATCATTGGACCACAACACCGCAATATCTGACGCGATTTAGGCTTTGATCTCGTTGGTGCTGAAGACCGACCTAATCACATTGGCTTCTACAAAAAAGAGCTCAAAGCTTTCCAGAAGATCTGCAAGGACTTCAAACTAGACATCCCGTTCATGTTCCATGCCGGTGAAACATTACTTGATACCGGCGGCTCCGCCAAACCGGAAAACTCCAATCTCTACGATGCAGTGGCTCTGAAAGCGAAACGCATTGGCCACGGGTTCGCGCTCATGAAACACCCCCGTCTTATTGAGGACTTCAAATATAAATCTGAAGAGGAGCCAGGTATCTGTATTGAGCTTTGTCCTATCTCGAATGAACTGCTACACCTTTGCAGAAATGTCAAGGAACATCCGTTTCCAGAATTGCTAGCTGCAGGTATACCATGCACAGTCAACTCAGACAACCCCTCACTCTTTAAGTATGACACAACTCTAGATTTTCATTCTCTGCTAACAGGAAATGTAGCAACTCCATGTCGCACGAGTTCTACCAGATCATGGTAGGTGCGCCTACCATATCCCTCTATAGTTGGAAGCAGCTTGCACGATGGAGCATCGAATACAGTTGCCTCTCAAAAAAACAACAGAAAGAAGGACTCGAAATCCTAAATAAGAGCTGGAGGGAATTCTGCCAAACGATTGTGAAAGATTACGGTTGCCTCATGAACCAAGAGAAACCTGAGGAGATCGATTACTATAGGGCAGAGGTAGCGTATGGGCCCCGCAGGAGGCTACATCCAGCTATCCTCAAAGCAGAGAGCGATAAGGAGGGTGGAAAGGAAAAGGTCAGAGCAGAAAGGGAGAAAGCACAGATTTGGAGAAGATCTTTGCCCAGCGACAGTGTCGTGCTTACGCACAGTGTCGGCAGTAACCAAACATAATTCAAGAGGGGAAACGTATTGTAATGTGCCCGATAGTTGGCTGGCCAGCGTCTGTGTCTGCTGTCGAAATACAAGCGCGATGCAAAATATCTCGACCTGTGCAGACTGAAACAGGGTCGTCAAGTAGATGTCGTGGCTATAACATAATACCTTCACGACTCCTCAATGCTCACAAGTGAAGTTACGTTTTTCACCAACACCTTTCGCCTCAGCTATCACGTGAAACTCTCGTATCAAGATCACCGAATACCCTTGAAACGCCACAAACCACACTTATACCCAATGACCATAACCACACCTCTCTAGGCCACCTCTCCCACAACCCCTAAAACCCTCTTGTCGCTCCCTGTAACTGTCTGCCCCTTGGCCTGAGCAAAGTTCGCACTCCTCTCATGTGCAGGATTAGGACTGTAGAACTCATCGACAATAGGATGAATCATGACAGTTTGTTTGGAGATGGTCAGAGTACTGTTTGTTGGAACAGTGACCCAGTTGTCTGTTACTCGTTAGTGCAGCCCTTGAACAGGAAGGGGGAGGGGAAAACAACATACCACGTTCAAACGTCAATGGCTCGCTAGCCACAAGCACGATATCCGACCCTTTGTCCCTGCGTTCCATAACGTAATCTCTCTCCCTTTCCTCATCGTCAACAGACGAAGCACCGGCATCTGAACCCTGAGACGGAGCACCATTAAGTTCCCTCCAACTTGTCCCACTACTGAAGAACAAGCTCGCTGCCTCATCCGTCCTGCTACTCACATACCGTGAGCAAACTACACTAACACCATCCGTAACAGCAAAGTTAAGCAGACTCCTACTATCTTCCTCGCCCACCCCGCCACCCTGTTCCCCAACAACCTCTTTAATGAACCCATTAAGCCGCTCAATCGTCTTCAGCAACGCTTTCCTCAGCACCGTATGTCCGAAACCCACACCAGCTTCAACATCTCTATCCGGGCTTATCCCAGCTTTATCCAAACAATCCAAAAACGTAGCAAACGCCCACTCACTATCCGTGCTGCCGCCCACAACATTAAACCACCTCTCGTCTAGGCTCATAGCAAGCCGGCGTTTGATTTGCTTCCAGCACCCGATGCCACCATTGTGCATGAACATGAGGGACTTGTAGGAGAAAGGGTGACAGTTGCTGTCGCTGAGGTTACCCTCTGTTGTAGCGCGTACGTGGGCGAAGATGAGGGAGGATGTTGTTTTCGAAGCGATGCGCGAGAGATTTATGCAGTTCCATGCTGGGATTGTGGAGGTGAAGACGCAGGGTGTGAGACCGAGTGAGGGAGAGGTGTAGTACCCGATACCGAAGCCGTCGCCGTTGTGTGGGCGGCGCCGGTCCTGGTGGTGGTGTGTTAGTAGTGCGTGTGGATTGGGGGTGTTGGAGGGTGGCGTACTAGGCGGAGGCGCGAGTCAAAGGACTGTGTGAGGATGGAGTGGGAGGGGTTCAGAATGAGCTCCGAGAGGAGGATCTCATCTTTGCCTTTGTAGACCTGTGCTTGTTAGCTATAACCTGGGTGGGCGCGTGTACTCTACCTACCATGAATCTACACATCTTGGGTATTCGTTGCTGTGTGTTCACTTTTTAATATACTTATGCCATGTAGAATTCGCGATTGTTGTACTGGTTGTAAAGGGGAATGATTGTGTGAAGATGCTGGTGAGTTGGCTGCGAGGTCGGGGCGGCGGTGTGTTTGCGATGATTGCGCCATCGGTCCAGGGCATTGCTTGAGACATCATTGGGTTGTGCAAGTTGTGCAGAGACACGGTGGATGCGCGCAGACACTTAGACAGAGACCATCATGATTGACACGCGACAGGCTATCACGAACCGAGCGTTAAAGACAACTAACCCCACGCGTAGTTCGCGGAGGTATGCCGGCGGGGTGTTCAGGGTTCCTCGGATGACGCACGTCTACTTTCCCAGCTAGCTGCATTTAGTTGGACAATCACAAGGGTCTTCATTCGTCTCAACAAGATTGTGTTGTAAACCGATTGCTCGGGGTTATATTCAGCTATCAGCTATCAGCTATCTGGCTGGCGCGGCTGAACTGCGATCGCATGTCGCCCCCACCCAATTGTGTAGAGCTCCATCCAGAGCAGACCGCCCAGTCCAAACCATTCCGATCTTCAGACAGCTAGACAAACACGCAACGCCGGGGATATGATGCGGTTAGTGAACATGGGAGGGGTACAAGACGGTGTATCTTTGAGGCTTCATTGAAATCATGGCGAAGTGATAGCTGGAAAGGATGGGGGTATTGCGAAGGAAACACAAAGGTCCTCGCAATCATAGCGCTTCCGTGGATCATGTATCATATCGTGTATGATCTCTGAGTTGATCCAGGATACTGCAAACACTACTAGTCGTACTCTCGTGGCTCGCTAGCGTGGTAGAAGGGCTGCACTGCAGGCAATGCAACGTTTCAACTTCGGACTCGTCACGGACCCACATCCGCTTACATGTCCATGGAGTCACCTCCGTTGGCAAAGTTGAAGTTTTGTTGTTGCTGCTGGCCAGCGGCGCCGAAACCGAAGTGACCCTCCTGGTTGACCTGGGGTCCGGCCTCGCCCATGTTCTCGGCCTCACCCTCCTCGTCGGAGAAGTACTTCTCGATGATGTTGTAGGCCTTCATGTAAATCTCCTCGTTGGCGTTGTTCTGGCACTCGTGGATCTTCTCCATGCCGCCGACCTCCTCGATGAAGAGAGCGTAGCGGTTAATGGGCTCGCCACCAGCACCACCCTCGCTGGCCTCCTTGTCCATCTCGCCGACCTTGAGGATGTTCTCAAGACCATCAAGGGCGACCTGGATGATCTTGTTGTCGGGGCAGGCGAGGAGATCGCAGAGAGGCTTGATGCAGCCGCTTTGAACAAGGTAGCGGATCTGAGCAGGCTTCTGCAGACCACCGCTGGTGGCGTTGGAGATGGCCCAGCAGGCCTCCTTGCGCGTCTTGAAGTCGCCGTTCTGGAGGAGGTGGATCAGAGGAGGGATGATGTTAGCATCGATGACAGCCTGGATCTGGGTGGAGTTGCCGGCGGTGATGTTGGAGATGGTCCAGCAGGCCTCCTTGCGGATTCCATCCTTAGTGGAGCTCAAAAGAGACAGCAGGGCAGGGAGCGAGCCGCAGTTGATGATGACCTGGGTCTGGACGTCGTCACCAGTCACGATGTTACCAACCGAACGCAGGGCGGGGGTCTGGACAGAGGTGGAAGCGTGCATGAGCAGCTCTACAAGACGGCGGGGGATGCCAGCCTCAATGACGGCCTGGATCTTGTCGTTGGAGCCATCGGAGAGGTAAGAGATGGCCCAGCAGGCGTCGATGAGGACTTCGTCGTCGAGCGAGTATACGAGCTTGGCGAGCACGGGGAGGGCAGGCTGGATCTGCTGGATAATTAGTATTTCGACTCAAGTGGGGCAGCAAAGAGAACTCACAGTCTGCCAGTCGGGCTGGGGGGTCTTGCCACGGCAGAAGTTGCTCAGGGTCCATGTAGCATTGCGGAGCATGCTGAGCTTGCGGCTGTCGCCCAAAAGCGCAAGTAGCGGGCGGAGAGCACCGGCCTGCAGCACAAAGTCGCGGCATGCGGGGCTGTCACCGGCGATGTTGCCCAGGGCCCAGACGGCCTGCTCCCGGACATCTGGCTCGTGGCTGCTGAGCAACTCGACGAAGATGGGCACGGCGCCCGCCTCAATGACGACCTGTGTCTGTTGCGCCGAACCCGACGCGATGTTGGTAAGGGCCCAGGCGGCCTCGAACTGCACCAGTGTGTGCGGGGAGCGCAGGAACTCGACGAAGCGGCTCACGACACCAGTCTCGATAACGCGCTCGATGGGGGGGTTGCGCTCCTTGGAGAGAAGCTTGCGGAACTTGGTCGTCGCCTGAATCTGCTCATCGATCTGTTCTGAAAAGACGCCCTTGACCATCTGGGGGAGCTCCTCGTTGAGCTACATGCATCATGTCAGCCTGCATTCTCTGTACAGAGAGAAGGCACGGGATAGTGCCATAGTGGGGCATACGTACCTGGCTCTCAATGTTGCCGCCCTCATCGTCGCTGTCGGGGGCAGCACCGAGCGAGGCTCCTGGCTGGTCCCGTCCAGCGATACCACGGCGCTTTGCAAGGTTTTCCTCACGCTTCGCCCGGCGGATCTCGACCTGTTGCTCTTCACGGCGGCGGCGGAGTTCGTCCGGCTTGAAGGCGCTCTTTGCCTTGAATGTCGTGCGACGGTGCTCGGGGATGTACTTGTCGGCCATTTCTGCGACTCTCGTGGGTTTGCAGTGTGGTGAGTCGGACAAGATTTGGTGCGGCGGGTTTGTTTGTAAAAGGGAGTAAACTTTCCAACCAGAGGGGTGATTTTGAAAGCAGAAGCGGCGAAGCGGGTATTGGCGCTAGTAGCTTGGCTCGAGCACTCTACCCAAGCAACCACCATCACGACGCGTCGCGCTGTTGCTGAGATATACCCCCTCGCCCTGCATTTGTTCGTCACGCCTGCACGCCTGTCTCAGAGGCTAAACACCACAGACAAAGGCTTAGCTCAACCTACTTCTCTTCTCTTGCAATCGCTTCTACCTCTTTGACGGCCTTGCACATCACGCTAACCGCTTTCGGCCATCTCCAGCTGCAATGCCGCTGGAGCTGCCCAAGGGCTTCACAGCCATCAAGGACGCCACCCAAGTAGGCGCTACCGTCAACCTAATCGGTGTCCTAGTCAGTTTCGAGCCTTTGAAAAAAACCAGAGGCACCGACTTTACCCTCGACTTTACCATCCAAGATGACTTCACATCTTGTGATGTTGGTGGTCAGTCGAGCATCGGCTGCCGATTGTTCAGACGTACTGAAGACAAATTCCCCAAGATCTCTGGGGTTGGCGATGTCATCATACTCCGAGGATTCATACTCCAGGAGTTCAAGCTGCGTGTCGACGCTGTTGGCTATAATAAATTCAGCACCAACATGCACGTCTTTCCCAGTAGCAGAATTCCCATTCCAGCACTGAGCCAGGCTTTCCAGGCCGGCAGTCAAAAGCTGCCTCACGCCTCGACCGGAGGCATACCGCCCACGATCCCCGAGCAGATGGCTGTCATTGATCTGAAACATGCATCCACTGGCGCAGCGCAACAAGTGCAGCAGCATGCAGCGATGGGTACGACCAAATCCAGGACAACAAGAAAGGTCAGCTTGATTAAGGACTTGCAATTTGAGACTTTCTATGATGTCCGTGCACAGGTTGTGAACATCTACTACCACCAGATGGGAGGTCAAGTCGACTTGAAAGTAACCGACTATACCCCGAATGAGAACATGTTCTACTACGCAGATCCAGATAAGGAAGAGAGTTACCTAGTCACAGACAGGCACTGGAAGGGGCCGTATGGCTTTCTGACTCTAAATGTCACCCTTTACGGAGAGAATGCGAACTGGGTACGAGAGAACCTTGGAAACGGTGATTACATCTTTATAAGGAACATGCGAGCCAAACTGTCTAGCGCCAGCAAGTTGGAAGGAGTGTTACACGAAGACCGAGAGAATGCAGCACGAGTCGATATACGTCACTTGCAAAACGCGGCCGAGATCAAGGAGATTGACAAAAGGCGAGAGGAGTATGAGCAAAAACGTGGGTACAAGACGGCTTTTCAGGCTTTACAGAACGAACCTAAGAACACTTCCGGCAAAACTGCACACGAAAAGAAACAGGCGAAAAAAGAAAGACAACGAGCAGAGAAGCAGGCCGAGCAGGAGGAGTTAGAGAAGAAATCAAGAGAGTGGGAGAGGACTCGTGGTGGTGTCAATGCCAATAGTAAGATCTCTTCGCTTTCTCCATCTTCTATACTAAAAACCCTCAGTCATCGGTGCTTTCCCTCAGATAAAACTTTCCACTATCTCGGAGATCCTACACAACCCTCATCGCGAGGTTGGAACACCAGAGAAGTATAACAGATACACGCTTCCTTTCATTAACTGCAGACATCGATCTCGTGTCCGTGTAGTAGACGTTTATCCGCCTGAGCTCAAGCTGTTCGCTCACTCCAAGAGCGATAGAAAGTGGAGGAAGCATCCCAAAAGACAAAGCTCGACTGACGATCCTGTGAAGGAGCTTTGGGAATGGGGGTTTGTTCTCTTGCTTGAAGATGCAAACATATCTCGCGACACGGTGTCTGAGAAGTTGCGCGTAGTGGTGAACAACGAGGCAGGGCAGTACCTGCTGAAAATGAATGCTGCAGAGTAAGAAGGTCCGCTTCGTGGCAAACAAGGCGACAACTAACACGCTCCAGAATCAAGAACGAGCCCCGCAAGCTCAAGCAACTCGAGGAAAAGCTCTTCATCTTGTGGGGTAACCTCATGGAGCTCAAAACAGAGCTGAGAGACCGAGGAACTGACCTTCCCCTACCACCGGGAGATAACCGCCTGCAGAATAAGCCTTTTGACGCTTGCATCGAAGAGTATGGCGCCGAGGTGCCCATGACAGACGAGCACCCATTCGGCTATCAACGTATGTTCAAGCTCTCCCTGACGAAGATTCAGGAATGAGCTTTGTCTCTACGACACTTCGTTGTGCTAGGCTGTTTTGCATTTCTTTTTTCACACGATACCCTTGTCCTTTTTCTTCTGGACTTTTTTTTTTTGGGAGAAGGCGTTGAGGAATGCCAAGGGCCGAGTATCTAGATTGGAACTAGGAAGGATGGACGAAGCTGGAAAGTAAGCAGGCATGACATATCGACCATTTCTAGTTTTCGCGATGCGCGACCGTCTCAAAGATAGAAGTATTTTCCAAAACTACCAAGTCTTATGACTATTGACTGTTTCCAATCTTTTTCGTGTGATACGAGGATCATTGCTCACTGTAGATAGGACTGGGGTATGCATCGTATTGTACGTAACCGGGCCTTGGACCAATCAGTCATGTCGTACGCCGCATGTGAGCTTCCGACTGCTACTTCCATTGAATAACTTCAGCTGTTTGCGAGTGCTGATCTTGAGGGGCCTAGTACGACATTCGTCAAATTGCGTGATCCGACGTGCTTGTAGCGAAAGGTCACTCATCAGTCACGGCAACTTCAAGCTTGCGACATCGCGTGCTCACCATCCCTAAATCTAATTTCCTACGAGCTTTCTAAAATCGAAAATCTCTGCCAACTTGAAGTGCAGCGGGTAACAATTGCGACAGAAGTGATCGAAAACAACTGAATTGAAGAGCTGGGAATACTACACCGTCGAGAATACTCAGTGCGACATCTTGCTACCAAGGAACTATATACTTTATAGCATCAGCAAGATCTGTTTGAGTCATGGCTGTCGAAACCACAACCACGATGATACAAGTTCATGATAGCCGCATCACCATCAAAACTCCCTTACCACCACTGGAGGTTTCTACCATCGACACATCGGAAGTAGCACTTACACCACCGGAATCAAAGTCATCGCTACACCTTCACAGCTTACACCTTCTTGATCCAGAATGCGTAACCTCCGAGTTCGACAAACTGCGTTTCGAGGCTGCAGCACATGACCAACTTGTCTTTCACGACAAACAGCTTCACCAGCCTGCAGCTGATAATTCCACACTTGCAACCTCGGAACAGGAACGCAATAAAACCGTCTCTCAGCCCGGACAAGTATTTTCTACCCTCCTAATCTCCTCCCCCTACAACACCCCGGGCCATCACCTCGACTTCTCCTCCCCCCACCTAACCACCGCATCCCGGCTCCTCGCCCTAGCCCTGACAGCACTCAAACCCTCAACCCCCACCTACGCGACTGCGCCTTACGGCCAAGCCCTAAATTTCGATACTGTCCTAGCTCTCCTTCGCGACTTGATTCACGAAGAGAGGTTTGAATGGAAAGAAACAAGTTTCTACGTCGTCGTCTTCCGTTCGCAGCTCAAAGAAGGAATTGATCAGGAGTGGCTGTATCGGCTCGATGAGGAGAGTCATCGCGAAGCATGTGAGAGTGGGGGGTTGTTGAAGTATTGGTTTGGAAAGGGAGATGGGGAGAGGAGGAATCTGGCTACTTGTGAGTTCTGGCGTTACTTTTCCTCATTTTGGTGTGTTGCTAATCTGCATAGGCTTCTGGCACAGCAGGGAAGATGCGTATAAGGGTGGTTTGGGACCTTGGCATAGAAAGGCAAGGGCTGCGGGACGGGAGTTGTATGAGAGTATTGTGTTTAGCACGTATCGACTTACTGTGACGGATGGCGTTGAGGGGTATGCATTTGAGGAGTGGGTGAAGTGAGGGCAGGGTGTGGGAGGTGGCGTGAAAGACTTGTCGTAACAGTCCAGCACTCGGGATTACGACGGACGATGGAACATGGAGAAAGGGAGGGGAGACAAAATTTATCGTGATGGACAAAGCACGATCAGGAAAGAAGAGGCAGTAGGCAAACATGTAAGATAGAAATTAGGAATTCCTTTGAAACAGTACAATCACACGTAGAATATGCCTTCTGACCTGCCGTGTGTCTTGCACCATGCGTCCAACTTTGGCGTCGATTTGCTGATTGTACGTCGTAAATTGGTAAACATAAAAGCTCACATGGAAAGTGAATGTGCTTAGAGAAGGAATGGGGATGAGAATGCAGCGGTCATGGAAATGTACAGCATTCAATTGCTCAAAATGATCTATACCATGCCCTACTGTACAATGCATATTCCGCATGCAAAGCTCGAATTACATAGAATAGTTTCGTCCCATCCCGTCGTTCATGTGGGATGGGTCGCTTATGGTCGGACAATGCGAAGGCCGTCTTTTGGGGGTGATGCCGCGCGCTTGAATGACTGTTTCATCTATTAGTGCCTGATGTCTGATAGTCTCAATTCCAAGATTGTAATTGTCTTACGTTGTCACACTCTTCCCATGCCCTTCCGGCACCGAAACCGAGACCGGTGAATGCGGGCCACGCACGTCGCTTGAAGAGGAGTACGGAGAAGACGACACCGAATGATAGACCGAGGCCGGAGCGGATGAGCATAGAGGAGAGGCAGCGGTCCCACTAGGGAGATATGTTAGCATTACTGTCCGGTTGTATTCCAACACTCTTATCTCCGTGTCAAGTCGACTCAAGTAGGCAGTAGTCGCGTGAGGCGGGCCAGGTTTGCCATTGTCCGCCAAGTCCACTTCTGACGTATGTGGATGCCTCGGCCAGTTCTACAAACATGTGTATCATGCCTCGATGCTTCTGTCCTGGGGCTGTACCTTTTCGTTGAGGAGAGCTTCGCTCATGGGACGTGTGGTGCGCGAGATGGGCGCGACGGGCTGAGGGGTGTTGTCGGCCATGGTGTGTATATGTGCGAGGGCAATTGATCGGTTCAACGGCGCACTCGGTGTGCTTCGGGTGATGGACAGCGGTTCGACGTGGTGTTGGGGGTCTTTGGGCGGAGCTCGAAGCGGAACTTTGACGTCGCCGGCCCTTGGCAGGAACGACCAGGGTGCGTTGGTCCGTGCCCAAACTTTTTCCGCATACCACTGCTTCGCGATCTTCTCCAGATCTTTGCAACCACAGACGGGTTACGAGGTGACAAGATGGCGCCAAGCAAGCCAGTAAGCGCGCATGACATGTATGGTCAAGGATAGAGCTGACATCATGAAAGACTTCGAAGAACGACCCTGCATCGACCCGGCCGCGGTTGCAAGCCATTAACCAAGACTTCTCCGACCTGGACGAACAGATTCGCCAAGCTGCGCATATCATAGGCCTTCCCGATGACTGGAGTACAATACAAGACCACGAGGCAAGATCAGACATCATACGAAAACTGGTGCGCGCCAGGGCGGAATGGGTTCTGCGCTGGATCCTCGACAAGCTGAAAGACGAGACGGAAACTGGGCGGACAGGGCGGGCAAATGTGAGCGCATGGCAGCTTCTAGACTGGATGATACATGTTTTGCCCGTGTCACGAAGCGCACCACATTTACGAGATGCTGGCTTCCCTAGCATACTGGAGAGAACACTCGTGGAGAACTTCGACGTAGACTCCACCCTACAGCCCACAACCACCTCAGAAGATGTCGATATGAAAGACGATTCCGAATCGAGCGCGACTATCCGGGAAGGAACCAAGCCATCGAAGAAAAGGAAACGCGGCACAGCTGAGACATCATCTTCGACATCGGCGTCACTTGGCCCTATCAATCTTAGCCATCTTTTCCGCGTGGTCAGGGCTGCCGTAGAGTCAATCGCGCACCTAGCTGGAAGTAACAAATCCGACGATACCACACAGGCTGAGCTTATGAAGATGGTCTTGAGGACGGAAAGCGCCCAGGCTTCGCGCATTCTAAGATTCTGGCTTACTGGTGTCCGGATATTGTGCGCAGCTCGCTCTTCCACTTCCGACGATACCTCTCTGGACGAGCATCTCAACCTTTCGCTTGCGCTTGAGATGTGGGACTTGCGCATTGTTGAGGCTAAAGACGAGACTGGAGCCTCTGCTGAAGAATTCAACACCGAGTGCCTCGTACCGACTTTGCTACTTTTGGAGCATCTCAAAACGCTGCGTAGCAGAGACACGACGCAATTCTCTTGGGGTACCTTGGATCGCGCAATTGCATCGCTCGACAAACTGTTGGCGAGACATTTGCTTGCGCCTTCAAGAGCTGCCTTCTTTACTGATGCTGACACCGTCATAAGCTCTGCCAGTACTGGTACAAACTCTACCAGTACTGGACCGAAGACACGGGATGCGACGGTTCTTGCAGGCAATCTCGAGCCGCTCCGTGCAAAGCTTCTCCAAGCTGCACAAATTGAGGATGGCGGAGATGCCCTACCCACGGAACTCGCGTCTCTGTTCAACACAGTCCCTGATGTGCTAGATCTAGCCATTCGCGCATCCCCATCACGAACGCCCAAGAGCAGGTCTATGGAAAAGCCCTGGCTACAGGCTGTCTTCTCCGCTCTTGCTGAATGTGCTGGATGCTCACTGGCCACTCCACCCGAGTTCGTCACACGTGCAACCGCTGTCACTGCCCTTAGTGGTGCTATTCGTGTTTTGCAGGTGCACGAAGTGAGCCTTTCCTCGGATCTTATCAAGAACATCTTCTGGTATCACTGCGGTGTGAAATACCCGGAACGCCAGGAGAAGCAGGTCCATTGGTCGCTGATCGCGTCTTTGATCGAGCTTGATGCATCAGTGTTTGTTGTGGAAGCCAAGTCAGGAGCCAGAGCTTCGCAAGAGCAGACCGACCTTGCTGAGTTTGTCTTTGAGAGAATATCCGCTTCAGAGTTGGAGGGCTCAGGCTTTTCTGATGACAGAAGTGACGCCCAGTTAGGAAGATCTGCGATTCTGAAGCGGATCATCAACCCGTTGATGTTGGCCTTTGTACGGAACCGGAATCTGTTAGGCTTCGTTCGAAGATGGGACGATCAACTCGTCAAGAGCTTTAGGCACGGCAAGCGCAAGTCTCTCAAAGAGCGACAGGACATCGTCTGGGAAGATCGCGCTTTGTGGAATACTCTGGCTGAATCTTTTGAGCCATCCCTGACCCAAGGCCAGATAACCACATTGATCCAGGAGCATGCGGAGCGCTTATCCCAGCTTGGTAGTGCAATCGAGACTGCTGCCAAAGAGAACATTAAGGTCAAGAAACTCGCGGCGTACAAGAACGCCGTGAGCAGCGCCATTCTACTTCCGGCTTTTCTTCAGTCGATCAATTCGGAGAACACCATTGCGACACTAAAATCTGACCTTCATGCGCTGTTCCTCACCTACGCTTCATGGGTTCAAGACGGTCACTACAGCTTATACACCCAGTCCCATCTATCTTGGTTAACGTTGTGCCAACTATTAGCGAAACTGTGGCCGATCGAATTACACGCCTCTTCACAGTTACAACAAGAGCTGCTATACCCGCTGCTAGAACAAGCTATGGAAGTCATGTCGACAACATCTAATGACGCTGGACGAGGTGCAGATCCATCAATACGAGCAGCTGCAATACTATTCTGGCTCAACACATCTGATCGCCTACAGACCTTGCCTGGTTCTAAGATTGTCATTCGCAGTGGCTTAGCCAGGGTCATGGACTGCTTCTCTTCCAGTCAGCTAGACACCGATGGACAGCGGTCAATGATCGAAATCTTCTGTGCCTACTCTGTCAACCTCCTGGAGCACATGGAAATCGACGTGTGTCGCCAGTCGCTATATGCCATGCTATCGAAACTTCTACAATTTGACGGCGTCACTAGCGATCTTGTCTGTCGGTCACTCTCTCAATCCATCATCGAGGAGGGGAACTCTATTATACAAAACGCATACTGCGTAGCCCTGCTGGAAGCACTTGGACAAGGAGCTGGAAAGAAGTTGCACGCCGTGGCCGGTGAAGCAATACTTCATATTCATCCTGCGGCTTTGTCGCGTGAGCAAAGACAAGCGATCCTTGACCGCACAGCCCAACTTTTGGACCATGGACAGACCGATACGGTGGTACTGCTAAGCGTCATGGCACATCTTCAACAAGTCCCCAATGCAACGGCAAAGGTATCCACTGACGCGGCTGTCATCTTCAACATCGCAGAGCAGCTGCACAATCAACAGCTTGAAACAGACTCAACATTGCAACTACTGCGGGAACTTGTCCAAAGGACACTTGGGCATATTATCCCAAACCAGTCTCAAGCACAGAACAAAGAGTTCTTCATCGACTACGCTGGGAAGCTCTTATCTATCGCCAAAGCCACAGATCAATGCTCGCTCGCTAGGCTCTCAATCCTCCGAGCGACATCAGTCGCCCAGAAGGAGAACTCCTTGCTTCACGTCGAACGTTACGTTGGTCTTCTAAAACAATGCCTTGGTAGTGAGGATATCGCATTGCTCCAAGGCTCGTTAGATGCTTTCAACGAGCTGTCTATAGACGCATTGAAAGAAGTCAAACAGTTCAGCCGTGTCCAAGCATGGCTTCGTACATGGGTAAAGGATGCTATCGATCTTCAGGAGTATATTGATGCATCGGTTCGCATCCCGAGCGAAGTTGTTGACTACGTCGCACGAGTATACAAGTTGGTCGCCAAATATGAGCTCTTCCCGGACGCAAAGTGGTTGATCTCCCTGGCACTCACTGTCCTCAGAGGAAGCCCGATCCCTGTACAAGATGCTGTGTACACAACACTAACGGCCACACTTGGACCGCTTGCATTCTACGAGAAGTTGGACTTGGTTACAACGTTGACTGTCGACCAAAAGCCGCCGAACTTGGCCGCGTCATACCGTGTTCTCGGTGATCTCATCGAAACCATGGACGACCAGCTAGAGTCTAACGCCGAGTTGAAACAGAGGCAACTCGCACTACTGCCTAGGATATGTGTCTTGCTCGCGGAGAGCCCCGACTTCGAGTCATTCAACGCTTTGCTCAATTGCATTGACACAATCCTGAACGACAAACCTTCGTTTGCGTCACAACACAGCATTGAGTGCGTGTACAGCGTGCTTGTTAAACTTACATCACGAAGCAGTCCCGCTCTGTCGTCCCAGTACGCTCCTGAGATCTTTTCAAGGCTCTGCCAGACTAGTCGCCTAACCCTGCTTGTACATCGGGGTCGCCTAGGCGGACGTTTTCACCTCCTCTTACCACTTCTGCAAGGCCTGCTGTTCTGCCTCTTCATTCCGAATGCTAGTCGCAGCGGCGCTCTGCCGTCGTGGCTACGCACCATCACAGCTACGGAGCCCGTGCGTCTCACATCTACAAACGCAGCGCAGTTTACGCGTCTTCTTTCTACCCTCTGCAATCCACCTCAATCGTCAATCACGAAGTCGCATCAGCATCATCAATCGCGCAAGTCCAAAGACCTCAATGACCCAATCAAAGCAGCTCGTGATAGGGCGAGCAACTTCCTTTACCCGCTCCTCGCATCTTTCTGCCGCTACCAGCTCAACGGAAGGCTGGATCAGGGGGTGAGGGAGAAGTTGATGCCGGGCATCTGGGAGGTCGTCGGTACGGCTAGCTTGCATAGGGAGGGACTAGACGCCATGTTTGCTGGCCTGGGTAGGAGTGAGAGAGACATCTGGAAGGGTCTTTGGGAGCAGTGGGAGGGTGTACATGGGAGAAGGCAGGTGGTTGGGCACGGGGAGTAGAAAGAGTTGTACTATGAGTGCTTGGTGATCGCTCGCAAGAGAATGCGCTGGAAATCTGCGCTGATTTAGTATCAGGCGAATCATGCGTTGCCGTATTTGTGGCTGCTGCAAACACTTCACGTTCCACTCCTCGCATCTAGACTAAGACTATACCACACTGCATGCCAAGAAGCCCACTCTCACCTCGCTCCCATCGTCGTGCTATCATCGTCTCACTATTTTCATCCCGCTATTGTCGAGGCGCTCACCTAGTCATTACTCTCGCAAGTACAATAGATCTGCGTCACCAGCACCCAAGTACAACCGTGCGCTCTACCGTTGCCCGTATCTAGACGTCTCGAGCTCCCTAACTTTCTCCCAACAACCTTAACTCACAGTCTCCAACACTAGATACAATTCCGAATTCCAAACACTACTAGGAACACATTCAATAAACTCATCCCAACAACAAGTACCATGGACCCAACCATCACTGCGCCCACTGCGCAAGCTCACTGCCATTCCCACTCTCCAACTCCTCCAAGCGCTGGCGCTTATCCCCAGAAACCCAGTATCTGCAACTGCTCCACCCCACCATCTCAGACCTATCTCAAACCCATCATTGGCTGCGCAAACCGCAAATGCCGACCCCGATACTACCACCTCCGCTGCGTGGGTCTCTTTCAGCGTCCCGACAATGAGTTCACCTGGCTCTGTCCTTCATGTCGACCAGACGATGAGCCACTTCCGCCGCGCATCTGCGTCTGTGAGGATCCACCGTATCGTACTGGACCTATGGTCGAGTGTACGCAACAAGAGTTGTGTGCGACGCGCTGGTTTCACTTGCCCTGTACTGGGCTTTTGCCTGGCAAGGATGTTACGCAGTGGACTTGTGCGGAGTGTGTGGCTGGGATTGTTATGAAGCAAGATTGCCAGGAGGATTTGGAGCGGCGGAGGGTGAATGGCGAGGTCGCTGAGGATGAGGATGAGGTGATTGTGCAGCAAGAGCAAGAGAAAGCGACGGAGAAGCCGCGAAAGGATAGTGGAGTTGTCGGAGATGAGGGTGATGAGGACGAGCTGGAGCAGCAAGAGTACGTTTCCGATGGTGTACCTGGTGTCTTCTTCGGTGCAGAAGAAGATGAACTGCCACGACCTGTTGCTTCCCCCTTGAAGCGCAAGTCAGATGAAGTCGACACTCCGCCTCGCAAGAAGACAAAGCGGGCAAGTCCCTCTCCCTCTCCTGCTCCCGCCCCAGGACCGGAGCCGGAGTACTGCGTCTGCGGTACCCCAGCTGATAACGACATGATCGCGTGTGATGCGCCAAAGTGCCATGCTGAGTGGTTCCACTATGTTTGTGTAGGCTTGACGGCGGCGACGATTCCGCCGGGAAAGTGGTTTTGTGATGAGTGTACGGAGATCATGGAGAAGGCGAGGAAGGAGAAAAAGAAGAAGGGTGGGAAGGAGAAGGAGAAGAGGAAGAGGTGAGAGGGTCCGAGGTCTTATTGGGGATAATTTTGGTGCTGGTTCATCGAATGTCCATCATAGCTAGTATTCAAAATGCATGAGGACGTAGTGGAGAATGGGGGAAATGACGACTATATTTCAAGTGCAGAAGCAACTTATAACTGACTTCGTACTTCAATTGTATCTTTGTTCAACTCATAAATCGTCTTTCATAGGTGACGATGATCAGTACTTTCAAACGTTGTTCTATATCATTGCTCAGTATTTGCCAATTTCCTCCTAAATATATCCAGGCAATGCCTCCATTTTGAAACTGAACAGAAGCTCACTACAATGTGGAAACGCGCAATAGATGCTATTTCGTGTATATTCTAGCATGCATCAGAATCCCTGTCAACACAGATGTAGTGAACATCACTATGCACGGATTCATGCCTAAGTAGCAGTCAGTAGATTCTATAACTGATTAGTCATCTTGATACCGGAATGTGAAGCCAAAGCAGCTTTTTGCCTCTAACTGCATCAACTCCTGTATAACGCCAGACACCGTGCTAAGTCCAGAGTACCCCCAGAAGAGGACAAGACAAAGTCAGTATGATAAGACATCCTCCACCACGTGGTTGTCACCGCGGAAAAAGTCTAGTTAGAGCGTACATGGGATGTACAGATAACGACGTGGTCACCCGCCCCATTCGCGACCTATTCATCCTTAACCCCGAAGCGTGACCGTCTTCATAGGCACACCGGTAGGCCCAGTATACGGATACAAATCATGAAGAGTGACCGTACGGGTCTTAGAGAGGACGCCAATAGTTGGAGGGATGGCGGCGTGGTCAGCGATCTTGTTAAAAGCCTGGGTAACATTAACAGGGATGACAGGGGCGAAGATGGTAACTGTGACAGGAGCAGGAGTGACGGTGACCGGGTCATTAGGGCCGGGAGCGACAGAGGCCATGTCCGCGGGTAGCCACAGCTTGGTCCAGGATGAAAAACGATCGTTTTTGTCTTTTCCACCTTGTGCGGCGGCGATGTTTCGCTTAGCATAGACGGTGGTCGTGGTTACGATGGGACCAGAAATAGTAACCATGTCGCTGCCTGAAGCGGTGACGGTCATCTTAGTTGTAGAGCTTGGCTCGCCGATAGTGATGGTCGTAGTACCGACGTAGTAGTCGTTGTATGAAGTAACGGTAACGGTACTGGCGGGCGCGTCGACGATCTCAGGGATAGTAACCGTGTCGGTGCCTGAAGCGGTGACGGTCGTAGTGCCGGTGTAGTAGTCGTTGTATGAAGTAAAGGTGACGGTCACCGTAGTTGTAGGGCTTGGCTCGCTGCTAGTGATAGTCGTAGTGCCGATGTTGTAGTCTTTGTACGAAGTAACGGTACCAGCGGGTGCGTCGACGATCTCCGGGCTAACATATGCAGGAGTGGCCTTGGGCATCCTAATAGTAGTAGTGCCGTCATAATCGGCAGAAGTAGGCTCTACGAGGACAGTCTTCGCCCTTCGGCCATGGTGATGAACAGTCTTGGTAACAGTCATGGTGACAGTCGCAATGACCTGCTTTACGGAGACCTTGTTGTATGCTAGTATCATTCGTTAGTATGAGTTGATGCATATCTGAACCCAGGGAGAATTTACCGTTGGAGCCACGGATAGCAATCTTGAAGGCCTCGCCATCGCCATCGACCGGGCCAATGTGCTGACCAAAGTTTGTGCAGGAGGAAGCCTTTTCAGGCTCAGAGTAAAGGGCACATTTGGTGACCGCGATAGGAGTTGGATTGGGGCAAGCGGGTCCGGGGATTTGTGACGGGTCGCGCTGGATATAGATGTTGACTACATAGAAGGATGAAGATTAGCAGTGCCACATGAAAGTGTGCTGTGAGGAGATGTAACTTACAAGAGTCACAGCCCTCATGTTTGTTGCAGAGTTCTGCACAAGTCTCCGGGTCGTAAGAGTCCAATTGAACGTACAGCATGTACCTAGTGGACGAAAAGGCACAGTTTGCGTTGCTCATGGCAAGAGCGTAGCTGGTGGGGATCGGGGCCGTCGATGCCAACTGTTCGTACTTGGTGTCCTCCATAAAACCCGAGAGAGAGTTGGAAGACGGCTTCGGAGCGGTGCTGTTACCGCGGGACGCACAGAGAGCTTCAGAACGCGGAGCAAAAGTGGGAACGACGGAGAAGGAGACAGCCGATGAGGCGCCGAAGGGTACAACTGCGGCGAAGACCGCACCGATGAAGAGGAACATGGTGATTATAGGGGTGAGATAGTTCTGCTCCATATAATAGAGATTGGCCTAAGGTCAGGGGTGGGGTGAGTAAGTATGTGAAGAGAGTATCGATGCTGATACTGAGTCTGACTCTGGAGGATGACAAGATAGTGGTTGTGATCAGGAAGAAGGGGAGGATGGCACCTATTTATACCTATTCAAGAACTTCTTCATGAAGAGAAAGTACTGATGATGTCTAGTAAAGTGGAACAATACCACAGAATGGCTTTTAGCGATTGCGAATATATTCATTTTACTGAAGCCAGAAGGAGGGTTTCCACTGTTTGAAGATCAACTACCCCACTCGATACATTCTCAGAGATGCTGTGGAACCCATCATCTGTTCTGATCTTCTCCAAAGATTTTGAAGCAGATATTTTTTACGGCAAGCCATGGTCATCGATCGCTATGGTCGACACCGGTAGCGAGCGCGATTTACCGGTATAAGAGGACCCCGAGGCTGAGAATAGCAACCAGGTTTCTCGGCCTTGTTGGAAAGGGTCAGGTGTTTCTGAGCATAGGTTTGATCCTCAAAGGATACACTGGGTGCTGGGGGCTCCTCTGAGAGAGGGTCAAGGGATAATGAGGCGTACGCGTCCAGAACCGCCAGCTTTTCGTCGTCCGAGAGTGGTAGCGTGCAGAGTGGGGAAGAGCCCCTTCACTCTCTCTCGGAATCGTTCGTCCAATCTTCAAAAATTATTCTAGCTACTGTGTTGTTTGGCCGTCGGGGTTGTGGTGCTCCACCCATCAACGAGAGTAGTTCTAACTCAGCCCAGATGACGTCATACCTCAGGCAGCAGTTACCATCGCTCGAATGTTGCTTTCGCTATCGCTACAGCTGTAATCGCCATGATGAGACCGAAGCATTTTCTACCGTCCGACACTGAGCTCCCGCAGGGTCCAGGCCTTGCTCCTTATTCGAAGAGGCACAGAGACCTTCATCCTACTCCAGGCTCATTCAACTTTGTCGGCGCCAGCGCACTTGATCGCGACCTGCGCCGTATGAACTTGACCACACTAGCTGATCTCCAAGGTCTTTCTGCAATCCCGCATCTCTACCAGACGCTCTTCTACCGCACCCGCGAATTTGCCGCGACCGTGCGCAAGCTGGTGGACGCTGCACCCGCATTGTGGGCAGAGGCGGCATGCTTACTGGTGAATTGGAGTGTGAATGTTTTGCGACATAAGAAGGTCGGATTGGAGCGATTCCTACACAGTCAACGCCAGAGTCTCTATTGGATATTAGATGATGCGTTGTTGACAATTTGTGTGGATCAATGGGACCCACCGCAATCTGCCACACCACCTTCTTCGCACTTTGCCCAATCGCGCATATCTTCATCATCAACATCCAAAGTCATTCCATGGGACATAGCTACGGCACCGATCACACTAGCTTTATCCAGAGTTGGGGGCTTGATGCCATTATGGCACGCGCAAGATCTGGAAGAGAGGGAGAAGTGGGAATTGAACTGCCTGGACCCTCAATGTCAGTATTTTGATGCTGGGTGGTTCCAGCGCTCAACAAAATTCTTGCACGAAAGTACCAGGATACATGAGATCTGGAGGACTTTGGGGCGGTGGGGCAGAGGCCAGCTGCCTGCTGAGTTGGCGAATACTATCATGGAAGATGTGGCAAAGTTTGAAAACCTACCGATGGGTGACCTACGGACGCAATATTCTCGGAAGAAGAAGTAAGGACGTGGTGATATTGAAATGTATCACACGGGTTGTGTTGAACTGAATTAGTATTGGTGCGTCGACGTCTAGATACCCTTCGCAGACTCCAGGATAGCCAGCACATCTTCCTTTGTACCCATATCTTCCATCGCTCCGAACGCATCGGTCATGGTCCGCTCAGCTACTTTCTCGATGTCCGCTTGATTCGTAACGCCCACATCCTTCAGCGTGCTTGGCAATTCCAGGCTTTTCACAAAATTGACTACCGCATCTGCAAGGCTCGGCTCATCGCTTTCAAATTCCTTGTTCCAGATCCCCAGCACGCGCTTTTGTACCTCTTTCTGCTTCTCTGACTTCGAAGCATTATAGCGCAGGACAGGCGCGAGCATGATACAGGACGTAACACCGTGCATGACGCCGCATGCACTACCAAGCTGATGTCCGATGGCGTGTGAAAGACCCATCGGTATGCTCCACAGAATGAGACCCATCATGGCATTTCTAGCGCCTATCTGGCAGTTTGCGATGCCATCAAGCAGGTCCGATTGGTTGCTGTCACTTTCGCCTTCCTTGTAGGCCCTCAGCCCCTTGAGAAGTACGGCAAGCGCATCTTCCATATGGTGGAAAACCTCCTCGGTGCATTTTTCGTTTACCATCTAGAATGCAAACATATCGTGAGCACGGCTCTTCAATTGGGAATACTGTGCAATGAAGATACATACCGTTTCAACGCAATGATCTACCGCGCGTATCCCACTCGACAGCCATAATTTCCTTGGAGATGTGGACGCTACTTCGGGATCGAGAAGAATGAGATCCGGTGCCGCGTGTTCGCTCGCAAAGTGCTGTTTCTTCATTGTTTGAGGGTTCGTTGCCGACGAGTTGTTGTTCCACTCGCTTGCTGACAGACTCGTCGGAATGAGTATCAATCTGGTCGTAGGATCTTTCAGCCCAGCGGCGCTGCCCTTGTCTTGATCTACCAAGGCCTCCATGGCTTCCACCGTAAGGTTGTCTGGATCAAGATTTGTATGCATTAAGCGAGCGATCTTGCTTGCATCCGAGTAGCTACTACTTCCTATACTGATTAAACAATCCGCCTTCTTCTCGTGAAGTAGTCTTGCAATCTCCAATACATCTTCGTAAGGGGAGTGTGCGCCCACTCCGGATTTTGTCCCCACTACAAACAATCCCAGTTTCTCTTTCAGATTCTCGATGACATCCGTGTTTTCCCCAAGCGCCTTGGAGTGCACTATGAAGATTCTCTGGCAGCTCCACTGGCCAATTGCATCGACGATATCCTCCAGATAGTTGGAGTTGAGTATGGCGTTGTGACCCTTTCGGGAGGGCACGGGAAGCTGCTGAATCGTGCGTTTTTTAGAACCGTAATTGTTGTAGTCGGACATGGTGTCGAAAACAATACAGAGGCCTTTTCTTTCTTTATATTAACCGGGTCAAATAGTATTCTTGTGTTGTTCGAGCTGCAACGAAACTATGTACAGTCCGCTAAAAGTTGCATGCTGTTCCCTGACGAGCATCTTACCTCATACCTGCCCGACCCCACTTCTTACACGAGGATGCTCATGCTCAGAGGGCCAACAACCAAGGCATTTGCCTTGCGTTCAACGCAACTTGCTTATTTCAGTATCGTTTGCAACTCTGGATTGGTCGTTATTGTTCAACGAAAACCCATCGCCAATTCCCAGCATCGCGCCTACGGTGAAGTAGTCCACCAATGGTAGGCCATGTTCTGGTACGGACAGGCTCTTTTCTATGAAGCTGAACATCGTGGATCTTCTGTGGTCCATACAACATCCCCCCATACAGACGCTTCTCTGCTCACTTGTGCTGTTGCGCATCGCGGCTACTCGCTGTGTCCGGGTTGTGGTTGGTGCCCAACAACCGATAAAGGCTTGTAGCAGCGGGCAGCGGCGCTGTCATGATTGCTATCCCTTTTAATGGATAATATTTCTCCGTATGAACATCGTTTTGTTTCGAAGGGTTTGAATAGCCCGAGTATGGCAGCTGCTCCGGCGGAGGTTCCAAAGAGCGTTGGCGACGTGTTGTCTGGTGAAGGATGAAACGCGTGGAGGGCGGAAGCCGCAGCCACGACACGCTAAAATGCGGTGGGTTTTGCGTGCACCTGCGCAACATTACCTTTGGTCTTCACAATTAAACGAAGGAAACTTTCAAATTCTTTTCTGAGACCGCACTGGGATGAAGTCTTTAATACGGAGCTGTGCATGCAATATCTGCACTCGCTCGACCGGTGTTCTACAGACCCTCAGCCGTAGTGTGCGCATCACGCTGGACCCGAAATGGTGAATTGGAGCGACAGAGCAGTGCGCACAAGTATTGAGCCATTCTGAAATTGGCTGATACCAACATTCCAATGTCATCGTTGCTCCCAAGCCTTCCGAAAGTCAGAGAAGATGTTATGTGTGTCTGAGCGAGCCAATGGGCGTTGAAGAGTCCTTTTGAGCAGGTTATGATATACTCGCCTCTTCCTGACGTCCATAAGACACTTACGCCTCTCCTAGAACTTCAAAACCCGAAGACATAACGTTCATCGCATCGCCCTCTTTGGAATCTCAGGGTTTTGAATCCGCCAGGTCTATGTTCACTCAACATGCGTCCTCATCTCAAAGCAAGCAGCCGCGGTTATAAAGAAGTTCTTTCGTTACGACTCAGCGATGATGGCCACCACTGACTGCCGATTGACTCCAGTGACCATCCGCTTGCAGGGTAGTTGAAGACCCTGAGGATAAACTCGCTGACCATATGGCCCACATGACAGGAGACGACAAACGAAAATCCACATACCTTGGAGAGGTTGAGTGCAGTTGTTGACTGGACGAGATCGCAATCACGGGAACGAAGAAGACGCTGAAACACTCTCCGGCCGTGTACGCGGGACAAATAACTCAGGAGCAGTAGCATCTGCACACACCCGTCAGGATGGACGCCGGGCCTTCGGGATTCGCATTGCATAATTATACGTCTCCCTCTCGGTTCAATCGGTGCGAGGAGCATACGGGAGATCTCACTAGTCCACGGTTTGTTGAATCTTCACAGTCAATGGGTCTTTGAATTCACGTGTTGATGCGCATACTCGATTGGAAGAAAATTGCCCATGGTTCTCTGGTTTCAGAAAAGAAGATGAGGCTACAGACTACAGCAGACCTGAAGTCACGAGGCCGCAGAAAGGCGCAATCGTACGATTTGACGAGAAGGGATTCAACAAACCAGATGCTAACAAAGCGCCCACCGACAGCATGTATGTCTTCCAAATACTCTCAAAGCAAGGTATCCGTCGCGCCAACCTCTTGACGCGAGCTTGCAAGCGTGCCTCCGGCATTTCACTGCCACACAGCCAAAGAAGCAGCAACACCTCATCTCGCCAAAACATACAGTTTCCCTTTCGTCTACATCGACGCGTCACCTCATCTATGGCGCCCGCGGAGGAACAATGCAGCTCAGTCCACGGTCTAGCGCGCGCGACGCTGTCATAGCCTCGCTTAGCACTCCGCATGCATCGATTGTTGACATCACCCTCTACAATCTGCCATCTCGAACCAAGACCGCCATCGATGCCAAGTTCTCCACACGCTGATGTCAGGCACGGTTCTGGCATGTACCCCAGATGGCACTAATGCAGGCTGTACAAATACCCGAACGTTTTGAGCCTGTTAAAGGCTTGTTTGGAAAGTTTCGCTGCAGACTCCGTTGCCTTTCCCGCTTCGCTAATCTTGCGACCGGTATTAGTTATGTATTGCCGCGAGGGACGCCTAGAGCAGCTAACGGCACGATTTATCCGTTGGCACATCAGAGATGGGGCTTGTTGAACCCATCGGTGCGGTTGGCATGCGCAGGCGAGGGCGTACTGTCACTGTCGTCGCAACGGAGGGATGAGCCCAGTTGACTCGACTTGAGGCGTTTATGGGATGAGTGTTGTTGGTGGAGGACGCGAAGAGATAGTAGGATGACAGTGTACTGATGTCACTTAGGATGCGCCCAGGGGCGTCTATTGAATGGAGGCGTTACCTGCTGCTTGCAAACCTGACGAAGCGTATATCGATCTTCTGGATGGTATAAAGTGTAAAGCAGTAGCCTCTGCCACTTGCAGTCAAGCATTCACACCTCTGATACCTTCATTCCTCTCAAAAACCAATTACCGAACCTGAAAGATGCTGTCCAAGTCTTTCTCCCTTCTCGCCTTTGGCGCTCTAGCCTACGGCCAGGAGCTAGTCCAAGAGGGCGCTCCTGCGCCTGTCGTCCTTGCAACTGCAAAGTCCGGGGTCATCCCTGCGACTCCAACAGCAACTCCTTTCACTGGTGTCGATACTATCCAGGGCGCCATTGTCTCTCCTCTCCCTCCTGCGCCAGGCTACCTCCCTGGCGAGACTGGTGGTCTCGAGGGTACCGCCACAGCCTCGTCCAACCAACCATCAGCCACCTACCGCGCCACCATGCCAGAGGAGCAATACAACCCCTTCATCGGCAGCACTGTCTCAGGATCTATTCAGGCTGTTGGTGGCGCCGGTGGTGTAAACTTCACCGTCAACCTCTCTGACCTGCCCGACCAAGCACAATTCGGCCCCTTCAACTGGCACATCCACGCCCTTGCCGTTCCCGCCGACGGAAACTGCACCGCAACTATGGGCCACCTGGACCCCACCAACCGCGGCGAACTCGTTATGTGCGACCCCGCGTTGCCCGAAACATGCCAGGTCGGTGATTTGGCCGGCAAGCACGGCGGCAAGATCATGACGGAGGGAACCTTCTCGACTAGCTTCGTAGACCCGTACCTCAGTGTTGAGGAGGGCAGCGCAGGGTTCTTTGGTGGATTGGCCTTTGTCTTGCACACTGGTAATACCACGAGGATCACTTGTGCGAACTTCGAGCTTATGCAGGGTGGTAACGGAACTTCTGCTCCTAATGGAACAATGGGTATGCCCAGCCCGACGAGCAGCAACCCGGCTGAATTCACTGGAGCGGCGAACAAGCTTGGTGGAAGTGCTGTTGCGCTCGCAGCTGGTGTCTTTGCTGCCATGATGGTATAAAGAATAGTACTAGTCAATTTATTCGAGTAATAACCCCAACACTAATAATGTAATAATATTGAGCATATAGCGTTGCACCGTGCGGGGTGGCTACAACTTACTCCCATTTGACAATATTCTATCAGACGAGAGCTTCACCAATGACTCCATCGTCGGTCTTGCTGCCCCATGCTTGGTGAACAGTACTTCGGCACTCTTTCTCACAACCGTATAGCTTGCATATCCAATATCTGGGACCAGATCCTAGAGTCCGTCCACATCCTAAATTTGCACACATCTTCCACTTTTCCCCATTGCTCTTCAAGCCCTTTTTCGTCATCAACACTGCGTTCTTGCCTTTTTGCAAGAACACTTTTTCCTCACCTAGGTGACTGCAGTTATGGCAGACTTGCCTACCCGTCCGGGGAAAGCCTAGTGGCTCAGTGTAGTATGCGCGCTTGTTCAGAAAACGCCAGAAGAACTTTCCTCGTTGAGCTGGTTCTGGAGCGCATTTGCAAGGTGGGTCTCCTTTAAATCGCTCTTGACGTACGCGGGAATGGCCAAGGATATACATATAATGGCACGATGCGCAATAGGGTACGCAGTTGTCGACATGGTGGAATATAACTGCTTGCCGAAGTGGAAAGTTCACCTGACAGTCGTCACATATCTGATTCGTGCAGCTCCAGCAAGTGGTTTTATTATCAGGTCCGCATGTATATAGCCTGAACATGTTGAGTCGGCGAGAGACGTCGTTTGAGGGTAGGACAGATCCGCGGACTGACTTCGAGACGGTTGATAGGTTGATGAGATCAGCGTAGTGTAGGTTTTTAGCAACCAGGACGAGCATGTCGTAGATGCCAAGGAACTGTGCTAGCTCGGTGTGCGTTCCAGCACTACTTTGGTACAATTTCACTGTATCTTCTCCCTTCGTTAAGTCGTGTTTCAGCTCTGATAACATGATCTCCGTCTTTTGCTCTGCACCTAGTACAGTCTTGACGACGCACCGACGCCCTGATCGCACCGGGGCTTTCAAGCTTATGGGTAGGCATCGAAAGGCCAAAATTGGAGTGTAGAGCAGAACGAACCACAAGACTACCGCTGGCCATTTTATCAAGCAGAACAGGCAGCGCCCGATGAAGCTGAGCCCCTCTGTGAATAGATCAAGAATGGGTTTGTTGTCCTTCTTGGCTTGTCGAATCTGGCCAAAGAATGTAAACAATCCGAGGAAAGATATTAGGGCATAGAAAAAACTTTTGCGGTCAGCAACAGACTCAGGCATGCGCTCAAATACAGCTTACGATAGTGCGATCCCATATTGGCGTTCCTTCACAAAGTCCCAGCACATCTTAGTAGGACTTGCGATTGTTTCGTTCAGCCTTCCGGCAGCAGCAAAAAAGCTCTCATTCGTGCCTGGAGGTCGGCTTAATTCCAGGCCTACTGGGTCACGGCATTTGTCCAGGCTGTAAGGTATGTATGCAGTCTGAGAATGCGTAGTGATCGATACAAAAACGGTGAACGCGGTGTCGACAATTGCCAGAAGTATGTTCATCGGAGGTATGAAGATTATTGAAGGAAGAAGAATGACCATGTTATACAGGAATAAAATGAATCCCCATTTGGCTGCCAACCTTTCGCTGGTGACGATGGCCGTGTCGTAGGTGTCGTTGAATAACTCGACATCGCGGCTGACAATTGTGTAGTGCTCTTCTCCATAGGTCCAGTAGAATACGGTCGGTGTGATCAGTGCGAATCGGATCACAAAAATGGGAGTGGTCCAACCTGCCCAAACGCTTTCCTTCATGCTGGGATTAACGAATGGCCGATATTTACCGTGTTTGATGAATGTAGGTGCCAATTTGCAGCCTGGAGGTAACAGCGTCCCAAAGATAGAAGTAGTCAAGCATTACATAGTTGCGGACCGTGAAATGTATAATAATCGTCCAAGGCGGACGATGGTTCGCACACAAGGCTGAGCGGCTGAGGCTCGGAACAAGGTATACCACCACGGGCATTTTCTTGCTCAAGTATGCATCAGGTCACGAGAAAGAGGTTTGGCGTTGAAGCCTTTTGCTGCAAAGGCATGATCGCCGCAAAAAGGAATCCGCGGTCAGCCATAATGGCATAGCTGAGTTGCTGCGCCAAGGTCCGGTGAACAGCAACGGAAAGGCTGTGATTCGGCCAGCTGCACGCATCTCGTCACGCATCCTCGTATTTCCCTTCTTAGAAGCGACATCGCACAAGTCCAATCCCGCTCAAAAGTGCAATGCATCCAGACACACATTGCGAGTCGAAAATGACGTAGTTAGCCCTGTGGGTCCTGGTAGGATGCAGAGTTCTCAGAGGCTTTGACCGCACGTTGTCCGTCGCGATGCGGCTGTCATCTTACTAGCAGAGACTATGGCATAGCAAAGGGGTCATATGGTTGTCGCGACAAGGTAAGGGTGTCGCGCAAGATGAGGTGTTGGGTTATGGTTGTGATGCGCTGCCGAGGCTAGTAGTGCACGGCTCGATCCGCCGCCGGTGGGTCTCTATTACCATGACAACGGCGGGTGTTTATCGATGACACAACGCTCAATCGCAAGCCCGTGGTCGGCCGTCTCTAGAAGAACCAAGCCTGAATCTTGCGGCCCACACAAGGCTCAAAATATTGCTTACTCCACACTTTGGACCTCTTAGCTGCATGCAACCCCCCCTCCCGACTTCCCCTACCGACTCCTGCATCTGCCACGCTTGATCTCAACAACATCTCGACTGCATTGTTAGTTGCAGCATATATTAACACCTGTTGATAAGGCTGTCACTACAATTCTGCAACGGTAATTCGAGAGCATCTGCACAATGGAGGCCCTACTCTCCCTCGCATTCGACAACATAGCGTCCAAGGACACGCAGAAGATTCGCAAAGGGTTACGCCAGATCGAGGGCATGCTGGCGCAGATATGCCTTTCCAGCGGCAAGCCGAGACACTCACCACCAGGCCACCGACGGAACGCCTCTGCGCTCAATCTGGGCGATCAACAACAACCAACACCGAAGAAGCTGGGACAATTGTCAGACGATCTTGCCTTTAGGGAGTTCTTTCGGTTGCAAGAGGGCTTTGAATGGAATGGTGAGTGCCAAGCTTCAAGCATATATAGAGTATGACTAACATCATACAGTTGTGACACGGGTAGCCGATTGTTTGGATCGATTGTTGGGTATGGGAAGCAGTAAGGGTAAGACTTGCGCCAGGAACATGTTGAACAGCAGCTAACCACCAAATCCTAGATGGCCAAAACGACATCCTCATCCTCTCCTCGTTATCGAACATACAAGGTCTGCTCTTGTTGCACCCTCCATCGCGCATCATCTTCGGTCGCGAAGTCTACATGAACCTCCTCCTCGATCTGCTCGACCCCTACAACTGCCCCGCCATCCAATCGCAAGCCCTCCTCGTCCTCGTTACAGCACTTCTCGCGACACCACAGAACACGCGAGTGTTTGAACACATGGACGGTCTCCTGACCGTCACAAGCTTGTTCAAGGACGAAGAAACCACACAGAACGTCAAAGTCAAATTGCTAGAGTTTCTATACTTCTACCTCATGCCTGAGATCCCAGTTTCGGGCCCACAGCGGAGTCCGAGCAAGCTGACCAATGCTTTCGAGCGGCGGGGTAGCACTGCGACTGGCGACGATGGCGGAGGTGCGGCGAGGAAACACATCCGGTCGCAAGAAGAGAAGCAGCATATGCTGGGAAGGTACCTCAGCAACGTGGATGCTCTTGTCGAGGACCTCCAAGAAAGCGCACCTTTTAACAGCGTTGCCTGTTGAGAGCGATGCGCGCACTACCAGTCATCCCCGACGATGACACCAACCCATTTTGTTTGTCGATCTCCTGTTACTACTATACCTTTCCTTACTCTTTTGTCCTATTCAGCGAGGCGTCCAGGAAACTCGGGGTTCATTTGTAATCATGCGTCTCCTACGTCGTTACAGCTAAACGCTGCTCTCCTTTTGTATTTGGCATCTTTGAGCGTTGAAAAGACTGTTAGCTTCATTGCACCTCGCAGTCGATACATTCGCTGTACGTCATGTCTTCCATAGGTTGCGCGGTATTCTGGCGTCTCTGGTAGGCCACTGTCCGTCGCAAGAGGATTGTTGGGCTAGTAACCACACTTTTATCCGATTGTCGTTATGTAATCCAAGAATATTATACTTGACATCTATTACCGACATCTCTAGTGTGTGGCGTGTTTCCCAGTCTCAAGCGGTCCAATGCGATTCATGTATAGTATGCTCTAGCCGTAGGTGAGAAGTGTTGTTTTCCGTATGCTTACTCCGAGTCGGTGATGTGGTTGGTAGGAAGCATGCGAGGCAATGCTCAGCCGAGAAGCGCGTCCGGACGATTGTCGCTCCAGTGCGGAATTGTCGCTGCGTAGAAGGAGGTATCTATATACAAGAGACGCACAAAGGACCTGTTTCATCCTAAAATTCACGAGATATTGGAGGACGAACAGATGCGGTGAAGTGTGAAGAAGCCTTTGTCTATACCCTACTTGGGTCAAGCCACTTCTATGCTACGACGAAAGCTATGCTGGCTGGGAAGGATGGCGAGTGTAAAGTTGATCACCAGACGGTAAGGCTGTAAGCGTATCGGGGTCAGTAATATGCGAAAGTCCGTTGTACAATAGTACTCACTTCACCAGGATCAGCCTCGATCGGTATCAAAGATTATGCTTGCGCACCTAAAACGGCTAGCTCCGGTACGTGACGGAAGCTAAGCCTGTAGATGATAGTCGCGTGTTCTCGTGCGGCCAACCACGACAATTGCCAGGCACCAAAACTTCAGCACGCAAACAGCCAGCGTCAAACTTTGGGCATGATGCGCGCATCGCAGTGAGGATGGGATTTCTCTACTATTAGCATTCTTCAGGTATCCAAGCGCAAAATGGGCTTGGGGCCGAGTACTGTTGTCTGAACTCTGGAATACTAGTGACGTAACTTGCGGCAAATGACATGTCGGCACGCGACACTAAGCCACCAGTCACAACGGAAAGCCGGCTCTTCCTGCATCCAGCACTTTGGAGGTTTACGCCGCACCGAATGCTAGGGCAGAGCAGTTTCGTCCGACCATCCGCCTGCCATGGCTGGTCTGTCCCAGTGGCTGCTGTTTAGTCACCTTTCGCATGCCGTGCGTTCCGCTGACTTCACTATGCGCCATGCATCTTGCCTTTAGTGTAGGATGTAGCCCTCGGAATCGGCCAGTCTTTTTGCCTGTTCCTTACTTTGTCTCTTGAAGCTTGTCGTAGATCACCTCTTTACTCTCCAGACTCCCGGAACTGCTCTTTCCTACACTCACAAGAGAACGTGCAAGGCAAGACACTGCCTTGCGCCTGGACATCTGCCCAGGGATATCCGGATCAATCGGCTGTCAGCCTAGTCAAACACTTCCGGCATCCCTACAAATACATTCGGCTTCCTCTCGGCAGTCAAATCTCGAGCTTCTGAAATCACATCTGTCGCGGTCCTTGAAAGTTGCGCGCCAACACCTAGCATCACCGCCTGTCTTCGCCCACAAACCCCCACCATGGGCGCAGGAGCCTTCATAGAACCGCTTGTGGTAGTCACCCTACTCTTCGGTGGTACATGGGTAAATCGAAACACAGAATATCGTCTCTTCGGTCGACGGAGAGTGTATCAAAACTCGCCGCGCTCAAGTTCTCCAGATTCCGGTCGATCTAGTCCGTCGTCCAGCGCATCACTTCTAGCCAACGTCGACGAGGAACCAAAATGGAGGAAGCGCGAGGTTGTAGTTCTGGGCATGAGGAAGGATGTCATGAGCCCGAATACTAGACGATTCAAGGATTATTTCCTCAGTCGATTGCTACAGAAGTTTCCCTTCCTTGTGGAAGCTTGGTATTGGGCACTTATCTACTGGGTAAGCAATCTTGCCCGAACACTACTGGATTTGTTTATACAGAGTCACTAACTTGATCACTAGGTGTACCAACTAGGTCGCGCATTCTCGGCCGTGACAATGGTCGAAGGCACCGTAAACGTCGCTCGTCGCCACGCTCTCCAACTCATCCACCTCGAACAGAAGTTGCACATTTTCTTCGAACTCGACGTCCAAGCATGGTTCCTGAAGCATCCCTTCCTCCTCCACTGGACGAACCGCACATACTCTTTCATCCATATTCCAGGTACAATCTTGTTCCTAGTATGGCTTTTCTACTACACCACAACGCGCAACCGCATCGATCTTCCCCTCCACAACAAGCCAATGGGCGAGGCAGATGGCAGCCCTGCAGGCCCAAAGCTGTATGCTGCGAGGCGCAGGACGATGGCTACTTGCAATCTGATTGCTTTCATCGTCTTCACACTGTGGCCATGCATGCCGCCCCGTCTTCTCTCCGACCCCGAGGTTCCCGGCTCGGTAGGCAAAGAAGCGCGCAGCTTCGGTTTCGTCGACACTGTTCACGGCGCCGAAGGCGAGAGCAGCGTATGGACACAAAACAAGTTCTGTAACCAATATGCTGCCATGCCTTCGCTCCACTTTGGATACTCGCTACTCATCGGCCTCACCATCATGTCAATCCCGCTTGCGCCTCAGCATCGCCGGTCTCGCACTGTCGCGCTCACAATGGGTCTGCGCATGCGCATTCCCTCGCCTCGTCGCATACTCTGCATCTTCCTGGGTGTCGCATACCCCGCTATCATCCTTGTAGCTATTGTAGCTACAGCGAACCATTTCATCCTTGATGCTGTGGCTGGTGCCATGGTCTGCGGATTAGCATGGACTGGCAATAGAGTATTGTTGAACTTGCTACCACTAGAGGACTATTTCCTATGGTGCGTACGTATTCACAAGCCTGCGCGAAAGGCCGTTCACTGGGATGGTGATGATGATGATAATGACTACGACCATAAGAGATTTGGCGGTAAGGGCGTCATTGTTGATTAGACGAGTTTGTCTGTGTAGGAGAGTGTGGAGGTAATGAATAGGTTAATGCCAAGCATTGGGTATCGGCGTCTTACTAGGATCGGGAATCTTGGTTAATGAAGGCTGGCGAATTATCATGGGAATACCTTAATTGTCGAGTTGGACGGCCTCACTGGGATATCTGGATACCCTGAACTAATAAACATACTATTTGTCGTATAATCTCAACGTTCTGTTTGGGTGTGTACAAGCCAGGTCTGTGAACTCCTGACGATACCGCCATCACTTGGAACCCGGTGGTAAGTTTGGTATCGGAGTACCCGTAAGCTGACTCCTCCACCCCATGATAAAGGAACAATCCATGTCCTTGCTCCTCGTCTTCACCCCACCCGCGTTACCGCAATCAAGCTTATCTGCATTCCACAACCCACTTCTACACTCGCCACACTCCTTCCACGTCTCCTGGTCGTTCCAATCGCACTTCCAAGGCCCATTATCATACGAGAAATGCAAGGTGCTACTTCCGTAATCAAAGGGTCCTACAAGGAAGGTATAGGGGTACCCGTCGACGTTGTGCTCGACAACTTTAGTAGTGCCAGGGGGGAAGTTGTACGCCCAGACGTAGTCGCGGTTGACGTACACGCCACGGGCTGCTATAGTGTTGTCCGACATGCAGTTTTCAATGGCTTGGAAGTGGAAGGGGAGAATGATGATGGGTTCGGGGTCGTGAGGGCGCGAGAGCTGGGTGACTTTGGCGGCTTTGCGGGTTGTGGGTGTGGCGGGGATGGCGATGTCGTTGTTGGAGGCTCCAGATGCGGGCGCTGGGTGGATGGGCTCGCCTTCGGTTGAGAGGAGCAGTATCTCGGAGGTGGAGGTACCGTCGTAGCCTCTGAGGGCGATGATGTGGGTTCCAGGTGAGGTGGGCTGTTCAGGCGCAACGATCGCTGCGGCGATGGCGCCGAGAGCGAGGGACAGGATGATGAGAAACTTCATGGCGTAATGAGCTAGGACGGTAAGCCAAGGTTGTGTGAGCTGAAGGTGAAGGACTCACTGTATGATGCTTTGGGAAAGCCGTCGCAAGCGTCGCTGAGCGCGGATGTAGGCAAGGGAATCCTGAGCTCGCAAGGGAAAGTGAGAGGGAGGTTCTGAAGATTTATACTACTTGAGCAGAGGTCAGAAGTTCATGTTGGGCACGTGTGTGAATAAAGGTAGAAGATATACGCACAGACCGTTGACGAACAAACGGATAGGTGTGTTGGATTAGATAGTATATATGTAGGTACGACGTGGCCAAGAGTTGCCATTGGTACTCGAAAGAACTTAAGCACACGCTGCTGCAGGGCTGGGAAGTCTTGCCCTACCTGCAAATGTGACGGCACATTTGTGTGCCCACAACGGAACGTGGATGGAGCTTAGACTACAAACGAAAAGAGTGCTGAAATCCAGATGACACATGGGAGATATTAAAAGAGTATACATAATATTATTTTGTACAGTCAACAACGCTCAGGGTATAGTGTTAAAGAGAGTTCGAGAAACCGCCAACGCCAATTGTGCAATGCGCGAGATGTAGATAGCGGTCTAGCAACAGGACTGATATCCAGTAATGAAACATGAAATTATGAAAGGAGACACAAGGAAACTCATCAACGTCTGCTACTCCTAGTGTTGTTGCGGCTGGGTCTTTCGTCCCTGTGCGATCGTTGAGGTTCGTATCGTCCGCCCATCTCCTCGTCTTGGACACGTCCTGCACCGTAGGTACGCTGCGGGTGGCGAACGTCATCGTGGTCATCCTCAAAAGTGTTGCGGCGCTCATCAATCTCATCGTCAAAGTCAACATAGACGGAGGCAGGGCGCGGTCGTCGTTCCCTTGGCAGCTTGGAATCTCTGTCCACCAGTTCCTTGGGCTTGTAGAGCTTGTCGAGGTGCTCTTCGAGTAGGCGAACGTTCTTGCCATTGGCCTTGACTGCTGCATCGGCAAGGTCGCCAAGGAAGGGAACAAGGCCAATCAGAAAGTCAAAGGCGACGTTGAACAGCATCATGATGAGGACAGAAACCGGCAGACCGCCATCAACCTTCATCATGTTCCGAACGAGGTTCAAGGCCAAGGCCGAACCTGCGGCGTCACCCACGGCAGGGACAAGGCCGATGACTGAAGACCATCCAAATCGGATTCCAAAGAGGGTGAAGAGGGCGTAGTCCAGCCTGTAGGCGGTCTTGCGGGCTTTGGCTAAGACATTGACATCATTGTCGGAAAGATAGTCCGGGATCTGCTTCTTGACTTTCCTCATCTTGTTTGGCTTCTTCTTGTCTGGTACCAACGCGTAGTAGGGATCCTGCAAGGCAATTAGTTTGTGCGATATGAAGCGAAAAAGTGGCTACCAACATATGGACCGGATACGTCCTTGGACTTGTATTTTTCCATCTCCTTCCCCAACGCTTTCTTCATTGCGTACTTAGCGACAACGCCGGCCATGTTGGGTGGTAGTGTCTGGGGTAGTTTGTGGTGTTGAGGTGTGAAAGGTGCTATGGATACAGCCGTAGACGAGACCGCAAAAGAAGCCTTATATGTCTCTGCAGTTCAAACGGGTCCTTTGACAGTGCGTGGTGGTGCGGGTATCCCACAGCGCGCTTGTTGTGTGGTTGGCGGACGGCGCTTCCCCTTTGAAAATGTGAAACGGGCGCGTCGCTGCCCTATGTATAGCTGGCGAGTGCGACTGGCAACGAACAATGTATAATTTATGCTGTGAAGGGCGGCGAGTGAAGGAGCGACAGAAGTGAAGACGACGGGCCTACTTATCGCATCAAGACGCTGGCGGTGAATCGCTGGAGAGTGCCCTGATTCTGCGACGCGATCCCAGACACAAACGTCATGGCTCTCGCTCGTTCCTTCTTTCGCCTGCGAGCACAGCCACGGCCGCCACACTTGATGTCGATCGCTCCTGCCGACTCTAGCCAACTGCAGCCACGACGACTCTCTCCGATAGGCCTTTGACAACACATCAACAACACGCTCGCCGACTCGACGCCATATTCTTCGACCCTCTTTGCGGCTGTGCACCCCTTCACTGCGCGCATCTTCGCATCTAGATCTCTCGCTACTACCCGCCGCCCGCCCGCGACGCGATAGCTGGCTGACTGGTGCCCGAGTGCACATCTCCCCACTCTCTGCGACACGGCCTGTACGCGGCATGCTCGATACGGGCCAGACATACATTCACCATGACAAACACAAACCGAACATTAGTTGACTGGCTGGACGACCTCTGCGTGCGCTTCATTGTCAACCTTCCCAATGAAGAACTGCAGTCGGTGGAGCGAATATGCTTCCAGATCGAGGAAGCCCAATGGTTCTACGAAGACTTCATCCGTCCCCTCGACCCCAACAACCTGCCCTCGATGCATCTGCGCAAGTTCTCCCAGCTCATGTTCCAGCACTGCCCGCTCTTCTCTGCATACTCCGAGGAGCTGCACCAGCAGGCCTACGAGCAGTTCCTCGCCTACAAGACACGGGTCCCGGTGCGCGGGGCCATCATGCTCAACGAGGAAATGACACACGCCGTACTCGTCAAGGGCTGGAAGAAGGGTGCAAAATGGAGTTTCCCACGAGGAAAGATCAACAAGGAAGAGGCCGATCTCGATTGCGCCGTACGAGAAGTTTGGGAGGAGACAGGCTTCGACCTGAGGAAGGCTGATCTGGTCGAGCCGGACGAACACATGAAGAAGATCACCGTCACGATGCGCGAGCAGAGTATGATGCTGTACGTCTTCCGCGGTGTACCCATGGACACGTACTTTGAGCCACAGACGAGAAAGGAAATCTCAAAGATCGACTGGTACAAACTCACCGATCTACCTACCTTGAGGCGGAAGAACCAGGTGCAACAGCAGCAGGGCAATGGACAAGATCTGATCAAAGAGAGCAGCTTCTACATGGTCGCGCCGTTTTTGGGGCCTCTGAAGCAGTGGATCAAGCAGCAGCACAAGCTTGGAAGGCAACGAGCACGGAACAGCGCCCACATGGCTCCAGCACCAGTAGCAGGGACCGATGATGAGCATGTTCAATCTTCGTTATACGAGACTACGGCCGACGAAGCAGCTCCCGTCGCAGATGCGCAGGTAGCCAGCAACTTTGCAGATATGGTGGCCCGGTTGGGTCGCGGTCACCGCCCGAGCGACTCCTACCCAGAGCTGTCCCAAGAGCACCAGGCACCACCACAACAGAGTCAGGATCCGGCAGAAGCGCTCAAACGCCTACTCAGCGTAGGCATGCAATCACCGCCCGTGGAAGCCCCTAGCCAGCCACCACCTCAAGGAAACCCGCTTCTGGCCTTGTTCAAGCAAGGCAACAACCAACATGCGGGAAACCAGCAGCCTCGGACGCCATTTGAGCAGATCATGTCCCCGCCTGTGCAGCCGTCAAGCCCTCATGGTCAACACGGCCCTAGGCCTCCCCAAATGGGCAATATGGGGCCTCCGCCGCCCTTCTTCCCACCCCACCAAGGTCTGCCGTTTCCAGGGCCTCCAGGCCACATGCATGGCATGCAACCACCACCGCCTCATATGTCGCCTCATTTCATGCATCAGCTACCGCAACAACAACAACAACAACAACAACAACAACAACAACAGCAGCAGCAGCAGCAGCATATGTTTTCACCCCATCCACCTAACATGCAGCAAGCGTTTGATCAACGCAATTCGCGGCCGGAATTCCAAGAGATTGGCGATTCACAATTTGCAAGCGGAAATGGTAGACCGGCGATACCACCGGCATCCAAGTTGCCCGCACCGAATCTCAATGTGCATGCACTTGGACTGCTGAGTTCGTTCAAGAATGATAATCAACAGCCTACTTTCCCGCCATCGCCCCAGACTACGATCGCTGCTCCACTACATCGAAGCCAACAAACAACGCCGAGAATACAACACCCAATGCCTCAACACAGGCCACACGGTCTTGTATCACCGCAAGCACAATTCATCCCTAGTCCGCCACAGTTTCAGTCACCTCCTATCAGTTCAAGCTTCGAACCTGAACAGCCCAAGCCAAGGAACGCCCATCAAGATTCTTTATTGAGCATGTTCAAATCTACACCACCGCTTCCAAGTCCGCAGCCCCCGCCTGCAGAGCTGTCTGCATTCCCCACTACGCCAGCATACGTTTCTGCGCAACCTGTCGCGAATCCTTCCAGACAGCCCAATGCGGCTCTTCTTGCTGTATTCAACGCTCCATCAAACAAGACAAATATGACGTCGGCTACTGTGAGCGGACCAGTCAATGCCCCGGATTTCGATACTATGAAGAAGAACAGACAAGCGACAAATGGCACTTCACGCGGACCGTCGCCTGCCACTAACATGCCCTTTATGCCTCAGCAGATACTCAAGCGTACGCCGCAAGCTTCACCTAAACCTACGCCGCCGGTGGAAGTATCTGGATCGCCGCAAATGGCGTTCCAGCCCCAGATCCTGAAAAGGCCTCAACAACAGATGAAGGTGCCAGGGCAGGCAGGTATGTGCATCCTCATGCTAACTCCAATCTTTGCTATAACGCATCTTACTGATTATCCATGTCGTATAGCTTCAGGAGAGCCGACATCGCACAAACAAGGCTTGCTGGACATGTTCAAGGGTTCTTCTCCACAACCTCCACCAGCTCAACCCGCGGTATTACCATCTCGCTCGCCTGCTCCTCCACCCTTATCCGATATGGACCGTCGTGAATCCGTACCTGCAGCCCAGAAGAACGCCCTGCTCTCCCTATTCGGCAACAAACCATCACCATCTCCCAAACCCCAAACGCAGAGCCCGATCCCACCAGCCCGCTCTCCTTTGCCGCCCACTCCCAAGACAACCGTGTCTGGTCTCGTCAGCCCAGTCAGCCCGCTGCCTACGAACGGTAGTGTAGGTGCAACTAGCCCGGAAGGAATTGCGAATAGGAGTCGTATCAGCAGCATCGGAGACGGAACAGCGCCCAGCATCGTCATACCACCCACAAGTCACCCAGTAGACGCAGGTGTTGGCCTGCCTCAGAACGAAGGTGTCAGTCTTGTTGGTCTTGGTGGTCAAGCTAGAACAGGAAGCACAGGCGAGGGTAAGAGTCCTGTGGATAAGACTTTCCTGCTGGGTTTTTTGGAAGACGTAGCTAGACGTGGACGCTGAAGAGCATTTACTTTCCTTTTTGCATTGTTCCGGGCGCTTTTTGCATTGCTAGGTGGATAGGGATATCATGGATGGCCGGCTGGACAGCCATCTGAACGATGCATGACGGTCATGGTCATGATGTTCCAAGACTTGCGGTATGGATGAGATGAAGGGAAAAGATATGAGTTTAGTAGAGATGTGTATGGATAGTATAGGACGAATCAAAGATTCAACTGAAATCCTTTGTGAATATTTTGAATCCATGATGCAAATTTAGGCTATACCATCTGTCAAAACTTTTCTTTCCCAAGTTTTGCAACGTCGTCTGTGTTATTCTTACTTTTTTTTATATCAATTAGTCCAGCTCAAATCATCTACCAGTCTAAACCATGTGTACAAGTAAAACTATTCGTCTTTAATTTCCAATGTTCTCTACTCGAAACAAGGGAGAACAAGTCATTCTTTATAGTGGCTACTCATTGATCGCGTTCCTCTCTACTTTGATTGCTTGAGTTGTGATTACCCCTGATTAAGCAACGATTATTATTCTACCCTACCTGCGAATCATTTTCTTGTTTCCTAAAAGTGTCTAAAAGAACAAAAATGAGTTTCAAAAAAAAAAGACTTTCCAACCAAGAAAGCGAGTAAAGTTCCAGTACTCTTTGCTACTTTTTTTTTCTCCAACTCGCGAGTCATCACGCGATACTCGCACGCAAGTAACAAAAACCATGTTACTCTCCCGTTATCACTGGCTCTAACCTACGCTCGTCGGGCATCATCGCATGCGGACTTGTTTCCGCGGTGCGTTGTTGATTATGCGATTCTCAAACACATGTGAAGCACTTTGCCCTACTGACGCTATGCTATGCTGTACCACCCTACATCATCATGCCCTAGTCGTCACTCCATCCATCGATCGACAACATGCGTCTCGGGCTCTCGGCCACGAACACAGTCCGTCGGTTGAATTGGCTAAACTGACCCTGCTCCCGTGGATCGGTAACTACAAGACATGTGCCATGTGCCAAGCCGGAGCTTATGAGCTTGTTTTTGGTGCCTGCTTTGTATGGCTTACTTTTTGGTCTCACTCTGTTTGCGCTGATGATGATCATGATGATGATTCCGGTGTTTTCTTACTGAAGCTGGGTGCGCGCGTCGTTTGCGTGCGATTCTGGATGGGCGAAGCTGAGACATCTCTGGTTGTTTCACTCCCTTGATCGCTGGATAATTTATTATCCCACCTTTTGATCAAGTGTGGAGACACATCGACGTCACACATACACACACGCGAGCACAAATGTGGGAATGATACATGGTAATAGGCCTCTCAGATCGAAAGGCCAAAATTTATATGGATATTACTAGCTGTGCGAGATGGAACTCTACGGGGATATTTGATAGCTGAAGCTAAAAAAAAAAAAAAAAGCAGAAATTGCAATGTACAAAAAGGATAAGCGCTTGGCGACTTTGGCTAACAGAGTTGAAGTTGACTAGGGGTTGTTGTTGTGAGTTCCCAAGGTTTCAGTCGTAAGCTGATGTCCTTCACTTTTGTTCCAAACCCCAAGATCCTTGCCCCAATGCCGCGCCCGGAAAGGCAAAAAACATGCTTATGCTAAAAGCGGACGACGCTTGACGATGACTGGGTACTGATAAGGAAATTTGTCTCAAGGGGAGCTAGTAGATGTTGATGTCGTGTTAATTGTACAAGTGAGACGTCAGAGCGTTGATGACAGTGGTCAACAGTAAAGCCTATAGTGCGGCGTTCTCTCGTCCCCTATCCAATATCTCAGAGGGTACGGCGCTACGTGTGCTGAAGCGTACTTCAGTACCTGGGTGTGCCTTGAAGATAGGAGCTGTTGTTTGCGTATCGTGCCTCTGGTGCTTGATGTCCCTTCCTACTAGACCGCTCTTGCTTCCATTGCGGCTCAAGCCCGCAGCGCTCGGTTGTCTAGTTATGCCACTCGCGTTCTTGGGTACACCGGATGGCAGTGCTGGCATTTCAGGTACCTCATCTTCAGAGTAAGTGGTAGACTGCGTCATGCGGAATTGCTGCTTGAGGCGTTGTTCTTCGACGCGGTTGGACTGCTGGTTCACCCAGGAGTCTACTGTGCGGAAACGTGGGACGGAAGAGCGGGAAGTCATGAAGCTATCACGACCAAGTTGCTGTGTAGCTGTGTCGCGAGAGGGATCGTGTGGGGTTTGAGGGGCCTGGGAGTTGGTCCAGCTGAACCTGCTTGCCATACCACCTGCGGCAGCTGCGGATGCACCGCCGAAACCGGGTCGTTGAGAGATGGAGGGACGGTTTGAGAGGAACTGGCGGAATGTTGGAGGAGGCGGCAGGTTTCTGATTTGCTCCTGAGAAGGGTCAGGGAACTGCAGCGATTCTTCATCGCCGTCCAATGATCTGGTGTTGCGAGTTGATGCACTCTGCCGTTGCCCTTCTATGGGTAGAAGAGGTGATGAGGGTGTTGCGCTGTCATTGCGACGATGCGAGTTAGAAACTGACGGCGTGTCGTCATAGAAGCTCTGGGTTCCATCTCTAGTCGGAGGCTGGTTAAAGCTGTCACTGCGCCCGAGAGCTTGAAGTCGTTTTTGCGAAGAGAGTGAACTAGATCGCGTAGGTGCCACTGTTGGTCGAGGGGCATTGAATGAGTCGTTCATGCCATATGCGTACTCGTCATCAAAGTTCTGCTTCTTGTCCTGACCGTATCTCGAAGGGGGTGGGGGTGGGGGCCCACGGCGAAGCTGCTGCTTGCCCTGCTGGAGTACATCCCTGAAAGTAAGACCTCGCTTTCGCATAGTGTACATCGCAAGAACTACCATAACGATGATGATAGTTGCTCCTAGAAGATGTCAGCACATAGTCCAACATGTGTACTCGATTCATCTTACCAATGGAGCCAGCAGCAATGAGCAAATGCTCAGTTGTCTGGGAGATTGGGCGATCATGATGGGGTCTAGGTGGCGGAGGCGGCATAGCGATCACAATAGTCTCGGTGGGGTCATTATCGGCGAATGCAGGTGTAGTGGCTTGCGGCTCATCACTGAGAGTCATTGTGATAAGAAGCTGCTCATGTTAGTCGAGTCCTTGAATCGGTGCGAATTCCTTACAGCTGGAGTTCCTGACGGTATCGTAAGCGAAGGTGTTGTCATAGCTGTCATAGTCGGGTTGTCAGGGTAGTCGTCTTCATCAGAATCGCTGTCGTAGTCTGCATCTGTGGGACTTGGCTCCTGGCGTTTTGCTCGTGGTTGGCGGTTCACAGTGGCCGTAGGCTCTTCTACCACCAACCCCCTCTCATGCTGGACACCATCTCTTTCCACCACAACATAGTCCACCTTGTCGTAAACCCCGCGGCGCCATGGTGCGGGCATTGCTTCCGGTATGCGATGGCGTCAAATGGGGAAAGCCCCTCTCAGTCTTCCAGCCGCTCGATTTCTCCACCAGACATAATCCACAAACTCGTCCAGCGATGTAAGGTTGTCGTGATCGAAGGTGATGTTGTAATCGGAAGCGTGTTGGACCGCGACCAGCGAAGTCGATAAGAAAGGGTGATGTAGCGAATGTATGTAAGTGATTAGCAACGACAAGCCCGCCAGCGGAACGAAGGGCAGAATAGAAAGCAAAGTCAGCAAAGGTGCAGCGAAAGGCTGGGCGAACGCTCAAGACGAGACACGTTCATGCGAATGACGGGAGGGGTGGCCTTTGAGAAGCGCATGAATTACACTAGTAGTGAGTCGCTGCTGGTCCCATGTCAGTTTGGGGAGACGCGAAGGTACGGGTAGGGCGCTATGATAATAACGGAGTGTTTAGCAGCAATTGCGATGCCGACGACGCTCCAAATGGCGAGATTCCATAACCCTGAGCGCGCTTAATTGCCCTCAATAGGGCAAGATGTGCCATGGCGGAGAACAAAATGGTCGTGCAAGGTTTGGGGGGTTGTCTTAAAGTTGTCTCAGAGCGCCATGGTCACGTTTCAGCTCCCGTTTCCGAGGCTGATCAAACGCCACAGGGGTTCTTCGTGAGACTATCGACCGACTACAGTTATTGGATATCTAGAGCGCAATTATGATGGTTAGCAGATGTTAATTCCTTCAATAATTCCCCGCATATGACCGGCAGCCCGACTGGGATTCGGCGGAAATGCGCAGGACAGCCTTGCGGTCGTACAGCCTGTGTATGACGACAAGCCACAGTCTCTCCGAGGAGCTGCGCCTCTGATGGCGTGGTGTACTTTTCGGCTCCACTAAGTCCCTTTTCCAGTAGCGCAATGTGATGCGGCGGTGCTTGTGGCCAGGCTATCGCAAAGATCCGGCCGAGGCCAATTTCTTGGAAGAACAGAGGCACACAATGTTTCGCACGAAGGTTTGCTGGGGGGGCGGAAGAGAGTGTTTCCTAAGGCTAGGCAAGCCTTCGCGGTGATCGCTCTCTAGGATGTTACGAAACAAATGAAAGACGACCGGCATTACGTCGACATGGGCAATACTCGATACAGCTGCGAGAAAAATGACATGGCGCGGACGCGCCCACGGATGATGCGGCGTTGGGTCGGGGACGGTTCGCTCGCGCCGAACTGGCCGTGGCTGCCGGACGAACTTGACCTGTGGGTGGCTGAGGCTGAGTGAGTGCAGCCGGAATCGCTGGATGTGCTCCGCCCCAAAGATTCGGTGGATTCGTTCAGTCATCAGATCTTGTAGTCAGCAGATGTTGTTGGGTGCTGCGGCAAGCAAGTGAGTGGTATAAGATAGTCATGTTCCTGTTGTGACGCTCTTGCCTTCCTTCACGCCATTAATCCGTATTCCCGTATCCGTCCCCGACCTTACGTCAACCACCCCTCAACCACGACCCCTCATCACCTCGACAACATCAATTACCCTTGCAACCCACAAACCTCACAAAATCATCATGTCGGGTCCTTACGATCAGTACAACCAAGGCTACCAGCAGTACCCGCCTCAAGGCCAATACCCTCCCCAACAACAGGGCTATGAACAGGGTGGCTACCAACAGCAAGGCTACCCGCCCCAGCAACAAGGCCAGGGCTACCACGACCAACAACAGCAGGGCTACCAACAGCAAGGCTACAACCAGCAGTATGGTGCCCCTGCTCACGGTGGTTTCCAACATGGGCAGCAAGTAGCGCCATATGAACAGCAACAGCAAGGGTAAGATGCGGCCTTTCCCACGATGTCGCTTTCTTTTGTATTAACAGCAACAGATATGGCCAGCAACAGCAGTACCCTCCACAAGGCCAATACCCTGGTCAGGCCCCGTCGCAGCAATTCCCGCAACAGGGCGCATACGCTCAAGACCAGTACCCACAAGGCCAGAATGCCTACGGTCAACCGCAGCAAGGGCAGCAATACGGCGCCACAGACCCAAACATGCAGGCTGAAGGCGACCGAGGCCTCATGGGTGCTCTAGGTGGCGGTGCAGCTGGTTACTTTGGCGGCAACAAGATGGGAGGCCACGGCATTATTGGAGCCATAGCAGGCTCCATCCTCGGTAGCAAGTTGGAGGACAAGCACAAGAAGCCCAAGCACAGCAACGGTGGATGGCACTAGAAGGGCAAGACAAGAAGTATGTCTTTGGGTTGATGCCTCATGATTGGATTTAGCAATGGGCGGCTTTGTTTGACATTATTTCATGGCGTTCTGGATAACTCGCTATGGTGGATGAGTAGGGCAACGTCGTTGAGCATTAGACGTCGGATGTCAGTTATTGGACGTGTCTAGAATGAAGGATAATCACGAATGCATATATTTTTAATAAACGCCACAATCTCGCCATCTGGACATCAAAGCGAAACAATGTTAGACCATGGAAGGAAGCTTCGTCTCCAGTGCTGTCATCGCTGTAGACGGGAAATTACTCCAAGCGGACGTTGAAACACGCCATGTTCGAAACAACCTCAACGCAGCCAGACTGGTATTTAGGGCAATTATCAAGGAAGGCCCGATAGACGAACAGCCCCCAGCCGGCGCATTTTGTTTGATGGAGTCGGGAACATTTTTGACGTAGAGGCCTGTTTATCTGCGGATAGCCGTTGTTCGATGGTTGTTTCACTGTGGCCGTGATCGTGGAAAGCATGAGAATGTCAGATTCCGTCCCGTGTGCTTGGAAATCCCGGAAGGCCGTGTGCGCGGTGGCATATACCGTGCAAGATGCTGCGTCGTGTTTGTGTGAGCTGGAGGTCAAGGCTGTGCTGTTCTCAAGCCACGTGATGGTTGTTTCGAACGACCTTGGGATCGCGCAGGGCTTGGGAAAGAGCAGAGATTTGTCGACCATCCAGTCTGCAGTCTGGTCTTGTTCGCTTTCTTAACAATTGATCACTAGCAACCGACACGATGCTTGTACGATGGGGTCTCGATTCTGTCGAAGATAGCATTGCCGATCATGTGCTTATCCTAATATGCGCGCGTATCTTACTACTAACTCGCGCCTTCTATGCCGCGGGGAAATTTCCTACGAGCAGGTGCCTGGTCAGACAGTTGCGAGAAGTGCTGCAATACACCATTCGCATCAAGTACGGCATCGCCGAAGAGATTTGAGCTGATGCTAGCAGTCCAAAAACTCGAAACGGTATACGAATCCCGGAAGGATTGAGGCTGGCGAAGTCGGCCTGCGCCATGGCCTTCAGCATGCAAAAGGCATGTACAAGCGCATAAACAGGCAATGGCCATGCCAATGTCGGTGGAATTTGCTAGCCAAAGCTCATAGCTGAGCCGTGAGGCTGGGAAGTGGACAGGTGAGGTATGTTATAAACAGCCCGACTGTTTACTCGATGACATCGAGTAAACCGGATATGACGGCCGCTGAGTGGCTGTGGCGGCGCCCCGTTGTACCCCACATTGCCTTTATCTCCCTACCGCACAACCGCTATCCCCTCCCTGCAATAGCTCCCAGCTAGAAACCCTCAAGCGAACGGAGAGATGCGACCTCGAACCATCATGGCGTCGGCTGCTGCAAGATAGAGAGCTTCTCCGGGTCCAGGGCTGTGGTGACATATTTCTATCGAGTCAAAAATTAGGGAGATCTCTGCTGCTGTGGCTCCTATCGCGGAGATAGCAGTGCAGACGTGCATAGTCCCCAAGACTTGAATACACACCCCTGGTGGGCACGCGATACTGTTGTTACGATGGCACTGCGTCATCCCCGGAGGGTTCACCCACTCATTATGCCATTTTTCATACGCCCAGAACACAAATTCTGCACCGTCCGCATACTCGAGACTATGCATGATGTAGATGTGTATCACACGAGCTGTTCGTCGGGACTTCTAGCGGCAAAGCTGCAGCGTGCATCTTGGTGGAGCATACCGCGCGGGCTATCGCGACCTGAAGATAAGGCTACCGGAACGGGCCTACCACCCAATGATCACAACCATGATACGTTCCGATGCGGAGGCACATTAGTATCTAGGCGTGGAGTGGATCCAGGGTAGATCTTGCAGTGCGCGAAGTAGTTCCTGATATTTAAGATGGAGCATGCCCCAGATGGGAGTCTCCTCAGCGGTCATCGTCAACATCCAGTTCACGCAGTAGTGCGTCCATCTAGCCATCTTATTCACACCTTGTAACTACTTTCGGAAATCACCCACCGTGGATCCTGAACGTCAACCACTCATCCAACCACAATCCTCACCAAGACCAGGCGTACCCAGACCTTCACTCGCTTCTGATAGCCCCCCACGTCATACAAGCGGGGATCTTCAATCCTACCAAGCAACGGCTTCGAGCAGCCGAAGCGAGAGCTTCATAAGGCCTGTTGCAACCTCGACTGTCCACCATTCAAGCGACGAAGGATTTTTCTTCTACAGCCTCATCATGGAGAAGGTCAAGAACTCAAAAGTCGCGTATTGGGCGGATAAGCTCGCCGTGGAGAGCGAGCCCAACCTCACTACCGCACAGCTTATGCTCTTCAACCACGACTTGAAGCCTGTCGAACCGGAACGTCGACAGTGGGGCGCTTGGAATTTTGTAGGCTTCTGGGTTGGTACGTTAAAGGTCCTCAGAAGCGATAACGAACATGAGCTAATAACGTACAGCTGATTCTTTCAACATCAACACATGGATGATCTCTTCAGCAAACATTGTCGATGGTCTATCATGGTGGCAATCGTGGATATGCGTTTGGGTATGAAATTGAATATCTGACTACGCCGACATGTGCTGATTCAACAACAGCTTGGCTACTCCATCGCCGCCTGCTTTGTCTGTATGACTGGTCGTATCGGTGCGACCTACCACATCTCTTTTCCCGTCGTCAACCGCTCGTCTTTCGGTATCTGGGGAGCATTATGGCCCGTCTTCAATCGCGCAGCCATGGCTAGTATCTGGTACGGTGTACAAGCATGGATTGGCGGTACTTGTGTACGCCTTATGATCCGCGCCATCTGGAACAACTGGCGAGACTCAGAGGGTCCTGGTACTGGGGGCATTACCAACGGAATTCCCAGCTCTGGCACCACCACTGTCGCCTTCGTATCCTTCTTCTTTTTCTGGGCCGGATCGTTGCCTTTCATCTACCCACCAGTGCACAAGATCCGCCATTTGTTCACCGTAAAGGCCTACGTCGTTCCTACTGCTGGCATTGCCTTCTTCATCTGGGCTGTCGTCCGTGCGAAGGGGTTGGGCCCAATCGTCCACCAACAAGGCACGGCTCGTGGATCTGAGCTGGGCTGGCTGATGGTCCGTGGAATTATGAGCGCCATTGCAAACTTCGCTACCTTGATCGTTAACGACCCTGACTTTGCCCGTTTCGCAAAGAAGCCATCGAACGCTTTCCTTCCGCAACTGCTCACTATCCCCATTGGATTCGCCGTCACTTCGTTCATTGGTATCATAGTGTCATCATCATCTACTGTCATCTTCGGAAAGGCTATCTGGGATCCTCTACAGCTGCTGGAATCATTCTTGAATGAGGGTGGTTCAGCACAACGTTTTGGCGTATTCTGCATCGCCTCAGCCTTCGCACTCGCCCAACTTGGCACAAACATTGCAGCAAACTCCATCAGTGCAGGAACTGACATGACGGCACTTGCACCCCGATGGATTAGCATTAGACGTGGTGGTTACATTTGCGCGCTCGTCGGTCTCGTCATGTGCCCCTGGAACCTACTCTCCGATACCAACAACTTCACGACCTACCTTTCTGCCTACTCCGTCTTCCTCTCCTCTATTGCAGGCGTTATGATTTGCGACTATTACATTGTCCGGAAAGGTTACCTCCAGATCAAGGATCTCTACTCTGGAAAAAAGACTGGCCCATACTACTACACCCTTGGATTCCACTGGCGCGGCTACGCAGCCTACATCGCCGGTATCCTCATCAACGTCGTGGGCTTTGCAGGTGCTATCGGTCGTGACGTGCCCATTGGTGCGAAGCGCATCTATGATCTCAACTTCTTTGCTGGTTTTCTGGTTGCGAGTATCACCTACTGGGCATTATGCAAGATCAGTCCTGTTCCAGCGACCAGCGACGTATGGATGGAAGTTGGTGATGAGATCACAGATATCAGTGTCGCATATACTGATGGCGATGATGGGTACGATGAAGAGGTCATGCACGGCGGAGATGGAAAAGGAATTGAAGCGTCAAAGAACTTTTAGACACGTTATTGGTACGCTTACAGGGATGGATTTTGCTATTGATTTTTGGGAGTGTGAAAGATACCAGACCACGCCTTGGGTCACAGTCGTTTTCGCAATGCAATATTTACTTCACGTCTGCTGTCTGCAACTGTGTTTGAAAAGGAAAAGCTGATGAAACTGAGTTGGTGCCAGATACTGATGGGCGGCAAGGTCGACTCAACTAGCGTGTCAACTAGCGCCTGGTGCTTCTACCAACCTCCTGAGGTCAGTTTTTCGAACTCCATCACCTTCATCATCGACGTCATTAATTGTCACTTGCTTCTTGCTTTACGAATGAAGGATTCAATCTAAGCCGCGTCTAGGGATGTTCCTGTACAAACAGAAGCCTTCGCTTTGTCCATTTCGTTGAAACCCAGATGACCGTTCTTCTTCTAGGCTACGGCTGCGCAGCCAACGCGATCGTTGTATTAGAACACGGCTATTCATGATATTGCTACTTCCCACGCAAAGGCTGCTCCGATTAACATCTTTCGCATACACGCGGCAGCACACCATCGTGCGACTGCTGGCTGATCCGCAGATCCATTGTCTCTACATTCACCACTAACGGGTACCTGAAGTGGTAGCACGACTAAATACCATGTTTTCAATCTTGCTGACGCCTCTTCCACTTGTCATATGGCTTGCTTCGCCATATTCCAGAACATCGCCGCTTACGTGACAACACATGCGCCATCTACCTTCACATCGTCACGCCGCATATTCTCACCATTAGCACGTAAATTAAACATCCGGGGTACCGCTCGCCTTCCCATCATCTCCCGATCTGGTTCGGGACCTAAGAGCCGACATGAAGACTCGCTCGCTAGCGAAGCATGTATAGTGTCGAGCAGCCAATGGTGTTTAACCGGTCCGGCCACAGCATCTTCGTATATTACATGGATATTGAGGTAGCACTATCGCCTTTATGTGAAGTGGGCGTGATGAAGCTGGTCAAGAAGAGATGAATGGCGGACAGTGGTAGTGTGATCATGAGGGGTATTGGAAATTGGCATTGGACGTGGAGGTCGGGCGGAGCGTCTACTCGATCAGTATATAAGAACAGGAGTAGAGTCGACATGCAGCCCGTATCGAGCTTTCAAGTTTAACATCTAATCGACCTCACCATGCTGTTCTCAAACGTTTTCCTGCCGACCGCACTTCTCGCTGCACAGGCTGCCGCCCACGGCGCTGTCACCAGCTATGTCATCGACGGAGTTACCTACCCAGGGTAAGCTGCGTTTGTTAAGCTCTGCGAAGCTATCTTATCTCATTGCTCACCTACAATCTAGTTACGAAGGTTTCTCACCCGCCTCCTCGCCCAAGACGATCCAACGCCAATGGCCCGACTACAACCCCACCATGAGCGTCAACGACAAGAAGGTCATGTGCAACGGTGGTACATCAGCCGATCTCTCCGCCAAGGTAGCCGCCGGCGGAAAGATCCGCGCAAACTGGAAGCAATGGACGCACGAGCAAGGCCCAGTTATGGTCTGGATGTACAAGTGCGCCGGTGACTTCAAGAGCTGTGATGGCAGCGGGAAGAAGTGGTTCAAGGTATGCATTACCATCATCTCAAGTACACCTCTTGTCGTGCTAACTATGATGGAAATTAGATCGACCAAGAAGGCATGACAGCGCCTCCCCTCTCAGGCCGTAACTGGGGCACCGCCAAGGTCCTCAAGAACCTGTACTGGGAATCCGTTGTCCCCAAGTCACTTGCACCTGGTAACTACCTCGTGCGACACGAGTTGCTTGCTCTTCATCAGGCCAATACACCTCAGTTCTACGCCGAGTGCGCTCAGATTGAGGTGACTGGAAGCGGTAGTGCGTCACCCAGTGGTGACTACCTAGCGAACATCCCCGGATATGCGCCGCAGAGTGACCCAGGTATTACGGTTGATACTTACAGCAGTGCTGTTACTACGTATACTTGCCCTGGACCTAAGGTGTGGACTGGATAAGATACGAGTGAGACAGGTTAGTGGGAAAGGAGGGAGAAGAGGATCATAGCTGGTGGTTTGAAGAGTGCATATCTATCAATTGCCACTATAAATTTGAGTAGAACTCGATGTCTTCGCCCTCTCTGGAAGTCCACACTCTACTCACATGCCAACCCAGCTCTCACCACGTTTCTCCTTTCGCCCAACGACATAGTCCACCTCCACCGCAATAACATCGAATAATCCCTCATATATCCTCCCACTCGTCCTTGGTCGTCCTTCTACCACTACCGTGTGTTCAAACACTAAAAGTATAGCGTACTGATCCTTGCCTCGCATAATATCACTAGCCCGAGTTGTGCGAAATCTGCAAATGAGAGATTGGGGAAGCGGTTCTTCATAGCGAGGAACGACAAGCTATCTAGTTAAGAGGTCAGTATACGGTAAGGGATAGTGTACAAAAATATATCTTCAACTCTCTACGCTGCAGATCTTATATTGGAGGGTATAAGTCACTTATGCAATTTTTAAGCCAGCTATCGTCATTTTCATACTTCGGAAATGCGCGCTTGAGCTGGGCAGAAACCTGTGATAGCGTCATATAAGGTTTGTGGATACGATCCTCAATCTTCGTGCATTCCTGCGGTGCTTTTTTCGTCGGTCGCTGCGTTGAGCGTTCTCAAGCCTGATGTCTGGGGATTCCAAAAAAATGTAAAATCCCAGCTTGTTCAGCGCTGACTCTGGTAGCTGCATAGCTGAAATTCTGCGGGTCTGCAGCCAAGGATACGGAATGTAGGGTATGAGATCGACTCGGGGCTTGGGGTCGTAGCCCAGAACATTGTGCGTCGATGGAACTAGGTGCGGAGGACGGGCGTAGAGTGGAATCGAAGTGTGAAGCTGAATTCGTTCCTCAAATTTGTTCAGAAAATCAAGAGCGCAGTGTGCCGTGAATGTGTGAGCCATGGAACGCAAGGCACGGCTCCACCAATCTCGTTACCTAATCTTGGAATCACTCCTTCGTGAATACCTTCCTGGTTGTTTCAGCACTAACAATGTGTGGATTTTGCGATGATGGTACTGAAGCTGTAAACGGGGGCAGGTGATAGGATATGGCTTGGAGAAAGAGGGGATGGTTCGATGTTAGAGTGCACGAGAAGAATGCGACGATGACCCGATCTCAGGCAACACTAGATGCTGTTTGCAATCATCTCGTTGTAGTCTTTTTGTTCGTAGGTGTGTCGAAACGACCTGCTGACATGCCGCAAACTGAAGTGTTGACTGGTCATGTCTCGCATTCCATGTTGAAGTATGCGCCTAGGTATCTGTATCTCATGCATTCAAGCTTCCTCCCAATTTTTCCCCACACATTTACTCTTCAGTAAAGGCAGCGTACTCCTCCTTTGTCATCGTCTTGCCATTTGGCTCTCCCGACACGGTGATCTTCGCGATCCACGCCTCGCCCTCGGGGTCCTTGTTAATATTAGCCGGCTTCTGCTCTAGCGCCGAGTTGACCTCGGCAACGACTCCGGAGATGGGTGTGAGGATGTCTGAAGCAGACTTGACGGACTCGACAGCGCCAATGGCGTCACCTTCGCTAACGTCCATTTCGACCTGGGGAAGCTCGATGTAGACTACATCACCAAGGGCTTTTGCTGCGTACTCGGAGATGCCTAGGGTGCCTATGCGATATGTCAGCAATTGTGCGCTTGGATAGCAAGAGCATCTTGGGGTGTGGGGATGTGGGGGAGGGTGCACATACATGTCTTGCCGTCCGCAGACATCTCAATCCACTCATGGTCCTCGGTGTATTTCTTCTCCTTCACTGCTCCCAGTCAGCGACCCTGATCGCAATTCAATTGCTTTCCAAAGCTTCAGGTGTGCGTACGGGCGGCAGATACCGAGAATAGCCGTTGCTTTTGAGTCGCCTGCTGCCACTTCTGGCAGACGAAGGGTGATGGTCTCCTCGCAGCAGCAGAGGTGAATTGGCGCGCAGCGCGTGCGATTGAAGTTCGGGCAGCCATTTTGGAGTGATTGTGTGTAGGATTGTGAAGATTCAAGTTGTGGGAGTCGGACAGGTGATAACACGCGCCAAGAATCGGAGTGGAGCTCCTCCGCGGTTGCGGAAAGGTTGGCCGCATTCGAACACTTTTCGCGACGGAAGGCACGACGTCAGCAACAACACCGCGCAATTGAGGCAACATGTTGTACGAGATGATAGGAGTGGTATGTTGAGTGTCGCATTGTCTGGAAGAGTACGTGCTAATGACTGCAGGTACGGCCTGGCCGCCTCTCTGAAGTAAAAGAGTAATTTCGCCCTCGCACTACACCACCCACTGCAGCACACGGGCTGACACGATATCTTGTAGAATTGCCAAAACCGCCGGCAAGATCGTCCTCGATCAGCAGGGCGTCGTCCGCGGCGTCTCCAACTGGGGCACTTTCCTCCTCCCCAAGCCAGCGAAGAAGCTGCAATCCACACACCACTACGGTCACCACTTCATCATGCGCTTCGATGCGAGTGCCCGCGCACAGCACGCGTTACGGAGAACCATGAGCTTGGACCCCAGGTTGATAAGATACAGTGTGGTCAAGATGGGTACCAAGTTTGAGGAGATCAAGGATGTGCCGGGAACCGCCAAGTTTAGGTGAGGGGTTTATGAGGAGGCATAGAGAAGATGCGGACGGGCTACACTGACGTAAATGTATCATATGGTGTACATGGGTCTCTATCGTGATACAGGCTGCATTGCATACGGCGTTTGGGATACTGCGAAATGTTAGAGATGATACGCTGGCCGAGATTGGATTCGACGCACAGTGGAATCAATTATTCAACGAAGCCTTCTGGTTGCCACTTTTCGTGCTTCTGGTCCTAGCAGCAGATTGCTACAGGGAAGATGCAGTGCATCAGATATTGGCCCAACTGGGCGTAGCGCGGAGCTGATATCAATTCTGCCGACAAGTGGACACAAGGAGCACCACTGTCACCAATCACTTCGATCAACACTACTGCATCTTAAAAACGAGGTGGAAACCGAGTGATTGAGGAAGTGGTGCGGTTCTGTGAAAAAGGATAGAATATGTCCAAATCGGATCGCATATCATTGCCGTTTGCATGATGGATGATGTTCAGCTGTCCTGAGTCCAGACCTCACTACTCAAGAGAAGATTACCGCAGCAATAGCATTAGGTGCCCATGAGTTGCTAGAAAACTTACTATCTTAGCTCACAGACTACTACACGCCAATCCGCCGTACGAATACACTTTTAGTAGCATGTCGCTACCAGAACCTCTGACCCCGCTATATCTGGGGCAGTTCTCAACGCTGGAGCCGATATTAACGAGACGAACTACGCGAAGATCAAACCAGGACGAGCACCAGCTCATAATCAAAGTCCACTTGAGTATGCCGCCACTCATTCGGTCGTTGCGTTTGAGTATCTATCAAATCGAGGTGCTATCGTGCGTCACGTTAAACTATGGCACGCGATAGGCAACAAGAAGTTGTGCAAACTTTTGTGAACCGCCAGGATGAGCAAACCGGTGATGATTTTCTGACGTTCTTAGAGAGCCAGCATTGGATGAGACAGAAATGGGAGCCAGTATTGAGAGGCGTATTTGCAAAAGCAGGAAAATGAGAGAGAAATCAGAATGAGTAAGAGTGAAGCGCGCATCGAACATGATATGTACTGGGACGATCCGGACGATAATACGTCGAGCTGCAGCCTGGGAACGACGAGAGTGTCCGTCCATCGTAGCATCATCTTGATGCTGTGTCCTGAACAAGTCTAGATGCGCTCACCTGAAGCCCTGTGCTTTGTTTGGAGACTTTCCTGCCTTTACCTGGAACTCTTATCGCCTTTGAGGACGCCTCTCTCACCCGGAGCAGACTCATCGTGCTAGAGCTCGCCTAGCGGATATATACAGCGCTACAGGAACTGAATACTCTTCCAAACCCTCTCTCCACATTAAGCTGCGAGTCTCGGTGACCAAAAGAAGCAACAGGGAACCACTGGTTCCGTACGCAACAATGCCGCTCCTCGATCTCCCACCAGAGGTATTTGGACATGTCGTTCATGAGCTAATTGATGTCGCTGGTATCAACGGAGCCTGGAAACTCCGTGGAGTCTGTCGTGAGTGCAAGGCCGGTGACCTCTCGGATTGCGAATGCGAGCTAATCGATCAAAGATACCTTCCAGTCTGCTATAACGCACGACATCTTCACCAATCAAACAGTCAAGACATTCAAGCGAACTGCAGGGTGTATCCTCCACAAGAAGGCAGGACTCTACCTCTACTATCGAAGCAAGAAACCTCTCGATGCACATCCTTATCTGCCAGATATGGTAAACGATATGGTCAATTACCTAGCGAAGGAACTGGGTATTGAATCAGACAACGGAATGGAAACTCTGCGACAGAGTCTTTGCGATGGTCTTCAAGCATTCTGCTCCTCTTATCAAGTCTTATCGATCTTGACAGGCCGACGACTGAAGGCAACCTCTGCTCCACCTGCATTCGGAAGCTTCGAGAAATTGGTGTCGGCACTCTCGCTCGGACATCATCATCTTGTACGAGCCTTGGTGCAAAGATTGCCAAGCCTTGCCATTCACCCTGTCTTCGGTGCGCCTCTACTGCGTGCAACAGACCTGAAAGACGAAGCCGCGGTGAAGAGCATTTTAGATGGCATCTCAATGGTCCTTGCCAACAGAAACACAACGGTCTCTATTCGAGATGCTATCCAGATGGAAAAACCACTGTCTCGGGCGTTATGTCCCGAAAGAGGTTTTGGTGTAGGGAATGCAATGTACACTGTTATTTACCGGGGTCATGCGAACCTACTGAGCCTGCTGGTAACCTCGTACACAGATCACGGTTTCACGTTGTTCAAGAATGTCTACAATCATTTCTTGGACATTGCTATCGAAAATTCCAGCCTCGCAATCGTAAAAGCCGTTCTCGATATTCCATTCGCTAAGTATGGTTCTGCCAAGAAGGTCACCTGGACTCAGTACCGACACGCGTGTGTGTGTGGTCGCAAAGATGTGGTGAAGCTTTTCTTGGATGATGGCTGCATTGATGCCAACGACAAAGTATCGGCTACATCACCACTATTCGAGGCGGTGCTATCAGGCCGCCTGTCCATCGTCAAGACTCTTGTAGAAGCTGGTGCGGACGTAAATCAAGAGTCTATTTGGTGTCGCACGAAGCAGCTGCCCATTATGATCGCGATCAAGAAGCAGAACTTTGCGATTATTCGATATCTACTGGATATGGGTTCAAATCTGCCTGGAATATCGACCTGGCCCGGGGAATGGAAATACACTCATGTCTATGATGTACTGTGACAGGCCAGGATGAAACAAGGTGGCTGTAGCGCTCTCCCAGCCTTTGCTAAATTCCGCAGGATGTCACGGGAAGAGAAATTGGCTCTTTGAGTACATTGTATTGTCTTATTGAGTTATCACCAACCAAAAGTATCCGCGGACATATAAGCAACATTACGACCAAAAGGGTACCTAGGTAAGGCATTTCTTACCAGGGCTTCCCGACAGTACATTCATTCATGATACCGAGATTTGCGGGCGAGATTGATATTTATATGCGCTCAAAATTCATCTTTAGCTTTTCTCTTAAGCAAAATACATGACGTCTCGTGTTTTGGCGCTAATTCATCCGTCACCTCGTAATCACACTATACGATCGAGGGAACAGCCTAGGTGAGTGCCTGCAGCTGCCTTTACCATAATCCCACCCTAAAATGCTTGGCGATAAGGTAAACGATATCTCTTACCTCCTGGCAGCTCCTTGCTCTTTCCTCTTTCATCCTTCAAGATATTTCATGGGAAAAGTGGTCGATTGGAATTCCTGTGGTAGGTAAGCCATTCGTGTCGATTGTTGAAATCTGCTAACGAGAAAGCTCTCTCAGAAGTGCAAGGCGAGATCGGCACGTCATCGCGATGAAGTTGCTCGATTTCCCGCCCGAGATCTTCAAGCACGTTATCCACTGCCTCGTAAGCGATGCTGGCGTGGCAGGATCCTGGAAGCTGCGTGGCGTCTGTCGTAAGAAATCTATCTCCGCAGTTGCGTATGCGCTGAGTGCTGACTTCTCAGGTACGTTCGATCAAGAGATCAGCGAAAATGTACTAGCTATACAACCCAAAGAGGCTTTCGACGATGATCGAGATCGCCATCTTCTTCTCCGCCCAGGAAACCTGAAGTACTACATCGCATATCACGTAAAGAACCCGCGCGATGTCTTTCCAGAACTGCCTGCGAAGATACAGCAAATGCTAGACTAAATTACCAACTATATCGAAACTAGGGCTATACCCCGCGGTTGTAACATCATCTTGGAACTTTGTGGCGGCGTCGCACGCACTTGTCCGGATATTTGCGACTTGCTCTGGGATCCCTATTGCTCTGACCATTACGGAGAGGAGCATTGCGACGACCTGGACCAGCTTCTGGGACCGGATATAACAATCCACGACAAAATCATTGCGGCAATGAGTATACGAGCTTATGCAGTAGTGGAAAGATTGCTAGCGCATGCGCCTGTACCACTCCCATCAAGTGTCTTCGAGCAGCCAATGACAGCCGCTGTTTCGCTTGAGGACGGAGACATGATTAATATGATGATGGCTGTCTTGAGTCGATACAGGCGTATGGGATTCAAAAGGAGTAAAGTGCTCAGGTCGGACTCTACATACGGCCTACTCGAACCCATACAAAAGGCGATAGATAAAGAATGTCCTGAGATACTGGAACTGGTACTTGGTCATCTACGCGACTATATGAAGCTTCCTGATAAGACCCACTTTCGCAAATGGATAAATCAGGCTGTTAAACTTAAACACAACAAGGCCCTCATATCTCTTCTCCAAGCCGCGCCCGCGTCAAGCCCCATCCGTATCAACTCCAAGGTCTTCGAGCTAGGCTGCAGAACCGGCGACTCCGCTATCGTCAACACACTTCTCACATTCGGACGCATACAGCTGGATTCCGACAACACTTCGGTATCAACACTGGCGATTGCCATAAGACTCGGCCATATCCCGGTCATCCGCACTGTGATCGAAGCTGGTGCAGATATTAATATGGCTATGGGCACTCATCGGCTCAAATCCAAGGCTCGCACTACCGTCACACCTATAGAGTACGCAATTCACCTCAAGAAATACGACGCGGTAGCCTACCTGATCGAGTGCGGAGCGAGTGTTCCTCCAGTCGATACCTGGCCACCTTCTCGAAAGATGCAAAAGGTCCTTCAGAACGCTGTGAACAAGAAAGGCGCGACAGCTAAGTGAAAGCACTACCGCACTTTCGCTGTCTTACGAACGTTGAAGCAACAGCGGCTGGGATTTTGTGATAGAAAGCGAGAGTCTTTATTACCGGTGTTTGGCGAATATAGTAAGAGTTTGCGTTGAAGCAGGGAGACAAGCATTTACCCCCAATTCAAGGATTGCAGATTGGTAGGCCGTGTGGTTGCGTACATAACAAGCGGCCAAGGGCCTTCATTATCTCTCTCCTTTCGTCTTGAGACTTCTCGCCACCGCTACTGTGCGGAAAGAGGTCTCTTGATATATACAATACAGCGTACCGATAAAATACCTTTCTTAAAGTCTTTGCTTCACTTCGTAAAATCTAGACTTGACCGTCGTGTTTCCGATATCATGATTTGCGTTCACTGAGAAGCCCTGCACCGTCATCTGCAGAGGGTTCACTGAGCGACTCCGCCTCCGAGTATAACCATGATCCGGGAATAGTGAAATTGACCAAGTGAATCATCGTTGGTGCCTACTGCAGGTAGGACACTGATCTTTCATATTAACACGGCGACGTACCACTAGCGCCCAATCCCCGCCCCTAACGCTTATATAATCATCCGGGCACTTTCTTGTGCACCTCTTAACACCAGAGTTGTCAACAATCAAATATATTTGCAAATATAGATCGTCGTCGGCGCCAAGACTCAAATCAATCAAGTCAAATACGGCGTTGTTGTAACTGCAAACAAGTCAAGTTTTATAGCTGTATTTGATTGACTTAATTGCAGTTTATTTGGAGTTTTGCGTGAGGCTGTTGAGTTAGCTCGGCCAGCGATCTCGTGATAGTTTTTTGGTGTTGTAGTGCAGTTAGTAATCAATCAGAACCTCGTTTCTTAGTCAGTTCGCTTGCCGTCCAATCTTTTTAACCACAACAACGCGTCGATAACTCGCAACCTATCTCTTTTATGTATTAGTATTACTGTTATAGCTCGTCATAATGTAAAACGACGCGCTCTTACGCATAATAACGCTAACACGCGCCCGTCAAAACAGCGTAGACTCCTTACGAAGGGCACCGAAAGCCAGCTGGTAGTCGTTGATGATACTTAACCCAGCTTATCGCGTGAAGCTCTGACGATCGCGAGCCAGGCCGACGATTTTAAATTATAGTTGCGAGACTTACGATCGGAGACTGCGATTGCTACGCCTGTTAAGGATTCAGAAGTAGCCACCGCGGCCTCAACGGCGGCCGACGAAGACGACGACAACGATTTCGATACACGTTTTGTGGACAACTTTGAAAGCGTAGATTGGGGTCGTTTGAAAGGCTTCATACGGCCGCCGCGGACTCAATCTCAGCGCAAAAGCTAGATATATAATCACAGTTATCGCGTCGCCCTACAATCAAACCCAGATCAGATATTCTTCGTATGCCGCGATTGCTACCTAAACAAGAGGCTTGATTCGGGCGTGGTGGAGACGACACAGGCGACGAGCTCGGCAACGACTCATCTGCTCAAGAAACACCGTATTGCCGCTTCGGGCAAGGTGCCTATTACGCTGCTAGCGGGTCAGAGATTGCTTATAATGCTGACGGGCGCTGGCGTACGGGTTAGTTAAGCTATCGCCAACGAGATTAGAAACTTCAACGTACAAGCGTTTCGGTTGTCGGCTGTTTGCTGGCTTGTCGACAACAATATATCGTTGAGGCAGTTTGAAGACCCAGCGTTTCGAGCGATAATACAGTTTGCAAACCTAGAGGCGGAGAAGTTGTTGTGGATGAGCCACAACAGCGTTAATTGGTTTGTGATGCGGTTGTATAGGTATATGCAGCCCTAGGTCGTGAAGCAGCTTGGAGAGGCTATAAGCAAGATCTATATAAGTTTTGATGGATGGACGACTAAAGGCGGCAAACGAGGCTTCTTTAGAGTAGTTGCTTACTACGCTACGGCTTATAGAGTTATTAAAGACGTCGCTATCGACTTGCTGCAGCTTACGGGCGCCTATACGGGTGACAGGATAGCTGATTGTATCAAGAGAACTCTGCAAGCGTTTGGAGTTGACGCAGCAAAGTTAGGATACTTTATGCTTAACAACGCGTACAACAACGACTCGGCTATTAAGAAACTCGCTAGCAAGTACGGTTTTATCGCTAGCCATCGTCGCCTACGTTGCGGCGCTCATACGATTAATCTCGTAGGCCAGGCGGTGATCTTCGACTCGAACAAGGATGCGTTTAACAACGACGACGCTAATATTATCGTAAGTCTCCTAGTCCTCTTAGGATTGCAATTACTAACTAATTAATACAGGACGAGGAGTAGTTCATGGGCGATTGGCGTCAACGAGGCCTATTAGGTACGCTTCTTGACGTTATCAATTATATTAGAACGCCCTAGCAATACGACGTTTTTAAGAACTTTTAAGTTCTCGCTAACAGTGAGCTCCCTACCGAGAAACAGAGGATACTTAAGCTAATAAAGCCTGTTGTTACGCGCTAGAACTTGTATTGTTTAGCGTTTGAGCGTGTTGTTAAGTTGCAACTAGCGTTTAACTCGTATATCGCGTATTATATTGATAATTAGCTTGCTGCTAACAGTTACGCCAGAACCCGTAGAAACAAGACGCCTAACGCGCCTACATGGATAAGATTAGGCGGGCTTACAGCAAACGATTGGGCTGTTATAAACGACTATATTGAGGTTCTCTAGCCGCTGAAATCAGCTACAAAACGGCTCGAGGGCCGCAGTACAAGCGGCCGTTTTGGAGCGATATATAAAGTATTGCCTGTCTTCGAATACTTACTTAGAGAGTTTAAGCAGCGTTATAAGCTGTACGAGCTCGTCGATTACGAGGCAACTGGTGCTCCTGAGGACTACCTCGCGATCAACTTAAAGGCGGCGTGGGCAAAACTTAATAGATACTATTAAAAACTTGACGAGTCGCCTGTATACTACGCCGCTTGCTGCCTCTACCTATACTACAAGCAATATTGTGATCGCGCTTGGCGTGACAAGCCCAGTTAGATTGCTCGCGCAAATGAGTCCTTCCAGCAACTTTGGGGCAGTTACTAGGTATCTCAGAGCCTGAGGAGTCGCCTAAGAGAGCGCAAGTCTAACGCTATTAACGACGCTATCGCGGCAATTATGGAGGACCTATCGTCTGACAGCGACGAGGGCTTTGACGAGTACTAGCGGTGGCGAGCTTTTGAACTAAAATGGACGAAGACTATGTTTGAGAGCCCTGACAGCAATCTGATAAAGTATTGGATTGCTCTACGACTAAAATATCCTAACCTCACACGCCTTGCGATTAATATATTGACGATACCTGCTAGTAGTTGCGAGTGTGAGCGTATGTTCAGCGAGCTCGGCGATCTACTTACTCCTTAACGTCGCAAAATTAGTCCGCAACTACTCGCCGCGTTGTAGTGTATACGGACCTAGAAGAGTACAGGCGCTGCAGTTGCTGGAGCCGTTACGGAGTCTTAACTTAGCGATAAGCAGCTAGACTAGCTATATGAGCTTGCACAATAGACTAAGTATAGCAACGACAACGATTGAAGCGGATTAGTATGTCTAACAGCGCAGCTGGACTATAGTTAACTACTTTGCTTAACAGCTAGTTTCGCTACTAAAAAGAGCCTAACTCGCGAACCGTACTGCTCCGCAAACGCTGCCGAGATCGATCGATACACCTCCCGCTGCCCAGCACGCAACAATTAACTCTATACGGAGCTACGATCTCGAAATTGACGCTGCTCGACGATACCTGACGTTGCTGAGCGTTGTTGACGTCGGTTGACGCTGCTCGTTGCCCGCTCCCCACCTCACCACCTTACCACCAGCGCTGGTGAGCTCGTCAACTCTACGATAGTTACTACAACCGGATCACGCGATTACGGCTGTATATATACTTAATCAAGCTACTTATCCCTATCACGAAACACTAGCTTAGTGTACTTGCTCGCTCCTGCTAGACGGTGAGTTGTATATAGGAGCTTCGTCGCTCCTATACACCTAGCACCTCTAGGTAATCCTTTACTAATACGAAACTGTGTTCCGCAACCTCTACAGTATACTAGGTAGTAACTAGTGGTTTAGTTTTAAAAGTTTTTAGGACTACAATAGATATACAACTTAATATATAGGTATATTAGGACGGCTGTAATTTCGAAACACGCCTACGGACGCTATTATATGCCTCTTTTTTGCACCAACTCTAATACAACCACCTGTCTAAGATCTCACGATACCTGCCTAATCAGGTAATTAAAACTGCAAGTATTTGTCAAATCACCAATTAAATATGCCCGTTTCGGCCACCAAGTCAATCAAGTCAAGTACAACACTAAAAAAACTCCAAACAAGCCAAATACGAGCTTCATATTTGATTGACTTGATTGTTGACATCTCTGCTTAACACTCACATCAACTGTCCATTGCTTGCAATACCTCCGAGATCATCTGTACGAACTTCGATTGAGCTCAACCCGAAAACACGATGACGCAGCTTCTCGACCTCCCTCCGGAGACGTTCAAAAACATCGTCCACGAGCTGAACACTGAATCTCCAAATTCGATCTGGAAGCTCCGGGGGGTATGTCACACTTTCGCCGCCGAAATCGAGCACGACTTGCTTAGCAATCAGTCCGAAAGTGTTGTTGATGAGATGTATGAAGTCATCAACAACAATATGGCGAAGTACCTTCTCAACCGCATTCACAGGCCCTCCGATAGCGAGGATTGCTTACTCAAGATGCTTCGCAGTATGGCAGACTACTTGATGCAGGAGCTTGCGATCCCAGAGGAAGAACGGAAGGAAACCAAGACGGGCATGATTGAGGGTTTTGTGCGAGTCTGTCACCCCGCATGCATCAACAGCGTGATGTCGCATAGCTCTAGAGATACATCTGCATTCCGTCCGTCATTGAGCAACATGGATAACGGTGCTGAGCTTGACTATTGGCAAAAGGTCGTAGCAGCTATGGCATTCCTGGCACTCAACTTAGTACGGACTCTGCTGGTAGCGATGCCTCCTGTCATCTGGATACCGGAAACAACCATCGGTCGAAGTCCACTGGTGATGGCTATGACCGCGAATGACGATGGCCTCTTTGACGAAGTCATGGGCCATCTCAACCACCTCAGAAACACGGCCAAGCGTGATGCTGCGTTCTGTCAGTACAACTACCGCTTCGATGATGCGTTTCTCGTCGCTGTGAACACTGGTAACACTCGCTTGGTTAAGGAGCTCGTTGAGTTTCGCCAGAAGCTTGGACTCGACATTCCGACGAATACATACAACCAATGGCTTGGCGCCGGCATTGCGCGTTTGAACCCGGACATTGTCGAGTCGGTCCTGCTTCTCGATCCGTATAGGAAAAAGGTCAATTCAGTCCTCTTCACCAAGGCATGCCGTACAGGTAATCTCGACATGGTCAACACGCTCCTGAATAAAGGCAAGGTAAATGTCGAGGACGCTCCCTCCAAAACTGTGATGACCCACCCGCTCTTCCGTGCCATCAAATTTGGCACTATGCCTATGATCGGCGCAGTCTTAGATGCCGGTGCATATATCAATACCAAGGTAGAGAGGCGTAGGGATATATTGCCAATGACCTTTTGTTCGCCGATAGAGATGGCCTTCGAGCGCGGAGACAAGGCTGTGCTAGAATTCCTCTTGAGTAGAGGAGCTACGATGCCGCCTTGGGTTGACTGGCCAAGGACGAAGAGGCTATATAACGCGGTACCACAGGTTGCGATTGCGAACGGGTCGAAGAATGTTCCCATATGGAAGGGTAAGGGTGTCGACTGGCCGAAGTGAACAAGCTCGAGGACGAGAAATGGTCTTCGTGACAAGCTTGGTGGTGGTAGCTTCTTTCCATGATAGGTGCCATGGAGACGGCGAAGATGACCAAAAGAAAGACTTGCTGGTCTTGTGTAGGATGCACATTGTAGATTAAGTATTAGTTTGTAGGAAAAAGTCTCATGACGAACATCTCTTAGCATCATTGGCGTGGGAAACTCAGTGAGTGAAATCTACCCTGATTCAACTTGGGTAACGTGTTTACAGAAGGCGCTGGCTTCGTAAATCGAATCTTCTTTTAGAATTCCTTGGAGGTGCGTCGCCATTCGGCTCATGCACGTGGATATATCATGGTCACGGATGAATTGCTTGCTATCCGAGTGTTTGGTCTTTGGCCTGCTTGTCTGATCCGTCCAGAACCCCTCCAGTGGTATGACCATCGCTAGCTATGGACGCAATGATCTTGAAGATCAGCCGATCACCGAAGCCTTTAAACAGTTCTCAACGCACCATCGAATTTCCTCGACCTCAATTCCCTTGAGACCGAGTTAACACATGAATGTCTGGGCGTTCACGGGGACGATTGCTGGACGGACGTACTCGAAGATGTACCCTTCCGCAAGCAATTATCGGCCGTGATCTTCCGCGCCATCATGGACCGCGCCCCGAACAGAGATAACACACCCACCCGCAAGCTCACGATCATCAACCTAAAAAATTGCCCCATGCCAGACTTTACTTCTTTGGACTTATTCCGCGACGTGATGACACAATTGGACGAACTAAACATTTCCCTAAACCAAAAATCCAATCCATACGGCGGAAGCGGGGACTACACACACATCGAACTCCGCGCCTTCCCCTCTTATCTCATTAACCACTGGCTCGCGCCCATATCCTCCAACGTGCGCGCCCTATCTATATACTCACTCGAGGACAACTGGGGCCGTTTCCCCGCTTTCTTTGACTCCAGCACCGTCTCGTTCCCGCAGCTGCAAAGCCTGGCGCTGTGGTACTACGCACTAGGCCACAATGGTTCTTTCGATTGGATTCTAAGCATCAAGACTTTGAACAAGTTCGTGCCGCATAATGCTGTGATTGCTACTTGGATAGGCATCGAGCCGGGGAATAATACTGAGTGGGACCCGCCTATGCCTGATTGGATACCATCGACGTTGGGTGATAGCGAGAACGATTGCCTCAAGTGGGAGTATCCTGGGAGATAGTCTGTGTTCCTGGACCGTGTTGCGTATGAGCTTCCAAAACTGATTGATTCTTGCTTCGACGAGGGGAGCTCGCATCCCCCGTATCCAGAGAAGAGGGGCTTGCATAATCTGCATGCGCAGGATCAGTGTGAACGTAGGATTTTCCCGAAGAGGTATGTGGTTTTCGATAACGGGACCTTGCCCAAGCATTGGCCTGAGGCGGATGATGAGCGGGAGTTGTGGTGTTGGAATGAGGAAACGGGAGAGTGGCCGAAAAACGTTCAGAAGGAGTATCTGAAGGGGGGTTCAGAAGAGTCTGGATAGGTTGTTGAAGAGGTTGAAGGAGAAGCGAGGAGTTGGTGTGTAAGTAGGAGCATGAGGAAGAAGCCCGATCACGGTGAACGCATCCCGTTCTTTGATATCAATTACTCATCTGCCATTGCAGTGCAATCAACCGCCTCGTCGACAAATCTGCGCATGATCAATACCCGGCACAATTGTCAACCTGAGCTGCAATTGGTCAATGCCCTGCTACCGCCACTGATCCTGACATCTCCTCTTAGCAATGATAATACTATCATCAAACTTCGTGAACTTCCGGATTTCCACAACTTCCAAGCCGGCTTGATCAATGATCCAACGCCAATGCTTTTCTCGTCGCTCCTGCGCACCGAACATTGCCTTCATAGCCAGGCTAAGCGCCGCGGTATACTCAACACCTGGAGCGCTGGCATCTGGCTTCTCGTCGGGTAGTGTCTTGTCATCGATATAAATCCTGCTCTCGGGATTATGTTGAAGTGCAGGCAGGTGCATTTGTAAGATCTGAATGCATGTATCGTCATCGAAGTTGTGCAGAATCTGGCGGAAGTAGTATGCTCGGGCGTCTGGAGCTGTTAGTGTCTGGAGCTTTTCGAGAATGTAGCAGATAGACTAACTGTGTACTGGCTGTTCGGTGAGGAAGTCGTGGGCCATCAACTCCATACCATCGACATTCAGTGCCTTTTCAAGCACAGCTGGACGATCTTGCAGGATGATACGGCCCTTGAGTTCGGGGAAAGCTTTCTTCAGCGCTGCGCATTGCGATCCGTTGCCGCCACCAACATCAACAAAGACCACATCCTCCGCGATCACGCCGTTGGCGATCTCAGTGTCGAACGAGATTGCATCTAGCCATGTTGGAAGGCTGGCAAACTGGGCTTCCATAAAGCGGTGAAAAGCGCCTTGTTGGTCCGGATGCGTTTCCATCCATGTATAGAAATCTTCTTCGCTATGCTGTCCCAGCTTAAAGGCGGTCTTACTTGCTTCTGAACTATTGAGTGCTTGGTTCAGAGCTGTGAAAGCTGGAGCGCAATTGTCATGACTACTAATAGTTAGCATTGGTTCACGTCAACAATCGAGTCACTAACAAGTGAGTCACGGCATCGATGAACAACGGCACAAGCAGCATGTGTGTCAGTGGCGTAGCTTTGTATGTTCCCGGTGTTACTTCAACGCCCATACCCTGTGTGCACAGGTAATCCAGTATGGACTCGAGGACATCTCTCTGGAGCCCACTTGCTTGAGCGAGAACGTCAAGCTGTACTCCATCTTGACTCTTTGCGAGTGCTTCGAAGATGCCTCGATCTTGGCCAATTCGCGCAGTAACAAGCGGTAGCGGCTGGATGTGGATCAGCAGTTGCTGTCTGTGACAATGCTACACGCCAATCACTCACACCATACACCAATCGCTGCATAGTCTCAAAAGGCTCCTCCACTGCAGTCCCAACCTGTCGAACGAACTTCTGAAAGTCACGTTTCTGCGCATCGTTCTCGAAGTAAGAGCTGGGATCGGCGTTCAGCAGCCGCAGCTGCTCAATGAGAGCCCGGGGATTGGCTTGCGACGTCATCTTCGAGGTTGTGCAAGGTCGTGATTTGATAATGAGCTCGGTCGCAAGCCAGGAGGCTTGGGAAGTCCTTGAAATAGGGAGCGGCTCGGTCCACTCGTTTCTACTAGTCCACGGCTCGGCTTTTCGCTTGAAGAAGGAAAGTGCGCTTGGCAAAGGAACGACTAATCCACATTCCCGTGTTGGCACGTCACGCTTGACTGTATGTGTAGAAGGAGTGATCCTTCGTTCATGTTCAGACCTGTGCCACATGAGAGCACATTATCCAACGAATCGTAGGAGTGATTTGTGCTCCTTCGCGCGCAACCACTGTTCCTACTCTTCCGACGCGATGTTGCATGATTTACCAACGCTACGGAAGCAGCCTTCCGCGGCACAGATGGTTGTGAAAAGGAGCGCAAAACGCACTCTTCGAATTTGAGAACATCTTGACTGATGGCAATGGAGACTTGACACTCTGTCATATACGTAGTCTGAGTGGCAATGAGTGCACTCTACCAGCGAGATGCGGCCTCTATTCCCGATCGAGGGCCCGCTCTTATCTTTATGATGTGGACTCTGACTTCTCTTTCATTCGTTACTATTGTTCTTCGCTTCATCTTTCGCGCGCGTAAGAAACAAATCGGTTGGGATGACATCTTCATGGGTACAACCTGGGTATGTGAATTATGGATTGAATTTTGCTCCGGCTGACAACTTTGAGGTGTGCTTCGTAGGATGGTCTGTCGTATTGACGCTGTACGCCAATCGCGGCGGCTGCCAGCACATCTGGGACGTGCAGAAGCGCGGAATGGATAATTTGACAAGAGCCATCCTACTGAACTGGACTTCGCAGATATTTGGCATTGTGGGCGTGGCGACCGGAAAGATTTCCATTTCAGCATTGCTGCTAAACATCATGAGAGACATGGGCTGGACGTGGCAGCGCGTCTACCTCTGGAGCGTAACGATCGTCTTTACGAGCTTGGTGGCCATCTCGTGCTCACTTTTGACGTTTCTACAATGCAGTCCGCCACAGCGCTTGTGGGATCCGCGAATCGACGGTACATGCTTGGACCCTAAGGTCATGGCCGGCTATGGCATCTTCACTGGTTGTGAGTCAGTTCGATAGCTATACGTCAATCTCAAAATGCTCACCTTGATAGCCTTCTACACCTTCGCCGATGCTAGTCTGGCGATGATCCCATTGACTATCTTTTGGAGGCTCCGGATCAGCGTGCTTCAGCGCATCCAGCTGTGCATCGTTTTCGGACTCAACATTTTGACGTCAGTATGCTCGGGCATTAAGACGCGTTATCTTGCAGAACTCGGAAATCGCACTGATCAGACGTGGGCGACATACAACATTTTCGCCTGGGTCACTGCTGAGCTCTTTCTGCTGGTTGTGTGCGGCACCGTGCCCACCCTCTATCCTCTCCTGCGGTGGATACAGTCGCTTTTTACGGTGATCAAATACAGAGTGTTGCCGAGACCGGCATCGAACGAAGACACTCTGAGGCAATCGGATGAGGTGTTGACAATTGGCAAGATCAGGATGCGACTGAAGAGACGAGATACTGCAATGACGACGAACGAGTCTGGAAGCGAAGCTCAGGCGAGTGACTGGCGAACCAACCAAGGGCTGACAGATTAATCAGAGAGAGAATTGAATGCATTCAACGCGGTGGTTCCCGTCGATACAAGGCACGAAATCTGCGTCCATGGATCGGCGAAATGACAAGCAGAAATCCGACGCCAAGGTGGAGCTATACCCCACAAAACGGGAAGTGATGATTGCGATCCCCCGAGCTACGAGCTTACTCAGGCGCAACCTATTACAGCAACACTATCCTGAGCATGCCTACTCGCCAGAATGACGTCTCCTCTCCTCTCCTCTCCTCTCCGCCTGCACCAAGCTGCGAGGACTTTGATACTCTATCGGCATACACTCATTGCTCTATCTCCACTAACACGCGTCATCGAAACTTATTCAACTTGAGAAGGCAATTAACGCTTTGGTACCCTATCGTACGTAGTTTGTACGCTTTGCTAGCGCGATCTTGTACACTCAGGTGAGATTGCGCCACGGCATCTAGAAACGGCAGATGGGTTACTCGTTTACTGAACAATAGAATGCCTTCCGCGAAAGCCGATTGGCTTTTGTAAAGAGTTTGCGCTAAAGGGCTGTCATATTTGTAGCGTATCGTAAGCTACCTGTCACCCAGGTTCTTGGAGACCGCGGACGCTGCAGGTGGCTGACTGGATCTGTACAGAGGATGTATACAAGCAGCTATGTCTACGTCTCTGATGGTTATAAGCTTGGGGATGCTTACGATATGTTTCGAACAGCAATAACGATCCGCGACTGAGCGGTACCACGATCTTTCGAATTATCTCTACTTTCTTGCCACCACACAACAGGTCCAGCATGTCTAAACCCCAGCTTGTTTTCGTCCCTGGGTCAGCGCACGTTCCTGCGCACATGGCCCCGTTGATGGAAAAAATGAAATCCTTCGGCTACACGAGCCACTGCCGCCAGATGGCCTCCGTCGACAACCCTAACCCACCCGAAGATCTATCTCAAGATATCGCAGTCTTGCGCTCACTGGTCGAAGAAGCTATTGGAGACGGCAACGATGTAATCGTGCTACCGCATAGCTGGGCCGGCATCGTGGCCGGCTCTGCATTAGTCGGAATGAGTAAGAAGGAGCGGGAAGCGGCGGGCAAAAAAGGCGGGGTTATAAGGACTGGTTACATTGCCGCGTTCCTCTTGCCTGAAGGAGTCGGTCTCTTGGATCTTTCACAAGGCAAACCGGCTGACTGGATCACACGTGAGGGGAATCAGTTGATCTACACTGACCCCGAGGCCTTTTACAATGATGTCCCTGAAAAAGAATCCAAGCACTGGTTTTCGCTCGTCAAAACCCACGCTGCGGGGTCCATCGCGGCCAAGGCGACGGGTGCGGCATGGAAAGTCATCCCCACAAGCTATCTGCTTTGTGAAGAGGACCTCGCGATTCCTTCGGAGAGACAGGAGGAGATGATTCGGGATGCTAAGGCGGTGGGCGCCGAGGTTGATGTAACCAGGATCAAGTCCAGTCACAGCCCCTTCCTTAGCAAGATAGACGAAACTGCTCAATGGATTCGCCGTGTTGCAGGCGAGAAAGTCTAAGAGTCGTAGTTTTGGAGAAGGGGATGATGCAGAAAGAAAGCTAAAGAAAAATCGTGTCGTCTTTTCTTGTAGGTGCCGTAGGCTAGAATCTATGTTGACGAGATGACAGATTTCTTGAATGTGGTGTGACAAGCTACTTGCAAACGTTTCACGACGACGGTTATCTCCAAAAGAGTCTTCTGGTCATTATATGCTGATTCTAACAGAACTCCCTTTTGCTTCAGTTCTTGACAGATGCAAAGATTCTCCACCACTTTACCTCTCTTGATTCTTCAAGCCACTCTATTTTAATCTATTGCGTCATCGGATCGTTTCGAGGTCGGCGGGAATCTGCAAGCTTGAAGTACATGGAGATTGACTGTGTGGAATTCGACCACTTCGATCCAAGGGGTTGTTTCGGTCGGTGCACAAATCTGCTTGGTCTTCATCCGTTCCCGAAGCTGATCGAGATGGACATTTTGCACGGTGCACTGGTATGTGAAGAGCACAATACATCCAATCAGCGGCACTACTTCGACGGCATCATGCCACCCCCGAGCGTCGAGTCGCTCACTGTCATATGTCCTACTGTGGTCATCTCTGGGTGGCTTGACATGCTGGTCAAGCGCAAAACAGAAGTGCCAAAACTAAGCGAGATCATACTCTTATGCAGACTTGACTACGGTGCTGGACTCAAGGATCTCGAGGGCGACGCTGTGACCTGCATCTTCGAGGAGCTGAACGACCTTGGTGTTGTGGTACGCATGGCTGAAGAGAAGCTAGGAGCATTTGCGGCTCAAGTTCGGAAAGAAGGCTCGGTATGAGAGGCCGATTGGGCCGGAGGCAGATGGGTCGAAGGGTTGTTCGGTGGAGAGGAGAGTTGAGGACATTTAGTTTGATGCTCTGCTGGTTTGATGGATCTTGGATAGTGGACAGGTCACGCAAAGGGACGAGACGCTTTTTGGGGTGGTATGAGTGTCGCATCACGCGCACTGGTCTTCATTCGGCCAAGCTTAAAGCCCACTTGCCTTTGGTGTAAAAAGTTTCGTTTGAATATTGACGATCCGTTCGCTGCACAATAGGATATCTCGTAACTTTCACGCGATAGGAAATCATTTGCGAAGTCTTGATTGGGGCTCGCGGCGTTAAAGCTTGTAGGTCACGGCGTTAAGGCACTGGCTGAACGCCCTGTCAGACTGCTCCTGCAGGAGCTGACCGCCGCATATAAAGAGCGGTCGCACTGACTTCTAAAGCTCTCGTCATGCCACTCGAGCGGGGTGATAGTTTTAGTCCAATATTACAACCGATCATACAATGTCGTTCATCACACCGTCCCCACCAGTATCTCTCCTAGGTAGACATCGCATCCTCAGTCCAACAGCAGCCGTTCGCGTCTCACCTCTCTGCCTCGGCGGCATGAACTTTGGCGAAGCTTGGAAGGCTACTCTCGGCGAATGTAGCAAAGAGACGGCTTTTGCTATGCTCGATTACTTCTATGAGCAAGGCGGCAATTTCATCGATACCGCTGTCAATTACCAGTTTGGTGAAAGCGAACAGTGGATTGGCGAATGGATGGAGAAGAGAGAGGTCAGAGACGAGATGATACTTGCGACAAAGTTCACTGGTATGCAGATCACCGAGAAGGAGAAGGAAGGTGGCACAAGGTGCAAGAGTAATTACGGAGGCAATAGCGCGAAGAACATGTACACGAGCATTGAGCGGTCGCTAAAGGCGCTGAGAACGAGCTATGTGGATATCGTAAGTTGAGACGACTGATTCATATCAACGTTCCGACGGTAGTACCACGGCTGACTTGCTTACCAGTATTACGTCCACCTCTGGGACTCGACAGTGTCCATACCAGAGCTGATGAATGCGCTCAACGATCTCGTCACCTCCCGCAAAGTTCTCTACCTCGGCATCTCTGATACTCCAGCCTGGATTGTTGTAAAAGCAAATTGCTACGCCCGCCAACACGGCCTCCGTCAATTCTCAATCTACCAAGGTCGCTGGTCCGCCGCTGACCGTTCATTCGAGCGTGAGATCATCCCAATGGCACTCGATGAAGGTATGGCTTTGGCTCCTTGGGGCACTATCGGAGGTGGAAGCTTCAAGACGAGGGCGCAAAGAGCAACTCCTGAAGACGGCGGCCGGAAAATGAAGATGATGATTGTTGGCAACGAAGAGAAGGTCAGCAACGTGCTCGAGGACATTGCAAATGCGAAAACACCAGTGCCGCCAATTACTTCAGTCGCGCTCGCATACGTCATGCACAAGTCACCCTACGTCTTCCCTATCGTCGGTGGCCGCAAAGTTTCGCATCTCGAAGGCAATATCCATGCTCTTGGTCTAAGTCTGACATCAGAAGAGATCGAGCAGATTGATGCAGCTTATGGGTTCGAAATGGGATTTCCGCAGAATTTCCTCAATCCAGCTAATTCGGCAATCGTGGGTCCAGAGAACAATCGGTTTGCGAACAACATGGGGTTTCTTGATCATGTCAAGTCCCTGAAGCCGATTCCGCCGCATCAGGGGGCGTTGGATGGGAAGCAATTGTGAATTCTCATCGGAGCGCATGTTGTTCACAGCATGTCCTGGGATGACTACTTATGGATGGAAGACCTGAGTCCGTGCTCTAAGAGGCTTCTCTTAATATGAGTTGGTATTCGTCTACCGATCGATTGGCCTTCCGCTAGTGAGAATAACTGTGAATACTTTGTCCTTACTGCTCTTCCCGATCTCTTCTCGAACACTACCTCGATAACTACCTTGGCCATTCATACCAAAGAAGGCTGATCTGCGCAGATGTTCATTCACTGTTCCAACCGCAACAAGGCGCACGGTCACAGTTTCCTTCTCTCTTCCTAATATATAGCCCCTGATCAGTCCGGTACTATAAACTTTCTACTCTCCACTCAAACGCTCTACAACTTGGACTCAAACGACCCTCGACCTAGACTACGAGCACCCATAGAGCCCCAGCAAACAATACAACACCCCTCCTACCATTTTACCTCACGACGGGCCCACGAAGAACTCTTCTCTCGATCCGTTGCTCTAACTGATCTTTCTCCTCAACTTCAAGACCGGGCACAACACTTCCTAACCCCCAAAGGAACAACGACACTAGCATGACTTCTCTACTTCCGCGTTTGGGTAGCCCCAATACTCCCGTCGACGCGAAGGTCTGGGACATGATATTCCTTGACACGAAGACCAAGAGGAAGAACAAGAAGACGGAAGCAGCTGCTAAGCCGAATGTGCCGATCACGGCCAAGGATATCGACATCCGCAACTGGTCCTTCGGCGACCGCAAGGTGCTCGTGTCCAAGAGCGATCGTCTCAAAATCTTCACCGGCGACACGTTGGCTACTACGATTTCGAAGCCGTTGCTTCGCGCTACTTCGGCGACGTCTGGCGAGATTCTCAAGGACGGCATGGTCAAGCTACCAGCAGACACTGACAAGAACGGTGTCTGCTGCCTCGTCAACTACCTCGAGAGTATAATCCGAACCAATTCGAAGCCGCTTCCATTCACCCGTAGCCTTACGATGGCTGCGTCGCTCAGCGTATGCGCCGCCGCTTCTCTGCTTGGAATGAAGAAATACACTCTCAACTTGTACAAGAAGTGCGAGACTCTTCTGCGCATCGATCCGCCTGAGTATGAGGACATCAACGCCATCATTTTATTCAAGAAGGTGCACAAGCGTCTCTTCAATATCGTGGTGAAAGGTCTTGCTGTGCGTGTCTGGGAGAATACAGTACCAGACCCCGAGGACTTCGCTCTCTATCTCGCGCAGAACCCTGTGCTTGACACTGCGATCAAGTCTGCAATTGAAAAGCGCGAATATCACCTCCGCAGGGTGGCTGAGCTCAAAGAGCGCTGTGTTAGGCGGGAGAATGCTCAAACTCGCCACGAGGCATGGATGAAGGAGAAGACCGAACGCGAGGCCAAGAGGCGGGCAGGCGAGGAAGCGTTTTATGCTGCGAAGGCTGCTAAGGAAGCGGCTTTGGAGAAGTCTATCCAGCTGAAGATCAGGGCCAGGGAACCAAGGGCGCGAAAGTTCACCGCAGAGGAGGCTGCACACTACCGGCACCGGTACAATAAGAAGCCGCCGAACGGCTGCTAGACGAGGCATCGATAGTGCATGACTTCTCTTGGGTTGGTATATGAGACTCTGTGGATACATTGTATATAGAAGGTATCTTTCACGCGACGAAGTGTTAAAGCATTGCGGTCCATATATGGGTTCAGGTAGATACCACGCAGCATATGCGCGCCTCCTCAAGTTCATTAACAATAAAGCGGATTCAAAAAAAAAAAGTTTGCATAATACCAGATTTGCTTGTCTAACTATAAAAGAAGATTGTGGCTAGAAATCAATATCTGCAATCGATCGACTTATCGATTGCTGTGAGAAACGGGCGCAATCCTCTTTCCTTTTCCTTTTCCGTTGCATTTTACTTACTCTTCCCATCCATCTCAATAGCCTCAAAAGCATAACCCCTGCCTTTTCCCGTCTCTTTCATTCTCCACCCCTCAATATACCCCTCCACCTCCTCGCACCCATTCTCTTTGCCCGGCACCGGCTCCCCCCAAGTCCCCCAATAAGGTACAACACCCGTCCAAGTCTTCTTCACCAGCTCCTTATCCTTCAAATCATTCCTATCCTCACTCGGTCCACCAGTCCTTATCTTCGCACTCGCCGAAGAAATCCTGATACGTAGGATAGACGTAGATTTCAACTCCGCAGGTGTAGGTGGTGTGCGTGATTTATCCCAACGCTGGGGAAGCAGATTCTCCGTAATGGCCTTCATGGCGTAGAGCGCTTCCTCGTCGTCTTCAACCAACTGTGCGTACCCATACACAACAGCCGAGCGGTAATTACACGAGTTATGGAAAGGCGTCAGACTGAGTACCAAGCCATCGAGGAAACTGGCTGCGACGGTAATAGGCAAACCGTCGCCTTGCGCATTCTTCCCGCTCTTGAACACCCGACCAGAGACGTAGCCGTGGATGTAGAGATCTTGACATGTCGTGTTTGGATCTGCGGATTGGTCGGTGAAGTTTCCTGTACAGCCTAACATGGGCAGGACGACGGGGAAGGGGTGTTCGGGATCAACGAAGGAGACGTGGAGGATGGGACAGCTGTTTACGAGGGTGTGGATGGTTGCGTAGTCGTAGACACCTCGGTTTGCCAAACGACCGAGTTTGTTGACGGCGGTTTTGGGGTATTCGGGGGATGCCATTGTGAGACTATATGTTGCCTGTCTCTGCGAAAGAGAGAAAGTGATGCTGGTGTATTGAGTTGGACTGAAGTAAGATTTATTCGGGATTGAACTTGAGCTTTGTATCTTTTCCAGAACCTAGATGTGACTCCTAGACGGTGAGTCTTTCAGTATTCACCTACATACTATGTCCTTCAGGTAGGCTGTCGGTATGCCGAAAGGGTCTAGAAAGATGACGATACTCGGCAGGACTTACTTGATGTGGAGGCGGGGCCGTAATACATGGCCAATCATTGGTGGGTGGCCGTTTGGCTCAGCGCAACTTTCCTGTACGCGCATACAGATGGGCGTCTAGTGCGTATAACAACACAGTCCATGCCTTTAGGCCTACAACGTGCTATAGAACTATTGAAGGGCGACTGCGGATAGCACCGGCAATTCACGGTGCATGCGTTGCAACGGTCCAAAATATGTGATGATGATATTTCTGTGAACATACCGTCTAACATGTATGATGTACCAAACAACAAAGTAAACATGTAATGAAAAAGCGTATCGCCAATCCAGTCCCAGGAGAAGCCTCAATGGGCGGTGCAGTCCCATGTCCAGTCCAAACTCCTTATAATGCAATTCTTCCACAGCCGTCTCTTCTACAACCTCCTCCTTTCAGTCTCCCAATGTATCACCTAAACCCCCAAGCACTCCTCAACCCCCCGTTGACACTCTCCAACTTCAGACACTGATACGGACTACTCTGCGGATCATAATATAACCCCTCAAGCATCCCACTCCGCCGATCAAGCGCAACATAGTAGAAGCCACTGATTGTAAGTCCGCAGCCCGAGTCATCAAACGTAGCATGTTCGGCATCGTTGGTTACTGCGTTGAAGAGGGGTTGTGGCGTGATTTCGACTTCAGCACGACCCGTTTGCGCATTGCGGACTATGCGGTAGGGCGAGGGGTGGAGTTGTGACGAGGGTTGCGTGGAGGTATTCGGAGCGGAGGGTGGGTAGTTGTTTGTGGAAGCAGTCGAGGACCAGGGATTGGGTGCTGGACCGGCGTCGGCGCCAAACGAGGAGGGTATCGTGGTGGAGGGCGGTGGTTGGACAGGGTCTGGTGTGCTGCGGTTCAAGCTCTTTACGAAGCACCGCTCTTTCCAGCGCATGAGTATCCAGTCCTGGCCTAGAACTTCGGTGAGCCACTTCTTGCTAGTTAGCGCCCTGACGACGTCTTCGTCGTTCATCTTTTGGAAGGGAGGCAGCTTGCGCCAGTATGTTGCGTCGTTTGCGGCGTTGGATTTGAAGGATTCGGTGAGGAGGGTGTGGTTGTTGAAGTCGAGGATTTCGCCTTCGAGGTAGGTTGTTATGGAGGATGTGCGGGTGACGGGCGGCGTGGCATTGTTGGTGGGGAAGATGGTGTGCGAATGCGGGTGGGAGGGTACGTTATACGCTTCCATGGTCGCGGAGAGAGACATGTGCTCCCAGTCGACGTCGTGTATCGTGACCTTTACGGGCCATCGGTCTTGGTGTGGTTGCGCTTCAGAGTGCTGCGAGCTTCGACTGGTGGATGCTTCGGAGGGGTTCCATATCCACGGTCGGATGGGTGGAGGGAGCCCCGCGTGTCGACTATACGAGGTAGTCACAGCTGGCATCGTCGTCGCATGCTGGCATCCCGAGAGTACTGCCCCTGGGGCTAACCACGACGTCTCGGTGGGTGGAGGTATGGCGGAGGTATCTGCAACGAAATCTGCATGTTGCAAGAAGTAGTCCTTGGTCAGGATACCTGCATCTCGCGCTCGCTCCCAGCTCTCGTCTTCGGACTGGCAATGACGTATGCGCGACAGATACTTGACCGTCTGCTCAAGCATGGGTGACATTCTGGTGTCGGAAGATCGCTGGCGCGGCGTGGGCTGGCGGTCTCGCTCTGAGGATTCGCTGAAGAGGCTGGATCTCGCGGCAAGCATGTCTCGAAGACTGCGGTGTGAAACGTGGCGAGGGGGTGCTTCGCTGGTGGTGGCTTCTCTGGTGCGCGCTGAGAAGCGTGGATGCCGTCGCACGCCCGCAGATTGTAGAATGGCCGTCGACCTCAATGAGCTCTCGGGCGCGCCAGGTGCCTCGCTGGCCGGTGACCAGTCATACAGGCTGTTCTGGCTGGGCACGCGGTCGCCATAGTTGTTGTCGCTGAGCCGGCTGAGACGACTCATCACTCGTCGTAGTCGGTCCCGCTGCTCAAGCTCGTCGCGCTGCCGTTCCAACAGGCGCAATCGCTCCTGTGATCGGTTCAATCGCGCCTGGTCGCGCTCGCGTGCAGCGCGGAGATAGTGCACGTGGGCGCGTTCAATGTCGTCGTCGTCGGCGTCGACACCTTCTGCTACCTCTACGATGACGGCGTCTCCGTGTTCCGTGTGGGTACCCAGCGTGGCAGCTAGGTTGAGGACGTCGTCGTTTACGGGGCTCTCGAGTTCACGCAAGGCCGAGATGAAGGTGGGTTCCGGGTCGTCCTGTTGTGCGGCTACGTCAGTCATGCATCTTCAACATGAGGTGTCCAGGCGCTGGACCGCGGTAACAGTCACAAGCGGTGCAGCCGGCCACGGCAACGGGCATCCTTACAGGCGAGTTGGCGGGCGGCATTATGACGAAGCAGGCGGCGCAGCGGGCATGGCGGCACGCAGTGGTGGAGAGGTCTGGAGGAGCAGTCGCATGCCCAAATGGCACAACGTTTCGAGCTCAGAGGCAAAGGCGTGTCCTCGGCGAAAGTGACGCGACCATGTCAAACTCTGGTGAAAAGCAAAGACACCGTCATGACACCCTTCGGCCTGATGAGCCTGACAACACCTGACAACACCTGATAACGCACGCCATTTCGCCATGCATTTTCCCCCTTGTCCCGCCGTTGGCTTCCGCTCCGCCCTACCAATGAGTTGCGCAAAGAGGCATGCGGCACAGTTGCATCGACCCTCATCGACCCTCATTTTGTCCCAGCAGCATGGTCCAGCAGATCTGCTCAAATCCTGGCTCCACTAATCACAACTTCACCTCACGCATCAATGCACCGCTGTAGAGAATTCGCTTGTTTGATTCAAGTTTCGTTTTTTTATTAAGTTTAGAAGGCTAAAGAAGCTTGCTTCTGTCCAGCATCTGGTTCACTGCATCCAGATCGACTGGGGAGTGCTTCTTCCAAGACTTGCTTGAAGTGTAGGAGATGAACCTACAGTCTCCGTGCATCCAGTATCCCAAGTCGAAAAAGGTTGGCAAAAGCTACAAGGTGTGTCAGGAAGTGTTTGCTCCGCAAGCAGAGGACCACCTCCCAAGAGCCAAAGACGCCACGGGCGTACTCATGTCTCAACCTCGCGCAGTTGCTTCTCTTGTTTCGACCCAGTCCTCCTTCGCAGCAGAGACGAGCTATCACAGCGGCATCGCAGATGCATGTATAACTTTTGTCGCCGCCTCTCGGCATATCCAGCTGACACTCAATGCCAGGCCGAGTAGGCAAAATTCGTGAACGTGAATCGCGTCAGATCGTGAGAGTCATGGCATGCCACAGGCTCAACGAAGAGATAGCGCATCCGTCCAGGAGTGAAACGACATTAAAACAGGAAAACCGCAAAAACCCAAACCGAGTGTGCCTGACATCGTAAGCCGTGAGGCTGTGTTTAACCGTCTTCCGTTGAAATGCCCGACATGCATGCCTCCCAGAGATGCTGTATTCAAGTAATGAAAAGACCTGGTCCGGCCGTTGTGGTGACAAAAGGGAAATCGCTCGCTAAAACAAATATCAGAACAGGTATCAAAAAAGAAACATGTACGAGAAAGAGAGGAGAAATGACGCTCGCTAAAAAGAATCAATGACAAAACGCCGTCCCATGCCGGTTGGGTAGTGATGTTTACACATCATGTTCGTGAATATCGCATTCGTCTCGTGTCGGGCATCGCAAGGTTGGTGCGCTAGCAACCTGCGAGGTAAAGGAAGAGCAAGGGGACTGGCCAGGTCCACGCTTCCCAGCATCAACAGAGAACAGGTACAGGCACCACAGTCTAATTAACATTCAGCTTACGTGAATGCTGCGTACTGTGGTGCGAATCCGGTGTCCCATCCGAAACCGCCGAATCCTCCGTGCACGGCGCTTGACCCGCACTGCTGGGCTAACACGCTCGGCAGAGGAAGGTTTGGTATCGGTGCCGACGCTGGGGGCGGGCTGTAGTACGAACTTGACGTGTACGGGCTGGTGCTTGGCGCATATGGGCTAGTACTTTGCGCATACGGGCTAGTCGAGTTGTATGGCTGGCTGTAGGAAGGTGTCGGCGACGGAAGTTGGATCGCTTCGAAGCCCATGGTGCCCATGGTGCTCCAGAAGGTTTGTCCGGTTTCACCACAGGTAGCAATGGTCGGGCTGGGCGTCGAAGGGACCACTCTCCACTGGTCGACCGGGGCTGAGTGCGACTGGTAATGCTGTGTTGGCACCCACCAGTTGGCTGAGCCGGGCGAGCTAGGAAGAAGTGGTGCTGGTCGAACAACGTCGACGATCCTGGGAGGAGGAGGAAGGAGCGGGAGGAACAATCCCATGATGGCGCTCTTGACGTCTTCACCTCGTCCCTCGAGTAGCTCTCCCGCACCATCCTCCTCGAGTCCTTCCAGAGCCTTGACACCAGTTCGGAAGACGTAGCGGTTGACAGCCTGGACAAATCCATCTTGGAGCTTCTTCAGCTGTTGCTCCTTCTCGGCCCATTCCCAGGTGCTAGCGGATACATCGACCGAGTAAATGTCCTTGTGGTACTCGATAAGCGCTTCGATGGTCTCCGGTGTAAGCTTGAATGCAACCTCATGTTGTGAAACCATGTCGACGTGTACGACGTAGGCCTCGATGTGGATAAGCTGGTAGTTGAAGAGTGCTTCTACCAACGGGTTGGAGTCCTTGCGCAGTTCCGAATCCGGGGCTTTTGGTACCATCATAGAGCATAGCGACCACATAGCGTTGGGTCCCGAAAGGGTTTCTGTCAGACACCTTGTGTGCTGCTGGACGCTGTTCAATGGACGCTTGACGCGGTTTACTCTCTTGAGTGTCTGTGTTAACCATGGCTCGACCTTGGAAGCTAGTACGACGTTGACGTTTGATCTGGGCGCAAAGGCCGCAGCCGAGGCGGGTAGTAACGAGATCGGCATTTTGTGTGAGTGGTATGTGCGAGATGTTTGCGATATTAGATGGGACGGTTTATCAAAGATTCAAAGAAAAGAACAAAAGAGATGTTATAAAAAAATGTCTCTGGCGGATATGATTTTTCGAGAGGCGCCTTGGATTGAGGAGGAGAGACAGGGAAGGGCGGGCGAATGAGGTGGAGGGAAGGCGAGGTAGGAGGTGGAGGGTGAAGAAGGGTACTAGTGGTGGTGGGTGGGATCTCTTAAGAGCTTACAAGCGACGATCATGGGTCGGCGTTGGCCACACAGCTCGGCAAGGATTTCATGCACACTGCCCCGTTTAGCTGCACTGCGCATCTAGCTTGTTTAAACGTGCATATGGCGAAAGTCTGCAGCTGCAGGTCTAGTCGGATCTAAGCTGACCGACGGACACGGCGACCGCGTTGTGCACGCGTGGATAGGCGGATCCCTAGGTGAGCGAAGATTGCGATGCTCTCATGGCTACCATAGTTGTGCGAACGACTACTCGGGCATGCAACCACGGAGATGACAACGAAAGAGGCGTCCGATCAGCCTCTCGAGTGGAAATAGCAAATGCAATCGACAACTATGACCGAATAGTGTTTTGCGTCAAGGCAGCTGAAGACGGCGCCCACAGTTCAACATGCATGTGAGGCTGCAGAAACCTGATGGAGAGGCCGCAGCAGCAGATGAATACACGCCGCACGCGAGCCTCGCAGAGTCGTGAAGCCTGCAACTGCGCTTATAGTTGGGCATCGAGCATCTGGTGTTGCGACATCACACGGATTCCAGAAGCTTTCTTTGCGCGTCCAGATGCAGAGAGCACGGCAGCGGCTTTGCTACCCTTTCGGGAGGGTGTGCGGTTAAAGGGAGGACGAGCCCTCAACGCTTGTCAAGGGGTGTCTCTGAGCAGGGCTTTCAAGGTGGGTGTAGGCATGGTAGTCGTTGGCAGTCTTGGACCGTCTACAGGTTGACGTTGCTTGAGCCTAAAAATGGGCTCGAAAACATCAGCCCAATGAGCCGGTGTAGCAGGGATGTGAGCAGGGTTCTCTACCGAAAAACCCGCGGTCATGTGAGCCGCAGACGGCCCAGAAGTTAATCATGCCAGAGTCCCATCGTCGAGTAGCATCGGCGCGTGCTGAAGCATGATGCGATATTCTACGACTCCTGTTTGCGCAAACATGCTCGCATGACGACGATGCTGTGAATGCGAAAAGCATGTCCAAGTGGCGTCGGAGCATTTGCGCCACTTTCGCCCTTAGCCGAAGCGCACGTGGTTACGCTGCGGCTGTGCAGGCGGTGACGATGCCTGGAGGGAGATCACTCCGGCGCTGCCGATGTCACCTCTACTGTACCAACACAATCGGGCCTCATGATACCCACAGTGACCTGGCAATATCTCGCTCCGGCCGATATGACCTTCGTCTAGGGGAAACGGTCGCTTCTTCGCAAAAGGAAGACTGCATCGGAGGTGACGTTTCCGTTTCAACACCGATCGGTTGCAAGGTCTACGATTGCGCGATTGGAGAAGAGTATCCTCAAGTGAAGCAAAGCGAGAGCATTACGCAAAGTGCCTATCGATCCCAGCGCCATCCAGCAGTCGTCCCATCTGGTTGGACTTGGACTTATCGATAGCATCCCACATTGCCATGTTTCAGAAGATGCAAAGGCGACCCCGAGACCTGCAGCTGGGAATAACAACTGCGCCTCATAGCAAACGAATACGCGGGGCAACATACATACGCCGCGGCCGTGGCGGCCTGCCCCACGTTTACCATGATGCTTTTGCGTGTACTGGTATAGATTTCATGATTCAAAAAGGATCGTGCATGTTGAGCATCATGGTATGTCGTAAGGATGCTCGTTGTTTTCTCCTGTATTTTCAGCTCGACAGGGGGTTGGGATGGGTCAGGTGCCCCACTAAGCCGACCTCGAGCGGGCGGCTCCTTGGACCTTCCCAAGCCTCAACCCTTTCCCAGGCGTATCCTCGCGCAACTTTCATTCTTTAACATTCACGACATCTTGCTCGTGATAGAGCGTCGTCATGGAGTATGACTGATCATGCACGTAATTCATCCGCCTTGTTTCAGGATATGCCGGCGAAGCCACGGCCGCATGCACCCTGCATCGCGGACGTGGACCTCGATGACTCACCCACCGCAAGCAAGCTTCGAGCCTACTTACGAGCACACCTGCGAGCGCGGCAGTTGCTCTCACCTCAAGCGCTGCAGATTCTTCCTTGCTTCGACTTTTACTGCGCTGCATCCTCGTCCCAACTAGCCCAGTGCTGCAAAGTCTTACCTCTTCACCTCTCACGGGTAATGATGCAGCCAGATCACAAGCCATTGCGACTGCTGATTGACCATCTTT